CCTAGGATGTTGTCAAGGAATCCTTCTAGTTTTAGACATCCTCTTTGTATGGATTCTTCTACCACTTCTTTGCTGGCCCACATCTCTGGGAACGCTTGGACGTCCCCGCGTATGGTGNTCAACGAGAACCATGCCTTCAAGTATTCTCTTTCCGCTTCCGTGAGATCTACGTGTTGACAGAGTTCTTTCACCCTGAATGTTCTGGAATAGTTGTCTCCCATGAGGAAGCAAAACCATCCGTGNCTACCCGGGGTGATACTCTGTAATTTTCCTCTGAGGATAGCATAGTGTATGTGCTTAGTGTCGGTGAGGGTGTTGTATATGTATAAAGCCCTTCTCCTTCTTTTCTAACTGGTCGTGCGCTCGCACAAGTTGATCACAATATTTTTGTTTAGTTTCAGCAGTCATTCAATTCAACAAGAAACAGGTCCCTTGGCCCAGTTGGTTAAGGCGCGGTGCTAATAACGCCGAGATCAGCAGTTCGATCCTGCTAGGGACCACTTCTTCCAAGGGCGTGTGGCGTAGTTGGTAGCGCGTTCGCTTAGCATGCGAAAGGTCTCCGGTTCGACTCCGGACTCGTCCATTTTTTTGAATTTTTGAAATGCTTCGAATAACGATCTCTACTGAGGTGAACCATTGACCACTACATTAGTACTTGCATCACTTGCATCAAAGTTTCCTAAAGTCTATATTCAAACATTTAGAAATAAGGAATATTGACCTAGCGGAGGACTGAATCAGTAACGAGAAGAGCCCTGACTTATACAGTTCTAGACCACTACAGTTCACTCTATTTCGTCGTAATATTAGCCACAATTATATACAATTAATTTACAACAGGTGCATTCATTTGGCCATTTTGAGGGACACCCTAGTTGGAACTGACATTAACCTGATTAGATCTTGTATCTTGGAATCTTGTTCAATCTCTTAGCGGTTTGACCGTTAGATCTGGTACCTTGACCACGAACTGGTAAGCTGTTGGCGTGTCTGTAACCAGCGTAAGAACCGGTGTCTCTCTTGAGCTGGATGTCATTATTTATCTTTTGCTTTAATTGACCCTCGACCATCATTTCAGAAACTTCCTTGTTCAAGTCCATAATTTGGGGTTCAGATAATTGGTTCATTCTCATTTGTGGGTACAATCCGACCTTGGCACAGATTCTTTCTGCTGTGTGGTATCCAATACCAAAGATAGCCTTCTTCAAGCCATGCTTAATGTTAGTAATCGGAATTCGAAACGGAAAAGGGAAATCCTAGAATAGTTGACATACGCTAACCAAACTGTTGTGCTTGACGTGTTTACCGAAAATGTGGACAGCCATTTCGACGTAGCCTATCTATACTCTCGTTATAGTCAAAATTTTCAACATTAAGTGAGGTGCCCAAACCTGTAATGTTCTGAGCGCAAACTGTAACTGCCACCAAAACTGAGTGATTTACAGATTACATCACCCAGTCACAGATTATATCTTTGCTTTATCAAAAGCATTCTCATATATTTCTTCTCCAAGATCACGATGTCTAGTTTTATTCCCCATCAGGCCAACCCTCAAACCTCGGCATTTACCTGCAATACTTGTAATATCCGTTTTTTGACAGCCGAATTACAGAGACAGCATATGAAGACCGAATGGCATAGATACAATCTTAAAAGAAGAGTGGCACAGTTACCCTCCATCAGTTCCGACGTATTTGCCGACAAGGTGTTGAGCCAAGAACAATTTGGTGAAAGCAGAGAAAATGAAGACGAAGACGGGTTCTACGTGCACCACAGAAAGACGAAGAATAACACCAACAAGCTGCTTAGTAAGATGTTGGCCCATAAGAAGGTCTCCGAATCAAGAGGCAGAAAATTGGATGCCGAAGATTTCGAGGAAATCGAAAGAGCCGCCAGCCCCGCATCAATAGCATCGGAATTTTCCCAGTTTTCCTTGGGTGATTCGACCAGTCATGAGTTTGAATCGGGCCATGAAACGGGCTCCGAGTTGAACTTTTCTGAGTCCGATTACGTGGAAGTTGAAGCCGAGGCCGAAGACACCGAGTCGAGTGATTCTGAGGTGAGTGAAGACGAATCGATTGAAGAGTTGCAGGCAGTCCCCATTACCAACTGTTTCTATTGTGGAAAAAACAATGAGGAAGTGGAGTTGAACATCAAGCATATGTACAAAAACCACGGGTTGTACATCCCAGAGAGATCTTATTTGACTGATGTCATAGGCTTACTTCTGTATATGAGTGAGGTTATATCCGTTGACCTCGAATGTTTGGTGTGTGGATTTGAAGGAAGAAACTTGACAAGCGTGAGGCAGCACATGTACTCCAAGGGTCATTGCAAGCTCCCATACGAGACCAAGGACGAGAAGTTGGCGGTGTCGGAGTTTTACAATTTCTATGAGCTGGAAGATACGCCTGTGGCCAAGACCAGTAACAAGAAGGTGAGCTTCATGGGTGCGACAGACGCTGAACAAGAACAGACTGTTGGCGAACAAGAAGAAGAAGGAGAAGAAGAAGACTCGTTCGACGACCATGGCATCAACGACAACTATACTTTGGTGACGGTGGATAGATCAGGGGTCGAGTTGACCCTTCCTACCGGCTCCAGGATCGGCCATAGGTCGATGGCTAGATACTACCGTCAAAACCTTGCGTTAGCACCACAACCTTCGGAATCAAACAGAACAGTTGCGTTGGTGGACAGACGTTTTGCTCCTGGATTGACGGTGCACGAGGTGACCAAACAAGACAAGCAGGCCAGACGACTCGAACAGAAGTTGAAGAACTACGATGTCAACAGGTCCAAGTCATACAGGGCCAACTACCAAAAGCATTACGTCGACCAGATGTTGGGCCATGCTTGATTGCACCGGTTTGTGGTTAGGTTTCTCAATTCTAATTCTCCAGGATTACTGAAGTATGGATGTTTTGACTATTCTCCAATTCAGAGGGTTTTATTATAAACTATAGTTACGGGTTAAAAATGGAATACATACCAGTGTAAAGTGAGTAGTAGTAAAACAAAAATTTGCCCAAATTCGTCTATTGACCTTATCCATACATTTTATGCGACAGCCGTGCCCGTATGGATTTGACCCATGCCAGCCCCTGGAGCTTTGTCGGGTTTCTTTTCCGAGATAAGCCCTGATTCCGTGATTGTATCGATGACGGGTTACGTAAGCGATAGAATCTTATCGAAAACGCGAGAACCCGAGTCTGAGCCTATATACAGAACCCATCTGCTAACACTAGCCTTATAATTATCGAGCTCTTACAATATCCAGATTATTAATGTCGCCATCATGGTACTAGAAACTCACCTTTACGATATACTATCGGTGGAGCCTGCTGCTTCCACCGAGGACATTGCAAGAGCCTACAAAAAGCAGGCACTCCGGTGCCATCCCGATAAAACTAACCACGACCCTGAGCTAACTGAGAAGTTCAAGGAGATGACCCATGCCTACGAGATCTTACGAGAGAAGAAGTCCCGAGACGTCTATGATGCGTACGGGTTGGCTGGCGTGGAAGGAAACTACCAGGAGCCCAAAAGCAAACCCCCCAGAAGAAGCCAATCCACCAGCACCTCCAACTTCTACTTCAACCCCGGATTCCCGGGCATGGGAATGGATATGGGCACATCGGGCTTCAGCTCGTCGACCATGTTCACCCAGGTCTTCAATGACATCAATAGCATGTTTGCAAGCCAGTTCACGGGCGTCCCCCCAAACAATGGTGCTCACCCAGCCAATATGAAGAAACATGTGGAGCCTGTGGGGTCCCCGTTGGACCAAGAGTACGTCAGGGGCAAGGATATACATCACACCTGCAATGCTAATCTTGCAGACATGTATTTTGGCAAGACTATCAAGCTTCAGCTACCCAAAAACAGCAAGTGTAAAATGTGCAAGGGTGTGGGTGGATTGAATCCCAAGACTTGCAGGCAGTGTCAGGGTCTGGGAACCGTCAAAACCACCTACTTTAACCAAACCTCTCAGTACCAGCTGATCGGCTCGTGCAAGCCTTGTGCTGGGACAGGTCTATTCATATCCCAACACGATTCATGTCCGTCATGCGTTCGCGGGTACGTCACAGAGAAGAAGATCATCAAGATAAACGTTTTGCCAGGATCTAATAATGGCGATAAAATCATTCTTCAAGGTGAAGCAGACGAAGGTCGTAACATCATACCAGGAGACGTTGTAATCCACCTTCGCGAGATTGCCCATCCCTTCTTAGTGAGAAAGTTCAACGACCTCTTTATGGAGCATGAAATTGACTTGAGAACTGCATTGTTAGGAGGGGAAGTACTTATAAACAACTTTGTTAAACCAGATCAGTCATTGAGGGTCTTCATAAATGTCCATGGACATCAGGCTGTTAACGAATCGATAGATGGAAATATACAGTATGGAGAAATCACTGGGACCATTAATTCTGACCAGCCAAAGCTAGTCAAAGGATTTGGAATGCCTATTAACGAGATGGTCAATGGGGGCGAATACTTTGAAAACTTGAACGAGGTAGACGAGTATAGAGAGATCGCTTTTGATTTGAAACGGTACAAAAGAGGAAACCTTTTCATTAATTTCAAAGTCAAACTACCAACTATTGCTGATTTTGCGAATGGAGAGAGTGACTTGCAACAACTATTGAATATATTGCCATCGACTAATCCTCCAGAACTCCCTAGAAAGAATATCATGGAAACATATTTATCAAATTTACCAGGAGAGGCCACCAAACCCGTCTCGATATCGTCGAGCGATTCACTTCCCAAGGAAGATCTACACGACCAAAGTTCTGACTTTAACTATGAGGACATTGATCTCAGCGACGAAGTCGAAGGGGATGAAAAAGATGATGAGGAGTACTACGCTCTGGTGTGGTCAGATGTTAAAAATCAGGATCTGCTGAGTAATAAGAGAAGAAAGAAAAACCGTGGTGCTGATGGTTCCGGAAGTAAGGATCATCCCATAAGCATTTGATTTCTAACCGTTAGGTCCAGACAGCGGATTTTGAAGGATATTGTCCTCATTCTCTTCACTAATGACTAATTGGAGTACTTCGAACCGAATACTCCAGTAAATTGCATAATACAGAGATATCTGTATATGAGAGTTACGAAAATCTCTCATGTTTATTTATTTTTTTGGGATAGCACGGATAATGCTAATTTAGTTCTATAACACTATGTTCACGAATGATGGATACCTACTGTAGAGTTGCTTGTGGTCACGTTGGAATTGACAACACTATATTGGCGCCGAGATCTGGTATGCGTCACGTGACTAAATATACCTCCTGTTTATCGCGTATTCCAATCAACATTCTATAGTGCTAGCTATCAAGATGGGAAGCGTCAATATTCTTGAGCCTTCTTTGATCAAGGACCTTTCGAATCACATTTATGAAAAACGTAAGGCCACAGCATTCCAAATTGAGAGTTTGACTAAAGCTGCTTTGGCCAGGAATGACAGTCAGACTATCTACAAGATCATCAATGAATTGACGGAATTGACAAATGGGGGAACCAATTCAGCCAAAATGGGGGCAATCACAGCCCTTGGAAGTGTTTCTGTTGCACTTGGATCGTTCGCAATTGCATACTTCTTGGAGGAAATCATAAAACCAATATTTGCTACTTTTAGAGATACTGATGCCAGAGTCCGGTATTATGCATGTGAATCTCTTTACAACATAGCCAAGATTGCAAGAGGAGAAATGTTGCTTTATTTCAACGAAGTGTTTGATATTTTATGCATTTTGGTTACTGATACCGAGTCGTCTGTGAAAAATGCAGCTGACATTCTTGATCGTTTGATCAAAGATATCGTTAGTGCCAAGTCTACCAATTATGTGTCCATTTTACAACAACAAGAGCTATCCAATGAAATCCAAACACATCTAGTGGATGCCAATGGCGTGGCAATCCAGGTGAATCAAGTGCAAGATTCTCAAAAGGCATTCTCGCTACCAAAGTTCATACCAACGTTGTTGGAGAGGATGTATACCATCGATCCATTTGCTAAGAAGTTTTTAATTAGCTGGCTTGAATTGTTCGATGATATACCCTCGTTGGAGCTCATTACCTTTTTACCCAACTTCTTAGAGCCGTTGATCAGATTCTTGATGAATAGTTCTCCTTCCGATGTGAGGCTAGAAACAAGCAACATATTGAATGTCTTCCTAAAAGAAATCAAATCGATCTACAAAGTGAAGTATGAGGTTAAGAAGAATCAATTGATCCAAGAGAAGAAAAAGGCTCAAAAGGAGAAAGAAGCAGCCGAACGAATTGAATCTGTGGATAATATTTCCGACGAGGTCAAGGAAATCAAATTACATCAATCCGAGGAAGATGACACCAACTCCATCAAATCGGACGATACTACAATTGTAAGAAAAATTGAGACGGACGACCAGGAACCCGAATCTGTGGATTTCGAAACCAATGACGGGGAACCTCAGGATGGTTTGTTCCTTAACGGACAGGATATTTTTATTGACTACGCTAAAATAATTGAAATATTGTTGACCTTTATCAGAACTCCAGATGAAAAGGGAGAAATGAAAAATACAGATTTATCCAATGAGCCCCATGAAATTTACTTGGAAATCCAATACGTTGTCTTAAAATGGTTATTAGAAATCTTAGAAACAGTTCCAATTGGATTTGTGAAATGCTTGCCTGAGTGTGTGTCCATCGTAGTTTCGAACATATCCATTACAGATGATGACAAGGACTTCGAATTACGGAACCAATTCTTGGATTTCAACCGATCCTTACAAGAATTGTTGATCAGATTTAGTGATGCGGATGATGGTAATACTTCTGGAATTGAAGAAGAAGATTTTGTGATAAATGACAACTTGATTCACGGTCTAACCAAGGAAGTCTATGATGAATTTGTGGAGTATCAGTTGCAATACACCCTAAGCAAGATAATGAGTAAGTACTTGAATTCGACTAATGAATTGTCAAGGATTACATCATTAGAATGGTTGTTGTTCTTATATACGAGAAACCCACAGGGCTTTTTTCAATTCGTGGGAGAAGGTGAAAACAAGTTCGATCTTACCAGTTTACTTAAGTCTTGCACCGATGCAAGTAATGATGTAGTACTCAAAGTACTCCAACTTTTATCAAAAATCTCAGAGGCGAACGATGAATTTTTCAAGGACTTTATGATAAAATTGATACGATTATTGGAGAAAGAGAAATCCAATCCTCCTACTCTCACAAGAGGTAGGATTGAATTCATAATCAGAAAACTATGTGTTTCACTTAATTCGGAGAAGATCTTCAAGACATTATCTGAAGTATTGGTCTCACTTGATGATCTTGAATTCTTAAATGTCATGATTGTCACTCTTAATGACATTTTGTTGACCACCCTGGAGTTGTGCACCTTCCGGAAGAAATTGAAGAATCTTGACGTGTATAAAATCGAAGACTGGTCATTGTTTGCTACACTTTTCCAAAGTTGGTGCCATAATGCTCCAAGTGCATTATCACTTTGTTTGTTAACTTCAAACTATGAGTTGGCCTATTTGATAATTAAAAATTTGTCTGAATTGGAAGTGACATTTCAGCTTTTGACTCAATTAGACATCTTGGTTCAGTTGATTGAATCGCCCATTTTCTTGAAGTTGAGACTCCAGTTGTTGGAGCCCGAGAAGCATCCATACTTGTACAGAACGTTGTATGGGCTCCTCATGATATTACCACAGTCCTCGACATTTACCACCCTCAACAATCGACTCAGCTCAATAACGCACGTCCATTCCGCAAGTGCAATCACGACTGCTGTCCCCGCACCCATAGGAACACCCGTATCTACACCAGGCCCCGCTGGAGCGACCACGCCTGGTGTCAGTAACCAGCTCTCCATCAAGAGAAAGAGGATATATGAGATGTTGGACAAGTTTACCAAGGTGCAAGAAAGGCACGAGGAATACGCCATCGACCGCAAAGTGAAGGGTGCATTCAACGAACAATCCAACGACGGCTACTCCAAGGACAGACTCATCAGCTACAACATGAGTTTTCCGGAAAAGAAGGACTACTTCAGTGAAGCAGGACAATCGACTAGAAGGTACTAAGTCGCATCACAATGTCGCGACACCAGGCCAGGGTCGTGCGCGCCAATAAAGACATGCCATTTTTTTTACCCTAGATTAAACCTGTAAACAAATCCTGATCAATTTGAAGGTTTTAAAAGTGCAACCAGGGATTAACCACAGGTTGCAGTTGTTTACTTTTTACATCTTATCAAGGGACGTGTTCCATGTCATCCCCACAAAGCCTAAGAAAATCAATGCAGCAGGTTCAAGTAGATCAGCAACAAGCAGCAGAGGCATTGCGGATTGCCGCCCAGACTGCCCAACAACAACAGCATCACCAAATCCATAATCAACAACCACACAAAGTTCACCACCAAATACAACAAGATGACCACCACCAATTGCTTTTGCAGCAACAACAGCAGCAACAGCAACATCTACAGCAGGCAAGCCATCATCATCAGCAATACGCAGACGCCCAGGGACAGCTAAAACAGGGTGATCTTCCCGAATTGACGGAGTACGACCTCAAATCTCGGGATTCCAAGTATAGAAGATGGACACCCAAAATGGACCAGTTTTTGATCAAATTGTTGTCGGATGTGGTCCATAGCTACCAAAAGGGTGCCGAGGCTGAGATGACGAAGAAATCATGGGCATATGTGACTGGTCAATTGAGGGCGGCTAATCCAGAAACTGTCTACTCCACGTATACAAAGTATTCGTGTCAGCAGCATTTGTTGAACGTCAACCATCATAGATACAAAATATGGTATGTGTTGATGTTGCACCTGAAGAATAATCCATCCGCAACCGGGTATTCCTACCGGTGGAATCCCGATATCGGCAGGTTTCAGATCATCGATAACACCACTAATTCGCTTGTCATCGACGAGCGGCAAATAAAGTCGTTGCTATACAGCGAGTCGTTGTCCTTGCCGTCGTTGAGCGCATTCAACAAGGGCAACTTGATCGTGAATGATTTCTTTTTAACTGACAATTTACGGTATATGTCAGTGTATCATAACGAGGTGTTGCAATTATTAATAAGATTAGACCCGAAGTATGCGGAGGGGTTGGGGGACATTTATCATGAAATCCCAAAGTTCGACTATCTAGAGGCCGCAAATGAGTACTTCAAACCACTCGTTCCAGCAAAACCAAGCAAAGCACTTCCGGGAAGTCCTTCGCATCCAAACAAACAAAAGAAAAGATTGCACTCTGAAGATTCCAGCGACATGAATCTTCCCTTTTCAAAAGCATTATCTTCAATTACTAACGATGGAACTGAGACCGACGTAACACAACCTCAGGCACCACAGGACGATGATTCCTTGGATCCTGCTCTCAAGAGATCTAGAATTCAAGATCCTACATCTGCTAATACTATCACCTTCGAAAACGCCTTGGCCACTGCTGCCATTGATGCCATCAACTCTCCTGCCGTGACCAACGGCCGTGATCCTACTCCATTCTATATCAAAGACCGCAAATGGTTCAATAAATTAATTGCTCTAAATGAATCTGGTCACATAGGTGTGGAAGATGTGCTTTCGGTCTGCGAGGGTGTCAGGGATGGTAAGATACCTTTGTTCATGTTGAACGTACTTGATCAATCATACTATCCAACTAGAAACGGGGCTCTGATTCCAGACGAATTGCCCGATGAAGAAATGGCGAAGAGAATAAGGGAATTCATGCTTCCCATGGTTTATAATTCTTGATGTTAATTGTATTATCCGTCCCAGTCTATGGTATTCTAACTAGTGCTAATTATGTACATTATATTGGTTCTCGTTGAAAATAAAAGTCATTAATGAATTCGTAGTGCTAATGTATAGTATCTCTCATTTGATACAATTTGACTGATACACCAGCTGCCTCACAAGTCTAGGATGATGAGTTTTATATCACTCGTGTATAATTTGTCCATGTGTTCTATCTCTTGAGATGGACCGTGACTTCCGTCTTATTTCAGGGCTAGTGGATACGGAAGCGGACTCGGTGGGACAATTGGAACCAACCATCGATATGGAACCCTTGAGGGAAAGGATATCAATTGCAGGATTCTGCTTCTCGATAGACTCGTGTGTTACAGGTTGTGGCACGAGCTTAATTGGTGAGTATTGAGCGGATCTGTTAATCGACTCAAGAATGGTTTGACTTGACGAATGGTCCTTATGGACCAATCTCAGGCTAGATTTGGGATAGGTGAGCTTGTCTAGTGATGATAGCGAGTGTCTTTTTAGTTGGGAATCAAACAGAGTATCTTCAAAGGGAGACAGTGGAGGAGGTCCCTTTGGAGCATTCCCTGCTTTGTTCCTTGGAATATCGTCGATGAATGAGGATAGATCACTGGACAAGTCGTCAAGGTTTTGAAATATCGAAGTATTGGTGGTTGATTGCGATTTTCTTTTGCTGCCCTCGGAAGGTAAGCTATGTCTTTTCGATTTTGCAGAGGAGGATAAACTGGGCTTTTTCCGATGGCTGGTCGAGGCCAAATCTTCGGTGGAAGAAATATTCAACGGTGAGATTAACGAGCTGTTTTGACGAGCATCTACTGATTTTTCTGAAGATGAAATGGTGGCCACCGATCTCTGCATGGGTCTTAATTGGTAAACGTTTGACGAGAACAAGGACTGTTCAAACCCACTGTCGTCCTTGGCTTTGTACCTGTTGTAGTAGGCTTTGTTGAAGTCATTGATATACAACAGTTCGTTAGAAGGCAACCTTATGATTCTGTTTGTAGATGGAGCTTTTCTGGGTTGTGCGGCTGGTGGTTCCTTTCTCAAAATCGATCTACTTGGTACCTCTCTCTTGGCTGGAGCCTCGATGGAATCGTACGAAAGAGAGATTTCGTCTTTCAAGTAGATACTGCCAAATATGTCCGAGGTGTAGCTTATTTGGGGAGATGGAAGAAGCTCTGAGAACAAGGAAGCGTTTTGCTGCATCAACTTCTCGGTATTGATAGACTCCATGCTTGAAGTTTTGGAGGTTGCGGTTGTTTCGGTTCTTGGTTTGTGGGAGTGGAAAGAGGTGCTGGGGGCCTTTTCTTGCAGTTTATGTGGGTAGGACGGAGACGACGACGAGAAGGTGGAGCCGGTTCCCGTGGTCTTGGTGGATCCCAGTCTTGGGATTGTGTAGTTGTGCTGCTTCAAACGATATTCGATTTTCGCAGCCAATGTTCTGCGGAGCAACACTTCTAGAAGAAGCTTCCTGTTGATATTCTTGATGTCATTGGTGGACAACAAATGCAAGTCGTTGGGGAAGAGTAGCTCGAACTTGGGAGGAACCGTATGTTTGTTGGCGAATACCGCGGTCTTGTACTTTTGGTAGATAATGTCTGGAAGCGGGATGGAGCTGTAGGCTCTTGCGTGTTTTGCTCTGGGTGGTGCCTTCTGGGAATTTTTTGCGGTGAGAGGTGCCTGGGAGGCTAATGCTGGGTGGATGGAAAACGATCTGCCTTGGTTGACGATGTGGATATTTTTCCTGACCGATTTGATGGTGGGGGACGGTGGAAGGATGGAGTCGTAGTGGAAGAAGCTGGTCTGGCGGGGCAACAAGTCCTTGATCAACGACTCGGCGTTGGAGGATGTCAAGAATGCCTGGAGCTGGTCTTTGGTGTGGAAGTTCGCGTGCTGCTTCCGCACTGACGAGTACCGCAACGACTTTTTGCGGTGCACCGGGAACATGAACCTGATTTTGTCGCGCAAACTGGACTCTTTGGGCCCGGTGCTGGCGGTGGTGATGGTGTCGATGTCGGAGGTGGGAGACCTCAAGAACGCTTGGTTGCGCTTTTTGATGCGATTGCGGTTGCGCAACGTGGCCGAGTTGGAGATCACCGAGCCTGAACGTCTGACTGGTTGGTCGATCACGGTTATGACTGGGGGCGGGCTGGCGATGTGATGGAGCTGGGCGGGATTGTGGGGGTGATGGAGCTGGGCTGGATTGTGTGCCATTTGGTGGAGCTGGGCGGGATTGTGGGCGTAGTGTGCGTAGGGGTCCACGTACGCAGACACCGGTCTTCGTCCAGGCGTGTAGAGCACGTCGAACGGGTTCGAGACCGTCCGCAGGTGGTTGTGGAGCTCGTCGAGTCCAGTCACGCTCTCGGGAGACGAGATGGAGTCGATGAACGACCTTGTATGGTAGGTGTGGTAGTATTGGTAGATGCTGGGGAGGGACGACGTAGAGGCGCCTGGGCCTGGGCCTGGCCCCGGGCCTGAGCCTGGGCCTGAGCCTGAGCCGGGTGAGGGCCCGGCCAAGCTGGTCGGCGCTGTTTGAAACGAGCCAGTAGACGACGAAACGTCCACCACACCAGAAGCCATGATGTAGGGAGGGTCGAAAATGGATGCTAGCCGTGCTAAGTGCTGGGACGGGGGGAGACTGGCAGCAGTGTGGATGTTTGCAGGAGGACGAAAGTGCTACAGATGTTTAATATATAAAGCTGCCTCGTCTACGCTCCGTGATGTAACGGGTGCAAAGATGGCTGGCTAGTGGTAGTAAGGGGAACCGGCACGTGAAGGGCGCTAGGCGACAGATTGGTGTCGCAGTGGTGTCGCGGGGTGTCGCGGGGTGTCGCGGTCGCATGTCGCTGGGCTGTGACACACACCGGTATGTCGCTGGGGCTGACTCCTCCACCGTTGGCATGACCCCGTTGTCTGGTACCACTCCCACCCTGGCCACAAGCGAGTGGGATTCCGCGACACCTGGCTCCCTCCGCCCTATCCCACCCCTGCTTGTGGCACCAGCTGATGACTTTCCCAACCACTGAACTATGGATGTACACGCACTTTTGACGAACAGCCACAAAACCGTACCAACATTTTGAACAGATCACAACAAAAACACCAGATCGAGGATTTGGTAGCCACTCTTCTTTTCACTACAAGAACATCAATCATGGACAAGCTCAGGGAGGTAAGTAAACTTTGGTTCTGGATGGCCTTGGGAGACGTCAGGGTTGGTTTGGCAGTGGATTGGAGCCCCCAGGGGGCCCCCGGTACCACCGGGTTTTCTGGTGATGTGGCCTCTCCAGCAGCTCAAAACAACGAGCCCGAGCCCAATGACACCCCCACACCCCGTCCCCCGGTGTCTCTCGATGACCTTGTGCGTATCGGACAACTTTTACTAACGATGTTTTCTAGAAACTTAACAACTTGAAGTTGGATGCCGAAAAATGGCAAGAAAAGTCTGACGAATTGGCTGAACGTATCAAGGAATTGGAACAAGAAAACCTTGAGAAGGACCACCAGATCCAATCTTTGACCAGAAAGAACCAAGTTTTGGAAGAACAAGTCGAGAAGTTGGAAACCGACTTGGACGAAATCAAGCAAACCGCGGATGAATCGCACTCCTTGAAGACCTCCAACGAAAACTACACCAAGAAGAACCAAGTCTTGGAAGAAGAATTGGAAGAAGCCGACAAGAACTTGAAGGAAACCACCGAAAAGTTGAGAGAAACCGACATCAAGGCCGAACAATTGGAAAGAAAGGTTGCTTCTTTGGAATCTGAAAAGGAAGAGTGGGAGAAGAAGTTTGAAGAATTGAGCGAACAATACAACGCTTCCAAGGCTGAATTAGAAGAAATCAGTCAACAATTAGAAGCCATCTAATTTTTTAATACCGTTTATAGTTGCATCACTGCTCTTTTTTATTGAATAGAAGAGAATATAGTTAAATTATCCCGTTCATGTAGTTTCGACGCGGTGATCCATTCGGATACCACTCGCTATCGCTTAAAAAAAATTAACAAAAAAATGTGAGATTAATCTACCCTAAAAGTTGTAAGATAAGATCTTGTTTCAGGAGTCACCTGTCCCGCCCTTAATACACCGTACTACGCAATACCGCTTCTGGTTATAAGTTCTGCTCCATCTACAACCGTCTCACTTTTGCAAATATCTCGCCTTGTAACCCACAACACCACAACCCAGAACACACCACATCATGTCTTTGATGGACATAGTCCGGCGCAGGTTCGCCAGTGAACTTCAGTCACATCAAATCGATGAAGATTATACCCTACCCGTAAGACCAGGGGTGCCACTGCGCCCTTCTGATACCACCGAGTTTGACCCTGATGAGATGGTCCCTTCGTACGAAACATCACAATTAATGCATGAACAACAAACCCAGAGAGCTACCCCGAATGACCTGGCCCAGATATCAAGAACCGACTCAGGAGTTTCTTCCGAGATACCCGTTTCGCCTCCAACTCCAACCCCCGCCACATCAAATGGAAACTCCTCGGCTCACGGGACCAGAGGGAATGACAGTTACAAGAGAACTTCAATCAAGCAACTTGGTCTCAAGTTCTTAAATGCTAGACAACATTTTGCATTAGCTATCTGCCGTGACATATCACTTATTCCTGCTTTGATAGGCTTAGTACAATCGTGGAAACAAGTGTTTGTGGACAGTCATCAAGTCAGCGTTGACTCCCTCGCGTTGGGACATTCAAGTCAACACTTGACACAGTCAATAACAAGTGGTCGGGTGCTGGAACATTTTTTGACGGGAGTTTGGTGCATTGTCTCTGCCTATTTATCTTATTCTGCGCTCGATAGCTTGATTGTCAGGTGGATTGTGATCTATCTGACCCCAGCAGCCATTGTCAGGGTGTTGTCTATGTCCACAATTATGGTAACCATCGAATCATACTTGGTCTCTGTCTTCACTGCCGATGGCTACAAATACGGGCTCCACATATGGATACTCATAAGTTGTTGTCTTACCCTCACGTATATCGGTCAGAATTTTGTCACTTCAAATCTAGATTTGAGAAAAGGTGCCCCCAAAAGAGCTCGTTTCTTTGATATTTATAACATTGTGGTCTTTGCAGTTGTGCCGGTGGGTTTGGCTAGCTTCATCACCATGATAGGGCTATTGCGGTCCTTGTTAATTTTGCGTATTGATATTGATCAATGGGAATAAATCTGCATTTAGACTACTAGGTAATCGAGTAGTCATAGAATTTTATAGTTAATGGATACCGAATGATAGAACTCATGAAATCAGGAGCCATATTGGGTCAATAGACCATTCTAGCATTTGCAATTTCTAACGGGCTACGGACATGCCAACAAATATTTGGACTCTCCTGCTTATTCGATGGATCTTGGAGCCTTCTAGAACTCTGCTGGAACTCTGTAGTGCTAACCATTGATTGGTAAAGTCGGATATTTTGCTGCCTATAGGTATAGATTCGGCTGCAAGAATTGTATCCGGGTAACATCTGATGCGCAACTATAAAAGGAGAGCCATTCCCACACCCAGTTTTATTCCCTAATCAAAAAGCTTATTAAAGCAAGGGAATATTTGCCACGACGAGATAATGTATATTGTCAAGTTATACTCGTTGCCATTTTATTATTCAAATTCCCGAGAGTGATGTTCCCTGTTAGGAAGTTCGGGGTCCGTTGGGTCTTTTCAGTGAGGCGATGGATCTTGAATGTCGATTTTTATGGGACACATTGTAGCTACATAGATTAGGAGGTGTGCTCTAGTAACCATCAGCAGTCTGTACGCTGTTCGTCCGTGGTTCCGTTGCAATTAACCGATAAACTTCTTAAATGTTGTGCAAAGGATGTGACCTACTGAATCCACTCGTCAGTACTTCATTGGGCCCACCTAACCGGCCGCTAAGACCACTTCAGCCTGAAAAATGCCACTGGTAGTGGATTAGTCTTGTTCTTGCCGAACATGGGCCCCCAGTCTTCAGTGAATCTTCTAACCCACTTTCTGTCTTCCGACGGCCTGAGGCACAACGGTCTACGCTCTACGATCAACTCTTACGATTGAGTTTTTATTAAGTCAATATTGTATTTATAAAAGACTTTGTTAAACGTTGTGATATATCAGACAAGAACCCCATTATTAATACACAGAAATCATCATATTATGTTGGTGGATTTAACGGTACTTGTTGAAACCAATGTCAGAGGCTCTTTCTCTGAAACATTGACGGCAGATTTCAATACCGTACTTTCTGATTAAACCGGTGTGGGAGGAGCAGACACGACATTGTCTTGAACCTTTACCGAAGTTTCTTGGGTGGGAAAACCAAACAGATTCGTGAGCCATATTGCTAGAATGTTAGTAAATGAGCGTAAGATCGGTGGGTGCTGGACATGCGTAGATGTTCTTTCACAGTTGCTAGTGTAGTGGGCCTGTATCTCGACGTTGTCTTTGGACTTTTCACTGGGTCTGCTTGGACGGTTTTTGGTAATCCTGATCACTGTTGCTGGTGCCACTCATCTATCGTATTGGTCTGGTCTATCCCACTTGTATCATGCTGTCCACTATATTACATACAATTACTATAACTTGTTTGTTGTATATCTAGAAAGGCCTTGAAACAGTTTTCTATATTGAATTTTCTCGCTGTCGCAGGAGGTGGCTAGTCGCGATAGGTTTTTTCACGATGTGCCTGTATATGGGAGGGTGGCTCCCAGCAAGGGCGAGCGCACGTGAGGAACACCTAGACTGTTTCCTGAGGGCTGAGCCCTATATGTAAACGCGTGCGTATCATGTGACTGGTGAAAAATTAAAGGCATCTCATCTCTAGATCAGATGTCTATCAATAGTCTATCCACATACAATCATGGCTAAGGGGGGACATTCACATCGTTCTACATTGAAGAACGACCACAAGCCATTCAAGTCAAAGCATGCATCCAAGGGACAATTGAAAAACCAGCACAAGGGTAAGGTGGAAAAGTCTGCTGCCGGGGGCTCCAAGTCCAAGGTCCTCAGTAAGATCGAAAGAAAGAACTTATCCAAGCAATTAAAAGAGAATAAGATTTTGGAGTCCAAGATGACCAGAAAATTGTTCGAGGGCTCCCAGGGTGCCGAGAAGATCGTCACTGTAATTGCATTAACCAACGACATCGATGCTGCCCAAATCGCCCAAAAGTTGTTGGAACAAGAGTTGACCCATCCCCTCGCCACTCCCTCTGTCACCAACGTCAAGGTAACAAAATTCAAGTCCAACTTGAAGGTCATCATTCCCGACCATAACGATATGCTTGCCATTCTTGATGCGGCCAAGGTTGCCGATTACGTTGTTTTTGGTATTTCTGCCACAGAGGAGGTTGATAAAGCATTTGGTGAGCAGGTTTTGCGTGCTCTTACTGCCCAGGGTATTGCCTCCGTTATCGGAGTCTTGCCAAATGTTGTCAGCGCATACCCAAAGAGAAACCTTCAAATGGATATCAGACAATCGTTACAATCGTTCTTCAATCATTTCTTCCCTAACGAGGACAAGCTCTACGCCTTGGAGGCTGACTCGGAGAACTCCAACTGTTTGAGAACAATCTGTCAAAAGTTTCCTAAATCCATCAAGTGGAGAGATGCAAGAGGCTACATGGTGGCCGACAACGCATACTGGTCTGGAAACGAAGATGGAACGGTTGTTCTTGAAGGTACTGTCAGAGGTATCGGTTTCAACGCCAACAGATTGGTGCACGTTCCTGGCTTTGGAGACTTCCAGATCGAAAAGATCGAAAAGTTACCCAAGGGTCGTGCTAACATGGACATCGATACTGAGTTTTACGTTCCAGATGAAAACCAAGAAACCTTGGAGGAACTCAACCCTGAGGAGATCGAGATGGACGATGACATGGACTTCTACAATGAAGATAATGACCTTGGAGTCAGAATGGACGGTAGAACCTATTTCGACGACGATGGAGTCAAGAGAAGCGAACACAAGAAATTGCCAAAGGGAACCTCAGAATACCAAGGAAGATGGTTTATCAACGATGTTTTGGAAGATGCATCTGATTTGGAAAGTGACGAAGAGCCCATGATTGAGGAAGTCGATATGGAAGAAGACATGGTTCCAGCCGAGCCCACTGGCACTGAATACGCCCCCACCGAATTCACAGAAATGCATGTTGAATTAACGCCTGAAGAGGAAGAGAGACAGTTAGCGGAATACCGTCAATTGGAAAAGGACGATCTCGAATTCCCTGACGAAATCGAATTGAATCCTTCGGAGTCCGGTAAAGAGAGATTGGCTGCTTTCAGAGGAATCAAGTCCTTGTACAACTGTGACTGGGACTACGACGAGCACGACGTGGAGTCCCCCAGTATCTGGAAGAGATTGTTGAGGATTTCCAACTACAAGGCCACCAAGAATAGAGTCACCAAGGAGGCCATTAAAGAGGTCCAGGTAAACATTGGAGAAAAGGCCAGAATTTTCATCAAAGCTCCAGCTTTCATGTTGGAAAAATTCAACTGCAATGTGCAGCCATTGACAATCTACGAGTTGTTCCAATACGAACACAAGTTGGCTGTGTGCAACTTCTCTTTCCAATCTTGGGAAGACTATGAAGCCCCAGTTCCCTCCAAGGAGTCTTTGGTGGTGCAATACGGGCCAAGAAGACAAGTCATCCAACCTGCATTCAACCAAGCATCCAATAACTCCAATAATGTGCATAAATACGAGTCGTTTGTGCATCAAGGAAACACGTCCATTGCCACTGCCATCGCGCCAGTATTGTTCAACAGTGCTCCTGTGATCTACTTCAAGCCAGCACAAGAGGGAGGCATCGAATTCGTGGGCCAGGGAACCTTCTTGAACTGTGACCACACCCGTGTAGTTGCTCAGAGAGCTGTCTTGACTGGCCATGCTATCAAGATCCACAAGAGAGTTGTTACTGTTCGTTACATGTTCTTTAATGCTGAGGACATCAACTGGTTCAAGGCCATTCCTTTGTTCACCAAGTCTGGAAGAAGCGGGTTCATCAAGGAAAGTCTTGGTACTCATGGTTACTTCAAGGCACAATTTGACGGTAAATTGAGCTCTCAAGACGTTATCGCCATGAGCATGTACAAGAGGGTGTGGCCCGACGTGTCCGCAGCTTTCGAATGAACACTCAGCCGGACCTTCATAGATGTTCAATTCAGTGTATATTAGCAATAAAACTAATGTTAGACCGTCGTAGTTATGCAGGTGTCCGCATGCCAAGCATGCACTTATTGTTGCGAAAAAATGTTGACAGACCCGAAATGCCAGCAGCAATGTGGGGCATAACTGTGGAGTTCTCCCGAGAATGCAATACCGATCATACCAGCCCTCGGAATAGTTGTAAATGTTGTTTACACTTTTTGTAAGGCATTTCGTATTGTCGTATTGCTGGTATCTATGCTCACAACCGGGCCACATGTCTGAAATTACGTCACGGCACTTTTTTATGGCTGCAACCATCTACGCTCACGAAATAGAATATAGTTTAAGTCGACGACATACGAAACAAGAAATAGAAAGGTATCAAGTGAGTGCATCAGTAGCATAGATGCGGCTCATATCCTGTCAGCTTAGATCAACATAGCTAAAAGGGCAGCACCACCAAGAACGGCACCACTGACAGCGTTGGCACCAGCACCGTTAGCTGGGGTGACCTTTGGTGCGGAAGAAGCAGCTGCTGATGGGGAAGCTGAAGCTGAAGAGTCGTTAGAAGTGGAGTTGTCAGAAGTGTGAGTTCTGATGTTGACAGAGATGGCTCCATCTGGTTGGCCACCGTCTGGGTAGTAGACGAGAGCGTATTGCTGGTTGGAGTACTGGTATGGGTCGTTGATGTTCTTGACAGCATAGAAACCATCGGAGGAGCCGTTAATAGCCAAGAATCCTCTGTCGGCGCTGTGGCCACCAATAATGGTAACCTTAGTTGCTTCAGTGGAAGAAGAAGTCCAAGCAACGTGGTCAACAATGCTAAAGTTGTTAGCGAAAGGAGTTTGTGGAGGGTTTGGACCACTTAAGACCTGGGTATCAGAGTCATATTGGAAGGCATTTTGTTGATGACCCAAGAAAAGGTATTGGATAGCAGCACCTTCGTGGAGAGGTTGAAGACTGTTTCCGTCAACTTCCTTGTTTTGGGAATCGATGTAGAGATCGATGTCGGTAACAGCAGCAGAGACAGCAGAAGCTAATAAAGCAATGGTAGATAATGTGAACTTCATAACGATGGTAAAGTACTTGTGGGTGTAGAGAGTTTGGTTAAGCGGGCCATAAGCATCCTTTTATAGACCGCACCCAACACTTGCCTTCTGTTTGTGGCCATTCTAAACCGTGTGCCTGGGGCTTCAACAACTGTCAACACTTTAAAAATAGAAACGGCTTCACCAGACACCACACTTCGAGTGCATGCCAACTTCCATAAGGGGAACCCTGGCCTTTCAGGGCTATGGAGAGATGACCGAGATAGGCTGCAACAACAGCAAACCTTATTAACAATGGAGGCTTTTCCCCTGGTACAACCACAACTCCTTCAAAGCCTGGTCCCACCCACAGTTGTGTTGCATACCACAGTCATGTCTATACTGTGGTACCATCAGATAAAAAAAACCTTATGTTCGCAACCGGCATTCCACGACTTATCTTCCCGATTAGATCGGAGCCTCACATAAGGTGAAATTTAATTTAGTAACAATTGTGTAATTACTGAATAATCGCTGGCTGTTTTGGGGAATTCTTTCCCCAATTGAGATGCCCCACATTTCGCTAGAAGCCATGGTAAACTAAACGGAACACCCACAGTTGTGCTCGCGTAAACAGGGTAGACGAGCTGGTCTGTTTACAGTGGCTCCCTTTCCTTCGAGTCGAGCCGTAGATCTCGCCTGAAGTGCTGGTTTTTTGACCAGTTCCTCGGAAGAACTCTTTGGTCAGTTCTGAGGCTGATCGCGGCAATGTCAGCCGACTCAACCCCTCACGCAAGCTGCCTATATTTGTGACTGTCTGTTGGAACCTTCCATATAAGCGACTGTGCATATGACCAATGGTGACTGCAACACGGGGCACTAGAATGTGTACAGGTTGCCCCAGGTTGGCCTGCCAAGCAGAGGCAAACGGCGTGGTGACAGGCTAGCCACACTATTGGAGTCACCTGAGATCTACAGACGCATGTTTCGGAGTCTGACACCTGAAGCTCGCATTTTCTTGTCCAAACACTAGTAGCAATGATATCTCCGCACACTGCAGGTGTCACCTTCCCTCATTGGTAATGACGTATTTCAGACACTGGCAACTGGTTTTTTCCGACATCGGCGTTACTTCGATCCTCAACGTTCTTATCGTAGTGACTGGGCAAAGCTACGCCTCTACAGCACCGCCGTGATTCTTGTATGTCAGCGGTCGCCAACCAGCTTCATGACTTATGCTGAACGGGTTCTGGCAAACCAAATTCGCAGGCAATAGCCAGTCTACTTATCTGCTGTGGAATCATAACCCATGCGTGGACTCACAACAATCGTATATTCCAAATATAGCGGAAGACCCTCACTTACTACAACATTACTAAATTCGATGCCAAATCTCACAGTCTCTCGCTTTCTTTGTACTGGATGAATCTTCCCAAATTAATCCACACTTCCTCGGCTCTGAGCTTCAACTGGCCATATTTGTTCTTGTCGATCTTTTTGTACAAGGCTTTCATTTCTGGCTCGAGTTGTCTCAACTTACTCAAGTAGTTTAGCTGCACAAAAATCTCGGTATCGTATGCAAAGTCCTTGTCGCCGAAGATGTCGTAGATCTGGTTAAATGATTCGATGACAATTTCAGTTGCCAATGGATTTGCAAATGTTTTGAAAGTGTCAATAGACTCGAAGAGAAATTGCGAAATCTGGGCCGTCAATGCAGTATTGTCCACAACCACAGCCAAGGTTCCCAAGAGCCCCACAAGCGATTGGTAAACATCGATAGCCTCGTCCTTGATTTCCGCAGATTTGAGCTCCTGGCCTTTGGTGACCAACGATGTGATCATGGCCTCGTTCTTTGGTACCTCTGGGCCCAAGCACTTGGCAATGCCCCAGAGTATGTTCAAGCTGATTTTCTGGAGGTCCAAGGCCTCGAACGAAGTTTGGAGAATCATTGTCCAGATCTCGTTGCTCTTCTCGAACCATTCCACTGGGAGGTTCTCGGTGGACAAAATCAACCACACGAGGTTATTCAAACTGACCAAGATCTTGTTGGTCAACATAAGCATGTATTGGTTGGCCAACTCAAACTTGAACAATTCGGTGAGAATTGGGTATGTCTTGTTCAACAACGTGTCTACCAACGATGGAGGCAATTGGATTGGTTCTCCCTCTAATGCAGTTTCCTCATTTACCGACAAAAACTCTAGAATAGAAGTAATCAAGTCGAGAGACACCTCCAAAGTGGAAAGCTGGGTCTTACTGTGCAGAGTGGCGTTTCCTTCCTTGGTTATGTCATCCATGGTCTTGTCCTTCGTGGGAATGGAATTTGCCAACTTGATGTGGGATGCAAGGTCTTGTAAATTGATGTTGGATAATATCTGGTAGATATTGTTGAGGATCGATTCACCCAACTGGTAACCATTAGAGCCTCCGTAGTTGAACTTGAGGCCCTCCACGTAAGTGAGCGTGAGTTCATTGTATTGGTTAGGGTGGGATTCGACATGCTCAATAATAGGACCCAACTCGAACGACTCCTGGTTGAGTTTAGCAATGAACTCGTCTGACTCCGTAGAGAATTCGTAGATGAACTCCAATAATGAATTGAATAGTTTGGTGGTGATTCTCAAGGAAGACTTTTCGTTTCTCTGGTTGCTTATCAAATCGAAGACCAAACTCAAGATGGGGTCAATCTGGTGGAAAATAGAGTCATAGAGGTCATTGGAGCCTCCTGCCAACACCATGACCAAGGATAAGATGTTTTCGGTGAAATCGTACAAGAGCTGGACCTTGGACTTGTCCTTGCCAGGGCCATTTGTAATAACATGCTTGTAGGAGGTCTGGATCTTGTTCAATCCATCGGTTATGTGCTTCCAGAGATCTAATCTCCAGAAATGCTTCAATACATCCAAGCCTTCCTCGATCCCGATGTTACGGATTAACCCAAAAGATTCCACCACGATCTCATCGTTATTATCGGTCAAACAAGACTCAAAAATGGTCACCACAAGCTTTTCCTTCAAGAGCATTTTCCTCATTCTTTCATCTTCACACAACACGGTGATTGCTCCCAAAGCCATTGATTTTTCGTTGGGAGGTGACGACTTGAGTTTGTTGAGAAGGGGAATTATCTTGGTTTGGCGAGTAGTCTCGTCCTTTTTGGGGTCTTGCAACGCAGGACCGCTTCCTGGCGTACGGCTGAGAGGGTTTACCCTCGCCTTTTGGTTCTTTCTTCTCTTAAGCTTACCCATATTGTTGTATTACTGGAGATGAAATATTTGATTTTTGATGAGCTGAGCTCGCGAAGACCTGGCGAGCATCGCTGGACGCACGAACAGCCATCTTGACTATGGGCATGGAGAACTACCAACGAGCCGACAGAAAGGTTTCTGTCAAGTGATAGTCGGTGGATTATAATGGCTTTTCTTCGCTTTGTTGAGATTTACAGAACAGAGGTTAGTGACTAAATTATAGCCCACTTGTTCAGTGTGCCTCATATACATTGTGGTGAAATTGGCTATATACATTGACAGAGGGTCAGTCCGTGGGTCTATTCAGAAGACCAACCGTAGCTTTGTTTGTACTCCATCACTTCTCTTTCTTCACTTCTTCTATCACTTTCAAATTCTCCTTCAAATTCTCCTTGACCTCCTTGGGTTCAGGACGCAATGTTTCCTTGACCTTGTTTCTCAAGTCTTCCCACGACTTGGGCTGCTCGTTCTCGTCGTATTCGATCTCGATGTCCTTTCTTAATCTGTCCTCTTGTTTCAAATGCTCTCTAATTGTCAGTAATGCACCCACCAACACATCTCTATGGTACTTACATCACGATCGGCTTCCAGAACTTGAGTCCTGTGTACCAACTTAACACGGACACAAACACTATCGTGAGTGCTTTGCCTCCTGCTCCCGGACCTGCCATTGCTGGTGTACTTCTCAGATTCACCCGCCATGAAATATCGTCTTCTGTCACGTGCGCCAAATTACACTAGCACCTTTTATTCCTATTCACTGTTATATATCCGTGCCGGCTTAGTCAACTTCTGGAGGATATGCCTCGTCTTCAAAATCGCTATCAGCTTCATCACTGTACGTACTGTCGGCATCGCTGCTCAAGTCTGCCTCGCTATCGTACTCTTCGCCCTTCTCGGGTGTAACCCCAACAACTCCCCACTTGATTCCAGTAACCTCCTTCAAACGAGTCAAGATCTCACACATAGGAGTGTACAATCCAAATTGCTTGAATTCACCATCGTAAGAGTGCAAAATACCAACCACTCCCAATCCCTTAGCATTTTGTTCGATATCTTCAAGCTTGGTCAAAATCCACGAACCACTATCACCGCCAGCAGCAAAAGCAGAATTGTTCTCGATAGAATTCACAATGAATTCAGAGGAATGAATGGCACCGTCCAACCAGTACACGAGCTTGATGCCGTTCAAATTCCCTTTGGTGAACTTAGTGGTAGAACCATACTTGAACACTGGCAACCCATTGTAGGTATCAGGGTTATGATCGATAGGCAAATCTTCATCCACCTCGTCCACATTCAAGTCCATCGTCCTGGGGCTGTGTCTTTCCAAATCGATCACCTTCCGTACGTATAAATTATCAAACATCAATGCAGGATCGAACTCATTGAATGGTATATCATCACCCAAGTAATTTTGATCGCAAATCAAGTTCTTATTGACTTTAATGATTGCCAAATCCGACAACTTTCTCTCTGTGTCCTTCTCACCTTTCTTCAGATCAACCAACGTTCTTTCACCCCAGATAATCTGTCCAAATCTGGTTTGGGGTAAGTTCCGCAATTCGTAGCCTTCTTGCTTGGTCTTTGGGTCCTTGATTTTGACTCTCTTCAAAGGGAACATCTCTTCCACCTGCTTGATCACTGATCCATAAGCTGCACGAGATTCGGCAATCAATATATCATCACTTCCGTTGTTACTGCTCATCACTTTCTGATACTGTGCAATCAATGCTTGCTTGTACAACTTGATCAACACCGACAGTGGAGCAGAGACATGAGGGTACTCCGTAGTAGTTGATCCAGTCGTTGTGTCAAGACACACGTGGCCACAAGAAAGAGCAAATTTGGAGTTGGTATAAGACTCTAAATGAGGTTGCTTCTTCAAATCAATTATTGGGTAAATGTAACCACCCAATGTTCCGGAAGTGCGGACAGAATTTTCAATTGATAATGAAAGAGAGATTGGAGGTCTCTGACTATCAGTAGGAATTCTGAATGGTAGCTTGAATTTCTGAGGGTTGGTAGGCTGAACGAAGCTCGGTTGAGTGGTCGAAATCTCTGGTGTAACTGGATTGGTCGCCTTGTATGACTTCAAATGAGCGAATTTCGATACAGGAGTTTCTGTTGTTGAAGCCAAATCAATCTGATTCTTCATCACTATTATATGGATGTCATCATAAAGACCATGTAAACTCTGAGTTAATTTAACGTGGTAGTCAGTGGGGTTTGGATATCCGAAATAGAGACAAAGAATGTGTAAATCATTGCTTATTCCTCTAGCTATTGGGGCAATAAACGAACCATTCTGTTCCTTGAGTGAAACAAAAGTCTTCGAGATCTTTTCAATAATTCTGGTAAGGACATCCTCGTTTGGTAAAGATAATCCTTGATTGATCCCTATAGCAAAATTCTGAGGCTTCACTATGGACTGAGGGGCATCATGTTCGGTGACATTAGAATTCAAACTCAAAGAAAAGTCATTAAAGTTTTTGACCAAGAGTAACTTAAGTTTGATGTATACTTCATCCTTAAGTAAATTATCATAAAAGTGGAGGTACATTTTCATGATCTTTCTCAAGTTCGAATTATTGTAGGTTGTAAAACGCCACTCTGCCTCTGGTTTGCTTATCTTGAGGTCCTCAACATAAGCAATGAACTTCTTGAAACAGTCTATCGAGTTGATCACCGCTGTAGTTAAGTTGATGATCGAGTTATCGAACTGGTGGATGATAAACGCCAAATCATCGTAAAGCTGCTGCAACTTATCAGCAATACTTTCATGGGGAGGTTTGTTGTGGGCGTCCTGAGTGCTCTCCTCTGGCATGTTCAAAATCTGCAAAGGCTGACTGTAGGTGAACGAAGTTGACGAGTCTTTCTTTCCTCCCTGATCGCTCGACGCCCCAAATGACGACTGCTTGGTGGAAAACGTCTTTCTGCTCTTGGAGAAAATCGACTTGCCCATATAATCCGAATCCTTGGTGAACACGGACGCTGGTTTGCTCAGGATAGAAGGGTTGGCAAGTTTGGGATCGTTGGTGAAACTGAACTTCTGGGGCCCCTTGAGACTGTCATCTGCAGACAGCCCTTCGAACATCGGATACATCTCGGTGATGGAGTCTCGAGAGCCCTCGGTGTTGCCGCTAGCCACAGGCGCTATCTCCTGGTTGTCAGAACCACCCGTGGAGCTCGTTCTCTCCTTCGACTTCTCCTTGTCATCTTTGCTTCCCCTACTCAAAAATCGTTTCATCGACATCGTGGAGTGGGACTACTTGGACTGGACTGTGTGAAATAGTGGAGAATTCAAGTTTCACTTAGTGATAACGAAGATTATATTCAAAATAGTGTCGATATGCGACATACGGCGTTGGACAAGGGATAAATATGTCGCACACCACGTGATGTAGACGAAATAGTGGGGCAGAACTGGCTGACTGTCTTCTGGAGGACGCTAGAGTCAGGCTGAAAATACCAGAGCCGCTGGTAGAGAAGTACTGTCTATCTGTACTATCACTCCTGCCTATCTCGCCTATCGACTAGGATCACACCCCCTCGTACCTACCCATAACATGGGGCGGGGGAACTCGGCACGTGACTCTTCTCTCGCGTGACAACCCAGTGCCTGGGCACGACTCTCCCCACGCCAACTCCAGCAACCACCTCCACATAGTGACCACTGTTACCAGTATCGTCCTTAAGTGAATTGTCCACAATCCACGACCAGCCCATACTCGTACGCCTGAACGTCCAGTCCATCTGCAGTTTTCTCCGCATTTGCTCTGTCAACTATCTTTCAACACCATTAGCCTCCTCATCTGCTCCTACCAGCACATCCTACACGCCCAGTTCATCGTGGGCACTTGTTGATAGCCCAATCACTTCTCAGCCGTCATGCCAGTCTATTCCATCTCCCACGTCGAAAACGTACGGGTCTGTGTGGTAATGGTCGGCCTTCCCGCCAGAGGAAAGTCATTGATAGCCCAAAAAATTGTCAGATACCTTTCATGGCTTTCAATCAACTCCAAATGCTTCAATGTTGGATCGTACCGTCGTCAGATCGTCAGCGACACCCAAGTGACCGCAGAATTGTTTGATCCATCCAACGAAGAAGGTATGAAGTACCGTCAAGAAGCTGTCAACGCAGCCACCGTCGATATGATGAAGTGGTTTCTGGAAGAAAATGGGGTGGTCGGAATCTTGGATGCCACCAACTCCACCCGTGAACGTAGAGACCGGATCTTGAAGTTATGTCGGGAAAACCTGATTGAACCAATGTTCTTGGAAAGTTTCTGTTCTGACCAGGACTTGATATTGCAAAACATCCTTGATGTCAAAACCACCTCCCCTGATTACGCTAATAGAGATAATGATTTCGCTACCAATGACTTTTTGCAGAGAATTAAGTACTACGAAGAAGTGTACGAGACCATGGATGAAAATACTGATTCTGACCTTACTTTTATCAAGCTCATCAACGTCAATAGTCAGATCATTTTGAACAGAATCGAAAGTTACTTAGAAAGTCGTATTGTTTACTACGTGATGAACCTTCATATCAAACCAAGATCCATTTGGTTGTCTAGGCATGGTGAATCTGAATTCAATTTGACTGGCCAAATTGGTGGTGACGCAAATCTTTCCGAAAGAGGTTGGAGATACGCTAAAAAATTGCCAGAGCTAGTATTAAAATCATTGGGTGAAGAAAACAAGCATACAAATTTGACTGTGTGGACCTCCACCTTGAAAAGAACACAACAAACCGCTTCGTTCTTGCCATACAAGAAAAAGCTCCAATGGAAAGCATTGGACGAGTTGGATGCTGGTGAGTGTGACGGTATGACCTACGAACAAATTGAACAAGAATTCCCTGAAGACTTCAAGGCTAGAGATGATGATAAGTACGAATATAGATACAAGGGAGGTGAGTCTTACCGTGATATTGTCATAAGATTGGAACCAATTATCATGGAATTAGAAAGACAGGAAAACATCTTAATTATCACCCATCAAGCCGTTTTAAGATGTTTGTATGCATACTTCATGAACGTTCCTCAAGAAGAAAGTCCATGGATGTCCATTCCATTACACACTTTAATCAAGTTAGAGCCAAGAGCATATCTGACCTTAGTTAGCAGAATTAAGGCCGACATTCCTGCTGTCAGTACTTACAAGGAAAAGGGCACCTCTCAGTTGGGTGAATTGATGAATGGAGACAGCATTTCCAAGAGTAGAGATCTCATTAAAGATAGTGAGGGAAGAGTTATCTTGGAAAATAAGTAGTTAGGAACTTTTCTTAATATTACAGGCTATTAAATTACATATGAACTAAATGGTGGCGGTCTTGTTCTAGAGGGAAGTCTACCACGGATGTAGCAGCACCACGATGGTGAGTGTACCGAAAAGGGGTCCCGTTCTTGCTCATCCTGCAATGGCATACTTCTTGGCTTGTTCTTTGACCTTCTTTTCGTACATTTGTTTATCTTTGCTGAAAGCCTTCCATGCTGGCTCTTGAGCTGGGGAGTCAGGGTTTGGGGTGTCCAAGAGCTCCTGGATACCCAACACAATCTGCTTCAAGGTGATAGCAGGCCTCCAGTCTTGCTCTTCGTTCAAGATGGAAAGACAGATGGTTCCACTGGGGTATACGTTTGGATGGTAGAATCCAGCAGGGAACCGCACCTTTGGGGGTTTGGATGGATAGTCTTCTGGGAATATTATAGTGATGGGATAGACGGCCTCTTGCCAAAGAGTGCCTTGCTTCCCTGGTATTCCTGCCGTCCACTGAGTCAAGTCCAACGATCCATCAGTGGCCTTGGTTGGCTTGGCGTAGAACCCAAATGGATGGTCCTTTCTCCATTGCTTTCTTTCTTCTTGTAACCTTGTCTTACAAAGGGACATTGTAATCTAGCGTCTGTTAGGTGATGTGGGAGGTTGATCGTTAGATATCGATTGGTAAGTTGTAAATTTGCGGTGCGCACACGCCCAGCCTTAAGATCGCAAGAGTTTGACGTTACTATTAAGGTCTATAAAATGTGGCTTCGGTTTTGGATTTCAGCTGTGAATGCTTACAGGGCTGAACATGCGTTTTCTGTTGAAGATGTGGGGAGTCTAATTGAAACATGATGTTTTTCAATTTTTTTAGCATGTTCATCGATTTCTGTGTAAAAGTGGTAAATTCTATAAAATTGTAGGAGTCAAGGTTTGATCAAAATTTTTGACCTAGCCCACTATCAATTAACCGATCTACCGGCCACCATACTACCAGCTTTTGCTTTCACCTTGCCTAATTCAATCGAAATAAGGGACTTTCTCTGCCCAAGATGTTATTGACGTATATGCAGGCAACCTTACCTTTGGAGTTAACTGGTGACAAATGGGCACCATTCCCCCTCTACACACTTCTCTTGAATTACTAAAAGACCTAGAATTTCCGCATTTAGCTGACTAGCACTAGCTGAGTAACTATCCATCACAGTACCACTTCTTAAGAAAAATTACAGGCTTATTTCCGTCTAGAAACTTACTTTTTGGAGTATATTCCTCCTCCGATGCCAAAACAGCGTTCTACACCGGCCGGGAAAATTACATTGCTCCTCTTCTTTCGTTTCTTATCCGTAGCTCTTGTACTTTAAGTAAAACGCCGTTGAATTCTTCCAGATCATATCGCCCAGATCGTTTTTCGCACGTTACATCGTTTCTAAATCACCCGCCTCATTCTGAACCAGCTCCAGGCAGCCATGGACATCACGACAGAGCTCTTATCACCATCCAATGAACTCACGTGGGATATCTTGGACTTGGTCCATGAAAACCCAACAGTCATCAAGTCAAAAATCTACGAGAGTTTGTTGAACACGCCATCTTCGATCAGCAGAACCGCCATCAGATTCAAAAGATCAGGTATCTCTGGTGGCATTACCGGATACAAAGAGGAGATCAGACTAGACGAGGTGGACAATGCCAACTCTGCCAATTCGTTGTCGATCAACAGAAAGTACACCTCGAAGAGTGAATCCATAAAGGGTAAGACCAGTTTTTTACCATTTCAACCTGGTGGATTGCTTGACCACGCTCAAAAGGGAAAGCCTCCAAAGGACGAGGCTGCATTTCTTCACAAGAGTGAATTAGGGCTATTTGATATACCACAAGGATTAACCAGAGGTTTGAACATTCCCGACAACCTTGCCCAATCTGAAAACATTACCCAGTTGGGACAGGACTCCAATGAGGACGAGGAGATAAACGATGAAAATATAGAAGGTAGCACTGCATTGGTAGAATCAGAAGAGACCAACCAGTCGTTGAGTACTCCTTTCGATGCAAGCGAAATCGATGGAATAGTGCCAGTTGACTACTCAGCCCTCCGTAACAGCATGAAGAAGGACATAGAAACTAAGCGAAACTGGGCTCATGTTGTGGACTTGGATCATAAGTTGGATAATTTCCATGAACTTGTTCCCAATATGGCTCGTGAATGGCCTTTCGAATTGGATACCTTTCAAAAGGAAGCAGTTTATCATTTGGAAAAAGGTGACTCAGTCTTCGTAGCCGCCCACACTTCTGCAGGTAAAACAGTCGTTGCAGAGTATGCTATCGCTATGGCTACCAGAAATATGACCAAGACCATCTATACTTCTCCAATCAAAGCCTTATCGAATCAAAAGTTCAGAGATTTCAAAGAAACATTCAAAGATGTGGATATTGGTTTAATTACTGGTGATGTCCAAATTAATCCCGATGCCAACTGCTTGATTATGACCACTGAAATTCTAAGATCAATGTTGTACAGAGGTGCAGATCTTATCAGAGATGTTGAATTTGTCATTTTTGATGAAGTTCATTACGTTAATGATGTTGACCGTGGTGTTGTGTGGGAAGAGGTCATTATCATGTTGCCAGATCATGTCAAGTACATCTTGTTATCTGCCACAGTGCCGAATACTTTTGAATTTGCCAACTGGGTTGGAAGAACTAAACAAAAAGACATCTATGTGATTTCTACCCCTAAAAGACCTGTTCCTTTGGAGATCTTCATTTCAGCCAAGAATGAAATGTTCAAAGTGGTTGATTCACAGAGACGATTCCTCGAAGGTGAATTCAAGAAGCACAAGGACCTTCTAGAATACGGCAAAAACGGCCCACCAAAGGCTGTCATGGGAAGTGGAAGCCGCGGTGGCCCAGGAGGAAGTGCGAGAGGTGGAAACAGAGGTGGAAGAGGTAGTAGTACAAGAGGAGCCAATAGAGGTGGAGGTCAATCAAGAGGAAACTTCCTGGGTAATTCAGGAGGAAGATTTCAACAAGATGGCCCCAACAAAAATACTTGGATCAGTTTGGTACAATATTTGAAGAACCACACATTACTTCCTGCAGTTATTTTCGTGTTTTCGAAGAAGAAATGTGAGCAATACGCAGACACTTTGACTAGTGTCGATTTTTGCACAGCTAGGGAAAAGTCCGAAATCCACATGTTTATTGATAGAGCGGTCTCTAGATTGAAAAAGGAGGATCGAGAACTTCCTCAGATCTTGAAAATTAGAGACATGTTAAGCAGGGGTATAGCTGTACATCATGGTGGATTATTGCCTATTGTTAAAGAGTGTATTGAAATATTGTTTGCAAAAACTCTTGTCAAGGTTTTGTTTGCTACAGAAACCTTTGCCATGGGATTGAATTTGCCAACTAGAACAGTTGTCTTTAGCTCTACGAGAAAGCATGACGGTAGAGGTTTCAGAAACTTGTTACCAGGTGAATTCACTCAAATGTCTGGTAGAGCAGGAAGAAGAGGTTTGGATGATACAGGTACAGTTATAGTAATGGCTTACAATCAACCATTGTCTCCGTTTGATTTCAAGGAAGTTACACTTGGTACTCCTACTAAGTTACTGTCACAGTTCAGATTGACATACAATATGATCTTAAATCTTTTGAGAATTGAGGCATTAAGAGTGGAGGAAATGATTAAACATTCGTTCAGTGAAAATTCCACTCAGGTATTAATGCCTGAAAATCAGAAAAAGGTTGAGCAATTATCATTAGAGTTGTCCAAGGTCAAAATTAGCAGCGTCAGTGATGCAGATTTGCAGGAGTTACAAGAAACCTATGCATTAGTGGATGAATATGAGCAGGTTTATGAAGAGATCATCAGAACTATTTTGGACCTGCCAATCACGAGAAATAATTCTCTCAAGATTGGTAGAATGGTTTGTTTCAGGGATAAGAATGATGCATTAAGGATAGGTTTCATTTTGAAGCCAAACGACTCTGATGGTATGATGATTGTAACCTTTGACCATGGTAGTCTCTACAACAGTGTCAGCTCAAAATGCAAACTCCCATACATTCCATTAGCTGAATATTTGAAGAAGCATTTTAAGAGAATTGAGTTCAATGGAGGTTTGAGAGTCGAATCAGTTCCATTAGCGAAGATTCATTTCATTTGCAAGTATGCACTCAAGGTTCCACTTGTGAAGATTTTGAATAATGATCCACAAGCAATTGAAGAAGCAAAAGAATTAATCAAAATTATTGTCAAGCTCCAAAATAGATGGGAAGAATTGGAATTTGCCAATGTTTCTCAAATTGCATTTTACGAGCTCATTACCAAAAAAGATGAGCTTTTGAATAAATTGGCGAACTCTCCAGTCCTCTTGACAGAGGGATTTAGACAGCAGTATGCTGAGTTAAGGTCGAAGCACCTGATTGAAAAAGAGATTGAGAGACTCAAGAAAGCATTGTCCGATGAAAATTTGGATTTGTTACCTGATTATGAGCAAAGATTAGATGTGTTGCATTCCCTAGGTTTTATTGATGATAACCAAAATGTGGTCTTGAAGGGTCGTGTTGCATGTGAAGTCAACTCAGGATGGGAACTTATTATAACTGAATTGGTCTTGGACAATTTCCTCGCTGATTTTGAAGCAGAAGAAATTGTTGCATTACTCTCTTGTTTTGTCTATGAAGGCAGAACAAACGAGGAAGAGCCAATCTGTTTGACCCCCAGATTAGAAAAAGGTAAGAAGCGTATCATGGAAATTACTGGGAAATTGTTGAAGGTGTACTCTGATAAGCAAGTCTTGTTGACCTCTGAGGAGGAAGAATTTATGGAGAGAAAAAGATTCGCATTAGTCAACGTTGTCTACGAATGGGCTAGAGGGTTGTCTTTCAATGAAATCATGCAAATCAGCGTTGAAGCAGAAGGAACTATTGTGAGAGTGATCACCAGATTAGACGAAATTTGTCGTGAGGTGAAGAACGCTGCTTTAATTGTGGGTGACACATCATTGCACGCTAAGATGAATGAGGCACAAGAGAAGATCAAAAGAGATATTGTTTTCTGTGCTTCTTTGTACTTATAAAGAAGCTGCCATCTCACATTTTGCTACCTTGAGTTATTATGCATCGTAATCATTAACTATATACATCTAATTTACAAAGGGTGTAGCTATATTGAGCTTGGGTGTGCCAGCCCCGGCTTTTTAGTAATAATACTGCCTTTGAAACAGGGCCATGTGTATTCTTTGGAAGTAAAATGCTGTTTCTGTGATTTGTAGTTTCGAGCTGATATTTCTGCATCCAATAGTGGGGCCAGTCCTAACTGGATGGCTATTACTACCTTGCTATCTCGTCTCGGCTTCCACTCTGATATTCACTAATCCTGATGAACCGTTAATAATCTTATTGATTATCACACTTTCAAGCACGCGATCCAGATACTTGACATGAAGGAGTCCCACCATAGTATAGAAACTTCCTATGCTTGTTTTGTCTCGAATCCTCTTCTTCCTATCAGTGTACTTTTGTTGCGAATGAATTGGTCCATGTCTCATTGCACCTTGAAATGGTACCACATTGTTGTAAACTAAGTTCTTTTTCATAAATTCTATAATCATGAACTCCTCTGCCTTCTCGAAGAAATCCACGTCCTGTTCTACCTCTTCACCAGAAGAGGAAAGAAAGCTCTCGTCCGTGAATACGGTTTGAAGACTTAGATGGAGCTTTATTATTGTCTGGCCCATCTGGCGCAATCTGCTGCTCTCGTAAACAATTTGCGATCCTGGAATAGCATCTTCGAAAGAAACCCTTAGATTGCTTAACCCACATAGTATGACTAGTCTCTCTCGGATGGTCAAATCGAACTCAGTTCCCACCAATTTTTGGAGACTTTCCGTTCTAGGGCGTATTTCCATTTCAAAGTTTCTGTCTTGTTCAAGTAGAGCCATGATATTCATGCCTCCATCATCAGGGCCGGTATACTGTGAATCAAAATCATAATTCGATCTTTGGTAAATATTGGGTCGTATCCCCTCGTATGGAATTTTGTGAGTACTCATGAGCTTGTCATTGGCGAGACATAGATCTCGATTCAGAATAACTTCCGGAACGTAAGTGAGTTTGGAAAAGAATCGGATCGGTATGACATGGTTTGTATGATGCTTTTGTTGAAGCCTGAGTGATCGCAAAGATCGTACAACTTTCATTTTGAAGTGTGATAGCCTCTTCTATGACCTCTACCTAGACTGGAGAGTGTGTTGTTGTTCTTTCAAGGTCGGAGGTATAAGTATAGTGATTAGCTTCGTCTTGATACTCATTGGTACAATAAAAATGATACTACACGTGACATCGATCACCGGATTGGAGATGGGTAGTTTCAGTGGGAGTTTATGGACACAACTAGTCTGAAGAGAAGCACACCCAGTAATGTTTATATGCAAGTCCAGCGATTTGTATTAGCCAAATTCAACGTAAGTTTATTGTTGGTCTTTATGGGTACTCCTGCCAGATCACACAGACAATAATTCTGACCAAGTCCTTACGTAATCTCATCGCTACTTTAATTCCATCATTAGTAGCACTATTGTACATCAATGTCTTCCAAGGGAACCCTGAAGAAAAAGTCCAGTACCCCAAGTGGGTCAGCTACCGGCGAGGTGCCAGCCAAAAAGATCAAAATGCCCAAGTCCTTTATAGTCAGACCTTCAGTTGGCTCGTCTCACAAGTCCATGATGAAGATACAAGTCAACCCCGAGGTTGTGCAGGGTTTGGACTTAAAAGACGGTCAATTCGTGTTCGTCAGCAAAGCTGATAGTGGGCTTCCAGGTGTGCTAGCCCTTGTATCGTCTTCTAACGATTTGAACGACCATCACGTCATCAACATGTCTTCAGGGCTACGAAGCTTAGGAGGCTTTTTGCTTGGTGACAGGGTGCAGCTTACAAAACACTTGGGGCAACCTGATTACGCGAAGGACTTATCTGTCTATTTGGAGGATTCCCAGGAATTGACGGAAGCAAAGAGTAATGCCATCAAAAAGGCCCTTGACAACATAGGCATTGTGTACCCAGGATTGAAGGTGACCATCACATCAGAAGAATCATTTGTCATTCATATCATTGATGTGAATGAAGAAAGTTTCGTCCAGTCATTTGAAAAACTCAATATTGGGGATATAGACTCGGATGTTGTACAGATTAACACCGTTTCTCCAGCATACATTTTTCACCCAACGAAAACCGTCATTCAAGAGAGCAAGGAAACTGCTCCTGCGCATGAAAAATACCCACAATTGCCCCAATTGCTCAATTATGGCCACATTGGTGGTCTTTCTAAGCAAATAGCCACATTACAATCTACAATCGAGCTTCCTTTACACAATCCCACATTATTTTCCAATTTTGGTATCTCTCCCCCCAGAGGTATCTTGCTTCATGGGCCTCCAGGAACTGGTAAGACCATGTTGTTGAGGTGCGTTGCTAATCAAACCAATGCGCATATTCTTACTATTAATGGGCCCTCAATTGTTTCAAAGTATTTGGGGGAGACTGAAAATGCAATCAGGGATATCTTCGTTGAAGCCAGAAAATATCAACCCTCTATTATTTTTATGGACGAGGTTGATTCCTTAGTACCCAACAGAAACTCTGACGATAGTGGGGAGTCCGAGTCTAGAGTGGTGGCTACCTTGTTGACTATGATGGATAGCATTGGGGATTCCAGCAGAATTGTTATTGTTGGATCTACAAACAGACCTAACACTATCGATCCAGCATTGAGAAGACCAGGAAGATTTGACCAGGAGGTCGAGATCGGTATTCCCGATGTCGAGGCCAGAGGTGATATTTTGCAGAAATTGTTTGGGAAGATGAATGTCTCCAAGCATAATTTGAGCTCCGAGGATATTACTTCAATTGCTTCAAAGACTCATGGTTATGTTGGTGCGGACCTCACTGCTCTCTGTAGAGAGTCGGTCATGAAAGCCATCGCAAGAGGATTGAAAGACCACATCGACCAGGAAAAGATCGTCTTGACTTTGGATGATGTTCTCTTAGCATTGCCTGATATCAGGCCTTCGGCAATGAGAGAAATCTTTTTGGAGATGCCAAAGGTGTATTGGAGTGACATTGGTGGCCAAGAAGAATTGAAGAAAAAGCTCATTGAAGTGATCCAGTTGCCGTTAGAGGCCAGTGAGGCGTTCAGAAACTTGGGCGTTCTGGCACCAAAGGGAGTATTACTTTATGGTCCACCAGGATGCTCAAAGACCTTGACGGCTAAAGCCTTGGCTACAGAGTCTGGCTTGAATTTCTTAGCGGTCAAGGGTCCTGAAATTTTCAATAAATACGTGGGTGAATCGGAGCGTACAATCAGAGAAATCTTCAGAAAAGCAAGAGCTGCTGCACCATCAATCATTTTCTTTGATGAAATCGACGCTATTTCTGGTGATCGTGACGGTGGCGGAACCTCAGCCTCCCAACATGTGTTGACATCATTATTGAACGAAATTGATGGTGTTGAGGAGTTGAAGGGAGTGGTTATAGTGGCTGCCACCAATAGACCAACCGAAATAGATGCAGCATTGTTGAGACCCGGAAGATTAGATAGACACATTTACGTTGCCCCTCCAGATTACGATGCTAGACTTCAAATTTTGACTAAGGGAAGTTCCAAGTTCAATTTCGACAAAGAAGAAGTTGACTTATCCAAGTTAGCTCTCTTGACCGAGGGGTGCTCGGGTGCTGAAGTGGTTTTGTTATGTCAAGAAGCTGGTTTGGCATCTATCATGGAAAATAAATCAACAACTAAGGTCGAAAAGAGGCACTTTGACCACGCATTGGCAGGAATTTCGAGAGGTATTACAAAGGAAATGATAGAATACTATCAAGAATTCTCAAGTAGAAGCGGGTTGAGTATATAATAAATAATACAACGAAGTCGCTGAAATATATACGTCCATAAGTAATGAAATTAAACTGTGTAAGTCAGGCCATATTAGATGTGGGCTGGTCGTGATGGTGTATGGGTAAACGTAAATTTACAATTAATGGTAGTATTCAAACGGCTCTATTGTTGTTTACATCCTTCTTCCAATTCCTTTTCAAGATCCTTTGGAAGATCCTTATCGTTGAAGTCTAAGCCTCCATCTTTACCATCTCCACCAAGGCCTCCTAAACCACCAAATCCAGGGAAGTCACCATTGTCACCAATAAGCTCGGTGGGTGGCTGTCCAAGTTCTTGCAAAGATTCCAACAAGGAATTGACTCTGTCCCTTTGGGCTTTGTTGTCATCACTATAATCTGGGGCATCAAAAATAGCAAGGATATCGTTAGTTATTTCAAATTGGGCATTGTAGTTCTTGTACTGATGTTCAGTGATGGTACCTTGTTTTTCTTTCAAGTAGTCTGGGAATTTGGTGTTGAGGTCCTTTATAGGCTCGTACAACACATCCTTCGAGGATAATTGTTCGAGCATATCGACCAACAATTTGGACATATCCATATCACCATCACCAAGACCACCGTTAGGACCGCCCAAACCTGCCAACAACTGAGTGAGCATATCTTCAGGGTTACCTCCTGCTGGGTCATTCTTGATCTTTTCATCGATATCTTCGCCAGATTTCTTCAATCTTTCCATGGTTTCCTTCATCACGTACTCAAAGTTGTAAGGTTTCTTGGCTTCAGTCTCGGCCTCTTCACGATGGTTCAATTCGAATTGCTTGATCAAATTCTCCACCTGGTCTTTGGTTTCTGGATCTTCAATATTCAAATCCTTGATAAGATCACCAATGTTGGCCTTGAATTCATCATTGAGTGGCTCATCCGCAGTTGTGTTGTTATCGATAGTCGAACCTGGTGGCTTGTCAAGGATATCGTCTGCAAAGTCGTCGAGAAGATCATCAAGATCATCCACATCATCTCCACCAGCACTAGTGTTTGCAGCTGGAGCATTGGCTGGTTTCACTGGAGCAGCCTCAGTGGAAGGCTTTGGTGTATCCACAACTTCCTTGGGAGTGGCGGTGGTCTTTTCCTTTTCTATATTTTCGCTAGACATTGCTGGGTTATAGTCGTTGGAATACACTTGATTGGGAATTTATACTGGAGGCTATTGTGGGGGAGATCCATGGCATGTGCACGACCACCCCACAGGTATACCGAATATGCATTGAATGTGAAAATGGCAAAACTTAGTTTATCGCTCCTGAAATGCCCGCGGACTACAGAAAGATAAAGTACGAGTAGGCGATTAGCTTGATGTGCTTTTTGCGTTTTTTCGATAAATATAAAATGTGCTATCTTGTTTCGGATGTATGAGATACGGAAGGAACCTCAACCGGGCCATTGGTTGCGTGATATAATTTGGATCCTCAAGGCTATCTAGTGATGCGTTCTCTGTGTATGACCCCAAAGAATGAGTGTTATAGGATCGTATGCCGTTTAAAGCTTTGGCTTTGCATTCAAACCACCTGCTGTGGCCTCTTGATTGATCTCAAGTTTTCCGTTCTCGTTTTCTCCTTTTGGATCTTCACCAAAAAAGACGACAGTGACCGTTAAATCGTCTCTGTACCGTCTCGAAACCGGGTTGGGAATAGAAATCAACATGGAGGTTTGTTCTCTGGATCCCCCATTGGATAAAGCATTTCTAATGATGTGTGTCGATACGTTTTTATCTTCCAACAAGAATGCACCGGTTCCAGCATGTTTTCTTCTGATGGGCTTTTTAGATGATTTGTCGTTAGTGATATCGGAAACTTCCGGGAGCTTATTTTCTGTAGAAGCGAATGCATTCCAAAAAGACTTCTTTGGTTTGATCATCTTCTCCTTCTCCATCCACTTCACAACTAAACCGACAATTTCTTCATTGGTCAACATTTCATAGAGTCCATCCGAAGCCATTACCAAAAAATCGTTGTTTTCTGGATTAATCTTAGTTGTGGTAATGACTGGTTCTGCGGTGACATATGGAGGGGATTTCAAATGATCTGGTAATCTTCTTCCGAAAAACTGTTTGTAAATTCTTTCTTGGATGGATGCTGGCAACTTATATCTGCAGTCACCAAATGCTCTAGTAGGTTCGAGGTTACCCAACACTCTACCATTCCTGATGACGTTTGGTTCGTCGGGATGTTCACTAATAATTCTGGCAACTTCAGTAGGATTGGAACCAGTTTGATCAATACTCAATTGCTTGACAGTCCACTGGTTATCCTTAAAGGAGCCAAGAATGGCCCTTGAATCACCAGTGACAGCAACCTTCAAAAGTTTTGAGTTAGTGTCGTAGAACGACAATAAGGCACAAGAGCCAGATAACGCGGGCATCAATAATTCAGCAGCCTTGGCTTTGTTGTTATCGTTCAAAAGTTTTTCGATGTTCTTGTTGACAATTTCGTGATCTAACTTCAAGAATCCATTCTTAATGGCCTGATCAATAGTAGCACTGTTGGGAACGTACCTCAAATTGTCATCATTGGCAGGCTTGAAAATAGTACCCAATTCATGGATAATATAAGTGATCAATTGGTCTCTCAATTTACTTCCTGTAGTCCAGCCCCCATGACCGTCGAACACACCGAAGAACATCCAGTCTGTGGAGGTCTTGACGTTGTTATCCTGTAAGATTGGAACTTGGACTATCTCTTCTGCTCTATCATCTTCTATTGGGGAGTTGGATGGCAATTGACAGATATCATATCTGGTCACACCCTTGCCTCTGCTGACGCTGTAACTTTCCTCAAACAGTCTCAACTTGGTACTGACCTGGTCTTCGTTGAGCAAGAACACCCCTTCCTTGTGCTGCTGGTGACTGATACTGTTGGCCTGATGGAGAGACGAAGTTGAGGTGGAGTAAAACTTGGAGTCCGAAGGAAGGGGCGTGGTGACCCCTGATCCTTTCAAGAGTTTGGGGTTGATCCCTGGCCCCAGGCCGCTGGTGTTTGGAGGAATGGTGTCGAGGTTGTAGTAGTTCGACAGGTTGAATGAGATGTAGGATCCCACTATGATGATGCCAGAGACCAACGCTACCCTCTTTCTGAAGATGGAATTGCCTTCATTGCTGTCCTCGCCAGCCTTACTACTGGTGGTGGGAGTCTTGGTGGTGCTTAAGATGCCGGACTTCACGCTTCGTCTCAACGAAGACGAAAGCATCCGCTTGCTGAGCATATTGACCTGTCTGCTGGTAAGGTATAGTAACCTTGGCTTCGTTGTTAGTACGTAACCCATTACTGGTATTAAAGTGGTTGGGGAGTAATTTGTTTTGAGGAGCAAGAGTGCACAAAGCGGGTGCGACATTTACCCTGCAGGGCTACAGTGAGCGAGACTACAAGCAGTGTTAATTAAACCGTAACATGTATTAATAGAGGGCAAACACAATGGATTATTATACCAAATCCTGATAGCAACACCACAACGTCAGTGCATTACCTAAAATGCACGGTACGCCTAGAGCACTTGGATACAATATATCTCCATCATCTCCTCTACACCTATCAGTTATAGTCCGCGTAGGTTTGGAGACAGTGTTCTTTTGAGTCCAGCCATCACGCTTAAGCAGCGATGGTGACTTCGACATCCACACCTGGTTCGATGGTGATTTGAGTGATTCTCTTGACGGTGGAAGCTGGGGCTTGCAAGTCAATGACACGCTTGTGGATTCTCATCTCGTAGGTGTCCCAGGTCTTAGAACCTTCACCATTTGGAGTCTTTCTGGTGGTGATCTTCAAGACCTTGGTTGGCATTCTAACAGGACCCTTCTTGACCAAGTCATGTTGGACAGCGTTTCTGATGATGTTGGCAGAGACGTTTTCCAATTGCTTGACCTTGGTGGAAGTCAAGGTGATTCTGATCTTGTGGATCTTTTCTTCTTCTTGTTCAACTTTTTCCTTGTTAATTGGAGCAGACATGATGACGGTTAGTTCGACGTTGTTAAGGAACAAAAGAACTTTTATAAATCTTTTCATCTGAAAAGTGTATACCAGAAGTTTTTTCGCGTCCTGCAGAGAGTGCGCAAAGAGGGCTCCAGCCCTGATGGACCCTTGGTCACGTGACATGGCTGATAAGATTTTATTCAGTTTCCTTGTTAGTTAGAGTACTATTGTGGGGTTCTATCGCTGATTGCTGTACATATGCCAATGATGTGATATCTGCTGGTAGATTTAAATACATATGTGGAGTCATAATAAATGTCTACTCGACAACTCACTACAACCAGTAGTTGCTGAAGCTCTGTTGCAAATCCATAATTGATCCAACCCTGAAGATACTGTATCCTTATTTCGTGAGAGCTTGTGGAGACTTTCATGGGAAAAATCGTAAATATGGATGTCTCGGAACTGTAATACTTTTACGAATACCATAATATGTACGCACAGGGCTGCAGATTGCTGTTACTATTTGGGTATCTATTCTCTGGTATAGTCTTGCTTCTATGATAATTAGCAAATGGTAGTAAGGATCTATATTTGTTGTAGTGACAAAACTCTCTTCGGTCGTTCTTTGGTGGCCCGAGCTATGAGCCTGGTCACCTTTATAAATAGGGTTTGAAGCTTTTGAACGTTACCTTGGAATCTTATAGAAAAGTTGCCCAAGATTCTTTATCGATTGTCAAACATTTGGGTTTTTTAGATTGGGTGCAAAAATATTAATCTTTGGTGCATGCGACCAAGGATTGACATTATCTAATCAGTATTTACAAGAATATATGATTTTCTAGAAAAGCAAGCCAGCTAGCATGCTCAACTACTTATTTCCTTCTCGACACCTCTAACGCATTTCCACATCAATTCGAGTTCTTCCTCGTCAGCATATCCACTTGTGGCCCATCTAATCTTTCCCTCTCCATCCAAGACATAGATGTAACCTGAGCACATATTGTCACAAAGTAAAACTTGTCTGATTTCATAACCAAATGTATGATCCGGGAGAACAAAGTACTTGTCTTGTCTTTCAACAGGGATTTGTTTCTTGATGTTACTCTTGGAAAGTCCAATCATGAAGCCCTTCATCCAGTTCTGAGGCACATTGATGTCTATAATTTGAGAATTTGGATGTTCTTCCTTGAAGGATTCAAAGTCGGCTCCTGCCAAGTCCTTGCCGTCCTTCTGAAAGAATGTGTCTACACACTTTTCACCAGAGACTGTCAGGTAAACTCTGACAATGCTGACTTTTCCCTCAAGAAGCTCGCCTAGACTAACAGACTTGGTGCTCAAGGTTGATGCAATGAAATCAGGGAAGTATTTCGACTTGTCGGCTTTGAAGTATGAGATGGGCGGGGTGAAGATTTTACCATTGGTGTTCTGGAATGATTTCGATTCGTAGAATGGAGAGTGCACAATGTCGTGGTCCAAACGCTTCTGACGGAGCTCCTTGGCTTCTGGGCTGAAAAAGTAGTCCTTCACGCTGGATAACGAATATGAATGTACTTTGTGGTTCAATAAAATTGGTTTATCAAATCCAAATGGACGCTTGACTTCGATGGATTTGGTCAATGCAGGCTTACCCACCTCCTTGATGGTTGTGGCGAATCTGGGGGCAAGAACCCGGGTGTATGTAGAGAATGTTCGGGAATGCATGGTTGAGATGGTGTTCTGGATGCGCACTTCAGTGGAGTTATCACAGTTTACTGGGCCACAAGCTGGGGGTTTTCGGAAGGATGAAACCACTTGGGAAGGATGGGATGGGATTTGGACCTCTGTGTATGAGTCCTGGTTGTAGTTGGCGTGTGGTGGTGGTTCCCAGCCTGTCCATATGTCTCATGGAATCCCATATGATCGCACCGGTTACCCGGACATTATCCACCGACGTGGTCAACCCAAGCATAATAGATCCAATACTCCATCCATCTAGATATCCATTGAATTGCATACATACCAATAATGTCGATACAGCTACGCGACGGGCTTTTGAACCAGAACGTCGATCTAGTCCTAGAAGATCTTTTGGTCAGGTTCTTAGTCAATGTTCCCAACGAGGACTTACTGTCTATTGAGAGAGTGTTCTTCCAAGTAGAAGAAGCACAATGGTTCTACACCGATTTCGTCAAGCAACTCAACCCTTCCCTTCCTGGCATGAAGATGAAGAGCTTTGCCCCCAAGTTTTTGGAAAAGTGTCCGTTGATATGGAAATGGGGTAATCCATCTGACGCCATCCAACGGTTCGGGAAGTATAAATCCATGATTCCAGTCAGAGGGGTGGCTTTGTTCAATAAGGACTTGTCCAAAGTGGTCTTGGTTCAGGGAACTGAGCTGAACACTTGGTCCTTCCCAAGAGGCAAGATATCGAAGGATGAATCCGATATCGACTGTGCTGCCAGAGAAGTTTACGAAGAAACAGGATTCGATGCCAATGGCATGATCGACGAAAACGACGTCATAGAAAGAACCATCAAGGGCAAGAATTACAAGATATACTTGGTGAAGAACGTCCCCGAAGATTACAACTTCCAACCTGTGGCTAGAAATGAGATTTCTAAGATTGAATGGTTTGACATCAAAGCCTTACAGAAAAAGAACAGATCTAATCCAAACCATTTCTTCATTGTTGGAACAGTCCTCAAGCCTATGTTGAAGTGGGTCAATAAGAATAAGGGTGGCATCAACGAAGAAGAAATAATGTGGGATGCTGAGGTCAGATTGAAGAACCTATTGGGAATCAACAATGAAACAAACGAAAATGTTGATGCCGGTAGAGAGTTGTTGAATATTTTGCAAAAAGTCACCACCACTAGCAATGGACCTGTGCCGTTACAAAATTACAATGTTCCTCAAAACTTATTACATTTTCCAGGAATATATAATCCAGTACCTAATACTCAAGGCCCCATCTATCCCCCTCATCCTTTCCATCCTCACTTTCAAGCTACCCCTATCCAGCCTTCTCAACCATTGGCATATCACCCATCTCCAGACCAGTATGTGGATTATGCACGTCAACAACCAAATCCTGCCTCATTAGCCAAGCCTGCCAATAGAGGATCAGCTGACTCTAAGGAACTCTTGTCTATTCTCAACAAGCCAAAGAAGAAACCAGAAGAAAAAGCCCCTCAAACACAAGATGATCAGGAATCAAACAGATCTAGGGCTCAACACTTGTTGAGCTTGATCAACGGTAAGGAAGAACAATCAGGTGAGAATGCAACTCAAACTATTTTGAATATACTTAACAAGAAGAAGGAAGCTCCTACCGAGGAAAATGCATCGCAAACATTAATGAACATTTTGAACCAAAAGGGTTCCACGAAATCTCCTAAGTCGCCTAAATCATTGCACAATGGATCTCAATCTTTAATGGACCTTTTGAATCCCAAGAAAGAAAAACCAGCTGAGAAAGGACCCGAACCATCAGCAGTGAAAACTCCTGATTCAGACACACATGAGCTTTTAAGTATTTTGAATAAGAGGCCACCACCAGCTGAATCATTTCAATCTTCGCATAGACCATCTAACGAGTTGGAAGAGTCTATGAGGCATAATGAAAGATATGGCTTAGGTAACGCATCTGAACCGGGTAAAAAACTTACTCTCTTGAGGAGAGAAGACCCAAAGAAGGATCTGGATAGCATCCAAGATTCTACGGTCAAGAGCAATCATTCTAAGGATTTTCTTCTTTCTTTATTAGGCGGTCGTAAGACTTCCAAGGAAACTAACGGGGCCAAAGAACTTTCATCAGCTGTACCTGAGGTAGTTCCTGCTAGACCAAAAGCAGAGACAAACCCTTCCCTAGAATTGTTAGGTTTACTCAACAGAAAGAGCTCGCTTCCGGTAAATGTCTCAGCGCTTGAGTCATCGCTTGAGCCATCCGTTGAGCCATCCGTTGAGCCATCTGTTGAGCCATCTGTTGAGCCTGAAGAACAAGATTTTGAAGACTTTGAGAACTTTGAAGATTTCGACGATTTCAATGGGTTAAGTGAGCAATTCATGGGTAGATCTCTGTACCGTAACTTTGATATTGCAAGTGATGAAGAAGATGTTGACCATTTAATCGATGAATTTTCTACCCCATTTGTTTCTGCATCATCTAACTTACCCGGGCTGAATTATGCGACTCCTACAGACATTTACCACAAGTCCGAGCCAAAGAAGTCCAAGATCAGGTTGTTAAAGCCAGGAGAATCATTGAACGAGTTCAGTGGCATTAATCAACAACTACAGGCACCAGAAGCCCCAAAAACTAACACCCATGGGCAAAGCCTCTTGGCATTGTTGAATGGTAAGAAATCAGAAGATAACCAACATCTTGTCAATGACAACTTGCAAGCGGTATATGGGGCCCCCGCTGATTCAGGCCTTGGGGCTTCCCCTATCTCCTTGAGTAATGTGCCTACTCAAAATCATAATTCAGCTGAATTATTGAAGGATCTTCTCTGGAAGAGAAACCAATCATAGATTATTCTGCATGTACTATACATTAAAAAACTTGCTGGCGTTCGTTTGGAGTATTTTTGCCCTGGCTTTGCGGGGTCTTGTATCTAGTGCATCGTTGACACCGTTGGCACTTGTAGATATTTCGTGGTTGGCATTCATCACGAAGCAATATTGCGAGACAGACTCTGGGTTTCTAGTATTGAGCCTGGTATTCCAAGCCGCCTCGAACAAGCGGATCCTGTCATCCAGGTTAGCCTCATGGGGGTAGACATGGCTGCACATCATTAAATCAAGCACTGGTCCGCTATTGACTGGAGTTTGTATCGGCATGCCATTCAAGTATCTGTATAGCGTATGGGTTTTTAATCCCAAAGGAAGCCTGGAGAGGACCTGCAACCCAGGCTCAGATTTATTCACCAGCTGCCATTTGGTGCCGTTGACGTAAAATTTTCCGGAGAGCTCGTGCTTGGTTGTGGGAATAGGCACCTCACTTTCGATATACTTCAACGAGCAGAACGCATCGGAGCAACGCAAGAGAAGATTGTGCACAGCTCGAGCTGATACGTTGCGACAACCCTTTAGTCTGAGCACCGCAAGCTTTGCCAATTTGCCATCGACCAGGATGCTAGTGGCCAAATTCCCTAGAAAACTGTCGTCAACCACCAGGCTTCCCGAGAGATCCAAGGCCACTAGGCCGGGAATATTGAGTAGAAGGTAGTACTCATCTTTGGAAATGGTGTTGGCGGCAGCAGATATGTCTAAAACGACCAAAGGACGCTCCAAAGAGAAGTTGAGCCGACGGACTACATCCGCTACCAACACGTTCGAGAATAAATTCTCGAGTCTATAGTTCCTGGCGTGGGGAGGTTGGAGGGCACGTATAGCCTCACTTCGGAGACACTGCAACTGGGTCCTGGGCGCAAGGGTGGTCAATTCGCCCATGGACGACTGGTGGCGAGCCACCCAGTGGGCCCTGAACTGGCCAAGACGGCCAAATCTGGAGGAAAACACCTGGTGTGCTCGAAACGAGTCGTTCCCTTGTCTGAGCACACACTCCCATACCAATGACCAGCACGTCCATGGGGCAAACTCAAGGTAGTCTCGTTCCAAGTGCTCCACATTCTTGGCTAGGGTCTCGGCACAGAGCCGTTTCAAGCGTGGGACAGTGCCGTTCCGTGGTAAAGTCTCGTAGTTGTGCTCACACAATGGCAGCGTAGTGGTCCAGCCATAAGTGCTCTTTGTGACGAAATCATTGTGAACTCCGCTTCCGATCCGGGTGCTCCCCTCGTCCAGGCTGCGTGGATGCAGTGGCTTGGAGACTCGCCACACTTTGCGGTGTCTCTTGGATCTCCTCATGGTGGGTTCCACTCATTGACTACTCCCTGTTCGCGACCACTGATATCATCAAAGCCGCGATGACATGAAAAAAATACCTTGACACTTCACTCATCGCCTAACCACCAGCCTCTCCACCATGAAGCTTGACACCGCCCATATGAGGTACTTAACCTCCGACGACTGGAAGGTGCTCCAGGCTGTCGAAATCGGGACCAGAAACCACGAGTTGGTCCCCACCGAAATGATCCACTCTCTTGGAGGAATGAAGTCCACCACAGGAACAAACCGACTGATTGGTGATTTGGCCAAGTTCAAGCTCTTGGCCAGACTCAGAAACAGCAAGTATGACGGGTTCCGTTTGACCTACAACGGAATCGATTTCTTGGCCTTGAAATCAATGTTGAACAGAGACTCCTTATACTCGGTGGGTACCATGATCGGCGTGGGTAAAGAATCAGATATCTATTCCGTCAGCGACTCCAAAGGTGTGCAGAAGGTCATGAAGATACATCGTCTAGGTAGAACATCTTTCAAGACAGTCAAGAACAATAGAGACTACTTGAAGAGACAACAAGGTGGTAACTGGATGTACTTGTCCAGGCTAGCAGCTCAGAAAGAGTACGAGTTCATGGTGATCTTGTACAACAACGGATTTAATGTCCCCGTTCCTTACGACTACTCCCGTCACTGTGTGTTGATGGAGTGGATCAGAGGAATTCCAATGAAGCATTTGCGCAAACACGATAACCACAAAAAGCTTTACTCTGAGCTTATGAACTTCATTGTCAAGTTGGCCAACCATGGTTTAATCCATTGTGATTTCAACGAGTTTAATATTATCATCCGTGACAAGGAAGATGCCAAAAAACACACGTATGATTTCGTTGTCATTGATTTCCCTCAGTGTGTCTCCATTGATCACCAGGATGCTGAAGAATATTTCAATAGAGATGTCGAGGGTATAAGGGCTTTCTTCGAAAAGAAGTTCAGATATACCCCAGAAAGCGACCCGACTATGTTTGATACTGAGGGTTACGGAGAGGGTTACAAGTATGCCTACCCTTCATTCAAGAGGGACGTGGAAAGAACTGCCAACTTGGATGTTGAAGTTAAAGCTTCCGGATATGCCAAGAAGAGAACTGGTGAAGATAGTGACTTGGAAAAGGCTGTCCAGAATATGAGACTCCACGACGATGAAGATGACGAGGAAGAAGATGACGAAGAAGAGTACGATGAGGAAGAGGAAGATGACGATGATTATGACCTTGAGGAAGAAGAAGAGGATGAGGAGGATGAGGGTGAACTTCAAGAGAAAAACGAGCAAATAATCAAGGCATTATCGGAAGGAAAGTCCTTGAAAATGGATAAACTAGGTAACTATATTCTTGAGTGATTCAGACCAGTATATAATGAGCTAGATGCAATGCATACTCAAACACTTGTAAAATACTGTAAATTAAACCATGATTAGTGTAAAGGACTAAGTTTGTGTGTCACTTAAATATGTAGCTTTTCAAATTACATAGATGGCCTTCTAAGTTGGGCCGTATGTTGTTGTATTCTACATGCTACAAAAGCTCTACATCAATGCTTTAGTTAACATAACGAGATTTATTGGAGACCCATGAGAATAATAAACAAAATGAAAGATTTTATACAACAGATTAATTATTTAATTATCTTAACGGGTGGACATACCTCTGGTGACGGCTCTCTTCAAGGCTAATTCGGCCTTTCTGTAGTCATCAGCGGTGGATTCTTCGATTTCCAAGGTTTGCAAAGCGTCAGACAAAGCAGCTTCGATCTTGTCCTTAGCAGACTTCTTCAACTTGGCGGACAAGACTGGGTCAGTGACAGTGGATTCAACAGAAGAAACGTAAGCTTCCAACTTTTGCTTGTGTTCGTGTCTCTTGGCGAAAGCATCGTCAGAGGACTTGAACTTTTCAGCATCGTTGATCATTTGTTCGATTTCTTCAGAAGACAATCTACCGATGGAGTTAGAGATGGTAATGTTGGCAGATCTACCGGTGGACTTTTCAACGGCAGTAACCTTCAAGATACCGTTAGCATCAACTTCGAAGATAGCTTCCAAGACTGGTTCACCAGCTTGCATTGGTGGAATGTTCTTCAAGTCGAATTCACCCAACAAGGTGTTTTCGGAACAGTTGACACGTTCACCTTGGTAGACTGGGAATTGAACAGTGGTTTGGTGGTCAGCAACGGTGGTGAAAGTTCTTCTCTTGATGGTTGGGACAGTGGTGTTTCTTGGGACGACTGGAGCGAAGACGTTACCTTGCATGGCAACACCCAAAGACAATGGGATAACATCCAACAACAACAAGTCCTTGGTGTCTTCAGAGGTGGATTGACCGGTCAAGATAGCACCTTGGACGGCAGCACCGTAAGCAACAGCTTCATCTGGGTTAATGGACTTTTCCAATTGCTTACCGTCAAAGAAGTCAGACAACAACTTTTGGACCTTTGGAATTCTGGTAGAACCACCGACCAAGACAACTTCGTCAACGTGGGTCTTACCGATCTTGGCATCCTTCAAGACTTGTTCAACTGGTTCCAAAGTGGACTTGAACAAAGCAGAGTTGATGTCTTCGAATCTAGCTCTGGTGATGTTGGCGGAGAAGTCTTCACCATCGAACAAAGAGTCGATTTCAACGGTGGTTTGAGTACCAGAAGACAAAGATCTCTTAGCACGCTCACAAGCGGTTCTCAATCTTCTTAAAGCTCTGGCGTCACCGGAGATGTCGAGACCAGTCTTCTTTTGGAATTCCTTCTTGAAGTGTTCCAACAAGTTGGTGTCGAAATCTTGACCACCCAAGTGAGTGTCACCAGCAGTGGCCTTGACAGTGAAGACACCACCAGTAATGTTCAACAAAGAAACATCGAAAGTACCACCACCCAAATCGAAGATCAAGACGTGTCTTTCCTTTTCGGACTTACCAGCACCCAAACCGTAAGCAATGGCGGCGGCGGTTGGTTCGTTAATGATACGCAAAACGTTTAAACCAGCAATGGCACCAGCATCCTTGGTAGCTTGTCTTTGGGCATCGTTGAAGTAAGCTGGGACGGTGACGACGGCCTTTTCAACCTTCTTACCGATCTTAGCTTCAGCAATTTCCTTCATCTTGGTCAAGACCATGGAGGAAATTTCTTGTGGGGAGAAAGACTTGGTTTCTTCCAAGTATTCAACTTCAATTTGTGGGTTACCGTTGGAGTCGACAACCTTGAATGGCCAGGACTTGATATCCTTTTGGACGGATTCATCGTCGAAAGCACGACCAATCAAACGCTTGGCATCAAAGACAGTGTTCTTTGGGTTCAAAGCAGCTTGGTTCTTAGCAGCATCACCAATCAATCTTTCTTCGTTGGTGAAAGCAACGAAAGATGGAGTAACTCTGTTACCTTGTTCGTTGGCAATAATTTCAACAGCACTGTCGAAAGTAGCAACACAAGAGTAGGTAGTACCTAAATCGATACCGATAGCACCTGGGAAAACACCGTCAGCCATTTTGTCTTCAAATTAGTGAATAAAGAAAACTTTGTAAAAGAAGAGGAAAATTTATTCAATATATAGATTCAAAAAAATTTTTCACTGTATGGGTCTTCGCTCAATTTTTCACACTAGTTTCTTTTTTGGCTGTCTCAATACAATTATGTATGCCAACGTTTTGGGTAGTGCGGTCTGAGATATGCGCCGGATCGTGCTTTACCCGCAGATCATATTTTTACCCGGCCATGCTTTTTGCAGCTATCAGGAATTGACAGTCTTCAGCCGCAATTGAGTGGAGGAAAGTGAGCAATTGGCGTGATTAGATAGTAAATTCAGCCCTTACTGCGATCCCACACACATGGTGCTCTGTGTGAAAATCCCACGTAAAAGCCTCAGAAGCTGCTTTGCATCAAAAGTATGGGTTTTATGTGCAAGGGATGAATCATACTAATTACCCTGGCCACTGCTAAGTAACTACCAGTGATATATCGTAATAGCTATGAATAACTGTGTGGAACAAGATATGCTCCTCAATTGCCAGTTTTTCTGATAGGGAATGACAGGAGGTCAGCTCCTTTAACTTCGGTAAATTCCCAGATAGAAACTGGTTCACTACAGATAGGTTAGAGAATTTTACTCCATATTCTAGATAATACTCAAGAGCCTTTCCCATCTAATCCCAGTTATGTAGTCGAAGAGAATAATGTCAGCATCCATAAATTCGTCGAGTCACAGCTGTCTTACGAAACAGCATCATAAATTGTAAGCGCGGCAGGAGTATATTACCTTCCGGGTGTGTAGCTCTTCCATTCCAGGTAATTGGAGAGTAATCAATCTAATCTAGATTTCCTTAGATTAATATTGAATCCGTATGAAAGGAATTAAGTTTTCGCGATTTAACCAAAATTCTGCAAAAATTATTAGAATCTCATAAATGAAAACTATATCAATTCAGAAATATCGTGGCCTATTGATAAGCCTATGAGGCAGAATCAGGGTTCGAAGTAAATAATCTCACTACAGAGTTCAATCTGTGAACCGAACCTTACACCCAGACGGCGAGACTGGGAAGTAATTCGCATGTGCTAGACTAGAAGAAACAAGTGCCAATGCAGAAGGAATCCATTAAGCAATTACCAAACGCATGAATGACCAATTTGCACCAAGCAATTGGCACCACATTAGTCATCTCATCCCAAACTTCAAAATACACCATTTTAGGTTCTTACTTGATGTTGCTGTATACGTGCCAAACTGGTGGTGATAAATACAAAATAGGTGTTATCTTGGGCCTTTACAGTTTTGTAAAGGAGACCCTACCCCATTCTCTAGTTCATTACAGCGGTATCCCGTATACAATCCGAATCTATATTAGAAATTAAAGGTGATGGTATGAACCATAGATGGGCCGATTCTGTCATAGTTTGGGTCGTAAGCTGAAACTGACCACTTAAAGCTCTCATTCATGCATTAATAGACTAGATTTGCCGTTTTCATGGCTTGACCTGGTCCAACAATTCCCTAGCCGCATCATAGAGGAAGTTGTACTGATAAACTGTTTGCACCATCATCATTCTGTTGCTTCTCAATTGAGCAACAGTGTGAAGAATCGGGTCCTGGCTGATGTCGTACTCCTTTCTCTTGCCGGAGCTTGTAGCAAGATGCTCAAGGTCATGGAAAAGGTGGTCTATGGCGATGAAGGTACCTGTTCTGCCCACGCCTGCCGAGCAATGCACAATAGGGACAGGATTGCTGGCACCGCCCGCAGCACCAACGGTAGTACGGACATCTTGTGACAATTTAATCAATGGAGCAATAGAGGGAGGCACTTTTGCATCAGCCCATTTGTAGTAGTAGTAGTGGTAGACCTGTTTGACCTTGTTTCCCACGCTCAATTCGAAGTTGGTCAAAAGGTAGTCGCCTTCAGTGTTGTACTCCTCAGCGACGTAGGATACCGTGAGTTTGGGCAAATCTATACCATCCTTGCGCACAAGGCCGGAGTAGTCTATGACCGGGTGGCTACTATCGGGCCAGTATTTGCTGCATTTGATCATGTTGCTCTCGATCAAGGGAGTGACCATGACGATGATAATGGTGTCATTCTGCTGCTTTTCCGATTCATTGAACGCCATGGTCCAGAAGTGATGGGCAGTGGTCTCCAAGGGACCCTGACAGGCAATGTAGTTGTCTTGATTGCCGTCGATGTCTTGTACAGTCACATATGACGCGTTGATGTAGTCTGAGGCACCTGGTTTGACTGGGAGCTGGACCCTATTCTTGTTCCACGGAAACACGTTAGAGTACCTGTTCCGCTTGACGTTCACTGGAATGATAGCATCGGTGATTGCCCACAGATCCAAGTTCGGTCCATCAGATATCGTCTCCGCGTCTAAACTGCCAGTGATGCGCCTGTTCTCGATGGCGTTTAGTTGGCCAAAGTTTTCCCTTTGATTTGACGTGGATGCCCTTAGAAACAGCGGCACTGCCGGCATTCTCTTAAATAATATCGGTAATTGAATCTTGCAGGAGATTTGTGGGACTGGGGTAGGAATTTATTGGTGTGAGCCAGTAGATTTTTTGGGACACGACGGGGAATTACTATGGCGCATGGATTCAAGATTCAAAGTGCCAGCATCAACACGGTGGAATTGGATCGTACGACTGATCTGAAACAGGCATCTCGCACCGAAGGACGCAAAACGCTGGCTGGAAGCAAATGGGCCTACAAGGGATTCCAGGGGCCTGTAGCTAGGGATGGCCGGAAGTCCTGATCAGGCAACCCTGCAGCTGCACGTGATCTGGTGTTACTGGACATGGCAATTACAAGAATTACCAGTACTGGTTCAGGTATAGCTGGGTGTCCTTCTGTGGAACTTCATAAAGTCGAGAACAAGCCCTTACAGTACGGAACGCCATTTTATCTACAGTGCTCATGTTTTATACAGCTGTGAATTCCCACCGCATTTCCTGGTCCAGAAAATGTCCCTGACATTACAAATCTGGCTCCAGTTAGTCGCGGAATCGTCTGGACAAGGCTGTCGTTTTTGGCAAATATACAGATTGTTTCAAAAAAATCAGACAGCGACAGTTCTGGAAGTAAAAAGAAAAAATCAGTTGCCACGCCAGAACAGCCCCATCCATACCACCAAGACACCGCTAGATATTCTCCATTTGTCGATGGCCACATCCTGACTGTGATCTGCTGGATCTGCCGGTAACCACTCGCATGTCAGGTCGTGCACATAACAAATATTTAGGGGCGATTAGGGAGAGTCGTGACTTAAAAACTATCTACCGAAGCATACCTATCCGATAAGAAAACTTACACCACAGGATGAGTTTCCCAAACCCTGCTACGTCAGTCAAGTTAGTGTTGTTGGGAGAAGCCGCCGTGGGCAAATCGTCATTGGTGTTGCGGTTCGTAAGCAACGACTTTCAAGAGAATAAGGAACCTACTATCGGAGCAGCCTTCCTCACCCAGAAATGTACCATCGGTGAGAGAACGATTAAATACGAAATCTGGGACACTGCCGGACAGGAAAGGTTTGCCCTGTTGGCTCCAATGTACTACCGGAATGCCCAGGCAGCCTTGGTGGTGTACGATATCACCAAACCAGCGTCATTCATTAAAGCCAGACATTGGGTAAAGGAATTGCACGAGCAAGCTTCAAAGGACATTACAATTGCATTGGTGGGTAACAAGTTTGATTTGGTCGAGGACGACGAAGAGGACAGCTTGAGAAAGGTCAGCGTGGAGGAGGGCCAGAACTTGGCGGAGGAAGAGGGCTTATTGTTCTTCGAGACCAGTGCAAAGACTTCATACAATGTCAACGAAGTGTTTATCGGAATAGGAAGCAAAATTCCCGACAGTTCTGCCAACCAGCCGGAAGCCATCAGGGAAAATAACCAGGGAAGAATCGACTTGACCTCGAACAACGCCTCAGGCGGCAGCAGCGGGTCAGGAGACTGTGCATGCTAGTGGAACGACGGAGACCCACCGCCATCCATTTACTTCCCACTAAATGCGGCAATCCGTGCTTACAGATCCACATATATCGTTATCCACCCATGCGCAGGTGGACGACATTCTCCATCTATAAACACCCACTCATTTAATTCTATCATAATTATTGCAGGCACCGATCCGGCTGTAACTTATAAAGGCAACTTCTACTATTACCATTGTAGTTCCTAGTTCTGCTCCTCTAGTTAGCGTTAATGAACTATCTATAGTATTTTATATCATCATATACACTTCTCCGAGTGCGACCACCACTGGCGCACGCCAGCGCCCGCGGCTAATATAACTGTACACTGATCATTCTGACTACCACCACCGCCATGTCACTCAGAGTCGCCTACATTCCAGAACACTTTTCCACCCCCTTGTTCTTCGCCATTCAGCAGAAGTACTTCAGTTTCAACATTGAATTGACTCCCGTCATTGAAGGGTCAGGAAGACTCATCAACTTGTTGAACGCCAACGAGGTAGACATCGCAATTGGCTTGACGGAAGCGTTCGTTGCCGACATCGCCAAGGGGAACGAGCCATCGTACAAGCTTGTCGATACCTATGTTGAGTCTCCTTTGTGTTGGGCCATCAGCACTGGCTTCAACCGCGAGAACTTGACTAGCGCCAGCCAGTTGGAAGGCAAGACCATCGGGGTGTCCAGAATTGGATCTGGGTCCTACGTGATGAGTTTCGTGTTGGCCCATGACTTAAAGTTCCAAAAGCCGTTTGCAGGCTACCCTACTCTTTCTAACTTCAAGAACTTGAGAGACTCAGTCAACTTGAAGTACACCGAAGAACCAGAAAAGAACAGTGATGCGTTCATGTGGGAGCATTTCACGTCCAAGAAATACTACGACAACAATGAGATCAAGAAGATCGGGGAAATCTATACTCCATGGCCTTCATGGGTTATCAACAGTAACGCTCAATTGTTGGAGTCCAAGCCCGAGATGATCAAGGAGTTTGTGGCGGGTTTAAACAAGGGTATCGAATACTTCAACAATAACCACGAAGAAGCCATTGAATTTATCAGCAATAATCTTGACTACTCCGCCGAAGACGCCAGAGAATGGATCAAGACCGTAAAGTTCAACAAGAACGTGGGAAAGGCTGCTCTTGACTGGGAAAGAGTGGTTACCAAGACCAGCAAGGTCTTGAAATTAGCTGGTGTCTTACAGGACTCCGATGAGCTCATTGAAAAGAGATTGAATGAAGGAATTGTCAGACAACTTTAAATTTGCACGAAGGATTTATTACTTTTGCACCCAAAATCTAAGAGGGTGTGTCTTCAATATAGCAGAGACAATTCTCACCTCTTTTTACAGACCCAATATTCACACTTATATACAAATGAACCCAACGCTTTAATATCACCGCTGTAGCTGGTCTCAATACCTGACTCTCTCTTTTCGAAATCAAAGCCCATCTTTTCTATAAGGGCAATCAAATCGTCACGAGAGAGCTCCAAGCCTGTCATGATAGAAGGGACCTTTTGGTAGGTGTCACCATCTCTTCTTTGAATGTACAGCATGTTCTGGTCATCCTCAAAATGCCAAAGCAAGGGGCCAAAATTTATCCAAGTGCCTCCCGGCTTCAAACAATAGTGGAAGGTTTTCAAATAATCAATGATGTTGCTGGCTGTATCCAAAAAGAATGTAGTGACAAGAACATCAAAGTTATTTTCATTAGTTGTTCTGAAATCGTTGGCAATGGGATCCTTGGAGTAGGTGTCCAGCTCAGTCAAGTTTTCAGGCCCATATAAGTCAACGAACGAGCCTGCGGTCATAGACATCAATTCCTGGTAAGGAATTGTAGGGTTTTTCGTGGAAAGCTCGTGTATCTCCGTAGGGCTACAGTCAGGAATGGTGACGGGCCTGATCTGATTTAATCTCTTGACAAGGTGGGAGGCCTTGTGCAAGTAGGGAAATATCGAGTAGTTGTGAGCAAATGTGCAATGATTGAGAATGAAGTTGGAAGCCAAAAGCATATGGTAACTGAATTCATTTCCCTGACACCAAAAACCCTTTTTAACTAGTTCCAACACCAATCTGCCCAAACCACATCCAGGATTCAAGATCTTCACGTTCTGACGTTCCTCAAGGTTAGGATATATCTGCTCAAGCTCCTCAATGATCTTGAAGTGACTGACAGTGATTTCGGGAACCCCGTCCGAGCTCCATTCACGGGCAAATTGCAACAAGGTGGACCTGACCTTATCGTACTCGTTAGTGGTGGCAGGCTCCCAACCGCTAGGATCAGGCGATACGCCCCAATCTTTTGAGATGGCAATGGCCAAGTTTTGAGTGAATTCCTGGTTGATGCCAATGCATTGTTTCAAGTCTTCTATGTGTTGTAAGTACCACGGGATCAACTCTCGTTCTTCAGCAGTTAACGAGTTGTATTTTATTGTTCTTGTTTTGATCAACTGTTCGAATTCCCACTTGTGGAAGTTGTAGAAGGCCAGAAGCGTGGACGTCAAGGCCTTATACTCCTCGATGTCTTGACTCATAGAACCGGTGGCGATACTACGTAGGGATCTGGGTCTACTCAGCGTAAATTATATGTATTCACGTGACGTGAACATGCTAGATAGTACGGGGTTTGTATACTATAAGGAGTTTTCCGTTTTGAACACTTCCCAGGCCTCGTTCAAGGTTATGAACACCCCCTTGCAGACCAATTCAGACTCCTTGTCGTCCTTACACTGGGAGGCAAGCTTATCGGGGTGAATTGAGCTGATAACTTTCATGTATTGGATTTTGACCTGTTTTGGAAGCATCAATTCGTTTGTAGTCAATTTTCTTAACGCAGGCTTCATGTTAATGTTTGGAGGAATCACTTCGTCCAAATTGGTCAACAATGATCTCAAGTTGCCTTGCTTTGGCTGCGCCCACGTTTGAACCCTACCATTGATTCTATCCTGTACCAATGGGTCAACTTCATCGACGCTGGGCTTGGGAGCAGAGGTAGCCTTATCCACAGGTTTTGGAGCTGCTTTGGGAGCTGCAGGCTTTGATGGAGCAGGTTTGGCCTTATAATTTTCTGGATTAACAATCTTGTCAACCCTTCTTTTACCATCCATAACCTTCTTGTCCACCACTCCGAGTTCCTTGATCAAAATGGAATAAAACTTCAAACTTGCCTCATACTTTTCCAGTAGTTCAAGAACTTCGGCTTTTGTCGTTATTAATTTAGTGTACCAATACTTTACTGGTTTTTGGGCAATACTAAATCCACTATTATGTATTTCAGATTCTCCAATCAATGACAACCCGCTGTCAACATTCTCTAGACTCTGCTTCAAGTGTCCAACCTGTTTGTTAACCATGCCCAAGTTTGAGAATATAATCACTCTGTTTTCATGGTTGGAAGGAAGTTTATTCAAACAGATGAGATATGCCTCAAGTGCTCCAGTGTAATCACCAGTTCTGTATGCTTCCTGTGCCGTTGCTTTTGAAGTGTTGTAATCACTTTCATCAAATTGATTCAATGGAGAAGAGTCCCTGAGCGAAGACTTCAACGAAGTACTACCAGTATCAGTTCCAAATATGTCCAAGGACTCAGCTGGTGGCTCAGGAGCTTTTGGAGGAGTCCGCTTAAGGGGTTCAGAAGCTTTTGCAGGAGAGGATACTCTAGGAACTGGTTGAGCAGCTGGTGAAAACCTTCCACGGGAACCAACAAAGTCCTCTCCGACCATGGGCTGTTGGTATGAACTGGCCTTCTTTTGTGGGGATTCACTTCTTGGTCTTTCATTTGCTTGACTAGGACTACCACGCCTTTCAGGAAGTGGCCTTGCTGGCCTGCTGGGTGGCTGATCGAACAGTTCTCTTCTTGAATGGTCACTGTCTTGTTTACCACGTATTTTGTTGAGTGCTGCGTCTTTCAAGCCATCGTATCTCTTCTTGGCCTTTTCCTTATCCTTTTCTCTTTGAAGTTTCATAAATCTTTCGATTTCTTCACGATTGAGATTTTCCGAGTCCGAACCATAATCTAAGTCTGCTTCACTGTATTTTTTCTCAACTGCATCGGATTTGTACTTCTCTTGATTCTTCATCCATTCAGGCAAGTTTGAAGAGCTGCCACTGTTGTTGCCCTGGATCTGCAATTGTTCTAAGTTCTTCATCACAGTCTTTTTTGATTTGTTGAAGAAAGTATTGGCAGTCTTGAAAAGATCTTGTCCAATTCCGTTGAAGTTGATTCCTTCACCCTTGTTCAGAGATCTAGGCCTTTCAGGTCTTGGAGTACTGGCGTCAGTATTTTTGTTCATGATATAGTTTACGCATTCTTGAAGATTGGGACCCTTTTTCTGGATTGCTATGTTGGCGTCTTCTATACTGAAACCTATGTCGACCAATTCCGCTACCACAGAATCGGTTCTAGAAGTCTGTGATTGTCTCGATGCTGGTCTCAGAGGGGTTTGAGAATAACCAGCTTCTTGTTGGTATTCAACTTCACGAGGGGGGTTGCTCTTGGCCCTTGGCTGAGGTTTGTGCTGTTCTGGGAACACATCTGTGAATTCATCATCCAACAACGAGCCTCCAACGTTTGTGTTGCCAGCAGGCTTGGCTGGTGTATCAAAAATTGCAAATGGATCATCATTATATGGTAAAGAACTGGTCGATGATACGGCTGATGCAGACTTTGAGGGTCCAGAGTTGGTGCTTTGAGTGGGTGTCAAAACATCGTTCTGCACAATATGGGAAGGAGTGGCTCTTCCTGAAGAAGGATTAGACAAGAAGTCTAGATTGGACCAGCTGTCGGATTTGGGGTTCTGTAGCAGCAGAAGCAGAGACGTTTGTAGCGGCTTTTGCAGTGGTTGCAGTTGTTGCTTCTGTCTCTCTGCCATTGATAAGTTGTTCAGCTTCCTGCCAGTCACGGCTGACAGAAAGAGGTCAGAAAACGCATCCTTCTTAGGTGGCATATTGGGAAAGACGGCGTGTGACTGTACGCCAGGTGCTAAGGTGTTATCGGATTAGGTGTACTTATTTGATCAATGAACCTAAACTCTGATACTGCACACAGCCAGTAACCTACTTCCTAATTCGTCGCTACATGAGATTGAAGAAGTTGCAAAAATAGCTTTTAGACGGGAAGCATACTGGTAAATCGATATTCTGGTACTAACCATAGAACGATATTCGTGAAACAGATTTTTCAACTTTTGTCAAACAGAGTAGGCTCTGTGATCCAATAGTGTTGGTTGAGACTCGCCCGTGGTCGTTTGAATTTGCCCGAAAAAGGACCAAAAATTTTGTACAAGGGGCTACATTATTTAACTCTGATTCTGCGGATTCTCTACGATTAGCTGGATGGTGTGAACTTATTCAAAAACCACCCTCTAGGTATTCGCATATCTCCTCTATAGCACTCGCAGGTTTGAAGTCGTGCGCGCACCACCCCATCTGAAGAAAATTTATCTATCTACATTTATCAAGCACATTGAAGACTTCAACTAATCAGCCAAGATGCATTTGATGTACACATTAGGTCCAGACGGAAAGAGAGTTTACACCTTGAACAAGGTTACTGAAGATGGTGAAATCACCAAGTCTGCTCACCCAGCCCGTTTCTCCCCAGATGACAAGTACTCCAGACAAAGAGTAACCTTGAAGAAGCGTTTCGGTTTGTTGCCTACCCAAAACTAAATGTACCGCATAGATCGTACTGGGCTATGAGCACCTAGAGAGACCTGTGATACTTGGACATGCCTATACTGGTTGAACGGTGACCTAGCATAGACAGACAGGTGGCCTGATGAGCATGCTGATGTTTCAAAAGTTCCATGCCTTTATTCAATTTACATATATGAGTCAAATCAGTGTACTATAATAGTTTATCACTCCTTAAATAGTAATAAAAGAAATGAAAGAAAATGGTAGAGCATCGGAGGTCTACACAGTTGCAAATGGAGAGCTGCTAAGTGTGAGCTTGAATATGAAACTCATTCACCTGTTGCATACTCTTGGACGCCTGTGTGGTTCTTCTTTGTACTTAGTACTTGAATACACCTGTCGTTCACTGACTGGTGTTGCACCACTCGTTGAGGCTGGTCAGACACTCTGCCTGCGTTTCTCGAACACAACACTGTCCTAGGAAAATTCACATAATGGCTGGAAAATTCTTATATAAGTAGGGTCAACGTGGTTGGAGTTCTGCTAGTGCGATAGTCCACATTCTGGATCTTCTGATTCTTGTTGTTCTGATAGTGTGGTATTCTGGTGTTGCTCACCTGTTGCTCATTTGTGATGCGAGTGATATCAAGCTATAAGGGCTCCTTTTTCTGTCCTGTAGCCTCTAAATTGAATTCAGCATTCCTTAAATAGCTCTCCCACATCTGAGCTAGTACTTCTGTATCCAAATTGTGTCTTGCAACTTCTTGTAAACATTTGTTTACCGTCACCACTGACTCGTTTAAGTTTTCCTGTGGGTTAGTTTGTTCACACATTTATGAGCGACACATCACACATACCATGTTGTTGATGATTCTAGAAAGCAAGGCATTCTGTGCCTGTTCGTGTGGATTCTCCATCTGCCCACGGATACTATTAGATGCAAATACGATATACCGCGATAGTTGACTTTATTCATATCTGCCCCCGCACGACCAAACCTGGAAGACAAACCCCGATCTCATTAGCTTCAATTTTCGACGCCCTGGGACTATATATGCACTGGTATTCAGCCGTTTCCATTATAAGGTAATATCAAACTGGATATTGTGATATAGCCCTATAGTTGTACATCATGGACTTTGTACAGAAATTACTATTAACAGTAATTGCGGCCTTGGTGATAGCGTTAGCGTCATTTGCATTACAGAGTGGTCAAATCAAGGTCTCCAACAAGAATGCTTCACCACACCACAAACCAAGTTTTGTGATCTTGGGTAATAACGGGTCAGGAAAGACTGGCCTCTACTACAGATTAATCGAGGACTCACAGGGTGAGAACAACACACCAATAACCAACACAGTTTCGTCGATAGAGCCAAACTTCACCGAGATCTCCCTTCCTTTCTCCAGTGACAGTATCAGCAAGAAGTACCAGTTAGTGGACTATCCTGGACACCTCAAGTACCACCAGCTCCTCAACAAGTTGCTTTTGGAAGACATAACTTTGGGCAAGATCAGTGGTATTGCGTATGTCATCGACTCTTCATCAGCACAGTTCAACGCTAATGTAGAGCTTATCTCCAAGTTCTTGTTCAACTTGTTTTCCGTCACCGAAAGAAAGACCAACGGGATCGACGTTTTGTTCGTAGTGAACAAAACCGACTTGTTTGACTCGACCCCTGTCCACAGAATCAGAACTATCTTAGAAACCGAAATCAACAAGTTGATCCAAAACGAGTTGAGTACCGTCGATAAGAATTCTGGTATCGATAAGGATGACGATGAAGAGGAACAAGGCATCGTTGGACACGAGACATTGAGAGAATTTTGGCTCGGTGTTTTATCATCAGCCAACAGCAAGTTTACTTTCGATAAGTTGGAGGGAAGCATGGACTTCATTGGAGGTAGCGTTTTGAAGAATAAGGTTGAAGGGTGGGAGAACTGGATCGATGAGAAGGTGGTCAACTAAGTTGACCCTACATCAATCCAAGAATTATTTAGCATATTTGCATCATTCTTAATGTATTTATAGGTTCTAGTTTTCATTTACAATCACCTACATGGATTATAGGGCCATATAGCTCTAATATTATGTATTGAAACCAAAAGATCCTAATTTTGCAGGATTAATAGATACTGGTAAGTACTATGGGTCCGATCCACAGACCTAGCCGATTTTATTGGTGGGTGCCGAAGGAAAAAGCGACACATCCTGCTGGATCTTTTGGGATCTGGTACGGTTATACCTGACCTTGTTGTAGTTCTGTATCCTGGATACATATATGCCCTTGTCCAACTGGTAGTTCTTGAAGGAGTAGTTGGCGATATCCTGGGTCGTCTTGGATAGTTCTGAGGAGGATTCGGATATTTCTCGAGTGAGTCTATTGTATTTAGCATCGTTGGATTCTTTCTTAGGTTTGTCGTTCAGGTCCTTGTCGTCCTTTGGCTCCTCCTTCTTGGAGCCAAGGTAGTCGGACACGAACGTGGTAATCTTGTAGGGTTTGACCTTTTCAGCCTGTTGTTTCAAGAGGGCGACTTTCGACTCCAACTCTGCCTTTTTCTTGACGAGCTCGGTGTAGTCATCGGGCTTGACACTGGTTGCAAATTGGGAGTCTTTCAAGTGAGGTGCACACACGTAGAAGAAGTCGACCTTGTTCTCGGAGAGAAGCACAGTGCTGGCAGGCTTGAAGCAGATCACACAGGCCCTGGCATCTGACTCGGCAACGCGCTTGACCAGGTAGTTGTTGGGGAAGGGGGCGGCTGTTTGCCCAGGCACACTCATGGTGAATGGGAAACTAAGGGCTGGAGGGACGGTTGATGGGAGCAAGGGCACGTGACAGATATAGCGCAATACACGTGACCACAGCCCACCTGCCATTCCTGCCGCCTCCCGCCGTGCCCAGCATTCCCCGAGATGTGGCCCCAGCTGACCGCGGTCTGCCACCCACTGGCGCACCTGGCTGCCTGTGATCGTGCCGGCCAGCATCGCCCCGTATCGCCCACTGTGGGGGACCAACAACGACTCGCGTGGCTCCAGCTTGCTCCACGCCGCCAGTAGCCAGTAGCCAATGACCAATTGCGCCAATTGCCACCGGCCATCACTCACTCCCAACCTTTCCTTGCTCGTTCCCGGCAAGGCTCGTTCCCAGCCCCCGGGAGGTGGTGCGGGTCATCCTCGCGGGTGGCAACATTTCCGCGCTATCCACACCCATAGCAAGAAACGCGAGACCATCCCCTACACGTACACTTCCGTAGACGAGCCGTCCCACCACCAGCAACGAGCGAAGCTGGAGTGGTGGAGGACCAGGCCACGCCAGGCCACCACCCGTCACGGTGGTGGCCTGGCGGTGGACTGGGACCCCTCTCTGGGGGTGGATGGGTTCTAGCCCCCCTAAACGCTAGCAACGTGCGCGCACCAAAAAAATTTTCCTTCATCAGCCTGAAAACTCATTTGTTGTTTCACAACCCTCCGTAAACGTAAGTCCTCACTAAGGAACACAAGGACAAGGACCCATCACCAAGTCCTCCCCCAAACACACGCAAGACTCCCACCTAACTGCTCCCAGTTAGTGAACCCAGCTTTCCCCCTCCCCTACTCCCTTACCCTCGGACACGCCCTGCTGACTCTGGTTAGTAATTGTTCGACACAGTATAGCCGAGTATTCCATCCCCATCCATTTTGCCGTGCAAAGTATCCATCTTGGTTCATCAAGCTTGAATACCCGTCTAACAGGCCTCAAATCTATTTGTGACACGTATCTTCACCACCGTCCCAAATAGTCCCCTCACCACCCGAACGACAATCATAACTCGTTCAATTCACCCTTTATCCTCGTATTAGTAACACATAGGCCATTGCCACTGCATAACATGTCCACAGAACATCAAGAAGCCGATATCGACTCCATAGTCGACAGATTGTTGGAAGTCAGGGGTTCCAGACCTGGTAAGCAAGTTACCCTTTTGGAGCACGAAATCCGTTACCTCTGTACCAAGGCAAGAGAAATCTTCATCCAGCAACCAATTCTTTTAGAATTGGAGGCCCCAATCAAAATCTGTGGTGATATTCACGGACAATATTATGACTTGTTACGACTCTTTGAATACGGTGGATTCCCTCCTGAAGCCAACTACTTGTTTCTTGGGGATTACGTCGACAGAGGTAAACAATCATTGGAAACCATCTGTTTGTTGTTAGCTTACAAAATCAAATATCCAGAAAACTTCTTCATCTTGAGAGGTAACCACGAGTGTGCTTCCATCAACAGAATTTACGGTTTCTACGATGAATGTAAAAGAAGATACAATATCAAGTTGTGGAAGACTTTTACCGATTGTTTCAACTGTTTACCAATTGCTGCCATCATTGACGAAAAGATCTTCACTATGCATGGTGGTTTATCTCCAGACTTGAACTCCATGGAACAAATCAGAAGAGTCATGAGACCAACCGATATCCCTGATGTGGGATTGTTATGTGACTTATTATGGTCCGATCCTGATAAGGATATCACTGGATGGTCGGAGAACGATAGAGGTGTATCGTTTACCTTCGGTCCAGATGTGGTCTCTAGATTTTTACAAAAACACGATATGGATCTTATTTGCAGAGCTCATCAAGTGGTGGAAGATGGTTATGAATTTTTCTCTAAGAGGCAACTTGTTACTCTTTTCTCAGCACCAAACTATTGTGGTGAGTTTGATAACGCTGGTGCTATGATGAGTGTGGATGAAAGTTTATTGTGTTCTTTCCAAATATTGAAACCAGCTGATAAGAAACCAAGATTCCCTCCTTCTAATGTTGCTAACAACAGACCAGTGTCTACCCCAAGAAAGCCAAAGAAGGGCAGCAAATAAACTAGTTGTTCAGATTGATTTTCGTTCTTGATTTTGAGTTGTTATTTTTTTTATCAGATCCGTTTTTGTTCCTTTTCACTACAAGCATTAATTCTTGACATTTTAACATGAAAGATGCGTGCTACCCGTTCATCGATAATTGGTGGACAACCTCAAGCAATTCAATTAATCCATTCATTCATCACCTGACATCACAACCATCAGCAATAAACAACCATCAGCAATAAAATACAAAGTTACTTATGTCTCTATACTTCAGAGCTTCAGTTTGTTTTCAGTTTTTGTCACATGATTCAACCTACCCCTGGGGATCATCCCTAACATCAACCAGCAAGATCATCAATTGTACATACAAAGAAATTGGAGGATTGAAGATACTATATAGACATAATTCATAACCTCTCTTCTGACTTGGTTCTCATAGAATTAGTTATACGTACGCGCAAGAACAGTCAGAGAGTGGGAAGATAATCTACTGAATATGAAGAAATTTGGGTTGATTGTTATATAGCACAACTGCTCTCATCCTTCCATTCTTTAGTATAGTTACTTCTGTTCCCCTTTACAAACGTTTATTTCTTGTCTCTATTATTAGATAGTTATTTAGTATTTTATAATTACCTTTAGAAGAAGCAAAGATAGCGCAACTGATTCAAATGATCAGTGACCATTCATGAATGGGCTATTGATGCTACTCTTGAGGTGGTTTTTGGTTGGTTTTGCTTATGTTGGTTTTGCTGCTAATGATTTTTGCTATCTTAGTCTCAGCTTTTTTATGGCTGCGAATTGGAATGATGTTTATGTGTGAATGCTTTTCTATATTGCCCTATGTTTGAAGTTTACAATTTTTGAAGTATATACGGTTGTAGTGATATCTGAAGTTCTATGATACGTGAAAGTGATACTCGATAAATACTTATGTTGTGCCGTTCCATTGCAAGTTAAATGCTTTGGCAGACAAGAAGTGACATCAATAAGATTGCAGGTACAGAAATTATGATTAGATGGCTATATATGATTGTTTTACATATTCGCCATAATATAAGACCTAACTCGGTACTCCTCTGTAGTATCCAAGATATGAAACGCATCCAGAGTTGGAGAAGAATCACTGCTTTACACAACAGCACAAACTGCCATTTTTCATGGTTTCTTCAACTTCATTCAAAGAAGCAGTGGAATCTCGAAATTCCCCGGGATGGCTGCAAATCTGGAACCCACAATAGCTACACAAGGGCCTTCTTGCAGAAACGAGGTTATAGCCATCAAATTGTGCTTCACAGTCACATCACGTGAATTTTCAGACGCAGCACGTGAACCAAAGCCCTAATGGACTTCTGGCGCCGCAAATCCTGCATATGCCCCACAATGTCCAGACGATTCTAGCGCAGTGGGAAAAACTGTATATGAAAAAAATTTACAAGCTTGAGTAGTTACCAAGATAGTATCTTAATAAGACAGAGACAATATGGTATGTTTGAATGAAAGACTGAACAGGGCCATCGTGAAGTGAGATGATGATCGTTGGAATGAGTACCTACTGAATGTTCAGTAGATTGTATTCTGTGGGATTGTTCAATTCAAAACAAGATACATTGAAAGAAATAAGAAAGCAATGATTAAAACGAAGGAGATCATATAACAATTAGACTGGCTCACATAAGTTGAAAGTTGATATCCATGAATGTACCAGCCAAGTATCCACTCATATAAGACAACCAATCATCAAGATAATGTGGATAACTAGAAACACTACATGAAAAATTGAACGAATCTTCAAACTCCAGAACATGGCCCTCAAACATGGAAACAGCAACTAACAATTCTAGGTTTTAGTTCAAGATTTATTGCACCCATCTCCAGCTTCTGAAGCTCAAAAGCACAAGTTGAAGACCTTGGTCCAATCCCCAAGATCTTACTTCATGGATGTCAAGTGTCAAGGTTGTTTAAACATCACCACCATCTTCTCCCACGCTCAAAGTGCCGTCACCTGTGAATCTTGTTCCACTGTCTTGTGCACCCCAGCTGGTGGTAAGGCTAAGTTGACCGAAGGTTGTTCTTTCAGAAAGAAGTAAATCTGAGGACTTTACCATAGCACACACACATCAAAAGTACATCCAAAGGTGGTCTATGATCGCCGTACAACCATTCCCATCGATTAATCGGTAACCACTCATATTAAAACTAAGAATGCTGTCTGCTTTATATATTGTTATTTTTAATTTTAATATATATCTATAATAGTATTGAGAGGTGTAGCATTGTAGGAGAAAATTCACCACCTGAAGAGTCCATCTGGAAATGTGGGTTGATGCAGCATTCGCATCCATTAAGAGTTAAGAATCACTTACAAGCAGGTTATTCGTAGGCAATGGGCATACAGACATCCATTACCGAATTATCACTTAAAAGCAGTTATACATTAGTTAATCAAAGTATTCAAGATGAATATGCCGTATATAAGTACCCATGGTACAATTTAGAAGTATATAGAATAACCGTCAAGTTCATTACAATTTAGGCTTAGCACAAGATCTGACAACTTCATCGATGGCCTGTGCAACCTTGTTGATGTTACCTTCGTTCAACCCAGCAACGGAAGCACGTCCACTGCTGACCAAATAGACACCGTGTTTCTCTTCCAATCTAGCAACCATTTCTGGGGTCAAACCAGTGAAGGAGAACATACCAGTTTGGTTGACGATGTGGTCCCAGTTACCAGGTGTCTTCAATTCATTAGTTAACAAGTCTCTCAAAGAATGTCTCATCTTGATGATTCTGGAACTCATGGTGGTCAAGTCGTCTTGCCATTGTTTCTTCAAGTCCTTGTCACTCAAGATAGCAGCGACAATCTTGGCACCGTAGGCAGGAGGGTTGGAGAGTTCGGATCTGATGATCTTGTTCAATTGAGACTTGATGGCCCTGAGAACTGGGGCTACGGCCTCACCAGTGGCTCCTGGGGGTGTTATGACGTGCACAGCGCCGACTCTTTCACCATACATACCACAGTTCTTAGCGAAGGACTGACAGATGATAATTGGCGAGTTGATAAGCTTGTCGTTGATGGCGTGTCTGATGGCAAAGCCGTCCTTCTCCAAGTTACCACTGGCGAAACCTTGGTAGGCGGAGTCAAACAACACCAAGTGGTTGTTGTTGTCCAATTCCTTCAAGATAGTGGTCCATTGGCTCTGGGTAGGATCCAAACCGGTTGGGTTGTGGGCACAGGCGTGCAACAAGAACACCGACTTCTTGGGGGCAGATCTGATGGCGTTAAGGAAGCCGTCCAAGTCCAAGGACTTGGTCTCGTTGTTCCAATAGGGGTAGCTCTCCACCTTGAAGCCCACACTGGTGAAGATTTGGTTGTGGTTGGCCCAGGTTGGCTTGGACAAGTAGATGGTGTGTTCGCCGGAGTAGAAGGTCTTCAAGAAGAGTCCAGTCAAGTGCAAGGCACCGGTTCCGGACAACGACTGTTGGCTGACGATTCTTCCTTCCTTGATGGCCAACGAGTCTTCGCCCAAGATGATCTTGGCGGCTTCCTTGACGAATGGCTCGTAGCCGCCGATCGACAAGTACTCGTGGTTGTAGTCTGGCGAAGCCACCAACTTGGCTTCTGCCTGTCTCACGGCTGGCAAGATCCAGGGTTTTCCGTTTTCGTCTCTGTAGGCACCGATGCCCAAGTCGACCTTGTCGGCACGCGAGTCAGCAGTATATCTGGCTTTCAAGCCGAACAAGGGGTCTGGGGGTAATTCTTTGATACCAGGAAAGAACGAGGCCATTTTGACGGGGTATGGGATGGAAATAATGTGCGATGAACGAACCGTACAGAAAGGTTTTTATATAAGGGTTCCGGAAGTGCATGCCGAGGGAGCGCCGGTGTGCACACGCAGACAATGGGTCTGGGGAGTGCCCCACCCCCAACCCCGAAAGGGTCACAGGAAGGTATTTCCGGCCAGAAAACGCACCCGTCTCGGGTGTCAGGAGATCATGGCGGCTGCAGTTGTGCCGATGCACCACCTTCCTCTTGTGCGAGAGGGGAACACATGTGAAGGCCAACAACACGTGATCTGGGAGTTGAAAACTGTGAGGCACTGGTGGTGGGGAACGGAGAAAGTCGGGCTAGCCTGGGTAGGAGGCCACTCTTGGCCGGTCCCGATTGAGCCTGCCGCCCAGGCCGACTGGAGCAACCGCGAGTAGGCTGGAAATAGGCAGGTGGGAAATAGGCAAGCCATCGTCTGGGGCTAGGCAACCCGCACATTGGTTCTGGGGCAACCAACCTGCGAAGTGGCCATCCCCATTTTCGGCTGGGCCATCCCGCACTTTAGCTTTGGCTTCTACATCCCGCACTTACGACCCTGCCACTCCTCACACGGATGATGTGGGGGATCCTTACGCCGTTGGCACATAAGTCCGAATTACATAAGGTGGGCTTCCCCCTCCCACCATGGGGTTTGGAACTACGCGGATAACACGGAGATGCTTGGTGTTGTTACTTAGTATACTAATGTGGCCCATTATACCACAGACTTGACCTCGAAGAATCTCTTCAAGTAGTAGATTTGGAAAATGGAGTTGGAGGCAACAACAAGGATCTGGAGCACCGACCACCACTTGACTCTGGAGTTGGTGGACTCGGCAGTGTTTCTGTGGGTCCGTTCCCGGATCACCAAGTACCCTTGCTCGTCCTTGACGTTGTTAGTGGCCTCGCTCAACTTCTGGATGGCGTAGTCCAAGGTGTCGGTCTTGGGGTCGTTGACGTCCACGTAGATCACTCCGTGGACATTGAAGGACACATCCAAGTCGACTCTACCGGTCTTTTCGTTGGAGAAACAGTAGTGGTATCTGCCGTCGCTGGTAGCGTGGATTCTTTCGTCTCCGTGGTCCATGTTGTCTTTTCTCAACACAACCTGGCCGTTGGGGGTTTGGATGAAGAAATCGACCGTGTATTGTTCGGAATTGGTGGGGTTTCTCGATCCAGCTTGGAAACTGATCGCCAATTCATCGTTCTTCTTCAATGTCTCGTAGAAACATTGCTTGGAGTATGGAGGAATCAACACGTTGTGTGCGACCACCACTTGCAAGAGAGCGGCAATGAAAATAAAGACACTTGATCTCATGATGCTTGAAGCCGGATGTTTGGTTTGATTTGATGGGGATGGTTAACAACAGTCTTTGCTGTCCGTAACGCGTCCATAAAATGCTGCTGCGCACGACCGCGACTTTTCACGTCCGTGTATGAAACGAGTGTCACGTGCTGATGGAAGGGTGCAAAAAGGTATGGTTAGGTACTGTGCCTGCAGTCGCCTGATGCTTGGAACGAGTCCAAGTATGCCTGTGCAGTTTATTGTGAATGGAATCGTATTTGAGTTTTCTGGCGAAAACTGGATCTGGGCTCTGTCTTTTTTGCCCATTGAAGATGGAAAAAGACAATAATAATACTGATGCAACTCCAAGTCCATTTCGATGTCTAGCTCAAATCGAGCGAAACCTAGCGGTTTATAGCTTGTGGCCAATTTCCTTGTGTCGTTTCTGAACTTAAAACCTTCCGATATTGATTCATTTTTTTTGAACACCCGGATCTATAAATGATAGATTTTACGTTACACCTACAGCAACCGCAATTTAACGGGGAGAATTACTCAAAAAAAATCTAAGCTTTACCGTGAAAATTAAAAGCTTGATAATAAGCTTGTACTTATAGAAAATACTCATTTTCAGACACATCTCATCATCTTCATCCCCACCAAATATCAATTGAGATCCTACTTCCTGTTCCAAGCCCAAGCCAATCTGTCGCTTCTCATATAACGCAATTACAGGACTGCAAATTCTAGTCAGGAACTTAGCAACTATCCACGGACGTTTCTAATTATGACTATTTATACGATTATATACTTTAGTTACTAACAATTAATCTGCCAGCATCTCTTGCCTTTTGAATTAAAAGTTGATCGACCAAAACCAAGGCAGTCATGGCTTCAACAATAGGAACAGCTCTTGGGGTGACACTTGGATCGTGTCTTCCTCTGGCAGCCAAGACACCAGATGCACCTTCGTAGGAAGCAGTTTCTTGTTCCTGAGAGATGGTAGCAGCGGACTTGAACGCAACAGAGAAGTAGATGTTTTCACCATTGGTGATACCACCTTGAACACCCCCCGAGTTGTTAGTCTTGGTTCTCAAGGTCTTACGTTCTTCATCGAATACGAACATATCGTTGTGCTTGGAGCCTGGGATTTGAGTACCGTAGAAACCGGAACCAAACTCGAACCCTTTGGTGGCTGGTAAAGACAACATAGCGTGGGCCAAGGTGGCTTCCAATTTGTCGAAACATGGCTCACCCAATCCAACAGGACAGTTTCTGACCACACAAGTGACGACACCTCCTATGGAGTCCTTGGCATCTCTGTACTTTTCGATGACCTTCACCATTTCGTCTCTGACAGTGGGGTCTGGACATCTAATAGGACCAACACCGTCGACTTCTTCCCTGGTGATGGTGTTCAACAAGTTCTGGAACTTTGGGTCGGTTGGGTTTCTGTCCATGGCAATTTCACCAATACTGGAAACAAAAGCGACAATTTCGACGTTGTTGGCCTTTTGCAAGATCTTTTCAGCAATGGCACCAGCAGCAACTCTTCCGATGGTTTCTCTGGCCGAGGATCTGCCACCTCCAGAAGACGATTTGACACCGTACTTCTGTATGTAGGTCCAGTCAGCGTGGGAAGGTCTTGGGTATAAATCAGTTTCTGAGTAATCGTTGGGACGGTGATCTTCGTTGTGGACCAACATACCGATTGGAGAGCCCAAGGTCAAGCCATTCTCGGTTCCGGATTGGATTTGGACTTGGTCCTTCTCGTTTCTTGGCGTGGACAACTTGCTTTGGCCAGGTCTTCTTCTGCTTAATTGTGGTTGGATGTCCGCCTCGGTTAATTCCATTCCGGGAGGACAACCGTCCACGATACAGCCCACTGACTTACAGTGGGACTCGCCGTAGGTGGTAACCCTAAACAAAGTGCCGAATCCAGACATTCTTGATGTTAAAAGAACTGACCGTAGGTGAAAATTTCGATACTCCGGAACCGCTGTGAGTAATCTCATGATGTCACGTGCAAACCCTATCGGGTGGGTTTTTGAGATGTGTATATTGGGACCTGCATACGAACTAGGGGTCTACAACTTGGAGCTATTCTTTTGGCCATCCTTGATGGTCTGTACGCTCAATTCTGCCAAAGGAATGTAGAGCTTGGCAAAACCGGTGGCGTTGCCGGAAGCGCTTCCTTTTTCGACTCTCATGGCGATACCCTGACTAATGACGCAGAGTCTGACCAACCCGAACACGTAACCCAAGATCCAAAGGTCGGATGCGTTGTTGGTGGGGTCTTTGGGGTCCCACGAGGGTGCCCCATACGCGTCGTGGTACTGGCGTAATCTAGTCTGGATATCGCGGAGCGACTGTGGATCCTCCATGCCAATTTCTGTGTCTTGCGGGTGGTACAACATCCGGTTCAAGGAATTGGGAAACTGGAACGCCTGCAAGAAGTTAGCAAGATCGAACAACGGATGCCCAAACGTGCAGAGCTCCCAGTCCAACACTGCCTTGACCTTCTTGGTTTTGGTGTCGAACAAGACGTTGTCGATCTTGAAGTCCCCGTGGATCAAGGTCAACTTGGAGGGGTCCTTGGGGGCGTTGTCGAGGGTCCACTTGCATATGTACTCGAAGTCGGGGATCTGGGGAACTGTCTGTCTCTGGAGCTTCTCGACCCCCGACAAGGTCTTGATCTGACGCTGGAAGTATGACGAGCCTGTGATCTTGGACAAGTCGTGGAACTGGGGGAAGTGGGCCTTGGGAAGCTCGTTGATGAGTTTGTGGCCATCCAAGAGGTGGATAGCGCTGATGGTGTCCATAATGCTCTCCCAGTACAACTGCTTGTCCGCGTTGCTGATACCAGGCATCTCGGGGTTCTTGATCTGGTCACCCTCTATGTATTCCATGACATAGAACACGTAACCAATCACTGACTCGTCCTCACACAAAGCGTACACTTCAGGCACAGGCACCTTACGGGTATTGCCCTGGTTCAACACGTTGATTCCACGCAAAATAAAGAATTCACGTTCGATGGCATGGGCCGACCGTGACACCAACTTGCTGTTGGGGGAGGGCTTTCTGCGCAACACGAACTTCTTGCCAGCGTCGTCCAACAAGTAGGTGGGGTTGGACTGGCCAAAGGCGAACTGCTTGATGCCAAATTGGCTGGAGCCGAACTGTGGCACATTGACCCCAAGGGTGGTGCCTTGGGAGGGTGACGCCAACGAGCTCAAGTACTTGGTCAATCTGGCGACGTCAACGGGGTGTCTAACTTCGGTTACTTCTGGAGGGGCCATGGCTGTAGCGGTGGGAGAAGGCAGTGGAGGTGTTCATATAATCTTCCGGCTTGGTGCGTGTGCTCGCATCGGTGTGGGGTAGTCTGCCTCGGAAGCAAGGCTCGGACAAAAAAAGCATCTGACAGTTTTTGAGGGGCACTGGTGGTGCTAGAAACGAGATGTGATAGCAGCCACGATGCGGCCACGAGATGGCACCAGAGGCTAACGCCAGATGCCCTGCACACGGTGCTATTTGCGATGACTGGTCCAACAGGACTGCCTGGCAGTAGCCTGGCCCCCGTCGTGGGTGGCTCAGGGCCACCACGGCAATGCAGCACGCGTGCAGAACCGATCAGCACTGATTGGGGTGCACCAGGCAGATTGCGCAGCCCACATATTGACAGGCACCTCTGAGGTTATGGAAAGTTTCGCTATATAAGGGCTCCACGGCCAAGGACGTCATATAAAGACCATATTAGGTCCAGGACGTTGGGCTCCGATTTAAGCGGATTCCCATAGCTACTACATCAATTTGATTCTCCTTCTCAGAAGGCAGTCTCCCCATGTTTATTGTACGTCTATCTAAAAGGCCTTGTCGAAGCCAGTGAACACAAATCTATACTTGACGTCACCCTTGTCGAGTCTGGTCAACGCTTCGTGCACACCCTTCTCGCTGATGTCGATCTCCTCGACCCATGGCTTGATGTCGTATTCCGCAGCCAATCTCAACATCTCGTTGGCTTCCACCTTGGAACCAAGCGACGAGGACCCGAACGAGCCTCCGTTCTTGAGGAATCCCTTTGGTGCAACCTCGAACGTTTCAGAGTGAGATGGCAAACCGGCAGAAATGAAGCTGCCGTTCACCTTCAACACCGACAAGTAGTCGGTAAGGGCCAAGCCGTCAATTCCCGAGGCACAGTTCAAAATCAAGTCGAACTTGTCCATGTATCTGGAGGTCCACTTAGGGTCCTCACCAGTGGCGACAAAGTCGTCAGCTCCCATGGAGATGGCGTGATCCTTCTTGGAGGATGATCTGGAAAATGCTACCACGTTTGCTCCGATGGCATGGCCAAACTGGATAGCCAAGTGGCCCAAACCACCGATACCGATGATCCCCACAGTCTTACCCTTGGCGTCGTAGCCCAAGGTTCTGACCAATGGAGAGAACACAGTCAACCCAGCACACATCATAGGTGCGGCAGCCGAGGACGAGATCTTGTCTGGAATGGCAAACACGAATTGCTCGTCAGCAATGGCATGGGAGGCGTATCCACCTTGGGTCACGTATCCGTCGGAACGAGGGTCCACCGAGTTGTAGGTGGAGGAACGGGTAGGACAGTACTGTTCGTTGTCACTGGCACAACGGCTGCACTCTCTGCAGGCGCTGTTGGCAGCACCAATGCCGACTCTTTGGCCAAGCTTGAACTCGGTGACAAGGTCACCGAGAGCAACCACATTTCCGATGATCTCGTGGCCGACCACCAAGTCTTTTCTGCCCAAAGGTCCCCAGGCACCGTTGATGGTGAAGAGATCACTGCCGCAAACTCCGCAAGCAATGGTTTCCACTATCACGTCGTGGTCATTGAGAGGCTTGGCGGCGTACTCCACCAACTTGGGGCTGTCCCAGTTCTTGAAGTCGTCGACTCCGAATCCTTTGAAAGTTTGTGGTGCAGTTCCGATGGTCATGTTGTAAGTGGTTGGAGGCAAAATTCGTTGGCTCGCTTGCTCATTTTTATATGGAAAGTGCCCCCCACCACCCCCACCAGAATGGTTGCACTTCATGCATTAAGATAGCGCCAGTTTATCTCCATTGGGCGGCGTTACTAATGGTAATTTTGCGTCTTCCGCATTTGGACAACCGAGGACAAGCGTGTGGGTGCCCATACTGCTCCGCGTCCAACTGACACTAGCCGACGGCCAATCAGCCTGCGAGTGAAGCAGGGCCCGTTTACGTACGGCAATAGATGACAAATCAGCAATCAAGCGATACGGAGAATGCCGACACCAACTCGGACCGTGTCAAGTGGCGGGGATCATCGAGGTTTTATACTGCTGCACGGAACACCACACTTCCGACAAACCACACGGTGACCGCCACCCATGGCTCAGAGTCGTGCCGATTAGCAGCCCCGTACTCCGAGCCCGTCGCTGCCAAACCTTTCAAATCCCGCATTTGTAAGCATTGCATGCACTTCTAGATGCACCATACTTGAGGTGCAACCAGAACAGGGCACCTCGTGTCCGCTTGCCTGGTATGGCAAACGGGTGCTGTTTCCGCAATTGCTCCACTGGCAGGGCCATAAGGGGTCCCGGTAGACCCTGCGCCGATCGACAGTACGGCGATCCGAAGAACATGTACATCTATTGTGTGCAGCTGTTGATCAAATTGCGCGATGTAGCCACAAAAAACACTAATGACAGCTACTCTAAAGGATCGCGCGCACCTACCGGACTCCACCTGTCGGCGTATAGGACGCAACTATCTGTAGACCACCACCACCACCAACACCATCACCAACCGCACATGATCTAAGACTGCTACACCCTGACAGGTACTGCCAACATCTGAGTAGTACTTCAGTAGCTGAGGGGGGTGCATCCTTGCAATTCTCACGTGCCCCAGGCTGCCGCAGTCAGTGGATATGACTGCAAAATCCCCTGATTATGACGAATCTACTATGGCGCTGGACCTTAGCAGCGATCACGGAATCTGGCTATAATTTTTGGCAATGAATCAATTAGATCACCAAAGCGATCCAGTAGCCGTTACTGGATTTCCAACACTATAAAATGTCCGCTGTAGCCTGGACAAATCGTAGTTCAAGATTATCAATAATATTAATAATATTTCAATCTAACCATGTCTTACAGACCATTGGGATCCGAAGTTACTGATCCATTGATCAGAAGCAAGATCGCTGCTTTATCTTTGAACGGAAGTTTATTGACCAACGATGCCGTAGCCAAATTCCAGAAGACCATCAAGTATCCGGAATACTTGGGAGCCTTCGAGTCGGAGGAAGAGGGAAAATACAACAACTTCAAGAACGTCGACGGTGCAAAAAACGACAAGGGCCACCTCGGCGATAAATCGTTCAAGCACTTGTTCCCCGAAGGGACCAAGTATTCTACCGAAGACTTATCACCAAACTTTGGTACTGAGATTACTGGGATCCAGCTCAGTGAATTGGACGAAGCCGGCAAGAACGATTTGGCATTGTATCTCGAAACTAGGGGCTTGGCGATTTTCAGAGACCAAGACTTCAGAGACAAGGGTCCAGCGTTTGCCAAACAGTTTGGAGAACACTTTGGACCTTTGCACATCCATCCTGTGAGCTTCTCGGCCGATAAGCATCCTGAACTCTTGGTTACTTTTAGACCACCAGGAGACGAGACCAGATACGAAAAAGGGTTTGCTGGAAAGACTGGTGCTTTCGCCTGGCACTCCGATATCAGTTTTGAGGAGTATCCTGCTTCGTTTTCTTTCTTTGTTGCTTTGGAAGCTCCCAAGAGTGGTGGCGACACGGTCTTCATTGACTTGAGAGAGGCCTACAGAAGATTATCTCCAACCTTGCAGAAGTTTTTTGAGGGATTGACCGTAATCCACACGAATTACTATCAAAACCAGTTGGCATCTCTCAACGGAAACACTGCCAGAGTCAAGGGAGACTACTTCACCGAGCACCCTTTGGTCAGAACCCATCCTGTGACCGGAGAGAAGAGTTTGTACTTTTCCCGGGCCTTTATTCACAGTATTAAGGGGGTCAAGGCTGAGGAGTCCAGCTTCATTTTGAACTTCTTGGAGCAACACGTTACGAGCAATCCAGAAATCCAAGTTAGAGCCCAACACAAGGGTACAGATGCTAGAACTGTCATTGCCTGGGACAACAGACTCGCTGTGCATACTGCTATTGCGGATTTCTTGCAACACGCTACTGGGCCAAGACACCACTTCAGAATTACTGTGCTTGGAGAAAAACCCTACCTTGAAGAGGAAAACAAAGAGGAGGAGGTTGCAGTGAATGGACACTCAAATGGACATTCAAATGGACATTCAAACGGACATTCAAACGGACAAGCGCAAAATGGGGCTCTTAACGGCAATTGAAAACCTCCCAGTTTATTTTACTGAAGATAGTTAATGTTCGATATGTTGACAATGTTGTGAATTTAATTCTTCTTGTGATGTTATGATACTTAATACACAATTTATTCAGACTGACGTAGAATGCTGTATAGAACTACTTTGAATAAACTACAGTTAAAAAACGTCGAATCACTGTCATTACTACATTGAGCTAAAAATCGTAACTCATAATTTATAGGGGTTTTCACATCCCTGACGTAGTTTACTTGATATTCAATGAATAGTAGTTGTAGATACCACGTTGTGCAAATTCCAGGGGCCATACATCCTCGATGTATTTCCCATTTTCTTTTGGCCTAAGTTTTTTGGCATTCCGCAAATTATAGTATCCAATAGAACAACTGATCTTTCTGGATGCATACTTCAAAAATTCCGGCTTTTTGACCTTGCTGACAATTTTGTTTCCAGTTTCCAAATCGTAGTACACCAAGTTTGAAGAAAATGAGGCATTTCCACGAGATGAGTCTGTGCTGGTTGTGTTGATTATGGACGAGAATTCTGGGTCTGACTCATCAAGTTTGTAAATCCAAGCTCTTCTACCTTCATTGTCATAGAACTTCCAAACTTGGGGTGTGGTGGCTTCGTCAATGAATGACTGCTGAGCTGGTGTAATCTTAATGTGTTGTCCCTTGTTTGTGAGATCAAACAAAACCTTGTAATCAAATTCAACTGCAATTAATGAGGTGTTAAACATTGTTTTGAGTAGCTGGTTAAGATTCCATCTTGAAAAATTTTTAATTCCAGTAAGGTCCAAAAATTTAAGCTTAGATTCGCTTTCGCTAAGAGATGCAAGATCGTCGTAAGAGACTGTGGCGTGACTTATGGAAAGACTCTCGAGGTTGGTGAATTTGTTCTTGATTACGTTCAAAATTCTGGAATTTACAGGAAGACCTCCCAAATTAAGGTACTTCAAGTCTGGGGCCTTCAAGTGACGAAGTGTGTAAAGGAGATACACATCCGAGAGTGGAGATACAACGTTGGTATCAATTTGAAGATTAAGCCATTGGAGTGAGTCGTTCGCAACGGCAGGATGAGTAGTCAAAAAGTTGATTAAGTCTTTGGTTGTTAATTTAGAACAGCGAGCCAAGGACAAATGCGTAAGTCTCACTGAATGTGGCAAACAATTCAAAAGTACGGTTGAATTGATTGAAGTGTGGTTAAGATCAAGTCGGGTGAGTGAAGTGAAATTGGGAAGAAGCTTATTAAATATGTCGAGTGTGAGACTTGAACAATCATGGAATGAGATTTTCATCAAATTATCGAGGGAAGACTCCAGTGGAAGAGTTTCATGAATAGTAGGAGGCAGCATTGGAGGAGGGCTTTGGAGCTCATCCATTTCAAAATCTTCATCCTGGTGTTGTTCGACTTTCATCTGAATATCTTCTGTATTTGGATTAGCAGAACCTTTAATGACAAGCTGCTGGAATGCCTTTACAAATGCGTCGGAAGAGGCACCACAAAAGTCGAGGGCCTGGATCTTGGGCAATTGGTTGAATAATAAATCAAGAACATTGACATCCATGTCGTCCTGGATGTTTTCGGAAGCCAAAAACTCGATCAAGTTAGGAGTAAGACCCAAAGACTTGGCGATGGTAGCACTAGTGACCATCTGAATTTCCTGGTTCATTCTTCCAGTTCTTCCTAGTCCGATGGACGTGAATTGTTGGAAGTCCATGTACTCCACGTATTTTCCGATCGTAGGACTGTTGAGTAAGTTCGAGAGGAACTTATCGAATGCATGAGGCCTGTTAAAAATGGCATACTTATACAAGAAGCACAATGAAAGCTGATGGATTTTTTTCAGTAATAAAGGGATGGTATTTGCAAAGTTTTCGAGATTTGAGTTAATGCTAATGGAGTTATCATCATAATAAACGATTTCTATGATAGTGTACAAGATTTCCAATGGGAGGGAAACAAGTGGGGAGAATGGCTCCTCGTTTTCTGCGTCCACACTCATGTGGTCGTCCTCTGGGGCTGGGTCGTTGTTGTAGAGGCCCAAGTCGTAGTTGGACTCGTGCAAGTCATGGTTGTAGAAATCGACTCTGGAGCTGGTTCTGGAAGGTCTGCTGGAGGACGATTCGGGAATCTCATAGATGTGGGACGATTTGGGCTTGGGGTAGAGGAGATTGGCGGGGGCTTCGAAGAGCTGCTCTTCGTTGGAGGTGATGGGGGAAAGGAAGAAGGACGATGGGATGGAGTACTTCTGGTGGGGCAGATGCAGACGCTTGCGGGACTGCAGACGCCGCCTCTCTCTGTCTTGGGAGTGTGCTCGAGGCTGTCTTTCGTCGGTGTTCAAGGTGAGCTTGGTGCTGTCCAGCTCCAAGCCATGGAGGGAGTCCTGTCGCCTGGAAGCACGGTGGGAAGGCTGCCAGTCCCAGCCGCGTGGAATCTGTTTGTCTTTGGAAGAGACCTGGCCCATGGAATACAAGTTGGGGGTGCTATAAGGAACTCGGTGCAAGTCGCTCTTGTTAAAATTAATCATCGCAGCGAAAGTGTGCACACTAAACGGGGCAGTTTGAATATGGCGTGGGAGGCCAAGCGAACCTTTACAGCAATACCCTGGAAAACGGTTTGTTTTAATGGGTTGTAATACGACTAGGTGACCTTGCCAGGCACGGCACGGTCACGGTGGGCTCGTCTAGACCCGTGGTTGCCCAGGCGCTATTGTGGGTACCCCTCCGAGATCGCATAAGCGTGGCCAGCGAAGAGGTGGGGCTGGCAGGCGGAAAGTTACCGCGAGGATCGCACTGGGGCGCTTGCGGTGGGACGTCACCGTGGGGAGACGCACGGGGAAGGTGGAGACACCATCCCATCACCCACCCACCACCCACCACATACCACCCCCAAGAGGACGTGGGACAGCCAGTATGTTGTAGGATATACCACCACAGTGTCCCTACCGTGCCACCACCACCTCTAGCGGTAAGATCCCGGATGCGCTCTCCGATGAGGACCCTCGTCGATCGTCCGGGGTTCGAGGTGTTCATTGCAAAAAATGCCGTAAGGTGCGCGCGGGTGCGCGCTGGCACCCGCCGCAGTAGGCGGTCGTTTCCCGATTCGCAGTGACCACCGCCAGAGGCACTACGGGAATTTCTGGTCCCACCACGCCCGCGGCTGGCTGGCGGGAGCGGCCCTGCTGATGTGGGGTCGTATTGTGGAGACTGTTGGGCCGCCGCAGGGGACGGAGCTGACTCGGCCCACGTCCGCAACCAGCTATCCTCCATCGTGCCATATGCTGGTTACTCGTGGCCTACCCCATAAAAGGAGTGGGGCCCCACCACCTGTGCCTAGCCTTCTCCGACCCAGCCCAGCCCTCCGCCAGACCCTTGGTGCGCATCCCCGGAAGGCCCGCTTACGTAACCGCCGCTCCTCCGGAACGGTCCGGTATGATTCATCTTGTAGGCTCTTCACCACCAGAAGCACCACCAAAACTGCCAATTGACCATGGCTAGCCCCTCCAATCACACTCCCCCTCCCATCAATGCGCCCCCTGACTCCGATGACGAGTCGTTCTCGGAGTTCGAGCGCTTGGAGTCCACGTTGCCCGACCCATTGAAACGGTCTGCTACCTCATTGCTTGAGTTGTTGAGCGTATCCACCAACAACCCCCACATCAACCCCAACCAGCCATATCCGTTGGGCCACCACGCCAGCCCCTCTGGATCATCTACGCCAGCGTCGGCTCTCAGAGACTCAGGGTACCCTTCCACCAGAACTCCCAGACCAGAGCCCCACGGAAGACACCCCACTCTTCACTCCCACTTGGTGCAAAAGCTCTCAGAAAGCAACAGTGGACGTGAGCACTCGCCTATCCCGTTGCCCAAGCCCAAGTTCGATGCCGCCATCCACAAGCCGGCCATGAACACCAAGCAGTCGTCTACGGGAGTGCTTTGGGTGACGGAACGTGCTGGAGAGTACGGCTTCAATCCCGAAGATAACCACGACTGGGCCAACTTGGGTCAAGGTGCACCAGAACACGGTGACACCGTGCCAGGCTCGTTCAAAAGACCCACTTCCATCCCCATTTCCGAGCTTTCCAAGGAGTACGCTCCGACTGCTGGAATCAAGCCCTTGCGTGAAGCCGTGGCCAACTTGTACAACGAGGCCTACAGGAAGAACAAGTCCTCCAAGTACACCTATAAGAACGTGTGCATCGTGCCAGGTGGCAGAGCTGGCTTGACTAGAATTGCTTCCATCATCAGCGACTGTTACCTCTCGTTCTTCCTTCCCGACTATACTGCCTACGCAGAAATGCTCTCGCTTTTCAAGAACTTTTCGCCCATTCCTGTACCCTTGAGCGAGTCTGACAACTACGAGGTTCACCTCAATGTCATCAAGCAGGAGCTTGTTAGAGGTGTCAGTGCCTTGCTCACCTCCAACCCCAGAAACCCCACCGGTAAGTGTATGACTCCATCGCAATTGAAGCGTTTGCACCAGTTATGTCGCCAGAGTTGTTTGCTTATCATGGACGAATTTTATTCCCACTACTACTACGACGACGGGTGCACTGGCTCGTCGATTTCCTCGGCAGAATTCGTGGAAGATGTCAACAAGGACCCCGTGTTGATTCTCAACGGTCTTACCAAGGCGTTCCGGTTGCCAGGCTGGCGGGTGTGTTGGATCTTGGGCCCCGAAGAGTACATCAATGCGTTGAGTTCCGCTGGATCCTTCTTGGACGGTGGATGCAACGGTGCGTTCCAATACGCAGCCGTGGACTTTTTGCAGCCACTCAAGGTGAGGCAGGAAATGAAGGCCCTCCAGATCCACTTCAAGATGAAGCGTGATTACATTCTCGGTCGTCTCTCCAAGATGGGCTTCACTTTCAACCAGGATAATACCCCCAACTCCACCTTCTACTTGTGGTTGAATCTCTCGCACTTGCCAGGCAAGTTATCCAATTGTCTTGGATTCTTCCACGAGTGTTTGCACGAGAAAGTCATCATCGTCCCAGGCTTCTTTTTCCTCATCAACCCACAAAATTTGTCCAGGCTTGAGGACGTCATTTGGTACAACTACGTCAGAATCAGTTACGGACCAGAGTTGCCTCAGCTAGAGAAGGGAATGGACGGTATTGAGCGCATCTTGCACAAGTTCGGGTGCCTTCCTTACGAGATTTAGTGTTTTTTTAGTGGTTAATGACCAATTTCCAATGAGCGTGATATTTATTAGCCCTATTGTATATTCCTGGCTGATTAGCATGTGTGGTTTGTTGTCATGTGGGCATGTGCCTAGGGATGTCGTAGAATGTCGCACGGATGTCGCGGCTTCCCTTTCCTACCAAAGGCAATCCTTACAACGACTAATCCTTTGTAGATTTAGTTTCCATTTCGATCTCCCTACTTGGTCTTCGTATACTTTCTTGCATTATCGTCAAAACAATGGCATCCTTTGATACCTTGAGTACTGCCTCCAGTACTATTGCCGATATTATTGCCCTGAAAGGCGAGAACATAGACAACCTTCCTCCATTTACAAGCGCCAGCGGCGCTTCAGAATTGCTACTGCAAAGTGAGGCTCCGTCTTCTTCCATATTTGGGACCTTCATATGGATTGGCTCCCTGATGTTCTTGAAAGGAATCAATTGGTTGGTACTTTACATCCCCACAATCATTATGAATCTCCTTAGCACCAATTTCCAAATATCGTTGTCGTTATCCTCCCTTCTCCTTTATTTGGGCATTATTACAGGTTTCTGCTTCTTGGTGGTACGGTACAAGTACTTAACAAGATATTCCCAGAACACGGCAGACTCGAACCATCAAAAGAAGACCCTCAATGAGGGCATGGACTTTGTTGATCCCTTGAATTCTAAGAAGCGGAAGAAGACCTCTAGCACAAATTACTTGGACGAATTCTTGAGTGCTATTAAGGTATTTGGGTACTTAGAACGGCCTGTATTTCACGAACTCACGAAGAGTATGACCACTCAAAAGATCGCCAGAGACGAGATCCTATACCTCAACGAAAGTCTTGGCTTCACCATAGTAGTTGAGGGCACGCTCCAGGTTTACACCAAGATCGACAACAAAAATGAGCAGGATTCGAGCCAGTATTTTGATTCAAATGAGGACAACGAGTTGAATTTTGAAAAAGATGACACACTTGTCATAGGCGATCAAAGATATCAACTTTTGAATGAAGTGAAAAGCGGTGCTCCGTTGAGTTCGTTGATAAGTACGTTAGACCTTTTCAAACCCCTGGACGAACCAAATCTAAACTCCACCTTGTCTTCATTCAAAATTAATGGCAAATCACCTCTGGTAGATCGAGACCAAACTGTTTCACCAACTCCATTTAATGATCTTTTGAGGGAAAATTCTACAACCTCGTCTATTGCATCAGGACCTATCTCACCTTCACAAGGTGTGCCAACTCCTCCGGAGGAGCAAGAGCAAGAGCGGCCCAAGTACCCTCATATTGTGGTTAAGCCAAAGCCAGCAGAGGATTTATCTAACAAAAATAGGTACCATCATGGAGGTGCTACCATTGCCATTATACCACGTCAAGCTTTTCAGAGAGTTCAGGCCAAATACCCTAAAGCTACCTCGCATATAGTTACCATGGTTTTGACCCGTTTGTACAAGGTAACTATGAATGCTATTCACAACTATTTGGGTTTAACCAAAGAGATTATCGAAAGTGAAATACAATTAAATAAGTTAGAAGGGATTGAAGATGGTTTGTCATTGCCAAGATACCTTTACGAAGGTTTAATCGAAAAGTTTTATGACAAAAATGGGCTCAAGAAAGCAGGTTCGTCTTTATCTTCTTCCATAAGCATTCAGAAAAGTATCAGCTCCAATCAAAATTCATCGAACGGTTCAAAACCAAGGGGGTTGAATCGTACATCTTCGAGATACGTGGTATTGGCTTCACGATCAAAGTCATCTCACCCAGGTGATTTGTTGTCATCAGTTCCTTTATCAAGAAGATCAGATTATTATCAGAGTCATACACATCCTCCATTACCATCAAACTTTGTTCTGGAGGCTAATTTCAATTCTAGAAGGTCCGAGCAAGGACAAGCGTCCAAGTCTTATAATTCGCCAACCTTAAATGAGAGCAAAAACACTTCGACTAACTTCGAAAATATTCGTGAACGGACGTTCTCTGATGAGAGGGAAGAAACCGAAGAAACTTCCCTTCGAATTGCTATAGTGGAAAACATGTTCAAAATTTTGGGTATCAACGAAAATTCAAGTTTGACTAGTACCATGAACTTGGCTTCAAATCAATCTTCTGTGAGTTCCTCGATGGTTGGATTGTCAGCCTTGATGGACGAAAAGGATAACAGAAAATATGCAAATGGTACTTACGATTCGAGAACTGGCGTGGTTAGATTTGACTCGATTGGGAGTAATCTACTTGCACCAGGGAGATCTTCCACTCCTATCAAATTTTTCAGCACCATCAACCAATCTGATTTGAAGACTTCTAACTCTCGTGACTCCACACCTTCAACCTTACTCGAAAACACTGGCCAAAGGAACTCAGTGCAGGCCCTTCATCCCGATTTTAATAACGTCAAGAATGAGTTCTCAAAAGTATTGGATATAAAATATTTCGAGCCAGGTACAACTTTGGTAGAACAAGGTACTTTTAATTCGGGATTGTATTTTGTCTTGGATGGGAATCTTGAAATATTGTATTACCCAGTTAATAATGCTAGTGACGTTTCGTCTTCGCGTTCGAAATCTGCAAAAAGATTATACACGGTTGAACCTGGTGGATTGGCAGGATATTTGACTTCGATTGTTGGCTTTCGCTCGCTAGTTACTATTAAGGCCCCAAAGAACAGAGGTGTGATTGTCGCACATATCCCAAAAACCGAGTTTGCAAAATTGATGGACAAGCATCACTTTTTACTTTTACCAGTGGCATCTAAATTGAAGAGCTTATTGTCCAGGCAAATTTTAACAATTGATTTCGCTCTAGAATGGTGTCACATCCCGGCAGGAAATGTTTTGTGTTCTCAAGGCGACTTGGCCAATGGTTTCCATATCGTATTAAGTGGAAGATTCCGTCTGGTTCGAAATAATAGTCTAACATCTGAAGCTACCTTAACGGATTCCAATGCTGATGATCATAGTTACAATGGTAATTTGATTGATGAATCGAATAGTCCGAAGCATCTTCGGGCTTCAACAACAGAGGAAATGGAAACTTTGGGAGAGTATGGTCATGGTGAGACCATTGGAGAGGTTGAGGTTTTAACAGCATCTAGAAGAACCAACTCTCTTATAGCAGTTAGAGATTCAGAAACTGCAAGAATTCCAAGAACTTTGTTTGAGATGTTGTCCCTCCAAAACCCGTCTCTTATGGTCAAAGTATCCAGAATTGTTGCCAATAAAGTTGCCATTAAAGCTTCTTCTATGAATCATGGATCCAATTCCATGCTTATCCCTACTTCTACTACCCCTTACGTCTCAAATGATTATAAAACGATCACAATTTTGCCTACTGTCAGTGGATTGCCAGTTCGTGAATTCGCTGATAAATTGGTACATGCTTTGAAGACGATTGGAAGGAATGTTATTGTTCTTGACCAAGCATCAACTTTGACTCACCTTGGACGTCATGCGTTTGACGAACGATTATCGCAGCTAAAATTGTCTGGGTATTTCGCGTACTTGGAAGAGAGATACGAGACAATCGTGTACATTTGTGATACACAGCTTAAATCGAACTGGACTTCCACGTGCATTTCTCAGGGAGATTGTATCTTACTCTTAGCGGATGCTGAAGATGATGTGGTGGCATCTGGAATTGGAGACTATGAACGACTCTTGATCAAATTGAAGACTTCGGCTCGAACTGATTTGTGCTTGATTCATCAAGATAAATTTGTTATTCCTGGCTCTACCAGCATTTGGTTAAAAAACAGGCTTTGGGTACATGGGCATCATCACATTCAAATGGAAATCCCGAGAGCTGCAGACCAGCAAGTAAAAAAGAAGCCAAATATCATCAGTGACCTTGCTGCAAAGATTGGTAGCAAAACTAATCCTAATATTAAACTTAGATTCGAGAATGTGAAATCGAAAGCAATGTCCTCGTTTATCAAGTTAAACAATAAAATTAATAGAAATGAAGGCAATCATTTCAAATCACCCCAATCTCATAAAAACGATTTTTTGAGATTAGCTAGAATTTTGTCAAATGAAGCAGTGGGATTGGTTCTTGGTGGTGGAGGATCTAGAGGTATTTCCCACGTTGGGGTAGTTCAAGCCTTGGAAAAGCATGGCATACCTGTCGATTTGATTGGAGGAACTTCGATTGGTTCTTTTGTTGGTGGCTTGTATGCCAAGGACTATAATACTGTCTCCATTTATGGTAGGGCCAAAAAGTTCTCTAAAAGAGTGGCTTCTGTGTGGAGATCAATATTGGATTTGACCTATCCTGTCACTTCCTATATTACCGGATATGAATTTAACAGGGGTATTTGGAAAGTGTTTGGATCCACCGAAATTGAGGACTTCTGGATTAAGTACTTTTGCAACTCGACTAATATAACCAATTCTACCATGGACATACACGAAAATGGCTACGCGTGGAGATTCATCCGTGCATCGATGTCATTGGCTGGTCTTCTACCCCCAATTGCTCACAATGGGTGTATGTTACTTGATGGTGGCTACTTGGATAATTTACCAGTGATGGAAATGAAAAAGAAGGGCGCCAAGTACATCATTGCTGTGGATGTCGGCTCAGCCGATGATAGAACTCCAATGAACTATGGTGATACCCTTTCAGGATTCTGGGTATTGTTTAATCGGTACAATCCCTTTTCGAAGCATCCCGACATCCCAAACATGATGGATATTCAAATGCGGTTGGCGTATGTGGCCAGTGTTAATGCTCTAGAATTGGCTAAGAAGACTCCAGGTGTGATGTACTTGAGACCCCCAATAGATAACTACGCCACGCTAGACTTTGCCAAGTTCGACGAAATCTACCACGTCGGTTTGGCGTATGCTGACTCCATATTCAGCACCTGGGAAAACGAGGGCAAGCTCCCTCCAATCTTGGGTATGGTGGACAAATCAGAAAAGAACAATGAGAGAAGACTTTTATACAGAAGAAACTCTATATAGACTCCATGACTTGCTAGAGCAGTGTCTTCTAGATGAAAATATCGCTAGCATATAGGATGGTCCCCAAAAACAGTACAGTAGTAGGTAGTGCGCATATCGGTATTTGCAACCATCGCAGGAATTTTTCAGACCCTAGATCTGCGTAAGGGCAATTGTATATGACTATCACAATATGATAATACAAATGCTACGGCGACATGGGGCTCGCTTGGGACCAAGGTGGCCAGCTCACAGATTGCTCTCCAACAATACCAAGCCGCTTTTAAAGTACGACCCGACAGATCTCGAGGGCGATTTCACATCATACAACGTCCTTCCATTTCTACAACACCGCCTCAACCAGCATTTGCTCACGAATATGCCTACAGGTAGGACACCAAGTCACAATTTAAGGCCAACGGATGATCAGCGTAAATTATTAGCCATCCTCCAGTCACAGCACAGTGCTATTTTGAACGGAGGCGTGAGTACAGGAAAGTCCCTAGCCTCCGCTATCTACGCCTTGAACCTTACTTTTTCAAGGGTGCCCAAGTACGGGATAATCAGGAAGCGTTCAAGTGTGGATAGCATCATTTTAGTACCGACAGATGAGATGGTGGCGAAATATCAAATGTATTTTGAGATGTTGACCACGGATATTCCTGCGTTGTGTTGTCCTGATGAGCTTAAACTTCAAAAAGGCGGCACAGGCTACACTTTAACGAGAAGGCCATTGGTCATCGAGTACTTGTTTTCTGAAAAACCAACCGAAACATATTCCACGGATCTGCAATCCTCAGTGCCACAAATTCTTGTCACCACTTTATCGGGCTTGGAGAAAGTTGTCCGCAGTGAAGGACCCCAACAAACAAAGCAGAAGCACTTGTTAGACTTACAGCTACTTGCTGTGGATGACATGAGTTTGTTCCTCAAATCAACACATATAGGCCAGGATTGCCTTATCCAAAAGTCTGGGAAGAAATCGAAGTATGTCAACAGTGTTCAGAGCCTTATCAAAGAAATACAAAACTTGCATCTATCAGAGTACTACAAGGACTTGGATAGACGATTAGATATTACAAAGAAGAAATTTGAAGAAGAGAAGGGGTTAAACAACCTTGGCCCCTCTGAACTTGAGAAAAGACTTACCAAGCACAGGCGTAAGTTCCTTTATAAACCAATTCAGTATTGCTTTATTAGTAAATCTGAGGAGTCCTATAAGCATTTACTTCAAACCAAGCTGAATCTTGATAATACGAGGAGTATCAATATGGCAATACAAAAACACAACCAGGTTCAGCCTCAAGGATTTGATACCACAAAGATACACGATCTATACACAAAATTTCTTATTGAAAAAAGTGATCAACTTACTCAACGAGATGAAGATCCACTTACTAGGTTTGTTGAGAAACTTATCAGATTTAATGATACCCAAAGAGTACTAAAAGAGAGGGAAAGGAAACTAATTTCTGCATCAAGTAGTATTTCCTTAGATTCTCAACTGTCAACTACCGACTCATCTAATTTCTCTTCAAAACCCTCTTCTAATGAAGTTCTGATGATTAATGCCTATTTCCCAATAGGTCTTACAGGTGAGAAGTTAGAATTAGTATTGAAAGATTTAAATGTATCAGAAAACTTTCCTTCTGACTCTGAGATAGTCAATCTTATGAATCATCATGTGGAACTATCAAGACACAACGTGAAGAACCTTGAAAAGTCATTCTTAAAATTCAAAACGGATTTGGAAAAGGATATGGTTGATAGGTCAAGTATCCGAAAATACATCCCACCTTTAATTAAAAAGTTCAAAGAGTTGAATCCAACCAACGACTCAAAATTTTTAGTCGTTGTACCTAACTATGTTAACATCAGAAAGATTATCAAAAAATTGTCTGGCACTTGCAAAGGTGAGAAATTCAGGGCACTTTCCGACACAAAGGTTAATCAAGGTATAGCTACCCAAGGTGAAACCGACCAAACTGAAACTTCTCATACTGAAATAGCTGCTGGAAGCTCTCAACATCTCATCTTGAATGCTTCTCAGTCCATTGGTATTGACTTTTCGGGCTATTCTAATGTGATTATTTTTGGCCTTGACTCCTTAATTCCTCAGTTGGCTTTTGTTTCCAAGCCATCATTGTCCTCTTCGGCAAATAAGGTATCTGGTATCGTGGATCCATTTGATGATTTGAGCGTCTATTATTTGGCGAAGTTACTTGCAACACCAACCAAGCAGGAAAAGAATATCCTCTTTGTTTTCGACTCGTACAGTAAAAGGTCATCTAAGCAAGATAAAATAAAAAGCGAACAGAGCCTTAAACGTTTCAGTGAAATCATAATGTATAATCAATTGGTGAAGAAAGTCAACACCAAAAGCTTATTCGAGGAAGATATTCCGCTAGTTTACGGAATTGATGACAGTTTTGTCAGTTCAGTACAATCTCAAAAATGAAGTAATGATAAACCCTAAGTGCATACATGTATATATTTATTTAATCCTGTAAAAATTGAAACCTAGAAACTCCCACCCTAATATTAACATAAAATAGCATAAGCTATCTATAAACCTTTATTAAAGACCATTATTAGCCTTCAAGAGCCATTCCACCTGCTTGCATTCTCATTTGCAAAGTTTAATGTTTGTTGTCCCTTCAAAGACTTTGAGCTTTCGTCGGCAGACAACAATGTTTTATAGAATTGAACTACTCTTGGATGTGATCTCACTTTATTCTCATTGAAATTCAAAACCTGTAAACCTTCCCTGGATACAGCTCTGGACAAGGCAACATAGGACTGCCCGGTTTCAAAAACATTCTTCAAATCAACTTTCACTTTAGGTAATGTTTGACCCTGAGATTTATGAATAGAGATCGACCAAGCAAGTATTAGTGGAAGCTGTACCCTGGATACTAAAACTTGCTGCATTTCATCCTCGACATTCCACTGCTCTGGCTCTACTAAAACAGTCCTGGTGTTCACACCATCGGGAAGAAGGAACCGCACCAAAGGATACTTTTTGTTTTTTGAGTCTTCTTTGATGGTTTTTAACAACTTTTCTTTTCTTTGCTTATTTTCATCCTCTGGATCATTTTGTGAAAGCTCCAGGGTAGATGATACTTTTTGAGAAACATCCAATTTTGGCAATTGACTATCGGTACTTGAGCAATCTATGATTGAATTATCAGGCAGAGCATTCTCTTGGTTTGAAACCAGCAGAAATATATAGTCAGAGCCCTTATCTTTCTCGTCACCATATGCCTTCTGATAAGTATCTTTGTCCATAAAACCAACCACTTGACCAAGGGATCCATTGACAAGCGTTTCATCAAAATTTTTGATGCACATAACTTGGGCATCTTTTTTCAAGAACAACTGTTGTGGGGCCAAAAAATTTGACAAAAGAGTTTGTCTCTGAGGGTTAGGTAAGGTTCCAGAGTCAATTGAATTGAAAACTTGTGCAGGACCATTAATTTTATTCAATCTCGAATTATTTGCTCTGTCTACTTCCATTCTGGTTGCAAACAATTCAGTTGGAACTATCCCAGTTGGACACTTCAATGGTCTCGATAATTGATGAAATTCTCGAATGCTTCTTTCTGAAACTACCCCTGTTCTCATTTCATTCAACATATCAATAAAAACTTGGTCTCCTTTTTGACGAAAAACTTCTTTTAAAATAATAGTCTGTTTGATGCACTCTCTCCATGCATAACACTCGAATGAAAATAATGGTTCTTGTGGCTGATTGAGCCCATTGCCATCTGGTCCAGTTCTCTTCACAACAGGTGGTAATTGGTAAAAATCACCACAAGCGACAAGCTGTATTCCTCCGAAAGGTAGTTGGTTCTTTCGTATTCTCTTGGCGATCTCATTTAATTTGTTTAAAAGTTCTCCATCGACCATTGAAATTTCATCAATAATCAAAACCCTGGTTGTCAACCACTTATTGATTGCCTTTCTATTCCGACGGAGCTTCTTTATCAATTGATCGGTTGGCTCTTTCGCCAACCCTACACCAGCAAAACTGTGTAGTGTGATTCCCCCAATATTACAAGCAGCTAGACCTGTGGAAGCTGTAACAGCTACACCCCCCTCTTTGTAACGACCCTTCAAACTTTTTATAATGGTTTTAAGCAAAACTGATTTACCTGTTCCTGCAGAACCAGTGTAGAACAATGAAGTGCCACCAAGCACTTGCTTCAAAACATATTCTTGTTCAGATGATAAGATGATCGGTTTGACGCTCTTAATATTATCTGCTGAGGGTGTGAAGTTGTTACTATTCATATCGGGCTTTTGAGTAGCAAATTGAATTGAATGGTACAGTTCTTCTTTCTTTTTCTCTCGGGTCTTATTAATCGAGGAATTCGAGAAGTTTCTCGTCTGGTAAGAGGGATTGAAATTATCTGATATGTTTCTGAGTGGCGTTTTAAACGGTGCCATGAATGAGGATGTGGGTACTGAGTCCTCTACCTCTATTATTTCGGGGAGCTCCTTATCTGAGATTATCGGACCCTTGCTGATTGGAATTTGCTCATTCTTAAAGATACTTTTTGGTAAATCTACTGTGTTTGCTTTACGGACTGGCTCTTCAGTTCTCTCGAAATCTATCTTGTAAAATCCAAGGACATTTGGAGTATCGGGGACAACACGTTTAGACTCACTCTTCAACGAAGAATCTGCAGGTCTTTTAACTGATTCGAAGCCTGTATTTGCCTTGTGACTCGCAGCTGCCTTCAATATTGCTTCATCGTCATCACTGAAGTCAAACGAATCACTGAAGTCCGAGAATGAATCGGATTTTGGCAGATCAACTTTTATGACTTCCTCAGTTGCAAGTTCATGTTTAATGCTTCGGACATCACTAACAAATCGGTTCTGACTTCCCATCTTATTTCTGTGCACATCCTGGCTTGAAATATTGTGGAATTGGGAGTTTGATAACGGTGGCTTTACAGCACCCTGGCTCTCTTCGCTGAAAGATGAATCAAAATCAACAACTTCTATGGCTTTTATTATGGCTGGATCCCTTTCAACTCCTCCTGCAACACCCAAACTAAATTTCTGTTCATTTACCTGCATTCCTCGAAATTGAGCTCGATGAATCCACCGCCACGTTATTTGTGATTTGATAACTCCAAGCCGAATCATGCAATCTCAAACAACTTTGTATTGTTGTTACCAATCTCTACCTGGTTGGCTTTTGGATGTCGTATGAAAGGCACTCTATGATTTCTGAAATCTACTTTAGTTGTGTGTATGACAAGTACTGTTTTAAGAAACTAGACGCGATTGTATCATGTGATATTTATCATGTGACTACAGCTCTTATTTAATGATATGATCCAGAAGCTTTTGTATGAAACGTCAAACCAGACGACAATTAATGTGTATTGGCACCAATTGCCCATCCTAAGCCAGAAACAAACATCTTCGACAATTTCTCACTTGCGTGATTTGTAGAGGCAGTTGCCTCGTTTATGATGTCATTAGCAATAGCGCCGATATTCTCCTTGAACTCGCTAGATATTGTTATGTCATTGAACTTGGTCACATCCTCGACAATTGAGTCGGTGTAATGAGCCTCGATTTTCTCGTTAACCACTTGCCACTGTCTCAAAATGGCTTTGGTATTACTTGAAAATGACAATACCTCTAGGGTCAAACTAAGTATTTCTCTTTGTTTGAGTAGAATATCAATGGTCTCGGGATCATCTGGAGAAATATACTTACCAACCTGATAAAAGGTCAACCAGAGTTCATTCAAATTCTCCTGGTGTTCGAACAATTGCTTGGAATTCTTATAAGCAAACGGAAAATTGTTATCGATCAAAGCAGACTCAATACAAGCAGCTTTAAGCTTATTAAAAGCCGATCGGCTCGACTGATCTGTTTCACTTTCAGGTGAATCTTGACTATCTTCAACGAAGAAGAGGTTCAAATCATTCAATATCTTGTATAACTTCTCAAACGCTAAGTATGACTTGGGATTCAATTCAAGAATCAAAGTAATCAACGAAAGTGACGAATTGTCTTCTTCTGGTCTAAACTTTGTGATAAGTTTGTGTGGTGTAAGTGGATTGTTATACCCAAGATGAATTTTAAAGTTCTTCATATTTGAAATTGCTTTCAATAAGTGCTTTATGGCAACAATCTTTTTTCTTGTTTCAGGCAACAACTGCTTTGATCCTAATTGATCAAGAAGACCTATGCATTGGCTGCATTCGTAAAGCTTTCCACTTCTATCATCAAAGTTTGTTGCGAGATCAAAGCATTCCCAAAATTTGTCTAGGATTATTATAGCCAAGTCATTATCGGGGATCTCAAAATCTTGGTTCAAATCCATTATGGAGTTGAATAAGCCAGCTGAAAGAAATCTTTCGATGACTAAGGTGTTGATGTCAGGTAGCTCTGATGCAGGAACAAATGCGTTTTTGAAATTCTGAACTGAAGTAAGCAATGGGCCAGAATTTGAGCTGTTGAGGTTACTTGTTATTTTAATTATCTCTCTTCTATTATCATTAGATTCGGTAGTGGAGTATCTCAATTGTAAGTACTTCGAGATAGTAAGCTTATTGATAGGAAAGAGCTTTTGGCAAGTTTCAACAATATTTCTTAGCGCTGAGATTGAGTGTCCAGTTGGTTCAAAGAGTGGCGCAAGAGGATTTGACTTATCTTCAACAAACTCATTCAAGGTATCATAAGTTGGGAGTTGATCAAAACCATTCTTCAATTCTATGGGTTCCTTTTTAGTCTTGATAAAGTTGAGCGTGCTCAAAATAAGATCATAAACTTTGATTGTCTCAATTGAAGTTAAAATTTCAGATTCACTAATTGAATAGAAGTATACTCCTGCAATAAAATGCTTGATGATGCTACTATAGTCTTCAAAATCGAACACACCTGACTGTATTATGGTCCCAATGGTTATGTTCCATATTTCGTATTTGGATGTATGCTTTTGGACTTCGAAAGGCACAAACAACCAATGCAATAATGGAGCAAAGTCCTTCTGATAAAATTTAATGTGGGGTATTATCACATTAGACATCCATGACTTTAGCCCAAGTCTTTCTTTATGAACATAAGAATTCATGGGCTTTATCAATTCCATAAATACTTCTTGTTGTGAATCAAATTTCTCAAACTGCTCGAATTTTATCGAATCTGGGCTTGACTTGCCAAAGTTATTCCAATAATATAAGTAAGGTTGAACTACTCCAGCATACCACGCAATAAATGGTTCATACTTTGCGATAAGTTCAAAGAGCGGCTTGAATTCATCTATGTTATTGCCATACTTCGAAGAGTACAGTACTTTAGCACGTACAAACTTGAAAATCAACTCCTCAGGAAATTCATCGCTATGGACCAGAAGACTTGCTTGTACTTTGCTATCCCGTACTATTTCTACTGCTGAGTTCAATGCAACAGCATCTAGTATTTCTTGCTCCCCGTACGAGAAGCTAATGATAGTTTCAACTACTGATTCATCGATTGTATCCTCGGCCGGCTCAAATACTATGGACTTCACGATATTGGAAATAGTTTTGGGTGAAGTTGAATTCGGATAAGTGTGCACAACAAGAAGAGTCAATATGTTTTCGATGTTGGTATATTCTAAGTTGGGATATACCTTCAATACGGCACCAATTGTGGTATAAACCGTTTGAGACGCAATGGGTAAGTCACGCCCAGCCAAAGCCTGAAGAAATCCCCATAATAGCTTTGCGTCCTGCACCTCTGATAAGTTAAATGTTCCCATGTTGCTTTCTCTATGGGTATCGAATCTTTTAAATGTAGCGTTGTGATCTAGTCACATTGAAGTCGTCTCCTCACCATTTTTGGATCCCAAAAATTCGGGTAGCCTACAAGAGTACCTGATCATATTACAACAATTCAATAGTATCACAACCTAACATCATACCTGACCAGTTATTATAGAGTAACTCCATGAAGAAATGTCCTTTGTAAGTAACAAACAACAGAGGCTCATAGATGATTCGGCAGCGAACTCAGTTAAGTTTTATGATAAAATCACATCTCAGTACTTAAAGTTACGACAAGAATTATACCTGTTGAACGTTACAATAATACAGGAGAGCAATGATGGAAAGGTCACAGAAGAAAGTAAATTGAAGTTTGAACAAATGCGTTTCGAGTTAGATCGAGTTGTTGAATTGTACAGAACGCACATCAATGAAATAACGAACAGTCTCGTAATTCGAAGGACTTATACACCTCCATATGTCACTAACTTAAAATCAGAATTCACACAATTGACTGCGAAGATGGACACTCTTCAGCAAGAAATTAAAGACATAAAAGAAATACAGAAACCCATTCTTGACAAGATGAAAATTCTAGTTAAAAGTTTCGATAACAACTTAGTGGCTAAAACTTCCAAAACCTTCAACCCTAACTCCATAAGGAAAGAATACGATGACAGTGTCCCCCAGATTAATTTACACTCATTGATTTTCGAATATGAAGAAATTAGAGCGATTTTTAAAGACATTAACTTGAATTTTGATCAAGAAGAATCAGAACTTCCTCAAGTTGATACCATCAAAAGCTTGGATGAGCAGTTGAAAAACTCAAAAATATTGGATAATTTTGCTGAGAACAAATACTGTTACAAACTCAACAAATCACAGTTGCATGAGGTTGGCCGCTTCCCTACACTTGACGATTATGATAAAGCCATAGAGCAAACACTCCATGGAATTAAAGATTTACTCTCCGAGGGTGCGCAAATCAAGGACAGATGGACCGTAAATGCCAGAAGATTGGAGGTGATTAGGGACGCTTTACAGATTTATAATGACTCAGAAATTCAATAGTTTAATGTATTATAAGAATTACTATTATATTAATGTACAAATGATCATTTGATCATCAAAAGGAATTTTATGACTGCTCAGGGGTCCCAAGATGCGCAGGTATATCGCCTAAGCTTGGGTGAGCTGAATGCAAATCTTGAATACCATATCAATACTAGAACAAATCTCACCCTATTTTATCAACCCCCAAGTGCAATCCTACCAAAAACATCGAAAGTACCTTTGCATACTTATCACTGGATCTATTCAGAAGTTGGGGAAATCAAAATCACAGAGTCTCCACGGATGAACACCATTTCAGACTTCTTTACGACCGGCTGCTCTTCTCCTTCACTGAATATGAATTCCTGGGCGTCGCTCAACACCATGTTACAATGGGAGTCATATCCTTGAAGCTTTCCTTTCATCTCTCTTGCACCCCTCAATTTCACCAACACAAACTCATCTAATTGGTAACGGATTAAGTCAAGTGGCTCTTGCTGCTGTTGTTGTGGCTCTGTGTGAACTGTAGACATTGTGCTTTTATGGTTATTGAGTCAGTCTGGATCTATGCACGAGTCTGTGGCCAAACTCTCGATTCTGTTGGAGGAGTTCTGATGTCGCAGTAAGTCGCGTGAATGTCGTGCTAAAATTTTTCATGCACTCAGAATACAGTTATATCAGTAACGGGAGCACTTGATCAAACAGGCTCGTAATTGAAGTATGAGTATCCACACCTCCGTAAGAACACTCCTGAGTAGTGTGATACGTCTTGCACGTAGCAAGCCGTTGAGATTTGGAGACTTAAAGAACGTGAAATTGAGAGAGCCAATCGTGCCAACCCACAAGAACTTCGATGTTTCTCCAGACCATCCATTATGGGCCTTTTTCCCCCAAGGAAGCAGCACTGAAACTGCTTTGAGAAACACTGAACAGTTGGACACCACTTCTAGAGAATGGACCATCGCAGAATTGAGAAGAAAGTCTTTTGATGATTTGCATAAATTGTGGTACCTTGTCTTAAAAGAAAGAAACATCGTTGCAAGAGAAGTCAGATTAGCCGAGTCCTTAAGATACAAAAAGATAGATCAGCACAACGAGCTCGATGGCAAATTAATGGAAACTCAAAAGAGAATCAAGAGAGTCTTGTTAGAAAGACAAGTTGCATATGAAAGAGTTCAAACCTTCACATCGGAACAACAAGAATATTTGAATGAGTTTGAGGAAAGATATGTCAACAGCTCTGAAGCCGAAGTGGGTGCTTTCAATGAAAAGCTTGTCAGATTGCAATACGCATTTTTTGGAATTCAACCACAATTGGAAGACTACAACTTGAATGAGGATATCAATGTGAAGTTCGTGCAAGGATTAAGTTACGTTGCTAACCTCAAGGCTAGAAAGTTTGCCACACAAAACTCTGACGAATCTTTGTTGCCATTGAACGGAGTTATGGAAGAACTTCCTTTCTTGTTACGTGACACTGAAGAAGCAGTCGCTGAAGTCAAGGAATTAAGAGAGTCTGGCCAATCTGTAGTTCTTGACAAGATTGATGTTTTCCCATTCTTGAGAAATGCTCTTGAATCATTCATTCAAGAATCTACCCAATCACATAGTTAAACCCATCTGTACATAAATTTCATCCCAGGTATTAGTAATGATAGCAACTTATGTAGAAGCAGCTTACTGGTTTTCAGAAGCTAAAATCACTGCCGGAGACTTCCTAGCACACACTATTCCTTTCTGACTAGTGCTAGTCCAATCATTGGGAGTGCGACATTTTGCGACATCCAACTTAACTCGAAACCAGGTTGAGTATCAATTCACCTTGCTCAACTACTAGAACTAACACGCAATATGGGAGGAAGAATACATGGCTTCTTAGGAGGTGTTTTATTGACCTCTGCGCTCACATACTATACCGGCGAGTACTTCAAGAAGAATCAACAATTCATATCACACCAGCTCAGAGTATCTGACAATACTATCAACAACAGAATACTCTCTGATCATGACTTGAAGAAAGAACTTATTCCTATAGATAAGCGTATCGGTGCAACCACTAGGGTCAACTTTTCTGAGACCTGCAAGGATATCTGGAACGATGAGATTATCAAGATGGTGAATTGGGTGTATGGCATTAACTGGTACCAATGGGGCCTTACCGCTGATAAAAAGTTACTCAGTATTTCTGACAAGATAGCTAACTCTATCACAGAAAAGAAGTAAAGGACTGTACTAAGGTTTAGGAAAAGTGTCATGTTGGAGTCAGGCGTCGTGTACATTTGAGTATTTAAATAAAAGAACTAAATATACGTATATGTAATGTTTCCAGTATCCTTGCATGTGGCCAATAGCTCGGACTAACTTTTCTTTGTGGAGGTGGTAGTCAGATCGGAATTTTCAGCCTGTTCTGTGACAGTTGCAGACAGCTTGTGTTGCTGATAATACTTCTTGATATCTCTATCCATTGACCAGCCAACTATCGGGCCAATAATCAGGAGTAAAAGACTAACAAATATCTGAACAATGTACCAATTTCTGGGAGCAAGTCCTAAATAAAAGCAGCCAACAAACCATCCAATTAAGTCAGTGTAAATTGTGTCAACTCCTCTGTTCAAGTTCTTTAAAATAATCTGGGCACATTCCGACGCAGGCATTGCATGACTTGGTCCCTCGATAACTTTGGTAATTTCTGGTTTTGTCTGCTGTTCAACATCATAACCCTCACTTTGGAAATTGCCTGCAATTACGGTAGCGACTCTAAAGTTGAATGGTTTCAATTCTTGACGTAAAATAATCGAGAAGTTTAGAAGGGCAGCCTTCATTGGCCCGTACTGACCGTAACCAATGAATGGAAATACACTGATAACAGATGAGAATAATACAATCGTTCTCTTTTTGTACTCATGTGATTCCTTGTTGGAATGCACCTTGGAGATAGTTTTGTAAGCGGTGTGACAAACATTGTATGCTGTCTTGAAGTTAATGTCAATGCCATCGTTTATGTCTTTTTCAGTAATGTCAATGAATAGCTTTGGAACAGCAGAACCGGCACAGCAGAAAATAAAATCGGGATCTTGTCCTCTTTTGTGGAAGACTTCGTCCCACATGTCTTGAGCAGCCTTGTAGTTGGACACATCACTGCTAATATAATATATCTCCGTGTTGTCCTTCTTGCCGACAGTCGATACTATCCTTTCAACTTGGGCCTTCAACTTGGAAGCAGTTCTTGCAACTAAAATAACCGAACATTCCTGCTCATATAACTTTAAGGCGATCTCTGCTCCAAGACCTTGTGAGCTTCCCACAATGAGGGCTGTCTTGCCTTTTGGTTCAAACTGGGAACTGAAAAACATTGTGCTTGTAATGGTGCTTTAAACTGATCAATAAAAGGCTCCTTTGGTATATTTATCTAGATGAATTCAGTAGTGCGCGAATCTATTTTTTCAAATTATCATATGAGTATGATGGTGAAGCCTACGGCTGTGAAGTGGTGCAGTAGCCTGCTATTTCCCTGTATGAGTTACGTGCGCTATACCTAAAAGGAAAGATCAGCATACCGTTCCACCTAAACAATATGCGCGCATCCATGATTGTAAATCCAAATCCCATATGGAATAAGTAGCGCGCTTACTCTGATGGCTGTAATGATAGCCACGCGTTGAATATTTGAGGGCGCACATAGGACGGGTGCTGCGACAGGTAATCTACGACGGGCAATTTATGACGGTAATCTATGACGGTAAACTACTCCAGTTGGGGAAGGTACAGAATAATTTTTGGAGTGAGAGTAAATAGAAAATTGCAATAAAAACTGGAACCTCAGTCCTTTAATTTTTGAATATGCTTTGCTCTACAAGAATCTTTCAGTCCCCTACCTGTAATTGTGAACCTTCTCGATCAATTATCCTCGTTTGTGTCCTATATTTTAGACTATGTACATGATTAAGATAAAAATGGAGATTTTGGAATTTCAACTGTTTCTCTAGTTGGTCTTGGAGTAGTTCCAAATTTCTTCGATTTCAAAAGAGTACCGACTAAAGGTCCCTCGTGATATGCCATGTTAGGTTTATTTTGCAAATTCTTCTCGATTTCTGGATCATTGAAAGAGCCAGTTTCTGGGTTGAATTTGAAAAATTCAAGCTTAGCGGTTTCCACTGCATTACGGAAACTTTCCTCTCCATCATTACGCAATTTGGTTAACTTGTGAACGTTGTGCTTGGTGAGATCATCCACTGGGATGTTTTGGAGTTCTAATCTGGCAACAATCTTGGCGGTGTACCAGAACTTAATTTCATAATCAGAATCAACCAACTCCAATACAGACATTGGAGCCTTATCTTCGCCTAATCTGGGTTCCAATTTGATGATTCTTGTGAAACCAGAACTTCTACCTGGATACCTTTGTGCTAACTCGTTGATGATCTTCGATCCGACTTCTTTTCTGTCCGGAGGCTGTAAGAAGTTCAAGGCATCGTTGTTTTCGAGACGGTATTCGAAGTCCTTATCAGCCAACTCTTTGTTGTTCCTGATAGCATCGGCCAAAAACTTTTCAATCTTGGATTGAGCTCTCTTTGCCTTAGCTCTAGTGGTGATTATATTTTCATGACGAATTAAATTGGCACACAAGTTCTTGTCCATCAGCTTGATATGGCGTGCCACATTAGCATGAAACTTTTGCAAGGAAGGCATCTCTATTATTGAAGACTATTCTCTTGTTCGTTCACTTCTGTTTCATCAACTTTTTTTCCACATCATAATTTCGCGACATCGAACGACATTTTCCCATAGTGAGGCCAAATTCTGTTGCATCTGGCACTACTTCGCTTCATAATATTAGATGTGATATTTTGCTAGCCTACATCAAAATCTATCCTAAGCTTAAATTTTAGTATATACGGACTTATGTCTTTTAGAAGTTAAGTGGCTTGTCAAAAGTAGCCAAAGCAGCTTCCTTGAAGGCTTCGGATAAGGTTGGGTGGGCATGACAAGTTCTGGCGATGTCTTCAGTAGAAGCACCATATTCCAAAGCTAAACCAGCTTCGGCGATCATTTCACCAGCGTTGGCACCAATGATGTGGACACCCAAGACACGTTGGGTTTCAGCGTCAGCAAGGAACTTGACGAAACCATCGGTGTCCAAGTTGGTCTTAGCTCTAGAGTTGGCGATGAATGGGAACTTACCAACCTTGTACTTGATACCTTGTTCCTTCAATTGTTGCTCGTTAAGACCAACCCATGCGACTTCAGGGTGGGTGTACATGACAGATGGGATGTTAGCGTAGTTAACGTGGCCGTGACCGTGCTTGATGTATTCGGCAGCAGCAACACCTTCTTCTTCAGCCTTGTGGGCCAACATAGGACCGAAAGTAACATCACCAATAACTCTGATATGGTCATGCTTGGTCTTTAATTCGGAGTCAATCACCACTCTTCCCTTGTTGTCTAATTCTAAACCAGCCTTTTCGAAGTCCAAGTTCTTAGTGTATGGTCTTCTACCAATGGCAACCAATAAGACGTCGGATTCCAATTCTTCCTTCTTACCAGACTTGACGTCTTCGACTTCAATCTTGACAACATCACCTTCTCTGACACCCTTGGTAACCTTAGTACCTAACTTGAAGTTCAAGCCTTGCTTGGCCAACAACTTTTGGGATTGCTTGGCAACTTCAGCGTCCATTCCAGCACCAATAGCAGATTGGAATTCAATAACGGTAACCTCAGTACCCAATCTGGCGTAGACAGAAGCCATTTCCAAACCAATGATACCACCACCGATAATGGACATTCTCTTTGGCAATTCTTTCAATGACAATACACCAGTAGAACTGACAATTCTTTCTTCGTCGATTTCAATTCCTGGGAATGGAGTTGGCTCAGATCCAGTAGCAACGATGAAGTTGGTACCTTCAACTTCAAGGTTTTCGGATCCATCGATTGGCTTGACGTTAATGTTATGTTCATCCACGAAAGAAGCTTCACCCTTTAAGTAGGTAACACCATTCTTCTTGAACAACATTTCAATACCACTGGTCAAACCCTTGACGGCCTTGTCCTTAGCGGCCATCAAAGTGGAAAAGTTCACTGAGACATCACCGGCAATTTCAATACCACGGTGCTTGGAATCGTGCTTGATTTGATGGTACAAGTGGGTGTTGTTCAACAAAGATTTGGATGGAATACAACCAACATTCAAACAAGTACCACCCAAACTTCCTCTCTTTTCAACACATGCAGTGTTGTAACCGAGTTGAGCGGCCTTAATGGCGGCGATGTAACCACCTGGACCACCACCAATGACGACGACATCATACTTAGTAGAAGCGAATCTGACAAATTGAAGTGCGCTAGCTCTGCTAGCAGCACTGGATTTCACAAAGCTGTTTCTCAACATTTGATCTAGTGTTTATCGGTTACCCAATTGATGAGATTACTTAGAAGTTCGCTCCTTATATCCTCAACGAAAATGCTTCAGTGTTGTCCGTGGTACGCGCACTACTATTCCCGGGCATCTCGGGCTTATTGGTCAGTGTTTTTGCCACAACCCCGGATTCAATATAGACTGGGACATAGGAACGATCAGCTGTCCAGCCAAGTTCTCCAGGACCTCTACTCGACTTGATATTACAATCACTGCTCTAAAGAAGTAGCACTATATCGCCGTATTGTTGATGGAGCCGATCTACTGGCTCCTCTACATCTTTGCTACCCAACCAGAACGCTATTTCTGGCCGCACTGCTATTCCTAAGCACATTTCTTTTTGACATAACTACTGGCCTCTTGGATCATGTATTACGCTCCTGGGCCATTAAAAATCACTGGATAATGACTCAAGAACAATTAGTCATCTTTGATCATACCTAAACCTAATAGTCGTCGGCATGACCCAGTGATAAACGGTGACATTCCTAACTCCCTACTGTCAAGGAGGTGTTAATTGACACGTTGAGATCTGGAAAGGGTTGCGAAAATTCGGTCAACTCAGTCACGTGTTTTAGTGCCGGTCTACATACGGTTCACCACAGCAATGTAGACGATGTCACTTCAGAATACAAGTGGGATATCTCGGAAATTCACCTAGTTACACTCATGGCTACCTGATTATCTTACTATTGTTGCTAAATCGTAGAAACAACCTTTCATTTCTCCTTTCCGAAAGCTCGCTAATCTTGCCCCAAAACATTGTCTCGGAAACTCTGAAATGCATAAACACAAACTAGTATGATGAGCACATACACAAACCATTCGTCTTAACTGTGTGGTTAGTACTGTAGGTTTTAATGCATTGTTATGTATCTGGCCTCCATCTAAAACACATACCTAGCCACCACAGCTGTTTGGTAACCTATACGGCCCAAATTGTTGCACCCAAACACTCCGAATTCCGATACATCCCGGGACAGTGCGACCAATCAAAGTACATCATTAATAAAGACCGGAGCAAAGCCAAGAATCCGGTTTATTCTCCACGTTTAACGCGGGGACTAATGGGCCGGAAGTCATCTCTACCCTCGGAAATGGCTATCTGGACTGACCGGTAAAAAATCTTCAAAGCCTGAAGGTATATAACCAACAGGAACGTACACTATATCAGTTCCAATCGTGCAAATCATTGACCAAAAATATTGAGACATCATGTTGTCCAGAAACGTTAGAAGTTCATTAAAGCGTATCTCCGCTGCCGTTCCTAAGGGATCCGGCTTGAGAGTCAGTGGTTCCATGGCCAGATCCGTCCGTGGATTCCTGAGTGTCAATGCTGCCCCAACCATGCCATTAAGAGGTGTTCAAGGCATTCAATTCCGTCGTTTCGCCTCCCACACAGTCAAGGTTCCTGAGATGGCTGAATCCATCACCGAAGGTACTTTGTCTGCTTACACTAAGAATGTTGGTGACTACGTGAATTTAGACGAGACTATCGCCACCATTGAAACTGATAAGATTGATGTTGAAGTTAATGCATCCGTCGCCGGTACTATCACTGAACTTTTAGTTGAAGTTGAAGAAACCGTTGAAGTTGGCCAAGACTTAGTTAAGATCGAAGAAGGTGAGGCTCCGGCTGCTTCCGAAGCTCCAAAGGAGGAATCTAAGGAAGCTGCTCCAAAGGAAGAATCCAAGAAGGAAGAACCAAAGAAGGAAGCTCCAAAGAAGGAAGAACCAAAGAAGGAAACCCCAAAGAAAGAAGCTCCAAAGGAATCCAAGAAGGACTCCAAGAGTGAGGCCTCAACCTTCACTCATTTCTCCAGAAACGAAGAAAGAGTTAAGATGAACAGAATGAGATTGAGAATCGCTGAGCGTCTTAAGGAATCCCAGAACACTGCTGCCTCTTTGACCACCTTCAACGAAGTAGACATGAGTAACTTGATGGAAATGAGAAAGTTGTACAAGGATGAATTATTGGACAAAACCGGTATTAAATTAGGTTTCATGGGTGCCTTTGCTAAGGCCTCCACCTTGGCTGCTAAAGAAATTCCAGCTGTCAATGCATCTATCGAAAACAACGACACCTTAGTTTTCAGAGACTACACCGACATTTCTATTGCTGTCGCTACTCCAAAGGGTTTGGTCACTCCAATTGTGAGAAACGCTGAATCCTTGTCCATCTTGGACATCGAGAAGGAAATTTCCAACTTGGGTAAGAAGGCCAGAGATGGTAAGTTGACTTTGGAAGATATGACCGGTGGTACCTTCACCATTTCTAACGGTGGTGTTTTCGGTTCCTTGTACGGAACTCCAATCATCAACATGCCTCAAACCGCTGTCTTGGGTTTGCACGGTGTTAAGGAAAGACCTGTGACTGTCAACGGTCAAGTTGTTTCCAGACCAATGATGTACTTGGCCTTGACTTACGATCACAGAGTTTTGGACGGTAGAGAAGCCGTTACATTCTTGAAGACTGTTAAGGAATTGATCGAAGACCCAAGAAAGATGTTGTTATTGCAATAAACAGAATAGATAGCTTATTTAAGAACACGAAAATGAGACCCAGTAGTAGATGTGTAGCTATGTTATCCGAGTTGGGGACACCTCTAGCAGAGCATGCAAGGAGAAGCGGCCAACTGAGTTACATTCATAAAAAAATAAATGATAGATAACACTTGCATCTTGCAGTACAGACAGTTACGACTCTCCGGGGCAACTAAAGGATTTTGATTATAGACTCCTACAAGCAAAGAAAGCTATAGCAACTGAATTTGAGGTTTCTTTCGGCCACTCCTAAATTGAGAACAATACAGATAGACCACCCATTACAATCGTCCTGGATCATACAAATCACTCTGAGAATCCTGGAGAATGGCTTGCCTAATCAGGTAACCCAAACACTCATTCTTCTTTCACATCAATCGGCAATTCACTACTGAGAACACTCTTGAAGCCTGAAACGTTCTCATATTGCTTATGAGGTGTAAAAAAGTATGAAATCATAGATGTGGTAAAGTCTTGTCACCATGGTAGCTTGCTTTACCAATTCGGATCCTTCTAGCTAAAGTTCATGGAATATTCAGTGATTCGTGCACCACAAATGTCAAAGTAACAGCTCGCAGCCAAATTGGCAATGTTTATGTTTTTCCAAATCGGGCAATGATGTTGTGAAAAACCATACCGGCAGAGTTATCTCCAAAATAGGATTATAACTAACAAGACCGCAGGAGAAATTAAGGGAAGAGACCTAAAAGTCAATTATTTTAATACTTTTATTTATTCTCTTCATATCTGCTATTCATTCTGATAGAGTTGTTGAGCTACTACTTAAGAGAAGAACACCAGATTACGATCATTCATACTCAAGAAATAACCGGGTCAAACGGATACTTTACGCCGCAAATACATTCTGCAGACATTGAAACCTCAAGTCTCGAAGGTTTATAAGTAATTGACATTGGTGTTTCCACAGACAGATCAGTATTGGTTCCGCTAGTTGGCATAAGGCTTACTTGAAATTCAAAGAGATAGCCTTGGGCTTTATCCAAACACTCCTCCGATAAATAAACTATTTTCAAGATGGAGACTTATAACGAGTGGGATGAAGTAATGGATAAGAATATTCCATTACCAGAGGACAACTTTGATCAGTACTTCACCGAATATAACGAAATCGACAATTTATTCAACGAGACATTAACGGGATTACAGGATTTAGATGTTCCATCCGGATTTGCTACTAAAATACAGGATGCTAGTCTGGCACAAACAACCACAGTTAATCATCACCAAGCAAAACACAGTAGAAAAATAAGTGGAACAGCTATTTTCGGGTTTTCTGACCATAACAGAGAATTATCCATTGGCGGTCTAAACAGTGACTTATATAAATCTGTGAAGCACTCTCTAGACTTAGGAAAATCTGTTTCCCCTGGTGATTTGCTTAGATCCTTAAGTTCTCATCACAGCTCCCAAAATGATCCTATCCTGCTAGAAAATCCGCCAGTCTTGGATTTTGACTTTCCAAGAACTAATATTGAGCCTCCGCAACCAATTTTGTTGATAGAAGAGGAAGAGGATGAACACAATGAGGCAGTTAGAATGGAGAAAAAGGCTACCAAAGAAATATCACCGGTAAAATTCCAAAAGGAAAGTAAGGACTATATTGTCACAAACACGAATCCTAAATCCTACAAATTTCCACCTTCACCCGAAACCTCCTCTCAACCACCTTTATCTTTTGAAAAATCAGATACTAAAGGTGGCTTTCAATCTGTGAATAACTATTCTGTGAGATACTTACAAAATTTGAAGTCCCCTTCTAGACATCACGAAGCTTATGTCGATGACATTGAACCATTACTTGAATCAAATGCTCTGGCTGAACAACAAAATAATCCATTCAATCCACAGAACGGTTACAAATATGTCCCCATCCCTGTTCAACAACCTGTGGGCTACAAAAAAGTACATTCACAACTTCAGAATATTCCTAACCCACAGTTAAAGAATAACTTCAACTCTTTTTTACCACCACCATCACCTCCTACTTTGTCAAATGGATCTCCAGAATGGCAGTCATCGCCTGAGCCACAATCACCTTCTCCAAGTAGAGTTGTGAATAACGATCACAACCAGCATAAATTCTCCTCGCCAATACATCCACAGTTGAGAGGTAAGGTGAATTTCTACACACCTCAATTCTTTTCTGAGTCAGAAAACTTCCTCGGAGATGGTTATCAAAATGAACAAACTTACAGTAATAACCAAAACCCTCAACTTGAAAACAATCAGATTCGTCAACCTTCTCATACCTCACCATTTCAAACCAACATGGGAGTTCAACTTCAGTCTTCACCAATTTATGGTCCCAATAAATCCTTAAATTCATCTCCTGTGAAGTATTACACTAGTCCTTTAAGAAACTTGCAATCAACTAATGATGATACAGTTGATGCTAATGCAACTATAACACAATTGACCCCTTTGAAAAACACGTTACCAAATACACCTGCCCGTAACCAAATGAGATTGGAATGGAGTCCTATAATTTCTCCCAATGCGAAGGCTTCAAAAGATGTTAAGAAACATATTCAACAATCTTCCGTGAGAAGAAGAGTAAAAAAGACTTCTTTATTACCTCCTGGTGAGTTAGATAATTATTGGGTGGGTCCAAACGAAGACAAAATATATTTATGCACATTTAAAGGTTGTGGTAAAGAGTTCACAAGAAGATATAATGTCAGATCTCATATTCAGACGCATCTTAGTGATCGTCCTTTCGCCTGTCCTTCATGCCCAAAAAGATTCGTCAGACAGCACGACTTAAACAGGCACATAAAAGGACACTTGGAGACGAGAAACTGCAAGTGCACTTGTGGAAAAGAATTTGCTAGATTGGACGCTTTGAAGAAGCATAGAAACAGAAATATTTGTGTGGGGGGAATCACTAGTAACGTTAATCATTGTGTCACAAAGCCTCAAAAGAAGAGGATGAATTCTTCGGATTTTCTTGATGATATAACATCAGAAAAATTAACTGAACATTTAAGTTCCAGTTTAGCTGAAACTTATTCCTAACTTACCCGCATATCTCAATTTATTTCTTGTTCTCATTGATTCACTTGCAGTGACTTTAATTCTGATATCCTTCTTAATACTTCCTTCTTCTATGACACTGATCATACTCAAATTCAATCGATAGAGATTTTCTTGTTTCATTTTTAAATTTTTCTTTCAATTTCCTATTGGATTTTTTTTGTAGAACGTGAATCTGTTTAAACGTACTACCAAGGTATTATAGTTAGCCAGCAAACAATACTACATATGAAGCTCTTCACACAAAAGTAAAATAAAATAAATTCTATAAGCAAAAGTAGATATCAAAGAAATGAATTTGTCTTTGCAAGCATGATAAAGTAAGCAATTCAATTGAAATTTTTTAGATCTCTTGCTTAATAAAGTCCATTGCCATGTCGGGGCTTTTACCCATGTTCTCCATTTCTTCCTCTTGTTTATGGGTCTTCAAGTGCTGGTTTAGATTGTCGGATCTACTAAACTTTTTCTGACATATTGGACAATCATATGGCTTTTCTAAAGTGTGCAATGATCTAAAATGCCTCTTCAAATGTTCTTGCCTCTTGAATCTTCTTGAACAATAATTGCATAGATAAATTTTGGACAGGTCCAGCAAGTCAGCTTCTTTATTCTCTTTGCGACCACGAGTCCTGGTCTTTGAATTAATCGTATTGGAGGCAAAAATTTGAGTATCTGGAGGCAAATCTAATGATTCCAAGTCCACCTCAACTTCCACTCCTTTTGAAATCATAGTTGCAGCAGGCATATTCATTTGTGTACTCTTCTTCTTTTGATACAACTTGGAACCTAAAATCCTCTTCGATGCAGTTGCAATTGCAGAACTTGATGAGCCATTCAGGAGATTTTCACCAGAGTCATGACTAATAGATCTCTCGTGCAACGAGGTTCCACTTGAAATAGAATCACTCTTCGCGTCACTGAAAGAAGCATTGTCAATCATTCCATCAGGGTCATTTTTAATTTTGGATTTACCACCCAATCCGAGCAATGAGTGTTTCTCGTTCACATCGGGCTCAGTTTTGACCTTAATTTTGGGTTTCCGGTAGCTCGAAGAGCTGACAATATGCTTGCGTTTGCCGACATTTTCGAACAATGCCGCGTAGTCTGGTTCAGGCTGGCCATTATTACCATGTGAAGTGGCCAGCGAAGTGGAGTATAGTCCGTTCTGTCCATTAACAGACGATTGTGTCAAGCTGGCGGATGAGTTGTGAACAGATATGTTTCCAGCTAAACTGTTATCTAAGCTCTCATTCTCAAGGGAGCTCTTTTGCAAGAACGAGTTGGCCTCATCACTAGCTTGTGAATTATCAACCTCTTCTACAGCAGCTTCGACCTTACCAGGAGCCTTGAACCTAGTGAATAAACTCCTCTTTGATCTTTTTGCCTTCTTTATTGGAGTATTTGAATCAGGCAAGTCGAAATCCGAACCTTCCTTAGTTGGACTCATTAAAATGTCATGATCCCCATTCCCATAGTTATCTTCAGATATGAGTACAGGTCTCGCTGTTTCAGGATTGGTTAAATTCAAACCTGCATCCCCCTCCAGCTCGAATTCATTTGCATTATTAGGATTGGCATTATTTATGGAGCTCTTAAAAATGCTTCTAATAAGATGTCTGGACTGTTGTTGTGGCTGTGATTGTGCTTGAGGTTGAGATGCTTGTTGTGGCTGCCCTCCTATTGTCTGATGTTGAGGAGAAGGGGGCCCCGAGAGAGGTGATCGTTGACTTCTATCACCCATGAATGGGAGCATGTTGGTAATAGAATTGGTGAAGCTTGTGTATCTACCTGTACTCCCCGTGCTTCTTTGATGTTGGGAAGAATGTTGGCTGTCAATAGAAGCTCTTGTCTTGGAATAATAATCGAAAGATGGGCGGTGGATGGATGAAGGTGGTTGCTCTAGTGAGTTTCTGGTGATGTACTGGTTTGCGGAGAAGAACGAAGGCTGGGTAGAATGCACTGAGCCCACAGAGGGGGTAAGTGAGGTTGTGGTTGTCAAAGGAGAAAGCTCGTTGTATAGATTGTTTACACTTAAGCTTGCGTTAGAAAGCGAGTGATTTCTATTGCCACGGTGTGCTGTGTTATGGTTTATCATTTCATTGTGGAAGTGACTATCAATTGATCCTTTATGATAGTTTTCGTTAGCAGCTTCATTAAATTGGTCTTGATTGTTAGCAAACATGACATTGTCATAGTTGACATTGGTATATGAGGACACCCTCGAACTATCATCAAATGGACTGACCGAATTCTCAGCCTTTAGAACAGTGGAACTAGGTTTGGGGAACAATTCATTTCCAATTACCGGGTCAACATATAATCCCAGGTCAATCGTAAATGGCGGTGACTCGTCCAAATCCATGTTATCATTCTTGAAGGCACCTGGCATATTGAAGGACACAGTGTTTACAAGGTGTTCGTGCTTCTCCGGTTGATCCGAAGAACCCAACCCACTTTTGAATAGGTCATTATTTGAGTTCAAGCTAACGTCATATTGTATTCCAAACATGTTTTCATAGTCTTGTTGCTGATTAGAAAATTGAAGCAGATGAGGCAGCTCTTGATGTTGATGCTGCTGCTGCTGTTGTTGTTGTTGTTGTTGTTGAAACTGAACCAGCGGTTGTTGGAGTTGAAAATGATGCAGAGGCTGCAGGGGCTGTTGTATTTGGTCTTGTTGTGACGAGAATCCCGAGCTACTCTGTTGCAGCTGATCTATGTGATCTAGCATGAAATTCCCCTGGCTTTCATCTTGATCGAACCCCTGTCCATTCTGTGGGAATAAGGACAACTGATGTGAGTGCCTATCCTTCTCAGGCTGCAGTTGCTGCCCAAAGACATCAAATCCATCCATCACTGTGATAGCATTCACCGAGTTCAGAAATTGATCTGTTGCAGCACTTCAAATTAACGTAGTGTGATCACTTAAGTTACTATCCTTTTAAGTGAGGTTGATCAACTTCAATAAAATTGTACAAAAAAATCTTTGCCGCATTAAATTGTGTTTAGTGGCGGGGATACGAGATTGTGGTCTTCAACTGCCTTACATGTCAGGATTCCCAGCCGAAGAAAGGAGGCTATACCAAAGGAGCCATGACCTACTCATATATGTGCCGTCATGCACGTACCTACACCTATTGTAATTGATGCACATCCCGTGTGTATTAATAGCACCAGTTAATTATAGATATCAGGTGCCACTTGAGCAGAAAAACAACCAATTTTGATCTTTTACTAGCGTCAACTCGTAGTAGCTTTTGCAACTCCGCTTCTACATACATTGATCTCAGCTAACTTGGGAGAGTCCACCTACATCGATTCAATATCGGAGCTAGATTGACTTATCATTCCACTTGTGAGAGGTGCAGTTCGATTTTCGCAACTGCCCATATGCACCCACTCCGCGTGAAGTCTCTGGATCACACTATAACTAACAGATGACTACATAGCTCGTACAGATCATTCGAAATTAAGTGATATATTACAGGTTAATCTACTCGTCCAACAACTTTCCACCGGAAGGTATTCTTTGTCTCATGCTCGCTAAGTCCACCTCATGATCGCCATGAGAGACATCTGAATCACTCACATCTTCAATAGTTTTTAGGTCAGGATTAACGACCTTTAACACCGAGCGTCGTTTTGAGCTTACGAGCACCTGGACATCCATCTTGTCATCCACTGAGAGATCCGAATCTGATACCTGCTCGTCTTCGTCTTGCTTTTTCTCGTTGAACATATTTGATTTGGCGATATCAACTTCACTTTCTTTGGGATCGGCAAAAACATTCTCCTGACTATTATTGTTTTCATCATCGAAGACTTTAGAAGAGACCGCAGCTCTACCTCTCACCTTGTTGTTCAATATACCATACTCTGGACTTGCCGAACCGGTTGGTGTATTTGTAAAAGAGAACGATTTCTTGATCATTGATACCGACCTATTCACGAGGTTTGTTGAATATTGAACTGGAGCTGGCTGTGGTTTCACGGGGTTATACCTTCTTTCAAGAATCGAACCATCATCTGAAGTGTTACTACTTAGAGTCTCGTTGGATGCTAGGTAACTGTGGCGGTTATTGGTTTTGACTCTTTTTTGATCAAACTTTTCTCTCTTCTTTATCCAAGAATCGAATGATGCAACTTCCAATGTCGAACTAGTTTCATTATTCTCGGCCTCGGTCATTACTCTGCGACTCGTAGGCATATAGTTTGTTGGAGGTACTATATGTTTCATGTTGGAAGTCATCGCGGAAGAATTATCAAAATAACTTCCAAAGTGATAATCTACCTCACTCATATCATCAAACTTTTGTTCATGAGTTCTTTTGTATTTCTTGTAAAGCAACATTCCAGCAAGTCCCATTACCAAAGCACACAATGGGATAACTGTACCAATAATTGCCTTAGTAGTCACTGAAGATTTAGCTCCTTGTTTGGCCACATTGCTTGATGAGTGGAGAATTGCGAAATTCTTTTTTAAACTCTTCACAGGTGCAAAGGAATCTGCATCATATAAACTCAATTGATAGTGGGGATCGTCCCTTTTATTTGAATACTGCGATGTGTTCACTACCACTAAAGTATTAAAAATAGTGGCTGCCCCCATCATTTCTTGAACATTCACTTCTGACGCGATAGATGTATTCCATGACCAATCGTTGGAATTCAATAACAACTTCGATAATGATGGTTTAGAATAAGAATCCAATAGCATACCACCAATTAGCAAAACCTGTCTTATTTTAAGCTTATCTGAAATTGTAGAAATGGTGTTGTTTTCAAGGGGGTCGAACATCGGTAAGACTAATGCATCCATTCTCGAATTCAATTTTTCATCACTTGGGCCATTACTTATTTGCTTGAATGACCAACCAGAACTGAAATCCCAAGTTGCTAATTGGTACATGTTTAGCCAGCCACCATTACTTTGTCCCCCTATCACTAACTGAGTTTGAGGATTGGGTGCTAACAAGTTTGAGGCTCCAAAAAATGGTTGTGGTTTCGTAGATGTACTTATGTTAGCTGCTTTAAATGATTTCATATCTATGGAGATCATTCTGCTAGAGACTTTCCCATCTTTCTCACATTGTCCTCCATAAATGTAAATGGTTTCGTTGTTAGTTGGAGAGGTTAATACAGTTGAGGACTTATAGAAGGAAGCATCTGAGATACCATCAAAACCTAACTTAATATCGTTCATCCATTCATTCTTAGAAGAATCATACCTAATGATATTAAGAACTCCATTTCCACAAACATCTTTCTCTTCTGGTCCACCTTTGGTGATTCCGTACAATTGCTGTCCCACGAGAAAGAGCGTTGAGTTGAGAGGAGGACTTTGAAGACCATCTACCCTTTGTCCATTATTCAACTCGACTTCTTGTAGTCGAGATTCCAGAAGCTTATCAAAACCAGTGATCGAGAAATTAAGTGCTAATAAGTCATTATTTGATAAATGAAGATATATCTTTTCATCAGCATATGAGTATAAAGTATTCCAACTTTTGACGGCCACAACCATGTATAGAGCTACGAGCAAAGAAATTCCCTTCATAATGTATTCACTTCATGTGTTGGAGTCGTTGAAAGACTTGTTGACTCTAAAATGAAACTCCTCAAAAGATTGCAAATTGATTCGATGCGGGTGATTCTTGAATGTGGTTGATCCAACGTTCTTTGTAACTTCTGCTGAATTCTCTGTCTTGATCTAAATCGATAAGTTGGTATGAAGTGAATTAAACATCTGCACTGATCTTTCTAGGTATTAACGTCTCGCAGATTGTTGATATTTGGTCCCAAAAAGGAAATTTCCCACTATTTAGTTGAAGGATATACAAAGCGTTGAGATCAAAGAAGTTCCGCATTACGACACTTACGGACCAAGCCTTTGGCTTTTGGGTGAGGGAATGGTTGACAGAAACTTACTTCCGACTAGACAAAGTCAATACTACTTGATTCCGCTCTTACTCCATCGGCGAAGTTAGTGTATCTACAATTCCTTTACAGGAAGCAATCTAAATTAATTCAAATTCTCGTGGCTAAATTCTTTCTCGCTACTCACGTTTGCGTAATTTTCTTCCGTCAAACCTACATCAAACCCTACCATGACATCACATACGTATTCCAACATTGACTTGGCAGCAGTGTTATCTGAAAAGAAACCTGTGTTGACCAGATGCTCATTTCAAAAATGCAACGCTAGAATCATACCAGTAACGGAAACGTTGCAGAAGAACATAGTGGAAATCAAGGAAGCTCCGAAAATGATGTCAACTGCTACCGATGCGAATGAAGTGGTAAAGAGCAGTGCTTCCTTCTTTCAGATAGGGGATGTATGGGACTTTGATAATATTGGAGTCTCCAGACCTACAGAAGAAGTTGCTGGAAAGTTTTCTTTAGAAGATTCTGAAACTTTCATAAACATTGAACGAGTTCTCGTGTGTAGCGAGTGTGATAGAGGTCCTATTGGATTCGCAGGATTGAGCTCCACTGACCTAAATGATGTTAAGAATTTAAAGTACTTTTTGAGTTGCAACAGTGTGCTTTATCAGAGTTCTTAAACCTTATAATAGAAGACATCCGCAGTTCCTTAATTTTCATGATCAAACACTAGAATCCGATGACTTGATCAGTTAATTTAGAATAAACCTGGTGCTAACTGAGAGTTCATCCACTAGAGCACTCTAGAAGAGACGTGAGATCCAAATGCAACCCACCAACATTTTTGAAGAGATCCAGAACCAATCTTATTTAAAAGTTTTAGTTACCTCCTTTCCACCCACTCCTGGACGATACCAACATCTTATCGTAATCATGGATATAGATGGTTAATATGCAAACTTATACATTATTGAATTAGTTACTAGATGGTTGAATAGTGGTGCACTTTAGGGTAAAAGGAAAGCAAATCAATTGAAGTTCAGAACACTTCACCCTGCAAGCAACTTCTAGTATCCCCTAGGAGTAGACTTTTTTTTAAAATTTTCCATTAAAAATACAAAAAAAGTAGAACGTACTATTAAATGATAATCTAGCACAGGTTTTACTTTGAATAAGCTATTATGTTGCGGTTACTTGCCGCACATTTGTTGCAAAAGCAAAGCTCAATATGCATTACTTTTCACTTGTATCCAATTTGTTTTCGCAATCTGCAAGAATGAAGTTGTTGTACTATGAATGTATACAATATTTGATATCAGTCAGGTCTATTAACTTTCAAAATTCTATGTGGAAATATATACTATTGGACGAGGACAGCAGAAGTAAAATAAATTTGCCAAAAAATCAAAAAATCAAAAAATCAACATTTTTTTGGAATAATTCAGATAATTAAGTCTTTCAACTCTTCATTTGAAGCTAGTGACTTTAAATGTGCAGTTTATGTATTCAGGTGAGCGCTGCTCCCTATCTCGAAAATACCGAAAGTTTAAAAACGATACAGCCAAAGCTTAGTATTGCAACTCCTCTTTCTTTAATTAGCCCAGGCGTAGTCTGTAATTAAGAAGGCATTTATATCCTGTGTTTTATTGAATGTGGAATCCCCACTAGTTTCGAAGTCTTTCTGCATATTTGCCATCCAATACTGCATATGGAACAATTGAAATCTAAGTTGGTTTCATGACAACCAGATGAACCACATACAAGAGTACTCATCGGACTCTGAATTAGCTTCAGACGAAGAACAGTCTAGCAGGGATATTGATGATATTAATATCTTCCTGCAAAACTATGCTGAGAATATGTTGAATAGAGGGTCGATCTTTTTATACATACCATGGAGACCTTCTGCATCTGCTTTGAATCTCATGCACTCTCAAACAAAGAAGGCAATGTCCAGGATACCTATCGCTTCCAAGTACAGTTGGAGTGACATTGGAAAGGTTTCTCCCTTGAGATACCATATATCAATTTATCCGAATATTGAAGGTGATGATTATAAGATCGAGCAATTAAAAGATAACCTTAAGCATTCTTTCCAAAATCTCGAAATTGATGATTCATTAGTGGGGTTTGATGAGGAGGAGGTCAATCGTTATCAAAGAGTGAAGGGTATATTAGGACAGGCCGCAAGCCCCAAGAAGTATGTTCGACTAAAGTTTGAACCCCATCTTCGAGTTTTCAAAAGCACAAAGAAAGATACACTATTCTTGGCCGGCGTAATTGATATAAATGCTAGTTCCGGAAGATTTTTTGAGAGAATCCGTGATTCTATTTTCACAAACGCAAACTCCTTGTCCTTGATTGAGAGAAAGCCGAAAATGCCAATCTACCACATTAGTTTTCAGCTAGGTGAACTTAAGTCTACAGTTTCTGAGGACGAAATTGAAGAGTTCAATTGTCAATTGGAAGATTTAGATATTGGACTTGAATCAATAAATGTCTATGTTTCGGACATTATTATCAATTCCATTGGTACTTTTAAGCTGACAAAGTCAATTCAACTCAATATATAGCACTCAGTACATTGTTCTGCAAGCTTGTAGATGCTATTCTTACTGGAATTCCTGCTATCACAGACTCCTAGACTTTCAGCTTCCGCTACTTCCATTGAACCGGTTTACGCACGCAATTTTCTACGGACATATGAATACAATTGGAACATTGAGAATCCTCTGTTCAACACGATAAGAAAGTGAAAGTGTATATCATTTTGATTCTTCAATGTCCCTTAAGAAGCAGCAGAAACAGGTCCAAAGCCAGTTGATCGAATTAGTCAACAACCGTTCTAACGACAATAAGTGTGGTGAGTGCGGTGCTACTTACCCAACTTGGGCCTCCTATAACCTTGGTATATTTCTCTGTGGTAGGTGTGCTTCATTGCACAGGAAAGTCTTGGGTCCTCCGCAGGAGAATATCTCTAAAGTCAAGTCATTGACCTTAGATGATTGGCCCGCAGAGCAAATTACAAACCTTCGTAAGATTGGAAACAAGAAGGCAAAAAGAAAATGGAATCCCAAGAGAATACCTTTCCCATACGATGCTGATGATGACAAAGACGCAGCAGAGAAGTATTTGAGGGACAAGTACATATTGGGATTGTTCCGCGATGATTCAATTGACGCGTCAGACTACGAAGATCGACTCAGCAAGTATTCCGACGAGAATGACTCAGTGAGAAATGGTTTGTTTTCCAGATCCCGGCTGAATTCATATTTGGCCAATAGTGGTGGTAGGTCTAGACTGAATTCATACATCAATAGTTCTTGTACTGGACGCCTGAGATCAGGATCCAATGCGGCAAACAAGGCAGCTCTACCAAGGCTTTCTCATAGAAAGCTTACTACCTTCGAAAACAGCTTGTATCTGGGGCAAGTCTCAAAAATTATGGGCTTCGGATATAAGGATAGAGATACTGTCCTTGAAAGTTTGTTATTGAGTAATGGTGTAATTGATACGGCCCTAGATATCTTAGAAGAGGACACCAGAATCAACCCTCTGCAAAGCGAGATTCCTCCAGATCTTCCTAAAAGACCATCAACTACAAGCTCAGTGTCCAACCTACCTTCTAAAAGTCCCATGCTGGAAGATTGGTGGGCATCGAAGCCAAGTGACACCCAGTCCATCCCTGCTATAGCGACCACTTCAGTACCACAACAAACTGGCGGAATGCAACAGCAGCCACAAATATATCAATACACTGACCCTGTGACTGGTCAAATTTTTTATGTGGACTCTAATGGGCAACAATACTTGGACCCCAACAATCCCCAACATCAGCAACAGTTGATTCAGCAGAATAACCCACAGTTTACTTCCCAAGCCAGCAAACAGAGTATTTTATCGTTGTACAACCAACCAAACCAATTTACTACAAACGTTGCATATCCAACAAACTCTGATCAGCTACAGCAACAACAATTACAACAGCAGCATCAACAACAGCAACAACAGCAACAACAGCAACAACAGCAACAACAGCAACAACAGCAACAACAAATACAACCTGGAAACTACCAAGGTTACTCTCCTTTCCAAAGCCAGCAAACATTTGGACAGGTACAACCACAATCACAACAATCACAACACCAATTTACTGGATTTGGAACATCCCAACAAACAGGTTATAATCCATTTCCTCCTCAAAATCAAAACCAGCAAAATTGGAGATAGTTAGTAAAAATAAATGATACGTTTATTCTTGAAGTAGCATGTGTTGACTCTCACACCAAAAAAATGCCTCCAGCCAGATTCGAACTGACGATCTCCTCATTACTAGTGAGGTGCCTTACCAACTTGGCCATAGAGGCTTAATTCTGATATTAAAGGAGCGCGAAAATACAGACTAATTAGGTAGATGATTACATAATAGAGATTACGTACATTAGGTAATATCATCGATATGAGATGTTACGGAAGGACATGTTAATGAGAGGCTAGACTAAAAGTACACAGTCTCAGCGATGAAATGAAATAATAGAGCTCAGAACAAGAACTCAATAGAAAGTACATAGATTAAATAGTTAAGGAGCCATCACAGAGATCTAGAGACAGGCAGATAATTAAGATCAAGAGAATTAAGTAACAGGCTAACTAGGATAAGATACTATAAGAGTTAATTAGGACTAAGACGATTCCACAAAAGTATAAGCTACTTAAGAAGATAATGGTAATAGTAAAAAATTACTACTATGGCTTTATACACAGAATCTAAAGTTAATCTGTTACACTCAGTTTTTTTGGACTCTTCTATTATGAGAACACAAAACATGTGACAAAAGACTATCTGGTCGCCCCTCTAATCAATCAACCAATTGCCTTTATTCTTGTCCAGCCACAACTCATAATCCAAAGTCTTATCTAACATAATTTGATCCTTACAGGTGCCATGTATCGCACACCAAGTTGCAAATAGTCAGCAAAAAACGATTCTAATTTTTATTAAATTAGATAGGTTTGACCATAATGGTATGCAATCTATAGGTATACATTCAGTAGATTATAATAGACATCCCATTATCAAAAAAAAGAGACCACGATGGTCATTGAAAGAGGTATAGAGCCATACACTGCTCAGTTAATTGGCAACGGGGGATCCAGAGAATAGGTGACAATATACTTTCCATTCGCAAAGAAATCTTTATGTATTTGTTGATTCTCGTTTATTCACTCAAGGTTCTTGAGAGCTAACTACTGAGATTGGTAGCCTTTTAATACATACTTTTGGGGAATCATGAAATGGTCGATGTCATCTATCAGTTGACTTCTCCACCACGAAGTATTAGAAGTAAGAGTCACATGAGTATTTGCTTGGTTGCTTTTGTCTAACATATTGTAGAGTAAATTCTAAATCCTAGTTTTGCCAACTGAACGTTGTCTGGGCTTTGGGCTAATAACATTATATAAACTACCTTCCCTCACCACAATATTATCTTGTAACAATATTCCCTAACATCTCTTGGGCTCAGCATTGATTTTCTTAAGAGCTAAATACAATACTTTAATTGTATTTTGATCGGGTACAAGCAAATACGCTCATAATAATTATTGATCTTATGGAGCTAGAAGAGAAACCTTCATGACTTTAACTTTGCATCCACTGTTTTCGTAGATCATGTGACGAAGTTCATAGATTTCCAAGGAGGACAATAATGGCAGCCGTAAACGTTTACGCAGCCGAATTATGACCAGTCATCTGACTCCCATCTAACTTCATTGACACCTTCGAATGTGATATCGCCAGGACTAGATTCAGCATAACAGAGGCAATAATGCTCAAATAGCAATTTAATTTCCTCAACTTCATCAATAAACTCAAGTTTGTTGATACGTTTCATATCACTAACTTCAATCCATGGTTTTTTTGAGCTAGAGTATATGACATATCCACCAACATCACTCATGTTTGTTAACTTGATATGGGAGAGCCCACATATATCAGAAAGAAACACTAGTCTTGAGTTTAAATCGGGTAATTCGTTAAATGTCTGCAAGTTGATTCCTCTTTGTAATAAGTTCTTAGTCATAGTTGCCCCAAAAGAATCATTCAACGACATAGGTTCATATATGAGGAATGAAACAAGGCCCCTGCATTGGTGCTTCCAAAATTTTATTATTTCCTCATTTTCTGATGGTGAAGCATAACAAAGAACGCATTCACTAAGAACGAGTGTGGGAAGGGAGCTGTCAAAGTGCTTCAACAAAGGTATGACATCTTCTGAGGTCAGACCACTGGATAATTTGCGCAAATCGTAACTCTGTAGGTGATATCTCTTGGTATGTAAATTTGGACTTAGCTGTTGGAACTGTTCTTTGCTCGTAATATCTACAGATTCACCTTGGGACTCAACAATCGATTTCAATTTCTCGTTTCTCAAGATTGCCACTTTCTTAATTTTCGTAGACTCTGGAAAATCAATCTCATGGTAGATAACCCTTTCAAACTTTTCAAGAAACCTGAACCCCCTAGTATCAGAGCCTCCTCCTAATGAAAGTATTTGGCACACATCGAACTGTTTAATAAATTCTTCTGTAACTTGATCGATCAGTTTGGTTCTTAAATATGTACCTCTGTTTATCAAGGGCAACTTTCTTTCTCCAAATACAGATCTAAGTGTTCTGCCAGCTGAAAGGTTTGTGTATCCTGAACAATATTGCAAATTCGATTTGTATGATAGAATCAAGGGTTCTATAAATGGATCTTGAGGGGTAATGTAGTTGGCTTGATTTGCACTGTGCCTACATGCCAATGCATCTAAGTCAGTTGCTCGTATCGCCTTGTCTATTTTCTCCAGAGGAGATAACATTTGAATGGACAGGAAAGAAACATGGATTGTTTCCTGCAGAAAACTCGCAATAAGAGATTTTGAGATATCGCACCGTTCAACAAAAGAAGTACAGATTTGGATATGAATAATGTATTTACAGTAATAAGTTATTTCTTTTCAAGAACTATCCACCAGTTATCTTTCTCGTAACCTTCCTCAAATATTTCACAATTGTTGCACTGAAGCGCATCCTCTGCCAATTCTCCCCGTTTATAAAGATGATAATACCTATATTTTGTTTGGGATTGCGACTCTGAGACAAGATCTTTTGAGGTGTTCATTGAGGGATTCTGTTCAGCACTACTCGAAATCTGGTTTATTCCTTCCGAGCGATCCGAGATTGTAGACAGTTGCTTATCTCGTTTTGACTTGGTTTTCTTTTCTTGTTTCTTTTGCAACACCCACGGAATCAAGATATCTTGCTCGTCGCCATCTTTGTAGCCTCTTCTTGAATTTTCCTGTTCTAAAGCCCAACAATAGATTAGCGCTCTTCCACCTTGTCTTAATTTCGAAACAATGTGTTTGATTGCATCGACTCTTCTCTCTTTGGTAGAGAAATGATGAATTACGGCAATAGAAATTGCAAAATCAAAAGAAGAATCCTTATGTGGTAAGTGTAACCCGTCTGCAACACCTAGATTGAATGATCCTTTGGAATTCTCATTTGCACAGGTAATGAGTCCATCAGAGCGGTCTGTTCCGATGATGAATAACTTGTCGTTTACACCTAAGTACTTTCCATTACCACATCCAATATCCAAGCCAACTGAGTAGTCATCTCGACTTTTAAGAAATCTTTCCACGATTGGCCATGGCTTGTAGCGTGTTTGAGAAAAGTGAGGAGCTATCTCATTATATACAGTGTGAACAAACTCATCTTCTTGGACTTTTGGATCTATACCTTTTTCAACTGCTATTGAAGGAACAGACATTGGACTTTTAGTTTATTTAAGTCAATCAAAGTTTTAGATAAAATAGATGAAACCTGCATACAAATATCAAAGTGAAGCTTTAATGGATCATGACTAGTAAAAGGATAATAGATTCATGGGAAATGAATGTTGCTTATTATATTGCCTCAATATTATTACTTCTTCTATTACCTTTATTGAATGTCCGTGATGGTGATAATGCAAAAGCTCTAGAGATGTGCTGGAAGGATCTTGAGATGGAGATATCCACTATTCCTATTCATTTGATGTTTGGAGATAAAGGGTTTGCTTTCCCTGATTTGATACCGGCAACACAACTTCAATTGGATTATCATATAACACAAATGTACCCATCAAGCCCATTCAGGCTTCAATTGGTTGATAATTTAAAGTCCAGTTTACAAGTTGGTGGGACAATCAATATCAATGACTGGGGGAAGAACAACTATGTAGTTGAATTAGTGCACGGCGAAGAGAACGAAATCTTCCTTGATCCAAATTTAATGAAGGTTACCTTATTTTACACTTTGGCATCAATACATTCGAACGACTTACCATTCCTTGTGACTCAAACAATCATGGATCATCTTTCGATAGCAGAGCTTACATTTCAAGAGAGTGAAGGTGTTTATGAAAGGCCTATATCCCTTATATTCTACCTTAATGGAATACTGGACGGTAGTTTCCAAGACATCAAGGTTAAGAATGCATTAAGCTTATATCTTGAACCCATCAAAGAATTGTACAACATTAGTCACAACATATCATATGGTGATAGATCCAACATGATGAATGACTCTTTGCATATTTTTATAAATAGCAATGCATCATGGCTATATCATGATAATATGACCTATAATATTGATCTTGAGGAGATAGAAGAGAAAGATATCAATGATCTATCTATTGAACTTAAGTATCAATTGAGTAAAATTATCGAGAATAAATTGTTACTACCAAAGCATCCTACTAATAACTTGAAGATCAAACTAATGTCAGCCTTAAGACATCAAACATTGATGACTTTGAAGATTGCAACAACGCATAACAGCTCTTCTAGGACTCAAGCAAAAGTGATTACGGAATGTCAGAGAATGAAAAGCATCTCAAAAGTAAATTGGAAACACTTTGTGGAGAGTGCGAAGGAACTAACCACAATATTTATGGAGCTGGCTTAATAAATATTGCATTTACATTGGGTACTTGCGTCAAAACATTCTATTTAGATTGGTACCTTATCGAAAATTGAAAACCCAACCATACACACAGACGGACCTCAACAACGAATTTTGTTCAATTCTGGAGACTCTATAGACCTGTATATAAGCATGTACATAAAGATTTCATAACCAAGACAAAGCAAGTGCAACTTAAACATGTCATCATATAGTGAGAGTGTGGATAATGAGAGTGTGAGCGATATCAGCCTAGATGAAGATGATGAGGAATTGATTTGGAGGGTCTTTTATAATGATTTGGATAGAAAAACAGGCCTTTTAGATCAATCTACCCAGGATATTGAAGATCATAACAACTATTATGAGGAAGATGAGGATGAAGATATTGAGGATGTGAGTGATTTGTCAGATATAGAAGACAGTGAGTTAGCACAAAGGTACCGTGAACTAAGAGAAACGAAAATAGATAAGGATATGCCTGAAGAAGAGAAGAAGAGACTTTTGATTTCACACTTTTCAGAAGATCAGATGGAAAGATTTGAAGCATACAGAAGAATGACAATCAATAAGCCTGGTGTCAAGAAGATCTGTAATAGTGTGTTGGGCCAATCTATCCCACAAAATTTAGCAGTTGTGTTAGCAGGTATCTCGAAACTGTTTTTGGGTGAGATAATCACCAAAGCATTTGAAGTTCAGGAGAGAGAAAACCGTTCAAAGCTCATAATAGATATCGATGAGAAAAAGAAGCAAAAGCTTGCTGTATTAAAGAGTTTAGAGCAGGGAAAAGAAGTTAATGTGGATGATAAAAGCAAAAAGTTACAGTATGGAGGTGATGTAGCGAAACCATTGCAACCAAATCATATAGTTGAAGCTTACAGACTATATAAAATGGAAAATAGCGGAGCGTTTGAGTCGCAATGGAGAAGAGAAGGAGAGGTTGACGGAAAGGGTTTGAGATAGTTTCCCCATAAAACATAGAAAATACTCTTCGAAACATGCACTGCAGTATATAGTCTCAGACTAATGCATATTTTTAGTGTTTCACCACGATGTTTGTGGAGCGCTTTCGTAGAATCGTTAATTCAAGTGTTTGTACGTTTACCACAAGTACTCACTCATCATTCCAAGCTCAACAGATGGCATATTTGTTCCCAGAATGGTGCGCTTATTATGTACACTACTGGATATCTAATTTTGCATGTGAAACAGATCAACAATTCAAAGTGGCGATTAACGGATATAATCCCTCGCGGTTGATGCAGGATTGAGGTGAAGATCATTAATGACAGAACCCACCAAGAAGCGAAAGAGGCTCGTACTTAGTTGCGACAACTGCCGCACGAGGAAAACGAAATGTGATCGTAACCTCCCTTGTTCAAATTGTATCAAGCTCAGCATTGGCCACAGGTGTACATTTAGCTCACCAAATCATATTAATCATTCAAAGCTTGCAAGTCTCAATACAGAACCCGATGGCAACGATAAATCGAAGATTATATCAGAACTAGAAAGCTTGAAGCTCAAGCTTCAATCAATTGAGGGATCTATAGGGAATTCAAGCACTTCTCAAAGTATTTCACCAGAGGCGTCAATCGGAACATCATCAATATCTGCGATACCAAGTAACTCAAAATATTCTTTCACAGACACAGAGGTTAGTATAGGTTCACCATCGAACTTCATTTCAGGTTTGCTGCCCCAAGTTCCGGTTCATCCTCAGAGAATTGTTCAACCTGGATTGTTGACTTCGACATCCCTACTACCCTTACCAGCACAACTACAACCTCTTGTGTCTCAACAAAATTCTGATACTCAATCACAGTTCTTCCACTCTTTGCCATCCATTCCTAATATTGCTCATGGATATGCATTAGATTCCTCTGAAAGGCGTAAACCGTCATTGAAGGAATTGTTCGGTACGAGGGAACTAAAGTATCTTATTGAATCTGAAGATGCTATACGCCAAGCCAACAAAGATTTATACCTAGGAATTAATCCAATCGTTCCGGATCCGAAGTTTTTCAATCTACATTTTTGTATTGATTCCACCAACCTGATCAAACCATCAATACCACCTTTACCACTTCGATGTTTACTGAGAAGGGATCCAGGATGTTGTCTCTTCTGGAATCAACATGAGCTCTCAACAAAAATATTTTTCAGCTTTCCTACGAAGGGAACAAATAAGGGCATTACAGCGTTGGATATTAGAGCTCAAAGGAAATTAGGTGACCAGCATATCAAGCAAATAGAGGATGGATTTACAATGGATGAGGTTAAGTTATCCTGCTCAAATTATGGTAGACACTCAGGTGTTTATTTTTGTCCAAAATCCCTTTCAAAGCAATCTTTACTTGAGAAAATAGCAACACTTCTACCGGAAACATCGGTTTGTGAGCAGTATGTGGATTTGTTTTTTGAGAACTTATACGTATTCTTCCCGATTATCGATGAGAGCCAGTTCAGAGAAGACATAGGGAAAATAGTAAAGAATACTGTAACACCCGAAGGAACTTTCAAAGATCACAAGCGTATTGTCATAGAGAAGAGACACGATCTTGCAACTATCTCGATTTATCTTTTCATCCTAAGATTGAGTTATATTTCACAATTCAGATTCTACACTAAAGACACGGAGGAAACGCTCGGAGAGTATAGTATTATTCTGACTCGTGGAACCGAATTAGCCATCCAAAATCCTGTTCCTACGGAGGTAGCTGAAGTTGCTGAGGACTGTTTAAAGTCTTTCACGTTTACACGGAAACAGGACATGGTAGTTTTACAAGGAGCAATATTGTCCAGGATACATGATAGGTATAGCCCAGACATTGGCGATAAACCGTCGAACGAGAATCCAGCTTGTACGGCAATGTTAGTGCAAATGGCCACAAATCTAGGGATGCATCGAGATCCGGATTATATTATGGAGCTTAGTCTAAGCAGTAATCAAAAGCACTTGAGAAGGAAAATTTGGCATTACTTAGTATCGATGGACGTTTACGAGACGATATTTTATGGTACTCCTATTACGGTAAATCTTGCAAGCTATGATACGAAAGTGCCATTTTATGTCAGTGGAGTAGGAAATACAAAGAAAGAGGAAACTGAGAGAGAAGCAGTAAAAATTTTTCAATTGCATCGTTCTATCATATTAACGACAAGTAAGTTATCAGAGATTTTACTGAGAATAAAGGATCAAGTTTCTATGTCTTCAATTATAGATCAAATCAATGATTTCGAAATTATTGTTGCAAGGAGTTGTTCAAGACTTTCTGCAATTATGAAGCCACAAACCACGGAGACAGACGCATTCCGCATCAAAACTATCCACATATATTTGCACTCGAAAATGTTTCTTGCAGGAATGTATTATTACTTCTTCACTTATTATCACGATCTGGGTGTTAAAGAGTTAGAATTTTTCTATTTTAAAAAGGCTTTAATTACAATTTTTGTTGAACTTAATGACCTAATGAAGATCGTCATTTTCAACGACGGAGGGGTATTTGGGCAAATGTGTGCAATGTTGATTTCTCCTATTATTAATTTGATTAACAGTTTTGCATGCATGATAACCTTATCATTATGTATTCGATTGACCGCAACAAGTCAGAATAAAAACTCAAAGTTTACAGTCAAAATTGAACATTCGGAAGAAGAGGACATCAAATTGCAAGAGCTAATGCAAGTTGCATCCGCTTGTACAAGAGATTTGTTGTTTAAGCTATCAATCACCAGCAAAAGATTTATAAATGCATGGAAAGCAAAGAAGGCAATGTTCCATGGATTGAGTATCCTTCTGAAAGGTCCTATTTTCAATGATTCAACACCAAACACTTATGCAATCAGTTTTAACAGCGATCAACTAAGACAAATAAATGATATCTTGAATGGTTATTCGAAAATTGCAGTAACCGAAGAAGTTGACCCATCTAGAGTTTTGCAGTCATTTCAATCGATGAATTTTGAGACAGCCGAGGACCTCAACCTTGATGAGAAAAAAGAGGAGTACTTAATCTCTGAAATACAACTAGATCATTTCTGGCGTCAAATGAAAAACATCAAAATGGTAGGCGAACAAGATTGGTTACGTACGTTGGAATCAACTGGGTCAGATTATCCAATTATCGAAAACAATCTGGTTCACGGCACTGCTTATTTCGCTGATTTCGATCTCTTTGACCCTTCCATTATGGACACTTTTGGGGATCCTTTTTCGACTTGATTAATGTTGAAAGTTCAATCTACAAATGGGTCTACTGATTATTTATGCTGTAGCTAGTTTGACTTATTTATTTTATGTAGTAATAATATTACAGTACACTTCAGCATGCTTCTCGTAATATATAGATTTCAAGACTTCCGGAATATGCTTCCATAGCCTAATTCAAAAATCAAAAATGACCTATCAGTCTTTAATACCTAATTATATAGAGCCATTCTAACATCACAACTATTAAATGAAATGCAACCATGCAACTTGATTGAATCGTATTCTCAACTAGCGTGTTTCTATCGATCCACACACAAGACCAAAGCACAACTATATAGAGTAGATGCGATGCAACAACCACCAAGCTTAAAAAGCATTAGTCACCGAACCTAAGGGCAAGCTACCATTGAATTTTGCCAGAAATGATAGAATCAAGCTGGCAGTGGCTGTCAGGTTTTCAAGACTGTATGACGACTTCAAATCCCATCCTTATTGACGAAAAGAGCCCCAAAACCTAACCTTCTAATTTCCAATTCCTCAACACCATCTCGTAACAAGAGTAATACTCTTGGGTAATCCAACTTTATGTCAAATGATACCAAGTTTTACAACAGAATAATGATGCAATTACGTAAAAACAATACATCAAAAGTTAATATCTCAAATTGATTCCAATCGATTGAATTTCAAACACAACATTTGTTAACCACTATGCAGAATTAGTATTATATTGCAAACTAGTGAATATCTACTAGTATCATTCAAACTTTCAAACGTAAAATCAATGCAAGCCACAAAGAATACTAATTAAGAGATTAAATTTAAATATAATTAGAAAAAGATACCATAACATAAATGTCATCTTCGTATTTGGAGATTATAAACGAGATACTAATATCCTTAGGTACTAATAATGATGTATTCAGAGCATCAGGTGAGAAATCCCCAAAAATATAGTGTTAAAACCTATCTTGCTATGTGTTACCCAAAACAGAATATAATTTAAATGAAGAATACCTTCAAGATTTAAGAACCGGTCAACACAATAGAATAATGTACAATTCAGACTTGTCCATTCCAATAAATAATTGAAAAATTCTAACTCAGATAAATAAGTTAATAGGTAGCTTCACCACCCTGTTCTCAACAATCATAAATTAATTGAAACCTTGCGACGATCATGATCATCGCAGAACAAGCAAACATACCATATGTTCTGACAATACACCTATATTTTGAGATTAAAATCATTATTCAACGTGCTCTATCAGTGAGGATGGAAATTGTGCACTTATAACCTTTATTTATAACTTTGAGCAAATGTAAAAGAAGTTAACATAATAATTATTCTGTCTGTTAATAATAAACAGAAGTTCTCAAAAAACTAGTCTAACATTCCGTAAAGACTTAATTTCTTTAGATACATACAAATTACAAAACATTTTGCGAAAGTAATACTATAGCCTGTACAGCCCATACCTGACAAATACACAAAATACCAGATATTAGGACATTCCCCTGGACTTTTACCCTATGGAGTATCAAATATTTTCGATTCTTCAGCTATTATATCGGATCACTAACTACATTCCATTACAGGCCTAGTCATTAAAGAAAAGAGATTACGTACATTTCCTCCAAAATGATACTTATCATTCATGATACTTGTACGCTCAAATGCTATGACTGAATCAATCTACGTTCTAACACCTACAATAAGTACATTGTGAATTTTGTCTTCCAAAATGTATGTATGTCAAATATGTACCAGATTTTAAAATTCAGAAGATACTCTCTATAACAATAATTAACATTTCCATGCTCTTAAATGCCCGCAAAATAAATTTGGTATTATCTTGCTGTTGTAAACACAGGTCAAGCAATATATTAGAAAGAGATTCGAACAATACTTCAAGATTAATGGAAGGATGGATCTGGTCCCATCTTGTTGTTTTCATTATCTGCTTGTTTTTATCGTAAATTAGTATAAGAGTTATTATAAGATGCTTTGTCAGGCAGAAGTACAAATTCAGTTTCTTTCTTCACTTTTATGAGTAGCATAAGGTTTTGCTTGCAACATAGACTAATCTACAATTAATTGATTCGTATTTTTTGGCATTAAACTCTCGAGTTTACTTATTAGGAGTTAACAAATTAGAGATATTTTGGTTAGTTCAAGGCTACTCCGAACTATTTCTGACTATTAATCTATCGTTATCGGGTAATGGAATAGCTGAGTTCCGGGAAGAAAGCACAAATAGGTTCCATGGAGGTACAACATCCTTCTTGGAACCGTTTGTTTAATCGGGTAGCAAAGGCTAAGTCATCTTGGGGGGAGGGAGAATTCCATCTTTACTATCAAGAGAAACTCTGAGAAAGATAAGTGGTCTTGAGTAAAGGTTTCAACTCAGAGCGGTATACCTAGCTGTGAACAAGAAGAATTCAGAATTAGTTATATATTTGAGCAGCAAAGTCTGATTTGAGGAATCCGTGAGGAATCCGTCACCGCATTCCCTTATTTACAAAATTACCAAAGATTATTTTGTTCGGATATCTGGTGGTGCCTTCCGTCCTTGAATGAGTTCAGGGGTGGCAACTATTTTCAGTTGGTTTATGGAATAATCAGTGTGTTTTTGGTTTTTTCAGCAGGAAAGACCAAGTCCTTTACCAAGGCCTTGTGTTTCTCTCAGAATGGGAAGGCGTATAATTGTAGGCAAAGTAGAGGATACATCATCTTTTGACTCAACTAGAGCGGGAAATAAAGCTAAAATCAATTCTTCTGTGATAGCAATTTCATCATTCATCGACCTTGAACCGCTTTTATCCTCCGGGTGTGTGGTGCTCACAATGGTCGGTTGATGGTCTTGACGTAGATGTAGATAACGTGGTGGAAATTGTGCGATTTTGCAGTTGGGATGTAGTAAGCTTGATGATTATGTGTACATGGTATTTGCCATTATGAGTAGCCCCGATGTAGTTCCCAAAGTCCACGTGATGTTTCGCAGCCAAACCCGATGATGGGACCCTTACTTGGGGTAAAAGCTTGCTGACACGACAGTGAAACACTCCATAATAGTACAATAAAGTTCTAAATATTGAGATCAAACTTTCAATTATCGATTTTGATGTAAATAGACATAAATCAAAATATTTCCAGCCAAAATGTCCATTTGTGACACCCTTTGCAACTTTTGCAACCAGTATTTACGATCCTATTACCTATTAACTATAAATTCAGTCCTTGCCATCCTAGGGATTTAGAGTCTTTCTTTCATACTATCTTCGGTATAGAATCGAACAACCTTAAGTAAAACATCTACGAAGTCAACAAACCGATTACTCAAGCATGTTCCGTGATTGTCTTTCTAAGTTAAAGGCGTGTCTGTGAAAGAAAAGAAAGATGAAGATCCATCTGCACCAGTTGTCATCCTGTTAACCGTTGAGGAGTCACTATTTGGCTCCTTGGGTGAGATCCTAGAAAGGCAACCAGTTTATTGGGGGTTTCAGAAGGATAGGAATCCTCTTAAAGGCGAGGTTCCGAAGAAGTTGAACGCTTTTACTAGATCACTTCTCCTGCGCTCTGACAAAGTGCTATTGAAGTATAAGAACACTATATATGATGGTCCTTCTGCTTATCTATACAGTTTATATGGAGTTGATTGCATTGATAGCATATTCCTTCCGTCTGTTGATAATGAACAATTTTTTGATGATAACGTGAAAGTTCAAATCATGCTCAGAGGCATTGGAGTCGATTATATTCTAGAAGGTTTTGATGATGCAAGCTTCGAAGACACCATTAAGACTCGGACTAGGGACGAGTTGAAAAGAATGGATAAGATTTTTGAGGTTATCTTGGATCACTGGAGAAAGAGCCTGCATGAAAACTCAGTGTTCTGCCAAAAAAACATACAGCCGTTCTATGGCGATTGAAAAGGAGATAAAACTCTATATTTGGGGTCACAAGAACGGAAGTAGCAAACAAACTAATGAGGTAAAATCCCTGGTAGATTTTTACATAGTTAAAGATTCACATGTCAGGTTTAGGACCAGGGGGGTCATCTACGACATGGAAATGCTTGACGAGCGGCGCTTCGAAACTTACAATCGTTTAAAAGAAATTGAACTCACATTGAGATCAAAATACAACCAAGCTGACAAATTCAGCAATGCCAGTGAAGCAAAGTACGTTGACATTGAAGCCAAAAATTCCGATAAATCCAATAATAAATTGATGGTGGTAATGAGTTCTTTTGAACAGTTCTTTGTCATAAAGTTAGGTTAATTGATAAAGCTGATCAATCCTGTTGAGCTCGAATCTCATAGAAATTACTTAGTCTACATGCATTTCGGAACAATTGAAACCATTCGTTTACCAACTTGGAGTATTTTATGTGTCGACATGATACCTGGTGCTAATCAACTATCATACCAACACTTAGGATTGCTGCTGTGGCTTCTGTGTCTGTTGCTGCTGTGTTTATTATGCTATGATGATTCAACTTACAGAATACCAGCGAAGGGTAAAGTGTCTGCCTTGGAAGTGCTCTATTTTTCGAATCATGCAGAGTTATACTAGCGATTGGGGGCTCGGTAACTGTGTAGCGCCATATTGCATGAAAAGAAAGAGCAGTACTCTATCGGCAAATTGATATGCACATACCACTTACTTGTGCAGTATCTACAGAATCACCACAAACACAATACTGGTAAGTTACAGCTATGGTTTAGAGTGGTTAAGTGTTTTGAGATTGTTAATATTTAATATCGCTTTTGGTTCTGGTTCAGGGTCGCTAAAAGTCGGTTGATGGTGAAAACTGATCAAGTGTCTCCCAGTGTTAAATATTTGAGGTGTTATAGGGTTTAGTTGCTACTAAATTCAAAATATTTGAAATATAGGTCTCTCATCTTAATTGCTGGCCATCCAACAAGATTCTGCAGGTGTATTAAAACTTGATGGGGATTTGACTCAGGGATGGAGAAGTCAGTACCCAGTTGGTTGATCGTATTGTCTCAACAACTTTTGACTGGCATGTAGCAGCAGGCAAGAATCTGAGTATAGCTAACTTAATTGGCTCTACGGTCATTAACTATGTACTTGTATTTGCTTCCCAAAAATAGGATTGTTCTATCTCACTTTCTCCCACGGTGTATCTGCTGGGGATTGGGTACCAGGAACCAGTAAGTTGCTGGAGGCAATCAATAGGAGGGAGCTTAGGTAGTTAAACTCAAAACACGAAGGACAACGAGCTACATCTGGCCTTGAGTCATGCCCAGTAATTAAGTAAGTTACAGTTACTAAGTGCTATTTTGGATCGGAAAAGTGTTTGTTTAACATTCTTAACGATGGGGCAGTCAGCTTGATCGATAGGTGCCATTTCATGAATTATTGAATCCAGAGGAACTGATATGATTGACTATTTTATTTTTTGGTTAAATTTGCTTTTATTTCACAATGCTCTTCATAATCAGAAATAGAAGTAATGGAAAATTTTTTGAATACAGAAAGATTTGCCTGGATTAACAAAGGCTTTGGCCAAGAACAAAGTTGTTCGGAGCATCCAATAATACAGAACTACCCAAGTACCTAATTTAATAAGCACTCTCAAAATATAGGATCTCCCGTTATCACTTGTGCTGCCATTGGCAAAATACACGGAAGCTCATAAGCTCAGAACGTTGACTACTGAGACTATTGAGTTTGTTCAGGTCCAACTGATGCAAGCTTAACATGTAGTTAAATAGACTAAGCACACGACATTTCGAGGTACAGCTCATTTGGTGTATTTTCTGATGATGACTATATCATTGTAGATGAGGTAATGATAATGATCTATATACAAGAAGTCCTAGTAGGATGAAAGTGGTTTACTGGAAGTGGAGTCTGTGCTGAACCCCAAGTATATCCAAAGCCTATCCCATTGTCCTTTTTTGTGAAGCATAGCTAGTATAAGTACTGCTGGCAAATGCCACACTGAACACCAAAATAATTGCTTAGCATGAACTCCAGCTAATGCTATTCCCTCGGCAGTTGGTTTTGCTCCATCACGATAATTCTTTTGCTGCTGTCTCCAAAATTGGTATGCTAAATAAGTCAACCACCCATTTGCAATTGCCGAATCAATAGGAAAAACCCAGTCAGTAATTCCGTAATATGTCAAACCAAAACATAATGGAAACATTAACAATGAATATCTCAACGCAACCCTAGCATTTAGTTTTGGATTCTCCGCAGCAGTCATAACATAACCTGCTTGCTTGTATTGATCAGCAATATTATGAGATAACGCGTTGAAGTGTGGAAATTGCCAGGCATAAAGCAAACCCGCTAGGCACCAAGCTGCCGGGTGATTAAGTGGAGAAGCAGCTGCCCAGCCCATCAATGGTGGTATTGCTCCAACGATAGCTCCCACCCAAGTATTAATGATTGATTTTCTTTTGAGCGATGTATAGATCCATGCGTATAGGACGATATTTAAAAATCCCAACATCGATACTGTAGGGTTTACCCCCAAGTAAAGCATGGTACAACCTAACGAACCTGTAACACCCGCAAACCTATAAGCTTGCTGTGGCGATATCAAGCCCCGTACAACAGGTCTACCAACCGTTCTGGGCATCTTTCTATCAAATTCCGGTTCTCGTCCCATGTTTATAGCATTCGCGGCTCCGGAGCAAAGAGCAGTTCCCATAGTCAAGAATAACAATTCATGCAATGAAACTGTAAAAGGTGATATAGCATACGAGCAAATGGAACTCAATGTTACAAGCACAGTCAAATTAGGTTTGGTCAACTTTAGGTACGGGCTGATTAATGTGCTCAACTCACTCTTCGGTTTGATTGTAGTATTTTTATTGGATAGTGGCCGTGTAGATCCCTTTGGAACTACTTTGAAAGGAACTTTGTCATATGAAATCTTTTGAGACAGTTCAGCATCCGGATCTTGACAGTTCAACACCTTCGTTGCTACGTTACCTAGGATGGAATTGGTTTCTTGATTTGCCGACACATCATTTCTCCCCGAATTACGCTTTGAACTTATTAGGAGTCTTCTATGAGGTGATGTTAAGTGTTGATTATTGATAAAATTCTGGTCTATACGAAATCCTTTCTTCGTATTCTTGAAAAAGAAGTTAAAATGACCGACTGGGTTTAGTTTGTATAGACTTAACATTCTAGATGACATTTTGAGGCAACTAGATTTGCTCGCTTTTTTTGCTATTCTAACTTTCTTGTGAGTTGTTGGCTGATTATTTCATAAAGCTAATGACGATTGATATCCTAGTTGATCTCTAGTACAACTTAATTTTTTGAAGATTTTCTCAACGCGCGCACGACTACAGGTATCTCGTATGATTACAGAAGGAGCTCCTTGTATTGGTTATCTACTCATCAACGGGAACATCTGCCTTTTCATTGGTATTGGCAGCCTTTTCGAGGTCCAAATCAATCTTATTCTCGCCCGAGTTCTTTTCATTCAACTTCTTGTTTTCTAACTTGTTCTCAATTAAATCATGAAAAGCTATGATGGCCCTAACAAGGGTACTTATGTAAACCACCATCAATTCATCATTAGTTTTGATCGTGAATGCAGTTGCCAATGGATTGTTTACATCAATTCCGTTTGGATCAATCAGACTTGATTTTGCAAGTTTAGGTAATAAGTTGAACACATTCTGGAGCTTTCCCAAGATAGTATGGTTGAGTGGTAACTTTCTCTGATAAACTTTGTCCAAATAGTTAGCTATTTCTTTAAGTTTTTGATGCAAACCTAATAACGACTGGTATGTTTGTGTTACTCTTAAGGATAAGTTTCCAGCAGCTTGATCTCTAATGTCTCTCAATAAGTGCTCAACACCAATTTCTTCAGCTTCTTCAGCCTCAATAAGCGAAGGAACATGCACGAAAGTCTTCTCAGCTGCTGAACCATCGTTTTTGATGTCATCGACAGAAAAGTAAGCATCGGTTGGTATTCCTACCTCCCTTGGTTGAACATCAACAATTAGTAAAAGTGGATTTGCAGTATACTTTTTGAAGACTTCATTAATCTTCAAATCAGAAGGCTTTAATTTTGGGCCCGAGTGATACCAACCAATCAACTTTTCCTTGGCGTTTATCTTTTTAAACATCTCCCCCATAGAATCTATAAAATTATGATCCAAGAACCATACGCTTGGGTTCTTCTCATCTTCTTCAAATGGGATAGCATATGAATTTGTGACCTTGATAGTATCAGTTGAGCTGTCTCCCAATATAACCCCTACGACTCTTTTCTTTGAATCCTTTGCCACTCTGTTATAATGGTCGACAACTGACAATAAAACAAGAGGAGACACTGAAACAGCCTTATTCAAAAATGTGGATTCGTTGTTTGTTGAGGACATTCTTGTACTTAAATTCTGTGGCAAATAATGTAAATATGAAAAACTAGTACGCTAGGAAGCCTAGAAAGTCAATTGAACAGTGATATGACTTATGTAGACTTGAATGAGAATACAACCAAGATATAGCTCGGGCTGTTATGATTTATGTCAAGTGTATTGCTTGCCAACAGTGAATTGATGTGGCCAACAACCTTTTTTTGGATAATCGCCTTCAAGACCAAAAAGGTCGTGGGCAGCCCACTTATAGATTCAGGATGGCTTACGTGATTCCAATGCTTGATCAAACCATCTATCAATGTTCGGACAAATAGTGATAGGGCCCCCAGGATCGGGGAAGTCCACATACTGTTATGGTATGTACCAGTTTATGTCTGCAATAGGCAGAAAACTGTGTATCATTAATCTTGATCCGGCAAATGACCGATTACCCTATCCAGATTGTGCCCTTGACATAAGAGACTTCGTTACTATAGAGGAAATTATGGAAGAGTTGAACTTAGGACCCAACGGTGGTCTTATGTATGCTTTGGAGAGTCTTGATGAGACGGGCATTAACTCTTTTATTCAGAAAGTGAACCAATTAGTGAAAGAACAAAATTATCTCATATTTGATTGTCCTGGACAAGTAGAGCTCTTCACACATCATAACTCCTTGTACAAAATTTTTAAAAGCTTGGTTAAAGCAGATCATCTTCGTTTGTGTGTCGTCTCCTTGGTTGATTCCATATACCTAACAAGTCCATCGCAATATGTGTCGATTTTGCTTCTAAGTTTGAGATCCATGCTTCAATTAGATTTACCACATGTGAATGTAATCTCCAAGATTGACTTATTGAGAAATTATGGTGAGCTACCTTTCAGACTTGATTATTACACTGAAGTTCAAGACTTGGCGTACCTTTCACCTCATTTAGAGAAGGAGTCGAATTCTATCTTGGGAAAGAACTATGTACGGCTCACTGAACTCATTGCAGAATTAGTGGAAGATTTCAATCTTGTTTCCTTTGAAGTGTTGGCAGTGGAAAACAAACAGAGCATGATTAACATTTTGAGCGTCATAGATAAAGCGAATGGTTACAGCTTTGGGAGTGAAATTGGAGGTGATTCTATATGGAGTGAAGCTACAAGGTTAGGTGGAAACTCGGAGTTCATGGAAATAGATATTCACGAGAGATGGATTGAGCATAAAGATGAGTACGATGCGATAGAGAGCAAAAAGGGTGAAACCGAAGACAAAGATGCATCATTGCCGCTCAATGAAGATGAGGAATGGGAACTTGCATTAAAAGACTGGGAGTCAAAAAGAGGTGGTGATGGCACACTACTTAGGTAAATAAAAATCAGACAGCATGTATACTCAAAAATATAGCGCAAGTTGTGAACCATCATCAACGACTGGGTAGGTAGTGTACAGACCAATCAGATATTTTGTGTGATTAATGTCACTTATGTAATAAGAAGTGATGAGGACTTCAACACGGCAATGAACAGTTCTGAGCTTTCGCTAGATATTGAATATACAAATGCTCTAGATTCGCAGCTTGATCGGACCATACATAACCTTGAAGAGAAAAAGGAGGTCATAAAAACTCAAGTTGATGTACTCCTGGGCATACTAAAAGAGATAAAAAATGACAAGAACCATCACACATTCACCATTGCGATAGGTGGTGGATATTTTGTTGAAAAGTCTAAATCACAAGCCCTAGAATACTTGGAGTGCAGAATTTCAGATCTTGAGAACTCGTGCAATACATTCTCCGCCAAGGTTAAGGAAGCATTGATTACCAGAGAGAATTTAAAAAAGTTTCAAACCTTTACTAATGGCAATTTTGAGTCTACAAACAATAAGGTCGAATTAAATGAGGAGGGACTCCCTTTTATGGAGATCGAGGAGCATTTAGATGAAGATGGTAGTATTTTAAAGGCCCGTATAAATAATCAAGAGGTAGATCAAGAACAGCTAATTGTACCAAACCAAGAAATCACTGCAACAGCTCCAAAAGAGTCTGTTGATAAAAAGGATAAGCTAGGAAGGACTGTCAGTATACTGACTGGTTCGAACTCAATTGAACTCATCCAAGAAGACATCGATGGCCCATGGGATAACCAAAAGATTGATCTGATTGAGCCGCAACACGATAATGAAGAGCTTGCGCAGTTATTCGATGACATGGAAATATCTAGCAGATCGATGAATAAGATCCCTGAAAATTTGAGTCAAGATGCATTGTTGGACAAAATTGACAGCTTGAAAATTAGTCCTGATGACAAATTCAGATTAAAGCAGATTTGCATCGACGCTTATAGGAACAGTCAGCCAAACAATGATAACGAAAACTCGAAAGATAAACCAAAAGATAAAGAAATTCTTCAATCAACTACACTGTTACCGGAATCAGTGGGAAAGAGATCCGAACATGTGGTCCTTGCGAATACAATTGTGGAGAAAAATTTGGAGCATGAAGACAAAATTGACCAGGATGAAGAGAAATCAGCTAGAATTTCCAACTCAAACCAAATTTCTTTAGATCAAGATGAGATATTAGAGTTAGAGATTTTAGTTGACGAGTTCGAACAATCGGGGCAGTCCGCAAGTGACTTTGCTGACGATGAGGAATGGGATTTCGAATTTTCTGATGAAGGAGAAGATGAAGATGAAGATGATCTTGCAGATGACCTACTCTATGGGGAAAGCAAGTCATTTATGATTGGAGATCAGAACAAGGATCTTAACTCTAAGTTGTGGAGTCAGGTTATGAAAATGCGTCTAGAAAAAGCTGAGCTCGATTCGAAGGATAAAAAAGAATTTGGATCAACTCAAACGAAGGTTAACACCACAGACACAGAAAGTAGTAAAAAGTCGGTCAGATTTGCAGAACAGTTGGATATCAAAGAAGTTGAGAACATAAGTGGTTACCTAAAAGAGCCACAAGAAACTGCGAAACTCTCGTTGTTCAAGCAGGGTAGAATTGCTGGTGGAAATGCCACTTTCAATCAAGATTCAATAGACGGAGTCGAACAATCTCCGGTAAGTAACTTGGTTGTTGAAAGAAACGAGCCAACTGTGATTACTCAGAAATTTAACTTATCTTCTAACCTGAAAGTATTCGATTCAAAAGACTTTAAAAAGATTGAGATTCCAATTGCCGACTCTTCCAATGTAGAACCATTGGATAGATATAATCTTGTTCAACAGTCAATTTTGGAGAATGAGGACAAGATTAAAACAAAGCCGCATAAAGTCTCCCGTTTCAAGATGTCCAAAATTCAAAACAATTCGGAGAAGAAGGAAGATAAGATTAAGGAAGTCAACACCGATCCTTCTGTGTCGTACCTGAATAATACAATTAATGGAGATATTGTGGAAAATGAGATACCGTTAGGATCTATAGTCACTAGTTTCGAAAACACACTGAAAAGCAAAGTTGATCAACTCCAAGATATCGATCTGGAGCAAGTCATAACAGAGAAGTTAGGTTTATCTTTCGAGCAAAATAGTTCCAATGAGACTACAGGACAGCAAACCGATCAAAAAGCTACTAAAGCAAACCTGTCTCCTAATAATAAGGAACTGGAAATTGAAGTGAAAGAAGCCATAGTAGATTTTCAAAGTTTGCAAAGTGACATGGAAACTATGGCAAAGGCGTACGTTTTGGGGATGTATGATGATGATATTGATACTGAAGGGCCAGTGGTTAATGAATTGAAAGACTTTGAAGTATTGAACAAGATGCTTGAATCAATGCCAGTCGTTGAAGAGGCATCAAAGGTAAGGTCTCAAACTAAGAATAATCTGATCGACAAGAAATCTAAAAATGAGGCTTTTGATCCTCGCTTAGATTTGATTGAACGTCAATACGATGATGAGGACGAAGAAGAGGAAAATGAAAGTTACCTCAATCAGAACTACATTGATGACCAGGAAGAAGATGACGGCCCCATTCTTGTGGACGAGATTATAGAAAATGATTTTGAAGTGGATGCCGAAGACTTGGCCTTGTCCGTTGAAGACACAATAGATCAAGAAATCTTCAATCTGGAGGTAGCAAGTAACTATCACAAGTTGAGGCAAAAAATCGTATTTGAACAAAATAAGACTGGGTACAGAAAAACCGAACAAGAACTAGAATTTGAGCCAATTGATGAAGAAGGTAATCCAATACGCATCAGCAGATTCAAAGCTGCCAAGATGAGTCAGTAGTATTGTATATAGTAACGTTACCGTTAAGAAAGGTTAATTTGTATTCTGAAAGTATAAATAGTTCCATCGGAATCCGCGGGTAGTAAATCTCGCAAGTACGCAAGTCAATGTATTCTTGTACTGAGCACCAATAAAAATGCTGATAAAATGCTAGATAAAGCGAGTTTGTGGGGTAGATACCACAGAATGGAAAGCGTCCCCACAAAAGTGGTGCATTATGGATGAAATTAGTGGGATCCTTCCCTTCCGAAGGAAGCACGCAACCCGCCCGGTTGGAGAATTTTTCCCGGAATCCGGGGTAGGGCCTGGGGTAATATATCTTATTTCGCACTTACTTTTTGTCGGCATTCGGACTTTGATTAGCCTAACCGGTGGTGTCCCTCTTTCTTGCCCCTCCCTCATCTGACAGGGTTCTATGCACCCTAAGATGTTCCTGAGCTAATTCAGACACCGGATCTCTTAGATAGCTTTCAATACTGACCAACCAGACCAACAGATGTAGTACTGGGGTTGTGGGACGAATCATTCGACTTTCTATCCCATGTAGCCATATTTTGTATGCAGTACCGTCATCAGGTCCGTAATCGTTTTTTGTATATTCCGAGGGTTGTGTGATCTCAGGCAATGGTGCAATTCTAAAGGTGTAAGATCGTCACTAGAGGAAGTACGAAAAGAATCTTCTACAAATCTCTAAATCTTAGAAGAGATTTGTCTCCATATTTGATTGAACGGCCAACTTCCCCTCTCTTCTGCGTATCTTATCATTCCCAATTTCACGCTATTACCCCTCCATTTGGGCCCAAAAAAAGGGCTCGTACAGCGCACATCACCCTCGAATTTCGGAACGCGACAGATTTCAAAGCCCTTCTCAACAAAAAATTTCTTTTGTACGAGGACCCGTCCGTAAGTCGGAAGCAGTTTTGTGTCGTTTTCGCCGGAACAGACTAAGGGTACGTGTTGTTGGGATTATCGCAAAACTATATATTCACATCTGTATCCTTCATCAAAAATTGTGGACGGAATCAAACAATCAGTTCGTTAGACAGATTGAGCTTACAAAACAATATTTTCATATGTCATCCATCTTAAAGCAAAGAGTTAGGTACGCGCCTTACTTGAATAAGTTAAGAACTGCCGAGCAATGTATTGAGCTTTTCAAGCACGGTCAATACTTGGGTTGGTCTGGGTTCACTGGTGTTGGAGCCCCTAAAGCCATTCCTACTGCATTGGCTGATCACGTTGAGAAGAACAACTTGCAAGGTAAACTTGCTTTCAACTTGTTTGTTGGAGCTTCAGCTGGCCCTGAAGAGAGTCGCTGGGCGTCTAACGACATGCTTTTAAGACGTTCTCCTCATCAAGTCGGTAAGCCGATTGCTCAATCCATTAATGATGGTAGAGTTGAATTCTTTGACAAGCACTTGTCAATGTTTCCTCAAGATTTAACCTATGGTTATTACACCAGAGACAAGCCTGACAACGATAACTTGGACTTCACTATCATTGAAGCAACCGCCATTACTGAAGATGGTAGTATTGTTCCTGGTCCAGCTGTTGGTGCTTCTCCAGAGATGCTCGCTGTCTCCGACAAGATTATCATCGAAGTCAATACCAAGACCCCATCCTTTGAGGGCATTCACGACATTGACCTCCCTGTCAATCCTCCTTTCAGACAACCATACCCACACTTAACCTCCGACTACAGAGTAGGTAGAACTGCTATCCCTGTGGATCCTTCAAAGGTTGTGGCAATTATTGAAACTCACGCTAATGATATCGTTCCACCAAATGCCCCATCTGATGAAGGCTCAAAACAGATTGCAGCACACTTACTTGAGTTCTTTGAGCATGAAGTTAAATTAGGAAGAATTCCTGAGAACTTACATCCTTTGCAATCTGGTATTGGTAACATTGCCAATGCTGTTGTCGAAGGTTTGGCTCAATCGCAGTTCAAGAACTTAACTGTTTGGACCGAAGTGTTGCAAGATTCTTTCTTGGATTTTTTCGAATCTGGATCATTGGATTACGCTACTGCCACTTCCATCAGATTGACCAATGAAGGTTTCGAAAAGTTTTACCAGAACTGGGATGCTTACAGTAAGAAGTTATGTTTGAGAGCTCAATCTACATCCAACTCTCCAGAAATCATCAGAAGATTGGGTGTCATTTCCATGAACACCCCTGTTGAAGTGGATATGTACGCTCATGCTAACTCCACTAATGTTATGGGATCCCGTATGTTGAACGGATTGGGTGGTTCTGCTGATTTCCTCAGAAATGCCAAGTTGTCCATCATGCATACTCCATCGGCTAGACCATCAAAGACCGACCCAACTGGTGTGTCTTGTATTGTTCCTATGGCTCCACACATTGATCAAACCGAGCATGATTTGGACATTGTCGTCACTGAACAGGGTTTGGCTGACTTGAGAGGTTTGTCTCCAAAAGAACGTGCCCGTGAAATCATCAACAAAACTGCTCATCCTGACTACAGAGACCAGTTACAAGATTACTTGGACAGAGCTATCTTCCACGGTACCAAGTACAAGACTTTGCATGAACCACACATCTTGAAGGATGCTTTCAAGATGCACACTAATTTCCAAGAAAATGGAACCATGAAGTTACAATCTTGGGACCAAAAATTCTAATCTTTAATGATATATAGTAATCGCTAATTAAACAATTCATTCGAGTATTTTTGCAGCCAGCCTAGAGCTTCGACATTTACCACTTCCTTCACTTTAGTGGTGCGACCATTAAGAAAACTTCCACTAAAAAATATCAAAATCGCCCGGTTACACTGCTTTAAATTTCCGCGGATCTGTCATAAAATTTCGGATAAATAGAGTGGTGATTTGTACTGAACACTACTGCAGCAATTCAAGGTGCATAAAACTGCGATGCAGGGTGCGCTCATCTTAGAAATTGTATTGTTTTGCTTGTACAATCAGCATCACAATTTGTAAAGATACGCAGCAACCAGGTCCACTTGTGCAAGAGTTGCGAAGCATTTCATTTCCATCACTACTAGTGCATTTCAATTACATTGGTGCGCCATTCTCAGTCAATAAATAAGGATCTTAATTTACGACGTATGTGAGCTAAACTCCTGGACCTGTCATAACCGGATTTATTACATATGCGATAAACGCCCACTTTAGTTCTAGATATTATCTTGGTGCCAATGTGTTTGCTAGGCTCGTTGACATTAGTAGCCTGTTTCACCCTATTATTTATGTGGTTTGCGTGACAATAGCATTTATGAAACACAAATCAATCATTTGCAGATATAATTTTCGCAATATATCCGGATACTTTGTTATTTTCTAATATTCTACCTATTTAGGAGATATCCAAGCTGAGCCCTTGCCTAGTGCAAATCATTTTAGTCTTAGACATGCGTATAGGTAACGACAATAATTGAGCCGTGAGGAGGGTCAAAATTAGTCGTCACCATGCTCGATTTTGGGTAGAATTGTTTATCTTACCCTGAATTGCATATATCCACCACTTTCGCTAGTTGTCATCACCAAGTCTATTTGTCAAAGTCTTGGAACTAGATGTTTGAATAGCTGCCAGAGCCTGCTTCTTACTTTATTATGCACTGACATATCTCGTGTGTGACTATGTTAATAATTTCTGAATATAATCCTCATCTAGAATCGGAGGATAGTGAAAGACCAAATTCCCAAGATCCCAACTCTGAAGATATCACACGAGACTCTCCTGGTGGTGGCCAGTTGGGAATAGTGTTTGAAAGTCGTGACGATAAACGTATTCCCAGCGTGGTTAGTTATCGTGGCCGTGTCAAGAGCATTAAAGATGCTCTCTTGCTTTTCGAGGCAGCCCGTTTGGAGATCATTCCTACAGTCAACCGCCGTCTTACAACCATCGAGAAGGCAAAGTACATCCAATCCAATACCGTCTTCATCTGGAATGAAACCCAGTGTGGTGTCAAAAGATGGACCGATGGCAAAATCTGGTCACCATCCAAAGTCCACCATGGCCTGTTCCTCATCTACAAACATTTGACAAAAGAAGGCGATATCAACGACGGACTAGTCAAACAGAGCATGTCTGTCCTAACCAAACAAAACCAGAAACTCCACTTGATATGTTATTACAAGCAAGGGGGCGAGGACACCATATGTCCTTCTGAGGACCCAAGACTCATGAACCTCAAATTGCCATCTACCATCTATCCAGAGAACATATTGCCACCAGAATCAAATAACGACATTCCAGAGAACAACCGAATGCCTTCAAGTACAGAGTCATCGTCCTCGCATGTTTCACGCTTACCCAAGCCTGAGGCCAACAACAAACCCGCTCGAATTGAGGGGTTACCTGCACTGCTGCGAGGTGGTGTTATTCAAACCCCACCTCCAAAATCCATACACACGATCGCCCAACCAAAATTTGAAATCGCCGATGCATCCCTTCCAGCACATCCCCTAGTGCACAACGTTTTTCCTTATAGGGCAGCAATCCCGTACTCCCCAAAAATCAGTGAAAATACACAGTCTCAAAATCCACCTGTTCAGTATCAACTTCCTCCTCCCCCTCCTCCACAACCTTCGCACTACAGACTTGACACCGATCACAGTGACTCGCAGACTTTGAGTGTCTTGGACAAGGGGTTTTCTTGACCAAGTCTCGCCTGCGAGTTGTCATCACAGCATTATCCAAAAAACAAAACTTCATCTAAGTACTAGGCATCTACAGACTTAGCTCATCAGTAAATTCGTTCTTTCATTACATAGCAAAACTCTAATATACACTTTTGTGTTCTTTCACTACTTTTTGCAATCTTTGCTGCTAGTTGCAAGTGAAGCAACTTTAGCCGGGACGGAAATGCTCCTGTACAGTTGACTTGATTTATCCATAATCTATAATTGTGTGTTTGATATACTACACGTCCATTACCTAAAGAGTATGAGACTTCTTCTCAAGCATCTTTCCGCGCCAAAACTTGACCTGTTTGGCGAACGCGTACTTGATCGATTTGATAATCCCGGAACTGAAGATGCCACGTATGGTTTGCTTAACTGAAGAGATTTGAATCGTGCGACTCACAATCTTCATCAAGTTTTTGGAAAGGTTCTTGTCTTTCACAATTTCTTTGATTGACTTCTCATGATACATTTGGTACAATTTCGAGCGAAACTGCAATGGAAGTGTACTGATGAGCTTTATCTTGTTGTTAATCGTCAAGTTTTTCCGGAAAGTCTTCATATTGTTGTTCATTTCATCACTGTCAACAATAATGAGACAGTTTTTATGGATGAAGTACTGCAATATTGGCTCGTAAAGTCTCATGAACTGCAAAAATTGCTTGTTAACAATATTGCGAACTTTGTTTGGGTTCTCACCACCTATGTACATGCGGAAGTCCCCCAGGTATGAAATCTTTGTAATCTGTTCGTACAACTGACGCTCAGTGAACTGAGGGCTTTCGATTAACAAGATCGAAAGAGTCACTGCATTTTTCAAATTGTATTGATTCAAGAACTTAACCATTGGTTCCTCATCTTTAACAAAGTTTACAGGCTTGTGCAAACGTCCGGCAAAGTATAGGGAGGACCATTCACTCAAGTCAAGTAAACTTGCATTAGTTGATATGATTCCATATTTGATCAATTGTTGACGCATGCGAACAAAGGGATTGAAATAAATACCAGTGCTCCCCTGGATAAGTTTTATCAAATAAGGACTCTTGACTGAGTAATGATCGGTATGCTGTTGAAGATTTATGCGATGGAAAGAGTCGTTGTCTTCGACTATGTTTATGAAATCGATTTGTCTTTCGTCGGAACGCTTTCCATCTTTTTTCGGATCTTCATATCCGTCTTGAGGGAAAACACCTGAACCATAGCCTATAGCTACCTTTATAGGTGCCTTGAAAGAATTGACCACTTCTGTTAACTCGTGCTGCTGTCGGTGCCCCTCCTCATCTATAATATCTACTTCTTGATTGCTGGCTCTAAAATCTTTTGGGATAATTAATTTATCAAACCCTAGAAAGCCTTCACTTATGATGGGCTGATAATACTTATCTGAATATGGAGTTGTTGAGCTATTATTCTTTTTGTCTGAGTTGGTATCAATACCTATCTTACTGAGCCCCTCGTAATCAAAACTTCCGAATCCTTGAAATGCCCTGCTTGTAGACCCCGATGATCGCCCTGCCGATAGTCCGCTATTGAACCTGTACTGGGATTTGAACAAAAGTCGCCTGATCATCTGTGTCACTATAACGAAGGCAAAATTTCTTGTCAAGGATTCTTCCACCAGCTATGGCCTGTATCCTTGTTGTAAAGTGTTGATCGTCGACAATAGTGTCGCGTGATTTTGATAACGTGATGGTCTCGTATCTCTTCCTCGTGACTTGTGATTCATCTAACACGTGATGTGGAGAACGCCTGACCGGCGACAATTTGGCCGGTATAAATTTTCAGTATGACTAAGTTTTCCAGATCACAACCATACCCTGAAAGATAACCAAAATGTCTTCGAAAGCATACAGATCTACACGTTCTAGCGAAAACCAATCATTGTCCTTTGAGGATGTTGTCATGACCGGTTTAGCCAACGATGGTGGCTTATTTGTCCCATCTAAAATTCCAAAACTTCCTGACACGTTCTTGGAGGAATGGAAAGACTTTTCTTTTAATGAGTTAGCCTTTAACATTTTAAGATTATACATCGAGGAATCAGAAATCTCAAACTCGGAATTAAAGGATTTGGTCACTAGGTCTTACTCCACATTCAGAACACCAGAAGTCACCCCAATCAAGAAGATTGATGATGATGTTTACTTATTGGAATTGTTCCATGGTCCAACATATGCTTTCAAGGATGTTGCATTGCAATTTGTGGGTAACTTGTTTGAGTTCTTTTTGAACAGACGTAACTCTAAGAAAGCTGCTGGCGAACCAAAAGATATTATCACAGTTGTTGGTGCCACCTCTGGTGATACCGGCTCTGCAGCTATCTATGGTTTGAGAGGAAAGAAGGACGTCTCTGTTTTCATCTTATACCCTACTGGTAGAATCTCCCCAATCCAAGAGGAGCAAATGACCACCGTGGAAGATGCTAATGTCCATACTTTATCTGTCAAGGGAACTTTTGATGATTGTCAAGATATTGTCAAACAAATCTTTGGAGATAAGGAATTCAATGAAAAGTACCATGTAGGTGCAGTCAACTCAATTAACTGGGCTCGTATTTTGGCTCAACAAACCTACTACTTTTATTCCTATTTCCAATTGAGAAAGCAATTAGCTAGAAACAGCGACAAGGTTAGATACGTTGTTCCATCTGGTAACTTTGGTGACATCTTGGCTGGTTATTATGCCAAAGAAATGGGTTTGCCTGTCGATAAATTGATCATCGCCACTAACGAAAATGATATCTTGGACAGATTTTTAAAATCTGGCCGCTATGAGAAGAAATCTGGTGACGATGGTGCTGTCAAGGCTACCCACTCGCCTGCCATGGATATTTTGATTTCATCCAACTTTGAGAGATTGTTATGGTATTTGGCTAGAGATATTGCAGCCAAAGGTGATGATAACAAGGCTGGTTCTACCTTGAATGATTGGATGAAGCAATTAAAGGAAACTGGATCTGTTACTATTCCAGATGAGGTTGTCAAGCATGCCAGAATAACATTTGACTCAGAAAGAGTTAACAACGAAGATACTGTCAAGACTATCAGACAAGTGTACACTACTAGCTCTGACGATTACGTGTTAGATCCCCACACCGCTGTTGGAGTCGCCACTACCTACAGGTTTATTGCTAAGGATGATAAGGCCGATTCGATTAAGTACATATCTTTGTCCACCGCGCACCCAGCCAAGTTTTCTGACGTTGTGAGCCAGGCATTAGACTCTGTGGAAGGTTACACTGACTTTATTCCTGAAGACTTGAAGCAATTGAGAAACAAGGAAAAGAGAATCAAATTAATTGATGAAGCTTCGTTGGAAAAAGTCAAGAATGCTATCATCTCTGAGTTAAACTTCTAAAGCATTTATGCTCATGTATTTTTATAGCTTATTTAAATTCAATTCCATTCTAATTTCATTCATATTAAGACTGGATTCTGTTGATCAGTGTAGTTTTTGAATTTCTAGAAGAAAACGTTAATTTTTGACTATAAATCCACCCGACAATCGAAATTAAACAAGTCATTTGGGTTTTACATGATTTTAGAAATGTAACAAGAAATCCAATAAATTAAATGAATACGAAAAAACTATAAGATTGGCTAAAAAAAATTAATTGGACGAGACAGGAATCGAACCAGTGACCTTTTGCTTGCAAGGCAAACGCGCTACCAACTACGCCACACGCCCAAGTTGGTCTAAAATTAGTTAATCTAAAAAATAGCACAATAAGGGCTTTTTATTACGTAATCAGCAAACAAAATGCAGGAACAAGGAATTATTTCATCACCTCCGATTAATTTACAAATTTAACCATGGCTTCCTGTTATTGTTCTAAGACCCGCCTCTTCATTAGTTAACTGCAAATCTTGCGCCACTTCCAAGTGCGCTTGCTCTACTTGCAAGAAGTAAAGACCATAATCAATATGGTAACTGTTTATTACTGCAGATGCTTCTACAAGGTGCCTTTTGTTGCGCACCAAGTTGCAAAAAATCATCAAAAAACAAAATTGAATTCAAAAATTAATTAAAATTTAACGGTTTGACCATAATGGTGTGTTATCCATGGCAATAGGTATATAGTCAGTAGATTATAATATACTTCCCATTAGCAAAAAAAAAGAACATGCTTTAAATAAAATAAGAAGCAGTTTTAGAATGTGAGTCCTCTAGATCCCAGTACATAATGGGATAGCAAAGTATATAGCTAGAATTGGCAGGGAATATCACAGATTGGGCAGAAAAGATTAAAGTGGAATTGAAACAAGTCAGTCATGGATTCAATAATATTTTGTACTTGATATTAACTCAATTAATCAAATCCATCAACACGAGGTCCTCTATTGTCTTTTGCCAATAAAGTCGTAAAATCTACCAATAGATATAATTAAGGATTAAAATTTGACTACATGTTACCTCACACGAGTAAGATTAGTAGTATGATTTCCATTGTAATAGGTTTCTAGCCTAAGTTCGACTAGCTATGATCAGTTTATTGGAAACTTTAGAGATATCTAGAGAGAGGGCAATAGCAAAATAAATTGAGAATATACAGCTTATCATGTAATTCCAATTTACAATAAAATCTTAAAGGGATTAAAAAGGGAAGATAATTCTAGAATCTATCATGGTTAGTTAGGTAAGAGGAGAAAAATGTTCATCCTCAAATAATCAAATGTACTTTCTGTTTTCCAATCGGTCAATAAATTCTACAAGATGTCACAACTATCTTTTCAGTTCCCAACCAACAAGTTGCAACACTTCAAGAAAATAGAAAACATTAAACAGCAATTGATTTAGGTAAATGTCTATTCAGGGAGCACTTTCTATTCTCCTACATCTGTTGTGCTCAATATGCTACCTAACTATATTTTTCACTTTCTATTCTTATTTGCCAAACAAGCCTCTAATGTGTAAATCATAAGTGAAAAGAAGTTTAAGTGCAAATATTGGGCACCAAACACTGGAATACTAAATATATGAAAATTATACTCAAGTTATTGTTGTTGGGATCTATATGGCAGTATCTTTGTTCTCGGATTTTTTAACACCAACTTTTCCATCCACGACGTTGATTTCATAACCTGCTTCCTGAAGCGCACTATCATCATATGACTTCTTTGCTTCTAGTTGGGCTACGAAAGCCTGATTCTCCTTATTGTTTGCTAACAAGAATTTAAGACAAATGATAGACCTTTCCTTGATGAAAGGATTGTTCTCATCTATAACACAATTGGATAAGATGAGCTCCAAGCCGTGCAATTCTCTTACCTTTTCTTGGACTTCAAATGAGTCATGAGTTAACAATGAGATTATCTCTATAATGATTGATTTTGCTTGAGGAAATTTATGTGACTCCGACGCAACCCCCTCTTCTTTCTCTATATCAACTACTTTGCCTCTATTTTTTATCGTCACTGGTTTAATGTTCTCATGTATACATCTTAAGAGGTTTATCAAAGGTTCTAGAACATTGTAGTGGATCAAAAATTCTTTTGTGTGATGGAACTTGCCCAAATCTGTAATGACATCCAAAATGATAAGCATTGTCAAAACGGTTAATTGATCACTTTTCGTAGCATTCGTTGTTGCATTCTTAGTATTTTCCACTAGCTTAATACTCTTTCGAGTGTATGCTTCAAACAATTCATGAATCCATGACAATAATGCTAGGAGCTGGAAGTTGTCCCAATTTTCTTTCGACGTGATAAGAAGCTGAGCTAGTTTCAACCAGTCCAAAAATGTACTTTCGCTCTGATTGTTCAACCACTTTCCAAAGCTCTCGTGTGTTATAACGTCGTATAACAATGCAACGAGCTTGACTTCATATGGACCCAAAGTGGCCTCGAAGTTCATCTTCCCAAAATAGCCTAATAGGAAAGCCATTATGTTGTTCTGGCTACTTTCAATCTTCAAGATGTGGAATAGAGCCAAATTTTGCTTGATATCTGCATGGTCTCCATTGCTAAGAGCAGTGGAAAGTATGATGATTAGTGGGGCACAAAATGATTGGTGATCTGTATCTATGAATTCGTTCAATGTTTCAATGACATCCTTGGATTCTCTTATCGAGTTCAAATTGCTTCCTCCCAGCAAAATCAAGTTGGCAACTGCCTGGTAGTAGACCAACATTGTTTTCTCATAAAACTCATGGTCTCTAGGAAAATTGTTCTTGAATTTGATAGCGCTGGTCAATAAATGGATAAGGACATCAGATGGTGGGTTCTCGATGGCAAGGTTCCTTACAACTAACAAGATCCCTCTGAGCAAACGCACAAGGGAAACTCGCTGTGAAGGGGAGACGTCGTACGAATATGATGCCGAGTCCAGTAAGATCAGAGCAAGAATCAGCCACACATCGGCCTGGGAGTAGGAGAGTCTCACGGCGTGATCTCCGTTGGTTTGGCTGACGACAAAACCGAGCACTTTCAACGCGTCTTCGAAAACAGGCACGGTTAGACCACCAGCAGGGTCTGTTAAACAGGCCCTGATGGCCACTAACTGTGCGTTGACGGTGTCTCTATCCATGGCACGGTAGTGGAGGGTAGTGATGAGATGACATAATGCGATGTATGGAAGTGATGTGCGACTGCATATAGACCGATGTCTGTCAGGCTGGGTGCGAGACAAGACCAAGTAGAGGGTATGGCGGTTGACACAGAAACGGGGCAGGAGCCACCCTCGGATACTGATGTACTTGACACGGGGAAATAGCGCAACCAGAGCATCCCGGCCAGCCCCACCGGGAGGACTATTTTCCAACCAGACCAGCGTCCGGGTCATGGCCTGGCGAAGCCTGGCAGATGCTGACATATTGGTGCATATTGTCAAATTGCAGGATGGACGCACCGGGCCATAGCCCCAGACACCGTTCCGTGGGCAGATCGGATTTGGCGGATGTGCAGTGTGGGTCCCGCGGGGGGCCGCTATTGTCGAGGCGGAGAACGCAGTAGGAACCCAGACAGTCCCCCCCAGTTGGAACCGTTCCGTCGGGGAAGCTAGCGGATGACACGACTTGGTGCTAATAGGGTTTAGTGTCGGCCGCAAGGATCACCGGGCGGTGTCCAGATTGTGCGACTTCCCCCTTTTAGATAGGGGCTTATCCTGTAAGCACTAGCACCTGTGGTGTCAGCACTGCCGGGGATCGTCCGGCAGACATTACCCCATAATAACCAGCACTTCGCTTTGTGCCTCTGGACACACACACCCGAACCCCTGCCCTCGCCTAGTGTAGCTCGCTGTTTTTCCCCGGTTTGTATCCTGGTCTGGAATCTGGAATCTGTGGCACCCATTTGACATCTGTATAGTTCGGGACCTTGTTCGGATATCGTTTCAGGTTGCTTGACGTTTCTGTTGCTCCATCCGTCTCTTCCTTCTCCGTGTTCTCCCGCCAGCAGCCAGAGCCCGCCATCCACCGCAGTCACCACTTCTCAGATCGTACCGCCGATCATCCGTGCTTCACTTACATAATTTCATCACCTCTGGTTTTCTTATCGCTCCCAGCACCATCCACCCAAAAACCACCAGGATGTTCAAGATCCACCAACCCACAGGCGTGATCCACCAAGCGTATCCCGCCCAGTCCTACAAGGTGTCTCTTAACTCAGCACCCTCGTTGGAGATGTTGGCCAGTCCCGAAAGCGCTGCGGGCAGCACCGGGACCCCCACCAAGCAGACCACGTCCAGCACGTCGCCAGACTCGTCCTCGTCCTACTCTTCCAGCGTGCGGTCCTCCAACAGCTCGCCTCCATCATCCAGGGCAAACAGCCCCACCGCCAAGCTGACCCGCTCGGCAACACCCCCTACTCCAACCTCCTTGGACGATCACGATGCCTCTCCAAAGCATACATACTCTACAAACACCCTCATCCAGCAGCCGACTCCCTCGAGCACCTTCAACGACACCAGCCAGGACGACTTTCTTCAGCTTATCGAACCCCACCCGGTGGCTCCTCCGTTGTACGACACTTTACCGCCAGGAGGCTGCCCTCGTTTCCCGATCCTGATGAACGAGAGTGGTCCGCACGAAGCTGTTCCATCGTACTCCCCTTCCATCTACAAGATCGGCGTGGTCGCTAGAAAGTTGGAGTGGCTTACCCCTTACGAGCCGGCTCCAGCCAGGTCGTGGAAGAATGTCATTATGGAGCTCAACTCTACCCAACTCAACTTTTACTACATTCCCAGTGCCTTGGAAAACCACTTGTTACTGTTCAAACCAATCTCTCAGTCAGAAGAACGCACCCATAACGAGTTCGAAGAAAGGGAGTTGCGTCATGTTAACTCCTATTTGACTTCAGATACCGATTTGCAATTTTACAAGTACTGCTCGAGGCTTAATTTGTTGAGTGATGTTTCGATCCTTGATGAAGACTCAGACTCAAGCTCCAAATCAAGAAAAGCAAGCTTCAAGAAACTTATTCGCTCCTATTCCTTGCAGCGCTCCAGGATTGGATTGGCTATCGATTACAAGAAGAGACCCAACGTTTTGAGAATGAGAATTGAGAGTGAGCAGCTTCTCATAAACTTTCAATCAACCAAAGATTTAATTGACTGGAATACTGCCATTGGAATTGGCAAAGATGTATCCCTTGATTTGAATGACAGAGAATTGCCTCGTTTCAGAACTGTCCCTAGGAGGAGAAGAAGACGCAGATCGACTTCTTTAAACGGAGTCAGTCCAACATTATTGTCCAGAAGCATGAAAGGAACTGTTGAAGGAAACAATCGCCTGAGATCAAACTCGGAGCCAACCTCAAGATTGAAGGGGAAATTATCAAAATTGAAATCAAAGCTCGGTTCATCAAGACATGGAAGTATTGATGGAAGTAGCTCCAAGCAAAATGTTAAAGATAGGAGCCAAAGCTTCAGTTTCAGCTCATCAATGACAGCGAGATTCCCAACCTCGGAATTAGGAAGGTTGAATTTGAGTGCTCATCAGTATAATACATTTGATGAAAGCAATAGGGAACGCAGTTATGACACCTTGAACTACGATTATATGGATGATGAAGATGAGAGTGAATACTATGATGATGAGGAAGCGATAGAGCTTGTTGCAAGACGTTCATTGATGGACAGAGAGAATGTGAATAGATCCAGACAGACCTCTTCCCGTAATAACTCCCATGTGGGGAGTTCAAGTGCAACTGCAGGAAACTCGACTCCTCGTAACAACGATTACGAAGAAGATGACATTGAGAATTTAAGTGATCTTCACCATTCAGATGACGAGGATGAGGATGAAGTGGAGGTTGTGTTGGATGAAAACGAGGATATGGAGCTCATAGACACTGGAAAAAAGCATGTCATGTCACTCGATCACAAGTGGGAGCCCATTGATCACAAAGTTCAAAGCAAGCGAAAGTTCTACAGAAATTGTTTGAGATGCATTAAGCCATTAACTATGGACGATAATTGGGTTAACAAGTCCTTGTGCCGCCCTACTACCTTGTCTCCTTTGAATTTTGCATACTTGAGATTCAAATATTCGAACAGTAACCAACCGGTCTATACACCGCAGTCTGCCTTCTCGGCGTTTTTCAACAATTCGAACAGTTCTGCTAGTTTGGTAAGTTTGAATTCTCTTGCTGCTGCTCCCGGTCCCAACTCACGTGGTACGTTCAGAAAGCGCAACTTTTCTGTCAAAGATGTTAACGGGTTAAACTTGCCAGACTCAGCATTAACCAGAGTCCCAAACCACTTCCTCAAAGAATTTATTGTGGGAAGCCATGGTTTAATACCAAAAGATGTATGATTAGTCTTTTCTTCATTTAGTTCGTTAAGTAGATCCTGGTGGGCCGTTTCTTTCATCTAAGGTTCCTTTTACACCGATCAAAATAACTCGGATTTGCATTATATATTATGAGTTAAATAACTTCTATATACAGTTGTATTTTCGTGGAATCTGTCAGCATTTAGCCAAGGTATGCAATCTTGTTAATGAAAGAATTGAAACTCGTTCTCCATTCTAAGACGAATGATTCTTGAGTTTGCTTTGGTAGGAAAGTTTCTTCAACCTGGTTTCAAATGCCTTGATCATGATAGAAGTGACCTGATCTGAGAACATGGAACTCATTGCATTGTAGAGCGGGTTCTTGAATCTGTATTTGAGTTCCAACTCAACATTACAACTTTCTCCATGGAGGGTCTTTCTGGGCTTGAAAGTCCATTGAGTATGCAATTCCGTAAACAAGGACAAGGTAAGACTTTCAGCAATAACCGATTCGTAAGGCTTATAGGTCATTTTACATTCGAACTTCTCATCGTACTGTTTCCAGCCCACCCTCAACCCAGCAATAGCAGTATCTCCATTTTTCTTCTCTACGTATGACTCTTCAACGAAGGGCACAAACTCCTTATACAATGCTACGTTGGAAACCACATCGTAGATTTGCTTTTGGTTTCCCTGTACAACCTTGGAGACTTTGTGAGTTTGAACGTCGTTGTTTCCAAAAGGTAAGTTCAAGAATGATCGGCTTGGAACATATGAATGCGCCGCTTGACACGGGTTGGGTAACCGAAGGAATGGAGGAACGGTTCTTCGTATAAGACATGTAGATAATGCCAATCTCCGACTCAAAAGGGTTCTTTCCATGGCAGTGTATCTACTGATTGAATAACTTGGGAAACCTCCCACTGCGATCAAACAATTTGGATTTACCAGAATTTTTGAGATTTTGTTTTGGGAAAATTGTGAAGCACGAGCCTAGCTTAGGCAACAAGGCTTGGTTTAGTCTTACAAACCCACATGTAGCTACAACAGCACATTCGAACAGATGATGATACATTTAAAAATTCATAAACATAGACCAAATAAAACTAACATGATACGAGGTTTTCCCATTTTATACTATATAAATAAAACATTAGAAGGCAGTCTTATTATAGGTAATATTAAGAATCTTTAATTTAAGCACGGGTGTAGATAGACTGCTTGGAGTGTTTCAAGATTGGGGTGATGATACCATCTTCTTCCAATTGTCTCAAAGCAACTCTAGCAAGGGAACCACCGATCTTCAATCTGTCAACTAAGACGGAAACAGAGACGAACTTGTAACCTGGGACGTCCTTCAAGATTCTGTCGTATTTTTCTTGGTCGAGGGTGATAGCGTGTTGGGCCTTGTCCTTAACCTTACCCTTGTTCCACTTCTTCTTACCCTTCTTACCACCGGCCAAAGCGGCAGCGGCCTTAGCAGCTTTAGTTTGTTGAACCTTTGGAGCCATTCTAGAGTACTGTTAGTAATTGTTACGTTTGTTTTGGTGTAGTGAGGAGACCTGACATATGAGATGATTCTTCAAGGGGGGAAGCTCTTACTGTATTCCCTGCAAAACATTTCAGTAATGAGCACTTTGTAGGTTCAATCTTGATGAGACAATTATGTTGACTGGTTCTGAACTGATGATTGACTCCTTGCCAGTAGCACGTCGATAAAAATGGAAATGCTACCAGAGTAATGGATGCTTATTCTTCTATCCCTTTACAACTGTCTTCTTTATTCTATCATCAACGTCTGTTCTAATCACTCCACCTGTATTTCGATATCACATACTTTTCCTTAGATGCTAACTAAAAAGAATTCTTTCAAAAAACTGTACTAGCACTTTTAAAAATTTTCCACGGTAGGGTAGAGGAGGAAAATTTTGTTGGAGGAGTGTCTGTCTGCAGTACCCATACAAATCACGTGACGATATTCTCAATATGTTGTCTTGATGTGGAAATTTAAGTTGCGCCGCACTATCGATTTCATTAGAGAGAAGACACCATATTATCACGTGATTATCAGTGACGTTTTATCATCACGCTATATTTTATGTGATCACGTTTAAAAGGGCCCAAGCCCTACACGTGACTTCGCATTCCATCTTAGCAAAACATTCACCAGATGATGTTATGTAGATCTCGGTAAGCCATCCAGTATGTCTAAGAGAGTAGCAGACAAACAAATCACCAGTGATTTTCCCGGGGATCAAGAAGACAGTGATGAGCCGCAGGTTTTCAAGGCTCTGTCCGATGTGATGGCAAAGAGAAAGATCCTTAAGCCAAGAGGCCATGGTGGTGCCGGGGCAGGAAATCCCTTTAAAGGCGTTCAATCCAGGGGTAGTAGCTTTGCTTTCAACAAGTCCGCTGAGTCTTCCTTCAAGCCAATTCAAAACAATGTTTCAGCACCTACCCCTAACAAAGATGATGACAAGAATAACAAGCTTAGAGCTTTGAATGAAAAGTTCATCGAAACCTTGAACAAGGCCAATGTTCCAAACACTGTGCTGGATTTCACTGCTGCTGCAAAAAAATACATTGAATATTACGAGCAAATCCAAAAGGGATCCATAGCCTCGACAAGCAACCCATCAGCATCCTCAACCCTTAATTCAAACCCTGTGCCATCAAATAACATGTTCAATTTCGCACCTAAAGTCCCAACCAGCACAGAAACTAAGCCTGCTACTGCAGAGGTTACAAAACCTGCAATTTCCTTCGGTAATGCCTCTACTTCAGCACCTAAGCAAGACTCCAGTTCCGATTCTGACTCAGACCTGGACGAAGACATCAAGATCCAAGGGCCTCAGTTTACTCTTGCTTCTAAACCTACTGTCAAAAACTCTCCTTTCTCATTCGGTCCAAAACCAGCCAAGAAAGTTGATTCTGATTCTGACTCTGAATCTGAGATCGAGATTAAGGGCCCTACCTTCACCTTTGATAAACAAATCAAAGACAACGTGTTCAAGTTAGAACCCACTACTAGTAAGGCTAGTATCCCACAACAGAGCCAAGCTGAAGCTAAGCCTGCTGCTTTGTTTGGAGCTTCCACCACTTCCAAGTTAGACCAACCACAGCCTAGCTTTTCTTGGGGTAGCTCGGCCCCTAAATCTGCATTCAGCTTGGGATCTAAAGCTGATGCTACCAAAGAGCCAGAGGTGCCGCAGAAGCAAGCTTTCAACTTTCAGCCCAGTTCAACTTCCATCAGCGAAAAGGAAGAGTCGGCCAAACCCTTATCAACTAATTTGGGTTCTTCTGCATCTCCAACTCCATTATTATTTGGAAGTAAGCCTGAAAATAAGGCAGAAAAGGTCCAAGACAAACCTTTATTCAATTTCAAGCCCAGTGTAACCAATGAATCTTCAACTGCATCGAGTGACACTTCAAAGCCGCTTTTTAATTTCACCAGCACCAACAGCTCTAATGATAAACCTGCAACTGCCGGTTTGTTCTCATTTCCCACCCTGAACCTGCTCCCTCTTGGGTCTAGTGAAAAGAAGGATGAAGCTCCTAAACCATTCTCCTTTGCATCTACTGAAAAGAAGGATACCACAAATCTCTTCTCAATAACTCCTACTGAAAAGAAAGACGAAGCACCAAAGCCTTTTGTGTTTGGTACTTCGGGTGATTCCTCTAAACCATTCGCATTTGGATCTGGCAATACCTCTTCTGGGTTAGTGAAACCTGCAAACGGTGGCTTATTCGGCAGTTCCAACAACGGCGGCTTGTTTGGTGGCTCCACCAATGGTGGGGGCGTATTTGGAAGTAATGGCTCAGCTGGTAAGAAAGATGAAGTTGAAGATGAAAAAGTTCCAGAAGAAGAAACTGGTGGAGACTTCAAGCCGGTTGCACAATTAGCATCAGAAAAGATTGACACCCCTAATACCGGTGAGGAAGGTGAAGAAGTGCTCTACACCAAGAAAGCTAAATTGATGCTTTTTGACCCCGAGAATAAAGAACTGCCATATGTCAACAAAGGGTTGGGTGACTTAAAACTTTTGAAGAATACCCAAACCCAAAAATCTAGAGTTTTGATTAGAGCAGATGGTGGGTTAAGAATATTATTGAATGCCGCTGTTTCGAAAGATTTTACCTACAGCACCATTGGAAATGGTTCGATGGTGAGATTCCCTACCATTAAGCCAGAAGACAAGAAACTTGAAACATTTGTAATCAAGGTTAAAACTCCAGCTGATGGAGAAGAGCTCTTGCAATCCATTAATGGTGCAAAGTAATAATTTGCCATTTGTAACATATATTTGAATAATTTATTCTACATCAACGAGGCATGGTTAAGTATGTCATATTTAATTGTAATATGTGAAATGCAAACTATAGAACTCCGTAATAATTAATGTAATATACATGTTTGGAAACCGAAAATCCAAATCTAATGAAAGAAAAAAAATACTGAAATAACCTGTATCAAAGCTCAAAATCTTTTATAGTTTCCATAAACTCGTACTCATTACCAACATTAAGATAAGTATGTGTGTGGATACGACCATCAGCGGATGTACTCTTTACTCCCAATAGGGCCAATACTTCCGCTTTACTACCAAACAACTTGTACTGAATCGTTTTGAAAAATCCCAAAACTAACCTTATGAGATAATCGTGCTTTTCAAAGATGTACGTATCCATCAAGTGATTGCAAACTTGAAAGTTCAATAACTGTGAAAAGAGACCAAGCATTAACAGGGGTAAATAGTCAAAGCTGGTAATCCCTATAACTTTGAAGTGTGTGAAAAGCAGGTTTAATTTTTTGAAAAAGGTAGTTTCAAACTTCTCGATAAAGACATCATACAAGGAATTGACAACTAGTCCTCTTTCCATGTTCTTTTCATTTTTATCGTTCGACAATAATCTGTAGTTCAACAATAAACTTTGGATTTGATGATCATAAAATTGACACATGCTTACGAAAGTCTTTTCAACATTCTTGTAACTAAAGTAGAACATTGCTGCCAAATGATTAATTCCTGGAAAGTAAAACTTTTGTAAGCTTTCATCTTGATATGCAGGGGCTGACTCATAAAGATAAAACACCAAGCACATAACTATCCTAGTCAAATTTTGGATAACCTCGTAGTTTTGAAAGAAGTTCAAATCAGGGTACACATCCAACAAGTCATTGGTTATCGTGTCATAAAGCACTTTAACCGTGGAGACTTTTAATTCTTTCTCAATAGACATGTTCAACAAGCTTGAAATCTTCCCATTTAATTTGGACTGAGCGTCGATAAAGTTTTTATAAATTGAGGGAGATGTTTGTTCTTTGTAATTCGTTTTCTTGTACTGGTCAAGGGAAAATTTCAATTTCTTATTCTCCAACAATAAGCTTTCCAAGGATTTGATTTCAGGCAAAACAGTCTTGTCTATCTTGTCGAAAAAGTAGTTACATAAGGTAACATTAAATTTGTTTGTACCTCCGTAATGTTTCCACCAAATTTGGCCTCTCAATTCGGGGGTGATGCCTCTCCACCATGCATGATCGACCTTTTCTACCTTGTTAATAAACTCCTTGTGATTATCGGTATCAAGTAACAGGTACCAGATTTTGCTATCTTTAATCTTGAGCTTTTTTATTCTTTCCAAATAGTACATTTTTTTGCTTTGTTCCTTAGATTCTTTGATTAGAGCCTGGTATATGATGTCTTCCGATTCCTTTTGATGCTTCTTTTTGTCGTGAGAAGACTTGGGTGGCAACCAGGTAGGTCTAGTGAAAGAATAATATTTCGAAAAGCTGGACGACTGTGGAGATGAAATTGGTGGAGGGGCCAATGGTAATGAAGGTTGTGATACGGACCTCTGCTTGTTGGTGGCAATAGCCATCAGGGGTAAAGTCTGGGTGGAAGCCGATCTTGATTTCAAAGTCATTGAGTGAGGTAGCACCGGTGATGAAACTGCTCTCGCGTCATTTGTGAGGTAAAGACCGCGTTCTTGAGGGGCAGATAATGAAGGACTGGAACTATTCACCTTCGTGAAAGTGTTCAACAACTTCTTGCGCTGTCTACTTTCTTCATAGTCCTGGATGAACTCATCCTGATTGAACATAAGAGAAAGGTCATGTGCATCTTTAGACAATCTAAGTTCATCTATGTTCAAGTTGAACTTACCACCAGTAAACGAGGTATCGTCATAACTAGTGAAGGTGGAGTCCGTGTCCACCAGGCTACCGTGGCTTAGAATGGACGAGGACCTGGTCGAGTCTGTGTTGGTGAAGGAGTACTTTCTATCTTGGTTGCCAAAGGTGAACTTTTCCCTTTGGCTTAAGGAAACAAGCGATTGCGACACAGGAACGTTGAACACGCATTCATGGTCGTCAATTTCTTCATCCTCGCTATCGATAGTAGACATCTTGGGGGTGGCGGCAGCATCGACAGTGGCAGAAGGCTCGGCGACTTGTTCGCTCGATTTAAAGCGAGCAATGCTGTTATTCAACTGGGACTTTCTCAACATCAATCTCTGCGAAGGAGTGAGGTTCTGGGGCGTCTTATCTACCTGGACAAGGTACTGTGCTGTGGAGGTCTTCGACGTTGCATTTGAGCTTGACGAGCTGGTGCTGGTGACGGACGACGACCTCGACACCGGAATTTGGTTCTGCAAGGGGCTGGGAGTGTGGGTATGCGAAGCTGCTGATGCAGCGAGGTTCAGCGCTGACTTGGAGTGTTTGGCTTGCGCCTTCGAGTAGGGACCCGGCGGATGGGAGGCGATGGTCAGCGCGGGTGCCGGCGATTCCGAAGTAGACATCTTGGGGGTTTTGGACGCCAAGGGTACATCTTGCACGTTGTGGTGTGACGGAAGTGTCGGGAGCTCTTTGTTGGACAGCAGCATAACGAATGGATGTGGTGGGTGTTAGACCATTGGCCAATGAAGTTGGAGGAACGAAAGTGGGTACTGGTAGGAAAGTGTCTGGAACAACCACACAGATGGGACAGGAAGTGGACTAGGGTGAAAGCGAAAGATAGCCAGATCCAGAATCGGTATGGAAGGAAAAAACAAGGCCCTGGTAAACTCGTGTATATAATACTACAACCGGATGGCACAACAATAGATAAACGAGGTCAAACACGACTTGAGAATTTCATCGCGGGGCTGGCGAGGACCAGATATGCACGCACATTCTTCGGTGAGGTGCTCGTAATGGAGGGTACGAGGAGAGGATGGGGTATGGGATATAATTGGGATGACTGGCTACAGTTGGTAGTGTGGTTGGGGTGTCCGCCGGTTGGCTGGCTGGCTGATTAGCTGATGGTGATGGCTCTTCAATTCCCACGATGGTGATGGCACCACTCTCGTCACATGACGTCTGCGCACTACGCGGGCACAACAAACGCGGTGCCATGGCAGGGGCTCGCGTGTATTTTTAAGAGCAGCGGCCATCAACGCAAGGAACGCGATTTGACATGCAGTGGCCGTTAGAAGGCAAAATGTGGACGCCAAGGCCCAGGCTCGGGTCGCCGGCTTGATTGTTCGGCAATTGCTGCCGATGCATTACGTCGATCGCTGGTATCGTGCTGCTATGTACATTTGTAGGGTTATATACAGGTACTTGGGGTGTTAGTCTTTATCATTGAGGATCTACAGCAGGTGTGCCGCACTAGTCCTTGTTGTTCTTGGAGTCCTTCTTGTCGCCCATGTTGAAGAACTTACCCAAGAACTTGCCGATCCGGGTCTTGGTAGGATGCTCGTCCTCCTGGAAGGTCTCCACCTTTTCGCCATCCACATCCAACTTCCAGTGCGCATCGGTCCGTTTGGCGTTCTTATCATTGTAGGCATCTGCCAACGCTTCCAACAACGCTGTTTGTATTGGAGTCTCGGGCACAAGCGTCTTGACGTTGAGCACCACCTCGAGGTCGCCTCTGTTGTTCAAGTTTCTGCCGATAGGAACTCCCTTGTCAGGAATGGTCATCTTGCGGCCGTTCTGGACTCCAGAACGGAGTTTCAACTTGATGTTCTGCCCATCGATGGTAGGCACCACAATCTCGCCTCCCAATGCTGCTGTCGTCATCAAGATGTCTTGCTTGACCACAATGTTGTTGCCGGAACGCAGGAATACCGGATCCTTGGCCACGTTAACTCTTATTATCAAGTCACCGTTACGCACACGGTTGTATTCGTCCTGAGCAACAAAGGGGGAGTCTCCCGCACCAGGAACCCTCAAACGGGTACCATCCTCAATTCCGCAAGGCAAGTCCACGCTGGTGGTCTTGGGCACTTCTTCCACCCCGTGGCCATGACATGTGTTACACTGGTCGGCCTTGTCAATGGTGACTCCGGAACCGCCACAGCTGGTACAAGTCGACGCCATGTGGAACCCACCCAAGACATGGGTGCTTTGGCCGGTTCCGTGACAGGTGCCACAGGTCTTTCTCTTCTTTCCCGTCTTCAATCCACTGCCTTTGCATGTGTTGCACTTGTCCACTGCCTTGTAGTTGATCGACACCTTTTTGCCGAAAATTGCTTCTTTGAATGTGATGGACTTGAGCACCTCGATGTTGTCCCCAACGTGCTCTGTGACAAAAGAACCACGGCCACGGCCTCCACCACGGCCCCCTCCACCAAAAGCCTCAGTGAACAAGTCTTCGAAGTTGAATCCAAACCCTTGGCCGCCTCCTGCCCCTCCAAATGGATTTCCCCCTCCTGCTCCTCCAAATGGGTTTCCACCACCTGCAAATGGATTAGCGTTTCCATTGGCGTCGAATGCAGACGACCCAAATTGATCGTATTGGGCTCTCTTCTCTTTGTCACTCAAAAGCTCGTACGACTCTTGGATCTTGTGGAACTTCTTCTCTGCATCTTTCTCCTTGTTCACATCCGGATGGAACTTTTTCACTAATTGATAATAAGCCTTCTTGATATCCTTTTGATCGGCTCCTTTGTCCACACCTAAGGTCTGGTATGGATCGAAGCTTATCTTTGGCGATACGGAAGCATGGAACGATCTAACGTTGGTGAACCATCTTGATTTGGTTGCACTTGTTCTAGGGAAGGCTATCGAGCGCCTAACAGTATAAGGAATTGATGTACAAATTCTCATTCGTATCTGTGCTATCAGTTTCTAGGGAAATGCTGCTAAAGACAACTATGGCTTCGGATCCTTGAATATATGATAACTATCTGAATCATTTGGGCTCCGTACCGTTCCATAAGGTTCTAGAAAATTTTGCGATCACGTGCAATATTTCACGTGAATATGACATTTACTGGAACCATCATCATTAATACTTGGAGGCACTGAGCTTCAACTATCTAATGGTCAGATATTAAATAACTTTCTGAAGTGGTACAAGCCTCTTCACTATAGGAAGTATTCCACATTTTGTAATTCTTTCCACCACTATGTATTTTCCACATATATCAATGTCATTGTCACCTCTACTTGATAGAAATCCTACTATGGAGCTTACACTATGTATTAATGAAGGAGCTGAATGTTTATGCTCCAGAATGGGAATGAATTTGTAAAAATTGATTAATTTGGTTCCGAATTCTTTATTACTTAAGCATTACGTAATGATGCCTTACTTTCTCTCTTATACCTAATGTAAGTTGAACTTAGGATATGTAGATGAAGCTGTGTTAGTGATCATTAACTAAGATCATTTTTCCTTACTATAGCTTGTAAAAATTTTGCTTGCATCCTAATCTTAATTGATAAATAACTCTTACATTACCTATAAGTTAGTTAACTTGTCAGTAAATTCTCTGTTGGGAGTATCTTTCTGTTTCCAGATCTCTATGAAAAGTCCTTGTTGGAGAACAATCGTACTTCTGTGATACTCCCTCGCTATTCTAGCTCTGTACTTTGCTGTTCTCTTATAGACTTCACAATCCGCGGCTTCATCTTTACCTTCCCTTATTTTGATATAGACCACAGTCAAATGTACTGTTCGTTGCTTCTCCTAAGCGTCTATCCCCTTATTAAATAAACCAATGCGTGAACTTTCTTCTTTTCCGTAAAAGGAAATAGAAATGCATGAGAACCATGATAGGAAGTGTTCGACCATAAGACTTTCGCAGAAGGAGGAGCATAAGGGACGGTAGCGGCAGACTAGTAAACAGCACTTTGTTGAGAGATACTTACAGCTAACTAAAAGTTCGACACACTCCTGTTGGATATCATCGTAGAACAAATGTACCTAGAGTTGCGGGGCAAGACCCAAAGAAAAATTGCAGATAAACTACATAACAGGGGTATCTATCTGTAGTGTAATGCATCCCAATTGATATGTCAAAGAAACATCCTCACCGCTCTAAGCCTTACTCAGAAAATATCTTTCGGGAATACGCCACATATTGACAGTGCCGTACTTCAAAGTGGCTCTAGTTAGGGGATTAGTATCATAGTCTAGTCGATAAGGTTTGCACCATACGCGATAAGTAGCACATGAGGTTGAGCAATGATTGTGCACAGGCTCACAATCAATAGGGTATATATGAAGAGCTAGTCCATCGTTAGGGGGCTAGGTAAACTAATAAATTGTTTATTAAGATGTCAATTCTTATCGGCCGCTATTACAATCAAGAAAACTATCAAGGAGTCAAGATAGGATATGGTAACATTAATTGTGTTCTTGGAGTTTCAATCTGCGGTGGTAGAGATTATGTTGAGAAACTGAAAAAGGAGTAAGAGACAAAGTAGGAACAACTATCCGTTCTTGACGAGACACTTCTGTTCTTTTTAACTATTGTTCTTTTCGGTACCCTTTTTGGCTTGTCGTTTCGTTCATAGCCCTACCATAGAATCTCGATCAACTTGTTTTATTTTGATGACTAATAATTGAAGGATTTATTACTAATTGAAGGTTAAATAGAAGCGGAAACAACATCTGCTATCTTTTTGCTGAATTAGGCAACTTGTCCGAGCGGTTAAGGAGAAAGACTTGAAATCTTTTGGGCTATGCCCGCGCAGGTTCGAGTCCTGCAGTTGTCGGTATTTTTCGTTTTTTATATTAATAATAATCATTGACTGTTGGCAGTAATATGAATGTACTCCTTTATTCAAAGAGAATTGTTCTATTTACTTAAATGTATATGAAAATAAGCCAAAGCGAAAATCTAAGCTTGCTGATGATTACGAGACTTCAATAATTATCGACAATATACTACGGTGATTGGTAATGGATTAGTAATCTTAGCGATTTCTATAAATTTAATACATACGGGCATGTTACGAATCCTCCTTAAAGTGCACAGTTTAATCAGCATGGTTAACTATGAAGGCCCATGGAAGTATTTACTTTGTCACAATTTGATGTTCTCTTAGAATGACCTTATGTTAATTGGGAAAGTAAAATTATTCAATGTGTCGACTTTTCTCAATTTTTTTAAAAAAATGGGTTGGTGATCTTAATGTCTAAACTAATCAATAAGTATAAGAGTTATCAACACACAGGTTCAATTAAAGTTCTGAAATCAATTCTTGTTCAATCTGTAAGCTTTTGATTCTTCTACTCAATTCTTGTAATACTTCAATATTACTGTAGAAGCCTCAGTTGTTCCTCCTAATTCCAATGAAACAATACCCCAGTATATTCTGGGACTAATCTTTATGGATAAAATCTCCAAGTTTGAAGCCAAAACAGATGTGGCTCCATTAATACGTTTACGACTTACGCGGCAACCCCGCTATCTCCCGGAGCTCGAACCAAAATAGCACATTCACGTGATCAGATTTGAATCACACCAGTGCAATGAATTTGTCCTGGCTGACTCCAGACGCCATCATCACTTCTACGCAAATCACCACAGCGTATATTTACCATGCCACCTCGTAACCACAGAGAGTCAGCCTCAGAGTCAGAATCGTACAAGCACTACGGTAGCTTGGGCGTTGGGGCTTCGGGAATATCGCAAACGTCTTCAACAAAGTCATCCCAGAAGGCCAAGACTCAAGCGGCATTGCAAGCACAACAGATGTACTTGTCCAAGCATATAAACTCCAATGGACCCCAAGATAAGCCCAAAGTGAATCCTTTGGAGTTTGAGGAGTACGATGACGAGACGTTGGCCAGGTACAACCAAAAGTACGGGTTGGGCTTACCTCCCATCACCACCATAAATAGCGATATCTTGAACAGCGAGATAGGCAAGAAGACACAGTCAAAGAGAAGCAAGTCTAGACGTGCAAGAGGAAGTATCACCAAGCAGGAGACTTCCAATCACATCAAGGCACATTTTCTCAACTTGCCTTGCAAAGAGAACGAGATCATAACAAGCTTTTTGTACAAGGTGAGACACCAGGATAGCGACTTCAAGTTGACCTTCAAATAGCATTCCTTCACATCTTGGAGTGCCCACACACGTCGGGAGGTGGTGGTTTTCTTGATAAAAGTGTGCTGCGAGAGCTCTACTGCGCCCACGGGAGTGCCCCGAACCCTTGTACCCTGCACCCACACCCTCCCTTTACAATAATGTCTTCATTTCCCTCTCTGTATAATTTAATCCATGCCCTTTCGCAATCCATGATGTCGCAAATCGTGTTGGGTCAATGTCGGTTGGCCAGGGTCAACGATGTCGCTATATGAAAAAAGGTCCTATGCACCGATTGCCAATTACTGACCAGTTGCACTATCGATCAATTAACGCGTAGGGCCATCTAACAAAATGGACTCTTCCACCATAATCTTCATTGCTACCTTGGCAGTTGCATTCATATTCTTAAGATGGTTGATAGCACCTATTCCAGAAGCCAACGAGTTCAATGTTAGAGAAAGAACTAGAGAAGGACAGCTGGCATCATCCACTGGTGCTAGGACCAATGCTACGGAAGATAACGCGCCTACAACTTCCAACACCCGAGTTCGCAGACCAGTCACCGACAGCATGATTGAGGTAGTTCAAACAATCGGGCCACAGTTGACCAGAGAACAGATCATCATGGACTTGACCAGGACCGGGTCCGTAGAATTGACAGTGGAAGCATACATGGAGAACGGAGACTTGCCACACCCTCCAGTTTCTGAACAGAGAGCCCCAGAGACTGCCACCACAACTGGCGTCAATACTGGTTCCAAGACGCCATCTAATAAAATCAATCTTCTTGAAAAGTATGATATTGATGTCACCAAGTTGGATGACCCGGTCGAAGAATCCGAGACCAGTCTCCATAGAAGAAAGCAAGAAATGATTATCGCAGCAAGAAAGAGATTGGAGTCTCAATTGAAGAATGAATTGGACTTGTAAGCATGTCAGGAATGCGGCAAATGAGATGCAACGAATATTTATGACACCCGCTTGGGTTAGTGACTTTCACTAGAACGTTTATACAAAACAAAAGGGTCTTTTGCATTAAGCATATAATAATACATCACATTAAAGAAGAAAGTCTATTAATTGTAAGTCTCACTGACTAAGTAAAGTTGGGGTAATTCTTTTTTTCTCTTTGGGCTTGTAGAATTGGTCTATTGTTGCTCCTTTGGGTTGCGTTTTGGAGTCTTGACTAGGCTCTATATTTTCTGCTTCCTTTGTTTCATCGTGAACATGCATCTTATCGAAAGACAAACCTATTTCTGGAGTCTTATCTTCGGCAATTGAGGGAGTGTCGGTGTCAATTGGTTGTGGATTGTGCAAGCTGCCTTCGTATTCTGTACCAAATACTCCCTCATCGAATAGAATTACTGAGCAAAATCCATCGGTAGAACTAATGATAATTCTGCGACCATCCAAATCCCATTTCAAATCGGTAATAGATGAGTAGTGCAAATTTCCCACAAACCCCAAGGGCTTAAAGTTATCTGTACCATACACGAGTACGGAATCTTGCGTTGCAATTGCAAAGATCATCTTGTAAGGAAGCGTAGTGATTGCTTGCTCAGATGAATTGAGAATGTATTTCTTTGGATTGAATGCTATTGCTACAGCCGGCTTATTGAGCCCTGCTATCTTGAGTATTGGTGTAGTGGAAAGACTCGATCTTGCGTAAACGAAAGAAGCGTTCACAATTGTTCCCTCTGATTTTTGCTCTTCTGGCTCCTCTTCATTTTTATGCATTGGCTGTTTGTTGGGAGTGCCAGGACTCGATGTGTTTCTTGTCTGATTCCACATTCCAGCTGGGGTTATCAAAAAGGTACCATCAGGAGAAAAGGCTAATCTCCTAAAGAAAGATTGCAATGTTTCGGACTGATACATAAATTGATTTTCATGTTTGATAAATCGGTGATGAAGTTTCAACTTTAGTTCACTGTTCTCTTCTTTGATGCTGTAAATGATCACTGATCGGTCCGCCGATTGGGTGGCAATGAACTGATTGAGAGGATCCCAATATACACCTTGGACATAATGGGTGTGATTCTTCAACGATTCCACGAGTTTTCCGGTGAGCTTCTGAGTCTGGCTATCTAGCTCTAGTTGGTAGATTCTTATAGTGTTATCCATGGAGCCGGTGACAATGTACCTGGAATTGGGAGACCAGCCTATATCATTGATCTCACTAGTTGACGAACGCAACTGGAGCACGACCTCCCAGCTTTCTTTTATATCGTCGTCATCTTCTTCACTCTCGAAGTCCTTGATGATTCCTCTCGCTAGTCTCCATATGATAAGAGTACCGTCATCTCCTGCACTTGCCAAGAACTGACCAGATGAGTCAAACCGCACCACGTTGACTGCTTGTGTATGCTTCCTCATTGTGGAGAGATATTCTATGGATGTTGATGGAGGACCCTCCGCGTTCTGATCAGAGTGCACCTTCCACACACGGATATTATTGTCTCCGCCACCTGTGACCAAACGGGGAGACACTGAATCCGGACTTGGCTGGAAATCCACAGCGTATATTGGCTGACTGTCGTTGTGCCAGTGGACTGTGATAGTGGAAGCATTCATGATGCTGTGTGGGATAGACACCAATTGCAAGTTTTCGATACTTGAACGCGTCACCACGTGAGATGTGTCACGCGATAAATCTCACGTGACATTTAGCAGAACTGTTTCCAGTCTTCTAGCACCACCATTAGCGGGCCTGGAGTCTACGGCAGCTCTTGTGAGTGCTCACAGCCATCAGATCTCCTACAGGGACCGTAGGCGTGTAAAAAATTGTGTGGCTGGGGTGGATAGAAAATGGCTGGCGATAACGCAGTGCGAGCCGTACAATAAACGTGATACCACTATTTCCACAAGCAACGGAACACGATCCATATCAAGCATTGAAGAGTCGAAAAGGCACGAGAGGCACAGCAAGTCATCTTGGAAGAGTATCAGTATCATAAGTACAAGCATTGTGTATACATCCGCATATTAGAACCATTTCAACAGAGTTGAGAATCCTTATCTACACGAAATAGCATGATATTTGTGGATAAGAAGCTTATCCGTGAAGCTCTTGAGGTATTGGACCGCGAAGGAATTCTCTCAACCGATGAAGAGTGGTGTGAAGTTGACGGTGTTCCGGTTGAAGAGGACGAGTTATCGACGGAGGATGAGTTTGATGGAACCAAGGGGGTTCCACAAGACGAATTGGATAGTGGCGCTGAAACCGAAGACGAATCGGAAGAGAACTTGAGTCGAGCCACCACCCTCAATCCCATTGATGGCTCGTACATGTACAAGATTCCCAAAATGTCGGTGTCCCAATCGCCACAAGCACAGGGAACTAGCACAAGCACAAAGGGCACCAACCAGTCCCAGGACGACTTCCTGCGGTACTACGAGGGCTATGCAGACCAATATATTGACTGCATGGACAATTCACCCACAACGTACCACTTTGTCGATCATTTCCGGTCTGTCTTGGACAACAACGGCTTCAAGGGATACAAAGACAAGGAGCACCACGACTTTTCCAAGCCTGGATTGTACTACACCATCAAGGATGACTTGACTGTTGTAGCGTTCATTGTGGGAGGCAAATGGGCCCCCGAGAAGGGAAGTATCGTCGTGGGCACCCATGTTGATTCTGTTACTCTTAAAGTGAACCCCCGGGGCCTGTTGAGAGCATCCAAGGACGGGTATGAATTATTAGGGGTGGCCCCCTACTCTGGTGGGCTTCCCCAGAGTATTCTTGACAGAGAGTTGGGACTTGCGGGAGCCGTTTTGGTAAAGGGCCCCGACGGAAAAGTACAGCGGAAATTGATCTCGACGGGATCCAAGCCTATTGGTATTATTCCATCGATCGCAGAGCACTTCGGGATTAGCCTCACTCCAAACCCTCAGACCCAAGCAGTCCCTATCATTGGATTTGGTAGTAACGATCTCAAGCCCACACAAGAGGAGCAGGCCTCACCTTTGTACTCCCAGCATCCGTTGTCTTTGATCAGATTGGTATCATCTCTTTCCAATACTCCGGTTTCACAGATACTCGATCTCGAGTTGGAGTTGGTCAATGTGCAGAAGGGAGCTAGGGGAGGCTTATCGCACGAATTTGTGTATGCCTCCAACCTCGACGACAGATTGTGCTCGTTTGGGGCCATGTATGCTTTGCTTGAGTTCAGCAAGAGGTTCTACACCGATAAAAATATCGAGGACTACGACGGACTTGTGGGGGTCTATTTTACCAACAACGAAGAGATAGGGAGCAACACCCGTACAGGCGCAGGAGGCGGCTTTTTGAGGGATACCTTGGCCCTGGTGGTGGCCAGCAGATATCCAGCGAAGTCCAAGGAATACTTGGCTCAGCTCATGACCCATACCATCGTGTTGTCTTCGGATGTGACCCACGCGTTGAACCCCAACTACAAGGATGCATATCTCGAGGGCCATGTGGCATTGCCCAACACCGGTCCCACCGTCAAGATCGACGTTAGCCAGCATGTGTTGACTGACGCCGAGTCTGTGGTTTTCCTTGAAAATATCGTGGGTAAATTGCCGGGAATTAAGCTCCAGACATTCCACATCAGAAATGACGGCAGACTGGGCGGAACCATTGGGCCCATCATGAGCTCCAGCCGTAGAGGTATCAACGGTGCTGCATTGATCATTGACGTGGGCTTGCCTATCTTGGCCATGCACAATGCCCGCAGCATCGTTGGCTACAAAGATATCGGAATGGGGGTCCGTTTCTACAAGGCCGCGTTCGAGTACTGGCAAGAATTCAGGCCAGTGGACCACGATGCGGCGTAGTTGCGCCTGGATAAAATTAGACTGTGGATACGAATGGGATAATTGCAATAGATAGCCCAGCTGTCCAAGTACCCCAATTGTAGGGGCAACGGGAATATGTGAGCTGTAAGAAAATACCTGGACGCCATCAGTAATTTAGACTGTTCCCAGTTTCGATACGAATGGGGTAATTACGATGACCTATAAAATACACGCATTGTTAAGTTCAAAATGCTAGCCGTAAGGACAATATTTGTAGATGCTGGAGTCAGATCCCACCAAAGTATTATCTGGCCGCCAAACCGCGACTACGCTTCAGATAATACTCAGATAATATCTCAACAATATGTGGTCCCGGTCATCGATCCGCAGTGAGCTGCACAGCTTCTGCAGCTTTGGCATGGTGAGGTTTTTCGGATTTGTGACAGGACGCCAGACCCGATAAGGAGGTAGCGACCGTTTAGTGCAAATAGGTGCACACCATTCCCAGGCCACACACGTGCACAATAGCTCGGGCACCGGGGGGTGCATACCCAGTGGTCTATTGTTTCGCAACCACAACAATGGTGCTGGCTGCAGGTATTGTTTGCAAACGGGGAACGGTGACAAGGAGTCGGGAATTTGGTTGGCGCACCCAAGGTGCACAATTCACGGTGCGCTTTGTGCGCAACCGCGGTGGGGGCTACAACCGTACATGATACACATGGATTATTATTCTGAGGTCGAGGTGTTATTAAATAAGTGAATCTTGGGTCCACGGATGGGAGCATGTGCTGGGGCCGCTATTCACGCAGGATCAAGTTTTCCGCCGAACACGGCGCGTTAACTGATTGAGTGTAGGACCAGGCATTCCCGACGGGTCGCAGGAGCCATATCAGCATCTGCTTCTCAAACGGAGCAGGTGTCATTAGCGCGCAGGGCGAGTTCTTTTCGTAATATCATCATTAATCGTAAACGGCGTCCTTACAAGGCAGCCAAGAAGGTGCAAACAAACACGGAGCCTACCACCATGGTCAACTTGGAGAATCCGCTGGCGTCGTTGGTCGACCGTATGGAGTTTGCTGGGGACGAGGAAGTGGCCGACGCCTGCGATTTGGCGGCGTGCCTGCCATTGACAGTGGACGAGAGCAACGTCAAGGTGTGCAAGTCGGAGGCCTCGCTGAACAGACCGACCTGAGTGCTGGCGCCGTCGCTCTGGATGAGCAAGCCTTCATTGCCAACATCCAACGAGGAGGGCGACGAGGTGACAAGGTGGAGTTGGGTGTAGGAAGGGGAAACGAGGGAGGTGCCACTGGGAGTGACAGCAGTGTCTAATAAAATTCCAGACATTTGTGATGAGCCTCTTGCGAGTGATAGGGAAAATGACGGGGACTCTGTCTTTATATATGTTGGACAATCCCAGTCCACAATCTGTCCGGTGATGGGAGTACATGCAAGGGCGGTGCTACCAACCGCTTCAAAATTCAGGCACACAGTAGGTGCGCCAAGTTGTTGATACAAACAATGCAAGGGGCACCGCTATTTTCGCGCCACAAACAGCCAACAATGTAGCACATGCATGGTCCGATGTGCCATTACGTATGCCAGGCTGCAACCATGTCCCATGGTTACGTAAGTGCCGGGGTTGTTTATGTTTTTCACACTAGGGGCGGCCCTTCGCCTTGTCGTCAACTTTTCATCGATCTCAACAATGCCAACGATCAGTGCTGGCACACAATAGAAGATAGGCCCGAGCGTGGCCGCTTGTCTTCCAACCCCTGACGCGAGACGTGTCTGGTGTTACCGTCATGATTGCCCCCCACGCATGACTGGCACACCCAGCATATGGCTGCAGCCGGGTTTGTGACGGAGCACCGTGGATGGTCCGGTGCGCCTTGTTGCCGGGGGAGCTTCTTGGTTCTGGAGCACGCCATCCAATATGGTCTGCTTGCTCGAGCTACCAGGTGCAAGGCTTGCTTGACTTCGATGTCCTTCCCAATCAATCCAACCCCCGTCACTGGTGTCAATTTCTGCCAACGGTCCCCCACGCGACGATAAACACTTGTGCATATGAGCGCCCCTGTTAGGTTACGAGTACTGGCCGTTTCCCAACCAGTGGTTTCCAGAACCCTTTTGGGAACCGATATGCTTCTGTGAGCCTCTCCTTGGACACATACCCCCGAAATCAATCCAAATGGCCCCAGATAGGGCGATGACGAAATGATTCCTCACGCAACTGCAACCACAAACCTTAAAATCCAATCTATCACCACAATACCGAAGCATTCCCCTACAACCCAACACATTCGCATAACGTCTAGGGCTATGTCCTGAGGTGGTTAGCCGGTCGGCTAGCGACTCGGATACCTGCTAGCAACCTGCTAGGCTGTATGCGCAATTCACATGTCCGAGAGTATGGGCCCTTGGATGGTCCAAGATCGACAAAAACTTTCCGTGAAACACTGGTTGTGAGTTCTCTTAGCCTGACACCTCGTCACGGATTATGAACTCTCGAACATGCGAGGACTCGAGCTGCAACATGAGATATTATTCGAGAGTTGGGGTATGTGTGCCAAACGCTTGCTGTGGAGTGTAGATATTTTGCTCCTTTGATCCAGACGGCTAACCACTCAAATCTACACGAAGGCTCCAATGGGTGAAGTTCTCGGCATACAGGGATTATGAATCTCCCACTCCGACTGGCACGGCACAGCTTTATAATGCTACAAAAATTTCCCATCTATGAATGTTCGTAACTCAAGCCAAGATTGGAATGCCATGTGGTGGTGCAAGTGATTGCCAAGCTATCATGGGCAAAGAATTAGTAGTTGAGAGGCACCACGTTTTGCTATCGACTCGAAAACGGCCCTGGCAATTTGAATAGCTTCCTCTATTTTACTTTGCAAGTGGGAATTATAGGTTGATATTTTCTCTAATATGATGGAGATAACATTCTAAGCTCAAGCGCGTCTCATATCTCCTACTTCTCTAACTAGAGATGGGCCGGTATCACCAATAAATCTCATGATCGAATTCTGATTACATAAGCAAAATAGTTATAGTACATGTATTTTAAGCAGCTTCTCTAGCTCGAAGTTCCGGTTGTATAGTGTAGTGGTTATCACTTTCGGTTTTGATCCGAACAACCCCGGTTCGAATCCGGGTACGACCTGCTCTTGTCTTTTTGCTTATTAGATGATGCTTGTTTTTTTGGCTGCTTCTCGCGTATCAGTTATCTCGTAATTTATTCAGCACGTGACCTTTTGCGAGACGCGTAAGTGTTGACAAATGCATTACGTCCAGTATCTATCCATTGGAGTTGAGGAGAGTTTGCAGAGGAGGAAAGGTCCCCCACAATGGAGAAGCAGAACCCACTACTTCCCTTTGCATTTTCGGGGTTGTCTTATGAAGACAATTTGCCCTTGAATACTTCCCCCCGAGACCGTAAAACGATTGATCAAAATGCCAGCAGCCAGTATCATACCAGAACCTCCCAAGTCAGAAAACGACCAGTGTTGAATTTCACACCCACACTTAAGCGTAAGATGGGCGAGAGTTTCAATGAGAAAGACGATGTCAAAAGAAGAGATATGGATTTTGGTAGCGATCCAACCATCATTGACGAAGACCAAATGGATGATGACGAGAAAAACTTTTCCAACACTAATGACGGAAAGTATGGAAACATGCTTCCCCCAAGCAGTCCTCCATTGGAAGAAAGTTTGATGTCAGAATTTGATTTTACCACGGATCCTAGTCAAGCTTATGGCCTTCCAGACTCTCCCAAACCTTTGAACCATCCCCATCCAGATCTCAATCAAGGGGAAGATTTTTCCGATTTTCCCAGTGAGGTGGATTTTCTTAAGCCAGAAAATCGCCAGCCCAGCCTTTCTCAAACTTATTCTCCGCAAAAAGGTATATCAAAACATTTTAGTTCTGATGCTGACTTTGGAATCGATCACTTTAATAGATTCAAAAACCCCAGTGCTAATGGACTTCCTTCGTCTGATGTGGACCGAGGGTTTGAGGAGCTCAAAATTTCTTCGTTCAATAAGGCCAGGGACTATATTATTGAGGCTTTCGAAGAAATAAGAACCACGATTAATTTGGAAAACATGGATTTGTATGATGTTCCCGATGAAATCAAGGATTTGAACAACTTGGTCATCTTCGACTATGATGAACCAGTTTCATACCAGTTGTACTTAACTGGAAACAAATTACGAGAGTTGCCTCCTTCACTATTCAAATTTACCAAATTAAATGTGTTAGGATTGAGGCTGAATAAACTTGTGAAAATCCCACCTTCAATCGGTAGACTTGTCAACTTGGTGGATTTATCGTTGGCTTCTAATAGATTAGAGTTCTTACCCTACCAAATCTTGAATTTACCCAAATTGCAAACCTTTCGAGCCGGTCCAAACCCATATTTACCAATACCCGATGACGCCATAGCAGTATCAACTTCAACATTTAATCAAGAGAAACAGAAAGTTTATGTGTCGCAAATGAAATATCTTGCTCCAGAAGCGAAACAAAGCACTTTAGTTCCATCTTTGAAAAGCTTCTGTTTGAACCAAGTGGCAAAGTATGACGTGTCGTATCAAGAGACCAAGACTTGGAAAAAGAACACCCCCAAGTTATACCACAATTTGATCATCCAGGCGATTACCAAAGGTAAGTATGACGAAACATGTTGCGAGTGTGACATCTATGTGGTGGAACCATTCGCGGAAGTGATTGAGTGGTGGAATTTCTTGAAGAACAAAAACGTACCTTTCAAACGGCAGTTTTGCAGTGGTGGCTGTGTCAAGAACTATCAATCGAGATTTATTAATGAGTTGAACGAATTTGCATAGGTGTAAGGACCATGATTTTTATCGCATATAACAAATATATATTCCAAACTAGACTGAAATAAGAGTAGAACGGAGGTAATTTAGATCATACTTGACCAAGAAGAAACAAGTAGTAAAACTTTTGGGTGTAATCATTTCAAAGCACCTATATTAATGAGGTAGAAAAATCCTCTGAGAGGAAAGCCACAGCTAGTCAATAAATTATTAATCGAGTTCAAACGGAGAAAGGCAACAACTCTGTTCTTTCAATTTAGAGAATAGCGCCCATTTGAGCTTTGAATAATGGGTTGATATCCCACCATCCAAATGGTATCGAAGAAGATAATAGGATGTATCATAGTCTCGTGAAATCGAACAAAATAGGAATAGTTAAACACTCAAGGAAAGTTGACCACAATTTGCTTGTAATGCTGATTTACTTCTCTCTCGTTCACGACCCATCTCGAACTAATGGAATTTTCAAGGCAGGTTGAGTTTCATTTGTGCCTGCAAATGAATTTCGCAGCCATATCAGGTATCCACATGGCTAAGGCAATCACACCTAAACTAGACCATGCAAAAGAATATCACTATAGTACACTAAGAAATAGATAAATGCTCTTGAATATCGACAATGAGGACCCTGACAAGGCAATGGGGGAATGTGTTGGGTTTTGAATCGTAGAACAGTCGTCTGACTTCAATGTAGTTTGATTCAAGTATTTGTTTCATAGTAACGGAGATACTGTACGTCCCGGCCAGAGGATTTTGGTGGCTACATGTCGAATGCATTGCATTATATTTTCCAAATATTTGGAATACTCAAAGCTATCAATCAATTCAACTCGCCAGCCTAAGAAATGCCATCCTGGCAAGCCCAAAGAACACACATTATCTTCCAATGACACAAGACCGGAAAAGTACCCAAACACAAGTTCTCGTTGGGTGTTACCGTTCCATTTGATTCTTGGAGTGCTCACCGTAGCTGTTCTCACTCGCTGAAATTCTCGATAGAATTCGAGAATTCTCATCACCGCATGTTACTTCGAAACGTCTTCAACTCCTACTTCGTTCCCATCCGGGCAAATACCTTGGGGGCTCGGCGGGAGCTCTTCATTGCGTCTATTGGAAATCCCGAACCCGAGTACCAATCCACCCGCCACAACGTGGGTCATATGTTCTTCGACTACCTAACCGCCAGGTGGGCCAGTCATCTTACTTCCAACGGAGAGTACTACATCTCGTCCAAGTACCCGAAAGTGGTGCTCTTCAAGTCGTCAAAGTCATTCATGAACCTCCAGGGCCGCCCTATCTCCAAGCATTATAGAAAGCATGGTACGTCTTTGGTGATTATTCACGATGAGCTCCAGATCGACTTGGGAAAGCTCCAGATAAGAAAACCCGGCACCAGTGCTCGTGGACACAATGGGTTGAAGTCCATCAACTCGCATCTCCCCAACACGTATACCAAGGTGGCTATTGGCATTGGGCGTCCGCTAGACAAGTCGCAGGTGCTCAAACATGTCCTCGGCAAGTTCAGTGCTCTGGAGATGGACAAGTTGGACGAAGTCTTTCCTAGAGCCTTGCGTGAATTGGAGAAGCTCATTGAAAGCGCCAGCGACCAGCAAGAGAAGAGAGAAGACGGGAACGTCTCATCGCACTGAGGACTGTAACAGCTGAGTTTCTTGGAGTCTGATTTCGCACATCCAAGTGTTAACATGTCTCTTGCTGCCATAGGCTCCTACAATTACCTACACTTACCAGGGTTGTTGTAGCAGATTTTCCCAGCGAGAAAAGGATACCATACACAAACAATCGCATCCAGAAACCCACATCACAGCAATCAGGTCCCATGTTCTAGGCACCAGGGATGACTACCCCAGATAAGGTGCACAAACGAGCAGACTACGACTTGAGATTGCTGCTGCCGGATCCGACACACACAGGCGAATGGTCTAATGTCCAGGCGAACGCTTAGTCCAGGCTTACTGTGTTACATTCTGCTCCCCGTTGGTCCGACCAGATCAGTCTGGCGCCCAGACCCACACCAGATCTGGCGCACCGTTATCACCTACACCGTCCACGTGACGCTCGCATCAGTCTTATCCACATTAGATTACACCAGCACCTAGTTCCAGTCAGTCTACACAATTGCCATACCATGGAGTACACACTATACCTCACCGCAGAGAGGTCGGTGGTGAGAGAATCATTAAAGGGTACGTGATGCAGCGGCTTCGAGCCCCACTGGTGTGGCTCATCCCCCAACCAGCGCAACAACTAACATTCAGGCGTAATATGGACCATCTTCTTTAACCGGCTCTTTGGGCCAATAACACCCACCACAAACGAGTTTCTCAGCGTGACGTACAGCATGGCAGAAAACTTGCCCGAATTGGACACCTTGATCGACGAGAAAGTCAACCAGCTCATCAAGCTCCAGTTTGACACCTCCAACCAAGGGGTGAGCCATGGCCATGTAATCGTGCAGTTTCTAGACAAAAAGGCAGGCAAGAGCAAGCGAACGGGGTGGTTCGGAAAGTCTGAAACCTCAGACGACTTGAAGCTCTGGGAGTCCTGGATCGTGTCGGTGGAGTGCCTCCCCATGGCCACCTCGGACCATGGAGGCGATGGAGGTCCATGCTTGAACCCACAAGATAAGAATAGAAACATCGAGGTGTCTATCCAAAGCTTTGAGGAGAACCTCCACAAGATATTCACCATTGTGGACTCGCACAAGGACCACATACCGCCCATAACGTCCCTTGAGAGTCTGCCCTTTCCTTACACCATCGACGTGGAGCGTAACTTGTCCAAGTTGAACTACGCCACCGAGGGAAACGACAGCTGGGGCGGGTACATCAAGAAGATGCTCGATTGAGCCTGCAGAATGGCAGTACTGGTCTGGTACAGATGAAACACGGTTGCACAAGAGAGTTATAGAGCACATCCAGACCGCGGCTACAGCCATTTATACTTGTCCATACATTACAAATTTGCACTATACATACCTTCTTCGCCTCTCACCAAAATACACTCGTCCTGATGAATCACCACCCCTTCCAAGCCGATTTGGTCCACCAAATCCAACACTGCCTCGTCGTAGCTTCCTGGCTGCAACCACAAGCCCTTGACGATATCTTTGTACCCAGAAACCGTGGCTATTTCCTTCAAGGTAGCCACGGTAATGTTGGGGGGTGTCAAGAACGAGATACTCACGCCATCCACCTTGGATAACTTGTAGCTTTCCACATCTTGGTGCTCGTTGACGGCATTCAACACCAGGCGAACGGATCCTACCACTGGCTGCCCCAAAATCTCCTTTTCTCGGGGGTTGATAGGAATGGAGGACAAGCCGTGGCTCACGTACCACAGCAACACCTTGAACCCGAACTTGCTGGGGTTGTTGGATGCACCGGCCACCGCGTACTGGCGGGTGGGACCGAAGAACGTCTTGATTCTGGCTTTCGTAGACATAAGGAATGCGCAACGAAATGCCCTGGTTTCTGGGGTCCCGGCCAGCCTTTATAGTCCGGGGCTAAACCGCAAAATTGGCAATGCGAGCTTGTGAAATTGCACGTTACCCAAATCTTGGTGAGAAGACCGCCCTATTGATCTCTGCATCACTGCACCTCCTAACCTTTCGTCCGTCCGGTTATCAGTGTGATCCTGAAGGCATCGCCTGCAACCGACGCTTCCACCAGAAATAGCCGCGGACTCCGCCAAAATGCCCAAAGAAAAGAGAACCAAGCCATGCTCGAACTGTAAGAAGTCAAAAGTCAAATGTATCTACACAGCATCGCTACCATGTGAGAGATGTATGAAGACGGGACAGGCGGTGAACTGCCAGTTTGTGCCCAAGCTTCCGTCTTTGAAGCTTCCGCTGTTCACTCAAGGAGGGTTGGCACCTCAACAGGCCAATCCCGAGCCAGAAATCTCGTTTCCTCATATAAACCCCATCCAACCTACTCCACACGTACCATCGAGGCCACCATACGTCATTCCTGCGGGACCAAACAACATTTCCATCACTCCAAACATGCCAGGGATTCCTGCTCCTCCTAGCATTCCTCCTGCCCCAAACATGGCACTGGCTGTGCCGACACAGCCTCCTATATCTAACATGGTCCTCTCCAATCATCATCCAGACCCAGAGGGGCAGTGGAAGTCTCATATGGAAAACAGGATCAACTCTTTTGACGATAAGCTCAACGATCTAGTCGATATCTTGAAATCGAACCAACAAATGCTCCTCGAGCAACAAAGGTATTCCCCACACATGTACACAATGCAGAGTCCACAGCTACAACACCACAGACCCCCAGGTTTGATCCAGCATGGTGCCCATTACCAGCACGAGGATCAGCACTTGATGGCCCACAGGAATCCCTACAACCCTGTGCCAATGTATCAAAGTCCTTTACAACCGTCGATTCCGAATAAGGCGTCCCATCTCAAGAGAGCCTTGGAGCCACCATTGATCTCTTCAGCATCGTCCAGTTCCAGTACATCTCCAGAACTACCAAGAAAACGGCTAAAATCTGCCACCACGTTAGGAGACGCATTCATTGGTAAGGATTTCAGAGATACCTTCTTGTCCAAGGATGAGGCCAAGGAACTTTTCCATTTCTTTGATGCCAATATTTCCCAACAGCTTTTTGGATTTGAAATCTCTCGTTTTTCAGTGGACTCCATCTGGGCCACCAGTCCTGTGTTGGTTTGTGCCATTTCTACTATAGCCTCCATTCACCATCCAAAGCTTTCAGGAAAGTCGGAAGGGCTTAAGGCTTACTTACAGGATCTCTGTGGCTCTTTGTTATACAGAGGAAAACCAAAAAATGAAGAAGAGGGATTCAATACAATAGTCGCCTTGATTTTGTGCAGTTTTTGGTTGTCCGACTCCCAAATGTTTACTGGGTTGGCTTTACAATTAGCCAAGGAGTACGGGTTAAATAACCCTTATACCGAAAATAAGGATAAATTGAAGCTTTGGTACTTGTTATATGTTTTGGACGGGCAACAAAGTTTGACTTTGAACAGACAACCCTTAGTGAATTCTCAGGAGTATTCTTTGGTCCATAGTAAAGAGATTTTATTACCTACGAAGCAATTGGAGTTGAAGGGTTCCAAACCAGAATCAAACTTGATAAAACAGGACGAGAAGGATAACTCCACCACAAAAGAACATATTCTCAAGAAAAGGGATCTTAATGCGGACATGAGGTTAGTATCTCAAGTCGAATATAACCAAGCTTTGAACGAAGCTTTCAAAGGAAATGCTTGGGATTTATTGGTGCCCTCCTCTTTTGGTATTCCATCCAAGAGTAATTTGGAATTGGATAAATGGATGGTGTCTTGGACTGTATTATTAGCACCTAGTAATAATGGTGCAGTGTGGTCTTCAAAATCTACCTTGATTTACTATAATTTTGCCAAAATGCATATCAATTCCTCCGCTGTTAGACAGCTTCAAGTGAATCCCAACAAAATGTTACCGAAGTGGGACTCAATGACACACACAGCAACATCCTCTTCGGAGAGACCCTCGACCAGTCCTTCTAGGAAGTCCGCTCTTGAAAGTGATGATTCTGAGGACAGTGATAGCGATGACGATACTACGAATGAGGATGAGTTTATTTCTAACAAAGGATTATTATCGGAAGACGAAACGACCGTTAATGCAAACATAGCAATTAATGCCGCTCAAACTGTCCTTAATTTGGTGATTAATGATCATGATATATTGGACAACTTAAAGTACGTTCCGGTTCATATTCACATCATGCTTTATTACGCTTCTTTGCTTTTACTCAATCCACCCATGAAATCAAACAACAAAGCCATTGAATTAGACCCATACACCTATAATCTAAAAATCATCGGAAACCTCAAGATTATCAAAATGTTAGAAAAAAAGATATACAACAACTTACCTATTGATACGAATTTCGGTGACCGGCTTATTAGAAGTCTTGATGAAATAGTGGAAGAGAAACTCATAAAGGTACGCAAAGACTCAGAAGAGTTGCAAGATGGACCTCAAAAAGTCGAGTTGCTAAAACAAATAGACAGTCTCATTGAGTCTTCCAACGATAAAAACATAGTTGAGCTCGCTGATGATTCTACGATTAGTAGAGGGTCAACCCCACCCGGACCAGAAAGAATATCTGCTTGGCCAGGATCAAATCATGGGCATCCATGATGCTGTTTATGCAAGCTAATGGGGCTGTTTCAGTCCGATCCGCATTACGATTAGGTTCATATCGAGAAACGCTTTGTACATACAGTATTATAGACATAGATTACTTTATAGTTTGTATTATAAATATCACGACTTGGTATGTTTCTTATGTTGAGCGTTGGAAACCTTCTGTAACTCAGATAATCTTTCCTTCAAGTTTGGCAAGTCCCTCAAGTTCTTCTCCAAAGACAATCTTTCTTGTTCGAACTTGAGTCTTCTGTCAGCATCTAACTTACCAAAGAAGTATCCACCCTTACCGTCGAACTTCAATAAATATTTGTGGAAATGCCATAAAGCAGATCTATGGGCAACAGATAACACTGTAATACCCAAGCTTTGAGCATGTTCATACATGAACTGTTCCATATCTGGAGAAACAGCAGAGGTGCATTCGTCCAAGACTGCAAATTTAGGTTGATGGTAGAATAATCTAGCCATTGCTAATCTTTGTTGAGCACCTGTAGACAATTCTTCATCCCAGTTCTTGACCAACTCAAGACTATCGGAATAATCTTCAAGCTTTAAGATCTTCAAAATTTCTTTCAAGTCGTTGTCTTTCTTGTCTTGAGCCTCGTATTGTTTAATACTGTGAGGGTAGATGATTTGTTCTTTCAATGAACCCTGGCACAAATAAGCTCTTTGTGGCAAGTAAAAAACATTCTTCGAGTTTGGAATGCTGATTTCTCCATACTTACATGGCCAAAGACCACCCAAGATTCTGAATAATGAGGATTTACCAGAACCATTTGGTCCGGCAATAAGCAAGTGGTCGCCACTGGAAATAGAGAAATTCAAGTCTTCAATCAAGGTGACATCCGCTGGAGTAGTAAGTCTGACATGCTTGAAGTTAATCTCATCGTTGTTGATTTTAACGTTCTTACTGGTAGTAGATCTGTTCTTCAAACCATCCAAAATATCTTTGAAATCGGAAACTCTGGCGGCATGTCCGACCACTTGCAAGATGTATCTTCTGGAATAAATCAATCTATCCAAAGAGTCAGAGGCACTCATCAATAATCTTCTATTAGTGATGAAATCTCCAGCATGATCAGGGTTTGGTTCTTCACCCATGTATTTCAGGATAAAAACAGGAGCGGAACACAAGACCAAACCGGCAGCACCCCACAAGTACTTGACGATGAAGGTTTGGGCAATTTCGTGGACGGCCTTCTTCCAGAACTCGTTCTTGAGGAACCGTTCCAAGTTATAGTAGCAATAGTCAATATAGTCCAACTCCTTATTGTGACCTCTCAACAAGGCAATTTCTTCATTGTTGGAGACGATTTTAGAATGAGAGGATCTTAACTGGCCTTCTAAGTTGGCCTTTTCGGAGGCCAACTTGGCGAAAGGTGGGGAGAATAATCTGAGGATCATGGTGGAGAAGTGAGCCAATAACCCAAGGGCCAAGGTTCCTTCACCGTTACCAACACCACTCTTGCTCAACTCCTGGGCGCATAAAAGCAAATCCAAGGTGGGCTTCAACAACTGGCCAGGCAAGTTACTCAAGGCGTTGGCCAATCTAGAGATATCGGTGGTGATTCTTTGGTTGGGGTCTTTGATCTTGTTTCCTGACAAGTGGATGAGGGAGTAGTAGTTGGCATCAAGGTTATCGGGGAGATAGTCCTCCATGATGCCGTCGTTGAGGTTCTTTCTGATAGATCTGCTCAACCTGTGTCTGGTCCAGGCCAAGAGCCCGTTGACCAAGGCTGCTGGGAACCCGATAAGCATCCAGTACAACAACAATCTGGAGAACCGTCTCAACCGCTTAGAAACCAACGCTCCGACCAACTTACCGTCCAAGCTGGCCACCTTGATGGTGATGTAGGCACGGATCACCAACAACACCAAGTGGGACGCCAAGTACCACGAGGCGGAGTTGGCCACCAGAGGAAGAGTCACCTTCATCAAGCTGATGAACGACTCGCGCGACATGCGAGTCTTGGCCTTGGAGGTGTCGATGTCTTTGGCGTCTTTGGGGTCTTTGGCATCCTTGCTGCCTTTCTTGGACCCACTGGGACTTTCTGTGTGGGTGGCCTTGCTGAACGCTGCCGTCAAAAGGATGATATACGAGGCGTTAAGGAAGAGCGACCGGTTCGACTTGTACACTCTGAGGAGCGACAAGGCAAGCGTACTCGGACCTGAGGGCTTGGACATGGTGCTTCAGGGTATAGCTCTGGCTGGCCGGTATTAATGAGACGAAACGTGAGGATTAGCAAGTGATGAGAAACTCCGAATTACTGTGTCCATGTAGTGTGTACTAAAGCAGGTGGCTATCACCCCCACAAATGAAACGTGACGGATGCACGTGAAAATTGCCGAGGATGAGACTATATAGGCGGGACCCAGAGGACCCTGGGCGGGGGAGCTAGGGCAGCTAGCGGGGCGTTAGTGGAGTTAGCAGGGGAGGCTAGGGGAGCTAGTGGGAGCAAACCTGGTGGAGCTAGTGGGGATCAGCAAGGTGCTAGCGAGGATTTCGCTCGGGAGGAAGTCGCTCGGGAGGCTTGCTCCTGGAATCCACCGTGGCGCGAGTATGCTTGGATCGGTAGCGCCTCAGCCAGGGATATCTGGGATTAATTCGGTTTGGCCAAGAGCTTCTGTTCCACTCCTGTTTAAGATTATCGGTTGTAATTTCTCGTGCACTCTTGCACTCTAGACCTTTCTGGACGTTGAAAGTTCGCATGGATTTCTTGACGCTTGGGGTGGAATCTGCGTGGTATCTTTCATATCAAACTGATGCCATCCAGCTTCATCGATCAATACCAAGGTGTATCTTTTAGTACCCAAAATCATTTCCTGTCGATCTCTTGCACCCTCCCTAGGCTCCATCCAACACCTTGCGGAACTCGGCCCGGTGGCCCACCATATCAGCCTCGAGCTCGTCGATGCGCTGGTAGTACGCGCTATTGGCTAGGTCCACCGTAGTCTCCACCTTGTAGCGTACTAATAAGCCCTCGTACAACTTTTGGAGCTCGTCCCGCGTGGCCAAGCCGACATCGTGCTCCTCGAGCCGGAAGCTGACATGCCCAGTCCAGTCACGGATGATATCTGCCACCAACTTGTCAGGCGACGCCTTCAACTTTTCTGGCCCAGTGATGCCATTTACGTGAAAGAGCTGCGCTAGCACCAACACGCCTCTGTTGCCGTACTGCGCAGGGTCGGTGGGATCGCTCATGGTGGTGGTTTGTGGGTATACATCGCCAAATCTGCCAGCCAAATCACACCCGCGTGCCCCGCCCAATTTGTCAATAGCTGAGACCTCATATCAACTCCACCAAATAACCTTCTCCTCGTCACAGCAGGCATGGACACCCTGCAGAGCATTCCCTACTTTGAGGACAAGTTCTCCAAGATCACCATCAACAAGTCCCCCACCCGCAAAAAGAAAGTGTATCCGCCACATCTCTATCCCGATGGAACCAACCCCAAAGTGCCATCCCTGCAAGAGACCAGAGCTGGCTCTGGCAAGACTGTTGGGCCTATGACGCCCTCGCGGGTGATCTCTTCCAGCAAGTCGTTTTCCACCGTCAAGCAACCAAACGAAAAGAGGGTGCTCAGCTACCCTCTTTCCGAGATTTCCACCCTGAAGAAGGACTACCAGTTCTCGTTCATGAAAGAAACCTCGTCGTCATTACTGAAGAAGTACACCTCCCCCAAGCCCCACATGCCCCAGGTGATTCCCGTGTCCTCCACCAAGAAACGCAACGAGTACTCCCGACAGTTGTCCCAGTCCCTCAGATCAAGACGGTTGGTTTCTAGTAATTGTCCTCCAACAGATATCACCAACTTGTCCTACGCCTCGTCAGCCAGAGAAGTCAACGACTCGCCAACTAAACAAAGTGCATACAGAAATGCTTCCCAGCCTTTGCCTGTCAAAAAGGGTGACGTGTTCAACAGACTATACCCTGGCCCTTCCAAACCTGAGAAGGCCACCCTTGCCCCCAGGAACGTTCAGGGGTACCCATCAGCATATCAAAAACCACAAACTCGCTCCACGAGCTACACGAGCTCCACAAGTGCTACAAAAATCGAATCATTGGCCCAGTTATACACCAAGATGTACCTGAAGGATCCATCTTTGTTCAGTGAAAAGTTCGATTCGTCTACTAGCAACAACCAATTTGCCACTCCCCTTGATGTTACCCAAATATCAAGTACGTCATTGAATGCATACGAAAAGGAGGAGTTGAGCCGCAAAAAGGAAGTTTATTTCGTTCCAAACTTGGCACAACCAAGAAAAATCGATATCAAGAATTATCAAAGCAATTTTGGTTTTGACGACGCTAGTGGAAATTATCACATTGTGCCGAACGATCACATCAACTTCAGGTATGAAATTCTATCAATCCTAGGCAATGGGTCATTTGGCAAGGTAGTTGAGACCAAAGATCACAAGTCAAACAAGGTGGTTGCTATCAAAATCATCAAAAACGACTTGAATTGGTCCCTACAGTCCTTAAATGAGATAAAGCTATTAAAGTTCCTTAATGGGACAGGTCCTCCTACTAAGTTATCCAACCAGCCCAATACATCCATACTGACAACTCCGGAGTTTCCAGCGCTCTCAGCCGAAGTTTCCCCTTATATTTTGAAGTATTTTGATCATTTCAATTTCAGAAGTCATATTTGTATTGTCAGTGAACTACTTACTTTAAATTTATTTACATTGCTCGAGCAGACTGATTTCAGCGGATTTGGTTTACCAATAATAAAGTCTTTTGGGAGCCAAATATTGAAAGGATTGAAGTTTCTTCATTCCAGAAATATTATGCATTGTGATGTAAAGCCGGAAAACATTATGATCAAATTCCCAACAGATCCAGAGCTGACTGATGTTCATATCAAGATCATTGATTTTGGCTCATCATGCTTCAAGAACGAAGTGTCGTACACTTATATTCAGTCCAGATTCTATCGTGCTCCGGAGGTGATGTTAGGCTCAAAATACAACGAAAAAATTGATATTTGGTCTTTGGGCTGTATCTTGGCCGAGTTATTCACCGGGAATCCCTTACTTCCGGGCAAAAATGAGTACGAACAAATTGGAATGATCGTTGATATGGTGGGCGCACCAAAGAGTGCAATGATCTTAAGACAACGGGGCTTAATCAAGAAGCAATTGTCCAAAAACTTCGAACAGCCAACCACCAATGACAAGAACTTGAAAAAAACACTCTTGTTCAAGTTGTTTGATATTAATGGAAGATTGAACGTATCATTGCTTAACTACTACATGACCCAATCGTCCAACAACCCCACATTTAAAACAGTTACCGTGGCTTCTTCGGCTAGTACCACCAACCGGTCTTCCAAGCCTGGTAGCAAGCACTTGGGTGTAGTTCTTGGACTTGAAGGAATGGAAACCGCTGACAATAAGCAGTTCCTTCAAGTTTTGAACAGTATTTTCTTGTGGGACCCAGCAGAAAGAGCAAGCGTTCAGGATATACTTCAACTAGACTTTTTCCTGGGATCATGATTGATGACACTCTTTTATTACAAAACATTTAGAACAAACTAGCATTTTATTACCAATACAATTGATATTAGCATAGCCTACAGTATAGTGTAGATAGAGGTTGGAGCATTTAGACCAGTCTGTTGGTGTAAAGACAATTTCGTTCTCGCAAAGCCCAAATTTTGCAACCAGTCTTTGTGAGCCGCTATGCAAATTTTCGCAACAATACCAATAATCGCCCCCCTCTTCCCCTACCTGCCAGATATGCTTCGGGATATATTCTACAGGAGAAGCAAACTACGAGAAAAAGATGCTCCAGTTGATTTGGATGCCGGTTCCACTTCTACGGAATCCAAGGGTGATGGTTCTTCTGAAGAAACATTTCCGCTTACGGAAATCCCCAAACTCAAAAGGAGCAAGTCATTCAGCATGCCCATCAATACAAAAGAGATCGAGGATAGGGCCAATAGTATGGGTAATCTGGAGACGAGTTTTGATCCTTTTAGCCCCGCTCAATTAAAAAAGAGCCACAGCTTTTCGGGCACCATTCATCGTACCGGCTCATCTTCGTTTACCAAGCTATTTACTAGATCTGTGCAATTCAACGGAAATGGGCCAAATGGGAAGATTGAGACGGCAAAAAAAATCAACATGAAAGCGCCGGAGACAAATGAAGTTGGAAACGCTGTTGGATCGAAGGATGATTTGAGCATATACACTGTACACCAGCAAACAAAAGAGGAAGATGGCAGTAGCCTTCTGGAAGTCTGTACTTTAAGCAGCTTCAATGAAAACACTCTGTCAACCCCTAACAATGGTTTGGACTCCAGCAAAAGTCTTGAAAAGGTTCAACTCCTCTTTTCGGAGAATCCTGCTGATGTGATCGAGGAAAGCTCAGATTATGGAGAGGAACTTATTTCGAAACCCCAAGATAAGCTTGGATGCTTCAGAAAAAAAACATCCTCAAACAATCCAGAACTATTAAAGCTATTGATCTTGTTAAATGCTCCACTTAGCTCTACCCTCACAGAAGGAATTAACCTTGCAATATGCACTTTGGGCAACAAAGATATGGAAATTTTGAGCTTGCAAGACGACTTACGCCATATGAATGACGCATACTCAAAAAATTCTGGAATACTCTCCGAGCAGATTACTGAAGAAATAAATCAGAAACATAATTTAACAACTCAGATCAATGAGATGACTGAAAAATTGGCAGAGCTAAATAAGGTACACAAAGAGGAGCTTGGTACTTTGCTAGCGAAGACAGTGTTCATCGAAGATTACAACATATTGATTGAAGAGAAGCAAATTTTGGTTAGTATGCTAGAGAAACATATTAACTGCGAAGTTGAGAGTCTCCATTTGGGTATACAGTTAATATTGGATACCAACCACCGTTTAGAATCCGAACGAAAACAGCTATTTGAGGAGATAAATTACAAGCAGTCTACAGTTGAAGAACTCAATGAAGTAGTCAATGAGAAGACCTCTATAATAGATAATCTTACTCGTGGCTTGGATGCAAGTATTGAAGAAAAGAAGTGTAATGAAAATGCTCTCGAAGAAAATATTATCCAATTGGGTGCAAAAATCTTCGATCTAGAGTCCACAGTGGAGAGTTTGAATACAAAGAACTCAAAGTTGCAAGACCAATTGAATATAAAGATCGAGTCATTGAGGGGATTGTGTACCACCATCGACGATTTGCATAAGGAGTTCAATTACCTCGAGGAAACGAAAGAGATTCCCAGGTTGTGTTGTGACAAAAACGACGAGACTTCAAAGTCGGGTACATCTACACGGGTTGCTTCAGAGACCTTGCTGTCAAACAATGGGAACTCGAAAATTGAGACATCAGTGGGGTTGATCGAGAATATTAAAATCTCGGATACTCAAAAGAATCTTGAATTAGAGGTCTCGAGGCTTACTCAAGTAGTCGGCAGCCTAGAAGCCGAGAATGACATGCTCAAGTCTTACAACGAAGAAGCCACTAAACTACTACTTAACCTGCAAGACAGATTTGAGACTTTAAGGAAGTCAAAGGAGAGCAACAAGGAGGCTATCCATGAGTTCAAAGCTTCAAATAAATTATTGTACTTAACTTTAGTTCTGCTCTTAAAGGGTGCTATCGAAAGTTTGTCACCTGTTTTCCACAAAGATTCTCTTCATTTTTGCAACGATCTCTATAATTTGATTTCCAAAAAAAGTGTTTTCAGTGATGGCGACATGATTCTTCTTGAGAGATTACCAAGATTTATTATCAGTGCCATTACAAACGTTGTATCCCAATACCAATCCAATGAGCAGATCCTCGAAAAAGAAATTGAGAAAAGGAACCAGAACTACTCCGAAATGTTAGCCAATTTGACCAAGGTTATGGAGGATAAGATTGAAAAGATGCATTACAGCACTAATTAGAGAAGGCAGTCCAGAATGTAAAGTCAATACATGTTTATTAGGATTTCGTAAGCTCTCTTGTTAGTGCGGTGGAGGCGCCGCATTGTCATATCTAAACAGTTATCCTTCTTCTTACTCCAGCTTAGGCCTTTTGGAAAAGTTGTTTCGAGTAATGAGTATCAACAAATGTGCCTTCGGGTAACAAGATCGTAAGTGCTCGTGGTATTAATTCAACCTGATAGGTTTGGAATGGGAAACTCTCACCATCCACTGAAAGGTAGTGATTTTCAGGGTCCTTAGATTTCGGAACAAGTCTGTACGACGAGATCTTTTGGTGGTGTATTTTGTCTTGGAGAGCATGTTTACCCTCCTTTGTGTTTGTAAGCACTGCTAAGTGTTCTAGGATAGTAGAACCCGTGTCTACCAATATCATATCCATCGCTTTGTCATCAGGTAGGGCAGCAGGAAAGAACTGGACCTCATGGGACACATAAGGCAATTTACTTACGTAGGCGAGGGTCAAGTTATCGGTTTGGCTTGCAGGAAGCTTGATCCAGTCACTGGATGGGATTTCTGAGAGCTTTGGTCCATTCAATACGAAATCGTCCTTTGAAAGCAGGGGCAAGTGGTCCTTTGGGTTCTGAGCATGGTATTCATAATGTTTCGTGATTTGGTTTTTCGTTTCGGTGACAGGTTTCACGTACAAATCACAAGGATATGTAGCCCTGCTAAAGATTTTTTGGATACAACCCAACTCGAACCGGATGGGACCAAGCCACCTGAGGTTTTCAGTACCGATATCAGCATCTGCCACAGCTCCCAAACACTGGGTTAAGAAAGATAACTTAGTCACCTCAGACCCGTCAATGAGCTGGGTCACTGCCATCAAGTCAAGCTTCTTTCTTTTGGACTTCAACATCTCGAATGTGCACAAACTGGCATCAGCAGAGCCGTAAGAACTCAATGCCATGGCATTACCAGAGCCACAAGGCAATTGAGTCACTGCCACCTTATTGAACGCGGTCACACCCTTGTCTTCACGCTGGTAAAACCCATTGATGACCTCATGGGGTATCCCGTCACCAGAGCAGCACGCAACAATGTCGTATTTATCCACATCCAATTCTCTGGCAATCTCCACTGCATGGGCACTGTACTCAGTCTCTTTGAAGGTGAACTGGAGGTTAGCTGCCTGAAAAATAGGCAAGATTTTCTTCTGATAAATGTGGAGAGCCTCGCCCTTTCCTCCGTGTGGGTTGATGAGAAGCAACACCGAAGGCTTGGAGTTGTTCTCGGGGTAGGCCTTCTTTAGAATGAGGTTGGCGATGGGTTCGGCTGCTTCCAAGTCCACTTCTGGGAAGTGGACCACGATCTTGCGAACTTCCACTGTGGACTCCACTGGAACGACGTAGGTGATTTCTGCCTGGTGGACGTCGCTGGTGTTGGTTTCAAGACTGGAAGCGTGGAGAATATCGCGGTACGAAATGAACGACAATGTTTGCGTAGATGTGCCTGAGTTGAAGCAGTAGAAGCAGCCTGAGCTGTCGTCGTTGCGAGCGACAAGGTCATCGGAATTCTGGCCCGAGATACGTATCCCCTCTGGTTCTAGAGTCCCAGAAGGGCCCATGGGGGTATAGATTAAGCGTTCTCTTGACATGGAAGTCTGTGGAGCCAGCATAAATTCGGCAGGGGAGTACTTAGCAAGTACGGAAAACGATTGTATTCACTGGTAAACAGTCAGGAGGAGCACTTGGCTGGAGGGGGCCCGATTAGCAGAGCGTGTTTGGAATCTGAAAAATGGAGATTCTCAGCTGAGGGGATGGGATCGATTTGAACAAGGTGGGAAAATCGAAAGATGCTCTAAGATTACAAACCAAACAGTAAGAAAAGCACAAATGACACGGCCTTCAGGGAACAGATAGTGCACAAGATTCATCATCAAAAGATACACTGGCCAAACTGCACACTAGTCAATTTAGGTACGCTCGGCAATTGGAGCACACAAAGCCCCCTAGCTAAACCCGGCGAGCGCGATTGTAGTGGAGAAGATGCTCGTAACGGTAGTGTGATATTCTGGTTACTGCATTGGAAGCGTTTCCCGAACCGCTTTCCTGACGTATTACCCAGTATGGATAAAATTAAAACCGGCCACGAATACCCGACATTGATATTTAAATGTCCGTGCCAAATTACCACTATGGAGTGGTACGGCTAGAACCTCTACAGACGCAATTACTCTGAATGTGCATTACACTATTTAGCTTTCTAATCATCTTCTTGCAAATCCTCCTCGCTCAAGGTGAAAGGCTCTGGCACCGGAGCTTCAGTGGCGTTGAGCTGTCTCACGGTTCTGATGGTCTCAGCCTTTTCTTCGGGCTTGGTGTCTTCCAATACCACAACCCCACCAGTACCCCTGAACTTTCTTACTGGCACGTATCTGTCGTCCTTTGAAAACGCGATGTAATTCGATTGAGCAGGTAACACTCTTGTCATGTTTCCAATCTTGTAGGGGGTCTTGGTGTAACGGATCACGGCTGGCTCGTTCTTATTTTCCTTAGATTCCTCCTTAACTGAAACTTCCTTCTCCTTCTCCTTCTCCTTTTCGGCCTCTTTGGCAGGTTCAGGCTTTTCCTCGTCTATGTCCATCTTGTCCTTCTTATTTTGCTTTTGTTTAGCTCTGGACTTCGCCTTCTTGGTGGTGGACAACACTGCGGTAGCCAACTTGTCTGGCTGTTTTTCCTTGGCTTCTTCGACCTTTGGTGGGTATTGGAACAATTCAGGTTTGGCATGGCAGTTAAGCTCGAATTGTGGTGCCTTCAAGTCACTTCTAACACCAATGATTGAGGTTGGGGTGAATGATAAAGACAAGAAGTGTGCCAAGGGGAACCAGTACCACGATTGGGCAAACACGGTCAAACCAACAATTGCCTTAATGTTCAAGGTATTGGTTTGCGCATGTTCTAAGTTGATAGAAACATTTCTACCACCAGCATCAATGATACCTTGTGCTAAGGTTGCACCAAACTTGGCTAAAGCATCTTCATGCTTGTTTTTGATGGTGTCGGCGTATTGCTTGGTGAATTCTTGGACCTTTGGATAAGCAGTCTCATTCTGTTGGATCAAAATCATAGCACTGGCCATCAAAGCCCCTTGTCTCACAAAGTCTACTGGATCCTTAGTCAAAGGTTCCAAGACCTCAATTGCCGCTGGTAAGCTTCTACCAGCACAAGAAATACCCAAGGCCATGGCGGTACCATAACGGACATGTGGATTGTGAGATTGTGACAAGAGCTGGACTATTTGTGGAGCAGCAGTGTATGAACGGATGAGTAAGAAACCCAAGGACAACACAGAAGCTCTTCTGACGTCATCGGATGGGTCAGATACGGCGTAGTGTAATAATTTCTTGATCGCACCATTGTTTCCAGTTCCAGCATATGCTAAAGCAATGGTGAAAGCACCACCGTATCTTAAAATTGGATTCTCTTGTTTCATTAATTTCTCAATCACGTAATCAGCCTTTTCTTCACGTCCGTAATTCAACAAAGCAATACCGATAGCCAAACCACGGATGATGTTTTCGTGTTGAGTCTCTTGGGCGTATGTGAACATGTCATTAATGGCACTTTCGTTACCAGATCCCAACATCACTAGACCCATAGCCAAACCAGCCGCTTGACCAGAGACCGCAGAGTCGGAATATAAAACAACCTTCAATGCTTCAAAGAGACTCTCACTACCAGATGCCATTCCAGCAACACCAGCACCGAGAGCAGCACCATGCAAAATGATTTCGGTTTCGCTACTTCCGGCAGAGTTACCATGCTCATCAATGAACAGCTTCAAGTACTCAATAATTTCTCTACCATGACCGGCATAGATCAAACCAAGAGCGAATAAGGAACCACCCTTCGAATGAGCAGCCCCAGAAGATCCTGGCAAATAAGGCTTCAAGATGTTACGACCCTGCGATAAGTTACCCTTGTGTATAACACCCAATGCAGCAGTTGCTGAGAATTTGGACCAGTTTGTAGCTCTACCTAACCATTCCAAGTTCTTACGGAAGAAAGAATCATCAGTAGTTCCTGCGTGCATGAAAGCGTTAGCAAAAGTCACAGCAGAATGGAAAACTGATGATCTGCTTTCTAACAAGTTCTTGGTCTTGTTCAAAATGGTGATATCAGTGTTGTTGTTCTTGTATAAGAAAGTGATATCCAAATCACAAGTAGGAACGCCTGACAAGATGCTCAACAATCTTTTTGTAACAGGCTCAGACACATCGATTGAGCTATCGCTTGTCAATTCACTGATAGTAGTATCTAACAACTCTTGAGAAGCAGTGCTCACCAAATCAAAAGCACCTTGATAAGCAATCAATTCTTCGTTCTTTTTGATTAATTCCTTGAAAATGGTGCTTCCCAACTTGGAGTCGTTCAACTGCACAACGATCTTGAAAATGGTGAAGAAATCTTGGGACTTGGACAACGACAAGAGCAAGGAAACCAAAGAGTTCAAGACTTCAGATCTGAATGTAGTGTTGCTTATGACAGTATTGGTGCACACCAAAACATAGTTTATCAAATTTAATGCGTTTTCTTCGTTAACTTTGATCTGTTGTTCCAATACGTGCTTGACAATGTCCAATCTGTAACTTTCCAAAGAAATTCCGATGGCCAACTTCAATTCATTGGTTTTGATACATTTTTCCAACATTCTCTCAAAGATTCCAGATAAACGAGGATCGATTTCTACCGAGGAATCAACATACTTCTTTTGTGACAATGAGCTGTAGAGATTGATGCATTGGGATACAATGGTCTCGATATACTGCGATTGCTCCTCAATGTTGAACTCGTCACCTGCGAAGAGTGAGTATCTGACGGAGGCATCGAAATCACCCAAGTTGTAGTAGACCTTGGAAATGATAAGAGCAGCCAAAGCTCTCTTTTCGAAGGACTGATCCTCGTAAAGCTCTTCCAAGTCGGTGATGTTATTGGCGATTTCTGCCCACAATTGATCGACCACGTCGTTCAAGGAGTTCAAAGCATACGCCTTCAAGCTCGAGTCTTGCTCACTCAAGAGAGCCAAATATGGAGCTGCCGAAACCAATGCCATGATTGAATGTCGCCTAGTTCCGGGGATATTGTGTGTAGATCGACTCGATATTCCTGATTCCGGGCGTACGAGTATGTAAGGATGGTTGGGAGTAGTCTATGCTCTAGGTGGTATTGGTGGTGTAATGAGTGTGAGTTGCCACCATATAACTCAACGAGGTGGGACTGTGTGCAGGGCGCGAACTTTAGCAGTTACCCGGCGCGTGCCCGGCGCCACTGGCTAACCTACAAGTGTGCGACTCTGGAGAATAGCAGGTTGGTTACTACGTGGAAACTATCAATTGAAGGTTCATTAAATTAGATTAGATTATATAGTAACATACAAGAAGTGCGCGTCAGTAACACGCTTAGTATAACAAACGGGTGGCAATTTTGTATGGGGTTTGCTCCAATTGTTCATACAAGGACTTGATATCGGTAATATCCACATCGGAAATGTCCGCCATCAAGTAGGCAACATCACCTCTAGAGTTGGTGTACTGCTTTTCGATATTGTGGTTGGACAAGATGTTGTTGACGGTCTTCAACACACCAGGAACGTTTTGATGGATGTACAACACTCTGACAACGTTTTGCTGGTCCAAGTCCAATCCTCTTAAAGCAACCTCGGGGAAATTCACAGCACCGGTGGAAGAACCTTCGTTGATGTATTTGGTCAAAGCGGTACCAACCTCGATACCAATGGCAGATTGGGCTTCCTCGGTGGAACCACCGATGTGGGGAGTCAAAATGACGTTTCTCAACGAGCACAAGTCGGAGGCCCAGCTGTTCAACTCGTTGGAGAACAAGTTTTCACCGTTCTTGGCTGGTTCGTGTGGATACACGTCCAAGGCAGCACCGGCGATTTTACCAGCCTTCATGGCCTGGACCAAGGCAGGAATGTCAACGACAGTACCTCTGGAAGCGTTGATGACAAAAGAACCGTCCTTCATGGCAGCAAATTGAGGAGCACTCAACAAGTTCTTGGTGTCATCAAGCTCAGGGACGTGACAGGAGACAAAGTCGGCTCTTGACAAAAGTTCATCCAAGGTGTCCACTTGCTTGGAGTTACCCAAAGACATGATCATTTGCACATCGTAGTAGATGACGTTCATACCCATGGATTCGGCCAACACCGATAATTGGGAACCAATATGACCGTAACCAATGATACCCAAGGTCTTGCCTCTGATTTCCCAACACTTGGCACTGACCTTGTTCCAGGTACCAGTGTGCATTTCAAGGGAACGGTCACCCAATTGTCTAGCCAAGGAGATAATTTCAGCAATCACCAATTCGGCCACCGATCTAGAGTTGGAAAATGGCGAGTTGAACACAGCGATACCGGCCTTAGCAGCAGCTTCCAAGTCAACTTGGTTGGTACCGATACAGAAACAGCCGATGACGACCAAGTTTCTTGCGTGTTCCAACACCTTTTGCGTCAATTTAGTCTTGGATCTGATACCGATGGCGTGGACATCCTTAATCTTCTCGATCAATTCATCTTCGGGCAAAGAGGATTTGTAAAATTCCACTTGATAACCCTGGTTGTGGAAAATGTTGATAGCAGTTTGGTTGACGTTTTCCAACAAAAGAATCTTGATGTCACCAGTGGAAAATGGCTTAAGGGTTTTGGTGTTCTTTTGTGAGCTTGGAACATATTGACTCAAGTATGAGTGAGTGGGGGAGGTGGAGACAGCATTGGATGAATCGGAAAGATTCAACGCTTGTTGAAATGTGTTTGCTATTTGTTGTGGAGAGGACATGGTGAATTGTTGATATGGTCAACGATTTCAGGTGCAACAATGGTGTACTTTTATAACGTTATAGTGGAAAAATTTTAATGAGTAATAGTCACCTGGCAAGCTAGTGGGCACGATATCCGGGATGCTTAACTATTGATGTCACGTGCACTCTGCAAATTTGTTCGCAGTCTCCGTCGCTAATTCCGGGGTTTGGAATGAATTGGCGTAATTTAGGCTTGGAAAATTTTTCCTCGTGGCAGACTCATAGGGGTATGGCCACGTCATACCTAGATGCTAATCATATCCAGATTATGGCCTGGGGTTTAGGTGGGAGTCCCAATACTCGTTTACGGTTCTTCACGGCTGATTAGCTGCAAAATACGTCTGGGGTACCTGAGATAAGTAAAGATAACTAAAACTGACTCTGCCGGTGACTCGTCCAGAGTGAGATCAAAATGTCCACAGGGAGGGGCGCGGCCGATCAAACTCCGGCAGCTCGAGGTTGACTACGGCTACTCACATCGCACAAAATTGGGATATATTTGACTCGGACACGATGAGAGCGAAACAAGAAAAGTTCATGAGTGGGCAAAAGTAAAGGAAAGATCAATATCAAAAAGCAAAAAATACATGCTCCACGGCAGGTTCGAACTGTCGACCTTCAGATGACACAACTAATGCTATGAGACTGACGCTCTGCCAACTGAGCTAGTGAAGCATGGTAAAGAAGTGCTCCACGGCAGGTTCGAACTGTCGACCTTCAGATTTCACAACTAATGCTATGAGACTGACGCTCTGCCAACTGAGCTAGTGAAGCAACTTCATGTTGGACGAAATGTGCTCATTCACCAACCTGAGTATACTATAGTCGAATTATTGGACTGCGCACGCCATTTATGCGTACGTATTTCACATCCCCGATGTGATTTTTGGTTTTTTGCAACAGGTCGGGGTTTCGTATTTACCATTCTATGAAGAGTAGGACTTTCCGTGACATGAAGTCCTTTTTAGCTAGGTAGAAAACCACCTAATACAGTCCCTTCAGTTATAAAAAAGCAGAATGCTTTGCTCATAAATAACCATTAGAGTGGTAAATCACCGGTAAAAAAGGAAGAATACACTACTGTTTTATTAAAGTACTATGAATAAATCATTTAATTAGCGATATAGATGCAAAATGACTAATAAATGGTATTTTTAAAGGTTCGAGCAATAGCTGCAAGATATCAAACTATCCAACTCCCAACTTAATCCACATTAGTTTATGGTACATACTTATTTTTAACCATCTTCAATGTGAAAATGAATGGACAGAATGCACTGTGTGTTCGGAATCATTCTTTAAATTTTTCGATTTACATTGTTTTAAAGTTGAAATATTCACAAAATTTTCAAGTATTCTAGGTAAATTTAAAGAATTGACACAAGTGCTAAACACGGGTTTTGAGTTCGACAGATTATAATATACTTCCCATTCGCAAAAAACTAAACTATTTTGTCGGGCCTTAATATCATAGGAAGTATATTAATTCATACTTTAATCTACGGTGTATCTCATTAGAGTTAAAAACCTGTATTGCAACCTATTGGTCACTAGTCTAAATGAAAAAAATGAACTAAATATCAGAAAGGTTTATATATGGAGTATAAACTTGGAGAATTGAATGCTATTTTGGATATCAAAAACAGATGTAACAGTCTCTGGCTAAAAACCACCTGTCATATCTCTTATTTTATCCACTTCTTCCTGTAATGCTTTTAAATCGTCCAAAATATTAGCAGTGCTGTCGTTCGATTGATTCCCGCCAGAATAAATGTTGTTTGGTGCCGTGTCACCATTGCTGTAGGGATTGTTTGAAGAAGGTTGGTAATACAGTTGCTGTCCGATAACCACCTTAGGAGGTAATGCTGGAGCATTGCCTTGTGCAGGTAGGTTGCCCAGGGCAGATACTGATGTATTTCTTCTTCTTGATGGAGGAGGTGGAGGTGGTATTTTTCCGACATTGTTTGGAACCGGGCTTCCAGAATGACTTTGCGAAGTGTTCATGTAGTTATTGGATAATGGTGATCTTGGAGGAATCATCGGAGGCTGGCCTGGTACAGCTAAAGTGGATGAGTTGTTTTGTAGGTTCTCTGCACTGTTGTATTGATTGGACAATGGTGAAGAGTGCCTTGGAGTAGGAGAGGACACCGATCTGGTTCTTCTGGTATTTGGGACGGGAGGAGGGGGTAATGGTCTATTGGATAAAGACGATGAATGATGTCTGACAGGCGAGCCATCCGAACTAACTCTGGAGTTTTGAACCGTATTGGCAAATGTATTTCCTGTCATTTGACTAGTAAATGATTGCAACGAAACCTTTGCAGCATCTTGATGCAGCTGTTGCTGTGGCTGAACTTCAGACGGTGCGGATGGAGAGAATATTCTCGCCATGTCCAAAGGGCCAGTGGCATTTGGTCTTAAAGGAGCGACATCATCACGAAGTGAGGGATCAGAATTGTAGTACTTTTGCATCTGTGCAGGGCCAGTCATGTTAGGTTTTAATAATTCTGGCTCCGGTGATGGACTAAACATTTCTGCCATTTGTGCTGGACCAGTCATGTTTGGTCTTAAAAATTCATAGTTATCATGTACCTCAAGATTGGCTGGTACGCCTCCGATTGAAGCAGTATCAACCGCATGCAAATTTCTGAAGTGGTTCATTTGTGGTTCCATTTCTTCAAGCACTTTCCTCTCTTCTTCATCTGGTTTAAACTGTTGTTGGGTGGGTTGTTGCTTGATCTTATTCAAAAGTTGATCCATCGGTAATGAGTAGTCCAACTTTGAATCTGGCATTGGCGAGCCTACCGGACTGTTGATAAACGAACTATCATGTATGTCAGTGACAATCTGATCAGAAAACTTCACGGATTTCAACTTCTTGGACCTTTTCTTTTTGGGTACGTCGTCTGGCCGTTCACCTGTCAACATGAACTGGGTAAAAGTATCCAAATCCAAGGGCTTGTTGGTATGGTTTTGACTGGGTGGTGGTATATTTTCCACGATGCCAGTATCATCGAAATCGGCCTCTGGTTCATTGTCCTCGTCGTTCTGTCTTTTCTTCGAAAGAATTGAAGGAGGCGTGGGTACCAGGGCCTTGACTTTGATCAACTTTCTCATTGGATCCGAGCCGTTGAGGGTATGGCTGATTAACCGCAAGAGGGCAAAGAACTCACCTATGTTGATGGAACGGAGGAGTTTCTGAAAGATTCGCTGGATCTTCTCCTTCGCTGTCGTAGGAATCTTGAAGTTGTTAAGGAATGTGAACACATCGTGCATGGTCACGGTACGACTGTTGGTTCTGGCTAGTATATCGCTGTACCACCTCATGTATGTTTTGGATTCCTGGAGCGTGAGCTCCTGGGCTGTGAGCGAAAGAGGGATGCTGTAGTCATCCTCGGTATTGGATTGGTCTTGGAAGAGACTGTCCATGCTGCTGCTTTGGCCAAATGTCTCGTTGTTCTGGCGGGCGTTGGCACGTAGTTGATCGGCAGAGTTGTTGCGGAAGTAGTAGTTGTGAGGCTGGTGGGTCCCAGCTTCGGTGCGCTGCACGGTTATCTCAGGAGGTTGGTTGAATCCCGGGTTGTGGCCACTGGATCCAGGACCGTTGGCAACCCCCGAGCCAGACCCATTCTGGCCTGTGCTGCCGAGCCCAAACGAAACTGGTGGAATTGGCGAGCTTGCACCACTTGCAGGCTGGCCAAATGCCTGTGCCCTGAAGTTGTGTCCATCTCCATTGTCGGATCTATTGCTCGGTATATTCAACCAATCGTATCCAGGAGCGTCCATTTTGGTGTGCTGGTATTGAGTCTGCCCACTGCTATCTATGTGGTCTATGTGGGGGAGATTTGTCGTGGTGGATGTGGTTTGGTTGATTGGAGATCTGCCGGTGTATTGCCGGTCGTTAATGTCTGTTTGAGGCTCTAACGTTCGTTTTTGTCGGATCAATCCATATGGCGCGTTACTAGTAGATGCAACCGCACGACACTAGCAACGCTTGCGATCGAGTTGCATCACCACCAGACGCTAGCCACGATGAAGTTCAGCCTCCAGCGCAAGCCTGGACTATCCAAGCCCAAGGAGCTGAAGCCCAAGCGTCCTCTCCAGTCGGACTCCGATTCTGACAGCGATGATCAGGAGTCTAAGTTCAAGCAAATGATGCACAAGAAAGCACAGAAAGTGGTGCTCCAGGCGTCGAAGGAAGCAGAAGCACTGCAGGAGGACTACGAGCTGGTGTTGGCGAAGCCTGCACCTGCAAGGGCTTCCTCTGGCCCAAAATACATGGATAAATTGTTGGAGTCTAACAAGAGACGGAAGGAGGAGCAACAGGGCTACAGGACGGCGGCGGCCGAGAAACAGGCCCAGAGAGTGAGGCAGAACAACGGCTTGGTGTTTGAAAGCGAGGCTTATTCTAAGCTCAAGGCTCAGTCCAGTGTGGACGAACAGGAGGATGCGGTTGGACCTGGAAGTATCCGTTCTAATATGCTAGGCTTCCACTGCGGAATGGCAAACACTAAGTACCTGAAATATGGGCAAACGGGTGCTTCCGCTGCCGGGAAGCCTCCAAGGTCGGAGTCGAAACGGAATGCCCCATTAAAACCCCCTTCTACGGCCAATAACGTTGCCTCTCATTCAAAAGAACTACCTGCACATTTGAGCGACCTTGTGAGGTCCAGAGTTACCGAGAGGGACTTGGAGCTATGCAAACAGCGATACTGGAAACGAATGGAGGATACTCCATCTTTGGCACCAACAACAGGGAGAAAGCCGTATTGTGCTACGTGGAAGATTATTCACTGAGATACTACAAACAATATTGAAACCCCTTACCGCAATACGTGATATTAACTGAAAGCAAGGGCTACATTCCTGATTTTGAAATCCCTTAGTACAATATATGGAACATCCCGAGACACTGCGTCTCTAATTGAGAAATCCTACGTCAATATGTGGACATTATTCACTGCATAGGACCGCCTTCTAATTCTGAATCCCTACTGCAATGAGGATCATTCCCTGAAAAAATAGGTCCGGAAAGAATCCCTTGGAATCCCTACTACAGATAATCGGCATATTATTATATTAAGCAGTTATTAAAACAATCGTATCAAGCGATGGTAGGTTATCATTAGCGGCGTCATCATAGACGTTCTGAAAAGTAAAGAAAACTCAATAGAAGCCCATTGAAGTTATTGAAGATAAAGGAAAATTCTTGTCGTTTGGAATAATTGGTTAACCGGTGATCAGGGCCCTAAACTCCTCTCAAAAGGCTTACTTTAAGGCTTCTTGCAATGCAACGGTATCAGCAACTTGTCTGGAGTTATGGATTCCAGTTGGTGCAGGGGAGAGTTGGGTTGCAGCCCAGTCTTCATCTTCCTCATAGTTGACCAACTTATCCTTGGGCGAGTTTTCAGTAACACCTGACGAGATCTTTTCGACTTCCTGAGCCGAAGGCATGAAGATAACTCTGGTTCCAGGGCTCTTGGCCATGTTCTGAATGGCATCCAAGTAACGGATTTGCATGGCAGGCTTGGAGGCCAAAATGTCGGCGGCCTTTCTCATCAACTTGGCACTTTCAACTTCAGCCTTGGCGTTGATAATCTTACCCTCACCAATTCTCTTAGCTTCGGCAGCCATGGAAAGCGAGCTTTGAACCTTTTCGGGCAAGGTCAAGTCCTTGATCAAGATGGACTCGATGTTGACACCCCAGTCGAATGCGGTCTTGGCGATTATGCCTTCAATGCTTTCGGCGATTTCGTCACGCTTTTCGACGACATCCTGCAAGATTCTTCCACCAATTACATCACGCAAGGTGGTCTGAGTTCTTTCGGTGATGGCCTCGTGGATGTTGGAGATGGAGTAGATGGCTTTTTGGGGGTCGATAATGTTATAGTAGACCACCGAAGTGATGATCACACTGACATTGTCACGAGTGAAACACTTCTGGGCTGGAATCTCCTTGATGTTGATCTTGATGCTGACCTTGGTCAATTTCTCACTCCAGGTGTTGACATAGGACAACCCTGGTTCCACGGTTCTGGATAACGCACCAAAGGTCTGGACCAACCCGACCTCACCCTGGTCGACCTGCTTGTAGGGGTTGGAGCAGAGACAACAGAAGACACCGCAGCTGCCGAACAACGACCCCAAGCCGCTGATGAAGTTCTGGTAGGTGTTGGGGGGTGGGGTGTCGTAGCTTTTGGCAAAGTTTTTCAACACCATGTCAGGCTTGATGCCTGGTTCTTTGTTTGTGAAGGAGACGCTAGAATTATCCATGTTATGAGTAGTAGTCAATTGTGTGTGTGGTTTGTATTTGGACGGGGCAACTCGTCACTTAAATAGGGCTGGCACCCGTTGTGAGCGTGAAGATAAATGCGACCATATCTAGAAAATACATGATAATTAGCCATACAACGCTGGCTGCGAGAATGACGTCGGTGATTCGTTTTTAGGGAGGCTGAGACATTGACCGATAACGATCCGACCATTGGAAGTACTCCAGCCAATCGGGTTCTACCAGAGGCCCACGGTGACCACGCTAATGTGGGGAGGAGGAGGCGAGGCTAGCACCCATTGCGAGCCCTTCCACGCCCGTGACCATAAGCCGAGAGTAAGCTAGTGATGGTGGTCCCATGGTGGGGTTGATTATGTCGCGTTGCGCCTGGGAGATTGAGCAGGTCACCCAGGAGGGAAAGATTAGCGGCGTGGGTGGTTATGGAGAAGTCAGCAAAGTGAGGCTGGCGCGGGCTGCGAACGCTCGGTGGGGAGGGTTTGGTGGTGGGAGGTCTAGCAACGGTGCGGTGCGGATTTAGTGCGGTAGTGCGGTGCGGGAGATTTACTGGCGGTTTACGAGTCACGGGCTCGCTGGCCAACGCAGCCAAGACCAAAGTGGTGGCAAGTGACGGTCTTGGCCATAACGTGGGCAATCTCGGGGGCAGTCTCGGGGGCAGTCTCGTGGGCCGTTGGAGGCGTTGGGGGTGCCAGGCCTCCGTGGGCCTCCGTGGGGTCCCGTGGTAGCACCATGCTTGATGACGGTAGAACGGATGTTGCACGCGGCGTGCGCTGATGCGGCGAGACACCACGCACAGGCACGCCCAAGGCTGAGTATCACAATCTGACGAGGAGTGGCCCCGTGACCAGGACAGACAAAATCCGCCAAAGTCCGCCGAGCCGAGCCGAATCTGGTGGTAGATAACCATCACCAACCGGTCCGAGCGGGTCACCCGAACCCACCGTGGTGTAGGCCTGATAAGCATACGAGGCGCTCGTAAACCTGATCATTAATTGTGAGAAATTCACATGGTGCGTTGTGCTGTTGCTCGATGATGCAAACAAACTCAACCAAACGGGAATCTGACGAGAGATGGACGAAGCGGTGAAAAATGTCGCCAGAAAAGGGCATTGCCAACAAATAGCCACAGGGCATTGCCAACAAATAGCCACAGGGCATTGCCTACACCAACGAAACAGCACTACCATGGCACACTACCAGCCTACACAGTTGAACCAAAACCTATATTCGTAACTCATTATATACTACAGGCAGAACCCGCAATAAGACCCGGAGGCCGCGATGTCACAATAGCATATGTCAGTTCTTGTTCAAAATATGGTCAGCCCAGGTGGGCAACACAAAGGCCGCTTCGTGGATTCTCTTGTTGTAGTACTTCAAGTTCTTGGCCACAAAGTCGTCGGACCAGTCAAATCTGGCCGCCTTGGTCACCACAGCTTCAGGGTCCTTGGAGCACACCATGAATCCAATGGATCCAGATGGATACGTAGGAATCATGGTGTATCCGTATTCGGCAACAGGGAAGATCTGCTTGCAGTCCTGCTTCAACTTGGAGATGATAGGCATGTGCAACCAGATGCTTTCGGCCTGGGTGGAGATCACCCCCTTCTCAGTCAAGGCCCCCTTCAACAACTCGAAGTATGGCTTCTGGAAGAGCGACTCGGCAGGACCCTCAGGGTCCGAGGAGTCGGTGATGATCACGTCGAACTGGTTGACGTACTCTGCCAAGAACTTGAACCCGTCTCCAATGTGGATCTTGGTTCTGGGGTCGTTGTAGGACTTGGACATCTCTGGCAAGTACTTCTTGGACACCTCGATCACCGCTTCGTCAATGTCACACAACCAAGCCTCCTCAATGGACTCGTGCTTCAAGATCTCTCTCAACACTCCTCCGTCACCACCTCCGATCACCAACGCCTTCTTGGGGTTGGGGTGCGAGTTCAACGCCAAGTGGGCGATCATCTCCTGGTAGGAGAACTCGTCTCTCTCGGTCACTTGGATACAGTTGTCCAAAACCAACACGTTGCCGTAGTCAGTGGACTTGAACACCAAAACGTCCTGGTACTTGGACCTTTCGGCGTGCAAGACCTTTTCGACCTTGAGAGACATAGCTTGACCTGGCCACATGGTGTCAGACACCTCAGCAAACCAGCCATCTTTAATTGAAGGATGAGTTAATTCAGACATTTTTCAATAGGGTCTACATTGCTGTGGGGTTGTTGGCCTTATAAACCAAATTTTTTTCATTTTGGCGTAGGCTCGCAATCTGCCTGATCGGGAAAACGAGTCCGATTGCAAAAAACGTTTATTATTATCAGAACTGAAGTAGAGTACAGGACTAATACAGGCCTGTGTATTAATCGTGGCACCGACATGACACCATAGGCTCCCATAAGCTCTACGCCGCTAACATAGGCCTAGTCAATTGGGAACCCTACCGGCGACACTTCAGAGGCGGGTATGTAGTTGGTTTATCATTGGCATTCTAAACCAATAAAAAATAGTTATTTTGTTAGGGTCAAAATTTTCAACTCTTGGCCCCTTTTTCAAAAATTGAATTCGGAGTCATTGTCTTGTTTCTCCTTGTGGTATATGGGATAGGGCGGCACGTGCTTCTTCTCGCTCTTCACATCTACGTCAACGAAGTTCCATCCGTCTTCAAAAGAGTTCGAATTGGAGTTGGAATTGGATTGTGAGATCCGTTCGGTTTTCTCGTATTCCTCCTCCTCGTAGTCATAGCGTTCGTCCTCCTCCTCATCTTCTTCTTCCGATGGGTAGTACGTTTGTTCGGCAGTAATGATCGATCTGACCTTTTGAGGAAGTATATCGGGTCTGTAGAATCTCAAATCGATACGTCCAACGATGTACAAAATGTTGATAATTGCCTCAAGTGCTCCCCAAATGATGTACATCGCCACGTAATTACAAATTCCCGAGGAGTATTTTTGTTGACGGTTTTGGAAGATTGAGATGGATCTTCCAAGAGCACCAATGAAGATGAACAATGTACTCACCACCAAAATCATGATTGACTTGTTATGCTTCAAGTCACCTCTTTGGTTGGTCAAACCCTCAACCATGTTGAAATTGTGATGGGTGGCAGCAATGACTCTCACTGCGTGTCTGTGATTGTGGTTTCTCTTCATAAATGTTTCTTCAGCTTCAGCTGCAGCCCCGGGCTTGACAAAGTAAAATGGACGGAAGCTATCAATCCACCAGGGTTGATAAGTATACAACCTTTCATCCTTCTTGGTTGGTGCCCAGTATGATAAACCGATCAACGAGATGGATGTGAGCGAATACAAAATAACCAAGATTGATGTAGCCATGTTGACTTTCTTCCACGATTCATATGCTTGACTACTCAAGTAGTGGAGGTAAGGCACAAACGCAGCCGTAACCGTGATTGCAAGGACCACGAGCACAAAGAAGTAGGTACCAAACATAAAACTGTTGAAAAGCATTCTGGTACCACCGACAGGATGTCTCCAGGTGAATAAACGTTGGGCAAGAATTAAATTCAACGACACAATAATAATGGATGGAACAATCGACAAGATTTCACTGGTCAAGCCCACGCCGATTCTAGTGACGTCTTCCGCCCAAACGGCTCTCAAGGCAAACCCCACAATTCTCATCATCGAGTAGATGACCAACCCTATTGAAATGTAAAAGTAGTGGCCCCGGCTGAAGTTGATGAGGAATATGACGAGGTGACAGATGGCAATCACAAAGAACACCACGCAAAACACGATACTTGGTGCAATGTCCGCTTTCTTAGCATAGTCACCGAATAAGTTTATCTGAAGGGTGATCAATTTATCTACTAGGACTTGGGGAATCAATGGTCCCATGGCATTGTGGGAAAAATCAATCAAGTTCTTGATACCAGTTCCATCTTCAGGATTATTATTGATGGCCCTTACTAGGTGTAAGAAACCAACGGTGGCAGTGTAGTCTTCGTCCGCCATGAGTGCTGTCGAGAAATGATGAAGAGAGTGGAACTGACTGCAAATATATCCCGATGGATCTAACGCATGGAATGCCCTCAGCCAAGTTTTATATCATCCCCGCTACCAAGAGTTGCCCAATTAAGGAATTAAGCATGGTGCGGCATGCAGATGACAGGAAGCACGCCCGTTGTTGATTCAAAAAGTCACACATTGTAGCATATAGGTGGACGTACCTGAGGCGCAGGTCGTGATGGGAACCAACAGGATCCCGTCTATCAGGTATGGTGCTACCATCGTTGTGAGACATATTCAACACCGGTTGTTGAGGAAGTGGTTTTTGCAGGACTATTTTTTGTCTCATACCCCACATTGCAAAAATACTGGATTAGGCAACAACAAGAGAAATTCTATGCTCAGGGACTTATCTTCACACGCATTGGAGGGCTTGAGTGCAGGAAGCATCTCTCTAAACTACGAACAACTCGTGTTGTCGGGTCGACAAAGTATACACTGAAGGATATATGTGGCCCAGTTGAAGATGGTGTACACCCTGGCATCTAGCAAGAGCTGTAGACTCAGCCATGTAGAGACTGTAGAGTTGAACACTAGCCATCTCAACTTTAGATCGCATCTGTATTCAGCCTCGCTCTCCACCACATGAAAGTTATCTGGCAGAGGAAAACTCAACCCTTGTATAGTCCGCTGTTACTCCAGTATCCCTATTGAGCAAATTGGGACACCAAGTACCAGTTTTGAGTTCCTGTAGTTTACGTTCTCCCAATTGTCAGTAGCCTATTCCTTATTTTGAGAATGAGGAGGGGCGTCCATACCATATGATAAGAGCAACAATAGATTGCTATAAAGGATCAAATTCTGGCAACTGGATGCTATTCATAGCTACTACACCGTCTCTCGGTAGGTATGGATAATGTTCTCGCTCAGGAATTCTTGTGCAATGAGTTGCGTCTCACGGAATTAACACCAAATCTCAATTTATTATTCGCATACAAGTACTAATATAGCCGCATACCAATTGCCAAATCTGTTGGGCTGCATCCTTTTGACTATTGGCCGAATACGGTATTTCTGGAATGGGATTTAAACTTCTACAACTCTGTAAGGCCCGCTGGGCACGACTTCCATCCAACTGTAGTCATTTTCTAGTTTCTATCAATTTTTGGTATAGACAAGGCTATCTACCTTCAAGGAAAACACATTCATCAGGCTCAATACATCAAGTATGAGGTACATATCACACTGGGGGCAGTAATAAAACCAAACCAACAGATAACATTACCCAAAATCTTTCTGTTGCGCAAAAGCTTAGTTCTGGCAAGCATAATCATAGGAACTTGGCTCATCTGCAAAAACAACAAGTAGCCCCTGAAGTTTCCAAAAATGACGTACATCACAAGCTCGTGAACAATTGAGGAAATCATGAATGTTACTACAGCTGCCAGCCCCCTGTGCAAATGAAGTGCACTGATTGAGGAATGGTAAACATGACGTAACAAGAATTTGTAAACTGGCACGTTCCAGATCCTGCTGAACTCGGACCAATCTGTACATGACCACCAAGGACCATAGAAATCACGATCCGAGAACCTGGTGAGTTCGGCAATGGAGTTCAAAATCACATCCCAAATCATGAAGAACGTCAAAAGATATTCGAGTAGAAAGGCAGGAATAATATCCAACGAAATCAAAACATACTTCAAGAACTTTTCAGAGCCCTGGAGGTTCCTAGCAGCATAACACTCATGAACCAAGGGATACATCCATTTCTGTGCCACAGTGATCATCAAAAACAATATTCCAAAAATACCACAAACCTTTTCAAACACATAAAACCATCTGATACGGGGAGTACGTGGAAAATTCAACGTGTAGACCACGGTTGGAAACATGGAAAACTCAAAAAAGTTGAAAAGGGTAATATTCTGTGGAAATTCAACCACCTTCTTAGGCTTATACTCAACACCTTCCTCAGAAATCGTAGTTGTATATGCCTGGGAGTCCAACTCAAACTTGCAAAATGCAATACTTTCTTTTAACAAGTGCAAGGTCTTCTCTTCGTCAAAACCTTCAGGAAGTTTGGCTTTTCCATTAGACAACCTGGTATGATAGGAAGTACTGTACAACAATTCTAGGTTAATTTTCCACAAGTATCCGTTGTAGAATCCATACGAGTGCATTTTCATAACGAAAACCAAGCTATGAAGCACCAAGAAAACCTTCGCAATCCAAGGGAAGTCCATCCAGTTTGTCGAAGCAAAGTATAGCCAAAAGACGAAAAATGCTCCACAATACACAGACTGGACAATCCAACCCGTGGAATGCCAAGTGAACCAACCTAATTTGATAACCTTTTGAAGGAGGTAAACGAAATATGTTGAGAGGTACATGGCCAAGTCGGTGAAGGCAACCTTAACGATATCCTTGCGTAGAATCTGCACAATAGGCCATTCCCAGATGACCTTGGATTGCTTATTCTCAAGGTAATAATGGACAAGACTGCTGAAGATGAAGAAACCAATTCCAAGCCAGAAGAGCACGTAGACGCCGTAGACATCGGATTCCTTGAATTGAACGGTATCGAAGATGGTGCTGGAAACGGCATAGAACTTGATGTCTCCGAAGCGGGACACGAACTTGTCTTTGGCGGACTTATGGTTGTTGTCTGGGGCTTCATCCACGGCTACGTCCTTCTTGGGTTTGCGCTTCCTTAGTCTGTAGGAGGCGGCCCTGTTCAAATCGTGGAAGGCACGAGTTATCTGGGATTGGCTGGTGGACTCCAACACGATGGCTGCGTGCTTGTCATCCAAGTGCAGAGTGTCGGAGTCCGAGATGGACGCTGAGCTTGTGGAGTCGTCGAACTCGTCGCTGATGATAAGAGACCGTCTCTTGCCATCGTTGCGGTCTTGGAGGATGTTGAGTTTGTCCTCGGTGTTGGTTCGCCTGGGCATGATAGAAGATCCAGACGAAGATGGGCTATTGAACGGAGTGCTACCAGGCAATTGACTTCACAGACACCAGTGGGACACTCGGTGGTTGGAATTTCCGATGAGATGGTTATGGCCCTTCTCGCAATCGCACCCCGGGAAGACTCGCGTACTTATAGTTGCTAGTGCGATCGGTTCTGGCGGGAATAAGGGGCTCAATTGCTTCGGCCACCAGCTTATACATGGAAGAAGCTGCCAACGGGTGCAACGGTGACGCAATGGTTTGGTCCAATGTCGGGGAGGATCCGCAATTACCGTGGTAGGATGGCCTTCGGAGTAGAGATGACTCGCACCAGGCACTTAGGCGTAGTGTAGACTAGGGCGATGACAAATGGGGTGAAACGAATGATGGCACGGGTGTGGTGGGATGTTCCGGCAGCCTGGAACTGGTGCCTATTGTTGTGGGGCAGCACCAGGCAGGGTTGCTCTGAATTGCAGCCGGTTTAGTGGCAACCCCCAGAACGGTGCGGCGACGTCGGGACGGCTGACGCTGGAGAATTCATCCGGTAAGGCACAGCGATGGAGTGATAGCGGGACGCTTCGGATAAGTTCAGGTTCCGGGAAGGTTCTGAAGAATTTAGGCAACATCATGCTACTCGGGTTGGTGGTCATAGTAACCAAGGTTGTACTCCGTATTAGTGGTTCTGGCTGAGTAAACGAGTCATCTAGTTGCGTCTAATACAGTCATTCTAGTGTTTGGTATTAGTCCACAGCATTTTTTTACCGTCTCTGCCTAGTTGTTCATTTAGTACCTAGCACGTCATCAGTTCCAGAGTACTAAGAGTCATAGTTTCTTCGCTCAGTAGTGATTTTTTAGAGAGAGTTTTGGTTATTTTGGAGTGGTATAGTCCAATACCAGGACCATCAGGGTAAGAGGAATGTTGAATATTTTATTTTGTCTCGATAACAGAACCGGCTCCGTCTTTAAATTATATAAGAAGGTTAGTTGATAACAGAGCTAGCTTTCAGGATTGCCAAAAACTATTCGTTGGTTTAAATTTGAAAGCTAGCTTTGCGTAGTACTAGCCGTATTGTTTTATAGTGGCCTAGTTCTTGCACTAGTCCTTGTAGTCGTCGGTAATCTAAGTACGGAGGTTCTGTCCTAGTTGCTAGTCGTCGTCTTATTTCCTAACATTAATAGTTCTCGTAGTCATCGTTCTTTGTCCATTCGTCCATTTACTAGAACTATTCGTCCAGGTTGTAGTTCTACCTTCTATGTACACTAACGGTAGATTCTCTCAAATGGACGAGTATCGTTGAAGCACGAGTTCCATACCGAGTTCACCACCTTTTCCGCTTCTTCCTTGTCCTTGCAATTGGGGTTGGCACTCACTGACAACACCGCTCTCCGACGGATACACAGCTGGAACTTGCTTCCGAAATTGCCCAAACCAGTTTTTTGAATTTCATTGAACATCCGGCACTCGCCACTCAACATGGACGCTCTGATCTCGGTACACGCGTGGTGCTTCAAGTCCTTGAGGTTGACGTCGAACTTGAGGTAGTCGTACGCGTGCACCAACTCGTGGGTCAAGATGTCCTCCAACTGCCACTTGCTGCGGATCCAGTTGGAGCAGAGCAAAATCCCCACTTCGGGATGGAAGCCCCCTCCTTTCATGTCGTCGCACACGTCGCAGATGATGTTGCTCTTGCTGATGGCTGAAGGGTCGTTGCTGAGCTTGCGGATGTGGTCCATCATGAAGTTCACTGACGGCGAGTACTGGAGCATCCAGTCCCGCCACTCGTCACACAGCACACACCGAGCAGGAGCTTGTTTGGCCTGGAAGTCGACTTCGAACTGGCGCTTTTCGGCCTCGTCTAGCCCAAGACCAGTGCGGTACTGCAACGATCTTCTCCACCACTCGAACCCGCTGAGCTTTTCGGGTGCCGACACCTCCACTTTGTCTGGATTGGTCATTGGTACACCAGATTAGATGTTGTTATGGTTTCGCCCGCTGGAATGCTTGGACGATGGTCTGTCTATGGTGCTAGTGAAGCAGTCGTGTCTATGATCTTGCTCGACAACGAAATGGCTGCTGGAGTGTCTGAGTCTGTCAGATCGATTTATTTGCAGAGATCGCACCAGAAATCTTTTCTCATCGAACACATCTACACACTTTCAGGTCCTACCAGTTGCTATGGTTAACATATGGGTGGCAGCTGCCGATAATCAAAGAGAGGTGGTGGAGAAGTACATCAGTTCGGGTGAGTTTGCTGCTGATGCCAAAGATCCCAACGGATACACCCCCATCCACGCTGCGGCCTCTTATGGCCATTTGGAGTTGTTGCAGTACTTGATAGACAAACAGGGCGACGTCAACGTGCAAGACGCCGAAGGTGACACCCCCCTCCATCACGTAGAGGACGTTGCCACTGCCAAGTACTTGGTGGAGAAATTGGGTGCGGACTACAAGATTAAGAACAACGATGGCATGACTGCCGTAGAGTACATCGAGGACGATGACGAGTTTCCCGAAGTGGTAGAGTACTTGAGAACGTTGGCTCACGGCGGTGTGGACGACTCCAGGGTGGAGGATGCCAACGACTTTGTGGCCTCATTGCCAGCGCCTGGCACCGTCGACGGTCACCAGATCAGATACACCCTCGAGAGCGACCCATCCAAGCAGGAACAGGAGGAGCTTTCTGAGGAGGAGTTGGCCGAGAGACGCAAGAAGATTGAAGCTATCTTGAACAGCGACAACCCCGAGGAGGGCTTGCGGGACATTGTGAGGAATGCTGTGCAAGAGGGCATGATGAACTTCCAGGCCGAATCTGCAGACGAGCCAGACTCCAAGAAGAGAAGATAGGAGGTGTACTATGAAAAGAGGAAACATGCCTCATTGCGGATGTCTTTCCCACAGGTGCTCCCACGCGCAGAGTGGAATGGCCCACTTCGGTGTAGGATGGCCCAGGGATCCGACTGAGTGCCACTAATACATTTCCATCTTTAGAAGGAAAAGTCCAAATTATTATATTAAATACATGTTACAAGTGACGGATTTCTGACAGCGACAGAGTCTGACTGATACGATTATAGACCAGACCGTAGAACAGCAACCACCAGCAAATATGCTTGAGAAAGCTTTAGACCATACATTAATATAGCTATCACAAATTGGAGAAAATAATAGACCTCATCTATTACTGACTTACAATCTGCGGCTGCGGGGTCGCCAAAGCTGCAACCTGTCGGACTTTTCGTAGCTGTTTCTGACCAGAGACAGCACGACCATTTCCAAGGTATTTCAGCAAAATGGGCATATTGGTGACAATATGAAGTTCTGCTGGTTTTTTCCCACTGAATTGGCACAGTGCTGGTCAGTGCCACCATCGTGCCATCCACTGTAGAATTGTTTTCGAGAACTACCAATTTATTCAATTAATTCTACCCTTACCAAACCATACACTCAATACTGCCCAATCTTCTCTATATGTGTGCCATCAACAATGGACCATTGCATGTCTGACACTCAAGCTTTTTAATTTATGTTTGACCACCTCAAGATCGGATCTGGTTATCTCGTACTGCCCCACCTTTTTTGTGGCGCTCGAAATTGGACGTCGAAATTTTTCAATCACCACCACTCCAAGGCAAACATGTTCGAAAAGTTGTTGGCACCATTAGGTCTCTTCGTCGAAGAAGTGACCCAAGAAGCGTAAGTAGAAGACTATGGCCAAAGCACCAGGCGTTGCCCCTTTTCCGGTGCCAATTCCCGTCCCCACCACTAACAATAGTCCCAAGAGATATGCGGAATACACCGTTGAGGAATTGACCAACCTCACTATTCTCCAACGTATCCAGCTCTACGACTGGAGAGTCGAGGCCGTGACTCTTTTGTTCACCATTGCCTTCGTTGTTCTCTACAAGATCGGTGATGTGTACAACCAGTCCTTGGTCACCAAGTACCTCAAGGGATTGGAACGTTCTTTCACCAAGAACTTCTTCCAATACGGTGTCACCTCGGACAAGCTCTACGTCAAGGACTCCTCCGAGAACTACTCCTCTTACGCCACCGGTAGAGCCAACATCGCCAAGGTTGACCTCACCTTCAGATTGGTCCCAAGACACAACATCTTTGTGTGGATTTTAGAAACCGTCATGTCCTTCTTCACCGAGAACATCTACGCCCCGGTCGACAAGGTCGAAATTGTCATTACCCCAAGCAAGGACGTTCAGTACGAAAACTTCATTGCTGCTATTGTCTCTAAAATTGGTATGAACGACTTCAGAAAGTTCAACTATTACTTGTCCTTGACCAAGACGTCCGATTCTGCCAACTTGCCAGAATCCTTCGTGTACATGGGTGAAGCCAACGAATTCCAAGACAAGATTACCACCCCAGAATTGAAGCAAGCTTTGTCTGTTCAAGCCGCTTCTTTCTTGAACTACGTCGCCTTTACTGACCAACCAGTCGAAAGACCTGAGAATTTGAATGACTTGATCCCAAAGAAGAGAGTCATCATTTCTACCGGCTCAATCTCCAACAAGGACCAATTGAACCAATTGAACAGCATTTTGGACGCTGTCTTCAACTTAATCGACAAGTTAGCTGCTAAGGATATCACCTTCAAGTCTGAAGCTCTCAAAAAGGTCGTCAAGGCTAGAGAAACCGAAGTTGCCAAGATCAACAAGGCCAGAGAAGAATTGAAGAAGGAAGAACTCCTTGCTGAAAAGGCTAAGTTGAGAAAGCAAGAAAGAGACAGATTGAGAAACTTGTCCTCAGAAGAACAGGCAAAATTGGAGAAGAAGGCTTTGGAGAAGAAGCAAAAGAAGCAGCAAAGAAAGCAAAGAGTTAAGATGTAAGGTGAGGTGTACTACCCCTTACTATTGTCGAGATAAACCTATCTAATTAATTAATAAACGACTCTCGCCATCCCACCTGTGTTACTTTATCTGAATTAATCAAGGTACTCATTGACTAACCTCGTAAGTGTAATCGTAAATTCATATGTATTCCTTTCCTATGAAATAAACCGTCTATGACAGTACCGTGATTCGTGAACTCTATACTTTCCCTGTCAACCTCCAACCGCGCCCAACTGGGGTGTTGAATACTTCTATTAACCCCACACCCAATGCATCTGCCAAAATCCAATTCAATTCGAAACCATAGAATGGCTTTCTAAAATTGTTCATTTTGCATGTTCCATTAAAATTAGTCCCTTCCCACTTGGTGACAATGGTTTCCTCTAAGCTTTCTTTGTACTTGTTCTTACTCAATAGTTTTACCAACCATACTCTGCCAGCATTAATTAATTTCAAATATGTACCGCACGCAGGATAGGATATGGAGTATTGATGTGATTCGATTTCATTCAAGTGGTTGGAAGTTAGAGTCACAAGCCCATGTGTAACCAATATGGACATTTCTTCTTTGTCCAAAGTATTGTCATTATCAATGAATAAAGCAGTTGGGTTATCAACTATGTACTTTCGGAATTTCTGGAGACCCTGAATCTGAACCATTTTCTTGGCTTTAATTGCCTGGGTCATATCTTCAGTTAATTCATCTTCAATCGATCGAGTGTGGCTGTCAATAATTTCAAGATACGATTTTGACTTGCAAAGCACTTCCACGTTTTCGAACCCGTACGTAACCTTACCATTCTGAAATTTTTGTGTGTTATTCAGAATCACAGGGGAAGCATTAGTAATGACGAACTTCCTTAGAGATCCCTTTCTTATTTCAATTTCAATATTCCTGTCGACAAATGTATTTCCTTGGTGATCGTACATCGAATAAAGTTGAGTAGTGGTGATAAGGCCCTTTGGTAATTGATTAGCACGATACTTCATAATTTCTGCCTTTGAACTCAGTCCAAGTCCTTTTAGTGAGAATACTAACTCCTCCATGTTGTATCCTAACGCAGTTTTAGTCTGATTATCATGGTATCTTTGGTTCAAACTTGAAGATTCAGCCCATTGATTACTCAAAATGGTATCAATGCCCACCAAAATATCATCCTTGGAAGAAAGTTGGTAGTCCAACTGAACATTATAGTCCTGAACAGTTAATGGTTCCGAGTTTTGCGTTGATTTCGGGCTTCTCGAACTATTTTCGCCATCATTTGATGCTGCTAAATTCACTTTCTGAAAACGCTTTGGCTGATCCAGAAAGTACTTTAAGCCTTTCAGTAGCTTTTTTATAGGAGAGCCTAAGATGGGCCGCTTCGTTATCCGTGAAGACTTTGCCGCTGTGTATTGAAAGTTTGAAGGCATGATAAATACAAGATGGGGGTTGCGATTCAAATTTTAGTCATTGGTCATGTGATGGTTTACACGTGAATACGAATCTACTGTAGATAAAATCAGTTGTCAACTTTGAGTTCCACAGTCATGGACAAAACCCTGGATTCTTACATGGCGGAAAATAAGTAGTTTGTTGCGTCTTTTATTGAAAGAACTACAATTTGTTTCTTGAATTGGTAGTAAAATTATATTTACAGTATGTACAGAGGTAGTAGACAGGAGATCTCTAGTTAACAATCAATGGAATAGTAATGGAGTTCTTTTCGGCAGATGAGGATATTATCAATTTATATTTACCGGCCTCAGTGATTTCGCTGACGAAAGACTTATCCTGTCCAAGTTTCATGTCGGCAATTGGGACTTGGTTACCGGACAAATTGAATATGGCGGAGGCGAAGTACTCCTTAGTAATTGGGAAGTCACTCTGGATAGTGTATGGACTTGGAATAGCCTCCTTCAACTCGGATAAGGTGTATGCAACTTCAGTGCTTGAGGTGAATGATTGCTCTTCACCGACACTTTTTCTGGCTCTCTTGTTCTTCATGGTGTTGAAAAGACTGGATAATTCGTCTAAGGACATGGCACCAGCCTTGGCCTTTGCTGGTGTGGTTGGCTTAGTGACAACTTCAACGGTTTCTTCGGCCACAAACACGGGAGCTTCAACCTCGACAGCAGATCTTTCAACGATAGGGATCTTTGGTCCCTGGCCCTTGAGAATATAGGCAGCTCTGTTCTTATGGTGTAAGAAGTTTCTCATGTATGCTGGTCTTACTCTTATGATTTCTCCGGCCACCCCAACGGTAGGCACATCCTTTAACAATTGTACTGGTATTTTTTCTGGAAGTCTTACTTTGGATTTGAACCTAGCCAATACTGGTCCGCTCTTGGACGCAAACCCTCTCCCGCTGCCTGTAAACATGGTATGATCTCGTTTATGGATTGGAAGTTCGATATTTTCAGGTTTGAAAAATTCACTTTGTTAGTGCTGATATTTACCATTGTGAGCGTACACCAAATCATGTACATAGCATCGCAGCCACATCAAGCAAGAAGGCTAGTCTATATAGCATCAATAACTGCTGACTCCATGGATACAGAAAAATCGTTGTGCTCGATATGCTTCATCAATGACTCGAAGTATACCTGTCCTGCCTGTGGCACTAAAACATGTTCTATAGAGTGTGTCAGACGGCACAAGAAGCAAACGGAGTGTTCTGGATTGGTTGATCAGACCAAGTTTGTCACCAGAAATGACTTCACGAAAGATTCTTCACATTTAAACAGAGACTACAATTTTTTGTTGAACGTGGATCGGTACATCCAGTTGGGAAAGTCTGATGTCAAAATCAATGCCAAAAATGTGTTCAAGCATGGGCCGGGAAACAACAATCGAGGTAACAAGCGGTTCAAGCCCAACCAAGAGAACGAAGACAAAAGAATCGAGGCAGTAAACGAAATTTATACCCAGAAACCTTCAACAGCAGTCAAAAGAGAAAATGTCTTAGTTATACAACTTCCAAGTGGAATGCATAGGTCAGTGTCGAACAAAACCGGCTACGATAAGAAGACGAAAAATTTCATTTGGACAATTGAATGGGTCTTTTTGGGGGATGATAATAAGGAATTATCAAGGTTTTTGAGCTATAGACTCAAGGAACATCTACTTTTAAAGGATGCAGTCCCCATGAACATTTTGAATAACCATGGACTGTTTGAGAAGGATTCGTTATCATTTTTCTTGGATAATGTCCTCAACAGAAGCAAACCCAAGCTTTCATTGATTGAGTTGGACAGAAACAAAGCTATATCAGAAAACTTGAAGGACAAGATTGTCCTCGAGTATCCTACCATATATATCACCTGTGGAGAGATCTCCAAAGAAATTGTGATAACTGAGAAGGAGGCGTATCAAATAGAAGATTCTGACTCGGAATCAAGCTCTGATTCAGATTCCGATTCTTCCTCGGACTCAAGCGATTCTGATTCCAGCGATGATGATTCGAGTGACAGTGATGGTGCACCAGAAGAGTCGTCTTCTAAGGCACCTAACCATGAACCCATAGTCCAAAGCGAGGTGGTTGCAAACCAGAGTCAAGTGCCAGACCATCTTGTTGAAAGTTCAGCACTGGTCACTTTACCGCTTCCCGAAAATCCAATCAACTCGGATACAAATACTTCCGAGCCCCCAGCATCTAGTCCAGCATGATAGATATCACTTTCTATCTTTCCCAACCATTCTATAGCATAGCCATGTAATATAACTCTCCAATTGAGCTGTGCGGTACGCGCACGCCGCGATATATCATCGCAACTAAATGGATAATGAATTGTACCATCACAGCATGGCCAGTGCATTCAAAAAGGTAGCAGAAACAGAGAGGAACCACAGAGCGACTTTATACTTTGGAAACTTGGATTCCCAAGTCACTGAAGTGCTTATGTACGAACTTTTCATACAATTTGCTCCAATCAGATCGTTGAACATGCCTAAAGATCGAGTACTCAAGACTCATCAAGGGTTTGGATTTGTGGAATTCCGTTCGGTGGAAGACGCCGATTATGTTATGGACATACTAAGAGGTATAAGGCTCTACGGGAAGACGTTGAAGCTCAAGAAGACTGACCTGCTGAAGTCAGGAAAAGGCACATCTGAACAGACAGGACTGAGCATTGTTGACGTGGGTGCCAAGTTGTTTATCAACAATCTTAATCCGTTGATAGACGAGTCGTTTCTTCAAGATACCTTTTCCAAGTTTGGTACTTTGATCAAGCCTCCGGCAATACAACGTGACGATGATGGAAAGTCTAAGGGTTACGCCTTTTTGACATTCGATGATTTCACTACCAGTGACTACGTGATAGAAAAGATGGACGGGAAGACTTTGATGAACTCCAAAGTGAATATCGCCTATGCCTATAAAGAAGATGCATCTGGCCACCAGCAGAAGGTGCGGCACGGTGACAAGGTGGAGCGGTTGTTGGCGGAGAATGCCAAATCCAACAACTTACTTCCGAAGCCGAAGAAGAGAGGCAGGAGATGAGATGGCTCATGTGGGCGGAACAAGATCAATTGATCCATTTGCCCACCAAAAAGCACCAGAACTACGATATTACAGATGTGCATTCGAATTCGCGATGCCTCTGCTGAACGCTCTAACTCGTATTCGCAAGCATGATGAATTCGCCAATTCTCATTAAGATAATGAAGGGTGTTAAGACGTCACATTCCAGTCCAATAATCACCTCAGGAAGGGCCAGCAGCGGAGTATACAACTCTGTTTATTCCACAGCAGCAGACTGAAGTGCACAATTCTTCTGTGTCACTTCTAGAGCCATCTCACTCTTCGCACGAACTGCTTTCACGACTGATCTTGCGAACTCATCATTACCACGCGAGATAACTGAGATGGAATAGCAGATTTTTTCCAGATACCATTCCAAATCCACCATCTACATATATACGTAACGACTAATGACCACTGATCCTTGTAGTGTTAATGTCACCAGAATCTGACGAATTATGTATTGCCCCCCCACACTAAACCAGGCTCATCCCCAGGCCTAAAATGTCAGACAACACCAATCCAGCCTCACCTTGCGCCGTTGGATACTTAAGCACAGTGAGCAAAGCCACAGGGGAAACTACCACTGTTGTGGTTGTTCGGAAATCATTCGCCTTCGACTTCAATGTTTCCCGGAGTAATCGGCCCTGGCGCAATTGCACCCGCCACATCCCCACACTATGATGCGGATATTGTGGCCGATTACTAAGCGGCCCCAACCAGCATTGAAGAATGGGTGCAATCCGCCTCAGCGGTTATATAAGAGCCAATTCTGCTAATTGTGCCAGCTTTCATCCAGTCACTCGTAGCACGCACAGGACTCTTTGCTAGCGTCTTACAGTTTACCCTCCATTTTTGCTCATCTCCACAATGTCCATTCCTACAACCCAGAAAGTAGTCCTTTTCGATAAGATTGGCGATGGCTACGATAACATCAAGTACACTGACGCGGAGGTCCCAGCCGTGGGTCCCCATGACCTCTTGATCAAGAACCACTTCACAGGGGTCAATTTCATCGAAGCCTACTTCAGAAAGGGTTACTACCCATCAGAACAACCATACATCTTTGGTAGAGAGGCTAGTGGTGAGATCGTGGCAGTCGGTGCCGAGGTGTCTAAGTACCAGGTTGGTGACAAGGTGGCGTATCTTTCGGGAGAGACATTTGCCCAGTATACCAAGGTGGCCGACTCGTCGGTCAGAATTGCCAAGCTCGACTCCAACCTTACCCACGACCAGTTAAAGCTCTATGGTGCCATTCTCACCCAAGGTTTGACGGCATTGACCTTCACGGAAGAGACCCACAACGTCCAGAAGGGCGAGTTCGTGTTGGTGTGGGCAGCCTCCGGAGGAGTGGGAAGGTTGATCGTTCAATTGGCCAAGAACAAGGGCGGCCGTGTCATTGCCATTGCCTCCACTGATGAGAAGTTGAAGATCGCCTCGTCGTTGGGAGCTGAGTTCGTCATCAACTCCACCTCCGAAGATATTGTTGCACGCGTCAAGGAGATCACCAATGGCCAGGGTGTTGCCGTGTCGTTTGACTCTGTTGGAAAAGACTCGTTTGAGATTTCGTTGGAAGCCTTGGCCCGTAAGGGCTCTTTGGTCAGCTACGGTAACTCCTCGGGGTTGGTACCTCCAGTGACCATCTCCCGGTTGAGTGCCAAGAACATCAAGCTCACCAGACCCCAGGTGACCCCCTATGTCACTACTCAAGAAGAATGGGACCACTACACCGGTGTTCTTTTCAAGGAGATCGAATCGGGACGGTTGGACTTCGATATTTCCAAGACGTACCAGTTGAAGGACTACGCTGAAGCTGCTAAGGCCCTTGAGTCCCGTCAAACTACAGGGAAGTTGGTTTTGGAAATTCCTCAATAATTGGATATAGGTGTGTATTGATATAATTAAAGCGGTGTCAAATATGTACAAAGATAATACTCCCACGAGCTTACAGACAATAATATCAGGCGACGGTCCAAACACATGATCTAGGCGAAGGGTCGCACGAACCATTTTGAGTATCATTTCAAAATAATATCAGTTTTTGGGTGTCAATTGGATCCAAACCAAAAAACAAAATATGCCAAAAGTATTATATTGTAGCCCCCTGGCTTGCTAGTCACTAAAGCTTGGGCCTGGAGTTCTCGTATCTTATTAAGTCCTCAGGGGTAGCTACTCCATAGACGAAATTTCCATTGTCATTGGTGACAATAGCAAAATACTGTCCCAGGTTGAAGAACTTGGCCAAGCCCTCGAGGGGGCTCATTGGGGTCAATACAGAATACCTCTTACCACCTCCTGTTCTGGGCTTCATTATGGTGGAGTTCAATGGCGTCTTGTTCACCTCGCTGGATACTTCAGCCTCGTACTTTTCCCGGGCCTTTTGATGGAACCACACCATGTAGTTCTTGGTTAAGGGCTTGAGTGAGCTTTTCAGGATTTGCTCAGTGTTCTTCTTGAGGTCCTCGATGTTCAACACCCCAAGGAGTCTTCTGTTGGCTTCATGGATGACTGGCAAGTATGTGAACTCGTTCTCAAACGAGATTTCCAACGCCTCCTGGAGATGAGTGCTGGGGTTGATGGAGATGGCTGGCTTGATGTCCAAGTCCTCGATGGTGGCACCACGGTAGTCTCTCACGTGGAATAGTGTGGGGTTGGCGTTGTGCGACGGACTGGTCATTTGGTGCTAGGTGTGTGCTTGAAAATGGACGCTGGTTGGGTATCGATTATTGAGTCCTGAAGTATAGGTGTTTCTGGTAGAAGCTGGCTTGTTCTCTTTTCCAGAGTATTAAAGTAGATAAGCAGTATGTTCGTTGCAAGTGGATAGTGGAGCAGTACGTTCGCTACAACTAGAATTACAAGTTGGCTATTGCGATTTCACTGGAATTTCCGCACTGCAGTTCCGTGCGACTACAACGATTCTACACTAGGAATAGGTTGGTAAATTACGAATTAGGCAGCCTCTGCCGTTCTATACAGCTGCATCTGGCGTCCCGAGGATCCGTCGACATCGCCTTCTTCTCTCACCACGCGCCGCCAAACCTCCTCCTCGTTGCCCACGTCCAATACGCCAATTCTCATGGTGGCCAAAAGGTTGACTGCTGCTGTCAGATGGCCGTAGACGCCTCCGTAAAACGCCTTGGTGGCGTCCTTACCATGTGAGGCCTTGAGTAAAGGCACGCCTCCCGGGTGCTGGTCCATGAACGGAGTGATGTCGTGGATAATATTCTGGATGACGATGTAAATGCGGTCCTTGTTGGATGAAGATGCAATGATGCGCTTGAAGTCGGTGGGGGTGATCTTGGGAAGCTTGGAGATGGGGGTGCCCCAGTTGAGCTGGCTTTTCATTCTGTTGATCACCTGTTGCTGCTGCTGGATGCGGAGCTGGGTGATCAAGTCTGCCGGAGTGCGACAGAGCTCTTCCACCACCCCAAGCTTGTCGAGGGTCCAGATGAACCATTTGGTGGGGTCGAACGCCAATGGAGAAGCCGTCGATCGATAGTCGTGGGGGAACTCGTGGTGGTAGTTCTGGTAGCCTTGGCCATAGGTCAAGAGCGTCACCAATGGGTTGTGGCAGTTTTGCGACGAGTTCTTGTCATTGAAGGGCTGGCTAGGAATCGACACATGGATGCTCTTCAAGTGACACACTGACTCGGTGCTGAGCAACGCCTGTTGACACGCAAACATCCTCAATACCCCAGGGTACAACAACCCGTGGGCAAAGGAGTCTCCCAACATCATTGTCACCGCGATGGGGATGACCCAGGTGGTGAGGAAATGGAGCGGATAGTAATATTTCTCCTGCCACACCAAGAGACGCTGGATATTCTCATCGTAGTCGTTACGCGTCATGTTGCCCTGGGTGTACACCAGGTCGTTGTCAAGAGCTTCGTTGACGGGAGCTTCAGTCTTCTTGGGGAATTCTTGTTCCATGAACTCGGTGTAAAACGTAACAATCTTGGGTTTCTTGATGAGCCATCCCCAGTGCGCCCAGATGAACCCTCGCTTGATCAGATACGGGTCTCTCTCCGTGTCGTCAGTGAAGTGGTGATGGGCTCGGTGCAACGATGCCCACCATCGTATCGAACCCAACCCTATGCTGCTGCCAAAAATCGCAAAGTAGTACTGGACAAACGAGCATCTAGCTTTGAACGAGTTGTGGGCAAAGTATCGGTGATATCCACTGGTGAACGATAGTAATGTGAAGTGGAAATATGCTATGGTGAAATACAAGGTGCTGGTCTTGGAGGGGATGATGGGTTCCTTACCTTGCAATAGGTAGAGCACTGCCAACGCTGGAATCACGGCAACAGTCAATGCGTATCCATAATTGATACGGTTGAAAAAGTCCCGCTTACGTTTGCGCATTTCGTTCATATGGGTATTCTTCAAGTGGGATGCATGGTTGATGATCTGGCTACTGGTGGTATCGTTTTTGACCTTTCTCCTTTGTACTTTGTGGGTGGTGCCGGCTATTCTGGGTGGTGAGACACGTACGCCCAGAGGTGGTGGGCTCTGCTGAGCCATTGGGGTGGCCTGTGGAGATTCATCCCGTGCTTCGTCCGGGGATGCCATGCTAATGTCTATCTACAGTGAGCGATGAGAGGTTGAGGAGACGCTACTAGTGGAGTACGACAATGTCGCGCGACATTATACCATGGGGGCCCCTATGCTAGTACCATGCCATTATGCCAGTGGTAGTGATACCGTCGTCTCTGTCCCTGGGAAAACGGCCCCCACTCGTATCTCTGGGTCCTACTGCCATCTGGTGGGACAACGGAAACGCGACATTTTCTTTGGTCGCTCGCGCGACATTGACACCCACTCCAAAGTATCAAAACTACTGTTTACTCTCCATCAATCACCCAATGCCACCTATCCCACAAGGTCAGCAATTTGGCGCTAATGCCAAGCCTAGACAACATGCCGCGGCTGCTCCCGTGGTCTCATACACACCAACCGAGACTGTGATCCCTCCTACCTTGTACCACAAGGTGCCCAACTTGGAGTTGTACCAGAAGCTCAAGGAAGCCGAAAAAGACGTGGATATATTAATATCAAGAAAGGCGTTGGATTTCCAGGCTATCCAGCAGAAGACTATTCATCCGCTGAACTTCAAGGGCGAAACTGGAATCTTGAGAGTGTTTGTCTACAACACTAACGAGAACCAACCATGGCAAAAGCAATTGCAACAAGAACAAGGTAAGCAAGTGGCGGATCCCCATGCCGAATCGACCTGGACTTTGAGAGTAGAGGGAAGATTCTTGAGTGATAGTCAAGACAATAGCGAGAGCGAAGCTTTCAAGTTTAGCTCGTTCTTGTCTGGAATCTCCATTGACATAATTCCCAACGACGATTACCCAGCCTTGCAAAACTCGCTGTCTAACATTATTGAGTGGAGAAATGATACCGGTGATTTATCCAGAAACATCAACAGTGCTTCGTTTGACGGGTTAGACATCAAGAGAAGTGGTATTTTCAATATCAATACTAAAATAGCCATTTTGGTGAAAAGCCATTCTGCTAGACTCAAACTCAGCGATGAAATGTCTCAGTTTACGGGCAAGCACGAATCTACCCAACAAGAGTTGATTTACATGATTTGGCAGTATGTGTTGTACAAGAACTTGATAAGAAAAACTGACAATCTCACTAAGGTGCCTGCTGTGTCCTCTTCAGGATTACATGACGGTACCATCAACCAGGATGCTGATAATGAAGACCTTACAGTTGCACAAGCAGACTCGGTGTTGAAAAGTCTCTTGAAGGTCGATACATTTAAATTTACTGATCTTTACAAACTTTTACAACCTCATTTCAAGCCAAGAGCACCTATCTTAATTGATTACGAGGTGAACACAAGAAAGTCAACAACCTTAGGAGAAGTGGTCCTCGATATTCCAATTGAACTTCCATTGAATTTAAGCAAGGTCCAGAAGGAACTCCTCAACTTCAACAAGCTCGCTTTCGACAACCTCACCAAAGCTGATGGTATAATTCAAAAATTGAACTCAAGAATTGCGTTGGGAATCGTTAGCTTGCAAAATGCCAACTTGAGAGAAGATTTCTATAGATCTTTGAGTGATGATCCAGTTAAATTTATTGAGCAATGGCTAGAGAGCCAAGCGGAAACGTTGAAGGCCTTGAAGAGCGATGAAGGTTATGATGAAGAGATTGTTAGACGTGCACAATACTTTGAAGAAAACGAAAGCTTGATCAGAGATAAGATTGATTTATTGTTGGGCTCAAATAGATTCTAAAACCCACAGCTTTTGCTTCTTCTTCCTATGTATTACTAATAAACGTATCTCAAATTTCTATTTTATACTTACACTTCGTCTATACACTATGTTACAGTAGAAATTGAGAAATCTCAGATGATCGAACTCAAATTTTGTCCCATCAGAGATACCACTGATTGGCCAACAATCGGTTGATCTACACTATTGCAACTTTATTCCATATAGTCATCATCTTCAGATTGTGCATCAAGTCCTTCCTCATATTCTTCATATTCCTCCTCTTCAGCGTTGCCCTCTTCGTCGCCATCTTCAAAATATCCATGTTGACTTGCAACTTTATCATTGTAGTTGATACCTCCCTTTTGCCTCGATGTTCTTGGCTCATCCTTGTTTTCAATGATTTGGCTCACTTTTTCTTGTCTTATCAATAAAGGAAGCAAACCTGAAAGGTAATTGAACAAATTAAACATGGGGCGATAAATCAGCGAAGTCATGGGAACAATGTCATCTTCTTGGGTGCCTGTATATCCCATTCTTTTTGATAAGAAATTGACGAAATCTGAAAGTTCTTCGACGTCGCTGGCGATTTCATACCAAAATTGTGATGCATCTGGTAGATTCCTAGGGTTAGGAATTTCTTCCCCACTTGAGGTGTGGTCAACTCCGTCATAGGCCAAGGAACTTTCAAGCATTCCATGGACATCTTGCACAAATAATTTGAAGTTGGAAGGCAATTCTCCAGAGTTTCCTGATCCTGCCCATGTCGACGTCATCTTTTTCACTGAGGCCAATCCACCATTCGTTTTATCTGCCATTCTACACAAATAAAACCTTCCAATATGGAAGCCAACATCACCTGCAAGCTGTTCATGAATTCTGATTCTAAAGCAATGCTCTAATGGATCTGAGGTTGGGTCAATAAATTTAACATCGTCTTCCCTCTTATTAAATTTAGCTTCTGCTTCAATCTTCGTATCCATTGCGTTCTTGAAACCTTTGAGAATTGCTCTAGAAGCATAAAAGGTTTCTTTATCTCCTGGAATATCTGTATTCTGCGAATTCTTGAAAATAAGACTCTTTAAGGCTTCACATGAAGATAAAGACCATTGTACCAAAACACGCAACAAAATAAGTCTATCCTTTGGCTCAAGAGCCTGTAAGCCAAATTGTTCGAATTCCGCCAAAACAAATGGATTGTAAGTTGGTTGAGAATATCCAGATTTGTAAACCCGAGTGACGATAATGTCTGGGTGATTCGGATCTACCGGAGATCCAGGAGGTTCATCTTCAAATTCATCAGGCTTGATCGTATTTTCCCTCCATTCACTTGGCAAACCAAGGTTAATAACTAAGGGTTTCAATTCCAAAATTGCACTTGAATGTGATGTCACTTCTCTCTTTCTGTTCAATACCATACCCATTAACCTGAGAAATAGAGATTTCATCTGGGGTGATATATAGTTGACGTCATAATCTTCGACCGGTTTAGCAGGTTTTGGAACATACTTCTCGCTGAGTACAGCTTCAACGCTCGGTAAGCTCAATCCTTGCTCAACTTCTTGTGGTGAAATGTTTGGAAATTTAACAATTTCCAGGAACTTGTTGAGAAATTCAAGGATGAACAAGATGTCAGAAGCATACGGGTTCTTCAACACGGGAAACCCAAAGGCAATTTTCTCACTGCTTGCCTTAGCATTCTGTGTAGCACCCAAGACGTTGTCATCGTACAAGTCATAAAATAAACCGACTATGGGGCCAGGTAGTTGTCTCGATATCTTATGGCTAGTATTCAAAACAGTAGTTCTGCTGGTGGACACAATTTTCGAAGTTTTAAGCTTCTTTGTAGCTTGATCTTCCTGTTTGGTTCTTTTCTTAGGTGAAGCAGCCTTGGTGGCTTTCTTTTTAGTATCCTTTTTGGGCTCTCTTTTGACTGTCTTTTTGGGTTCCTTTTTCTTTTCTTGCTGGGGTGCATCTAGAGAGCCGTCTGCCTTCTTCGAAGGTGTTCTGGTTCTAGTAGCCCTTTTCTTTACTGGAGCATCGGTAGCAGGTGGAGCCGCTGATGTATCAGCAATAGGCTGATAAGTATTGATACTTGGAAGCACGTCGAGGTTGTAGTTCAAAGAGTTGGCGCTATTATTGGTGTCCGCAGTAGGAGGTTCCTGTTTTTCGGTAGATGGGATACTGGCCCCGTTAGATTCCGCCTCTTTGGATTCAGGAATGGCTTCTGGTTGTTCTGTAGTGGCTGGCGGGTCTGGTTGCGGTTCTTGGGCATCTGGGTGGGGCTCGTGCTTGGGGACTGCTGGGGACTGCTGGGGCAGGTCTTCGACTTCAATCACTTCTGAGTCCACTGGTTCTGCCTTGAGGGGAGATGTGGCTGCTGCGAACGGCAACGTCGATTGTTTCTTCTTCAACATGGTGATCTTCCCACGAGGTATTGCTCGTTCTATTTTTCCACCTCGAGATCCTGGTCCTTCGATGGGCTGATTGTCGAATCTGAACTTGGACACAAGGGCGTGGTTCAAGTTGCGGCTGGATGAGTCTGATGGAGAGTCTAGGTTCTGATGATGCTTCCTGGGCCTTCCAAGACGACGAGGTTTTGCACTTGGATTGTATTGATTAAAACGCGACAGATGCAGGCTGTCGGTAGGGCGAGATGACTGAGAATGGGTGCGCGATAGATGGGGTGGAAGGTGGCGGGAGTCGGAAGACGACACCGTTCGCGAGTAGTCTATAGGAAGGTGCAAGTCTGGAGAAGAAGAATGGGTCTTTGGGGGGTGGTACTCGATGGCATTACGAGAGGTGACAGTGTCATCACCATCAACATGGGCATATTCGTTCAATTGGAACACGTTGTTGATGGCCAGGTGGTCGAGGCTGGTGACGTCGACAACGTCCTTGCTTTCGAGCCGCTCGAACAACTCATGCTCTGCTATGGTGGAGTCGATGTTGGGATCCATGGTGGTGGTGTGAGTGTGGGGGGAGTGGGGGAACTTTAATAGCTGCGCACGTGAGCACACCCAGGTGATCCGCAGTCTATGGCAGTTCCAGACGCGTCTCCATCAACTATACCACCCTCTACCAACGCCATCATCAGCAACATGTCCGAATTCGACGGTGGCTTCAGTCTGGACGCCAATGGCGGCTTCAGCGTCGAGAGAAACTCCCAAAGACAAGCTGGCGCTCGCCAGAGCTTGACCCCTGTGACCATCAAGCAACTCAACGACGCGGACCAGCCAATACCTGATGGCGAGTTCAGAATACACAACGTCAACTTGAGCATGATTTCGTTCGTCGGAATCGTCAGAAAGGTGGTGCCACTCGCCAACTTGATTGTCATCACCATTGAGGACGGCACTGGCTCTGTGGAAGTGAGAAAGTGGATTGATGACCAGAAGATGTCTGCTGCCGAAGAAGTCGAACGGTTCGAAGCATACTTGAGCAAGTACGTCTACGTGGGCGGTGCATTGAAGATGTTCCAGGAGAAGAAAAGTGTGCAAAACGCCACTGTCACTTTGATCGAAGACCACAACCAAGTGTTGTACCACAACTTGTCAGCCATCGCCAACCACTTGAAGGCCCAAGGAATAGTCCCAAGCAAGTCGGAAAAACTGCTCTTTGTTAGTGCCGACGACAAGGGCCCCAAGGCGGAGATAGAGCGCGTGTTTGACATCTACAAGAAGCACAGCCCAAGCATGCCTGAAGGTGTGCCTATATCCTTTGTGGCGCAGGCATTGGACATCAGCCCTTCCGTGGTGATGGAATACTCTCGTGAGTTATCGGAAACAGGCAGAGTTTACCTGGGAACCGAAGATACTTGTTTTATTGCGATTGATGTTTAAAAGTTAACATTCATGTCTATAAAACTACTCTAGTTCACGATGTTTGGCAGGAATGGGGTTTAAACACAATACCCTGCTAACTCTTTTCACTGATACTGATATCAGTCACCCCCAGTCCAGTCCGGGCACTGAAGAAGGCATTCCAAATATCAGAATTGGTGACTGTTTCGCCTCTTGAAGTCCCCTTGTTGATCATTGAATCTATGCCTTCACTATTCATTAGTGTTATCGATTCTGCTTTACTCAACTTCTTCTCTTCACTGGATTCGTTGGTGTTATCACCACCATTTTCCATATATTGTAACCTTTTGTTTGTAGAAGTCAATACCACACTTTCTTCAACAGTATTCTCAATGACAAACATCCACACCGTAGTTGGTTTTGTTTGCCCAATCCTATGAATTCGAGAAATGGCTTGTAATTCCAAAGATGTATTCACTAACGGCTCACACAAAAAGATGTGTGTTGCATTAATAAGTGTTAAACCACTGGACTGAGCTTTAGCATTTAGCAAGAAGCAAGTGATACCATTCTTCGGATCCTTAAATAATTCAACCGAGTCAAACTTACTAGGCTTTCTCCCAATTCCAACTTCGGGAGTTAGTGTTCCATATGATCCAAGATACGAAATGTCAGATGCTTTGAAAGCTGTTCCTAAGATATATAACATATCTTGCCATTGGCTGAAAATGACTATCTGCACGTTAGGATCTCTACTTCTAAGGTGAAGCACTTGTTTCACAATCAAATCCACTTTCGAAGAGTATGAATGTATGAGCTTGATTTGTTGAATCTCATCAATGGTCTCTTTGGAAATTGGTTTATATATCGAATGAAGATTTTTCGCTTGACCTTGAGGAGTTACCTTGTGATCTTCAACTTTACTCACTTTTAAATCAGGTTTGTGATGAGTGAAGTTATAAACCGAGTCCATAGATATGGAAGATTTACACATTGGACAGTTTCTAACGGTTTTTAACCATTGTTCAAGGCAGTCCTTACAGTATTTGTGACCACATTGGGTCAAGGACCCAATGGTTATGGTACAACGACAAATACTGCACATCAACGAGTCCTCTTCTGAGTTGTCCCCCCCAACTAATCCACGAAGGTATCTAAATTTGGCAATGGATTTGTCCATTTTACCTCTGATAACCTTGCAGTTCTGGCCATAAGTAATGAGCTTTCTTTGTACTTGAGTACCATCCAATTCCTCTCTATTCATCCCGAAGTCTGAAGTTTTAACACTATCAGATATCTGTTGCAATTGCTTGAAGTAATCTGTACGACTATTGAAAACTGCATTACAATTCACATTCAATTCTTTTTGCAAGAGAATCAACGCCAACTTTTGATTTTCGTAGATGGTTCTGATCTTATTGCCCAATTCCTCGATTAATTCTAATTGAATATTGACCCTTTTTTCATCATCATCCCCAATGCTCTCCTTTAGTTCAGATTCTAGTTCTTTGATTTGTAACACCACATCTTGGAACGATTTTTTGACTGTTGGTTTGATGTTTTCTCTAATCACTTGCAAGTTCGATAGAAATTCTGTATCATTAACTTTCTGTAACTCCAAATCAGCCTCCCTCTGCTCTTGAACCTTTTTCACGGTCACCAATTTCACGGAGCTTTCTAGCCCATTTAACACCTGGAACCTATCGCTGAGGACTTGCCCGAGGACGAACAAGTATGAAGATACTTTATCCTGATCTTTGATACTCTCTTCATATTCTTCACCATTTGGACTCTTATCATGGCTTAATAACTCTTTGCATAAGATCTCAATCATATCACTCATCCATTCATTTATTGTAGATGTTTGCAAATTCAACTGAGTGATTATCTTTCCCAACGAGTCTACGAACACCTTCATACTCATAGTGATCAGAAAATCACTTAACCCTTCCACATGAATTTCTGGGATCTTCATAAAAAAGCTTTTGGTATTTTTTGGTAACTGGAGACTTCCATTGTCCTGGAAATGATGCTTGACATTCTTGTGGTAAATCCCTTTACTGGTAATCCTGGCCTTTACTGTTTTCTGGACATTATCAATTGAGTTCAGTAAAATATCACGCCTTGTTTGCTCAGCCAATTCGTAATACTTTAATTCAAGGTACTTAAAGTTTTTCTCCTCCTCCGTCTCTCCTTCGATATCATACTCCTCTAATTTAATGTTTTGAGTATAATCTATTTGTTCAAGTTTGAAAGCGTCAATCTTAACATTATTAACTAAAGATGCAAGTTCATCTTTCAAATGATCATCTTCCATATCAGTGGCCAAAGATTTTAATTCTTGGGGAAGGACCGTTTTATTGTCACTCACACCATTTTTCTTGATTAATTCACCATACTCTGTATCGTACCTTTGGAAATAAGCAGAGGCAATAAGAAAGTAAAACCGATGTAATACAATGTTCCAATTCCTAATTCTTATCCTCAAGACCCTGATTTTATCCTCGAGCTTTTCCATTGTATCATCCCTTGGAATTGAACTTGAATTCGTACTAGCTTCAATAGTCCCAATCTCATTATCATTTTCATACTTGATTTTGTCACCCAGAATCTTCAGGTATTGCAATTTGTAGGAATCGATGAACTTTTCAAGAATACGCTTCAATCGGTAAATTAATTTCTCGGTCTTTTTAGATCCAACATTTAAAAAAACTAATGATACTTGGGGTTTATAAATAAATTCATGATACTCCCCGAGATCAAGGTACAACTGATACAATTGTTTCTCCACATCTATAACATCATTGTAAGCTTTAGTCAACATATCATCTAGCAAGTTTTCCAAAGTCTTAAGCTTTTGAATCATTCCAATCCCACGAGCTGAATTACTGTAGGACTTCCTGTATTTTTTGGATCCAATATTAAGTTTGCCTATTTGAGGATTACAACATACTTGACGTAATCTCAGTAACCAACTTCTCATGTATGCCAAAATGGTAGACGATGGTTCCCAGTCATTCGAAATCGGATTTCCGTTCACGTCAAGACAAATAGTAGCCAAGCATTCTTCAAGTAGCTGGTTGTACAAATCTTGTTCAATTGCAGTGAATGGTATAGTTAGTAAGACTCGACTCTGAGGAGGAAGTTTAATGTCATCGTGAGTCATGGCCTTAGTGTGTCTTATGGAGATAGATGTCCATAAATCGATGAAGTCGTTACTATTCTTGATGAGATTTTCCCAGCAAAACTTCCCAACTTCATTGCAAAAGGGTTGAACCTTCAAAAACTGCAATATTGAATGCAAATCTTGTAGATTCTTTTTAATTGGTGTACCTGAAACTCCCCATGAATGAAATCTTGGAATCAAACTAGCACTCTGAAAAGCACGAGAGATTTTAGAGCTTACCATCTGGACTTCATCTAGAACCACTCTCCAAAATTGACTCAACATTAATGGCGATTCATAATCCACGGATTTATAAATTTCGGGTATTCTATTGTGGATAATGGCCAAATTAATTTCATCCAAAAGTGCCTTTTCGAAATCCGTCTCTTGTTGGTCTTCCGATGATTTCAAGTTGGCCACTTTTGGTTTAACAGACTTAAGAGCAAGCTGGAAAAATGATTGATAGTCATTCAAGAGCTGTTGGTTGTCTTTCTTTTCCTCCAGAGGCATATTACTCTCTTCCTCGTAGTTTTCACTATAGGTTACTCTTCGGGTTCTTGTAGATTTGTTCCTAGAAGAATACAATGCATAATCTAGCTCCTTGGAAATAACACTATAAGTTGTGAACACAACATCAAACTTCCGAAGGTATTCTGCTATCAACACGGGGTTATTCTGGAGCTTAGGATAGTTACCAACACCATGGTATATCGTTACTGCAAGACTAGGTGCTAATTGAATAATCTCCTCGACCCATTGCTTCAAAATTGATTCTGGTGCAATCACTAAATTTGTCTTCGCTTTGATAATCGTTTTAAGGTCACCAAAGGGTTGTAATTGTACTTTAATAGTTTCATTTATGTCTTCGATCGGGCGTTGGTTCATCAAGATCAAAGTTGTGATTTCAACTGTCTTACCCAACCCCATTTCTTCTGCCAAAAGACCCTGTGAGGGTAGGAGCAATGGATAATTTTGCCTGTCATTTGTTTCATGATAGTATTTGAGGTACTTGCATACCTCTCTCGTGGTAATAAGGTTTGAGGTGTACCTATTGTAAAAGTAGAATGAATTCGGATCTATGGTAATTCTTACTTTCTCCCATCCAAAGCATAACTTATCTAATGTTAAAGATAATTTTGAAATGAGTTTTCCCATTTCTACCTGTTCATTTTTGAGATAAGCGTTTGCCATATTAATAGTTTCAGTATCCAATAGTGGAATCCGTTCACATTTGTTGGTGGAATGGTCATATTTGACATGCTCTTTGGATAACAACCAGCTCAAGGTTTTCTTCTGAAATCCGAGGAGACTTGTTTCCAATTCAGGGATATCAAATTCCTCCCGACATTGTGGCATTCGTGACGTATTCTCTGATATACTAGTGTAAAACAATTTAGCTGTAACGGGCTCGATGTTTGTGATTTTAACGTTGTCCTCAATCAAGCCCAAAATTATCGTATGGAGCTTATGCAACATATCCGACTGGCAAACTCGGTAAATATCACATTCGGTGAAGATTTTGTATTGAATCGAAATGTTGATCTTGTTAGTTTTGGAGTTTAATGTAATTTTCATCAATGGGGATACAACGGAAAGACCGTTTTTACGAAGTTTAAGGTTAGCCATATTGAGTATGGAAATTTCGTTTTTCACTGACTCCCTTTTTGGACCTTCTAGGCCAAATAAGTTGATGGAAATTAGTGTTTTTGCTGAAATATTGGCCACCTTCTTGTTCTTAACAAACACCAACTGCTCACTTTGGTCATACGAGAGCTTGATGTCGTCAGTTATGATCTCATAAACACCTTCCGCCACCTGGGCTAAGCCTTGCAAGAGATTCGCTTCCAATTCCACCGGCGAGTCATTATCAAAGCTTATAGTTCGATCCACGAAATTGATAAGGTCTGAGGGCTCCTCCTCTAATTCAGAAGAGTCATGACTCACACTGGAAATGTCCTTGTACTTCAAATTGTCGATGGCCAAGTCCGACCGTGCTGTGAACTTGCGCTTTTTTGGGGCATTCTCTCTCAGAGGGACTTTGGTGTTGGTTGTGGCAAAGTGGATGAGGTGTGCTAAATCGAAGTGTATAAGCTGGAAAAGGGATGGGTCAGTCATTTGGGGCCAACCTGAGTCTACGAATCAGTATGTTTTAGGATAACTAGAACCCCGAGGAGTGGCAGGTCAATGGTTACTCCAATATCTGAGATCCCAGTCTAAAATCTGGTTATATTGGTGTGTATACAGGATTGGGGTGGGGTTTGATGGGGCTGCTGAGTAAGACATGTGCGGCTGCGAAAAGGACTAGGGGAATCAGAAACGGGACAATGGATGGGTGGGATTTATCCGTAGGGATGTTTTGAGATTATTGACTGTTTTCAAATGGTAGTTATGGCTCCTCTTGAACCGAGGAATTTCCGTCTACGTTTTCCTGTTGGGACACGAAGGTATACACTTTACATGAAGGACAGTTGGATGAATGGATCTATTTCTGACTAGTTATTCATATGGGTATTTTTAAAAGCGTTTGAATTACGAGACGATGTTCAAAGGCTGTACTGGACAATATCGCTCACAAGAACATTATTTCCAGATAGCTACCACAATTGTTTTTCGAAAACTCTCTTTACTAAAGTCATATATTTATCTCGAAAGTTTCTGATGGATGCTATACTATAAGGTTATGCATATTTTTGAAGAAATTCTTGCGGTAATCCAATACTGTCTATAGTGGCACTAGAGTAGAATAGTCCAGGCGAAGATTGTACAACCAGATATCACTTTCATAACTTACATCGATTCCACGAGTTACATGTTTATTGCTCAAGCGAATGATTCATGATTAAATACAAATAAGTACATAGAACCGAAGAAAATTAAAATAAAATAAGCATATTAGCTTGGCAACAACGTCGATGGTAGAATGCACGCTAGCTTGCGAAGCCAGTCCTGCGGTCACAAAATACGTGCTATTAGATATTGACCGGAATCTGTTTGTTCTTTCTTCTCTCTAAAATAGAAGCACCCTTGAGATTCAAATCAAACATGTTTGTTTGTGGCTTCTGGGCTGCATTCTGGTATCTAGGTGCTTTTCTAGAAGCACGATCGATAGGTTTCTGTGCGGAATTCAAGACATGTCCCTTCGCATCAACCTCCTCTGAGTTCTCTTCTTCTTCTTCAACCAAGTCTTGGATTGTCTTGGTATTCATCTTTGATGATAATGCAGCTTCTTCTCCCATTCTATGCACTGCGGTGGAAATATCAAACACATCTCTCAAGGCCAGGGCAGCTGGAGAGTACATTCCATTGTTGTACGCGTTGGTAAACTTCTTGGAGTATTTTGCATTGTTGTTTGCACTTTGAATTGGATGCTCGTAGTTAGCTGGTGCTGATCTTCTGACTGGTGGGGCCATGGCAGGAGCTGGTTGAGCAACGGCAGTCTTGTTCATCCAAGGGTCGTTCAAAAAGTCATCAATGGTGTATCTTTGAGCAGGGTCGACCGTTAACAACTTGGAAACACAATGCTTGGCATCAGCAGATATTTCGTCCCACCAGGGGGTCAAAAAAGTGTATTCACCCTTGGCCACTTTCTCTGTCAAAGTCTCAATGCGTTCATCATAAAATGGCGGAAATCCACATAACAACGTGTATAACACACATCCAATAGCCCACATGTCAACTTCTTTGGAATAACGCTCATCTCTAACGATTTCGGGGGCAGTATAACCAACAGTACCACATGGAGTCTTGGTGTTGTGTTCCCAAATCTGCTTCGATAATCCGAAATCGGCTATTTTCACTATTCCAATACCTCCACCTCCAACACCGGGCACGAATTCACCTTCGTCCTGTTTGGAGCTGGGATCGTCAGACTTCCGTAATTTGGCCACTGGGTTGATCGATGGCTTGGACTCAATAGGGAGGTAGAGCAAGTTCTCGGGTTTGATATCTCTATGCACAATTCCAACTTCCTCGTGTAAGTACCTTATGGCATGAGCAACTTGGGTTATGACGTGGCGGGTAAGGTCTTCGGAGAAGTAAGTGTACTTGACAATAGCAGTGAAGATTTCACCACCAACGGCAAGTTCTTGCACGATATAGTAGTAAGGTTCAGAATCTATGAATTCAACGAATTTGACAATGTTAGGATGGTTCAACTGTCTCATGATCGTCACTTCCTTCAACACTGCCTGTTTCTGGGCTTGGTCCATTTGAAACTTTCTCAAGATCTTGATTGCAACGTGTTGGTTAGAGGGTAAGTGTCTTGCCTTGTAAACTATAGAGAATGCACCTTCACCCATTTGTTCCAACACCTCGTAGTTTTCCAACCCTGGGTATTTTACAGACTTCAGCTTTTGTAGACGTTCTTGTTCGACAATGTGATGGGCAGCTTCTTGGTATCTTTGGTTTTCGTAGGTTGCCTGAGCACGGGACTGGGCCTCTACCTGAGCTTGGGCCTCTGCCCTGGCTCTGGCTTCGTCGTCGAGCTGCAGCTTTTCCACCTCTTCCTTCGAAATAAGGGTGACGTCCAGGCCCCCCAACTGGGAGGGCAAGTTGCTGACGTTGGAGGGCAAGTTGCTCAAGTCCGAAGGGTAGCCGTTGGACGTGATGGTGTCTCCTGACACCGGATACCCAAATTCATTGACGGTGTCGAAGTTGGAGTTGACAGGCTTTTTCTTCAAGTCGTTGGCTTGTTTACCGTGCCTGATGAAGGCTTTCAAGTTCTCGAACATGGCCGGGATTCTATGGGTGGGCTGGGAATCGGGTGCACTTGGATTTTATAGTAGCAACGGTGAACAACTCAGGAGTATCAGATGATGAGATACGATCCGTGGTTCAAACTGTCTGCATATACTGAACCGCAAACAGGCACAAACGGAACGGGAGAGCGAGGAGGAAGTTCGGGTGGTAGGGGGTAGCGGTGCCGAGGTCGTGGGATTGGGGCCAAGGCTGGGTGCTGGGATGAGAAGGAGCCGTTGATGCCGTGGTGAGATTGTGCAGCTGGGAGAACTGAACGGTGAAATGTCGTGGCTCTACCCGGCGGCGATCGCGACATTTTCAGTTGCTATGCTTAGGTGTCTGAGATTGCGGTGTAGGTGCTACTGATACACGCACCACCCTTGGCGCATTGGTTGGGGGCGGGTGACATCATCGCCCGTTCCGAACCCCGAGGTTGTTCCCCCCAACCGTGCCGAGTGTCTGGGACCGAAATGGACATGTCTAGCTTTAGCTGGTCTGCCACGCTTTGTGTCGGGTCAGGTGCGGTTTCCCCATTACTATTGCTCGCGGTCGACATTACGAGATATCTAACGTAAGCTCATCCACACCACATCCACCATGGCCCCTCCAGCAATTGTGTTCACCGACTGGGACGGAACTGTGACTCTCCAAGACTCCAACGACTACTTGACCGACAACCTCGGGTTCGGCAAGCCCAGAAGGGCCCAGATTAACCAAGACATCTTGGACGAAAAGGTGTCGTTCAGAGACGGGTTCAGAGAGATGTTGGAGCTGATTCCCACCCCGTTCCCCGAGTGTATCCAATACCTCTTGGAGCACGTCCAATTGGACCCAGGCTTCAAGGAGTTCTACCACTGGGCTGCTGCCAAGGGCATCCCCGTGGTGGTGGTCAGTTCAGGAATGAAGCCTATTATCTACGAGTTGCTTAAGAGCTTGGTTGGCGCTGAGGCCATTGACAACATCGAGATCATCAGTAATGCTGTCACCATCGACGATGCCTCCGGTGCCTGGGAAATCGTCTACAAGGACCCACAATCTCCGTTTGGCCACGACAAGTCCAACTCCATCCGCGAGTACCTTCAAAGAAACGGCTACACTTCCGAGCTCCCTCCCTTGTTCTACTGTGGTGACGGTGTGTCCGACTTGTCTGCTGCCAAGGAGACAAACTTGTTGTTTGCCAAGCACGGCAAGGACTTGATCAAGTACTGTGACCGCGAAAACATCCCCTACACCGAGTTCAACAACTTTGGTGATATTTTGGCCAAGATCACCCGCATTATTGATGGTGGCGAGGACTACCAAAAGTTCATCGAGAACAAGCCTGTCAACTAGGGTAGTTACGTACATCAGAGGTCTAACTACTCGGTTGAAGAAACCTAGAATACTCCCGTATAATCGTCTAGGACATATACTTAGAGTCCGCTGCTGTGCAGCACCACCCATAGCAACAGCAGACGCTTGCCATGGAATTGTAGAATTAGCAATCTTGTTATCGTCAACTGTTTGACACTTTGATAGGCCAGATCCGATAAGCTTGTGCGCGGCACGACCAGAGATAAGTACTCAGAAGGAATGCTGGAGACTTGTTGGGCAGAATTGGTCGAATACAGACATATTCAGCACGGGCATACAGCAGCAGAGGTTCGATGACACCCTCTAGAGAAACTACATTGCATTTGGAGGGTGGTCCACCCTCGGAGTTTCCTCCCTACGTGAGCCATTGATTTAATAGAGATACTTCTTTATTGTTATATACTCCTACATTCCGTGCTCCAGGCTACTATAGCCGCTGTCATGTGCACAGTGAAGTGGTAGTTTTAAAGTAGGAAGTTGCAGGTGCCAAATTTCTGCGTCCGAATCAATAATTGAGGCTCGATCAATCTCTAAATCTCAAGGACACCTTCTAATCACCTTAAGGCTAGCTTTAAATCATCCTCTAACACACCCCAATCTGGAATCCCGAAGCCTGGTGATGCATGTGCTAGCTGCGGGGCCAAATAGCCGCTTCCCATGTAGCCTCTGATCAATGCCGCCAATCCTCACTGTGGAATTGCGGACAAGGAGACACCAGCAGTTACCCAATTAGCGTTGAGACTCCAAACTTTCCTCGAGTTGGACTATCTACACATTAAGGGTAGAGACCCAGCCAGAAGCTTTGGTGGTGGTGGCAGCTGGACTCCTTATCTTCGAAAGGTGGCAAACTTTAGAGATTCTAAACGCAAAGATTGACGTCCTGCCTGATACCGAAGATCCGTTAGGCGAGGCCAATAGGATGGTGGCCCCAATCTGAAACGTCTACCGTCGTCCGATCATTGAGCACAGAGGCAACAATAGTTTGGTGAAAATAAGGACTAAGACTTGCCCACTCTTTAACATCCTTCCTGCAAATTGGGCGGGCCATTTGCAGAGAATTAGGACCAATGCTTCACTTGGTGGGCGAAGTTTGGCTGGATTCGATGTCTACACGATCTGCTTACCCCGTCAAATACGAAGGTTTGATGCCCGAAGATGCAAGATCCGGGAAATGGCCGCAAATTGTTCTGTTGATCTATTGTGAGAATGGGCGAATTAATGGTAATCTGTGTAACGTGGCATGCTGGGATTGACATGCAGATCGCTAACGTGGATCGAGTATAAATACCTGGTGGGTCCTGGAGTGACTTTGCCACCAGCGTCTTATCTCTAACCACAATGCCTCTTCGTTTCAACACACTCCAGCTCCATGCTGGTCAAGAAATTGACCCTAACGACCCCGTGAAGTCTAGAGCCCCACCAATCTATGCCACTACCTCATACATGTTCAATTCTTCCGAACACTCAGCCAATTTATTTGCCGGAAAGGAACCTGGATACATTTACTCCAGAGTGCAAAACCCCACAAATCACGCCTTCGAGACCCGTGTTGCTGCCCTCGAAGGCGGTATCGCTGCCTTGGCCACCAGTTCGGGCCAGTCTGCCACCTTCGTAACCCTCTCCACCTTGGCTGGCCACGGAGACAACATCGTGGCTTCTGCATGCTTGTACGGTGGTACTTACAACCAGCTCAAGCTCAGCTTCCGCAAAATGGGAGTTGAGGCCCGCTTTGTCCATAACGACGACCCAGAGGAGTTTGCTCGCTTGATCGACGATAGAACCAAGGCAGTATTCTTTGAAACCATTGCTAACCCCAGGTTCAACTTTCCTGACATTTCTAAGATCGCTGAAGTTGCACACGCCAAGGGGGTTCCTGTCGTGATCGACAACACCTTTGGAGCAGGTGGGTTCTTGGTCAGACCAATTGACCACGGTGCCGATATCGTGGTACACTCTGCCACCAAGTGGATCAGTGGCCACGGTACCACCATCGGTGGTGTTATTGTGGACTCCGGTAAGTTCCCTTGGATGGACTACCCTGAAAAGTTCCCCGACATCACACAACCCAACGAGGGCTACGATGATCAGGTTTTCGGTGCCGTCTTTGGCCCTGCTGCTTTTATCATGGCTGCCAGGCTCCAGAACTTGAGAGATACTGGACCAGTGGCCAACCCATTTTCGTCCTTTTTGTTATTGCAAGGGTTGGAGACCTTGTCATTGAGAGTAGAAAGACAGTGTCAGAATGCCTTGAACTTGGCCAAGTACTTGGAGAAGTCGCCCCACGTCAAGTCGGTATCGTATGTGGGATTGCCATCCCACAGTCACCACGAGGTTGCTAAGAAATACTTGAGGCATAAGGATCTCTGGGGCAGTGTTATGACCATCGAGGTGGAAGGTTCTGATCAGGAAGCCGAGCCTTTCAAGGAGCCTGCCAGTGCGGTGGTTGACAACTTGAAGTTGTGGTCCCATTTGGCCAACGTGGGTGACTCCAAAAGTTTGGTTATAGCTCCTTGGTTCACTTCCCACGGTCAGATGAAGGATGAGGACAAGGTCAAGACCGGAATCACCAAGGGCATGATCAGACTCTCGGTGGGGACTGAAGACATCGAAGACCTTATTGAGGATCTTGAACAATCATTTAAGATCGTTTACGGCCACAAATAGAACTATAAATAAAGAAACCAGTCTAAGAGAATTAGGAGTAGCTAACCAGTTACTACTTGGTGAACCTGGTGATATTCAATACAGCAAGAGGGCTAGAAAAGATCTCAATAGAAAAGCTACTCCTCGATTCAGGGTAGGTATCGTCCTGGTGGACTTTATACTGATGGATAGGTAAGTAGAGTACGAAGTGCATACTTTGTAGGTCTCTATGAACTTATCTGGGGTTTTCAAATAACAATGTGCATTAAATAGCGGATATTGGAGTTGCAATATTCCTATGATTCTAGAACGACAATGGCTGCGAGCCTCTCTGTATGACTGTGGCCAATGCATGGATATGGAAAAAGTAATCTAGCTAGGAAATCTCAGGTGTAATACTAATGGAATCTGAGGTGAAATGTGCACTAAGTCAAGAAGATTTTCCCGAAGTATCTCTTCTCGCATATGTGGGTAGGCGAAGAGCAATTACACAGTTTCGTTAGGAGATGAGTGTTACTTATTTCAAAATGGATTTTAGCAAAATGCCAAATAGATAGCTCGTAACTTATTTCATGGAGGATTCTATTAATAAGTTAGGTGTTGGCTGATACATCTGAAGGAAAATAGTAACTTTAGTAGAGTGAGCAAATTTGGACTTCAGTATGAACTAATTGCAACCACACAAGAATGAGGCCATGTTCCGCCCTAGTGTGGAATTTTCCTCGTTGATACAGTGGATAGCGAAAGTTGGCTACACGTCGAATTCCATTCAGGGAGAGCTAATTATTGGATTAACTACTCGATGCATCGAATGAACACCAGTGCAAGTAAAACTCTGGTTCCACTCAGTGAATGGTAATAGTTGAGTAAATAAAAGCCTGGTTTTATTCATGATTCTGGTATTTTATCCTGTTCAAAGTCCTATTCAGAGAACGCTACAACGTGTATTGAGAACTCCATCCATAGTTTCTTTCAGTGATGTAGATATGCCCCTTTCGTGAATACTAGTTGAACAATGCCTACATTTGGTGAAGCAAATAGTCGTCCCTCGTCAGTGCCTATTCCCATTGGGGAATACCACATCGTTGGCCAAGGGCCAAATTGCATCAATTCCACTGGACAGCGAGTTAGTTACGCCCACCTTAACTATGTGCCCGATGGCAATCTCCGTATTATTTTCATATCTTGCACCCATCCTGCACTTCCTACCGTTATGCAGCCGGACCCAGCCGTTACCGTGTCGTGCAGGCACCCGGGCTAATGGAAAATTCTCCCGATGCCACTAATTTGTCCCGGGCGTAGGGAGGCTTAGCGTAGGCACTCCAGCCTCTGCAACACCTGCGCAACGCGCTAGGCTAGCGGAATGCAGGAACTGGGCTAGTGGAACCACCACTGGCGTCGCGAGCTCTGTGCCACCACCAGGGTGGTCGGCACGTTAGACTTTGGGGCCGGGTGGCCAGGTTGTGGCCAGCTTCAGCCCCATCTTCAGCCCCAGCTAGCCCCTAAAATGCCTCCTACCACCCCTACCCTGTACGCCAGGGCGATTGTGGAGATGAAAGATTTTCGGTTCGTGCGCGCGCTCCTAACGTGGCACTGCTACACCCTCAGCATATATACTGGCGTGGAGACCCACGATTAACCCCAGAAATGGCGATTCCCGAACCCCTCGAAGTGGTGGAAACCACCCACACCATGCAGTCGGGAGCTCCCAGCGGCCCTAACAGCCACGCTTCCAGGCGTGATCCCATCGATCTCTCCACCAACCAAAAGATGCTTCTCAAGTGCAAAGACACCTTGAAGAAATACGGCACCTTTATCGGACCCGGCTTGCTTGTCAGTGTGGCGTACATGGATCCTGGTAACTATGCCACCGGTATCACTGCCGGTGCCTCCAACAAGTACTCGCTCTTGTTCTTCGTGTTCTTGTCCAACATCATCGCCATTTTCTTGCAGAGTTTGTGCATCAAGCTCGGTTCTGTCACCGGGTACGACTTGGCGCGGTGCTGTCGTGAGCACTTACCGCGGTGGCTCAACCTCACGGTGTGGGTGTTGGCGGAGTGCGCCATCATTGCTACCGACATCGCTGAGGTGATTGGGTCTGCCATTGCCCTCAACATCCTTCTCAAGGTGCCATTGCCTGCGGGCGTGGTTATCACCATCGTGGACGTGTTGTTTGTGCTCATGGCCTACAAGAACGACACGGCATCCACCAAGTTCGTGCGGTACTTCGAGTTTGCAGTCGCTGCCATGGTGATGACAGTGGTGGTATGCTTTGCAGTCGAGCTCTCGCAAATTCTGGCCAACGCCCGCGAAGTGTTCCGCGGGTTCGTGCCATCGGCCGAGATGATGGACGGCAACGGGTTGACCATCGCCACCTCGATCATCGGGTCCACAGTCATGATCCACAGCTTGTTCTTGGGGTCGGGGTTGGTGCAGCCACGGTTGCGTGAGTACGACGTGGTCAACGGCTTGGTCAAGCTCGAAGATGTCCACAACGACGGCAGCTCCATCGAGGAGTACAAGACCGAAAAGGAGATCCAGCGCATCCACGACGACAAGGAGGCTGCCTACTTCTACAACGAATACAAGCCATCGTTGCAGGCCATCCGCTACTCGCTCAAGTACTCGATTGTGGAGTTGGTGATCACTTTGTTCACGGTGGCTCTCTTTGTCAATGCTGCTATCTTAATCGTTGCCGGCTCCACCCTCCACGGCACCCCCGAGGCCATCGACGCCGACTTGTACACCATCTACCACTTGTTGTCGCGCAACCTCGCCCCTGCCGTGGGTACCATCTTCATGGTGGCGCTCTTGTTCAGTGGCCAGAGTGCGGGTATCGTGTGCACCATTGCCGGCCAGATGGTGTCTGAAGGCCATATCAACTGGACCGTCAAGCCTTGGTTGCGTCGGTTGATCACCCGTTCCATCTCCATCGTTCCTTGTTTGATTGTGTCGGTGTGCATTGGCCGCAATGGGCTCAACATCGCCTTGAACATCTCCCAAGTCATCATCTCCATCTTGTTGCCTCCGTTGACCACTCCCTTGATCTACTTCACCTGCAAGAAGTCCATTATGCGGGTGGAGATTCCTGCGGAAGAGGTGGCTGCCAACTCTGCGCTCGAGGTCAATGACCTGGCCTCCGACGACGAGACCACCACCAAGAAGTACAAGTACATGGCCAACAATTGGGTCACCACCGTGTTTGTGGTGGCCATCTGGCTCTTTATTTCGGTGTTGAATGTCTACGCCATCTACCAAATGGCCAAGGACGGAGTTAATTAATAGAATACACAATAGACGTTTTAGAGAAGTGCATTGCGAAATGTTGACCACACCCCGAGGAGTGTTGTCTGGAAATTAGTAGTGGAGTTAGCGATACAGTAGACCAGGACACCTTGAAGCCCGAATGCGTGATGTCTTCACCACGAAGTAGTGAAGTATACCATTCACAGTATTCACACGCCTCGACGCGAGTTTGAAGTATGCATGGCACCAACAGAGCATTCCCACGCCTCTGTGTGGAGTCGAGGCTACACGGAGATAACACGAATAAATATACGGCACGATCCGTAGAACAATTAGGGCCCCTCCACTATCTCCGGAGAGAGTGTAATTACACCACCAGAGAGTCCATAGATCACCATATAAATACATCCCCTAGCCGAGGCTCTGTACCTGACTCCCGAGTCCCGTTCCAGCGACTCGTCCCAGCGACTCCAGCGACATTATGGCGCATCCGCCTGAGCTGGCTGGCCCGTCCTCCCCCGCGCTAGTACTGAATGTTCTCCATAATCTATTGTGAATCTGCACACGCAACGAATTCGCATGTGCCACGACCCTCCCCTTGCTTGGAATATAATCAACGATTCACACCAGCTCCGCTGATCTGCCAATTGTCCCCCAAATTAATTCCCATCTGCCAATTCATCTATCATCAGCTTCAACGTTTGGTAGTGCTCGTATTTTCCTGTTTGCTCGTCTTTTGCGTTGCTCCCCATCCCCTGTCACTTGAAACACCCGGCAAGCCCTCCCCAGGCACCACCTCCGTTTCTTGGTTTCAATTGCTCCTGCCATTTCTTGTCTTTAATCGCGTCGCCCTCCCATTGCACCAGTGAATAACCAGTGCCCTTTGCCAACCCTTGATTCCCCCGTATTGATGCATTCTTCTAACCTATTAAAGAAGCTTCATATAACAAGGCTGTCCAACCACAACACAGAGACCAACAAACCTGAACCCGGAACCATGGACTACTATCAACAGCCCCAGCCCACTGTGCACGAACAACCTGTTCAACAGCAGGCACCCACCCAGCAACAGCAGCAGCAACAGGCTGCCATACAGAACAACCTCACCAGTGAGGCCATCCAGAGATCGTTGTTACCTCAACGCTCTACCGTTTCCAGAGGTAAGTACTCGTTGACCGACTTTCACATCATGAGAACCTTGGGCACGGGCTCCTTCGGAAGAGTCCACTTGGTTAGATCGGTCCACAACGGAAGATACTATGCAATCAAAGTATTGAAGAAGCAGCAGGTTGTCAAAATGAAACAAGTGGAACACACAAATGATGAACGTAGAATGTTGAAGTTGGTAGAACACCCATTTTTGATTAGAATGTGGGGCACCTTCCAAGACTCCAAGAACTTGTTCATGGTTATGGACTACATTGAAGGTGGTGAGCTTTTCAGCTTGTTACGTAAATCCCAAAGATTTCCAAACCCAGTGGCCAAGTTTTACGCTGCAGAAGTCACTTTGGCATTGGAATATTTGCACAGTCATGATATCATCTACCGTGATTTGAAACCTGAAAATATCTTGTTAGACAGAAACGGCCACATCAAGATCACCGACTTTGGATTTGCTAAGGAAGTGAGCACTGTTACTTGGACTCTTTGTGGAACCCCTGATTACATTGCGCCAGAAGTCATTACAACCAAGCCATACAACAAGTCTGTGGATTGGTGGTCATTGGGTGTCTTAATTTTTGAAATGTTGGCTGGTTACACTCCATTTTACGACTCGACTCCTATGAAGACTTACGAAAAGATTCTTTCTGGTAAAATTCACTACCCTAGTTTCTTCAGTCCAGATGTCATTGACTTGTTGGAAAATTTGATCACTGCTGACTTGACAAGACGTTTGGGTAACTTGATTAACGGGCCAGCTGATATCAGAAACCATCGTTGGTTCTCTGAGGTCGTCTGGGAGAAGTTGTTGGCCAAGGATATCGAAACGCCATACGAACCTCCTATTACTGCTGGTGTTGGTGACTCCTCATTGTTCGATCACTACCCAGAAGACCAGCTGGACTACGGATCGGTAGGCGAGGATGTATACGCCCATTACTTTCTTGAATTCTAAAGCTCCAATTCTTGTGTCTATCTTTTCTCATTAACAAACGTTTGATTTCCTGGCTTATTGTATTATTGTTGAAATATCTCATTCTAGTATTACATATTGTATAGATAGAGATACACGACTATACGAGATCTATGGTACAGTAGGCTAGCTTGGCTAGTGCGGTTAATGTCCAGTGGATTGTTCCACGACAACACATCTTTTAATAGGAATATTTGGATTTTTGTAGGGATTTCTATGTCACTTAAATGACTCTATCATCGGGACAAGCACTACACTCGGAACACATGTTTGCAATTCAAGCACACATAGAACAAAATCATCGACGTATCCTTTCTCTTCTGCTGTGATTGGAAGAAAACACACTGATTATTCATACACTTGGGACACTCTTTGTCGGAACGGGGCAATGTAGGGTCATTTCCGATATCCTGCACCACACCAGCGGTTTCACCGATGTTTGTGATCAATTCATGTCTGTAAACCTTTGGATTTTCGGCCAACTCGGTGTAGCCGCAATTACGGCACGAGTACAAGAGTCTCTGCTCGTTCTTATCCTCCTTGGGATACAACATATTGTTGCACTCTGCACAAAATCTAAAAGATGCCATGATTACCTGCCCGCAGAACGATGTATGGAGTGCTTAGCAAAGGGATGTAGTGGTGTTGTGGTTGGAGACACTGTGGTGAAAGGTGAATTTTTCCAGTAGATAGTCTCAGTAATTGCTTATGTAAGCGGGGTGTCGTATCCTGGTCGTGCGCGGTGCCCATGCTTCTGGTTGACCACTCAAAAATTTTTCAACTCACGATACTCGGATCACCACCACACAGCCATCAGGATGTCTTTATTACGTCAAACCATCAGACCTGCATTAAGAACCGTCTCCAAGAGAATTGCTCCGGTCGCCGTGCGTTTCAACTCCACCGCTGAAACCAAGGCTGCTGTCGACCCAAAGATATCACAAATCGTTGACCAAATCTCCACCTTGACCTTATTGGAAACCTCTGCTTTGGTCACTGAATTGAAGGAAAGATTGAATATTCCAGACATCTCATTACCAGCCGGTGGGGCTGCGCCAGCCGCTGCTCCTGCTGCTCCAGTGGAAGAGGAGGTCAAGGAAGTTGTTGAAGAAAAGACCATTTTCTCCATCAAGTTGGAATCCTTTGACGCCAAGTCCAAGCCAAAGGTCATCAAGGAAGTCAAGGGTTTGTTGGGATTGTCCTTAGTTGAATCCAAGAAGTTTGTTGAATCTGCTCCAAAGGTCTTGAAGGAAAATGTTGCCAAGGAAGACGCTGACAAGATCAAGGCCACCTTGGAAGGTTTGGGTGCCAAGGTCACCTTAGAGTAAGCATGCGTCATCACCAATTCCCAAGGAACTACACACAAAGAATCAGTATACTCCACAACATATTCACCATAAAGTCCCTCCTGTATATATACATTAATCTTATATTACTACGTTAATGTTTTGTAATTCAATCATCGAAGCTTCTGGTCTGGCCGAAGTTCGGTTGGGCGTACGAGTTGCGGTAGAATGATGGGGCCCCGCCTCCAAGACCAGGTCCTCTCTGGAGCAAGTGCATCGACTGGGGTCTTCCCCGGACTTCGTGCCCCATATCAAACTCATTTCTGGTGGGAAATGGATGTTTAAAGTCAATTGGTACCTTCTTGAGGGACTCCTTTGCTGGGGGAGTGACATATGCAGACCCTCTTCCTTGAATCGTATGTTCGAAAGTGGATCTTCTATTTTCTGTAGTGTATGGAATATTATCATGGCTAGGAGTATGGCCCGGGGTGTTCATGCCATTGTATGCGAAGACACCTGGTGCCGCACCTCCTCTGTTGCTAGTCTCTGGTAAAGAGGCCCTACCGTATTCATCGGCCTCGTCTTCAAATTCACTGTCGGTGCCGTCATCGGGCAATACAGGAGATGGCTCACGCAATGGCATAGATGAATGATGGCTGGCATTTTTCACGGGGCTTATGGACCTCAGGCCTGGGTACTGGTGGTTGAGATAGGGGTATTGTGGCTCCTGTTGTAAGGTTGGTAGGTTATCGAGCGAAGCGTGCGGGTATTGAAGTGAAGGCAGCTGGTATGCTTGGTTGCGTTGGTGTACGTCTAGAGCATTGGAGAATTGAAGGTTTGCAGGTGCCGGATGGGCATGCTGGTGAGGTTTGCTGATGGAGTTGACACTCAATCGTGATGCTTGGATTAAGTCATCGTCATAATTCGATTTGGACGAGATCGACGGTGAAAGGTTGGAGAGTCTATCCTGAAAAATTCCATACTTGGGTCCACGGGAACTGTTCAGAGTGGCGTTCTGTACGAGCTGTGCTAGACTCCATAACAAGTTCTGAATACGGGTAAAATTGTCGAATGGGATTTCGTTGTCTGGATATTGTGCAGCTAACGAGTATACGAAGGTGTTCAACGCAGCCAATGTGTCGCTCAAGCTGGTTTTCTGGAACTGGGTAAGCTGACCCGAGACCATGACTTTCTCCTGCAATTCTGCCACTTTTTTGACGATGTTTCTGGGGTTCAAGTCTGCCTTCGCCGTGGGTGTTCTTGTCTGGGATCCTTGGGGAAGTTGGACACCCAGGCTACTGGGGAAGTTTGTGCTGTACACGTCCGAGTTGTTACGTTCCACCTGCCAGCTATCTTTGTTTCCTGCAAAGCTTAGCTGGTTGAACTTTCCAACCGACTTTCGCGAGGCTAACGACTGTCGTCTATTCAATTCCATGGCTTGGGGGTGCTCTTCCAATTGGGGGGATTTTGGTGCTGTATTTTGCCAGTTTCACTGCAGCGCTATTTCTCTGTTCTCAACTAACAACCGTAGTAGTACATCTAAATCACCTGCAAATTAGTTTTATGCGAGACGAGTTATCACCAAATGCAGTTCACGGAACGGTAAAAATGTCGCTCTGCCACAAATATCAATAATTTATCTACGCGACACACCTCTCACCATCCAGGGGATAACATTACAATCTCGACTAGAGAAGCTTACCTCGGATAATGCCCTACAGTGTCTGGGCCCTCAAATATGTCTAGAGTCTTGCACCAGGTACTGCTCCTGGACTTGGAGCTAGATCGCAAACGCTTTTACGGCAAGGATGAGATCAAGCCCTGGTTACAGGAATGCCTATCCAAAGAAAGAAACATCCACATTGTCATTGAACGACTGGACACAAGCAAGATCATTTTCAAGTGTAAGAACAACGTCAAAAAGGAAATCACAAAGCCCTCCAACACCAAGTCACAGGTCCGCCGACATACGACATGCCCATTCAAGATAAGGGCAAACTATTCGTTGAAAAACAAGTACTGGTCCTTGGTGGTTATCAACGACTCCCACGACCATCTAATAGAGGATCACCGATCCAAACCTAGCGCTGGTGCTAGTGGCAAGTCCGAGACAGCTCCCATTTCTTCGGGCCTAGGGGATGCTTCGTACTCTCGTGTGGACGATATGTTCAACCCCAGTCCTGAAGAGCCTCCGCAGATGGGAATTCCTTCGACATCCAATAACACGTCTGCTTCCGATGTGTTCAGCAACTTGATGGGCTCCACAGGCTCGATCACCTCGGTGGCCCTATCCGACACCACCACTCCTAAGAAAGATAAAGACATGACCGAATACACTACTCAACAATCGTATTTTGCGCCTTCTCCAGATAATAGGAAGCGTGGCATGGCTGTGTCTTTTGGGAACAGGCAACCTCAGGCTTCGAAAACGTCTATTCGGGCAATTACTGATGACGAGGTAAGAAAAATCACAGAGTCAAGGTCTGCTGATGATGTGGCCCTGTTCTTGAGAAAGGAAACTAACCGTTTGGTGAATCTTGCTATTTTGAACAATGCTAACTTATCGAAAAGAGAGAAAACCTCCCTTCTTGATTCGGTCTCTTCTCAATTCATCTTGGACCACAAGGATCATCTAAGTGAAAAGTTCATTGAACTGCTACAGCAGAATAGATTGAAACGAAAGGACGAAACAGTAGAAGATCAACGCAAGCGCCAGCGCAACAAACAACTCCTGGTCGATCAAAGTCGAATTCTACCGTCTCAGAAACAGTATCAACAGAGGAAAAGTATTTTGAACAGTTGGCTTACCACGCCTACTCTGAATTCAAATGGCTTAACCACAAATCCCACCACAAACTTAATACCCTTATCACCGTTGTTGAATGATAGTGATAATGAATATAGTGGCGCTGGCGCCAATAATGGAGGACTAGGAGGTAATTCTTTTGATGGACTCACCCAAATTCCTTCAAATGCAACTTTTACAAACCCTGCAAATGGTAATAATATCATGGGCAATGGCGTGATGATTCCAAACCAAGTCTTACAGATACAAAACCAAACTCAACAGCTCCCATCCTTCAATTCTATACAAAACCAGCTCCCTCTTTCACCAGGAAATACTGCGCTCTCGTTGTTTGGGTCCAATATTTCAGGAAATTCCTTAATTCCTCCAATCAGCAACGGCAATAATAACACCACGCTTAACCCTTCCCATTTACTCAAAGGGTCGGGAACCAAGAACGCGTTGCTTAGTTTGAACCAGTCAACTTCCAATTTGCTCGCGGACTCCAAGCTAGGGGGGTCGTTTCCCCTGTCGTCCACGAACGAGCTTCTCAATATTAAGTCCAGAAACGACACCAACAGTGCTACCAATACCACCACCAGCAATCTCAACAATGTTCTAAGTTCTTCCAGCGACCCAACCAGCCAGCAGTTGAACCAGCTAAATGCGTCGTCGTTCTTTTCAGGCATGAATAGTAACGTTAACACCATCAACAACTTCCAGGGGACAGCCAGTGGCCAAACAATTGGCAATTCCAATCCCAACGTCTCTGCCAACCTCCTCAACCATATGGGCAATTTCAACGACCCTGGATGGTAGCTGGTGCCAAGCGTGTGTGCGCCTGGTTAACTTTCAATTCTTCACTGGGGCTCGTTACCCCATCAATTCTCAATAGCTTTATAGAGTAATGTATTGCACACAGCGCGAAGGCGAAATAATAAAGCCAACAAGCCAGATCTCACATCACTACATCCGAACACCACCATGTCCCATTTCGTGCCCGTTGCAGGGTTCAATCATAGTCTTGAAGGCACCACCGTTGTTCTTCCCTCGGTGTCTATAGGAAACATCCCGCAATTGGCCATAGACCTCTTGATCCATACCCTTGGGTTCCAAAAGATAGGCACCCTTGATGACAGGTACTTGTACCCGTTTGCCTCACCAGTCGACCTGGTAGACAAGGCGCTGGTGGGAGTGTCCAATGCCATTGAGGTGTACTACAGCGAAACCCACAACTTGGTGGCTATCCAACAGCGTTCTCCCATCATCCCCAGTTTTGTGGAGACCTACGTCAGTGAGATCGTGTTGCCCTTCATCTTGGGCCACAAGTTCGCCAAGGTGTACGTGTTGGACTCCTCAGATGCTGGGCTTGTGGAGAACGTGGTCCAGGGCAGAATTGACTCTTACACCAGTGCCGACTTCTTGAACCAGTCGTTGGAATCGTTAAATTTAAACAACCAGGAGCCTTTGGCTGCTCCCTACAGTCACCTGTCGTACGTGCGGTCCTTGGTGAGTATACCCAGAAAGGAAGAAGGCTTTTCCTCGCTCGACATCAACGTCTTGGTCACACATGTCTACGAGGGTGACAACTTCGGCGACGGAGAAGCCTTAGCCAACGAGTTGATTAATGTCTTGGGATTGGCAAAGGTGGCCAAGTGGAACCGTCCTATCAGTTGGTTGGGAGTGTACGGGGACAAGCCCGTGCCCATTGCCATGGAACAAGGCTTGTTCGGTTAGCACTCGGGAGTCTGCCACATCTGTGCAACCACCAGGTGTCAGACAGACCAAACTGTGGAAATTCGTCCTACAGATGACAATTCTTTAGGAGCGTATTGGTAGGTTGCTTATATAATTCTATGCTAAACTTCACCCTTAGTAATTCAACGCATACTCGATGGAAGCAGTGTAGCCGTAGACCCCCAATCCACAAACCACCGCCAACGCCTTGTCGCTTAAGTATGACTGGTGTCTGAAGGGCTCTCTTTGGTGGACATTGGTGATGTGGACCTCTATAAATGGTATGGCAGTTCCCAAGAGAGCATCTCTTATCCCCACAGACGTATGGGTATAGGCACCAGCATTAATGATAATGAAGCCCACTCCCTGTCTTTGCGCCTCATGAATACGATCGATTATGAATCCTTCGGTGTTGTTTTGGTAGACCAACAATTCTGATCCATTATTCTTGGCCTGTGCTTGCTTTATTCCTGCCTCTTCGATATCTTTCAATGAGGTTGTTCCATACTTTTCTGGTTCTCTGGTTCCTAAAAGGTTCAAGTTAGGACCATTTATGAGCAATACTTTCTTAACCATAATCGGCGAGTTGAGAAGGTGGTGAATGGTTGACGACAGCTACAAGGATCAGGAATTGATACAAGTAGAAAATCGGTTTATTGCTGGTTCTGCGACCGTTTTTGAGCTCGTATGACCGAAGCCTCATATGCAGATCGCGATAAGGACAGTGTGGGGGGGAACTAATTTTAGTGAACTACAGAGTACATCACCTCAAGGAAGCAACAGAAACGACTTGGCTGGAACGACTGTGGGATGTTGATTTTAGTAGTGAAGTATATGCAGAAGGGATTTTTGATTTCTGATTAGCAACTATTTTGATTTTTGCAAAATAATAACTAAAATTCGCAGGAGCACAGCCCAAATTCAACACAATATTCAATGGAGAAAGACAAACAGTGAAGCGAATGCCACCATAGCTTCTGTACGAGATTGATTCCATGAATAGAAAAAGTACTTAGGAAAATAATAAATCAAGTTCAATTAATACGGGATTTTAGTAACAACCATACATGTTGCGGCTTTTATTGTTAATTTGAAGTAGAGGAAGTTACATGGAGTGTAAGTGAACTTGGTGAACAATTATATGAAGTTAGGAATAGTCTTCTTACGGAACCCAATTTTCACGTTCACCATTTGCATCCAACAAGTGTAAAAGAATGTGAAAAATAGATTATTACAGAATCCCAATTGTCAGCTGACAAGTTGGATATAACTAGAGCTACCAGTATGAAACCTCAATTACAGATAATCCCAAGGACGTTGACTACACCCACATTCCGCCATATTCCATTTCCTATTATGCCGCAAAAACTGTTGGACATTTCGATCCTGTATGGGAGAACTTGCAATGTTCAAACTGTAATTGATGAGCATCTCTGAAAAATTTGAAAATCAGATAACACAACCATCTCATCTCCATAGAACTCCACACTGCACCATGTCCGTTGTTGGCTCGTTAATCTTCTGTACATACTGTGGTAACCTCTTGAATACCACCAGCTCCAAATCTACTATACAGTGTGGTTTGTGCACTGCCTCATATCCAAAGTCCAAGTTCAGCGACTTGAAGGTGGTGACGACTTCTTCAGACGATGCATTCCCTTCCAAGCTTAGATCAGACCGTTCCGTGGTCAAGACCTCCTTGAAGAAGGACGAGTTGGACGAAGGTGCCACCATCAAAGAAAAATGTCCCAAATGTGGAAACGAAGAAATGCAATACCATACCTTGCAATTGCGGTCTGCGGATGAAGGTGCTACCGTGTTCTACACATGTACGTCCTGTGGATACCGTTTCAGAACCAATAACTAGACACATTTTACTTCGATTGTACATTATTTCCTGCATACACAATAACACTTATTATACAGTTGTAGACTAGACCCTCTAGTTTAAATACCCTTAGTTCACGGTGGCGTATTCCAACTCATTGGAATTTTCATACTCGTACATATCCAATGCAACAATAGCAGAATCTCTCACCACTTCATCCTTGTCGTTGAGGAATGACTGCAAGACTGGCAAACATTCGTCAGTAGCAATGGATCCCAAAGCTTCGGCAGCCTCATGTCTAACCATACCGGCTTCCGAGCTGTCCTTCAACACCTTGATTAAGGAAGGAACAGTGACTGGGTTACACAATTGACCAAAGACGTAGGCAATTTCGTGCTTGAACAAAGCAGAAGGATCAGAGAAACCGGTGGCTAAAGCCAAACAGGCTTCATCGGTTCCCAAGTCTCTCAATCTGAACATGGCTCTGTATCTTTCGAACAATGGCTCGTCTTGGTTGTTCAAGATGTACTGCAACTTCTCGACCTTAGACTCCTTATCGGTAGCCATTGGAGGGGCGGGGTCGATGGAAGTGTAGGCGGACTTTTCCAAGATTTCAGTCTTGGCCTTTTCCGAGTTTTCCCACTTGATTCTTTCAATGGCCAACTCACAGGTTTGTCTGATTTCCAACAATGGGTCGTTCTTCCAGTAGTCTTCGAGCAAGTCCAATGACTCCTTGTCACCCAAGGCACCCAAGGCTTCAGCGGCTTCGTGTCTGACCATGCACTGTTGGGAGTCGTTCTTCAACACTTCTCTCAAGTAAGGCGCAGCGTGCAAGTTGTGGGTTTGGCCCAAAACGTAGGCCACTTCGTGCTTCAACAACTCGGAGTCATCCTTGAAACATTCAGCTATGTACTCGATGGCCTTGTGGACTTCGGTTTGGTCTGGGGACTCGGCTCCAATACACTTCAAGTTGAACAAAGCTCTGAATCTGTTGGCCAACTTAACGTCTCCGCTCTTGTTGGTCAAGACGTCTCTCAACTGCTCCAAAGTGGCGTTGTCTATGTTGATTTCTTCAGTCATGGTTGGTAGTGATGGTCATCGAGTCTCAAAATTTTCAGTCAAATATACGCACTTTTGTGTCGCCTGCGGGGGCAGGTCCAGAGGCGAGGAGAGTTGGGGCCGGGGAAGGTGATCAAAGGAGAGGAAGTATGATGGTCCAAGGTGCCAGTCGGTGGACACTGGCCACAATGTATTACCAACCCCGGTTTCTACACTGTTTCTACAGCTGCTACCTGGCTTTAGGAGGGCCCATACAGAGACACGATAGTGCGACATCGGATAAGTGCACCATGTCTGGTTAGACACGCGACACGGTGAGCTACGTCGAAAAATGGCCCGCGCACGATGGCCACTGACAAAAATTTAGCCTGCAAGCGTAATACAGTTGTATCAATAAAGACATAATGGCAGCACAACAGCAGGGAATGGCTATGCCTGATATGTCCAATGCCATCGTGGCTCAGGACGAAATGGGAAGACCGTTCATCATTGTCAGAGACCAAGGAAAGAAGCAAAGAAAGCATGGATTAGAAGCCACCAAATCACACATATTGGCCGCCAGATCAGTGGCGTCCATAGTAAAGACCTCGTTGGGCCCAAGAGGGTTGGACAAGATCTTGATCAGTCAGGATGGTGAAATCACCATAACAAACGATGGTGCCACCATTTTGTCCCAGATGGATTTGGACAACGAAATCGCCAAGTTATTGGTGCAATTATCCCGTTCTCAAGATGACGAGATTGGTGACGGTACCACTGGTGTCGTCGTGATCGCTGGGGCTTTGTTAGACCAAGCCTTGGAGTTGATTGAGAAGGGTATCCACCCTATCAAGATTGCTAACGGGTTCGATGAGGCCTGTAAGATTGCCATCCAACAGTTGGACAAAGTGGCGGATGAAATCAAAATTTCTGCCGATGCCTCCGATCCAAACCTCTTGAGGGCAGCAAAGACCTCCTTAGGTTCCAAGATTGTTTCTAAGAGTCACGATCAATTTGCCCAAATGGCAGTGGATGCAGTTTTATCCGTTGCTGATTTTGAAAGAAAAGATGTCGATTTCGAATTGATAAAAATGGAAAAGAAGGTTGGTGGATCGCTTGAAGACTCCTCCCTCATCAAGGGTGTCTTGTTGGAAAAAGATTTCTCCCACTCCCAGATGCCAAAGCACATTGAAGATTGTAAAATAGCCATTTTAACTTGTCCATTGGAGCCACCTAAGCCAAAGACCAAGCATAAGTTAGAAATTTCTACCGCTGAAGAATTCAAGGCCTTACAAGAATACGAACAAAAGAAGTTCCAGGAGATGATTGACTGCATCAAGAATTCTGGAGCCAACGTGGTTGCTTGTCAATGGGGTTTTGATGACGAAGCCAACCACTTGTTATTGGCCAACGGCTTGAACGCTATCAGATGGATCGGTGGTTCTGAATTAGAATTATTGGCTATCGCCACCAACGGGCGTATTGTTCCAAGATTCGAAGACTTGACTCCCGAGAAATTGGGAACTGCTCAATCTATCAGAGAATTGGAATTCGGTACTACTAGAGATCGTATGTTAGTGGTGGAGGGCTGTTCCAACACCAAGTCCGTCACCTGTTTTATCAGAGGTTCTAACGACATGATTGTTGATGAAGGTGTCAGAGCTTTACATGACTCTATATGTGTTGTGCGTAACTTGGTCAGAGACAACAGAGTGGTGTATGGTGGTGGTGCTGCCGAATTGACCTGCTCATTGGCAGTTTCAGAGGCCGCCGATAGACAAAAGGGCATAGATCAATACGCCTTCAGAGCCTTTGCATCCGCTTTGGATACTATTATAATGACCTTGGCTGAAAACTCCGGTTTGGACCCAATCGATACATTGTCTGGCTTGAAGGCCAAGCAAGCTACCGAGAAGTCCTCGCAATTGGGTGTTGACTGCCTTGGTAAAGGAACCAACGACATGAAGGAATTGTTCGTTATAGACCCATTGATTGGTAAGAAACAGCAATTGTTGTTGGCCACTCAATTGACCAGAATGATCTTGAAAATCAACGATGTGATCATCAGTGGAAAGGATGAGTATTAATGCATATAGTGATACATTAGCGAGTTAGTGTTTGTAGCAAACCAAACTACAGTACTTAAATACCCAGGCTTTAGTTGCGAAGATCTAAATTACCACCATGTCGATGCAACAACCCTGTAGCCATTAGTAACTAACAACTTGACATACTGAGAAGCACGGGAATCAGCACAGGAGACATTACCAAAGAGAAGGAGTAGAGGATAAACATTCCTACTGCCTCATAGTGAGCCGTCCTCACTGCCGGTACTGGTGGCCATAGTCTGTCGTGCGCGGCACAAACAGCGCCAACCTCCACAACCTCCGAGATTCCTGACACACCCCAGCCTCTACTGATCAATCATCTTCCCCGTCTCAACTCAATAAATCACCTTTCATCATGGCTAGTATGGGAACCCCCGCGGTTGTCATGGACAACGGTACTGGATTGACCAAATTGGGATTTGCTGGTAACGATTCCCCATCATTCGTGTTTCCAACTGCGATCGCTACCTCTTCATCGTCCTCGAAGAACACCAAGTCCACCAGCGGTGGATCAGCATCATTCTTGTCTTCCAAGAGGGGACTCGAGGACTTGGACTTCTATATTGGAAACGAGGCTCTCAATGCTGCCAGCGGCCCCAATTACAACCTCTCATATCCAATTAGGCATGGACAGATCGAAGACTGGGATCACATGGAAAGATTCTGGGAGAACTCCATCTTTAAGTACTTGAGATGTGAACCAGAGGACCACTACTTCTTGTTGACCGAACCACCATTGAATCCTCCTGAAAACAGAGAGAGCACTGCCGAAATCATGTTCGAATCGTTCAATTGTGCTGGTTTATACATTGCAGTCCAAGCTGTTTTGGCGTTGGCTGCTTCCTGGACTTCGTCCAAGGTCCAAGATAGATCTTTGACCGGTACGGTTATCGACTCAGGTGATGGTGTCACCCACGTTATACCGGTGGCCGAAGGGTATGTGATTGGTACTGCTATCAAAAACATCCCATTGGCAGGTAGAGACATCACTTCGTTTATCCAACAGGTATTGAGAGATCGTGGTGAAGCTGATACCAGTTTACAAACTGCTGAAAAGATCAAGCAGCAATTCTGTTACGTGTGTCCTGACATTGTCAAAGAATTCCGTAAATTCGATCAATATCCCCAAGAGAAGTTTGCCCAGTATGTGGTCGAGTATGCTGACAAGAGCAGAACCAACGTGGTGGACGTCGGTTACGAAAGGTTTTTGGCCCCAGAAATCTTTTTCAATCCAGAAATCGCTTCTTCTGATTACTTGACTCCTTTACCTACTGTTGTCGATCAAGTGATTCAGTCTTCCCCAATTGATGTTCGTAAAAAGCTTTACAAGAATATTGTTTTGTCCGGTGGTTCTACTATGTTCAAGGACTTTGGCAGAAGATTACAAAAGGACTTGAAGGGATTGGTCAACGAGAGAATTGAGTTGAGTGAAAGATTAAGCGGCGTAAAGAGTACTGGTGTGGATGTTCAAGTCATTTCTCACAAGAGACAACGGAACGCCGTTTGGTTTGGTGGCTCATTGTTGGCACAGACTGCCGAGTTCAAGTCTTACTGTTACACCAAGAGTGATTATGACGAGTATGGCCCAAGTATTGTTAGAAACTTCTCTTTGTTCTCTGTGCCATAGTTGTCAGCGTATAGAAGAATACAGACAAATTACGAGAATAAATGAGGTTGCCCAGAGTGTTGTAGACTGGTCTGACTAGTAAGACATAGTAGAGGACGAAAGTATTATTTTTTCCATAATTTTCATTATTTCTGGTGCTAGTATCTCCTTATTCCATGACTAAGTTTTCAATGCCATGGTTTGATGTCTTGTAAACGAACCCGAAGAACGAACTTCATGTGGGACGAATATACCATATATGTAGGCTGAATGTCAATCTATAATAATAACTAGTCAATGCATCGTGCTCAGAGTCATTTCGGTACCAACATTTGTTTAGCTTGTAGTACCAACGGTATGGAATCGAAGCAAGAGGAGCAGATATTCAGTGAACACCTAATACATACAGGCACCAGCAGCTCTACCATCCCAAGTCCAATTGACCCTAAGTCCCTCGAACTTGTATTTCGACAATTCTCGTTAGGTAGCGCCAGTCGTTCCGGTCGTGCCCGCCCAGCCACCAATATTTCAACCGATAAGAATGACACTACCATTCCATAGGCCATCTAGCATAGAAAACTATCTAGTACTGGCACCAACAACAACCCACCACCAGTACCCGCACAACAACAGGGTTCTCCGTGCCATCCAAGCTTTGCATTGCCATCAATCGGAGCCAATTATCTACGTTCCGTGACTAAATCAACATCTCAACAATAGTCAATATGTCCTCGGCAATCCAAGTGGTGGATGGGGTTGCGTTGACACAGATATTCAACGGATTGAAGTCCACTAAAGAGGAGGAAAGAAACAGCTATGCATTGGACTTGAGGAGCTATCTCGAATCGATAGCTCGAGATTTGTCGGCAGAGCAATTCAATCGGTACAACAACGACATTAACAAGACCATTTTCGAGCTTTTACACGGCAAGGAGCAGTCAGAGAAGCTTGGCGGTATAGCAGCCATGAATGCATTGATAGACTTCGATTCTGGAGTGGGTGAAGAGAATGCCACCAAGACTGCCCGTTTCTCCAACTACTTAGGGTCTCTCATTTTATCCAATGATCTAGTAGTCATGAAAGCTGCTACGAAGACCTTGGGTAAATTGGCTACGCCAGGTGGTACATTGACAGGAGACTTTGTTGATTTCGAAGCTAAAAGGGCCATTGAATGGCTACAAAGCGACAACAGACAACACGAGAACAGAAGACATGCAGCGATCTTAATCATAAATGCCTTGGCTGACAATGCACCAACTTTGTTATACAGCTTCATCAGCCAAATTTTGGATCATTTGTGGATCCCATTGAGAGACCATAAACTAATCATCAGGACTGACACAGCAATGGCGCTTGAAAAATGCATGAATATTATCTATGATCGTGACATCAATGCAAGGAATTACTGGGTAAAGAAGTTAATTGATCTGGCATCGAAGTTGCTCAATGAACATGACCTAAACGATAATGGTGATAATTCTAATGCTACGTCTTCCAATGCATCATACAATTTAATCACTTCTGCATCATCCAGCTCTTCCGAAAGTATCCATGGTTCTTTATTGGTCTATCGTGAGCTTATAAAGTATTACAAGGATCCATACATTTTTTCAAAGTTTGAACAGATCTATGAAAATGTGATCCTTTACAAGAACCACAAATTGTCCATTATCAGACAAGAGTTGACCAACATTTTTCCTTTACTATGCAAGATCAACACAGAACTTTTTGTCGAAAAATACCTTCATAGAACCCTTTACTACTACTTATCACAGTTGAAGAAGTACAAGAATCAGCATAATGAAACTGCTAACTCAGATAAGAGTGCAATTTTTAAAAGCATCGGACTTATTTCATTGGAGGTAGGCAACCAAATGGCAACCTACTTGGATGCAATCTTGGATAATATAAGAGAAGGATTATCGTATCCAACAAACTCAAGTGTTCAACTGATATTGGTGAATGCTGTTATCAGCGAATCCCCAAATCCAAATGTGTCGGGATTGAACTCAATTGCAACGTCATCGGCAAACGCATCTAAGTATAGAGCCAGCAGAAAGGATACAGAACCGGCCATATTCAATTGTATTGGGAAATTATCCATTGCAGTTGGTCCAGCTTTAACCAAGCATTTACAAAGAGATATCTTAGATATGATGTTCACCAATTGTTCCTTATCAAAGCACATGCAAGATGTATTGCAAACTTTAATCCACAACATACCATCATTAACGAATCTTATTAACCTGAAGTTACTCAACTTGTTGAGTTTGGTGTTATCAGGTAAAACATTTCAACCTCCCGGATCACCTTACGGCTCAGTTAAGATGAATGAGTCTTTGGCGAGAGATTATAGACTCATCATGATATCAAGAGACACTGGCATGAGCATTAACAATATTCTAATGAATCAAGAAACTTACGATTACTTAGATAGTGCTATTCTCATTCAAGCCTTGGAGATGTTGGCATTCTTTAAGTTCGAAAACTATCTCCTTAATGAGTTCGTCAGATACTGTACAATAACATACTTGGAAAATAATAATGGGAAAGTACGTCAAGTTGCAGCCATCACTTCTTGTGAAATATTCATCAAAGATCCTATTTGTCAACAGACAAGTGTTAACGCGTTAAACGCAGTGAATGAGGTTTTGGATAAACTCTTATCTATTTCAATCTCCGACCCCATTCCTGAAATCAGGTTAGAAGGATTGAATTGTTTGGCAAACGCTGGTAACTTTGATCCTCAATTATCTCAAGCAGACAATGTGAGATTACTCTTTATTGCTTTAAATGACGAAGTGTTCAGTATAAGAAAAACCGCAATCAAGATATTGGGAAGATTGTCTTCTATAAATCCAGCATACATTGTGCCATCATTAAGAAAAACACTTATTCAATTGCTTTCTAGGTTGGAATACTCAACTTCGAGTCGTAAAAAGGAAGAAAGTGCAACCCTCTTATCATTGTTGATTAGCAGTTCTAAAGAGTTGACTCGACCATATGTCAAACCAATCGTTGAGGCATTGTTAAGTAAGGCGAAGGATTTGAGTCCATCAGTAGCTTCAAGTGCAATTAACTGTATTGGTGAGGTGGCAGTTGTCGGTGGAGAAGATTTACAACCATTCATCAAGGATCTTATGCCAGTATTGCTTGAAACTTTTCAAGACCAGANTTCTTCGTATAAGAGAGATGCTGCTTTGAAAACATTAGGTCAATTGGCAAGTTCATCCGGATATGTTATACAGCCTTTGTTGGACTATCCACAACTCTTGGGCATGTTGGTTGGAATTTTGAAGCTGGAAACTTCGACTCAAATTAGAAGGGAAACGGTCAGACTTCTAGGAATTTTAGGTGCCTTGGATCCTTACAAGCATCGCGAAGTCGAGCAACACTCTAAATCTATTCCAGTTGAACAAAATGCTCCTCCTGTTGACGTGGCACTTTTGATGCAAGGTATGTCACCATCGAATGATGAATATTACCCAACAGTGGCAATCAACAATTTGATGAAGATTTTGAAAGATCCTTCTTTGAGCAACCACCACACAAAAGTTATTCAAGCGATTATGTACATCTTCCAAACCTTAGGATTAAGGTGTGTATCCTTCTTGCCTCAAATCATCCCAGGTATAATTAATGTGATGCATACGTGCCAAGTCTCAATGTTGAAATTCTATTTCCAACAATTGGGAGCATTGATTTTAATTGTTAAGCAGCACATTAGACCATTCTTACCCGAAATTTTCGGGGCAGTTAAGGAGTTCTTCAATGTTCAATCTCAACTGAGTATTCAAGTTATTATCATAAGTTTGATTGAGTCAATATCAAGAGCGTTAGAGGGAGAGTTTAAGATGTATTTACCAGACGTGTTGACATTAATGTTAGAAGTTTTTGATGAAGATAAATCCGTTAAGAGAGAACCATCGTTGCACGTCTTGAAAGCATTTGTTGTGTTCGGTAGTAATATTGAGGAGTATGTGCATATTATTGTTCCTACGATTGTGAAAATGTTCGAGGTGGGACCATTGATCTTGAGAAAAGCTTCAGTTGAGACTATTGGTAGATTATCAAGAAATGTCTTATTGAACGATATGGCCTCCAGAATTATACATCCAATCTTACGAGTTTTGAGGCAGGGAAATGATGAACTCAAAGTGGCAGCAATGAATACCTTGAGCTTTTTGTTACTTCAATTAGGTACAGAGTTTAGTGTATTCATCCCTGTTATCAAGAAGGTTTTGATTCAACAAAAAATCCACGCCCCTAAGTTTGAACAACTTGTCAACAAACTTGTAAGTGGAGATCCATTGCCACCTTTTCTTGATATATACAAGGATTACGATACCCATCTGCACCATTTGGATATTCCAGAAGTTGATATGCCATCTAAGAAATTACCAGTTAATCAAGCAGCTTTGAAATTGGCGTGGGATTCGAGCCAGAGAAGAAGCAAAGAAGACTGGCAAGAATGGATTGGTAGATTGAGTAAGGAGTTGTTGAAGCAAAGTCCCAGTCATGCCATCAGGGCTTGTGCGGGATTGGCTTCAGATTACTATCCATTGGCGAAGGATCTTTTCAACGCAAGTTTTGCAAGTTGTTGGAGTGAATTGTATTCTCAACACCAAGAGGAGTTGGTTCAATCGTTTTGTATTGCATTATCTTCTCCTAACAACCCACCTGAAATTCATCAAATTTTACTTAACTTGGCTGAGTTTATGGAGCACGATGATAAGTCCTTGCCTATTGCAATTACAACTTTGGGTCAATACGCTCAGAGGTGCCATGCTTACGCTAAGGCGTTGCATTATAAGGAACTAGAATTTTATGAAGAACCAACGACCCCAACTATCGAGTCCTTAATCAGTATCAATAATCAGCTTCAACAATCAGACGCTGCAATTGGTATTTTGAAGCATGCTCAGTTACATCATGATTTGCAATTGAAGGAGACATGGTATGAGAAATTGCAAAGATGGGATGATGCGTTGAGAGCATACAATGAAAGGGAAAAACTCGAGCCTAATAATATGGAAATCACCATGGGTAAAATGAGATGTTTACACGCTTTGGGTGAATGGGAACAATTGTCCGAGTTGGCCAAAAGCAAGTGGGATAATTCCTCTAGTGAAATTAAGCGCAGCGTTGCACCATTGGCTGCTGCAGCTTCATGGGGTTTGGGTCAATGGGATCGTATGGATTCATGCATTAAGGTAATGAAAGCCGAATCTCCAGATAAGGCCTTTTTCAATGCGATTTTATCGCTTCATAGAAACAATTTCGATGATGCCTCCGATCACATTTTGAAAGCTCGTGATTTATTGGTTACTGAGATTACTGCATTGGTAAGCGAGAGTTACACTAGAGCTTACGGTGTGGTTGTCAGAGTCCAGATGTTGGCCGAGTTGGAGGAAATCATCAAGTATAAATGTTTACCACAAGGCTCTGAGAAGAGAGTGGTGATGAGAAAAACTTGGAATGCCAGATTGTTAGGTTGTCAAAGAAATGTTGATATCTGGCAAAGAATGTTGAAGGTCCGTGCTCTAGTAATCAAGCCTAAGCAGGACATGGATATGTGGATCAAATTTGCGAACTTGTGCAGAAAGTCCGGTAGATTGAATTTGGCAGAAAAATCTTTGAATTCTTTACTTGAAGAAGGATCACCAGAGAATCCATCTCGTGCTCCGCCGCAAGTTGTTTATGCTCAATTGAAATATATGTGGGCCAAGGGACAACAGAAAGAGGCGTTGCGCCATTTAGTTGATTTCACCACAAGGATGTCGCAGGACTTGGGTTTGAATCCTAATGATTTAATTACCCAGCCTTTGCCATCGGAAGGTCCTGGAATTCCTAAGCATGTTGAAGATTATACCAAGTTGTTGGCCAGATGTTTCTTGAAACAAGGTGAATGGCAAATAGCTTTAAACAATAACTGGAGGTCAGAGACATCGGAGATTATTTTAGGTGCCTACCTCTTAGCAACTCACTTTGATGATAAATGGTACAAAGCATGGCACAATTGGGCGTTGGCGAATTTCGAGGTTATTTCACTCTATACCACAAATCAAAATGAGTCCAAGCCAGCAGATATTATGGAGCAGAATGAACAAGTCAAGTTGGCGGCAGGAACAAATGATGAAGAATCCAAGCAAAAAGTTCCAAATCAGCCAACAAACATGATTCCGATGGAAGCCGTCCAACGTCATGTTATACCATCCATTAAAGGATTTTTCCACTCAATTGCTTTATCAAACTCTGACTCTTTGCAAGATACTTTGAGATTGCTTACTTTATGGTTCAAGTTTGGTGGTATTCCTGAGGCTGCTCAGGCTATGACTGAAGGGTTCAACATGGTAAAAATCGACAAGTGGTTGGTTGTGGTTCCTCAATTAATCTCAAGAATTCATCAGCCAAATCAAATTGTGAGTACCTCCTTGTTTGGTTTATTGGCCGATTTAGGCAAAGCACATCCACAAGCTTTGGTTTACCCATTAGCTGTTGCAGTGACATCTGAATCTTTGAACCGTAAAAAGGCGGCAGAGTCCATTATCGAGAAGATGAGAGTGCATTCTTCGAATTTGGTTGATCAAGCAGAACTTGTGAGTCACGAATTGATTAGAGTTGCTGTGTTGTGGCACGAACAATGGTACGAAGGTTTAGAAGATGCATCAAGATTATTCTTTGGTGAGCATAATACAGAAAAGATGTTTGCAGTATTAGAGCCACTCCATCAAATGTTACAAAAGGGCCCTGAAACTATGAGAGAATCAGCATTTACGACTACCTTTGGAAGAGAATTGGCAGATGCTTATGAGTGGGTATTAAACTACCGTACTACGAAGGATATCACCAATTTAAACCAAGCTTGGGATATCTACTATAATGTATTCCGTCGTATCAGTCGGCAATTACCTCAATTGCAGAGTTTAGAGTTGCAATATGTTTCTCCCAAGTTAGAGGAAGCAAATAATTTGGAGCTTGCTGCTCCTGGTACCTATCAGGCAGGCAAACCAGTAATTCGAATCATAAGGTTCGACCCTACTTTTTCTGTCATTTCATCTAAGCAGAGGCCCAGAAAGTTGGTTTGTAAAGGCAGTGATGGAAAGGATTATCAGTATGTTTTGAAGGGACACGAAGATATTAGACAGGATAACTTGGTTATGCAATTATTTGGATTGGTTAACACGCTTTTGGTGAATGATCCAGAGTGCTTCAAGAGACATTTGGATATTCAACAATATCCAGCTATTCCCCTTTCTCCAAAAGTTGGTCTCTTGGGATGGGTACCCAATAGTGATACCTTCCATGTATTGATTAAGGAGTACCGTGAATCAAGAAAGATCTTACTTAATATCGAACACAGAATCATTTTGCAGATGGCTCCTGACTATGATAGTTTGACATTATTACAAAAGGTTGAAGTATTTACTGGGGCTTTAGATAACACTAGAGGTCAAGATTTGTACAAAGTTTTGTGGTTGAAGTCTAAGTCTTCTGAAGCATGGTTAGATCGTCGTACGACTTACACTAGATCGTTGGCCGTGATGTCCATGGTTGGGTACATTCTCGGATTAGGGGATCGTCACCCTTCTAACTTGATGCTTGATCGAATAACCGGTAAGGTAGTTCATATTGATTTCGGTGATTGTTTTGAAGCAGCTATTTTGAGAGAAAAGTATCCAGAAAAGGTTCCCTTTAGACTCACAAGAATGTTAAACTACGCGATGGAAGTAAGTGGTATCGAGGGTTCATTTAGAATCACATGTGAGCATGTCATGAGAGTATTGAGAGATAACAAGGAGTCCTTGATGGCAATTTTAGAAGCATTTGCTTATGATCCATTGATTAACTGGGGTTTTGATTTCCCCACCAAGGCAGTGGCCGAGGCCACTGGTTTGAAAGTCCCTCAAGTTAATACCGTTGAATTATTGAGAAGAGGCCAAATTGACGAGCAAGAAGCAGCTAGATTAACAAAGCAGAACGAACTAGAAATAAGAAATGCTAGAGCTGCACTTGTGTTAAAGAGAATTACAGACAAGCTTACTGGTAATGATATTAAGAAGTTAAGAGGATTGGATGTTCCTACGCAGGTTGACAAATTGATTCAACAAGCTACTAGCGTTGAGAACTTATGCCAACATTGGATTGGATGGTGTTCTTTCTGGTGAAACCAGGGTCCAACAATTAATCTATAATGGTTGTAAATTGGATTAAATAAAAAGTTAATGAGATTTAAAACACCCTGTAGTTTACAATTAGCCAGTTTCTATACAATATTTCAATCCAAGTCTATGCTGATATAACGACACAAGCTGACCTAAGCGATTTTCTTAGAAGCAGCAGTAAAACCAATACCCTTCACGGTTGCGGTCATGTATTGTTCTTCACCGGGAATAGGCTCCTCGGCACCATCCTTCAAAAACACTTCAGTGTCGAACACATTCTTGATATCTCTCAAGATCCACACGAAGTCTTCATCGATCTGATCTTTATGTAATTTCAATCTTCCTATGTCTTCTTTACCGATAGTCATATACACCAAACTCAACATGATTTGATTTCTTCCAATAATACAACTCTTAGTTAATTCATCCAATAATTCGTATGCTACCTTTTCACCCAAGTCTTCTGGCAAAGAACCGGCTGAACCAACACCTTCAGTCAAAATTCTCCATCCTTTTTTCAGCTCTGCAACCAAAGTTACTCCGAAACCGGGCGACAAACCTGAAGATTCACCTCTCCATACGTCAGCAGTAATGTTAACTTCGACCCCAGTTGGTCTCAACACCTGTCTGGCACTGTCAATCATTCTATTCACCACGGAAGGCGAGACTCTAGTGCAATAGGCCACACCTCTGATTGCAGAGAATTTGGGAGCATCAAGAGCATGGATGGTCAATGGTTGGGGAATGAGCGAATTACACATGAAATGCACTTCTCCTCCTCCCAATGGAGGTGACCCTCTCTTCAAAATGTGTAAGGATGCTTCTCGCACACCGAACTTCTCCATGACTGACAACAAACCCCACTTGATGGCTTCAATACCGGCATCTTTTGACTTGTCTGATGCAGTCAAGCCTTTGAATATGATGGAAAACTTCTTTTTGGAGAATGGCGCCAAGTACAACATGGGTTCGATGAAATATCCAACTGGCTTTGTTGTGGGACAGTTGTGGGTGAGCTCGCCACCAATAATGATACCTGGATTGAAAACAACAGTGGTACCTGTGTAGGAGATCTCGATACGGGAACCGTTGGTCACTGCTTCCAACAACCTCAAGAAAGATACCTCGTGGTCCTTCAAACCCGGGTTCATGTCGTTGGATCTGATTTTTGTGATTTTGATGGGCTTGCCCGACAACGTCGACAAGATCAAACGGAGTCTGAAGTTACGGTGACCCTCGAAGGTCACCACGCCTTTGTTTTTGCTGGACATGATGGTGGTGGAATGATAGTACCAAGGCCAAAACTTTTTTGATGCTCATCGGTATGGTCGGTCATGTGACCACAACTGTCCACTCCACCAGTTGGGTCGACCCGCACCGATAAACAGTGATCACTACCACTGCAATCATTAGCGCCATGTCCGGGAACGAATCGTCTCAGTCTAAGAGACCCCAAGAAGACGACACTTTTGATGATGCCCAGAACAAGAAATTGAAGACTGAATCTGGTCTTGGTAATGATAGCCAATTCGACGATATCTTCAACGACCCTATTCCAGGCTTTGGGAGCAGTTTCGCAGGGTCTGACGGTAATGCCGGGAGCACCCAGTCAGGCAGCACCATGGACATTGATTTCGACACCTTGCCAGCTGGTTTCTTGGAAGCAGAACCAGTGGGCCATTCGCAAGACGTGGGGGGCAAGAATAATGGAGCAACTGGACACAAGCAACCTGAAATTAAGAAAGAGCCATTACCCTTATCAAGCACCAGGACGGCGGATATCAGAACTGGACCTCCTCCCACGAACCTCACTCCCTCTGGCCCCACAGCTACCAGTCTGTTCACAAGCTCAAACTTGAACCCAAACAACCCAGGGTCGATCCCAAGTTCCATATCTAACCCCATGTCCAAGCTTCCACCAGCAAGACCAATGTCGTCTATGATCTCATCGTCTCAACCGTACCAACACACAACCCTCCCATATACCGACTCTAGGTTGCCCGCGAGCCAGGACAACTCAAAGTACGATTCATCAAAATTGAACGATGCCATTGCTGCTGCTGGTGTCAATTTGCAACAAGAAGAAGACCTCATGGCACAACAGCAATTAAACCGCAGATCCGAGTTGTCTGGAGATCTCAAGTCCATGTTGCGCGGAGCAAAGCCTCCAGCATTCTTGAATGCTTTTCATGTTGCATCTTTCATGAACAAGGTAGCCAAGGAGAACGGCGTGCAGCAAAACTTCTTACAAGATGGCGAGTTGTTGGAGCTTGTTTCCTCTGCATGTGAGTACTGGATGTCGAACATTTTGACCAAGACCATCATATTGTCACGCCACCGTCGTAGAGGAATTCCTGCTTTGAATCCTAGCAATACAAACACAAACAATAAGAGCAAGAAAGCTACATCATCGAATTCGGCTTCCAGATCCGAACTCTCCAAGGGTCTTCGTGACCTTGCAACAAAGCAAAAGGAACTCGAGGAGAAAAGAGTTGCAAAAAGAGTCCTCCTTGGATTGGAAAAAAATGCGCTGGACGCTGCTGAAGCTGCTCTGGAGAATTCCAAGGCTGGTGCTGAAGAAACCCTCCACCGTGCAGCCAATGCCACGGCAGCAATGATGACAATGAATCCCGGTCGTAAGAAATATTCTTGGATGACATCAAACGCAGGAAATAACGACCAAAATAAGGGTGCAGCTGACAAGGATGGTAAGAACAAGCAGAGCTCAATTATATCGGTCAGAGGTGACAATGGGCTTCGTTTCCGTGAAATTCGTTCGGGTAACTCTGTGACGATGAAAGATTTATTGGGTGCCATTGAGGATGAGCGGATGGGCACCGAAAAGGCAATTATCAAAGGATTTGCCAAGCTCAAAGACTAAGTTCTTGTAGTAAAGTATGTAATATAGATTAAATGTACAGTACCATGGTGACTTTCTGGGGCACGTGACCGATCTCTATACTTGGGAGGCGTTTCGCGTCCCAAACATAAACATCATCAGATCACAGCACACTCTAGCCATCGCCCTCCTGGTGCTGCCTTTACAAGCTCACGTTAAGCCAATCTGTAATTCACAATTGAAGACTAGAAATTTATCCACCAGGTTACATCACAAACTGTATTATACTACCTATCCAAAATAAAGTACCGCGATGGACTTCAATTTGACCACATACTTCAACGCCTTTGACGTGGATAAAGACTACTCCATAGACTTTGGTGATATAGACCATAAACTTGAGAGTGTCACAGACTCATTGGCTAATAATCCGGACTCTATCAACTACAACAATGAGTTATTGGAAGATCTTATCGAACTAGTACATGGCTACAGAACACTCGATTCCAAGCACCAAAAACAACTTTCTTACTTGATTACATCCTCTTTCAACACAATAGCATTCCAGTTCCATAATATTGTCGAAAGTGGCGATTTTATTGACTCGTTGGACCAGATCAAAGCTACTCTCGAAAAGTATGGATACTTGACTTTTGTTTTGGCCAAGCTCTTGAGCAAAGAAGAGCACCAGCATCAGAGCGGTAGAAAACTGACTTCCAGCTCGCAAGCTGTGGCAAAATGGAAGTCCAACTGTGTTCAAGTCGAAGATTGTCTTATCGCTATCACGACAGTACTTAAAATTGACTTGGGCAAAATATTCATCACTACGCCCGAGAGAGATTTATTCATTGAATTGTTCACTAGACCTATAATGAACTTGATGGAAAGCCCCGAAAGAATGAAAATGGCAACTATAAAAGGATTAATATTCCAAATTCTTTCAGTATCAGTGAAGTTTCATGGTCATGCTGCGATCATACAGCATTCAATTATTCAATGTCTTACATACTACCTCCATCTTCCACCATATATGGCCGAATTATTGCATATGTTATCTGAGAAATATGATTACATGGTTTTGACTGAGGAAGTATTGAGAGAAATATCACAAACGCAATTCAATTCCAATGATACCAATGGTCCAAAGGCAGTTTCAGAATTTCTTGTTAAGCTTTCTGAGTTGAGTCCTAGATTGATCCTCAAGCAGATGTCTAGCATTTCTCAGTTATTGGATAACAGTAATCAAACCTTAAGATGCTCAGTTGTGGAAACCTGTGGTAATATTGTGGTGGACATACTCAAATCAGCAACAGATGAATCCGAGGAAAGCCATAATATAACACAGCAGGTAGATGGGCTATTGGATTTACTCCAAGAAAGGTTTTTAGATCAGAATCCATATGTGAGAACTAAAGCATTTCAAGCGTTGACAAAAATTGCTGGCTTGAAAGTAAAATTGACAGCAAGGAGGCAAATCATGATGCAATTGTCAGTGAGATCATTAGATGATAGGAGTACTTTGGTGAGACGTAATGCGATAAAGCTTATGTCTAAGTTGGTTTTGACTCATCAATTCAATACTGCTCATGGTTCCCAATTACCTTTATCATTCTGGGAGGGTCAATTAAAAGGTGCTGAAGATGAACTCATGAAATATATACCCGTGTCACCAAAAAAGACCACAAACAAGGATTCCGCAGATAATTCTGAAAACGATCAGGATTCAATGGATATCGATGATGAAGCTCAAAGTGAAAATGAAGAAGAGAACGAGCAAAAAGATGAAAATGATGGGAGTGAGAAGGATAAAAGTATTGATTATGACGAATTAAATGCATCTATGTTACAACAGGAAGAAAATTTGCCAGACACAAATGTTTTAATTCGAGCCAAGTTGAAACTGAACTACTACAAAGACGCCGTAAATTTCATCAAAGCAATTCATAGAGGCACAGAAGTTGTGTCTAGGCTCTTATTTTCTAAGAATAGAAACGAGGCCATCGATTCTATGGATTTCCTAGTTTTGGCAGATGCATATGGTATCGAAAATGCTTCAGAAGGTATTCGCCGAATGCTTCATTTAGTTTGGATGAAAGGGTCTTCTGATGAAGGTAAATCGGTTCCATCACATTTGATAGACTGTTACAAGGACCTCTTTTTAACTGCTCCAACTAATTCTAGTAAGGTTGAACAAGCAGCATATATTGCGAAGAATTTGATTTCATTAACATACGAAGCATCAATTGCCGATTTGGCGTCTTTGGAAAAGTTGCTAGGAATGATGTACAGTGGAAAACTCATCAATCAAGAAGTTATAAGAATCTTGTGGCAAATATACAGCTATGAACCCAATAGTGGGGATTCGCCTGACTTAGTGCAAAAACAACGTCGTGGTTCTATCATCATTTTAGGAATGGTTGCATTGGAGGACAATCAAATCATTGTCAGGGGATTGGATGCTTTGCTCCACGTTGGATTAGGGGACAAAGGAAAGGAAGATCTTATATTGGCAAAATATTCATGTAATGCATTACAACGTATTGTTCTGGTTACATCTAAGAAAGATGCTGTTTTCGTTAAAATAGCAAGAGAAGATGAAGCCATTTCCAAACTTAAACAAGTGGTACTTTCGTATGAATCAAAGCCCGAATGGAATGGGGTTGCAGAACAGGCCATTGGTGCTATTTTTCAGGCATCGTCTAAACCGGACGAAGATTGCTCTGATATAATCAAAGAGAAATCTTTAAGCGTTTTCAAATCGTCAAAGCCAGGTGAATCTAAAATGGTTGCATTGTCGCAGTTACTATTTATTGTTGGTCATGTTGCAATCAAGACGATTGTTCATCTTGAGAAATTGGAAGCTCAATTCAAGAAGAAGAAACATGAAGCTGAAGTCAAGAAGAAAAATGTTGAAAACAACGAGGAAAGTGCGGAGAATGAATTAGAGATGATCGGTGGTACCTCTGAAGATGATTTCACTGATGCTATTATACATGTGAAGGAACGTGAGTTGTTGTACGGGGATAACTCGTTGTTGGCTAGATTTGGGCCCTTGGTGACAGAAATTTGTGCTAACAACAAAAATTATGATAACAAGGGCTTACAAAGATCTGCTGTATTGTGTATGGCAAAGTTGATGTGCGTGTCTTCGGTTTATTGCGAGGAGAACTTGCCCTTATTGATTACTATTATGGAGAAATCAGACGATCCAATCACCAGATGCAATTGTGTTCTTGGATTGGGTGACATGGCGGTATGCTTCAATAATATTGTGGACGAGAGCACGGATTTCCTTTATCGTCGTCTTAATGATCCAAATATTATGGTACAAAGAACTTGTCTCATGACAGTGACATTTCTTATTCTTGCCGGACAAGTCAAAGTCAAAGGTCAGTTGTATTCTATGGCCAAGTGTTTGGAAAATCCAGACCAAGGTATTAGCGACATGTGTCGCTTGTTCTTTGCCGAATTGGCCACTAAGGACAATGCAATTTACAATGGATTTATTGATATTTTCAGTGGTCTTTCTAATGACGAGTCACTTGCTAAGGAAGCTATGAAGAGAATCATCAAGTTCCTCCTCTCGTTTATCGACAAGGAGAAACACCAGAAGCAGTTGGCGGACAAATTGGTGCTCAGATTGGTCAAGTGTCAAAACGAAGCCCAATGGAATGACATTGCGTTTGTGTTGACCTCGTTGCCTTACAAGAATGAGAAGATAAGCAAAATATTGGAGGAGGGCTACAAACTTGTTTCTGCGAGACAATAAAGCTACCGAGAAAATACCAATTGGAAGAATTGACTTCGTAGAGTGCATCTTTCCCACTGCCAACGAGTAGTTATTCGCCTCTTATACAGGTAATGATAATACGAAAATTGATAATGAATACTCGCATGCTTTAAGCTGTAATCATCCTGGGTAATTTCAAGTAATGAATATAGTAGCATTATGATAACGCCATTCTGTCAGAGGAATCCACTACGGTGCTACTCTCCAGAACAAGTATTCATCATAGTGCTTCAGAGGCACGTTCCGAAGGCAATTGACCGCCCCATCATCTTCCATGCGTTGATCGCTCACCACCAATACGTTTGTTGGAGTCCCTCCCACGCATGCCGCATCGCGATAAGTAATTCTCAATTTCATGATCTTCTTCTCTAACCCACAGTCACCATGATTACATTCATCCAGGATGGCATTGCACAGCTCCTGGGCATTTTGGACATCGATGAAGCCAACTTGAAGATCTTGATCTGTGCGCTCTTATCGTTCCCGTTCAGTTTCTTGTTCAAGCGGTTGCCTGACCGCAACTATACCCTCAAGAACGTGTACAACATTGCGGTGTCGGCTTTCTACGTGTTCGGCATCCTCAACCTCTATTCGGGGTTGATGACGCTTCTCATTCTGTCATTGGGGTGCTACTTCATCACCAGATACTTGAGAACGTCCTCCATGCCATGGGTTAACTTTCTCTTCTTGATGGGCCACTTGGCATACAACCACGTCTCGGAGCAATTCTTCAACTCCTACGACCCCACAAAGATCGACATCACCGGGGCCCAGATGGTTTTGGTGATGAAACTCTCGGCATTCGGGTGGAACATCCACGATGGTAAGCAGCCTGTGGCGCTGCTTACGCCCTACGCCAGAGAAAGAATGTTGAAGAAGCACCCCAACATATTGCCCTACATTGGATATGTGTTCTTCTATGCTTCTTTGCTAACTGGCCCTGCGTTTGACTACGCTGACTATGACAAGTTCATCCACTCTACCTTGTTTGATGACGTACCCGAAGATAAGCGTCCTGGAAAGACCAAGAGAAGAATTCCTCGCAGTGGTAAGGAATCTTTGAGAAAGACCTTGCAGGGCTTCTTTTGGGCCTTTCTCTTTGCCAATTCGTCCAAATACGTGTCGCTTGACTATGTTCTTAGTGGAAAATTGGTTGCAGAACACAACTTCTTCTACAGAATATTCTACTTGTGGATTTTAGGATTCAGCCATAGATTGAAGTATTACACTATTTGGTCAATTGCTGAGGGTTCCTGTATTTTGAGTGGAATTGGCTACAATGGGGTTGATCCTGAAACAGGAAAGTTCAGGTGGAACCGTGTCCAGAACATTGATCCTTATGCGTTCGAAACTGGCCAGAACTGCAAGGTTTGTTTGGAGTCTTGGAATATGAATACCAACAAGTGGTTAAAGAATTATGTTTACTTGAGAATTGCCCGTAAAGATAAGGGACCTGGAGTCAAGAGTACCTTGTTCACGTTCGCAACCAGTGCTTTCTGGCATGGAACCAGACCGGGATACTACTTATCCTTCGTGTTGGGGGCCTTCTTCCAAACTGTTGGTAAAATTTACAGACGGAACTTTCGCCCTATTTTCTTGGAGAAGGACGGTAAGACTGCCAAGCCTAGTAAGAAGTATTACGATATTGTGTGCTACTTCGTGACCCAGTTATCTTTTGGGTACATTGTGCAGCCATTTGTTGTGTTGGACCTTAAGCAATCGTTGTATGTGTGGTCCACTTGTTACTTTTACCTTCACATTGGAATTATTGTGACCTTTTTTGTGTTCAGAGGTCCATTCGCCAAGGACGTGGTCAAATGGCTCAGATCTTTCCAAGATCAACCTGCGGAGAAGACTGTCAGGCCTTCACCCAAGAACAAGTTGAATTCACAGGAGTCGGGAATTGTCAAATCTGCAGTGGAAACCATGCTTGACAAGGAGATCAACGACGACTCGGTGTTGGGAGTGCCGTCAATCGAGGTGTTGGAGACCGTCAACCGTGAAGACATTGACCAAGAAATTAAGGAGTTGGGAGAGGCCTGGAGGTCGTTCAGGGGTCGCCGGACGTCCATTGCACAGGACGATTTTGAGGGCTTGAAGGATGCCTACAACAACTTTACCAACGAGATCAACGATATCTTTGTCACCAAGAAGAATGAGACACTTGTCAAAAAGGGTCTCAAGAAGCCCACCAACTAAGGTCCACGCGTCGAAGTATTATAGGCTTTGAAAGTACTTATCACAACTAGCTTTATGCCCTGCCAGCTTTCTGGTGGGAACTGTAGCACGAAACGTAGGGTGAAACACATACTGAGCAATTTTGTTCATACAGGCCAAAATCAGGCCGTACATCTATGATATCGCCGTTTAAGAAGCACGCTAGTGACTGGTTAAGTCTGGCTAAACATAGGAACTCATGCCCGTGAAAATACGGATGAAGCAGCTTTAGCACCTAAATTAAGAAAACACAAACCAATACAAAAGCGTTTTCAAATACACTACAATGTTCTCTACTGACATTTAGAAATAATGCCAGAAGAAAGATCTGAGGCTTCTTTGGTTAGCACGTAAATATTTGGCACAGCCTCTCACTCGTAGATAAATAGGAACAGGAATATTGTCTTCGCTTCATGGAATATCCATAACGAGAGTGATTCTGGAGAAGGCACATTCCTTCAGGACTGGGACAGAGCCCATCAAACAGTTAGAAAACAGTACGGTGGCTAGATTCTAATAAAGTGTGAACAGAAACCAAGTTTTACACGAAGTTAGCTAATTAAGCCAAGTTAGCTATTCTCACTTAACCAGCAATTCAGTCAGCCAAGTTAGGTTATCCTCATAAAGCTACAGGTCTGAGACTTTCCCGTCTCATAAGCTACTCTGTAGCATGACGACGGTGGCACTATCACCTGCAGATCCCTGACCCACTCGGCCCCACCATGTGGCTGGTGCCGATCTGGAATGTCTCAGAAGCTGACAAAGCACATGCGTAATCTGGGGCCATTTTAGTGAGATCCTCCTGACTTCTTCGATAATACCTGCTACGACAATGGATGGTTTGAACGTTTCCAATCACGCTGGTGAGTGTTCTTACTACCAGCAACTGCCTGCTTGTCACACAGACCTCTACTCAAACTAACTGGCGGCTCTCGTGCCCCAGCCACCACCTGGCAATGCCGATTCGCATTGCATGCTCGCTAGTGGCAGCAATCCGACGTCACTGGCCGCGCAGCCAACATATATAACCACCCCAAGAGAATTAGTTGTCGCCACATCACTATGTTTAAACAGTCTGTCACCAGAACGTTTCTCAGGTTCAACAGCACCGCCTCCAAGCCAACAGGGGTGGTGTTCATGAACATGGGAGGACCCTCCAAGGTCAAAGACACCTACAACTTCTTGCTCCGGTTGTTCTCAGACGGAGACCTCATTCCGCTTGGAGGCATCCTCCAGAAGCCTCTTGCCCGGTTCATTGCCGCAAGAAGAACTCCTGAGATCGAAAAGCACTACGAGGAGATCGGTGGTGGATCTCCCATCAGGTACTGGTCAGAGTACCAGTGCACCAAGGTGTGTGAGATCTTGGACAAGACCTCGCCCGCCACCGCTCCCCACAAGCCGTACGTGGCGTTCAGATACGCCGACCCCTTGACAGAGGAGACATTGCAGAAGATGTTGGATGACGGCATCGAGCGTGCCGTCGCATTCTCGCAATACCCTCAGTTCTCGTACTCTACGTCTGGGTCCTCTGCCAACGAATTGTACAGACAGACCTTGAAAGTTGACCCTGAAAGAAAGATCAACTGGTCGATCATCGACCGTTGGCCAAAGCAAAAGCACTTCGTGGAGGCATTCGCCAAAAACATCGAGGACAAATTGAACGAGTTCGATGCCCTGATCAGAGACGAGGTGGTGATTCTCTTCTCAGCCCACTCCTTGCCTATGGACATCGTCAACAGAGGTGACTCATATCCTGCCGAGGTCGCTGCCAGTGTGTACGCCATCATGGAGACCCTCAAGTTCAAGAACCCTTACAGATTGGTCTGGCAATCCCAAGTGGGCCCCAAGCCTTGGTTGGGTGGTCAGACCGCTAAGATCGTCAAAAAGTTGGAAAAGAGAGAGGACATCAAAGGTTTGGTCTTGGTTCCTGTCGCCTTCACCTCGGACCATATCGAAACCTTGCACGAGATTGATATTGAGCTCATGGAAGAATGTGAAAACCCTCATAAGATTAAGCGTGCTGAATCCTTGAACGGTAACGAACATTTCATCGAAGGCTTGGCCGAATTGGTCAAGGACCACTTAGCATCCGGCCAATTGTACTCTAAACAATTGGAGTTGGACTGTATCTTGGGTGGTGAATTTGCTACCGGAACCTTCAAGCACCCAAGAGAAATCTTTGGTAAGAAATAAGCAGTTAAACGAGCATCGAACCACTGGAATTCATGGTAGGAGATGCTCAAGCCACGAATATCAATTCACGTCAAAATTACCTGTAATTAGCTCATCCTATAAACATATAACTGGTGGATACTTAAAATATACTTTGGAAATTGATCATAATGATCTTAATCCAACCATTCCTGCTAAGTATGTAGTTATTGACTTGCTCAGTCCGAGAATTCGTCATCTGGGTCGAACAAGTCCAAATCGAGGCCACCGGACTCTTCTTGCTTTGGCTGCTCTGCTTCTTGGGCGCCATAATCCCCAAATGAAGATCTGCGACCTGGCTTTTCTTCCTCTCTCTCTTGTGCCTTGTCTTCCTCCTTAGCCTCCTCCTTGGCAACTACTTCCTTCGCCATCTCCACATCTTCTTCACCCAATTCATTTTTGATTATTGCATCTTCTTGCAACGAGCTAGCTGCCAACATCCCCCTTCTCAAGGCATCTTCAGCTGGCCACACATAGTTATTGGGGTGTACTGTGAACTGGGCATTTGCGACAGGTGCCTTTGTGAATTTTGCCAACTTCATTGCATACTTCAAGACCTCAGATACATCCACATCATTCGCAACCACCTTCTTGGAAGCTGGTCGCCTTGGCAATTCCTTAAGGCTACTTCTGTACGATATCAACTCCTTCAAAATGTGCTTAGACTTTGCTTCAAGACTAATGTTTTCTTGATTCAACTTCTCTATTTGCTTTCCCAATTCACGGTGGCTCTGAAGGTCAGCAATTTTAGCCTTTAAATCTTCATTGACATGTATCATGCTCTCCACATTCTTGACCAAGCCGTCATCCTTGAACGAGGAGATGCTAGAGGATAACTCGCCGAGGAGTCTTTCGAACTCGGTCACTTGATGCACGATTGGTAACTCTTCAAATCTTTTCAATTCATCTCGATTGGTGATCTTGCTCCTGTAGTTACCGGGGTTGACTGGCAAGTTCCGTATGGGATTCAAAGATGATGAAACATGCACAGGAGTTGTCGGTATGGATGGATGAGGATTTGAGCCCAACTGGTTCAATCGTTGTGATGAGGAAACCCTAGATACGGGCACCGATTTGAACGGAGTTTCTTTTCGATGCAACATGGATGAGAAGCTTCACTTGTAGATGGACGTGATGCCGGGAAAGGGATCGAAGAACAAAGTGCTCGGGCAAGAATTTGGTTCTGGCTCCGAGTGTATTAGATGTTTGATTGGTATTGGGTCGTGCGAAACTTGGGTGTACTATACTATGGTCAAGAGAATCAACGTATTTGAAGATGAGGACGGTAGTGCTGGGAGCAGCGAGGAAGAAGAGGTTAAGCGGATTGTAAAGAAGCCTAAAAAAGTTCCCCCAGAGTTCTTAGAGAAATGTGGCCAAAGTGGGCAGGATCACCCAGAAGCACCGCTGCTCGGAGTTGGACTAGGAGGGTTTGAACCATTGAAAGGTATTCAGAGAACAAAAGAACTACCAGAATACCCAGATGAAGAGCCTCAGGAGTACATGAAATTCACAGTTCCAGAAGTTCTGGAAGAGTCATCCCATAAAGAGGAAACGGTGGACCAAGAACACAGTCTCAATATTCCTCTCTATGAGAGAAAAGTACCGTCAATCGGGTTGGCAATGATGGAGAAAATGGGATTCAGAATTGGGGATTCATTGGGGGTACCGAAGGATAAACCCATGAACCAAGTTCCACTTGAAGTTATTGTAAAAAATGATAGAAAAGGTATAGGTTCAAGTACAGAAATCAGTTCAGCAACAACAAAAGAATTTATATCAAGGAATGCTTCCAAATCCAAGGAGGGAAAATTGTTGAGAACAGTGCACAATCTCATGAAGCTTTGCTTTGAGTTGAGTGGGGAATCAGATAAGTGGCATGAGGATAATAGAACAGATGAAGTGACGTACTTATGGAGGGATATTCCAATTCAGTTAGAAAACAAACAGGCATTGTTGCTATCGAAGAAAAGAAGGTACGACGATAACTTCAAAGACATATTATCCATTAAAGAAAACAAGGAGTTACAAAATTTTGATACTGAGGACAAATTAACTCTATTGTTATTATATCTTAGAGAAGCCCACTTTTACTGCTACTTCTGCGGGTGCAAGTACCATGATGCTAAAGAATTGAACGAGTCCTGTCCAGGAGTCTTCGAAGAATCACACATCGCTGTGTGATTATGCGTATTGAGAGAGAATTATCGGCAATTAATCAAAGCTGGAACTTTTGAGCTGCTGAATCACTCAAAACATCGCACCCTCAAGCAATTGCTGCTTATGCAATTTTGATTTTAGGTAAAGTTCATTTGCCTTGGATACAGGCAATCTTTCGCTTCCTTCGTATGCAACAGTCGCTTGAGCTTTCAAATCTGAATTTGCATAATTAACATTATGAGCCTGTAGGTGCCCGTAGAAAATGGGAATTTCTTTTGATATTTGGTATGCCTTGGAGCCGTTCTGTGCTTCGTTATCATTTCCCCACGTTACCTTAAGATTAGACCCATTGATTATAGCACCATGCAAAAATAAAATTGCATTTTCTGCAGCATGTCTTAAGTGGAATTTAACATAAGCAGAATTGTAGTCATTGGATAACTTTGTATAAACGATATCGCCAAAGGATTGGAAGTGTGCTTCGAGCTCTTGTTCAGTAAATTTGCTTGATAATCCTCTTATCACCACAGTGGTGTTATTCGGATCGGTAAATTGGGTTAGACTAGGTTGTGCTTGAACAATCTGAATTTTTGATACGTCAGGTGAATCCGCTTTCATTGCTGTAGCTATTGGTAATTGAGCGGCAGAACCTGCTGCTAAACCAACTCTTATTGGCCTGCTCCCAATTGTAACACCATTCATCTCGGTTAATGCCCTTTTCTGAGCCTCAGAAGAATAAAACCGCACAAATCCAAATCCCTTAGATACTTTTGAAGATGGATCCACCATGATCTTCACTTGCCTAATCTGACTTGGATACTTTTCGCTGAACTTTTGCGACAACACTGATTCAGTGACTTCAGCTCCAAGATCCCCCACAAAGATCGAGTTTTCATTCTTGATGCTGTCCCCTTTTGCAAAACCACTTTGGCCTGTGGCAGGACCCGAAAATCGGTTATTTCCACCTGCACTGGCAAAATTGAGCTTCAAGACACGGGGGGATCCGGGAATTGCCATACCATTCTTTTGCATGGCTCGGGCAACAATATCTGGATTCTCGAAGGTAACAAAACAATAGGCAGGCTTTGCAGACGCTGATTTATCTCTCATAATCTTCACTCCCACGGGTTTCTCGCCAAATGAGACCCATATGCTTGAAATAGACTCTTCTGTCCACGATGGATCTAGGTCACCCATCCATACCTGGTTCTCGTCGCTGGGCCTTCCAGAATTGTTAGATGAATAACCACTAGTACGAGGCGGAAAGTTGGAGTAATTACTTCTGGGGCCAGAGAACTGTTTGCCTCCATGATTTGATTGGTAGGGGCCGCCTTTGTTCACACCACCAGTGGTTCTACCACCACCGTATCGACTTCCAGATGGGGCGTAACTACCATAACGGCCCTGCGAGCCGTACCTCGAGGCATCCCTTGATCCGGAAGATGGAGCTCCGCCTCCTCTTTTGCGGTAGTTGTTACCAGAATTGTAGTAAGACATGCTGTGGTCTTGCAACTGTCGGTTTACCAAAACTCGTAGCCATCGCCAGGGTGTATGCAGGACAATCAGTTGCAAAAGGTCAAAGAATACTTTCACTGTTCCCAACAGAAACAGACCAAATAGGGCTCCAAGAATAACGTCCGTGTACGCAGTTTTAATCCTACGTTTGTTTGCTCTTTATCTGGTCTTTCAACTTTGGACCAGGTATCTGGTGCAATTCTTCCATGCGCAGAATATGTATCACTTCATATAAGGGAGTTCAGTCAATTGACTGCTAGCAGTTGCTACTCATTCGCTGGGTCTTGAAAACCTTTACTGTATCAATCGGTGACTCTTGTGCTTCAAGTAGTCTGTTTAGCAGGCCGTTTCATTGCTCCATCGCACGGCCATTGATACATTTTCAGCCTTAAATCTGCGAAATAGGCATATTTCACTTTGGCCCTCACTTCAGGCATTCCCGCTCTCTATTCTGGTTCGTTTACCTATTGCTATGCATATGTGACTCTTTCGTGTCTTCCCTAGCATCTGTCACAACTGTCACCTGGAAATGGTGTCCTGCATATAATAAATGGCATTGTCGTCCCTTCACCATTTTCCACCAACAAATGAAATCAAAGCCTTAGTCAACTCGGCCCAAACAGTAGGACTTCCACCTGGAGAAACCCATACAGACCACGAGCCTATTCCAAATGCTTTCCAGATCATTAAGAAGTACCAGATTGGTATTCAAAAGATTGGAACACACCAACGCTGGTTCCTTCACCAACAAACACAACTTCAACATAAACCCTCCACCTGTGCACGAATACTGGAACTACAGAAACGCCAGTGTGTTGCTTGCCTTCATCCCAGTGTATTTGAGTATCGGATACTTCGCCAAGTATATTGGTGCTAACACTGAAGGTTACCAGGGTTTACAAGAGTTTGCTGATAATGAAAAGTCACCCTTGAAGGAGCTTAAGTTTGGTGAACCTCAGACTTCGAAATAACCTTGCATAGACGGTATCTAGACATAGCAGTGGTATCGGTTCATAGTAATTCTACGTTTATATTTATCAAGCTGTAGCTTTCCCAGTAGCTGAAAGTGTGATGGCCAACACAAAACACAGTTTCTGGCCAGGCCCCATAGTAAACAAACAAGATAGGTCTTCTGGGGAACAAAGCTCCTATGCGCTTACTATCGACCTACGCCAGCTACTTATGGTTCCAACACTGGTACCAGAACAATCTGGATTATGTAATATTCGAAAAAACTTACGTAATCTGCTTTTTTTCTCGGTCAATTTTATTGGCTCAAAAACCATCGAACTCCAAACATTTCATCAACCATCAAGCCAAATGTTGTCTAGATTCGGCTTAGCCCGTAGATACGTGGGGAGACCGGCTGTCAGATTCTTGACTACCAAAACTACCATCACTGACCAAAATGACGGTCGTGTCATCACATTAACCGACCCAAACCGTCCAGAAATAGCAGACTACCCAAACCCAAAGCCAGTATTGGCCCAAAGCAAAGATCCATATGCCAAGTATGACGATCAACAGAATAGAAGAAACCTCAATGACCCAGTGAACATTGACGACGATTTGTACGACATGTGGTCCCCAGATTACTATGACTTTGTTTCTGACAAGACTGCCTTGAAGCATAACGCTATCTTCTTTTCACTTGTGTTTGGATTCGGTGCCACTATCTGGTACTTCCAATTGAACCCTGAAAAGCCAGCCATGCCAAGATCCTACCCATTCGGAGGTTTGGCCAAGGAGTTGGGTTCTGGTAGCAAGGAAGATGAATACTTCTACCGTGTCAAGCCAGACACCACTGCTGAACAAGAATTGGGCTTCTTATCCAACGACTCTGAAATCGAAACCCAACAGAAGGCTTACGAAGCAGCCAACGCTGACTTCATCAAGGCATAAACATCATATTACAGTGCCCTCTTATAGCATTGAATACATATCACATATTCTGAAACTCTAGTGAATTGCTTGGAACTGTGGCCTAAACTGACCACCGTATCTTCATCAGTACTACTAATGTCACATTGTATTCTTACCTGGTGTGATGTCGAAAGCGTGTTTCCAAGTACCACAAACCTCGTACAAGATAATATAGCCACAGTTTAATGTTTACTTTCTATACTAGTACAGTAGTTTATTCTTGCCCGATGGTTCTTATGGCCATCACTTCAATACTTCCTCCCATTAAACCCACCCGTAATTTTTCCTGCACATTGTCCACTTTTTCGATACCATAAACTCACATCTCAAATCCAGAACCCACCCGCCTATTTCCATGCGTCTTTTCAAGGGAAATCAACTCTAACACCATAATGGCTACCAAAACCGAACGAAGGAGGAATTCACTGCGAAAGCAGGATACCAGTATCCCTCAGAAAAGAAAGAATTCGTCAAGCATACCCACAACAAATAAGTCCAAAAAGATCAAACATGATGACATAAAAACGAAAGAATCCAACTTAGCGGACATAATAACCAAATTCAATCTAGCTAGGAATGAGCTCTTTCAGCTTAAGGAATACAAGTCATTGGTATCGTGGGATCCGGCAGACTTTTCTACCGCCATCCTTGGAAATCAGATTCCTGAATTGTATGAAACATTCCTCAAGGATCCAAAATATCAACTCAAATGGGATGAGGGTATTGAAAACAAAGATCTCAGCAATTTGCCTTTGCGGTTGCAGAAGAAAGTACTTGCGGAAAATGAGAAGGAGCTTCTTGACAAATATCCATTCAAAGATGAAGTGATACAGTTGAGCATCGACAAAGAGAAAGAATTAATCAGTTATATTAAAGCAGCAACAATACTGCCAAAGGTAGAGGTTAAAAAGTCGCGACCAGTCAAACCAGTGGTCAATTCAGCAGGAAAAGCCAAAAAGAAGGAGCATATAAAGCAAGAATCTGATCAGGAAGAGGAGAGCGAAGATGCAGAAGAGGAAATAGATGAAGATGAAGAGGATGACATGAATGAACAAGATGAAAATGCCACCAAATATAAATTCAAATCAATCAAGATTTCTTTACCTTCTCCAAAAGTTACACATCCATCACATATCCCCTTGTGGAAGCCAGAACCTGCCCCCTCCGAAAGCGCATTAGTGGGAACAAACAAGAGCATAGTGGAGTTTGATCCAAAACCCGTAACATTAATCAGAACATCCAAGAAATGGGATATTGATCCTTCGCTCCAAAATAGATTATCCAACTACTTGAACAACAATTTAAAATCAGCAATACTAGATGAAGGCTCAGAATTCGTTACCCCTGAAGAATATGAGAAAATTTTAGCACAGCAAGAAGAACTTCTTCGTAAGCTTTTTCGCAAGACACAAGTTGACAACACTTTACAATTGCATGGGGACAAGATAGAATTGAGAAAAGCAGTTTTACCCCAAACAAACATAAAAAGTACCATAGATCCCTTTAGATCTACAGGAACGGTACTTCCTAAAATACAAGGAGCACCAAATAATGTGACCTATCAAGATCATTTCCTTAGTCAAGGTATGGCTTTTTCCAAAATTCATCAACAAATGAGAAAACAGCATCAGTTGCGTACCAGAAGAGTAGCACAAATGATAGAGCAACACTTCAAGAAAAAGAAGGGTGAAAAAGATAGGTTGGCAAAAGAGCGAGAGCTCAATTTGAAAAAGATAAGTCGTATAGCTGTTCAGGCAGTCAAGAAAAGATGGACACAAGCATCTAAAGTCTACAGCTTTATTCAACAACAAAAGGAAGAAGAACTCAAGCAGATAAAGGGAAGAGAGCATTTGAGTCAAATGTTGGAGCATTCTACACAGTTGTTGGAAGCACAACTCAACAAGCCAATCCAAGAACGAAACAAGACAGAAGAAGAATCGGATGAAGAAAACTCAGATTCTGAGGATTCATTGAGCTCTAGTGATGAATCTGATGATAATGATGAAGCTGGTGTGAACCGTTCTCAAGAAGATAATGACATGAACCTTTCCATCGAAGAATTGAAAAGGAAGTATGCCAATCTTGAGGACTCGGTTGATCCATCTTCTAAAACTGCAACACCTGAAGATTCTGATGATGAATCTGCATCCGATTCTGGCGATGAATCTGAATCCTCTATTGATGTTAATCAAGGATTATCTGCGTTGTACGGAAAATCTGCATCAAATGGAAGCACTGTGGATATAAACTCAGATTACACTGAGGAACAAAGGGCATTGATAGAGAAATTGAATGCTGATGGTGACAACTCAGCTCTTGAATCCGATACAAGTATTAGTATGAGCGATGATGATGATGATGATGACGAAGTCAGTGAAGAGGAACACCTCGACGAAGAATCTGTAAAAGAGAATGGAAAGAATTCTGAATTGGCAACCCTTTTCTCATCAAACCAGGATCAAATTTCGGATAATGAAGAATTTAGTGAACCCGCTTCATCGGAAGATGAGGATATGACGTCCGATGAGGACAAGAGCGAACCCGATACGCCAGAAAAGGAAGGTCCTGAAGCTGAAAATGATATCACAGTCAATGGTGACGATTCTACCATGAACGGAGATGGAAAATCGGCATTAGTGAAGACTGACTCCACATCGGAGAAAGAGTCTACTGAAAAGGAAGAAATCATCAATGGTGCAAAAGTGAAGGATGTGCCCATCCCTTCTCTTCTTAGAGGAACTTTGAGGCCATATCAGAAACAAGGTTTGAACTGGCTAGCAAGTCTTTACAATAACAACACTAATGGGATTCTTGCAGATGAAATGGGTCTAGGCAAAACTATTCAGACAATCTCGTTGTTATCGTATTTGGCATGTGAGCATCATATATGGGGTCCTCACTTAATTATCGTTCCTACATCCGTGATGCTTAATTGGGAAATGGAGTTTAAAAAGTTTGCTCCTGGGTTCAAAGTTTTGACTTACTATGGTTCTCCTCAACAGAGGGCTCAGAAGAGAAAAGGATGGAATATACCCAATGCATTTCATGTGTGCATCACATCCTATCAGCTCGTTGTTCACGATCATCAGTCATTTAAAAGGAGAAGATGGAAGTACATGATTTTGGATGAAGCTCACAACATCAAGAATTTTAGGTCCACAAGGTGGAGAGCATTACTTAATTTCAATACTGAAAATAGACTTCTCTTGACCGGTACCCCATTACAGAATAATCTCATAGAATTGTGGTCTTTGTTATATTTCTTAATGCCGTCTTCTAAGGTGGATCAAGCAATGCCTGATGGGTTTGCGAACTTGGATGATTTTCAACAATGGTTCGGTAAGCCTGTGGATAGAATCTTGGAGCAAAGCTCAATTCAAGGTGGTTCCGACGTGATAGATGAAAATGAGAAGACCACGAGCAGGTTGGATGAAGAAACGAAGAACACAGTTGCAAGATTACATCAAGTTTTGAGGCCATATTTGTTGAGACGTTTAAAAAAGGATGTCGAAAAGCAAATGCCAGGAAAGTATGAGCACATCGTATATTGTCGTTTGTCAAAAAGACAAAGATTCTTGTATGATGAATTCATGTCGAGGGCCAAAACCAAAGAAACGCTTGCTTCAGGAAATTTTCTTTCGATTATCAACTGTTTGATGCAACTTAGAAAAGTCTGCAATCACCCAGATTTATTCGAAGTGAGACCAATTGTGACGTCTTTGTCGATGCCCAAATCAGCCCCTCATACTTTCCAATTGACTAATAATGTGATTCGCAAGTACTTAACTGATGACACCTTCAAGAATGAAGTCAATTTAAATGTCTTGAATTTGGATATCACCAACACAAGTGATTTAAATGAGTTCGTTTGTCAATCTACAGAAAAATTGCAATCAGCATTAGAGTTACAAAGTCAAATTGGTGAACTTGACAAACATATTCAAAATGCTAAGAAGAAATATGGTAATCCAGATTTAGCAAATTATTTGGAATACTACCAGTACATCAAATCAAATATCCAAGTCGAAGCAAAGGAGAGGCTTGAACATGTATTATATTTAAATTCTTTAAGATGTGGTAGACGGCCTATCTATGGAGATTCTTTGATTAGGTTTATCCAAAAGGATAAGCCTCGACCCACTACCGATATTTTTGAGGACTTCCGAATGTCAATCCCAAGAAGAGTTGATCAAATGAGTGATGTTTTAGAGAAGTATTCTGTTCTCACACCAGCTGTCGTTGCCTTGGATATGAAGGATCTTCTAATCCCGATAGAAACACAGTATAAAGTCATGGAGGAAGTCAAACAGAACAGAATTCAAAATCCTTTCAGCAAGACCCAAGTCAAGCTTTCGATCGCGTTCCCCGATAAGTCCTTATTGCAATATGATTGTGGTAAGTTGCAGCAGTTGGCTGTATTGTTGCAAGACTTGGTATCTAAGGGACACAGAGCCTTGATTTTCACTCAAATGACCAAAGTATTAGACATTTTGGAACAATTCTTGAACATTCATGGCTACAGGTACCTGAGATTGGATGGTGCAACTAAGATTGAGGACCGTCAACTCTTGACAGAAAGATTCAACAGAGATCCTAAGATTCCGGTATTCATCCTATCCACCAGATCTGGTGGTTTGGGTATTAACTTGACAGGTGCAGATACTGTTATCTTCTATGACTCTGATTGGAACCCAGCCATGGACAAGCAGTGTCAGGATCGTTGTCATAGAATCGGTCAAATCAGAGATGTCCACATCTACCGTTTTGTTTCCGAGTACACCATTGAGTCCAACATTTTGAAGAAAGCCAACCAGAAAAGACAATTGGACAACGTGGTGATTCAAGAAGGTGAGTTTACCACAGACTACTTCGGTAAGTTTTCCGTGAGAGATCTTGTGGATGATACTGGTATCGCCGACCAAGTCTCTGATAAGCCACTTGAGATGGGAGGAGATGGAAATGTGAATAATATTCTTGCCCAGGCTGAAGACGAAGACGACAGAGTAGCTGCCAATGCGGCCATGAACGAAGTGGCGGTAGATGACGAGGATTTCAACGAAGAAAGTAAGTCTGCTACCAACGGTGGAACCCCAGCACAGACGCCTGGTCCAACACCGGTACCTGAGGCTAATGGCATGGCTGTTAACGGGGAGAAATCAGGAGAAATCGTTGATCTCGACTTCGAAGAAGGTATTGGTCATGTGGACGAGTACATGTTGAGATTCATCTCGGAAGGTAACTACTGGGACTAGAAAACAGTGTATAATAATTGTATATATTAGACAATCTACTAATTGCATCCACCCACTATCCACTATAGGCAGGTTGACTTTTGCCGCTAGCGAAAATGTGTCACGTGATAAATTTCACGTGACACGTTGACCCGCTCGCCGATAACTGGAAATTCACCGTCCCCCGTGTAAACCAACCCATCTAACCAAAATGTCATCTGGAATCCAATCATTGTTGAAGACTGAAAAAGAAGCTGCTGAGATTGTCAACGAAGCAAGAAAGTACAGAACCAACAGATTGAAGTCTGCCAAGGCCGACGCCCAATCTGAAATCGATGAATACAAGAAACAAAAGGAATCTGAGTTGAAGAAGTACGAAGATGACCATGCTGGATTGAACGACTCCATCAGTAAGGATGCTGACACCCAAGTCGAAAAGGAATTGCAAGACATCAAATCCAAGTACGCTGAAAAGAAATCTTCAGTTGTTAAGTTGTTGGTCGATGCCACCCTCAACCCAACTCCAGAATTACACATCAATGCTAGTCAATAAGCGCATTTTAATTCTATGGGCTAATCGATGGAATCGGGTCCTCCTTAGATACTCAAATAACTCTATCTATTTTTATAGTTTAATTATATACAGTTTGATTTAGTATTTAGTTGTAGAAACTTGTACCTATTGACTTATACTAAAGTTCGGTTCCTGCCAGAATCACCGGCCACCCCTGGCCAACTTTTTGAAGCCCTTGATGACATTCCAAATTCTGAAATCATACCCAACTATATTCAAGCTGGTGATGAATCCCCATGCCTTCTTATCGTCCTTGATTGGATAGTCCAATACCGGCGGTATGCTAGTTGCCACTCCGAGTAATCTCAACAACGGCTTATCCATCACTACTGATTTGACCTTACATAATCCAATCAAACCTTCTTCTCCTCCAAACTTTCCATAACCAGACTTTTTGACCCCACCAAATGGCAATTGAGCCACATAATAAGTAGCAAAGTCGTTCAAGGCAACATTTCCACTATCCAATCTGTTGGCAATGTCATTTATGACACTGAAATCTGCTCCAAAGACTGAATTCCCCAACCCAAACTCGCAACCATTTGCGAGCTCCACAGCATCATCGATGTCTGTGGCCTTAATCATGGTAAGAATAGGTCCAAAGACTTCTTCGTGAAAAATCTGCATCTGAGGGGTAACATCTACCAACAAAGTTGGTTCAAAGTAGCTACCTTGAGGGTAATTTGGATGTTGGTAAGGCTTACCACCGTGAAGTAACCGGGCACCATTCTTGACCGCGTCGTCTACCAATTCTTGCAATCTTTCAAACCTATTGTTGGAAATCATCGCTCCCATATCAATCTCATCTAGCTGATCTATATCAGATCCCAACCTTAATGTCTTCACCCTCTCTGACAAAATCTCAACTAGTTTTTCATACGATTTAGGCAAACAGATAACTCTTTCAATACCAATACAATTTTGACCTGAAGATTGATATGTCCCTCTCATAATAATCGACGACAAATCGTTCAAGTTCTTCACGTCATCCAACACGATAAATGCGTCTTTGCCTCCTAATTCAACGACGCATGGAATTAATTCTTTAGACGCACTCTCCAATACTTTATGAGCAATAGGTTTGGATCCAATGAAAGTAATGTGAGACAAATCAGGGTGACTTGTGAAATAGTCTGCATCTTCTGGAAAACATACTACCAATTGAACCAAATCCTCGTTGAGATCCAACAGTTTAAGAACAGTTTTAATCATATCGACAAACCATTTCGAAGACCAGATCACCTGCTCAGAACACTTTACCACAATTGAGTTCCCGGTGAACAAAGCCGCCAAAATTGGTCCAATCAAGTTGTGAAATGGGTAATTCCAAGATACCAACGCAGCAACCACCCCCAATGGCTCGTATCTCACTTCTGCATTTTTCATCATTCCTAACAAAAGATTCGAAGGACCATACCTCTTAGAAGGCCTAAGGGTCTGTTCTCCGTGGTTGATTATCCAGTTGATTTTCTCCAAGGTAACAAATATTTCACCCATCATTGCATCCAACTTGGTCTTTCCACTGTCACGACATGCGATTCTAGTGATATCTTCCTGGTTGTCAAGTATGAACCGATTCAATGTCTTTAACAATTTTCTTCTAACAATGAATGAGGATTTGGCCCATTGCTTTTGGGCTTCTTTTGCTTTTTGGATGGTCTCGTTCATTTCGTCCTTAGTTTGAGCATGGAAGGTTCCCAAATACTGTCCAGTAGCTGGACAGAAGCTCTGGATTTGGGTGGGATCAGTGGAACGTATGGACAAGGGATACAACCTGCGCCCCTTCCAATTCTTCTTGGCCTCTGGTGGTATGGGGATCATGAGCTTAATGGGTTCCTCAAGCTTGTTGTATTTGTTGGGCAGGTTAGTGATGTACTTCGAGTAGATGTAGTACAAGCTGGGTACAATCACACACACGAAGAATGTGGTGGAAATCTGGTACTGCCATTGCCATTGATGAAACTTAAGGTCGATATCAATCATGGTTGCAGTTAGATTGGGAGTTTGCGAGCAATTCATCTTATTCTTGTACTGCGAACAAATGCCAATTAGCGACTACGGATTTTTGGGGACATTCGAAAGAGAACGAATGAACCAGCATTGAATTCCGATCTAGTTGTGTCTAGAGCCGTGAAGAGTTCAGGCATATGCTAAGTACATGCTGGCACTGAGGAAAACTAACTTGTCATCGTAGCATAGCCTATGGGTTCGGGTAGTGATCAAATCCCGTAGCCAAAATTACGCTCGTGAATTTGCTTAAAACTAAAACCTGAATTCTACGATACTAAGTGTCCTCTATTTATTTTAACTATGCTTAGTGGTACGTTGGCTAATGCTAGAGGACTCTCATACAAACATAAGGGAGTACGGGGCCATATTACGCTGTTGATATCAGGAACGTAAATCTTGTTGTCTTCGTTACATGATTTTGACACTTGGACTATCTTGCTTCTCCAAGGACGAGAATCATCTGCGTTGTTTGCTTAAATAATTCATTTTTGTTCAAGAATGTACAAGCCGATCTTCATAATCACCTCTCGTAGCGGATCTAGTAAACCCCTTTGCTCACTCCTTACTGTAGAGTACATGATAGTCAATGCATACTCTGGCCTGAATTCTTCGCCCGTTCCATTATTCCTGAAAGACAAAACGCTTGCTTGGAATTCCACTTTTAGTTCTCTTCTTCTTCTTGTAATTGTCTCACCATTTCCTCAAATTGACCCTCGTCAGTTCTTGATTGTATGATTGTACCCAATAGGTTATGATCAACATAGTCGATCATAGAATCAACGACAGATGATCCGTTGGCAACTCCAGTAAACTCGTTATATTGCACTGTGGTGTCGTTTGGAGGCAATGCGTCGTACTCGAAAGCATTTTCATTCCAGACCTGTTGGGGAAGTCTTGCCATGATTTTACTTTCACCTGAGAGGATTGCAAATCTTATCAAGTTAATAGGAATGTCTGGTTGATCAGGAGCTGAGTTGAACCCCAAAAGCTCATATATGGAACTCTTTGCTTTTTGATTTTGGGTTTGAAACAATTCGGTAAGCTCATCGTGTAAAAATTGTCTAGAGGATTGCTCATCCCACAATAATCCAGCTCTCACCAAATATGTTTCGGCAGCAACGATCACATCATGAGTTGGCTTCAATGTGCTTTCTTTAATTGGCAAGGAAGCCGACAATCCTATCAACTCGAGCAACTTGAGACCGGTATATGGATGGTATGTATAAGCAGTCCTTAACAGTTTCTTTGCATTCTCCTTGTCGTCCATTTTCAAGTATGCCAAAACTGTGGAATATGCAATTCCTGGAGTGAGCCATTTTTCGTATGTAACACACAATGGCGACTGAGCAAATCTGGTCAAGAACTTATACTCTTCACTCATTATTGCATAAAAATCGATGAAATAACGAACACCGAGTGGATCCTCTGCAGGAGAGAGCGAAAGTAGAAATTTGCAGTAGGATAAAGCAGTGAAGAAAGTTCTTCTCTCTCCCAAGCCTATTATGTACCTGAACAAGCATAAATAAAACTGTCTGTTTAAAAATCCCTCGTAAGGCAATCTTATAAGCTCTGATTTTCCTTCCAACAATAATTCGTGCATTCTCTTTTGAAGTGAACGATCGAAAACGAACAATGCCTTTTCGATTAAGGAAATACTGGTGGACTTTTCGCTTCCTTGTCTCAACAAAACCATAGCGACTTGAAGTAAGGTTTCCGGATGGTAGGGATATTGTTGTAAAAGATGCATCAAGGATTCCGGGTCCGGAGTCATAACCACTGAAGCATAAAACCTGGTGTTAGCCACTCTCTGTTGGATGTTATTCAATTTGTCAAAACGGAAATATCTCACCCCTAACTTATACTCCTTCTTGAGCTTAAACTCTAACTCTTCAATAGTAGCACTGTCTTCTTTGTATTCAAGGTACTTTAGCACCTCGTCTTGCCTCAATTCTTTAGCGTCCATCAACTTTTGGGCAGTGGGAAGCCAATCATCTCTGATCCTTGTCAACAAAAGCTTTCTTGTCGTTCCCGGAATACCTCTTCGGTCTTTTCCGCCCCATCCTCTCGTAAGTCTTGCTAATTTTCTGAATTGCTCGAGTAACTCTGGAGAAATGGCCAACGAAGTAGTTGTATTTGCGTCTTCAATCGTATCAAGACTGAGGTTACCAAACAAGTTACGGAACTCTTGGTCGGGATCCAAGTCTTTCACGGAAGGAATAGATAACAATGGTAACGATTGCTTGAGACGATGAGACGTAAAGAACTTGAAATTAGAGTCAAACTCCTTTACTGGCTCGGAAACCATGTCCAACTCCTCTTCAAAATCATACTCATCCTCAGCAGGCTCGGATTCTGAAGGGGTTACGTCTTTGGATTCTTTGCTCAAGTCCTTTGCTTTGATCTCGGCGAGGAAACGATCAAGCTCCTCATCACTATCGACATCCTCGGTCTTCTTCTTGGCCTTCTTGTTCTTCTTCGACTTCTTACCCTTGGTTTTTGTATCAGGCTTTGAAGCTTGCTGTGTCTCCGTTGACTTTTCAATCACTTCATGCTGTTCCACTTCCTCGTCCTCATCATCATCGTCATCATCTCCTTTCAACAACGCAAATGCATTGAACTTTGGATTAGACGTTTCTTCAACGACTTCTTCTTGTTCGGACTCATCACCTAAGCCGAGCGCTTGTTGCTTCTGCCTTTCTAACCTCTTTAACGCTCTCGAACTCATTGCACTTTAGAAATATTTGGATTGAAGGAGTCATATTAATACGGCGCGAATGGTTGCGTTTGTGGATGCAAAATTGAACTTAAGTACACTAAGAATGAAAGAAGCTGCTGAACTATCTTTGGACATATCCGTTGGTTCAAGCACCATCATCCTCGAAGATGAAAACCGTACGGACATCAATGCCAGTGATTTGGATCCCAAGATCGAACTAAAACCTGAGCTCTTTTCCCGCAGAACAAATGGACTCGGCTATGAGGAGTGGAAGCAAGCGGTTCCTGACAAGACCAAAACTGCTAGCATGCTAAAAATTCCGGCAGTGTCAGATGAAGACTTAGTTGAAACGAGCTCAGAGGAAGAAAGCATCTATTTTGACGTGAGAAGTGAGTTTTCGTTCGAGGCAAACAAGAATGAACTAATCACGGAAAAGAATTCGAGCCTGGGGTCAGAAAGCATTTATTTTGATGGGAACACCAATTTTCCGTTTGATAATAATCATGGAGATGAAAAAATTACTAAAATTATTGATGATGGTGTACTCGAGTTACTTATCAAAGACCGAGCGGCAATAAGTGATCTTGAATATCCAAGAAAACGAAGGATAAGAGCATATCGTAGAAGACAAAAAATAATCATCAGTGTTGATTTGGAAGAGAATGCATTGGAGTATTCTGCTACATTGGACTACGCTTCTGAATTGAACTCCCCGTATCCTATTATTGGATTTTCGCCTGCCCTTGAGGATGGTACCGAGCTACATCATCTCCAAAATCTTGTCGACGAATTAGTGGAAAGTGAAGAAGTTTTTTTAGTGTCTATGAAGCTCTTGAGGGCATTCTATATCGACCCTATCATTGACGAGAGACGAGAACTAGGCACCCCATTTCTCTACTTTAATACCGTCTTGCACGAACTTGTTAAGCATCATGAGCAAGTACTTCGTTCGATGCATGAAATGAGGAGATCCAGCCCAACAATTAGTGATTGTGCAGTAAGCTTAACTACTCTAGTGGGAGAAGTAGCTTTGGACCCCTTTCTTTCTGATGAATATTACAATGTGCATAAATTGTTCATGAAACATATGGAGGACAATTCAAAGTATCCCACCCAAAGCGTTGAGCTAGATGTTCGATGGACAAAAGCGTTAGGTAGATATCTAGAAGCAATACAGCCCTCGACCAAACGGCTGGATTTGTCATTTGAATCACTTATGCAGAAGCCTATTGCCAGGATTGGCAAATACAGATTGTTACTTGACAATATTTCACGGTATGCACCAAAGGATCTGGAAAGAATAGGGCAGAGTCTAGAAGAAGTAAAATACAAACTAGGAAGGGTAAATGATTCGTCTAATTTACTTAAAGAAGAGCCAACTTCTCATATCAGCCGCTTGCTAGAGTTTACAAATGTAATGTTCAGTGGATCACAAATTACTCCATCCTTCTTCGGTCCTTTAATTCTATGTGGTGCCATTCATATAGTTTGGTTTGCTAATAACCTGATTGAATCTGCTATGTGTGCCAGTTTTCTATTCAAAGGGCATTTGATACTTGCAGAAACCAAAAAGAGAAAACTGAAGTGGCGTGGAGCAGTTCAGCCGCTTTTCATAATTTCGATGGCTCGATGTCAGTTATCTACGGATAATGATGGAGGGTTATTCAGTCTATACCCGTGGGTAATAAAGTTGATATTTGAGGAAAGCAATTGTCATTTTGAAATACTATTCACTTTTTGCACCATGCAAGAGTACCATGTTTGGCTCACCTACCTCACAATAATGGTCGAGGTTGTTCATGGACCAAACAAGCTTACCTTCAATGATAGCTTTGAATATCTTATGAAGTACCCCTCTATTCAGCCATGCGATGTTTCTGATTTTAAGGCTAATAATGTTCAGAAACAGCAATGTTACTATCAAGATTGGAAACACATTCGAATAGTTGTTGATTGGGAGAAAAGTGAAATTTTGAGAATATTTGACAAAAATAGAGAATTCGCAGCCACCCAATATGATGGTAAATGGTATGTTCTAATAAGAAAAAAACTCAGATTAGAATGTGAGCATTTGCTAAGAGATGTCTGGAGCAATGAACTCCTTCGGTTTGGTCACCCTGTACTTGGTATAGTGTGTAGTGAGTCAAGTGCTTATCGGTGTGCGCCAACAAAATCTCAGGGCGGGAACCCAAAGTCCAATGAGTCGGTTGATACAATTAGAGTTCCACACCTGAAAAATGAGTCGTTCGATGACGTTGTGATTTCTACTGCTGAATTGACTGTTCGAAGAAGGTCGATTAGGGAACAAATATTAGGTGCTTTCGGGTACAGCAGCAGCATTGCGTAGCTTGTCTATTGTCTTTTTGCTTTTAATCTACGAAAATTTTGTGCTAAACGTATATTTCACTGAATTCGTCACAGTGAATCATGCTAAACTTCTAATTACCTGTAGCTCCAGCACCAATTGAGTCATTATGACTGCTCGAGCCATGACTGATCGAAGATCCTTGCTTGTCAGAACCTTCTCTCAAGATCTTTTTGATGATTTCGTCGTTGTCAACCTTGCCAAACTCGTTTTGCAATTCGGCCTTGGAGGCTTCGTCCAAGACACCTTCGGAACCACCTTGTCTGTTCGTGAAGATCTTGTAGATAGAGACCAAGTCGATCAATGGAATGGTGGTGTCACCCTTCTTAAATTTCTCGAGCAAATTCACATCTTCAACAAATATGATGAAGTCGTTTTCGTTACCCTTGTAAAAAATCTTGTGTGGTTCTCCTGGCATTATGTGTAAGAATTGATAATTGATGTATAACTAGAGAAATGTCTGCATATTTATAGTTTCTGAGATTCAGGTGGAGGTGAGGCTCCTATGACGGCACAGCAACCTTTGCTGCAACTGGGCTGACAATTACTTATAGTTCCCTGCATGTAGTGAATGCAGTCCATGTGCTGTCGTGTGGCGTCATAGCCAGCGCTGACATCACTAAGCGTGGCAAATGGGACAGGCTAGTGTTGCTGTTTTTGCAGTTATTGTCGGAGTTGCTGGGGCATGGATATTGAGGATGTTGGGCCACCAGTTACGTAGGCATTGATGCAATGGTGCTGCCGCATTTGTAAGGGGCACAATTGTATTGATGGAATAGTCGTGACCACCATAAAAAAAGCTGGGGTAAGAATGCGGCTGATTGAGCAGCCAGCACAAAAAAGAAAATTCCGATACCGGGAGTCGAACCCGGGTCTGCTCGGTGAAAGCGAACCGTGCTAGCCGTTACACTATATCGGAAACTTGTTGAAAGATAAAGCTGGGAAACCAACTGGTCTGCTTTAGCTTGGTGAAAAATTTTGAAACTCCTATTTGTAGGAATTAGGTAGTATAAATACTTCTAAAGACTAGATATATCCAACAGTGAAAAGTGCTCTATATTTTCAGCATTAGTTAAGGAAGCTAACTCTTCTCTTAACTGACAGGGTAGTTTACCTTTCAGTAAGTATATTGGAGCCCTTACAAGCATACAACTGTGTTTCTGTAGGGAATTCATCACGTCTGGCATTTAAATCAATGCAGAGAATAAGATTTTTTTTGATTCCGTAGTATGTGGCTTTTCAAAGTGGAATAGAGCTGAATCCATCTGGCCACACGCGTTTGAGCCAGGTCACCCCTTAGCTCAAGAAGAACAGATTATAGAAACAGAACACATCAATTATGTTTCCTATTTCTCATCCAAATATTCCCTGATCTTACTAGTGCTCAATCAAAAATATAAAGTGAAATGAGAGAACCCATCCTCTGATCATAGAAGCGCTGTCCCGTACTACAACTCTCACTACTAAAAGCAAATTCATAGGCTAAACATCTAATTAATAGGGTAACTCATCTTGCTGCTAGCTCTCATATTATTCCTATCATAACGTAGGGACCTATCCGCTTCCTATCTGGTGAGAAGGTAGGCTTCATCCTTGCTTCGCCACCCCGGGTCACCACCAGAACAGCTCTCATCACCCATCCGTAACAGCCGATTACACTTACACCTGCTCAGTAACTTGTGTTACTAGGCTCGGATTTACTTTGGGCTCGGATGCGGATGCTATCCCGTGCACAACATGCGCGAATAGTTCCGAACTTCCCTTCCGGTGAATATCATGAGATCACGACACACCAGCGATTGTAAGCACAAATTCCACAGCTAGGGACTTGGGCTACCATTGTATTGACATTTACATACTTTGCGGAATTTTGTGTGCAAGCTGCTTCTGATACACTTGCCCATACCGTCCTAACCGCAGTCAAGCATCTCCACCAGTCCAGCACTACGAATCTTACCACATATTGCATGACCAATTGAAGTGATGAACCGTATCTCCAAGGCATCTTCTGACCTCAAGGATAACCTTAAGATCGCTACCCACAATGTCAAAGACAAAATCACCTTCAATTCTGACTTCAACAAGGATGATGAGCTCATAGACCACTATAAGCATGACATCGAAAAGTGTGTCAAGGGTCTCAGTTTTATCAAGAACCAAACCAAGCGTATCGGTCTCAGCTACTGGCCGCGCTTGTTTAAGCTGAACCTCAAGTTGGTTGACTTATTCCTCAGGTTGCTAGGCGAATCATCATTACATTTCAAGGGAATTGAGCAATTCTACGAGGACTTTGACAAGTACTCTGCTGAGCTGGAAGTGCCATTGGTACATCCCAAAGAACGGGAGCTATTGATTTCCAGTGTCAATGAGGAATTGCTCAACTATCGCTCCACTATTGAGCTGTTGAGCTTCAAAGTGAAGAAGGACTGGGATATCCACGTCCAACAGGTGAAGATGAGAGTCGACCAAATGAACTCATATCTCAAGGATACATTGAAGCTCATTAAAAAGAGACAGGTCAAACAATTGGACTACAATAGAACCCATCATAAGGTGGACAAGCTTCAAAAGAAGAACATTCCGTTGGACGAAAAGGAGCACGAGAAGCTAAACTCTTTAGACTCAAAACTCAAAAGTCAGTATGACTCATTTGAAATATTGGATAACAAGTTGAAAACCATATTACCCCACGTACTTACATTTTTGGATGAGTTTATAGAAGATTTGACCAAGTTAGTCATTTGTCAACAATTGCATACTTTGGAGGAAGTTTCTAAAAGGTTAAAACATTTCTCCACATATCATGGGTTCTTAGCTGGTGATAATGGTGATTTACAATCGTACGAGGCTATTGCAAATAAGTGGGAGTCAGCAATAACTGGAACCAGATTACAAATCGAATCATTCATTGGCGCCATTAATTCGAAAAATCCTGATCTTATAAACAAGGAAATTGACGAGAAGGATAAGACACTGTCAGCTACCAAGATGTGGAACAAAGTGAGCCAAACTGTCACCGAAAGAGCACACAAGGTTAAGCCCAAAGACCATACAAATGGAGTGTTTAATGATTATCTTGCTTTGGATCCTTTGAAATCTTTCCTTGAGTATAATGATCCACAAAAGAATAGATCGGAAACTTATCATCCAACCAGAAAAGTTGACATTGATGATATTATAGTTTCAAAACCACCTGCATCACCACCCTTACCTCCATTACCTCCGAGATCAAATACAAAACCCCTCCCAATGGTTATAGCAAGCAAGGTTACTACGCCTTTACCTCCGATTCCAAATTCCCAATCTAGGGTGCAATCTCCATCAGTTCCAAAATATGCCCAGTTTCACGATCCATTGGATTTAGAAGAGGAAGACGAAGATGATACTTCATCAATTATTTCTGATTCTTCTTTCCCTTCGGTCTCCTCAATTTCAAGTGAGGTTTTGATTCAAAATTCCACTCCTAATTTGGTAGAAAGGGATTTGACAAGGATATATAATGGATCTAAAAATGAGAGACAAGTTGCACCAATACCTGACCTCGAACCAAAGCATGATATTCATCCATACCACTCAGATATATTTGACAAAACATCCTCAATCACATATAAGCTTAATCGCATAAACAATTTTTTTGGAAGAATACTTGATACTACAAACGGTGGAAAGAAATTGATCGCGAAATATGATTTTGATGGTAAAGAGCCAGGCGATTTGTCGTTTTCCAAGGGTGATGTCATTGAGATTGTATGTGACTTTCAGAACATTGATACGTTATACATTAATGATGATAAGAACTGGTTAATAGGAAGGACTTCCAGTAAGAACACTGAAAATTTTAGGATGGGATTCGTACCAAGTAACTACTTGGCTGCTACATAGTGGCACTACAATCAGTGTTTCCGTTTAACCAATATAATGAAATATGAACAAATTTAATGAAACCATTGTAGGGTATGGCAAATATCGATATTGGTAATTCATAGACAGAGAAGTACGAATGTTTGTTAATACGGGATTTCACAGCGTTGCACGAGCCTGATTCCTGGCAAATAACTCGTTAAGTAACTGACCCTAGTTGGGGCCTTATACATTGACATGCATTTGTAGAAATTAGTCAGCTTCGCCATCTAGTAAATCATGTAATTTACCGATGACTTTCTCTGGGTCTGCTCTGACTCCATCGTGGAAGAATTCACTGGTGATGAATTGTCTCAAGTTACCATTGTTTTTGAAAATATTCTTTTTGACTTGTCTGGTGACATCAAAGTCAACATATTGGTCATACACATAGGTAGCAGCAACGATCGGAACCTTCTCCCAGGTGATTTTGCTCAAGACTTCTGGATCGTAGAGCTTAGACCATTTTTGATTGGAATGCAATAATTGCCCAAGTGCCTTGAATGGTCTCAATTCAGTGAAATCGTCATAGATAGACTTGTAAATCATCTCTCCAAAGAAGTATACTTGATCATCTTCAGCATCTTTCTTGAACACGAATTTCTCATTTCCTGGAGCATACCTTAATCTATCAGCAGACCAGTTGGTTAACAACGTTTTTGAGTCATTACCATCGCAATAAATTGCTTCCAAGAAGAAAGCATAAATTATGTTGGTATCAAAGGAAGACATGTCCTGAATAGACTTCAAGGTGTGGTAAGATGGACCACCGAGAAGCTTCAACTCGTAGGAGAACTTCAGCACTATTTGATGGATGGAGTCAGTACCTCCAAAGTGTCCAAAATTGATTCCTAGTTGTTGAAATCTTTCCACGCTCAAATTACCGCCATTTGGCAACCTAGTGTTGTGGTTATCCAAGTATGTTAGAATCTCCCTAACCTTTTTGGAATCTTCTGGATACTTCGCATAGTAATGTTCATTCCTTTCTCTTGTCCTATCATAAGTAACTTCATAAACTTGATCCGAGGTGTATCCGATTGGAGGAACACCTCCAGTAATGAACACCTCTTTGACAAACTCAGCGTACTTTGACAAGTAGGTAAAGCTCGTAAATCCACCGTAAGACTGACCTATGAGGGACCATTTTGCTTCACCCAAAAGATCCTTTCTTATGTGCTCCAAATCTTCCACTATGGAATCAGCTCTGAAGTGCAATACAAATTCAAGCTGTCTTGCAGCCAACTCGTTTTCAGTTTCATTCTCCTTTGGTGCAACATACTTGTTAATGGTGCCCACTTCCAAGGGGGTACTAAAACCAGTTCCTCTCTGGTCAAGGTATACTACCGAGTATCCCTTATCAAGAAGGACTTTGGTGTATCCGCTGTTACTTGTAGGGACAGCACATGGAAAGCCTGGCCCACCTTGGATATAGCAGATTAATTTTGCATCATCAGGAATGCAAAGAGTGGAATGATTCAATTTCTTATCAGCATGGAGTGTAGCTGAAAACTTCTGAACTACACTAGCTGCAATGGAGATCTTCGTTCCTTGGGGTGATTCGTAGTCTAGAGGAACGGTGAACTTCAACCGATGGACCACAATGTCCTTGAATTTCAAGAAATCAAAAACTTCGTACTGAGGAGACATTATTTGATATCAATTGAACGGTGAAGTTTAGGGGCTATGGATAGGTGGATCTACAAGGTGTGGAAGCTAACGTACGGCTTCATATGGAGCCCACCTCAACCTGCAAATCAGCCGAGACTTGTGACCCAACATGCAATGGGAGCGTAACCCGCGAAACCTTCAGCAAAACCTGTAATGTGGTTCTAGTACTTATCGCGTCTAAACGCGTCTTTTGCAACAGCATCCAACACCTACAATGACTAGATCAAGATCAAGGCCTCACACCAGTTCTCAAGATAAGTCCAGAACCATCATCTCCACAGTGAAGGACCCAATATCCACCAAAGAGTTGTTGGTGAGATTGCAAGCCTTAAGTGATGAGCTTTCTGCCGTGGATCAGGAAAAGGTGGACTTGAATGATTACAAACAAGTCCTGGAAGACTTGGTCAACAAGAAGCTTTTGGCACATCTGAACTCGGGTGTACAGGCATATGTGTGTGCAGCGATATCAGATATCTTGAGAATCAATGCACCTAACGCCCCATTCACTGCAGCACAATTATCGGAAGTTTTCAGGGCATTCTTCAAACAATTCAAAAAACTCGCCGATCCAGAGAATCCATATTTCCAGCAGCAGTGTTACATCCTCAAACGTCTCGCAGAAGTGAGATCTGCAATCCTTATTACTGATTTGCCCGATGCAGAGTCCTTAATTCAGCTAGTGTTTGATACCTTCTACGGATTGTCCGCCACAGATTTGCCCACCAGACTTGAACCATTGGCCAGTGATATTCTATCCGAAATCATATCGGAATCGGAGGTGATTCCTCATGACGTACTCAAACTAATATTGAATCGCTTCTTAACTCCAATCCCACAGGAGTCTGCATTAACTTCCACTTTAAACTCAAACATTTCAAATACGGGCTTCAATTTTTCGATGTATATCAGCGAGAATAATTTGGATCGTATGTCCCGCTTGGTAGCTCAGTATTTTTCTGAGATGTTATATGAGACTACAAATCTACCAATAGACCAGGAGGGTGATGCTCTGAAGTCGAAAGAGAAAAGAATAACCAATACTCTAGATAAATTGCAAAAGATCCATCTACTTTCCATTCAAATTTGGAAATATATCCCTGAGCTATTAAGTTCAGTGATGGCATTAATTGACGATGAATTGAATGCAGATGACGAGAGAGTAAGAATATTAGCAACTGAAACTATAGGGAAAATGATTGGCTCTTCAAATAATTATATTGCCCCTACAATCACTTCAAAAGTCAACTTTTTCATTTCACATAGAGATACATGGACTAACTGGTTAAAGAAAACTACAGACATCTCACCTCAGGTGCGTACGAAATGGGTTCAACAATTTCCTCAAATCATGAACTCTCTTACTTCGACTACAACAGAGGTGAATCAATCTTTAACAAATTGCTTGTATAAATGTATTCTTGATACTGATGAAAGGGTCCGAGAAGCAGCATGTATTAGCATCTCCAAAATTCCTTTTGAATCTTTCACAGCCAAGGTTTGCAATAAGAATATTATGAATACATTGACCCATTTGACAAGAGAGAAAAATCCAAAGATCCGGAATCAAGTCGTCAAATTCTTTGGATCTTTGTACAACAACTATATGGAAGCCCTCAACTCTAATAAGGTCATAGATTTCGGCAGTCATGAGGAAAATGAAATAGCAGAGCTTGAAAAGTTGATTACACAAGTGATACCGAATCAGCTTTTATCATTGATATACATCAATGATAAGAATATTACAGCCTCAGTGGATTTCTGTATATTCGAGAGTTTACTCCCAATCACCGAGTCTAGCTCGAGTAAAAGAGTCGAAAGAATTGTGCAATTTTATTCAAGTTTGGATGCTAAGGGTAAACAGTCGTTCATAGCAATCAACAAGAGGCAACAACAAGTATCAAAAGTCGTTCAGACTTTTATCGAGACAATATCTGACAACAAATTCAACAGTTTGACTATGGAAGATAAAGAGAATAACTCCGCTGAAAACAGGTCCGATGAGAGAGATAGTCCTCTGACAAAGGTTGACAAAATACTCAAATGGATTTGTGTATCTTTCCCCGAAAACTTGAATACATACAGTTGTCTCAAGAGGTTTTACCAATTGAAAAAGTCAAGATTCATCTACTTACTTAAGATTTGCATTTCTACCGAGTCCGACTACAATACTGTGAGGAATTCGATGAAAGAATTGTTGAACAAATTGGGAGATCCAAAGAATATCAAACTCGAAAATGAAAGAAACAATGTCAGTGTCAAGGATATGGTCACTAGTATGAAATTGCTCTTGATGAGGTCTTCAGTTCTTTTATACAACAAATCGAATGTGGTGGAGCTAATTAGATACTCCAAGGATCCAAGAAACAAATGGTACCTCACTGCGAATGAACTTCTTGAACATATATCTGTTGCAATTCCTGATGTTTTCAAGTTTCATATTAAGGCTTTGACAAACTTGATCATCAAGGAGAACTCCAGTGAAAGTTTATCTAATGCAGAAACACCTCAGGGACTTCAGTTGCGGGTCATATATCATTTTATTAAGAAGTATCCCGAGTTGTTTCCCACAAATATCGAGTTTACAGAAACGCTCAAGAAAATTGCTATGAATGGGTCTCCACGAGAAGCGAAGTATAGTACAAAGATTTTAAGTTTGAGTGACAAGAACCAGTTTTATTTCTCAGAGATTGTGAACAATATTTATCCATTGGATTTAGAACATGCAAAATTCTCAACTCATTTATCTACTATCGCTGAACTTTTCCTTGTGGATCCATTATCGGTACAAGAAAAAACAGGAGACTTAACGTCTTTATTGATCAAGGAAGTCTTCTTGAAGAATAGACAGATTGATAAGGATGCAGTATCCAACGATGGTGGGTGGATAGATGATGATCAACTAGATAAAGATTACCAAATACATTCAACCTTGTATGAAAAATTATTGGCATTAAGAATGTTTGTGAATCGATTGATCGGCTTGGAAAACTCAAATACTGAAAAGTCTTTGACAGAGAAAGAAAAGGAGGACATAATCAGTAATGCTCAACCAGTACTCAAATTACTAGTATCATTTATTGGGAACAGCGGAGAAATTATAAATAAGGACTCATCTAGTTGGCCAACTCCAGAGTTGTATAAGCTGAAAATTCGTCTTACTGCAGGATTATACTTACTCAAATTAGCCAAGTTTCCAATCTACAGTGAAATGATACATCCTACTACTCTTAGAAGGTTGACCTTTTTGTTGACAGATCACAATGAGAATGTTAGATCCAAGTTTTTGTTTGCTCTACAGAAGAAATTGGTGAATGAGCTCATCTCAGAGCGGTTTCTCTCCATTGCCTTTTTCAGTGCTAGTGAGCCGTCTGCAGAATTGAAAGGTAATTCTACTATGTGGATCCAATCCTTATACAGAAGGCAGCAATCAAAGAAGAGTATTATGTTTGAAAAATCCTTGGTAAGAGTTATTCACATGATTGCACATCATGAGCAGTTTTTGTCTTTACTTGGTGCTGAAACAAGCGAAGATCCAAGAGCCAATGAAGGTAATTTTAACCAAGCTTACAACTATGCCTTGAAGTTCTTAATATACTACATTAGTTTGATTGCCAATCAGGAAAATATTTCATTGCTCTATTATTTTGCAAGCCGTGTCAAACAACATAGAGATGCGACTGTTGATCCAGAGATTTATGTCAAGGCTCCGTTGCCACAGCAAGTTTTGAACTTGTATCGAATTGCAGAGCTAACACAATTTGCATTGAAAGAATACAGCGATCATAAGAGTTGGCCAATGCAAACTTGGCCAGGAAAGCTCAAGCTTCCAACAGATATTTATTCTCCTATGTTAACAAGTAAGGAGGCCCAGAATATCGTAAGCACTGTGTTTATTCCCGATTTTATTCAACTGCAATTAAGGGTTGTTATCAAAAGGAAATTATTAGGTACAGGTGGAAAGAAGCGTGTTTCAAGTGAGGTCGAAGTTAAAGTGAAAAGGTCCAAGCCAATTAAAGTAGAGAGGAAGCCATCATCGAAACCAAAGAAAATCGCTGCCGAGCCGTCTCGAAAAAGCTTGAGGGCTACTAACAAAGTGAGCTACACAGAAGAACATGACTCTGATGATTCCGAAATTGAGAACTCTGATGACAATGATGATGATGATGAGGATGATGATTCTTTTGAATGATTTTATTACTAATTCCCCTCAGGTTAGATCACCGAACACCAACTTTCACTGAATAAGATTAGGAAGTCAATACACAATAATATGATAAAGTCTGATAGTTTAAATATACTTTGATTTATGTTTACATATGCTATTTCATGTGATTCCTAAGCGGTCATTTCTGGAATACCTTGTATCTTGCGATTGTTGAACCATTCTTCTCCTAAGATCAGAAGTCGAGCAGCAGCTGGGAATCTCTTGTCGCTCACTGAACCAAGTAATGGCATCGTTAACACTTGCAATAATTTATTACCTTGGTGCCCATAAGCTTTTAGGAAGTCCTTCGCCGTAGCCTCCCACCAATTAGCAGCGACAGAGAAGTGAACATTTGCCAATAGATTTGCATCAGTATTCATCAATCTTGCTAAAAATCTCCATGAAGAGTCCAACCTATACAATGAAGATTGGGAAATGTTGGAGGGGATTCTTGTCATGGTGGCCCACACTGTACATATTCCAGAAAGTCTTTCGTCATATTTGACTTCATCTTCCCATTTATTTTCTCGTCTTCTCCAGCCCATTTGTAATCTGCCCTCTTCGGTATCAATCGTTCTAGTGAACCCAATGATCAATGGACATTTCTTTATAAATCTAGCACTCAAATAGTATTCAAGTTCAGGAAACTGTTGCAACAAGCTTATCGCAAGCCTAGCCAATGGGAGAGCAGCGGCAGGCTGCACTATGACTTCTGTTTCAGCTTGATCCACGATGGCTTTTGCCACAAAGTTCAAGATCCAGTTGAACGCCAAAGGCTGCGGTTTGGCTGTCAAGATTAAGTTGATCAATTCGTCATTTATTTTTTGGAATTGACGGTTAGATTGAGACAATTGACCGAACTTGGGGTTTATTTTTCTTTTCAATTGTGATACTGCTTTCTTCAAGTCTGGATTAGATGCCACCTTTCGAACCACATTCATCTTAATGTCTGTGATGTCTTGCTTGTATTCCAAGAAATCCTTCTCCACTGATGCAAAATTGGTACCGTTATAGAGTTTCTGGCTTGCCAATTTATCTTTTTGGGCTTGTTCCATAGCTTTACGATCTTTTTCAGCTTGTTCCAGCTTCCTCTTTTCTTCTAAGTCTGCCTGTACTTTTGCTTCATCGGCTTTTCTTTTCTCCTCTTCAGCCTTTTTCCTTTCTTCTTCGGCCCTCTTTTTTTGTTCTTCGAGCCTCTTTTTCTCCTCCTCGACTCTCTTTCTATCCTCCTCTTCCTTTCTCCGGCGCTCTTCCTCTTGTTTCCGTATTTTTTCCTGCAATTGCTTCCGTATTCTTTCCTGCTCTGCTCTGATTCTTTCCTGTTCTAGCGCTAGACTCTTCTTCTCTGCCTCAATTATCGCTTGAACTTGCGATGCTTGCAGCTGGAGATCCCGCTGGAACTTCTGGTGTAACCAGTCACTGGTTGATTGACCCATATTTCTAGCGTTCTCTATTCGATTCTGATACGGAAGTATTGTGTCCATACCTGCTTGCTCTAATTGTGCGAGCCTTTGTTCAGTATGTATATTGATGGAGATTTGAATCTTTTGGAACACCTCCTCTATTCCTGTGGAGGGCTGGGACCGTGGTATTATGTCCTGGTCAAGGATATCCATTACCGATTCTTGTGCATTGTAGGTGATGTGACGTTGTGGGGTGTCTGCCACTAGCACCATGTCTAAAGGCAACTCGAACTTCATGGTAGAGTAGCGTAACCGCGTCACACAGGGGTTCTCAACGATATACCGTGGGAAAGCAGATGTGTGGAGAGGGTCAAATGGGTGTGTATATCCTCAGGATTACGCTCCGATGCGGAGGCGTGTAAAACCCAGTCCGTACCATATCCAAATTTTTCACCGCGAGTCTACAATCACTAACTATCGACCATGAGTATTGCCAGACAGTTTGTACGCCAGTTCAGCAGCACTGGAGTTGTTGGCAAGCCAGGGTACTCCACAGTGGAGCCCGTGCACCACTTGGTGAACATCAGAAAGGCCGCATTAAAACCAAAGTATCAAGGGTTATTGATACCCAAAGACGACATAAGGTCTGTGGGATTCAAGCCTACAGAGATCGACCAGGACAGAGTGGCAGAGTACTATCAAAACACATTGAAGTCGGATCTCTTATTGCATAACTACGAGCACGGCGCCCAAGTGATTGAAGGTGAAAAGAAGAGATCGTGGGGTACTGATTCTCCCTACAAATTGTACCGTAACTTGAAGAAGGCCAAGCGGGTGGGTCGTGCGACTAGGGACATTCATCCAATCAAGCACGATAACGTTCCCCAGTTGGAGTCCATCTACATTCAATCATACAACAAGTGGGCCTTGGAAGAAAGTTGGTTGAACATCTCCACCAGATTACAGCTCTCGCAGATCACCAACGTCAAGGCTAAGCAAATCTACGCCAAGGCCAACATCTTGCCATGGAGACTTCGTGAAGGAAAGCCATGTGGTGCCAAGGTTGAAATCAAGGGCATCGACATGTCTCAGTTCATAACCACTTTGACTGAATTAGTCTTACCTAGAATCAGAACCTTCAAGGGTATTAAAAACACCTCGGGTGACTCCAATGGTAACATCACCTTTGGTTTGGACCCGGACAATCTCAAGTACTTCCCTGAAATCGAAAGTTTCCAGGACTTGTTTCCCAACTTGAATGGTGTCCATATCACATTTAAGACCACCGCAAGAACTGACGAACAGGCCAGAACTTTGTTGAGTGCATTGGGCTTACCATTCTACGATCCAAACTAAATTATTCTGTATAGAAAATGTAAATAGCGAGTTAACAAAGTGCAATGGTTTAATTAATTCAAGCTGCCTATTCCAAAAGAATTTGGTGCTGCTTAGAAGTGTTCACGGTACACATCGAGATGATTCACGAAGCGGATACCTGACTACGTCGTGATTATTTTCCTTAGAGCGTTCATATTGTGGTGATGTCTCATCACGCATCCTGGCCAAAATTGCCATTGAAGCGCGTCGTTTTGCGGAGTACCACTAACGTTCCACCGTGATCTATAAAGTACACAGCGATAAGTCGTCGCCTGTGATACAAATCTTGGCACTGAACTGCCCAAAAATCTACAACGTCTAAGCTCTGGTCATAGCAAGAACAAACCATGGAGACGTTAGAGTCTATTGTCCATGAATTCACCATCTTGTATTCCAACAGAATACACCAGAAAGATAAGAAGTGGAACGACGGCAGGCTCAAGTACTACGAGTTTAATGGGAAAATAGAGATCCTCAATGATGATGACAACATCATCTCCACAGATTTCGTACAAACGAAGAATCACAAGCAAGTGCTAGCCACCAAGCTAGCAGTGAATAACCAATTCAAATTAACTAACAATAAGCTAGTGATCGAGGTCACAGACCAAGGCGCCACTTATACAAGAGATATAACGAACTCGTTCAAGAAGAAAACCCCAATGAGTTTATCGGAAATTAAGTACGAGGAAGTGACGCCAATCAAACGTGAATACAAAACACCTTTGACCCCGACAAGTGGGGATACCCTAAATCGACAGGTTAAGAGACGTCATGTCGGGCTTAGAAAAGTGAAGCCAAAGATTAAGTCCGATCCAGAGACCGGAACTCGGGATTTAGACTTCAAGATCAAATCTCCTCAAGTGAAAGTCAAAATCGAACATGAAGAGCCCTTATTTCAATCACCACCGCATAGCATCATTTCAAAAAATTCCTCCTATCAACACTTGCTGAAGAATATATCTTCCGATAAATCATCAAGAAACCCATCTCCAATATCCACTCCAAAAACGATCCCATTGACAGGAAGTACTGTTACTACCCGTACGCCTCCGAAAAGAATCCCTAGGATATCACCCGGTAGCTCTAAACATTTTCAATATTTGAATCATAAGTCAAGTAGTCCTTCAGAAAATGACACTCGGCTGAAATTTAGTATTAGAGTTAATCAGAGTCGAGAGGATTATACAGATTCATTGGCACAGGGAAATCTACAAGTGATAAAAGCAGAGCCGGAGTCTTTCGAGTCCAAGAAGAGCCTTGAAGAAGCTGACATAATTTACGATCTTTCAGATTTTGAAGAGGATGAAAAATTTCTCAAGATGTTGAAAGAGATGCAGAATGAGAGAGATATCAGAGGGGTCAACTTTGGGAATGATATGCAAGGAACGCAAGAAGAGATGATACAATTTTCGAAGGAAAATGTTCCAGTATCCACTGTTGATGAAACCTTATCAACTCCTTCGAAAGCTCAAGGTCCAATACAAAGTAGGAACACTCCTGCAAGTAATAAAAAGTGTAACGAGTCTCATGATTTCGATTTGTCTTCAAGTTCTGAATTTGAAGATGTTGACTCAACTCCAATAGGCTAAATCTTTAGGGTATCCATTTCTTCAGGACTAGTGCGGGTCATAATGTCATAATTTGGAGAGATTTAAACTACTGGATTTTATTGTCAATCCAGTTAACTTTTTGAAAAGAATACTTGAGTACCTTGATGTTATGGTTTTTTTTCTTTCTGTATCGCTCAATTGCAGTATGGTACCGTTGGAAAACAATAATATATGCCCTGCAAGAATTTCAGAGTGCATAACAAGTGCAGAATTCTAGAACGACAATCTTCTGTTTGCAATTGAGCACTCGGTCTTATATTTTATCACACAGAACTGATTTTCAGAAAGAGCCTGAATCTTGCCACAGGAATAGTACAAATAGCCTAATTTCGATGTGGTGATAATTTTAAAGTATATCGTATGCATTTGTATCACCGAAAAAGGACCAGGATACAAGACTTACACACCCGTGATATGAATTGATACGGAAATTGTACGCTAACGAGATATGATTTTGATGACCGATTGACCCAAATTCAGCTGTAATTACATTTAAGTGGTTGCAAGGTCGCACGCTTGTAATTTCTATATCTTATTGTAAAATCAATGGCACATTTTTATGCACAAGTAGGAACTAACAATATGCTATGGGTTTGAAGACCCTGAAATAAAGACATAATAATAAATATGAAAGTGCACGGAGCACAGTAGTGACAGTAACAAGAATGCTGTCTACTTTTCGTTGATAATCTAACGAAAACAATAACCTCAATCATCCGAGGACCGCTTATTCCAGAGCGGTTACTCCATACAGCTTTCAAAGCCCACAGCTAATGTTAAACCAACAACAATTTCGAACATTCCCTTATTATGATCTCCTGAAAAAAGGTTTTTATCTTCATAAATAGTAATCCAGCCTAACTTGTTATCGTCAGGCGTGTCGTCGCTTGGATTAGACAGGTAATACAACCCATCGCCTCCTCTGTAGTAATTCTTAACGTCACCTCCAGCTAAATCGTAGCTCAATGAATTCCGACTGATCTTTGTAGCACTTGTACTAATTGTGGATACGGACTCAGTAGAGCCATTCATCTGTGGATTTTGGAGCTGTTGGAATTGGTAATTGGACGAAATACTAGTGCTATTTCTATTTTGGAAAATATTCCTGTTCTTCTGGAGCGAGTTCATCAACCTCTTCCTAGCTTTCGATTCATAAGGTCTAAAAAGACCCAACACCGGTGGAAAGTCACCATTTGACTCGTGCAAATAAATTTTGCTAGGATCTCCACTCGTGTCCCTGTACAACAGGTTCATTGGATTCTTATGATCTCCTTCTTCAAGATAGTTTTGGTGGAAATAGATGTTCTTTTTGCCGATGAATTTCATGTGGTCATTGTATTGGTCCGTATTGATTCCACTGTTCAAGGTGCTTGTGCTCGAGGTCTTTCTCAATCTGCTCTTAATCTTGTTCATTCTACTGCTTCTAACTCTTGGGATAGAGCCCACATTCCACTTGCAGTTATTAAAATCCTTGAATTCGTAGTTATTGAATTCATGCAATGCTTGTTGTGAAATATTAGAATATGGTGGAATGAAGTTTGGGCTGATCTTTTTGGGGAGGAGTAAACCGTTGTACATAGGTGACTTGGTGCCTGTGTACACAGACTTGTGGCTATTGGGACCTCCAAAATGCATGACTTTTCTGCTCGATCTGGAATTGGATGATGATGATGATTTGTTTGCTTTAGGTATTGAGATGGTGAAGTAACCACCCTCAGATTCTGCCTTCTTGGTAATGATCATAATAGGTGGACGATTGTCCTTTTTGTTTGCTTCAATGCCGTTAATGTCCTTAAAAATCAAGGTGAACCCTTTCCCGATTTTTGGTTTTTTCAGTTTATCAGGGAATATAGTTTCAACGTAAAAACCAGGTCCATTACGACAGTACATATGCTTAATTCCCGGATTGGTGGTAAGATACATATCCTTGCCAAACTTGAGGATATGGTACTTCCAGAATGGGTTTGTTTGGTTCGTCATGAAATCGTTATCGGTGCTCATCATGGACACTTCAGATGCCATGCTGGATCTCGGTTCACTTGCTTCTGGCTTATATACATGGGAGTGGGAGCTTTGAGACATCGACAACCGTGACAACGAGCTTGACAACGAGAAACGGTTTGTTCTTTTGGGGTGGTTCTCGTCCTTCCTGGAAGTCAAGCTCTGCAACGAGAACCGCTTCAACTTCTTTCTTGCAGCCTCTTGCGCTGGCTGGGACGCGTAGCCCAGCCTGGAGTCCCTGGAAGCCTGGTCGTTCTGGGCCTCCATGAGCTCAATGGAAGGGCTGGGCAACCGTTCACCCAAGTACTCCGACACCGGCTGGGTGCTGTAGTAGGACAGCTTGTTGACCAAGCGTTTGCCAGTGTAGCCCAGATCCAAGGTTCTCCGTTCGGTGGACTCGGCCATGGTGGAGGTACTCGAGGCATCGTCAACAGGCCGCAAGTTGGGGTTGTCCTCGCGGAACTTGCTCGTGATAGGCGACTTGTTGATGTAGGAATCGATGGTGGTGGTGAAATCACTGACGGTGTCAGTGGTGGCTGGTGCCAGCACTGGCGGCTTGGAGGGGAGCGGCTGTTTGATCATAGAGCCTCGGGAGATGAGAGGGACGCAGTGACGTGAAGCGAGCACTTTTAACCCTGAGCCGTCTATGCCTACGCCGGGGTGGAGTGGTGTGTCGTGTGGAAGTCAGTATATATGTCCGAAGCACAGCCAATCGGTGTGCATGCAGACAATAGAATTAGTGTGTCGTCTAACCTGCAAGAACAATTGGCCAACGGCGAGGGTCTGGGGCGGGAGTGAAGGGGGCTATGGACAGGGCGGCCACCATCACGAGTGGGCAACCACCATGGCTGACACGCTCCAGGCCACCTGATGACGGCTTAAGCGACAAGTGGCACGCCAAATGGGGAAATAGGCACGCACTCCGCGTCCAGCTACGCGAATGGCCCTAGACGAAGTGGCACAAATATGCGTGTGGAGTACGTCATCACAGCGATAGTTGGCCGAAGCTGATGGAAACCGGTGGACGAGTGGAGCCGTCAGCTGGAGAAACACCCATACTTCACTACTCTGGAAACACCGAGGTGTAACGCCCCGCCAGCTAGCCCCTTCCACCACCTGAAACAATTTCAAGCCCGCACCTTGGTTCTAGATCGCCTCCTCCCCCCTTGACGATGTCCAGGTAATAATCTGGCCATGTGACGCATGCTACCAAGCAGTTTGGAGTACCAGGCGCTCGTATGTGGCATCGTATCTGTTACTAGTGCCGGTAACGGCAGCGGTAGCTCATCGCATCAAATACGGGACTGGCAGTGCTGCGCGGAGCCGTGCAAAATGTGAAAAGTTGACGTATTTTGAGATGGGGAAAATGAGGGGCATCGGTTTATTGTCTAAAATCCTGCGCATGAGGAGAGGCCGTACATAAAATCAGGGGACATCATCAAGGAGGGGACGGAATGGACAGGATGCTTGTGGTGCATGTGGACTCAGGGTGCCATGTTTTCACACATGGAAATGGTCGAGGATCGGCAATTCCATGATAAACGGTGTTGGTGATGGCTTTTTCATTGTGGAGTTGATTTGGAAGGAAAGAGATTGATTTGGATGAAAGGATTGATTTGACTGTTTCCCAAGTATGCAAGGCGTTCCTCTATTTCCCAAGTTTTCAATCTTGGAGCTGTCCTGGCGTTAGATCCCTAGTGGTAATTCGTGGATTGGCAATATTGCAGGTAATCACATGCAAGGAATTTAGCTGGGGAATAGTAACTGTAGTTCTATAGTGAATCATCTATTGATCGGATGGGTTTACAGCATTTTTGGCGTGCTAGACTTCCTGGTGTTTCGTCACATATGGTTGGATATCCTCGAATTACAGATTCGCTGACATTATCAATTGCTAGTGCTTGACAGGTGGGCGTTTCTCCAGTGCCAGACAGTTGGTAAAGTATATCTAACGAACACTGTAACTAGTATACAATATCTTGCAAGGTTTAGCTACCAACAAATCGTTCACAGCTGTTGTAGTTCTTGAAATTATGTCCCATATGTTAGAATTGCGCCATTTGTGGAAGTCAGGATATATGCCTTCACGTCACGAAAAGTCCTTCCTGCTCTTGGCTTCCTAGCATCTAACTTTACTGATTTGTACACTCAAACAAGATTTAAACTATAAGTGAAGTAAGCTTCGGGAGAATTGATGAATCTAGGGCACAAGTTGGGCTTAGCATGAAAAAGCCAATAAAGTCCTTGTTGTCACATAATCCACTGCGGATTATCAATGAAACTCTAGTATCAGCAACAAGAAAAATTCGATAATTTTGCTCTGCCCAGTACTAGGTGTTAGTAAACCAGCTAAAGCTTCTGAGAATACCGGTATTTGATCCAAACTATAGTGGACTTATTAGAATCAATCACTAAGCATAAAGACATAAAAATGCACCATTATCTGTAGATTTGCAGCAACAATATTGCCTTTCTTGCATGGACATTCATCCCTAATTTCTCATCCAACTTTATCTTGTGGACCATGTAAATTGACTCTCATTTTTAGAGTTTTCAACCATAGTGCAAGCAGTTAAATTTCTGGAAGGAGTTTTGCACGAAAAATATTGTAGATATACAACATGAATTCGAAAGTCACCTACGTTGCCTCTGAACAGCTCATACGTTTATAATATTGCATACCATTATCATGATCAATTTCAGTTCAAGTCTTTTAATTAGAAATAACATGTGACTTTCATCAAGGTAATTCAAAAACCTTGGTAAAAATTAGCGATTAGATTTGATGTACTGGCGCTCGAGATTCGTAACCACAGCTCGTCGTATCTAGGCCAAATCGAGGACCATTTAGTACTGTTTTTGGCCATTTTCCTTTTGGATTTGTTCTACGTTAGAGCCCGCAGATGATTTCACTTCCAGCGACAGATTCGTGCATCTGGAGCTTTGCTCGATCTAGGGTCATTGTAAGATGCTTTACCTCCTAGTCCTCTTCAACTCTATCACCGCTATTGTCTCTCGAAATTCCATCCATGGCTATTCCAGCCTCAACGGAGGCTTTCAAATCCAGGCCATACATCCTTCAAGGCTGTGTGGATAAGGTTTTCATTTTATGTGCTTTTCGGGGTAATTGGTTTTTGGTTGAGTGAACTCAAAGTTGTACCGTTGAGACGCAATCATTTAATTAACCCAATTGGGACAAATGTATAACAGCTAATCGAGTTGCTCATTTGAATTAGTGGACGGATATAGTCTAAGGCATCATCGAAACTCTTGGATGCATATCATCTACCTAAATTCTACTAAGTTTCAGGCAACAGGGAATAGTTAGGACTGAGTTGAAGGATATCCGATCCGAAAATCAATTTTGAGTTTCCATTAAATTACTAATGCTTGCAAGCGTAGACTCCACTCTTGACTGATATCTTGAATTAAAATATGATTTATGATTCGAAGTGTGAACGCCGACCCTCGGAAAATCCAAGACATGCTACTGTTCTGATATCAAGGAAACAATTCACGGATTTCATGGGGCTTACCAGGGGCTCTGACTGTACAGATGTACGCGTCTTTTAATTCGAGCATGAAGACTCTTGCATTGTTCCTCGAATGAGTGCATATAGGTGATCTATTCAAGGAAGTTCAACAATAGGTTCAGAATCGGCCACATCGGGCAAAATTGGGCGTTACAGAACCTGGCACTATTAATCGTGAATCTAGTGTAATTGACCACCATGTTCCCAAAAACTTACCAGGTATCAACACCATTCGGTCACGTCTGGAAAACGCTCGAGTCACCTTGATGTAGATTCTGCATTTCGAATACTGCACGAATTTTACCACTGCAGAAATTAGAGTGTATCTGTATTCAATTAACCCAATAGGGATATCACGGCGTTCACAAACCTCGAGGTCAAAGCAGGGCTTACCGAGCCAAAACAATTTGGGCCAAGTCTTTAACAATTGCGCCAACCCTTCTCGACAGGGCGCCAAACCCGGTGCGTATCGATGCATATTGATCTGGTGAAAGATTTAGGTGAACTGGTTTCAGTCTCCGTGATGTGATGTTCGATGTAACCATGTCACTGCTGAGATTGCTACTACTGTTGTGTGCCTTTGCGGCTGGCTGATACTCTTGGATTCTCCTTCCTCCTTTGCAGGCTCGGGTGCCTCGTCGAGCAAGTGTGCTTCGCATTGGTAATTAACCCAAGCAGGAAATCGCATTCCTCTATTGTAACGCACTCCCACTTACAAGGAACAATGTGTGATAATTCTGGAACTCCTTCGTGGTTAGTAGTAGGTAGTAACAACTTAACCATATAGTTAGTGAGAACAGGAAGCTATTGTTTAACATCACCGATACTCTGGTCACAATAGGTGAAATTTGCCTAGCCCTGTAGTTCAACAAGCCTGATGGACGAGTTTACCCTGGTATATATACTGGTAATTCTCTCTTGCTACAACTCATGTTGCACTAGGATAGCATCTACTGTCTAACATGATCTCATCCATTAAGTCCGCATTTATTAACCTCACCTCCAAATTCAACCACTTCTATTGTGTGCCATTATTCGGATTGGTATGCTGGTATGGGCTCCTCTTTGGGCTCGTAGGTTCGTGGGTGGCCAAGGGAGCCAAGGCATATCCTAAGTACGGGGAAAGTGCAGTTCCCTTGCCACTAGAGAGAATCGGAGTTATCTTGGAACCAGTGTTCTTCGTGGTGTTCGCATTCATCCATGCTATTGTCTTCTGTGTGTCGATGTATCTTGAGTTTTACCATCGGAAGATTGGAAAGTTGATCAAGTTCATCAAGCCCACTTTGCAGAAGAGATTGGCCTTCGCATCCATCACCATTGGTATCATTGCCCAGGTGTTTTTTGTTACTCAGAGCTTGGTGTACTCGGTATACATGCACAAGTACAGCAGGGCCCACTCCCACTACGCTGTGTTGTTGGCAATCTTTGCTATTTTAATCATGATCTCTTTGGCATTGAATTTCATCAACTACTACATCATGGGGCAATACTACGCCAAATACGTCAATGGCGAGAAATGGAACAAGTTCACCATCTCGTTTATTCTCAAGATCACTTGGTTGATCGTAACCATAAGTGTTGCAGTCATCTGCTGCATCTTCTACGTGAAGAAGAAGAAGGCGATCAGTTCGGTGTTCGAGTGGATATTCCACTTCTGGTACGGGTTATTATTGGCGTTCTGGACCTACGACTTGTACCCATTGACCGAGTTGAGGGCGTTGAGAAAGCAAGGTACCGAGACTCCTCCGCTCAAACAAGAAAAGGTCAGTGTTATCAGACAGAAGTTCAAGAACTGGAGCCCCACCAAGTCCAAGAACAGCGACTTGGAGAAGAACAGTCCTACCTTCACCTACATCACTCCCGTGGGGTCCGCAGTCAGTTCGCAAGAAAACTCTTCCAGAGCCACCCAGGAATCTCCTACTCCATTTGGGTTTAACGGTCCCAACTTGCCGTTTTCGCACTTCTAGGCTGGGACTTGATTTCGCGACCGGAACCACTGGTGGTAATTTTGCGACCACGTACCCCGGTGGGAATTCCCACCGCTAGGCTGCCCGGAGCTGGCTCTGGTGCAGTGTGCCTATATACCTATAGTCTTCCCCAGGAGAATGTACTATTTAATCAATCTTTTCAGTGACGCGTAAGCTGCCTCGTAGTTAGAAGCTGGAATTTCATCTCAGTGCGTATCTCAATTGCGGCGAGATGCCAGTACTGGTGTGACTCTAGGAGCGGTGTCCAAGCTTAGAGTACTGAAGCAAACATGCGCTACTGGCCATATGTACCCACCTATAGCAGCAAGAAGACTTCACGACCGCCTGATAGGGGCGTTGTCTGACATGTTTCAGCCGTAGCTGCTCGCAGACGAGGGCAGTGTTCCTGCGCGAGTCTTCACCGCGTACTGCCCCCACGCCTTATAAGTAGACGATTCCCCGCCAGCACTCGCTCGTCATCACGATGCCCCAACTCGACCTAGAGGAATCGAGTCCCCTTGTGGACACTACGGAGTCCGAGTTCACAGACACCTTCTGCCCCAACACCAGACAGACGTTCAGAATATGCTTGAACCTCAAGACCTTGATCGATAAGGTGGTCCCCATCGTGTTCGACAAGGACGAAATCACCTCCCAGAACTCGCCCATCCTCAATTCCAACGTCATCGAGTTGGTCTACCGTGCAGCGGGCGGAAAGGGCGATGGAAAGCCTGGCACCTCCTCCTACAAGTATCGTGCCGCGTTGGTGTTCTGCTTGTTAAAGGTGTGTGACTGGTACTGGCAACAGGCAGACCTCGAGCTCACCGACAACGAGCTCTACTCGCTCAGAGCAGTGGCTGCCCAGACCTTGGCTGCCATTGTCATCGAACAGGCGTCTGACGACAAGTACCTCTTCCTTGGCATGTTGACCCACAGATACTCCATCCGGTTGAACGAGTGTGATGCGCCACCAGTCAGTGCTTTGGAATTGGCGGTGGACATGCACTCCACCATTGTTATCGGCTCTGCTGGCTACCAGAGGTGTGTCAAGTGGTTGTGGAGAGGCTGGGTCGTCCAATCGTCCAGCGACCCCCACTCATACGTTTTGTACAAGGGAGTGTCCTCGCACTCGATCAGAACCCACTTTGATCCTGCCAGAATTAAGACCCCATTATACCAGAACATCCTCGAAATCGGGTTCAGTTTGGTCTACCTTATTCTTTACACTTTGGTGTTGAACGGACACCAGGAAACAACTTCACCTTTGGATATCTTCGAGTACCTCTTCTACTTCTTCACCCTCGGCTCAATTTTGGACGAATTCACCAAGTTTTACCATGTTGGTTGGAACTACTTTGGATTTTGGAACGCGTTCAATGATTCAATGTACTCGATTTTGATGGTTGCCATTGGATTCAGATTTGCCAGCTTGAACAACACCGGTTTGGCCCAACAACGTTACGATGAAATCTCGTTCAGAATTCTCTCGTGTGCTGCGCCTTTCATGTGGTGTAGATTATTGTTGTACTTGGATGCTCAGCAGTTTTTCGGTGTCATGATCGTGGTTATCAAGACTATGATGAAGGAATCACTTATTTTCTTCGTCTTGTTAGTGGTTGTTATCCTCGGTTTCTTGCAGGGATTCCTTGGGTTAGATGCCTCTGACGGAAAGAGTGATGCCACCAAGCATATTCTCATTTCTTTAGTGAAAACCGTTATTGGCGGTTCTTCCTTTAGTGATGTTGCAAAGTTGGTACCACCATACGCTTCGATTCTTTACTACTTTTACTCGTTCGTTTTGAGTGTCATATTGATGAATATCTTGATTGCCTTGTACTCTACGGCATATGCGGCTATTGTGGAAAATGCTTCCTACGAGTACTTCGCTTTGGTTGCTCAAAAAACCTTGAGATACATCCGTGCTCCAGATCAAGATCTTTATGTTCCACCATTCAATTTGATCGAACTCTTAGTTTCTCCATTCCAGTGGATCTTGACCAAAAGGGCCTTCAAGCAGCTCAATTATTGCATCATGCTTGTGATTTATTCACCATTGTTGGCTTACATCACGATGTATGAATTAGCCAATGCTAGAAGAATTCAATACAACAGATTCAAAGGTTTGCCTGATGATGCCAACGAAATGGACACCGAATGGGACTTGACCGATGGCTATGACGTGGATGCTAGTACTGGATGGGAAGGCATCCAAGAAAGAAACTACGAAGTTAACCAAACATTAAGAGAACAAAGGGAAGGGGAAATCCAGGATCCTGAATTCCGGATCGATCTCCACAAGTTCGAACAAGACATCACTAAGGTTGTGCAACCAGTCTATGAGGCTAGCAAGGTTGGTGTCAAGTGGGAATTTTACGAGTTGTACGCTAAAATTGACAAGTTGACTACTTTGGTGGAGGCCGTAGTCGACGAGAATCAGCAGTTAAAGAAGAGACTCGGGGACAAAGTCACCTCTGAAGCCCCAAAGGTGCAACAAGAAGAAACCCCAGAAGTGACCCAAGAAGCTGCAGCTCCTGAGTTACCTCCTACTTCTGCTACTGACAAGAGCAGTGACTAGTGGTGCAACTAGTGGGCGAACTTAGAAGTATGCTCACTAAAATAGTGCCGTTCCTGCGCGTATTCTTCAACATGCTCACCGTCCATCGTCATATAGCATCTCTGAAAGACTAGCCCAGTACATCCTGGTCCTTTATCGTATATGGGACTTACATTGTAGACATTCGCTTTGTATTGGCTATCCAAATGCAGCCTTGGGGTTGCCCATCCCACAACCACTAGTGCACCAGATGGAGGCTCACGTGATCCCAACGAAGAAGCGAATTTTTAAAAAGGACACTTCAAAATTAGAGGAGCATCGAAATCAACCAGCCCAGAGAGTAAAGTCGACGATTCGGAACTGTATATCATCAACTTACCGAAGAACCAATTGTCTTGGATAGCAGTCACTCCGTCAACTACTGCCTAAAGAAAAGAAGAAGATCAACTCATTCGGGAAGGCACAAGTCCTCATAAGATCCATAAACCATGACAGAACAACCGGTGGCGTTCAAAAACGGTGCCGATATCCACTTCGACTACAAAGGTGAATCTCCCCAAGTTGCGGCGTCCAAAAAGAAGAAGAAGAGAAAAAGTAAGAGCAAAAAGTCGGTGGATGTAACTCAGGCTCATTTGGCCAATCCCGACGAAGATTATCCAACTTCCAGAGTAATTAAACAAGCACCAAATGGCGATGTCATCGTCGAAAGCCTCAATGAAGATCCACCCAAGCACCATGATCACAGAGACCATCTCCATTCAAGCATATGGGACAGTGCATCCCTTGAAGAACAAGAGAATTTGAAATTGTTCTGGGAATCATTGGGCGAAAGCCAAAAGATGGAACTTGTCAAGATAGACAAGAAGTCAATCATGGAAATCTTCAAAAATGAAACGAAAGCATCTATAAATAATGCTCATCATAACCATGCTAATGGATCTACAAGCACAGGAAACTCCAATGGAACATTGTTCAACAATAATTGTACCTGCTCGTATTGTGGGAGAAGAAGCAATATAATAGAGGATGAATTGGAGAATATTTATGACAATCACTTTGATGACATAATAGATTTCATTCACGAGGTACGAGATATTAACGACTTGAATGCTTTGCCAGGTTTGTTGTTTGGAGGGTTTCATATGTTGGAAGAAGAGCATAAACTTCAAAAACGACAACATCGGCTTAAGCACAGGTCCGAAAGTGAAACTGAACGGGTGCAAAAGCCTACTACGCCTGCACCCAGCGCACCAATTGGAGGTCACAGGGAACAACGTTCTCTTATGAGCGAGGAATCCAAACACAAGATAAACAAAATTAACGAGATCAACGACAATTTGAACTTCACCAACACAGAAAAATTGGAAGAAATTCAATTGAAAAAGGCATTGGATGAAGATTTCAATGCCCACATAGCCCCACCCCTTCCCAGCAAACAAGCAGGTACGGATACCACAGATGAGCAGAAAATTTTTAATAAATTATTGGACCCAAAGCTAGTGGAAGCATTGGAAAACCTAGATTTCGAGAAAATGAGACTGGATGTGAACGCTTCCATGATTAATAACGATTACATAAATCAAGCTAATCTTCTACAGAAAGCTGGTTCATTGAAGGAGATTATTAGGGATCTCCACAAAGCTGATAAGGCTCAGTTAGAAAAGGGTATGTCCTTTTTGCAAAACATGGGTAACATCTTTTCTTCCAGCGCAAATACTTTGAATAATGATCCCAACATACCATCCAATGTCTTAACTACCAAATTCAATGATCAATTAACTCAAGGATTATCTAGTTTCGCAGAAGATTTACTCAAAAACGATGGTCACTCTTTCGTTGATATGATGGAATCTTTATCTGAGTCAAGAACAGCACGAGAGGATATTTTGAAAGAATCTAAATCCAAAATTGATGCTCCGGCTGCTTGGGTTGATGAGGATGATTCGAAGCCCTCGCTGTCACAACCGGCAATTGATGCTGAAAGAGATTATGAAGAATATGAAGATAAGTTGAACAGCAAATTCGAATATGAAGAAGACGAGGGTATCGAAGACAACGAGGAGGAGGAAGACGAAGATGATGATGGCGAAGAAGATGAGGAGGAGGAGAACGAGGATGAGCTAGATGATCAAGATGCAAGTGACACGGAATCCGAAATCTCAGAAGAAGAAAAGATGCAAGAGATTCGCCGTTTATTTTTGATTCAAGTGATAAAATTGTTTCAAGAAAGGTTGAAGAATGCGTATAAGGAGAAGTTATCTAAAGATCGTACCCAAATGTTGATTGAAGAGTTGGAAGCAGAAGAAAACGCAAAGAAGGAACGGGAATTGAAAAAGTTACAGCAGAGAGAAAAGGCAAAAGAAAAGAAAAGACTTCAACAATTGGCTAAGGAGGAGGAAAGAAAGAAAAAAGAAGAGGAGCAAAGGATCAAGGAAGAGGAGGAACGCCAAAGGGCTGAAGCCTTAAGAGCAGAGCAAAAACGGAAGAAGGAAGAAGCACGTCTCAAAAAAGAAGAAGAGAAGAAAAAGAGAATTGAAGAGTTGAAAAGGAAGGAGGAAGAACATCGTAAAAAGGTAGAAGCACAAATCCAAAAGGAAGAAGAGGCTAAGAGAGTCAAGGAAGAAAGACGCAAGAGAGCGGAAGAGGAACGCAAAAAGAGAGAGGAAGAGAAGAAGCAGAAGGAGATCTTGAAGAAACAAAGAGAGGAAGAAAAAAGGTTGAGATTAGAGAAAGAGCAAAAGGAGAGGCTCAAACAAGAGCAAGACAATCAAGATCGTATAGCAGCCGAAATATCACAGAAGGCTGCGTTTGTTGCCGTAGAAGATGACGAAAATGTTCCAATTTCTCCTACAAAATCACCTTCAAAGAATCACATTTTGGAACAGTTGTATCAAGCTCGTCCTGGATCTATCTCCAACGCCTCAAATACCCAATTATCTAATCCAGACCCATTCCTTCCAGGAGGTGTATCTCCAAACCCGGCCAACATTATTCCAAATCCTCAGCCATTCCAGAGTGTCTCGCCCTCTACGCACAACAGTCTTCTCTATGGAACCCAAACGGGATCTATGTCACCGTGGTCGAGTAAATCTAGACTCAACTCGGTTTCAAACGTTCCAGCATCCCAACCTAACTTGTTCCAATCTCAGCTTTCCAATAATTTCAGCCCGTTTAATGGATTTAGTGGCGAAACTCAGCTAGGAACTGAACCATTTAATAGCAATCCCGCGCCTGGTACCAATAGCGTTTGGAGCCAATCGCGAAATAATTCCATCTGGAGCACCACACCTTCTGGGAATATTTGGGGCAATAATGTCAATATGCCCAACGCGAATATTCCGAACCCTGTTGCCAAGCCTGTCAACTTAGTTGCAGACTCCTTGATCCAGACTGCCGCCTTCAATGCATTCCAACTCTTGCAAAACTCCAACCAACTTGAATTCGGTGTCGTTCCTCTTTTGAAGCTTTACCAAAGCACCAAAACTGTCATGAACAACAACGCGCTCACTGTCAATCAGTTTTTGGGAGCATGTCGCAGCAACTCGTCGTACCTCTTTGATTTAATCTACGATGACTTCGGGACTGTTACCCATGTCAAGGTTTCCGAATCTACGTTGGCACCTCAGTATCCTGCGTACGCCCCCATAAATCCAAACCAAAACGTGCAATTCGTTGCACCCAGTGCCGGAGTTGCTGCGATACCTGCAACAGCAAATGGAAATTTCCGGACATCTCCGCCTCCAGGTTTGGGCTCATCTGCTGGAAGAGAAGAACCATTTGGATTCAACGGCTTCGGCGACACTTCGGCAAATGGAGGTCGAGGGCTATGGAACTAAATAGTTATGTAATATATAAGACAAACAGCTGGTAAATGCCAATGCCGTGGTTGTAACCGTGTAGGACCGCTTGTTTTGAGGACTTCAAGCCCAACGGAAACCTGCTTACAACTGGCGCATTTCCCACATTGGTAAGAGAGCCACGTGACCGTCTCACTACGGAGTGATCTTGTCAATGTGTAACAAGAAATCCACCGACATTCGCTTGGCACAACTACATACCTCCTACATTTACGATACCTCACCCGCCGCTTTCATCACCCCCTCGAACCACATACTTTTCTCCAAACATAAAAGGAGCCTATCGCACAAAGAACATGGAGTAAGCCCATAAGTATGACAGAGTCTATACGGAGAAAATTAGTCATAGTGGGAGACGGAGCATGCGGGAAGACGTCGTTGCTTTACGTCTTCACGCTAGGCGAGTTCCCCACCGAGTATCATCCCACTGTTTTCGAAAATTACGTGACGGATTGTCGAATCGATGGCAAAGCTGTGCAATTGGCATTATGGGACACTGCTGGCCAGGAAGAATACGAACGGTTGAGACCCCTCAGCTACCACAACTCACACATTGTATTAATTGCGTTTGCGCTTGATACGCCTGACTCGTTGGACAATGCTCGCCACAAATGGGTGGACGAGGTCAAACGATACTGCCCTGGGGCACCATTCTTGTTGATAGGATTGAAAAAAGATTTGAGACGCTCTACAAAGGATAGAGTACGCTACATCCAGCCGGATCAGGGTACTTCGGCAGCCAGAGAAATCGGTGCAAAGACCTACTTGGAAAGTTCTGCCTTGACTGGTGAGGGAGTGGATGATATTTTCGAGTTTGCTACCCGAGCAAGTTTGCTAGTTAAGGAGAAAAAGGAATCCTGTTGTACAATATTGTAGGAGGCAATGGACTTATTGTCATCCTTGGGCTAAAATCGTCGGTGTTGGTGCAAAATGATGCTCGTTCCAACTAGATAGATATAGTAGACAAATCGAGATTATTTATGCATTACGCTTTTCATTCTGGGAGCTTAGTACAATTTCTATGCTATCTCATATACCTAGGGTGACTGTGTAATTTGTAATCTGTTTGTAATCTGTGAGTAATCCAAAAAAAACTGGTAAAAAGAAAGCGACCTCGGTGAGGGTCGAACTCACGATCTCAAGATTAACAGTCTTACGCCTTAACCAGCTTGGCCACGAAGTCATTTCTTGTTTTGGAACGACACTAATTGCGACATACTTTGTGGTCATACAGAAAAAAAAGTCAATTTTCTTGCATATAGTACTTGCTGAATTCTTGAAGAGTGAAGTATGGGCATATCTTAAGAAATATTACTAGTAGGTAGAAACAGTAATTGGCAATTCATTGGAATTTTCACTTCGCAATCAAATAGTCTGGCATTTGGTTAAAATTGAAGAGGAACACTTCTTTCCTCGCAGTCGGTGCTATTTTTGGCAGTTTCAACATCTGACTGCTCCATCTTAGTCGCTCCAGTGGCCAAAGTGACTCTTCCAGCAATGTGGGCACCTTGTCGGAGTCAATCCTACAAGCTACGATAATCTATTTGGTTATATTATTTCTATCGTTACTCATTGTCATTTATGCCATTTCTTTGAACAAATTTCTAGCTGCCTTCAAGAAGCGTACAAGCTCCTTGTGGGCATTGAAATCAGTCTCCAATTTTGTCAATTGTTCAGGGCTGACTTCAGGATTGGAGGGCCCAACCTTGTAGGTCTCAGAGCCAACATTGACCTGAATCCAAAACTCCCTATCAAAATCATTGGTGTCAATATTGGTAAACACAAACCTTATCAAGTCTATTGATACTGCCTCTATTCTTAACCCCAAGTACTGTTCAAATTTTAACAACTCGGGATAGTCTCGCCGTATTTGGGTTGTCAAGCTCTTCTCTGACCTCTCTAGTTCATGTGTGCTCTCCTGGATTGACTTCTGTAACTCGCTAACCAGCTGTTGTAGCTCGTTGCGCTGGTCTACCAACTGTTCCTGCTTTCGTATAAGTTCATCGACCTTGTCCCTTTGGGCCCGCAAGCCTTCCAAGGCACCTCTCAAGTTCTCCTTAGTTTTGGACTCCTTGCTTTCGAGGTTGGTTATGTCGTTTTGGAGTCTGGCCTCCTCGCTTCTCAACTCATTGACTTTGATGTAATGCTCTTGTTTCTCACTGATCAACTGGGCTCTCTTTTCGGTAAGCTTACGTTCGATTTGAGCCGAGAACTCCTTCATCTCGGCCTGGAGGACCGAGAATTCTTCGATCGACGTTTGTGTAGCCATACTGGCGAAGTGTGGGATGGTGGAGATGTTTGTTGTGAAACGCGATCGCGATAACTTTAGGTAAAACATAGTCACGTGCACTTCTATTCCACTGATCTAGCGGTTGCAGAATCAGTACAACTGCCACCGTCACCATAATGATCAAGGATGCTACCGTCAGACAGACATCGCCATTCAACCAAAGTGTAAAGTTGTTGACATTCAACACCTGGGGCTTGAAGTATGTCTCGAAGCATAGAAAACAGAGACTAGAGGCCATTGCTACCAGGTTGGGATCCGCTTCAGAAGAACAGTACGACATCGTGGCCTTGCAAGAAGTTTGGTGTGAAGGCGACTGGGAAACCATCGAAGAAGAATGCAGAGAGCTCTACCCATATCGTCGATTCTTCAAGTCGGGTATTGTATCAGGACCAGGGTTGGCGCTCTTGTCCAAAATTCCCATTGACGAAACATTTCTTTACCGATTTCCCATCAACGGAAGACCATCAGCATTTCATCGGGGTGATTGGCTCGTAGGAAAGAGTATTGCTGTGACTATACTCAAGCCACACGTAGCCAATGCCCTTCCCATCGCTATATTGAACTCACACATGCATGCGCCATATGCCCACAGTGGGGATGCTAGTTACTCATGTCACCGTGCGTGCCAGGCATGGGACTTTAGTAAATTGGTGAAGATGCTTAGAAGGGCTGGTTATGCAGTTATCCAGGTAGGCGACTTGAATTCCAAACCCGAATCACTTCCCTACAAGCTATTCACCGTAGAAGGTGGGTTGGTTGACTCGTGGGATGCATGCAACGAAGAAAAGTTCACACCAAACCAAATTGCCCAGATGCAGCCCCAAGAACAAATCGAGTTGGCGGGTACTACTTGTGATTCCCAATTGAATACATGGAGAGCTACCAGGAGAAGATGGGAGGCCTGTCGACTCGACTATGCTTTGGTCGATCCAAATAATATCAAGAGTGTCAATGCATCGGTCAAATTTACTGAATTGATGCCTGCTCCTTACAGTTGCTCGTACTCTGACCATTTTGCATACAGCGCAGAGCTATTAATCAAGTCCAAGGAAGAAGCGGTGGTTCCAGCAGACAATGAAGACATTTCAACAAAACTCGAGCTATATCGTGAATTGATCGCCGAGATTGTTGAGTATAGGAAACATACAATTCCCTTCCAAGCTACTTGGAGAAAGTATCATTTTTTCGGCTCGCTCGCCTTGGTGTTTATTCTCCACATTGCTGTTTCTTTTGCGTCCATTGAACATGCTTGGCTATCTGTTATTATCATGTTCTTGAGTACAATCATAGGAATCACAGGAGTTATCAATGGTATGATGTGGTTATTGGGAGTGAGATCAGAGCTGAGAGCACTACAAGAGGTCCAGATGGAGGTAGAGGATATTTATGCTTCCCACCAATCTGATCGCAAATAGAATAATCTCCCAGGAAATAATATCATGCTAGTTTCTTCGCCATCTTCAGATTGTTTGTGTAATATGGTCATCTGGGTTTGTAGTCGACACGAATGAAACCTTGTTAGACCTTGTTGCCTAATTTTCCTGTAAATTTTTTTGATTTCTGGAGGTTGTCTTCCATATTCTTGTATTCTAATGATGAAATTGCTTCGCAATATTTCCACTTTGCAAAACTTTAAGTATTCGCGCAATGGTGATATAGATGCAGCCCTATGTATCCTATCTATTAGGAATTGTTTTTTTGCTGGAGAAAAATTACTGTAATTTATCCTTACTGGATTATCCCGCCACAATTGGCTCCAATTGTGCTCGTTTCTTGCAAACGAGAAGTATATTATGGACTATACTCCAGGTTCCCAGACTATTGAAGCAACGATGTCCTACAACGATTTTTGCTAATGAAGAGTATATTAAAGTCTAAAGTCTACCCTCTAGATCTACGCTGGTTTTCAAGTTACTGGCTGTAGCCAGATGCTATACGGACCAGGCACAATGAGGTATGACAGTCAGAGTAAGTTCTATCCATAATGTGGACATTTATGGAAAAGATTTCTTTTTCGCCCATTATCTGTTGTAATTGCAGGGACTATAAATTTAGGTACCTGGTGTAAATAATTATACCGTGCCTAGATTGATTGCAGCGAAGTTTAGAAAAACCTGTTTTGAAAACTTAAACTAAGCCAGCTAGGCACCCAAATGGTTAATAATTCGGGCGTGTGGTCTAGTGGTATGATTCTCGCTTTGGGTAACTGCTTAGTTTACTAGGTAGATAACACAAACATGCGAGAGGCCCTGGGTTCAATTCCCAGCTCGCCCCAATTTTTTGCTTCTGTTTTGTTCAATTTTATTATAGAGAGATGTCAACAAGAACTTTAACTCTCCATCTTGATAGCTTTTGGACTAGAAGGAACTGAGTGCTATTGTTATCAACACAAAATACTCTACTTACTAAAGGTGTGAATTGGCAAACAAAAATTCGCAAGATTGCAAAAATATAAAAACTCAACGTTTTTATCACAAATACCAACAGCAATGGCAATTGCAAAGAAAGAGCAAGAACCTGATATGTGGTCTTATTGCAGCAATAAGGGCATGTATGTGGCAACTCCCAACTTTAGCGCTAAGGAGTCCCCATACTGGATAGAAGAAAGTCCTACACTAGTTAGTCCACAACGAAATAGGCGTTACTACGAAATCCTCCATACACTAGCCCTTTTAACCAGTGCATTATTCCTAGTAATGTTAATGGTATATTTGGACACGAGGGAGCTGCAAAGAATGTAAGTGAGTAACATTGCACTAGACCACTTTTTCGAATTCTAACCGATAGGAGATCAAGAGATACAGTGAAATGCTTGGTTGATGACTTTAGACTGTTGACCGCAAAGGAAAGGAGATTAGTGGTTCACTACCTCAACAAGCAGGTTGGCAGGACCGCCAGCTAGAGTGTGTCACAAATTGGTGGTGAGGAAATTGAACCACAAAATTCCTCTCATATAGAGAATTGCTAATTCTGGTCAAAACTCACTCAATATTAGCAGTAGCCGATTGAGTGAAGCCTCTTTCAAAGGGATTAGGAACTTGTTGAAAGCACCCTTAAACCTGGCCTAGTCCATCTGTCATCCTCTTTCGCAGCTGAAGAAAGAGGTCGTGCGCTTCCCACCATTTATCTACATTTTGTATACGTGTAACATCACCATCTTATCACGTAGATCAACCCATACCATGTTTAGCAAATTAGCTGTCTTATTCATAACGTTGACATTGGTGTCTGCCAACTTCTTCAATCTATTCAATAACTTTGGCCATGGTGGCAACCGTGAAGGGAGGGCACAGAACCCCGAGGAACACGAGAATGCTATGTTGAACGGAAATTGTGGACGTTACTTGTGCCCAGACACGGGTATATGTGTCGATGCACCCAAATTCTGTCCCTGCCCATTCCCATCTTCACAATTAAGATGTTTCTTACCCGATGGTAGGTATTTGTGCATTTCCAAACCAGCTGGAGAAATTGCAGCAAACTATGATGATGCAGCCACCAACTGGAAAGTGGATGCAAAGGACGACAATGTGAGGGATTGTGGCTGGGTTAATCGTGCATGGAAGGGAGAAGTCTAAGGAGAGGAACCAATAATTTTCAGCATTTTTCTGTGTTCAGTACATCCACATCTACTTCATGGACTAGCGCACAGATCGTTTAAATGCACTCCAATCTGAAGCAAGATCTGTGTTACACTAGGGGCCAGGGATTTTGGCGGTGTGACCGAAATCGTGGGATAGCTTCTGCTCCGGATTTACTTCTGGTTGTATGGCACATAAGTTTATAGATTATCGCAATGCAAAAGCAAACGGATTCGATGGTCTAATCTGCCATATTGTAGGGTGAGATTGCAACTATTGCATCTACAGCACTTTCATGAAAGCCATGAGAACGAAGGGCGCAAACTCGGCTAAGTCGTGGTTGGCGTTGGTTTCTAGAGACTTGAGACTATTCACCAGCGGTGGAGATTTAAACCTATCACTGAAATATTGCTCCCACATAAACCAATTTTAGATCGCCCCATGGGTATCCAGTGTACATAATATCAATGAACAATGGAAAATATGAAGTACCCCAGGGCCCTGCTCTGTGTGCTCTATCAAGCCTGGTTACTCTGTATCACGTGCCTGGATATCTGCTTACCGGCGGCTCGCACAGTGCCTGCCCGATTGGGACAGCGATAAGGCACTATTCTGAGTCATACGCAGGCATAAGCACCACTGGAGGCCGAATCATTGGACAATGAAATTTTCAGCCTAATCCAGTCAAGTGTATAACCTGAAAACTAAAAATTCTTCTTCACTACTACTCTTATTCTCCAGCCATGTTGACCAGAAGAAGTATCCGAAGACTTGCCACCAGGGCCTCGGAGTTTGCGGTGCCTGAAGCTTATCAATCTCGTACCCCACCATATGCTAAGTTGATCCAGAACCTCAACACTGTCAAGAAGATTGTGGATAACAAGCCGTTGACGTTGGCAGAAAAGATCTTGTACTCGCACTTGGTGAGTCCCGAGGAGAGCTTGGCCTCTTCCAACGGCCAATTGTCCAACATTAGAGGCGAGGTCTACTTGAAGTTGAATCCTGACAGAGTCGCCATGCAAGATGCCTCCGCACAAATGGCGTTGTTGCAGTTTATGACCTGTGGCATGCCATCGACTGCCGTCCCAGCTTCGATTCACTGTGACCACTTGATTGTGGGGAAGGATGGTGCTAATGACGACTTGGAAAAGTCCATCGCTACCAACAAGGAAGTCTTTGATTTCTTGCAGAGTTGTGGGGAAAAATACGGCATCCAGTTCTGGGGCCCAGGATCGGGTATTATCCACCAGATCGTGTTAGAAAACTTCTCTGTTCCAGGTTTGATGATGTTGGGTACTGACTCCCATACCCCCAATGCTGGAGGTTTGGGTGCTATTGCCATTGGTGTGGGTGGTGCCGATGCTGTGGATGCCTTGACAGGCACTCCATGGGAGTTGAAGGCCCCAAAGGTTTTGGGTGTCAAGTTGACTGGCCAATTATCTGGCTGGTCTTCTCCAAAGGATGTTATCACCAAGTTGGCTGGTATTTTGACCGTCAGAGGTGGTACTGGATACATTGTCGAGTACTTCGGTGAAGGTGTTCAAACCTTGTCGTGTACCGGAATGGCCACCATTTGTAACATGGGTGCTGAAATCGGAGCAACCACTTCAACTTTCCCATACACCGAGGCCCACAAGAGATACTTGATCCAAACTGGCAGAGAGCCAATCACCAAGGCCGTGGATGCTGCCAACAACCAACACAACTTCTTGAGAGCCGACGAGGGCGCCCAATATGATAAGCTCATCGAGATCAACCTTTCCGAATTGGAGCCTCATGTCAATGGTCCATTCACTCCTGATTTGTCTACTCCAATCTCGTTATTCGGCAAGACCACCAAGGAAGAAGGATGGCCAGAGAAGGTCTCTGCTGGTTTGATTGGCTCCTGTACCAATTCCTCCTACCAGGATATGTCCAGAGCCGTTTCAATCATCCAACAAGCAGAAAAGGCAGGCCTCAAGCCAAAGATTCCTTTCTTTGTCACCCCAGGGTCCGAGCAGATTAGAGCCACTATCGAAAGAGACGGTTTGATCGACACTTTCGAGAGAAATGGCGCCATTGTGTTGGCCAACGCCTGTGGTCCATGTATTGGTCAATGGGACAGAGTGGATGTCGACAAGCAATCCACCGACTCCAATGCCATTTTCACCTCCTTCAACAGAAACTTCAGAGCCAGAAATGATGGTAACAGAAACACCATGAACTTCTTGACATCTCCAGACATGGTCACTGCCATGATTTACTCGGGTGACATGCACTTCAACCCCCTTAAGGATTCGATCAAATTGGACAACGGGGAGGAGTTCAGATTCCAACCTCCTACTGGTGAAGAATTGCCAAACAGCGGTTTCATCAAGGGTCGTGAGGAGTTCTACCCTGAGGCACAGCCACAACCTAAGCCAGATGTTGAGGTCAACGTTTCCCCAGAATCCGACAGATTGCAGTTATTGGACCCCTTCAAGCCATGGTCTGGCGATGAATTGTCTACTAACGTATTGCTTAAGGTCGAGGGCAAGTGTACCACAGACCACATTTCGGCTGCTGGTGCTTGGTTGAAGTACAAGGGTCACTTGGAAAACATTTCATACAACACCTTGATTGGTGCTGTTAACAAGGAAACTGGCGAGGTCAACAAGGCCTACGACTTGAACGGTGACCAATACAGTATTCCCGAATTGATGATTAAGTGGAAGGAAGAACAGCGTCCTTGGATTGTTGTTGCTGAACACAACTATGGTGAAGGTAGTGCCAGAGAGCATGCGGCATTGTCACCAAGATTCTTGGGTGGTTCTGTGATTTTGGTCAAGTCATTTGCCAGAATCCACGAGACTAACTTGAAGAAGCAAGGAATGTTACCATTGACCTTTGCCGAAGAAAGTGATTACGACAAGATTTCTGCTGGTGATTTGATCACCACCCAAAACTTGAGAGACATGATTGCTCAAGATGGTAACAACGGTGGGACTTTGACTGTCAAGGTCACTAAAAAGGATGGATCCACTTTTGATGTTTTATGTAAGCACACCATGTCTAAGGACCAGGTTGAATTCTTCAAGGCCGGTTCTGCCATTAACCATATTGGTAATCTTAAGAGAGCCCAAGCCTGAAGGTGTTGACACCGGACTCTACTGATGCATATTAATTCCGATTTTGGTATTTAATTCTACGGGTTAACTTAACTCAACTTGTCGAGCTATCGATACAATGCATATTCATGTAAATATAACAGACTGTAAAATGGTAATGATAGTTCAAGTCATATAATCGTTAAGGTAGACTATCTAATTCCAACGTGCTCTTTCGAATGGTCCTCCGAGCTATCTAATTGCATTCCGAGCAAATTTGGTCTATCAAAATGTTTCTTCAACATTGCTACATGCAAAAAATGTAAGTCTTTTATGAAGAATAAAAAGGATTAATGAAGTTCTTTTCTAGATAATCAATAACAAAGAAATAAAAACTAACAGGTCAATGCTGATCAAAGGAATCAAAAGTAACTAATTGATGAATTGAAAAAGAACTTTTCAATGTGATTTTTTGGATCTATTCAATGACGAATGGTCCGCTTATGCATCGATCAAATCGTGGGACTTGTCAGCATCTTCTTCTTCATCATCATCTTGTTCCCTTTCTCTTTCGTAGAATTCAGCCAAGATTTTTGGACTAATTCTGTTCAACAATTCCTTAGGGTAAATTCTTAACAACGACCAAGCTTGGTCCAAAGACTCGAAAATGGTTCTGTTTTCATAAGCACCTTGAGCAATAAAGTTCTTTTCAAACTTTTCCAAGAATTCTAATGATAATTTGTCTTCGTTGGATAAAGCTTCTTCACCAACGACGGCCTTCATAGCAGCGGCATCCTTACCAATGGCATACTTGGCGTATAACTGGTTAGAGACATCACCGTGATCCTTTCTGGTCATACCTTCACCAATGGCAGACTTCATCAAACGAGACAAGGATGGTAACACGTTAATTGGTGGGTAGATACCTCTGTTGTATAATTGTCTATCAATCGAGATTTGACCTTCGGTAATGTAACCAGTCAAATCAGGAATAGGGTGAGTGATATCATCGTTAGGCATGGTCAAAATTGGAACTTGAGTGATGGAACCATTTCTTCCTTCAACTCTACCAGCTCTTTCATAGATGGTAGACAAATCGGTATACATATAACCTGGGTAACCTCTTCTACCTGGAACTTCTTCTCTGGCGGCAGAGACTTCTCTCAAAGCATCAGCGTAAGAAGACATATCGGTCAAGATGGTCAAGACGTGTCTTTCGGTTTGGTAAGCCAAGTATTCGGCAGTGGTCAAGGCCAAACGAGGAGTAATAATTCTTTCAATGGTAGGGTCATTAGCCAAGTTCAAGAACAAAGAAGTTCTTTCCAAAGAACCATTCTCTTCGAAATCCTGCTTGAAGAATCTGGAAGTTTCCAAGTTCACACCCATAGCGGCAAAAACAATGGAGAAATTCTCCTCATGACCATCATGGACATCCTTAGTTGGTCTAACCAAACCAGCTTGTCTACAAATTTGGGCAGCAATTTCGTTGTGAGGCAAACCGGAGGCTGAGAAAATTGGAATCTTTTGACCTCTAGCAATGGAGTTCATGGTATCGATGGCAGAGATACCGGTAGAAATCATTTCTTCTGGGTAGATACGGGCGAAAGGATTAATTGGGGAACCGTTGATATCCAAGTAGTCCTCGGCAAAGATCTTAGGACCCTTGTCAATTGGACGACCAGAACCATCGAAGATTCTACCTAACATATCTTCGGAGACTGGTATCTTCAAGTTCTCACCAGTGAACTCGACTCTGGTCTTTTTGACATCGATACCCGAGGTACCTTCAAAGACTTGGACAATGGCCTTGGTGCCTCTGACTTCCAAAACTTGACCCTGTCTGATGGAACCGTCTGGCAAAGTCAAGTTGACGATTTCATTGTATCTTGGGAACTTGACGTTGTCCAAAATGACCAATGGACCATTGACACCACTGACGGTGTTGTAGTTCACACGGGGCTTGATCTTAAACCCTTCAGTCACAGCCTTTTTGTTTAATTCGAATAATTCTTTATCGGAGAGCGACATCTTTGATTGATTTGTGCTTCGATTGAGCCGGTGTGGTAGGGTTATCTACTTTATCAACGAGAACAACTTATCGACGATAAGGCCAGGGGTGTTGGGAATTTTCAGTGAGAAATTTGGTTAGTGCTGGCAATTACGCGGTAGTGCAAAGTTTACGCCTACACATGGGCGGCTGGGGACTAGCGACACAACCGAAAGAGGTTACACGCTGCGAATAGTTGTTGATGGTGGGCTGGTCTGGTTAATGGCTATACTGGACTAGTTGAGGCCCCTATCACTTCTCTCGTAGTGAAGGAGACGGGTCGACTGAGTCTTGCCAGGATAGGACTTGGGTGGCGAATCCAACCAGCCACGGTGCTGCGAATTCCACAACGTACAGGCGGAGTCGGGAGTAGAGCCATAGCGTAAGAGTCGTAGGGGCATTAGGCAAGTCTACAGTAATCGGAGTAAATCCGATTGTATTTGGTTAAAGATTGGTTGACTTGTACTGTGTGGAGGGCTATCGAGTTCTATAAATTTCACTAGCCTGCTAGCTTGCTAGTATTTACTCCATCTTGCTAACCACGTCCCAGTCGTCGCTTTGTAGCTTCGTTTGGTTTGCTATCAATGCACTCACGTTAAGGTCCTGTAATGCCGAGGGTGGCACCAGTGCCCGTCTGTCCTTGGAAGTTGGACTAATGAGCCGGGTATAGATCTGTTCCATTAAGTACTTGAGATTGAGGCTATCCGCGAGATCCTGCTCGGGACGGTGGCCTATCAGAATTGCGTTGGGGCTATTGATCTGTTCCAAAATGGCAGCAAAATCGAGGTTATTCTCAATTCTGTCGTTGTAGTCGCTGTTGACGGTCTTCAAAAACACAATGAAATTGGAAATGAGTTTGGCGACAACCACGAGGAATCGTAAGAACTCTTTAATCGAGAGTTTGCTGAATGGCTTGTTCAATATCCTATGAGGTATAATAATCATTTTGCGAGCTGGACCAGTGGTACCTCCCAGTTTTTCGGATATCCGGGGTGGTGACATCGAGTCTTCTTTCACAATAGGAATTTCTGGTTCCTGTTTTAATAATTGTGCTCTGCGTTGGTTATTAATGGTTTTAGACGAAAGGGGCAACTTGATGGCATCGCCAAGTTTAATGACGTTCTCTGAGTTTAATACTGGTGGTGGTGTGTGTTCCTTGTCCTTTTCTTCGGTTTCGTCATCATCTGTTTTCCCTGTCATGAGTATTTCCTTTTCACGGATTAAATTGTAGAATTTCGAGTTTGGTAATAGGCCCACTAGATCCTTCAAATGGGGTAGGCCTACATTGAACAAGAATGATAAATGCCGCTGTAGGGTTATTAGGTTTTCGAGAAATTGATTCACAAAGAGTATATTGGTATTGAGGAACGATGAAAGCTTGAGGATAGGCTGGTTGTGGAACAAAAGAGTGCCCTCTCGTGTCCTCAGGAATACTGCCTCCTTCAAGATCTCAAATACCAGTTGTTGTGATTTAATGGACTGGCGTTGTATATGACCTATTTTGTTGATCTGATAATCGTTAATGAGGTCTTCAAGTCCTTTCAGAAACTGGAGATGTTTCTGGAGGAGAGCTTCGTGAATTAGGGGAATCTTTTCTTTGGCCAGCACTAGCTGATCCTCTATCGACTTGCACTCTTGCGCCACCTGGGCGTTCTTCTTGTTGACATGCTCCACCGTTTTGGACAAGGAATCGATTCTAATTCTGAGCTCCATTATGCGAAGCTTGTTCAATTGGACCGAGAGGGCCTTAATAGAATTGGCTGAAACCGAAGGAATGTCCTTTGTCGGTATAGCCGGATCATCGTCCGCCTTCTGGATGCTCAACCCTTGCTGGAGCTTGCTGGACACCAGGAAGACGTGGTTGATTTGGGAGCGTCCCAGCTCAATGATTCGGTCGTTGTGTCGTACTAGAGCTTGTAGCTGACGAGCTTCCGACTCCTGCTGGGCCATGTCCGCCTTGGAGTCTGGGTTATCGGAAGCCATCATTGGTGTTATCAGAAGCAGAGTGCACGACCAGATATGGTCGCGAGTGTGGGGCAATAACGAGGACGGTTGCGAGGAGTGTGGGACGGACGAGGGATGAGTCAATACAACGATGGTAAGCAGAATGGAGTATTGTATTAGTTGTACACCACTCACTGATGGTTTCGCTTGGCTGACGTATAAGTAGTGCTTAATTAAGAAGATTCTTAAAGTAATAAGCTGGTGATTATCTCAGGCTATCAATTGTCAGTAAAGATTGGATTAGTCTCTCGAAGGAGGGAGTTGGGCTTATACACCTGGACTAGTCTCTTATGCTGTCTACTGCATTAGAGGGATAGTAACTGGAGATCTTTCAGGGCATTCGCGGATATAACAATGATAAGACCTCAGGGTCCACTTAGAGTCTAGTAGCCCATGGCGAATAGCACGAGATACCACAAAAGGGCTGGGTGGAACAACTAGCGAGACCAATTTCCCTGTATTGACAAAGTCTTCCTATAAAGCTTCAACAAGGTTCCATTTGGGAACATTCTTACTACCATACTCTGGAGGTAAGTGGCTTCTGTTTGTCTAAATGTAGGACATGCACTAACGTTACTACAGTTCAAGCTGTCGAGCCTAAACCTCCCGCAATAAGCACTTTAGGACTCTCTGGCGTCTTTAACTCTTCGCAACTCTGGTGTAGCTTTCATTTCCATCCCTTTTCTTCAGCAACTAACACGTTCCCATTCAATTTGGCACACGATCTTGCGATGATCCTCCTGGCTACACCTTCCCACCATCTCGTTGCGCTGCCAACATACATCAGTTAAACTAGTAAGTGGCACCATAGGCTGTCTCGTGTGAGCCACCCACCCACCAAAGCGCGCCTTGCAACCGATCTGCGACCATAATTTGAGAGACCACAAAAAACATCCATGTCACCATGTCTTCGTTCCTAGGAAAGAAGTCTCTGGCGTTGACGCCAGAGTCTGTTCAGGATCCGATCAATGACTCGAACCCCATCCGGGTAGCATTCTTGGGAGGCAGCAGATCGGGAAAAACATCCACCATCTCCAAGCTAACGTTGGGCAACTTTCGAGACACTTACTATCCTACCCACCAAATCACGCCCACTTTGCACAACTTCACCACCGACGACGCCAAGGCTCGACTCGTGCTCGACGAGCTGGACGTGGTCAACTCGTTGGGCTGGTTGACCCAGCAGAACCGCATCGTGTTGAGTCCCGTCATCTACAAATCGTTCGCCAGAACAACCAAGACAGTACCCGACAACAATGCCCCCATCGCAGACATCGTCGAAACGGGCCGGAACCCATACTTCTTGTCATACTTGCATCGCCACGAAATCGAGCAGAAAACCCACGTCCCGCCCCATGCCACTCCGGTGTTGGTGGAGTTGATTGACACTCCCAATTTCAACCCCAACCAGGTTGTCCCGTTCCTCGAGGCTTCACTCTACGTCAAGCTTGGCAAGGAAATCTTGAGAAACTTGGCCAATGAGCCCAGGCAGCCCGTGTCCACCAACCCTCTCTTGGTGGCAAGTGGCGCCAGTGAAATGAACGGGAATGTAGACGGCTACTTCTTCGTTTACAGCGCCATACCGTCCTCCAGCCCTCCATCGTACGAGGACAGCTTTCAGGAGCCATTGGAGCAGGGCACTGCTTCCAACAACCCCAACTTACCTCCGATGGACTCGTTTCCGGGTGAGAGTCCGTTCAACCTACTTTCGAGCATGAAAGATACCTTGGACGATGCTTGGAAAGAATACACTTCCTTCAAGAAAAGATGGGAGCAGGGCAAGGAGCACGATATTTTCTCCATTAAGTCTGCCATCAAGAATATGTGGAAGGAGCCCAACTCAAAAATGTTGGAGAGCATGAGACAGGAATTGAAGAATGAGACGAAATTACTAGACTTTTCCACTGATCCGGCAGACCCTGATTGCTTGCCACCCATCTGGATTCTCTGCACCAACATCTATAGCCCACTTGCATCACCCAAATTCGTCGAGAACGGAATTAAGGTGGCCAAGCACTGGAAATGTGGGTTTATCGGAATTGACAACTCCACGGAAAACGTCGATGAAGTGCTAGCGTTGATGATTAAGGAGATAGTGGAGAGGAAGAAGTTACAGAAAGGTAAAAAGAGGTTCCAATAAGTATTAGTCTTGGAGGTCGTGGAGATAAAGATGGTTAAAAAAGGAGAGGTTCTAATAAATTATAGATATTCATACAGGGGATCAATAGAATTCATGGCTCTAATGGTAGAGGCCGGTATGGAATTTTGTGGTCTAATACAAACTTTTTGCATATGTAAACATTTTAAACGTCAGTGTAGGCAACTCCTAGCTCGGAATCACCCTGACCATAGTAAAGAAGCCATTTGCCCTTGAACTGAACGATTCCCTCGCAGAAAACGACCTTGTTAACTTGCCCTTCGACTTCGTTTCGTTGTTCTGGTTTCAAAATGGGCTTTTCTAATCTGGCAACGGGTCCGTCACGGATATGGTCGTAATCGATCAACATCTCGCTGATGGTGTAAGTTTCTCTAGGAATATCTTCACCTCCAGTGGTACTGGCATTGTAGAAGAACACCCACTGGTTCTTCCCATTGTTCAACTTGATGGGAGCAGGGCCTGATTCGATAAGTTTGTTCTCAAAGTTGAAGCGGGGCTGGGCAAACTTGTTGGCGTTGAAATCGCCACTGGTCAAGCTCCAATGGACCAAATCGTCTGACTCGGCCAAGTGCAAGTCGCTGTCACCCCAAATCATGTAATACTTCCCATCCTTGTTTCTTTCGGTGAAGATAGCTCCCGACTTCAGCCATTCGTTACGGATAAGCGTCTTGTTGTCGGAGGTTCTGGCCAAGTCCTGCCAGTAGTGAGGTACAAACGATGGGTACTTCTTCCAGTGGAACAAGTCCTCGGAAGTGGCCACACACAAACGAGCGGTGCTCAAGTCGTAGGCTGTGTATGTGACGATAAAGAGCTTGGACTTGGGGTCCCTGACAATTCTGGGATCTTCGATACCTCCACCTTGCTCCCAGGGCTCGGTGGCCCAGATGATGGGCTTGTGGTACTTTTTGAACTGGAATCCGTCCTCGGACCACGCCAAACCCACTGAGGACTCTTTCTGCTTATTCTGGGCTCGGTACAACAAGAATACGTACCCGTCAACGACGATGGCCGAAGCGTTGTAGAGGTAGCCGCTCTCGAACTCCCAGTCGGGATTAGGTTTGAGGATGGGGTTGTGGGCGTACTTTGTGAAGGGGCCTATGGGGAACGCTTTGGGAGGCGAGTAGTTGGCGTCGCCATCGACGGAGGATTTGGAAATGACGGGAATCCTCATGGTGGAGACAAGGACGATGGAGTAATTGACGCTGAGAGGGGTAATTGGGAGAATTGACTAGCTCTTATCCGAATTCCCTGGAGAGAGGCAATTAGGAGTAGTGGTCGTAAGGAGAATAGACGCTGAGATGAGGCGAATTGACCGTTTAGCGTGCAATATTGACTCTGCTTGAGGAGGCAATTGAGAATCAGAATAGAACCAAGATTATCCTATTGGAGAGTTACTGACGAATTGACCGTTTGGAGCAAAAAATGAAAATGACAGTGGAAGTATCCAAGTGAATTGGGCGTTTGGGGCAGTTTACGAGTATAGTTCCGACTTGGTCCGATGAGATACTCTTTGGAGAATGAAATTGATCCAATTGTTGGTCTGTTGGACTTCTTTGGGGGAACTTGACGCTATGGGAGCAATTAAGTCGGGAGTGCCAATCCTGCCCCTTAAGGATTGTGGGGGCCAGTGCGCATGTCGTGCGACATTCCTGCCCAGGGGGGCCGTAGGGGCCAATTGGGGCAGCCTAGGGCAGCCTGAGGCAGCTGGGGCAGACGGTGGTGGGCCCGTCGTCAAGCAGTGCCTACGCCAGCGTGTCCTCGGTGGTTGCACTAGCTCTTTGCTGTGTGGGGTCGCCCAGCCGTTGGGCAGCCCCATCGCTCGTCCCACAATCCTCGCGGGGATTCTACCGCACCGCACCACCCACTGCCACTAGCACCACTACCGCTAGCCAAGGTCTAGCCAGGGTGGCTCGAGAATAGTGAGGGATTGTGGACCCACCACGGACCCACTGCCCACCGAAAGATGCCATCCGACTCTCCCGGCTCCGCTGGCCCCTGCGAGAAATGTTATTTTATTATCCTCCATTTGCTGGCGTCTCGAGCCCCGAGCGTTATCGGAGCCAGAAAATCAAACTCACCACCAGCGCCAAAAAATCGCCCCAGCAATCGCTGACTCCTGTAGCCATCGATTCGTTTGCACTACCCAGGCCACGCTAGCTGACACACCACCACCATGGGACAGCTCTTATCACACCCCATAGAGGATAAGACCATCGACTACCACACCCGTCAGACATTGGCCTACTGTGTGGGCACCATGCAGGGGTACCGTATGTCCATGGAAGACGCCCACGACGTCAAGGTCAACGAGGACGAGAGCTTGGCGGTGTTCGGGGTGTTTGACGGCCACGGGGGCAAGCAATGCTCCGAGTACCTCAGCGAACACTTGCCGAGAGCCATCTTCCGCACCCTTAACAACTGGCACAAGGCACTGGTGGGAATCCCGGGAGCAAAGCCTATCGAGCTCAGCCAGTACATGACAAGCATCAAGAACGCGTTCTTCCACATCGACCACGAGTTGTCGTCCATGCCCCACCTCCTCAATTGTGGGTCCACCGGAATCGTCACCACAATCATTAGAGACAGATACATCATCGTAGCCAACACAGGAGACTCGCGATGCATCCTTTCGGTCGACGGGGTGCCCAAGACGCTCTCGTTCGACCACAAGCCCATCCTCATGAACGAGCGCATCAGGGTAGAAAACAGTAACGGTTACGTGTTGAACAACAGAATCAACGAAATCCTAGCATTGTCGCGGGCATTTGGCGACTTCACCTTCAAAGCCCCCTACATCGACAACACCAAGAACAAGTACATCTTGCAGAACCGCAAGTACTTCAAGCATGACTTGGTCCATCTTCCTCCGGAGCTTTTCCAGGTCACGGTGGAGCCTGAGATCCTCGTTTACGATTTGCATCAGACAACCCCCGAGTTTATCGTGGTGGCGTGTGATGGGATCTGGGACTGCTACAAGAACACGAAGATCGTTCAGATCATCAGAGACAAGTTGGCATTGGGGTGGAAGCTAAACAAGATCGTGGAGTTCATATTGCAGGATTGTCTCATGATGGCCAACAACTATACTGGCATTGGCTTCGACAATATGACCTTGATCATCATTGCCGTGCATTCTAACAGTAATATCGACGAATGGTATGAACACATGAAAGCCAAGGTGTTGCGAGAAAAGAACCTTCTTTAGCGACCTGAGCGACAAGCGTGTGCCTCTGTACTGGAACTTCGATGCCCGCCACCCCAAGGTGCAAAGTAACCTTCACAGTGAGTCTCAAGAAGAGCCCAATTATCAATTGAGGAGGTTTTTCATATTCCTGGTCCTCTTCATCCCAGGGAGCAGAGTGCCCCCTGTTCATCCGATCCACCATATTACGACAAGTGCTACGCCTTTCACTCTTATTAATTTATGCCCTGGCCTATCCACAGTGTAGATACCCAGGTACTCTGGAAATGGGGCTGGTACAAAGTAGTAACAGCTACCAATGATTCTTTCATTTTTGAATTTGAGATTCTTTAGTGTGGATATGTACTGGTAAAAGGAAATCGACTGGCTTCAAATTGGGCAATATAATCATGAATTATGACTCCCTATGCCCGGACTAGTTCTGGGAATATTAGAGTATATACATTATAATACATTTCCAATTTGTGATACAGTACATAGTGAGCCAGTTCGAATAACACAAAATGGATTAGCAGTATTAGAGGATACGCATTTAATCGATTCTGGTGAATTTATTCATTTAATTGCAGAATTGTTTGCTCCGGTGCTTAAGATACAAATAGAAATTTCATTGGTAGTATAGATTAAATATTGTTTCTGCGCCAAAGGCTTAATCCAACATTCAAGCTTACTTCAAAATTTCGCCTAATATATACTAATTCACCAGAGAATGTAGAACTCTTTTTGGCTCGTAAGTGAATTCCTGTAGCCCAGTACAATGCGTACACCTTAAAATGAAAGGCATTTCCGGAAAATGATAACGGGTGATTCATTGAATGTGGAATAGTAGCCACAATGCAGGTTGACTCTGCTGACTGCCCGATTATTAATTTCTATGGTAGATTTAGAGATCTTCCACAAACAAAATGTATTATTGCTCGTGCTAGCTCAGAATCAAGGATTGGTAGGTAAAACTAACACCAAACAAAATTTCAGCATAAACACGCTGGTCCTGCCATATGCCACTACGTAGCAGCTAACCTGTAGTGATCTGGGTCTCGGCAACCCTGGACCTAGTACGACCTGTCTCGCCTATCGGCACTCCGGGTGGTCTTCGGTTCCTGCGAAAAACCGAGCAAAACAAAACCACCTGATTCTTCACCACAAACCATACCAAGGCATTGGAGGGTCACACCAGCATCTCTCTCCCATTTTAGATCCGCATCCGGCTAGTGTCGACTGACCCTTTTTCCACCGCTACCTGGCACCATCATTTCTGTCGCCAACTCCAATAGCAACCATCTCCAGGCATCTCTTCAGGGCTCGCCAGTGTTTCCTACTGATGGTCTAAGCACATAGGATCACCAGCACATACCATAGCATCAGCACAGCATCAGCACAGCATCGTCCTACGCATAAACACACCATGGCTGACGTGGAGCCCTACGAGGACCCCATAATAAGGCTCATCCAGGACCCCAATCTCAATCGAGACAAGGCCAAGACATCCGAGTTGATCAAAATCATCAGTGGGTTCCCGTTGGCAGAGCGCAAGGTCAGCAAGCTCTGCCTGTCCACTTTTGCCATCCTCCAAACCCTCGAAAAGTTGAGCCTTACCTTCAAGAGCTGGGAGTTTCTCTCGTTGGATTTCAATAGCGAGTATCACTTCAGCAACCAAGACGACAAGCTCAAGCGCTTCAACAACAACGTCGCCGATAAGGTCATTACCACCTGCAACGAAATGAACAAGAAGCTTAACCGCATATCCATAGACATCGACTCCATCACCAAGGCATCCAGGACATTGAGTCCTGTAGAATACATATCTGACAGTGGGACCCTACTAACATCGTTGGTGTTGAGGAGTATCAAGCTAAAGAACGAAGTTGTCGACAACTTGACGGTGGCCTATCTGAAGGCCAAGCTCATCTTGATCGGTAAGGACTTGGAGGCCATGCTCATGGACGCAGAAGACGATACCACCATTTTGACATATAAGAATTTCATTGTCAACTTGTTGAAGCAGCTAAATAGCGCAATAGAGTTGGAAGATGCCGAGTCCAAGTATGAGTGCTTGGCTGTCATGAATGACATGGAGAAAATGTTCGATGCCTTTAAGTTGGAAAAGGTCAGAGAGGTGGCAGTCAGAAAAAGCAAAGACGAAGAACCAGAGGACACCGAAAACGATCAGGAAGAATTGCAGTTGGCAAAACAAAAATCGCTAGTTTCGAATAGGCAAACATCGGCCAATAAACCAATCCGTCGCCATAGTCCTCACAACTCGACCCCTAATACCCAGCAGCTCGTATCTGATGACGATGTGGATTTTGACTACTCAGATTCTGATGTTGGCTCAAACTCTTTGTACTCGTCTACGTTATCACAACCTCCAATGATCCATTCCATTACAAAATCGCATGTCGATAGCTCTCCAAGGGTAACACGCAGAGACTCTGTCTCGTCGTTATCAACATCTACTTTACTTCATAAGACCACCATTTCTGATGAAATGCCATATTTGATGACTGCATTTAGCTCTGCCAAAAATATCGAGGAAGACATCAGTCATTTCCAAGAAGAAGAAAAAATCGTTCCACAGTTTAAGAAAAGACCCGAAAAAGAATACAGATCCAGAGAGAAAGAAGTTGAAAAGAAGGAAAAGCACTTCTACTCTCATAAACCGAAGTTACCGGAAAACTCTTTATACTCCGAGAGCGTTATACTATCACAACCAACTCCAGGCAGTTCACCTGCTTCATCTTATTTATTCTCGAACAACTCATTACTTTCCAAACTAGGCATAAAACCACAGGTCATTACCACTGATGTTCCCCATGGTAAAGAGTTGGCAGTTACAGGCAAATTAAATCAACCACAACAACAGCAAAAACTACCACTTGCGATAGAAGCCTCTGACGACGAAGATACAAATAAGGAGAACAAGAAACTCTTGACTCCATTAACAAAGGCCAATTTAGAAACTCATACTTTCTCTAAATTAACTCCAGAGAATGGTTTTGCGGACTATGTTGACTAGAGAGCCTAAATTGGCACAATTTATAGAAGGTATGGGTATCGGTTTGTATAATTCAGTTCTAGGGTATATATAATCTACAAATCTATCTGCATTTTGTTTCCTACTTTTTGCATTTACACAATCAGGTCAAGTAGAGTATTAAGTCCATGGTTTAAGTATGTACGAGAAGTAAAGAGTTGTACTCATACTAGGTTAGTAGAATCCACGCAGCACCCTAGATTGTGACACTATGTCTTGTATTCTGATTGTACTTATTGTGGACCTTTACATTTGTAAAGCTCCTTAACGAAAGATTCACCCCAGAATCCAGAAGTATACTTGGAAATGTATTCGAATAACTTCTTAAAATTGAGATCCTTCTTTTCCTTTGGTAAGGTCAAACTTTCTTTAATGGCGTCGCTCAATTCTTCTGTACTCCATGGGTTGACAATAATAGCACCATTCAAGGATTGAGCAGCACCGGCAAATTCAGAGAGAATCAATGCACCCTTGTTTTCTTGCTGACATGCAATGTATTCGTAAGACACCAAGTTCATACCGTCTCTGGTAGAACTAACCAAACAAACATCGGACATGTGGTACAAACTGATCAATTCCTCGAAGGGAATTGACTTATGCATGTAGTGGATAGGAACAAATTCGACAGTACCAAATTTACCATTGATCCTTCCAACTAATTCATTGACGGTGGCTCTAAGACTTTGGTATTCCTCAACGTCACCTCTGGAGGGTACAGCAACTTGCACCAACACCACCTTTCCGATCCATTCAGGATTTTCTGTGAGAAATACTTCGAATGCATGCAATTTTTGAGGGACACCCTTGATGTAGTCCAACCTGTCAACACCCACTATAACCTTTGTGTCACCGAACTTAGATTTCAATTGCTTGATTCTGCTGATCACTGAGTCCTTAGTCAACCCCTCGGTGAACTTTTCCACGTCAATACCGATAGGGAACGCGCCAATGCTGATGGATCTTCCATCGATTTCGATACCGTTCGGCAATGTGGTGACATTGCTCACAATTCGGGACACAGATGATAAGAAGTGTCTGCAGTAGTCGTAGGTGTGGAAACCGATCAAGTCACAGCTCAATACCCCTTCCAAGATCTCCTTTCTGACGGGCAAGATTCTGTAGATTTCAGAAGAAGGGAATGGCGTGTGCAAAAAGAACCCAATCCTTATGTTTTTCTTGGACTTTCCGATTTCTTCTCTTAACATTTGTGGCAACAACATCAAGTGGTAGTCATGGACCCACACCATATCGTTGTCGTCGACCTGCTCGGCGATTTTGGCGGCAAACTGGCGGTTAGCCTTGATGTAGGCAGCCCAGGCGTTTTCATCGAAGTTCATCTCACCTGGGTGGTAGTGGAATAATGGCCATAAGATACTGTTGGAGAACCCGTTGTAGTGCAAGTCTGCGATGGTGTCATTCAAGAAGATGGCAGTACACTTGAACTTGTCCATCAAGTCGTTGTTGACCCGTTGCTGTTCGTCGCCAGGGATCTCCAACCCAGGCCAGCCTAGCCATTGGAACTCGGTGGACTTCTTTAAGCCCTGCAACGCGGTGACCAAGCCTCCCGACGACATCGAGTAATCGTACGATCCGTCGCCCTGCCTCTTGATAGTGACGGGCAAACGGTTGGATACCACAAGTACTTTTCCTTGAACCATTGTAGTAGATCTCAGTGTATGTGATGTGTTAGATTGGTGTAGAAGACGCCTGCTGGTATGTATTTATAGTGGGTAAATGTGAGATTGCTAATATCGATTGCTGTCAATTTTGGACCCCTGGTGGTGCGTGTTTGGCGGACTAGCAACTGGTGCCCCGATCAGGCAGTCTAGATTGAGACACACACACTTTCCAGTGACAAAACTTAAGTGCGATCAGTTTATCCACCACTATATCATGTATAATCCATACGGAAACAGTGGCGGGTACCAACAGGGCCATCCCCAGCAACAGGCCCCAGGCCAGCAGTTTGACGGCCAGGCCAACTTGCACCATCCGCAGCCCCAGCATCCAGCATTCCAGGCCCAGTATGGCCAGCCAGGCGGAGTTCCTGGCGCAACTGGAGGCCAGCAAGCGTCGGGGTATCCCAGCTTCTTGAATGATCAGGCAGCATCAATTGCGTCCCAGTTTGCCAAGAGCCAGTTCGAAACCTCCAACCAGTACTTGCAGCAGAACTTTGGTTCGTTCTTCCCAGGCACGGGAGATATCAAGTACTACTTCCAGGTCAGCAACTCGTATGTGTTGAGAAAAGTGTTGTTGATCGTGTTTCCCTACCACAATAAGAACTGGAACCGGTTGACGGCGTCCGAGGTCACTGGGGAGGCCACCAGTGGCCAGAACCAATTTGCTCCTCCCAACTTCGACGTGAACGCTCCCGACTTGTACATCCCCTTGGTGTCGTTTGTCACCTACATCTTGTTGTGGGCGTCTTTCCAGGGGTTGAACGGTGACTTCCACCCCCAGGTGTTCGGGTACTTAGCATCGCAGACTCTCGCGTTTTCGTTTCTCGACATCGCCATCTTCAAAATCGGGTTGTACCTCTTGAACTGTTCCACTCAGAGCTCGTTGTGGGACTTGGTCAGTTTCTCGGGTTACAAATATGTGTCCATCATCATCTTGTTGTGTTGGAAGCACGTCATCGGCAATGGCTGGATGACCTACTACCCGGTGATATTCTTCCTCATCATCAACTTATCGGTGTTCTTGATGAGATCCTTGAAGTTCATGGTGTTGCCTAATAACGTTACTGGTACTTCCAATAGCATTACTACCAGCCAGAGACGCATAAGAATCCAATTCTTGTTCGTTTACTCGTTGATCATCCAGGGGTTGATCATCCTCTACATGAGCAGATAGGAAGTTTGGCTGCCCCAATTTCAGTCAATTTCATACAAGCTTGCTTAGAGTAAGGCTATTATTCTGAATCACTCATATTTGGTACGATGATAATATTACAAGAAACAAGATTGTTGTGCAGAAGTACAAACGGACCCCGCTCCATTATAGACTACCTCGTCTGAGAATGCCATCTTTGCGCCTGGCAGGAATGGTGAGCCCAGAATATATACACCTGTAAGCCATACTTAATAAATTATTTATTCTAAAGATGTATATCAATATACCACATCTTAGATGAATTGTTCAATGATATATTATCCAGATGAACCCTATCCATACTTCTCGGAGTGTAAAACCATTACAACTGTTTTAACCTAACTGAGGATAACCACGCTATTATATTTATGATATCCGTAAGATACAAATCCAGTGGTTAATTCATACTTTATACAGTTACACACCGTGTGCCAGGCTAATTATTCACAGATTCATCGTAACTGAATAGAGTAGTGATATTTCATACTTATTATACTCATTGATTAATTCAGACACTTCTATATTCACCGAGTCGTCGCCCAGCTAATATAGTATCGATTAATTACTTCGCTTCTACGACAGTTTCATCGCACACTATTACTCAATGGTACTCTCACCTTTACTAATACACGCGTTATATTTTGTACTCTTTCGGAGGTGCGCGTCCTTCATCACCATACTCATCTCTCACTCCAACGTTACTTCTACTCCAACGCACCATCCGGCGTAATACACAACCACCATGTCTTTCAAAGGGTCTACATCTGCCAGGTTCGTCAAGAACAAGGTGCAGTTTCAGTACAAGAATCGGGAAGCTGAGCCCATAGACCCAAATGTGGCCAACAACCCTATGCTCAATGATGCCATCCAGAAACGGGAGTTGGTAGAACGGATCGAGGAAATTGACTCGACCATGGGCTTCGACAGGTTTGAGCACGGCGAAGCCGAAGGTGCCAAGCCAAGAAGGGGCTGGCTCATCAACATGCATGCCACAACCATTCCTAGTGACGACATAGTGACAGGACACTCGGGAGTGGACTATTACTTTCTCGACGAGGAAGGTGGCTCGTTCAAGGCCACCATCCAGTTCGATCCATATTTGTTTCTCGAAGTGGTTCCCAACAGAGAGGCAGAAGTGGAGGAATGGGTCAAAAAATACTTGGAGACGTGCAACATAAAACAGATCTCCAGAGTGGTCAAAGAAGACTTAGCATTGCCCAACCACTTGGTGGGGATCAAAAGAACCATGGTCAAGTTGGTTTTTCACAACATCCAGGATCTTCTTGGGGCAAGAAGACTCTTGAATCCTATCATCAAGGACAACAAGTTGAAACGCGACAACAGAGATATCTACAACGTCATGAACTTCAACAACCTCAACAACATCAATGGAACCGAACTCCACATGGATCTCGACAATAACGAAACCGAAAATTACGGCGACGCGTCAGAGTTCATCGACGATATCAGAGAATACGATGTGCCCTACCATGTCCGTGTATCAATTGATATGGATATCAGAGTCGGAAAGTGGTATAACGTCTACGCTAAGCACGGCGAGATTACCCTAGAAGAAGATAAGGAGAAGATAGCGTTCGCTGACCCGGTAGTTTTGGCATTCGATATTGAAACGACTAAAGCACCTTTGAAGTTTCCAGACGCTAAGGTCGATCAAATTATGATGATTTCATATATGATTGACGGAGAGGGCTTCTTGATCACAAATAGAGAAATCATTTCGCAAGACATAGAAGATTTCGAGTATACTCCTCGGCCTGAATATCCTGGTGTTTTCACGATTTTTAACGAAGCAGACGAAAAACATGTATTGTTGAGGTTTTACGAACATATCAGGGACGCAAGACCAACCGTCATTGCCACCTTTAATGGTGACAGTTTTGACTGGCCGTTTGTGGAAAACAGATCCAGATTTCACGATATAGATATGTTTCAGGAAATCGGGTTCGCAAAGGATAACGAAGGTGAGTATAAATCTAAGTACTGTGTACACATGGATTGTTATAGATGGGTTAAAAGAGATTCCTATTTACCTCAAGGTTCACAAGGTTTGAAAGCAGTTACCACCTCGAAATTGGGATACAATCCAACAGAGTTGGACCCCGAATTAATGACCCCTTATGCCTACGAAAAACCCCAAGTACTTTCTGAATATTCCGTTTCTGATGCTGTGGCCACCTACTACTTGTACTACAAGTACGTTCATCCTTTCATTTTCTCATTGTGTACGATTATTCCCTTGAACCCAGATGAAGTGTTAAGAAAGGGAACGGGTACATTGTGTGAAATGTTGTTACAGGTGCAAGCATATGAAAAAACTATCTTGTTACCTAACAAGCATACCGAGCCAATCGAAAGATTTTATAATGGTCATTTGTTAGAGTCAGAAACATATGTCGGAGGTCACGTCGAATCTTTGGAAGCAGGTGTCTTCAGAAGTGACCTCGAGACTGATTTTAAAGTCGACCCTACAGCCATTGATGAGCTCTTGGGTAATTTGGAGAAGTCGATACGATTTTGTATCGAGGTAGAGAATGGAAAGAAAATGGAAGACATTACCAACTATGATGAGGTGTATAATCAGATCAAGCTGAGTTTAGAGGAGTTACGTGACAACCCTGTTAGAACAGAAACACCTTTAATTTATCATGTTGATGTGGCTTCAATGTATCCAAATATCATGACTTCCAACAGACTTCAACCAGATTCCATGAAAAACGAAGAGGATTGTGCTGCTTGTGATTTCAACAGACCTGGTAAAAATTGTGACCGTAGATTGCCATGGTCCTGGAGAGGTGAGTTTTATCCTGCCGAAATGAACGAGTATAGTATGATCAAAAGAACTCTACAAAACGAAAGCTTTCCACCTTTAAAGCCATGGTTACCTCAAAGAACTTTTGACGAATTACCTTACACAGAACAAGCAGCTTTAATCAAAAAGAGATTAAGTGACTACTCGAGGAAAGTCTACCACAGGGTCAAGCAAACAGAAGTCGTGGAGAGAGAAGCTATCATCTGTCAAAGAGAAAATCCATTCTATGTTGACACGGTCAGATCTTTTAGGGATCGTAGATACGAGTTTAAAGGACTTGCAAAAGTTTGGAAGGGAAAAGCATCAAAACTTGATGATATCATTGCCAAAGATGAAGCAAAAAAGATGGTTGTCTTGTATGACTCCTTACAATTAGCACACAAGGTCATCTTGAATTCATTTTATGGTTATGTTATGAGAAAGGGTTCGCGGTGGTATTCAATGGAAATGGCTGGTGTTACTTGTTTAACAGGAGCTACTATCATTCAAATGGCAAGAAAATTAGTCGAGAGAATTGGTAGACCATTGGAATTGGATACTGACGGTATTTGGTGTATCTTACCAAAATCCTTCCCCGAGAACTTCAATTTAAAGTGTAAGGACGGTAAGAAGATTTTCTTAGAATATCCATGTTCTATGTTAAATTATTTGGTTCACGAGGATTTCACCAATCATCAGTATCAAGATTTGGTTGATCCTGAAAACTTTAAGTATAAGACAAGATCTGACAACTCTATTTTCTTCGAAGTGGATGGTCCATACAAGGCAATGATTTTGCCAACATCCAAGGAAGAAGGAAAAGGGTTGAAAAAAAGATATGCCGTCTTCAATGAAGATGGTACATTAGCAGAATTGAAAGGTTTTGAGTTGAAGAGAAGAGGTGAATTGAGATTGATCAAAAACTTTCAATCCGACATTTTCAAGTTGTTCTTAGAAGGCGATACTCTTGAGGGCTGTTACCAAGCAGTGGCTACAGTTGCCAATAATTGGTTAGATGTCTTGGAAACCAAAGGTGGTATGCTTGAAGATGAAGATTTAATTGAACTTATTTGTGAAAACAGATCAATGTCCAAGAGTTTGGCCGAATACGGTACTCAAAAATCTACAAGTATCACAACTGCTCGAAGATTAGGAGAATTCTTAGGGGAAGAAATGGTCAAGGATGCAGGTTTAGCCACTAAGTACATTATCAGTGCAAAGCCCTCAGGCTCTCCAGTCACTGAAAGGGCAATTCCGGTGTCTATTTTCTCCTCAGATAAGAAGGAATTTTTTCTCAAGAAATGGCTAAAGGATCCAAACTTACAAGAGTTTGGTCCTAGAGATGTCATTGATTGGGACTATTATGCTGAAAGATTAGCATCTGTGGTGCAAAAGATTATTTCAATCCCTGCAGCATTGCAAAATGTTAAGAATCCAGTTCCAAGAGTTCCCCATCCAGATTGGTTGAAGAGGCAAATCCTGAGAAGTGAAGATACCAAGAGACAAACCTCTGTGACCAATTTTTTCGGGAAGTCTTCGAAGAAGGAATCGGTTGTCAAAGATATTGAAGATTTCGGAGTGATTGAAAGTAACGTTCCTCGTGCTAAAGTTAGTAAAGTTACATCTAGAAAGAGAAAGAATGGCCAACCAAACCAGGATATTCTAGACAATGAAGAGGAGGAAAGAAATAACGCATTATTGAATGGCCCTTGCCCATCCATGACCGAAGATTACGCGGGATATCTTCAGTATCAAAAGGCCAAATGGAGAGTTCAGGCCAAGAATAGGGAAAGAAGAACCCAACTCTTTGGTGCTAATTCCGAGTCATCTCACAGATCAACTGTTGGAGGAATTTTAAAGAAGCAAGCTGAAAATGTTGCTGGCTCAAATTGGGAGATTTTGGAATACAAGCTTGATCCCACAAAACCTGGTGATATAAAGGTTTATGTGCTGGCCAATAACAAAGTCCACAAGTTCACCTTCCATGTGCCAAAAAAGATATATGCTGCATTCAAAAGTGAGCTTTCACCTAGAAAATCCATTTCTGGTTGTTCTATCGAAAAGACTTCAGCTGTTTTACCAAATGGTCATGATGGTTCCAACCTTTACAAATTGACTATGAGTGAAGGTGTATTCAACGACGAGTTGGTTAACTTCAATAGTTTGTTGCAGGACCCTAGTTTATTGGGTCTATATGAGACCCAGATTGGTTCCATTGATCGAGCTATAATTGATTTGGGTAACACTGTCAGATTTGATGACACTAAGGTGGGGGCTTTAGGTAAAGGTTTGAAGAATGGTTTCCAGATCAAGGATCTTATTCAAGTAAACACTAACGATTACCTCAAACGATTTGACATGGGTATAGTATACTTACTTCATATTGTCACAAACAGTTATGAGTTTTTCACCGTTTTTAAGTCATGGGATAACTCTACAGAATTGTTTGTCTTGAAACCTACTTCCAATGCTCACGAATTACCAGGGAATTTGGATAAGATTTACAGGGAAATCTACGAGATGAAGAAGGACAGATTGGGCAAGTTATACAATATCATCGACTATCAGGACTTTATGAGTTTTAACACACACTACTATAGTGAGAGTGGAAAACTATTCAAAAAATTGAACCAAACTTTGGCCAAAATTTATGAGAGCAAGTCCAAGTCTCTATTAGCCATTCAATCACCATATTGTAGCAAGATCATGAACATTTTGAGTGCTACTGCTGAGTTCCCTACAATCAAGATGAATATCAGTGAATTATCTTTACCTGCTATTGGTTGGGAGTCGTTAATTTCGAAAAGAATTATTAACCATTACTTTGTTTTAGCATCATGGATCAAGAATTTGATTTCTTTGGCACAGTATGGTAACATCCCATTATGCAATCTTCAAATTGAAAATGTGGGATATTTGATTGATATTGAATATGCTAGAAGGTTATCAACTAACAACATTGTCTTATGGTGGTCTTCAAACCCATTACCTGATCATGGTGGAATTGAGTTGGATAAGGCAAACGATTTCGAGAATTTAGATTTTCCAAACATTAACAATCCCGAGATTTACGAAACTGCCTGTCTAGAAGTGGAAATCGGCACATTGACTATAAATACAATTCTCACGAGTAGTATTATCAATGAAGCGGAAGGAACAGATCTTGCAGATGATGCAATGCATTTTGACAAGAATAATGGAGCGTCTATTATGGCAGAGGATTCATTCTCTAATCCTGCGTTGATGATATTGAGGTCAATGGTTAAGGATTGGTGGGATGATGCTATGAAGAACAATATTAATGCAGATTCTATGATGAATAATTTGGTCACTTGGGTACAAAGAAAGGAATCATTCCTTTATGACTATTCGTTACATTACCATGTGCACAACTTGACTACAAAGGCTTTGTTGCAATTAATTGGGGAGTTTAGAAGAATGAACTCGAAGGTTATTTTTGCTAACAGGAATAAAATGTTGATTCAGACCACAAAGGTATCAGTGGAGAATTCATATGCATATGGTCAGTATATTTTGAAAGCTGCGAGATCCAAGCCTTTATTCAATTACTTGGACTTGAGGATTGTTAAATATTGGGACATTTTGATCTGGATGGACGAATTTAACTTTGGCGGTAGATACTGTTCCGCCATCACCAATGATGAAATCCAGAACCTTATTCCAATGAATTCATGGCAAATTAAGCAATTCCTTCCTTCTGTTTTCCAAAACGAGTTTGAGGATTGGTTAATTATATTCTTGGATGCATTGACCAAATACAAGAGTGAAAACCTTACTGGTACTCAATCAGCCACTCCTAGAGTCACTCAAATAGCACATATTTTGAAGGGACAGAAGAAGATCGATTCTGGCGAATTGGAAGAAGAAGACTATAATAGTGGAGTGATCGAGATGTTCCGGAAACCACTCCAAAAGCGCGTTCAAAAATTGTATTCGCGTCAAAATGAGGCAATTCTCAATCCCAACTTTGCTCAAGAGTACGAATTTCCTATTCGTCCAGGCTCCCATCTCCACTTAAAGAACCCAATGCTTGAGCTTGTTAAATTTTTGTGTGCAATCTTTAGTCTTTCTAACAAGAGAACCATTGAAGTAAGGTTGCTCAGGAAGGAATTATTGTCTATTTTTGAAATCAAGGAGTTCAGCAGTGAAGGAGCATTCAAAAATCCTAGTACCACCTTGAAGATCCCTCATGTTATCTGTGACTACTGTAATTTCATCAGAGATATCGACTTTTGCCGTGATAATGAGGCATCGATTTGGAACTGCACAAATTGCAACAAACCACACAATAAAATAGCTCTCGAGGAAGACTTAATCGGGCAGTACCATAAAACATTGACCAGTTATTTGACTCAGGATTACAGGTGTGACAAGTGCAACCAAATTCGGGGAACCAACATGAGTCAGTACTGTAAATGTTCGGGCCACTGGGCGGAAACTATTAAATATGAAGACATCGAGAGAAAACTCGAGGTTTTTGGAGGGGTATCGAAGTTCTATAACTTGCAGTTGTTAAGAGGAGTAATTGAAGAAAGCGAGGGAACTAGTTGAGCTAGAGACACGCGATTACCAATATTATTTTGCATTTAATTTTCTTATCGTAGTAATAGTACCAAATGTAAACCTAAATAACAGAGCTAACACAATGGGTGTATTTGAATCGTGATTCAATGCTCACTGGATGCCTTACATTTGGTTATGGACGCAAAAGGCCTCACGGTAGAAACTGGTTCTGATATGATCGCGAAAATGTATTCTGTACACTCTCAGATTTATCCAGCATATCTTAGCAATATCCATCACGATTAACGTGAAGAAATGCTTCTGGAGGAAAGATTGCAGCTTCTCAAGAAGAGAATCATATGCAGAGATGATGAGATAGATCTCCTCAACTGCTTTATCTCAAACGAGGCGTCTATACTGGCACCCACCACTGTGATTCATGGGTATAAATCCATTGGTAAGTCCTTCACGGTAGAGGGATACCTTAAGGAATTGGGGGTCAAGCATTCCATTGTTAAATGTGATGAGTGTATCACAAAAAAGGTGCTTCTTCAGAGGTGCTTCAAGCGGATCAAACTCGACAGTGGGGTGGGTTCAGACTACACTAATGACGTGAAATTTGGTACATTGGGAGAGAATTTCCCCAGTTTTGTGAATGCCTTGGAAAGCTTTACAAGACAAACAAACTATTCCGACCATCATGTGATAGTTCTTGATAGATTTGATCAATGTATGGAGCCAACCCAGGAATTGTTTGCTGCCTTTTGTCGTCTACAAGAACAATCCAACATCAGAAATATTAGCATAGTGTTCATCATATCAACCGACGACCCCAAAGATATTGCTACGAGCTCAATTCCTCACATTTACTTCCGCAACTATACTGAGCCCCAAGTGAAGGAAATTCTTCGGTCCAAGCAATTATGTCATTTTGACGTGGATTCCATCGACAACAATCCTGCCAGTTTCGAGTTTTGGAAGCAATACGCCACGATCATTGTTGACTTGTATTTCTCATACACAGGTTCCGATATGAACTTGTTGATCAATATCTGCGAAACAGTGTGGCCATCATTCACTCAACCTATACGACAAGGCAAGTATAAATTGGGAGATTTTATCAAAGTTTACAGGGAAAATTCTCACTTGTTGCACAACGAGAACATCATTAACAATTCCTCTATCAAGAGCTTCAAGACTATGAAGGAGGAAGAGGATCTGGATAACACTAATGTTCAAGATTTACCGACACACTCAAAGTACATTCTAATTGCATCATATTTAGCGTCGTTTAATCTCCCCAAAAACGATTTGCATAACTTCTCCAAGTTGCGAGCCATCAAGAATAAGAAGCGGGCTCTTTCGGAAAAAGCTAAAAACAAAAGAGGTCACTTGGGAAAAGATGACATAGACTCGAGATTACTTTCACCTAACTTCTTTGATCTTGAAAGAATGTTGGCCATTTTGAGCATTATCTACAGAACTAACTCGCAATCGTTGAACGTAACAGACGACAATCATCTATTAAATCTTCATGATGACATGATCAAGAATGAAGAGATAAAGGAACTTGAAAGATCCAAATTCACACTCAGTAGAAACACCGATCTTGATAGTCAAATCACTACATTATTCTCTTTGGGACTCTTGAGTAAATCGGCAAACTCGGATATTTTAGGTGCAAGGGTCAGATGGAGATGTAACATTAATTGGTCCACTGTTGAAACATTGGCAAAAGATACCGATTTCCCGTTGGTGGAATACTTGGGAGATGAGTAGTACTTTTATAGAAGTATAATGCGAAATAGACTATTTTCATTAGAATACTGAGTGTATTCGGTTCTTATTATCGTATTTTGTAATCTAATTACATTATCCGGAACATTAAGTTTCAACCAAAATATCCAATCTTACTGCTCAAATTGAATGTCAATTACATCCTTAAATGATTCTTCGCCCAACCTGCGGACTTCCACAGCTCCTTCGAAGTAAGTTTCTTTCCAGTAATTCATCTCATATGATGAATAAGGGCCCTTGACTTCTTCGTCTCCTTTCCATCTAAATTCCCACACCTTTTCTCCATATTCGTTATCATTCCCTGTTCTATTTTCTTCATCGGATTCCAACTCTCTTTTCACACCTCGCTTGGTGGTGTTGAAGTCTTGACCAGTCTTTGATTTGTAGTATCTCATCAACTCTTCCCTGGTCATTTCATAAATGTCAGAAATGTCGTTCTCATTCGAGAGTAAGGTACAGAAATGGGTAATCTCACTAATATTCTTTCGTTTAAGCTTATCTTCGGGCTGTTCTTGAGTCTTTTTCTTCAGTTTTTTAGGGTTTAATCGGGCCAACGCCTCTATAGGGGTTTCTGCTGGCTCTAGATGTGGAATAAGCTGTATTAATATTTCTGGAATACTTGATACTTCGTCACTAAGCATTTTTCGTTTCTTAGCCAATTCACGTCTCTCCTGAGCTGCCTTTGCTTTTGCAATATCGTGCTTTTTGTACCCATCTAGCCATTCATCTTCAGCATTGGGCTCTTCTTTCTGGTCATGTCGTATAAAGTTTCCATCGAGATCAAATTTCCCTTCGGTAGATTCTTCTTTAAGGTCAAATGCCTCGAGCTTTGGTTCCTTTTTGGTAACCCTCTCGCCATCAAAGTCCTCTATTTCGTTGTAGTATCGGGCAACATCAACATCATCGACTTCTCCTTCGTGGGACTCATGGTCATTTTCTTTTGATATGTAACTTGTTTCCGCATCATACTTTCCAATACCTTCTTGCTTCTCAAACTCATCGACATCGAGGAATTGTGGCTCCGGGCCCTTTGTGGTTTCCTCAACCTTGACCTCATCCTCCTTGTCGCTCGCAAACATGTCATCATCGTCATCGTTGTCGTCTTCCTTCGTTTGGTCCTCTTGTTGATTTGCCACTATCTCATCTCCCGAGTCTGTATCGTAATTCAATCGTAAATCATTTCTCTGGCGTTGCTTGGTTCGTCTTATGTTACCCAATCCATCATCAATCAATAATTCTGGGTCATTTTGCTCAGTTTCGCTATCACTCATTGTATATATGACGACATGAATACTCGCAAGATGAGATCATCGCACTTTTCACATCAACCACTTCGAGCTACAATGGACACTAGCCACATGGACGTGGACCTAGACTTTGACATCGATGGAGATGACATCCTTAATCTTGAAGAAGAGTACTACCAGAAGGGGTTTGAAGAAGGCCAAAGCGATGCTTCCAAGGAACAATTGCGAGAAGGTAAAGAATACGGATACCAGACTGGGTTTCAGAGATACCTTATTATTGGTTACATCCAAGGCTTAGTTGAGGTCTGGGAGAAAAACCTGCTGAGTTACGAACTGAAAATGTTGGCAAATCATTTGGTTCAGTTGAAAACAATAATCGATGATGTTCCTATTACCAATGAGGCATCAGACGTGGAAGAATTCGAGAAGAGGGTCAACAAAGCAAGGAATAAAGTGAGGGTGGTATGTACAACACTCAAAGAAAGCTGGAAGTTACAAGGCCTTGACAAGATGATTATTGAAGTCGGAGGTAAATTACAAGTCAGTGAAAATGCCGACGAAATGTGGTGATTCCTCCAATCCTTTGCAAGATAATTTTGAACTGATTACTTAAAAAAATTACTTCCAAAGAATACTTCGATGCTTTATTTGGGATCAATCGGATATGATCAAGTATTCTTGAATTAACCCACACTAAAAGCGATCGTGCTCCTTCCCAGTCGGTGTATTTATTCATTCAATACCCATTTGTACCGTGTCGGTCCTGCAATAGTTTCCTTCACATACAGGCAACAACTTCTGGAACTGTTCGAAAAATTGCCCACTGGTCATAATATTGTACTTTCTATTTAAGAGATCATTATCAATTAAGTAGTCACTCAAGCTCGCTGGCAAGTGCACCCAAAAGTGATGTGAGATGCTAAAATGAGAAATCGAAATCCAAAGACTTTTCTCGACTCTCGAGCTTGTAGCTCAATATTCCTCCCAATGGACAATCATTCACACCGACTATCAATTGTTCTCCATTTCCATTTTCAATAGGCGAAAAGTTCAATCCGGTACATTTTCCAATGAAATCAATTGATTGGATTCTGGACTGGATATGATCTTGTGCATGTAATAAGTCATCCAATTGTACAATACCGACATGGTCCAAACTTTCTGCCCATGCGATGTAGTCCCCGCTATAATTGAACTTGCAATTCCTTACTGGTCCACCACTGCTATAGGCCCTAGAGCCAAGAGATCCACTCCAGCAGTACATGGAAGAGTCCGACTTTCTTCTATCCCATAACCTCACGCAACTGTCTTGGTTTCCCGTAATGAGATAATTTTGGTCCTTTGTTGACCAATCACAACTGAATCCAAAGTCATTATGACCTTTGAACTCTTGGCTCGATTGTTGATTCATTCGGCATATTCGCCTATCGATAATGAATGAGCTTAGATGGTCACCCGTTATGAAGACTTCGTTGGTGTTATGTGTGTTAATGGAGGCGCAGTTGATAGCAAAGGATAAATCCACCATATTTCTAGTGGTATTCCGTTCAAGATCAATTGCACGAAGGGTGCGGTCGTTGGAAGACACAATAAGTTCATTATTGTTCTCATTGATTATCATATGATTTGTTATTCCGTCACTATTCTGAGTGACGTTGAATTCTCCAAGTAGTTTGGATGAGTCTGGTTGTGATACGTCCGATAGTATATAACCCCCTTCAAAAGTGCCACATGCTAGATAATTATCTGTGCAGGTAAGGGTGGATATCCTGGTGTTTGAGTTGCGAAGGAGGTCTCTGGAGTCTATAATACAATCTAGTTTCATGGCGTCGGAGGTGGCGGAGGGTACATTGTCGGGCCTTAATCGGTTGATTTTGAAAAAGGTATGGTAGTCATCATCGTTGAGGTCAAAATTACTGGACGAGTGATTTCCTATTATGTTGGTATTTTGCACTGTTTGTAAGTTATGGTCATGGTGGTAACTCAGAGGATAGTATATCCCGTTGGATATATTAGGACCACAACAAACCAAGTTCCTGAGCTGAAAGTGAGTAATATGCAACTTGAGTTTGCAGAAAAACTTGTGGAACCTGAAAAAGTCGGTGTTGGACTTGAACGATCGTATGGTTATATCCTGACAGTTAGTAGAGGTTGTAACACACGCTCACGGCATACTTACACTAGTGGCTTTTCCCTTGGATCCAGGTATATTATGGAACCAGTTATGATTGCCGACCCTCGAGCGATCCATGTAAAACTTCTCCTTGAGACCAGGAGGCCATTTCACTCCTTGCAAGTCTGATTCGGCCAGTGAGGTTATGGCGAAAGGCAAGTCGTCCTCTCGATTTTTCAAGGAGTTGAGAATACTGAGGATGTCGGTTTTGGACAAGTACGACGAGTCGTCGTAGAGGAGATTGTATAGAACCGTAAGCGATTCCGACTGGTTCAACTCGTACTCATGGCTGGCCTCGATCGGGGTGGACTGGGATTGGGACGGGTTAGACCGGTACTCGCTCGGGGAAAATCGAAAATTCGGGTTGAGGATGGAGTTGGTGGTTAGCTCCAGTTCTTCTTGGGTGAGTTGGACTGCCATGGTAGTGGAATACGTGGATGACAGCGAGCTGAGCTCGGAATAGTGTAGCGATGGATCCTTAGTTGCAGTATTTGGTGATTTTGATGCTGCACACTGGTGCGCATGCAGACCCGCGGCAAATGCAGGACAGGACGCTAGCCTCCGCGATTCGGTTGCCCTAGCCTAGGATACCAGGCGTGCACAGAGGCCCAGGCGGCTGATCACGGGCAGATGGATTGAGGTGGGATCGGGCAGTTTCGGGGAGGAATATGTATGGGGATCCATGACCACTCATGGAATGGCCATTGGACAGGCACATGCTTAGGCAAACAGGGGAAATGGAGCCCTTACGGAATCTTACGGACCTCGAAGGTGTTAGTGTGGTAGAAATGCTGAACGTGCCTGAAAATAACAGTCTGGGTGCTATAGGAAAGTCCAAACGGAGTTGAAGTTGTCACCTGCTTGCCAGTGGTGGGTATCATATAACTGTACAAAGCGGGCAGCCGTTACCCCAGCCGTGTCACCCATGGAAGAATTCCGGGTAGAACGTGACAGTATCCGTGCCGTGACTCGCACCCATATGCCTGATACAGTCGTGCATTATTTTCACGTCGTGGGTGCAGATGTGCTATTTTGCATCCCAACCAGCTCCAGAGAACCACACACTCGACGGGCTTCGGACCAGCAGTGAAGCTGCCGTTCCGCATACACGCTTGTAGGGTAGACTCAGCCCGAGTCTTGTCCAGAGATTTACGCCGTACTACGTACGCAGCGTGGAAACTCCAGATAACACCTAGTGACTCACTGCCTGTGTATTGGTGGGGTGCCTGGTTCCTTGCTCCGGCACGGCTCCAACCTAATCTCGGGATAGGGGTGGGGACTCCGTAGATTGTGGCGGTGGCAAAACACGATCTTGGTATCGCAACCCCTGCAATCAGACTGGTTTGAGCAGTTCCAGCATCCAGTCTTCGTAGACCAGGCCCTGGCCCTACCCAACGGATCCAATTGCCATTTCAAATAGGTACTCACCACATTCGGCCCACCCCAGATGTTAATTTTAGGCGTTATCTGTGAGCTGCGCGAGTCTTTCCTCGTATTATCTAGATTTCATGCAGCCTGCAGTCGCTGCACATCAGCCCTGCATTGCAGTCGGTTGAATTTCTTATTTGCCAACTCCGCCATTTCTCCTATAAAAGGAGCCAACTCTACCACCAATCATGGAGCTGGTATCGCTAATATGTCGCTACCAGCTAGCCTTGAGCATGGGCCAGAGTACCAGCCTCAAAAAAGGCTATTAACTCCTTTACTCCCGAAGAGGACGTACCCTATTCCGTCCCCCACTGACCGTGCCGAATATCCTGAAAAGCATGCGTCCCTTTTCAATCGGACCTTCTTTTGGTGGGTGATCAGCAACTTGAACGTGGGGTACTTCAGAACCCTCACCGAGAACGATTTGTACCAATTGTCTGACAACTACAAAGTTGAGCCAGCAGTCGAGAAGTTCGAACGCTACTTTCAAGAGCACTTGCGCATCTCGCGTGAGAAGAACCCCGATAAGGCAGACGAACCTTTACAAGGGTACTCGAGATGGCGCATCATCTATGTTGTCATTTTGACCTTCAAAAAAGAATGTGCCTTGTCAATGATTTTTGCTTGTATCAATGCGACCATCCTCGGTGTAACTCCCATCATCTCCAAAGGCTTGACCAACTACGTGGAGCAAAAAGTTGTCAAACACACGCTGGTTGGTCCTGGACTAGGGTGGGCATTCGGATTTGCAGGCTCAGTCTTGATTGCTAGTATTTCTATCAATCAGTTCTTGTACCTTGCTTTCACAGTCGGTGTGCAGATCAAGGCTGTTTTGACGGATGCAATTTTACGGAAAGCATTCAAGTTGAGCCCTGAGGCCAGGAATAAGTTTCCAAATAGTAAGATCACCTCCATCATTTCCACAGACTTAAACCGTATCCAAGTGGCAACTGTCGATCTTCCATTCCTCTTTGTAATTCCTATTCCGTTGATCATTACATTGGTATTTTTGATTGTCAACCTTCGTGTCAGTGCTGTTATTGGTGTTGCTTGTTTGATTGTGTTCTTTGTGTTCACTACCTTTGCTGCGGCGAAGCTTTACTCGTACAGATCATCCCTTAGCGAATTGACAGATGCGAGAGTTTCCATCACTTCTGAAGTGATCCACACCTTGAAGATGATCAAATTATATTCCTGGGAAATCCCTTACTTGTCAAATGTAATTAAAGCAAGATCTCAAGAAATCAAAGTTCTCTTAAAAATTCAAACATTGAGGAATATTCTTGAAGCTGTGTCACTTTGCTTGTCCGGATTAGCTTCCATGTTCACTTTCGTCATTCTCTTTGTGATTGATGGCGCAACCAAAAGTGCTGCCGTTACATTTTCTGCTCTTTCTGCATTCGAAATTTTGGCTGGTTCCCTAGTTTTTGTTCCCCAAGGTATTGCTAGAGGTGCTGACTTGTTGATGGGACTCAAGCGAGTCTTTGAATTTTTGCTAGCTGAAGAATCTGATGATATACCCCCAAACTATTATTTTCACGAAGATAAGCTAAATGCAGTAACTTTGGATAATGCTAGTTTTGAATGGGAAAATTTTGCCGAAGGCGAGGAAGAACCCTTTAAGTTGAGTGAAATTAATTTAAAAATTCAAAAAGGTGAATTCATAATTATAAGTGGGTCGATTGGCTCAGGAAAGTCTTCTTTATTGAATGCAATGAGTGGTGCCATGAAGTGCACGTCTGGTTTTGTTAATGTGGATGGGGCCTTGGCATTTTGTGACCAGCCTTGGGTGCAAAATACAACAATCAAAGAGAATATTTTGTTCGGAAGTAAGTTTGATGCTGAACGTTATGATAAGGTTGTGTTTGCTTGTGCATTGCAAGGAGATTTTGACAATTTCCCAGGTGGTGACTTGACAGAAGTTGGCGAAAGGGGAATTACTCTTTCTGGAGGACAAAAGGCCAGGATCAACCTTGCTAGAGCTGTTTATGTTGAGTCAGATATTGTTATGCTTGACGATGTCTTAAGTGCTGTGGATGCCAAAGTTGGAAAGCATATTGTCAATCATTGCTTTATGGATTTGCTCAAGGGTAAGACCATTATTTTGGCCACTCACCAGCTAGCACTTGCAGATTCTGCGAGTAGGACTGTATTTTTGAATTCCAACAACACCATTAGTGTTGGTACCAAGGAAGAATTGCTGAACTCTAATTTTCAATTCAAGAAACTTCTCTCTTTTAGCCAGCACGAGGAATCCGAGGAGGTAGAACCTGAAGATAGGGAGGAGTTAGAAACTATTGTTACCAGTGAAAAGGAGACCAAACCAGGTCAAGTACTTTCGAGAAGAAAACCTAAGTTTGATTCTGATGAAGATTTTGGGGAGGAATATATTGTTGGTACTGTCAATGATGAGGCCAAGGGAAAGATTGTTGAAGATGAAGAAATGGCTGTAAATGGAGTGAAATTCTCAATTTACAAGCAGTACGTGAAATATGGTGCTGAAATGGGTATATTTTTGTATTTCTTAATTTTCACTTTTTTGGTTGTGGTCACTGGTTTCCTACTGGTTTTTGGCAATACTTGGCTTTCATTTTGGGTCACTGACAAATTTTATAGATCCAGTGGCTTCTATATTGGATTATATGTCCTTTTTAACATCATGTTGGTTCTTAGTGTTGCAACGTTATTCATTCTCATTGCAACTTTGTGTTCACAATCCTCAAAGAATTTGAATATTGCTGCAATTGATAAGCTCTTACATACCCCAATGGCCTTCCTTGATATCACACCAATAGGAAGAGTGTTGAATCGATTCACAAAGGATACAGATGCTTTGGACAACGAAATTTCCGAGATGTATAAGTATATGGTTTATTCTGTGTGGAATCTTGGTGGTACAGTTGTTCTTGTTGTTATCTACTTACCCGTGATTATTGCAGCTCTCCCAATAATTGCGTTGGCCTTCCTATTTTTGGTCAACTACTATATTGCTTCAACTAGACAGATCAAACGAATTGAATCAATTAAGCGTTCTTATCTTTTCACTAATATCAACGAAAGTTTGGGTGGGATGTCAACCATTAAATTTTACAAGAGTCAAGAAAGGTTTATTTCAGTGAATAAGAAGCTTATCAATGGAATGAATGAGGCCAGTATCTTAAACTATGCCAATCAATGTTGGTTAGCTCTTGGTTTGGAAATGCTTTCTTTAGTCATCACTCTCTTGGTGTCACTTCTTTGTGTGACTGAGGCATTCCATATCAGTGCTGCGTCTGTGGGTTTGTTGATTAATTATACTGCCACCATGTCATCCAACGCAAGTCTTTTGATTAGAATGTATTCAAGATTGGAAAATGCCATGAATTCCACTGAAAGAATCTGTGAGTATGCAAACGATCTACCTCAAGAAGCAGACTATACAATCCAAGCAACACAGCCTCCAGCATCCTGGCCCTCTGGCGGTCTGATTGAATTTAAACACGTTTCCATGTCTTACAGACCTGGCTTGCCGTTGGTTTTAAAGGACATAAATTTCACTACTGCTCCCGGTGAGAAAATTGGTATCTGTGGTCGTACTGGTGCAGGTAAGTCGTCCATAACCACTGCTCTTTACCGTTTGAGTGAACTAGATTTGGGGGAGATTTATATTGATGGAGTAGACATTTCGAAAATTGGATTGAAAGATCTCAGGTCACACCTTTCAATCATCCCCCAAGACCCTGTTTTGTTTAATGGAAGTATTAGAAAAAATTTGGATCCTTTCGACGAATATAGTGATGATAAGATTTGGGATGCATTGAGAAGGTCAGGCTTGATTATGGATGAGCAGTTGGCTGAAGTCAAGGAACAATTATCTGAAATAGACCAATTGCATAAGTTTCACATCAAGCAGGAAGTTGTTGATAGTGGTTCCAATTTCTCGTTGGGAGAGAAGCAATTAATTGCATTTGCGAGAGCCTTACTCAGAGACACCAAGATTTTGATCATGGACGAAGCCACATCCCTGGTGGATTATCAAACTGATAGCAAAATCCAGCAAACCATTGCAAATGAATTTGCCCACTGTACAATTTTGTGCATTGCCCATAGATTGAAGACAATTGTCAATTATGACAGAATTTTGACGCTAGACAAAGGGGAGGTTTCTGCCATAGATACTCCATTCAATTTGTACAATGATGAGACGTCACTCTTTAGACAACTATGTGAAAAATCGGGCATCAATGCACGGGATTTCGCTAGTAAGTTGATCGAGTACGATCTCTCCGAGTCGAAGGAAACCACACCCTAATTATGCAATCGAGGAAATTTTCCTTTCATTACCTGTACATAGTGTGCCGATTACAACTATCTATTCATTCTATTCATATGCCCTCCCAGAATATATGCCTGTATAAATACATACACTAAACCTAGTTGCAAATAAATTATCTAAGTAATCTATTCCGATCGCGGATGATGCAACACGTGATTGAAACTGTGGCCATTATTGTGAACTGCGAATCGCCCCCATATATAACTGGACCGTCCCACGGATCACTTCGGAAAACCACCACTACTCTCGAGTACTCAATCATTGCAATGCCTCACCAATACCATTTCGACGTTACCATGACGTGTTCCGGATGCTCCAACGCGGTTAACCGTGTTCTCACTAGATTGGACGGCGTTTCCAATGTCGATATCTCTTTGGAGAAGCAAACCGTGGATGTGACCACCGGTGACTCACTTGATTACGATACCGTCTACAACACCATCGCTAAGACCGGCAAAAAAGTCAACAGCGGCAAAACTATACAATAAATAGGATTCGTTGCCAATATATGTGATTAATGAAGTACTTAGCCCTCAGTTCATGGTTCTGAACTCGATGATTTCTTGGATATATCCATCCCTGAGCTCACTCTTAACAAAATTTGACTGGATCAATTTGATTAATTCGTCTGTAGAGATGTCAAATAAGTCACCCTGGTAGAATCTATCCATAATGTCCTTCAAGTGGTTTTGTATCAAGAACTTGATGTTTTGGAGTTTCCCGTAGGATTCAATGCTGTCTTTCTTTTGCCCCACCTGCATCACAAATGGAAGTGTCACGTTGTCGAGTGAATCTATCAATGTGGCTATCTTCTTCGATTGGTACTCCGAGATTTCCGGTAAGCTGACAATTGACCCTATGAGCCAATTGTTGATGAAGCTCACCAAGGAAATAATCAAATGTTTGAATTTGGTTCCGCTTGACTGTTCCAATTCGGTGTCCTGGCATAATCCATTGAACCATTTGTAAACCACGCTTAACTGATTTAAATTATAATCGTCCAACACAAAATCTTCGTAATCGTCGTATTCTGGTGAAGGGGTGCTATTGGCAGAGACATCCAAAGAATTCAAATCAAGTGATACAATGAGAAGCTTGAGCTCTTGGTAGAATTGAATCATAGTTTGGTTCCATAAGGATACAGCATCTCTTTGAAAATCGTTGATTTTCAATTTCCTAGACAAGAAAGTTAAGTCATTATGAAGTAAGAATGATTTGGACAACGGAGGATATTTTGATAAACTCAAAGCTTTGACCATTGTGACCAAGTAGCTTGTATCCGGTGAAATCTTCTTGTAGTCTTCGAAAATTGGAACTAATGCAAGTGGTAAACTGGAAATCTTGATCGAATCAAGCCCAATTGGTGAGTCTGACACGCCAGTCTTTTTTGTTTCTTTGGGGTCTTCTTTCTTCGAAACTTCATCATCTATATCCCAATTATCGTCCCAACCGTCGTCCCAGCCATCTTCTTGATCTTCTTCAGTTTTTGGCACTTCTGATTCTACTGGTTCATCCTCATAAGGCTCTTCCTGCCAGTACTTTGAGCCCACTATTTTTTCTTCGCCAAATGCTTTCCTTATATTTTCAACATAACCATCAACGAGCCAATCCACGTATAATTTATTTAAGTTTTCTTTAATTGAAGCGTCATCAGACGTGTTAATCTGGCTTAATACATTCCAGTTCGTGGCATGACACACCTCGGAAAGAGATCGTAAGTCTTCAATTTTTTCTTTATCTTCGTTAATAATACTGATGTTGGCAGTGACTTTCTCGATCAATCGTTTGTTGATCTTAGAGTTTAAATACTGCTTTACTGAAGTTGAGTCAATATAGTTGATGAACACAATGAAGTTCTCCAAGGACTTGAAAAAGCTCTGCAGTGTTGTCTCGGTCACTTCTATTGAAATCAAATCGTAATCATTTTCTTTAAGCTGTATGCTAACGAGATCGGCTTCTCCCAAAAGCTTGTCGACGATTTGATCCCACTTGTTTCTCAAGTGCAAGTAGTGATCAAGCTTGATGTCGTTTTTGACAATCAAGGAATTGAAATCGTTCAATACGGATAGACTTTTGATTGTGGTTTCATCGGGAAGAAGTAATTTGATGAATTCATTCAACTGAGTTAAGAACTTCTCGTAAAGCAAGTCCACCTGCTTTGAGATCTGCTTGTATACCACTATTGATGGATCAAAGGTGAGACTTCGGATGTCCCTAAATAAGCTGAAGAGTTGTTGGAAATCGAGCAAGTCCGACAAAGTCTTTGCTTTATTGACCAACGTGGTGATTTCCGTCAATCGGGAGTAGGATTCATCGAGCTTCCTAACCTGGGCGATGTTTTGGTCAGTTTGAAGAGATTTCTCGCTCAATTGAGACAAACTGAGTGTTTCCAATTCGTGCTGGGATTGTGATTGATGATGGGATTGTAGATATTTGACAAAGGTAGGATCTTTCAAGAGCGATTCTTTGGATATTTGCTCAGCGATTGACAGTATGCTGGCATCCAAAGTGTCTAATTCGGACTGGTAGTTTCCGAGTAGAGCCTGTAGAGACATGATGTATAGTTTCGACAAACGGCTAGGTGCAACTTGTTCGAAATGATTTTACACTCAGAACTGCGAGCGCTACCTTCTTATCGCCAAATTGACGGCCAAGAAGACGGTAAACTGCAACAAACTGTTACTCCAGAGGCCAAGCTTGGAGGTTTTCTTCTGTTCTAGTATCGTAAGTCTGTTTATGTATTCAATTCTGCTTCAAAATACGACATTATCTAAATAATTCCTGATACTGCACAATCAACTTGAACTTCTTCCCTTGGTGCAATGGCATATTAACTACAAGGACTACAACTGGTTCATGTTAGCGTTCCTCAGACGGGTGCTTCATACATTACATGATGACTAGCTAACCATCGATCACTCATCTGGTTAGATTTGGTTACTGATCTGTTTGCAGTACTATTTTGGCGACACTGTCTAGTTGATGGTACGAAAAATAGTTCTGATTCCTGGATTGCACTGTAGGGAATCCGTTATAGTCATAGTCATAGTCAAACGGTATTTCAGTATAGTTGTTCACTTGTGCCAAACCTGTTGAACAGGGTGAACCCAATAGGCCTATATCAAGTCCTCGGTGATATCGTCGTCAACGTACTCATCATCCTTGTTCATTCTATAGATTGTCATACCCATACTGGCAGCGTTCAAAACACTCATGAACCAATCAGGCACAGGGATTCCGTAAAGCTCAATCACGTTGAAGGACATGTCCAAGAAGTTACCGATCAACTCCAAGATAAGCATCATTTTGTCGAACTTCAAATCCTTAAGCACCTTGTTGTACTTCTTGTTGATATCCTCGTTGACCACGCCCGCATTACTCTTGGCAGAGTTCAAAAGATTTAACTCGACGTTGACCTTGCGCTCCTTCCGTATCACATTGAGAAGCTGTGACACTGTTTTGCGGATCAAGAACACCAAGATGAGCACCCAAAGCTTGTTGGTTTGCTTGAGCAACTTCAATAAATATTGTGGAAACATGGGTAATCGCGAGAACAAATGGAGGTTATCAAGAATGTTAGCTAGCGTCTCCAATACTTCGATGACTATCGACTCGAGTCTCTTCAATGAAAACTTCCGGTATGGCGAGTACTGTCTCCTCCTGGCTGGGCGCTGGGTCTGGGGGTGAGGTTTGTTGGGATTGCTGACTGCCTTGTTCAAATCGAACTTATTGAACAACAGCGAGTATTTTGGCTTGGGGACCTTGGGAAGCTTGTTGAACTTGGGGTAGGTCTCAGCGTCTTTGCTTTTGAGGTACTCTTGTAACTTGGCAAGTTTATCCTGGGTAACGGAAGTATTGCCTCGGTCTTGTTCTTGTTTGGCAAGCTTTATAAGGTTGTCTATGATGATCTGCTGCTTGTTTGTGTTGGGCGAAGTGATGGCTCCTTTGCTTGTCTGGGTATCGGTTTGGACGGGTGTTACCATATTCGTGAGTGCCCGGTTAGATGTGGAGTATTTCTCAGGCTTATGATTTTGACATTTGATGCGTGCACCGCGGATGATACATGTTAGGTAGCGCCTGCGAAATGTCCGAAATGGCACAGGGAATTGGAAATGATCAACCCATTAAAGTAGATGGCTCACTTCAGGTAGGTTCTTAGGAAATGTCGTCTATGGTGTGCGTCTACACCAATTTTGAGAGTGCTGGTTGTGATTTTATTATAACTCATGGTCCGCTAAATACTAATAGAATTATCGACTAAACTGGCTCACTCCCTGAGTAGTCCTGCTACCTCCTGGAGAAACTCCGGTTCGTCCATGCTGTCACTCCTGAAGTCTCCGGATAGGCCATCGCTGCTCAAAATCCTGTACGACATATCAAAGCGCAAGCTCTTGGGGGTGGAATTGGCATCGGTGAAGTCCAATTGGAACACATCCTCACCAACACACTTCAAGTTTAGGTCTTGCAAATCAGTGAACTTGACTAGTATCTCGTTCATCTCCTTGCACCATTTGGCATATTTCTGTAACTTGTCATCGGTGGCATACGGCTGTGATGATTGCGCAAGCACTTTGAGGTCCCGCAATTTTGCAACCGCCAGCTCGATCGTGGCCTGTTGGGCAGCCAAGTCAGATTCTCTCTGGATGAGTTCATTTTCTAGCTGTGAATTTTGCACCTTTTCACGTTGCAACTCTTGGTTGTTCAAGTCTAACACTTGTTCGAGATTTGTATCCTCAGATGCATATTGGGCCAAGCTCAAAAATTGGTCCCCCACCAGTTGACCCTCCTCGAATATCTTGTCGATTTCCTTTTCAAGGTCAGCAACACTATCTATAAGTTCTTGTGTCTTTTGCTTCTTCTGCTGATACACCTCATATAGGTCCACACTGTCAATAGTGACCTGATGCAAGGACTGTAATTGCTGGTTCATGCCATTCTTAAGGGTTTTAAACTCCGCTTTTTTCTCCATGCAATCCGCTTCTATCAACTTGACGTCATTCTTGTCGATCTCATCTGACGTGAGCTCGGAGATCTTCCGAAGAAATTTATCTCGAGTTTCCTGCTCCAAGTATATGAATTTAAGCTTGGAGAATATCTCTTTCTGGCGTTCGATTTCTTCATCGATTGACTTGGGATTCTGGAGAGTGATATTAGAAGACTCAAATTCTTGTTGCGAGCCCACTAAGGTGTAGTCTTCGCCACGTTTCACTTGCTCGAGAGCCTCTCTGAGGCTCTGGCTGCTCGGACCAGTCATCATGTTGTGATAACAATACAAGCGACGCGTTCGTTTTAGTGCGATGAAGTTAAGCGCACGTGATGACCATTGGGGTTGTCGTTTAATAAAGACCCCGAATTTCACGTAAATCCTCTAAAACCATATCTCATGTGAATCAAGTACTTTAATCAATATGAGAGAGATTCTGTGCACCTCTCAACACCCGTTGAACTCCCTCATTTATTTAAAGGTAGGTTTTATTGCTTTTACATATCGCATCTTCATTTGTTTTGTGGCATATTGCTTAGTTGCAAAAGGATTTCAGCTAATACTGGCTCGATTCCACGGGAATTGATTTAATACTCCTATACAACATGCTGGTTGCTCATGTAATAGTTTCAAAGAATAAATACGATGTAGCCTACTAAACCAATCTTAAGTCAATGATTGTTAGGCTCATTCTCGTGGAGTATTCTATTTGAATAGTTCAGAAGTAACTGATTTTCCAGAATTTTCAAAATACATCTATTCAGTTTGAAGTTACGAAAATACATTTATTGTCACAAAATTGCAATATTGAGTGTTTCGGTATTGTTAATGTCGAGTGCTCTGTTTCTTAAAAACTATCTAGGTTGAATCAAGCAACTTAACTTCCAAGTTCTATCATCCTCAGTCTTATTTAATTGCGCAACCTTCCATAATTCCAAGATTATAAGCTCTTGTAATGCTGGAAGAGCTATAATGTTGTAGTCCTCCACTTCACTTTGCTTTGGAGCAGAGAAAATCAAGCTGCTTCTCTTTTCCTTAGCAGTTCCTCCTCTCGCATAGGGAATCTGTAAGCTTTCTATGTCTGCAATGATTCTCGTAATTTTCAAGTACTTGTCAATATTGATAATCTTTTGATTCAAAAAAGTGTTTGCTTTCCTGTACCTTGGGTTACCTTCGGTGATGAATGTCAAATCCTGTAAGAACAAGGACACGTATGGAACAATAGGTATATTGTAATCGTTGGAAATCAAGAAATTTCTCAATTTTGATCTGTAGATTGAGTAGTTCTTCTCGGGGTGAATAATTCCTGACAAGTAGTCGTATAACTCTTTATACTTATCTGACAATTCTGCCCATAATTTGGTCAATCTCGTTATCAAATGTGATTGAAGCGCAGTGATAATTGCTGCTAATGAGTTGAAGTTTCTCAAGTAAAGACAGGAAATGGCAATCTTCAACCAAGTCTTAATCATATTGACTCTCAATTTTTGATTAATCTTGGGTTGTAATATTGACTCCAACACATAGCCAGATAAACAGTTAGTGAAAAGCAAGGATTGTCTGATGTTAGGTGCTAATTTCAAATATGCTCGTTTTGCTGTGAAATTTTCATTTAACAACTCTTCTGCTTTAAAAGCACAAAAAATATGAGACTCTATAAGTGTTAACTGTTTAGCAATCTCTAAACCATTGAAATCCAATAAGTTCGGTCTGTAATTAGAGAGGACCCAACTTTGTTCACAAATGTTGTACCATTTTGGCAAAATATTACTCAATTCCAAAGGAATGTAATACTTGGGGGTAATGAGTTTTTGTGGACACCAACTTTCTCCCAAAATGGCTCTGTAAGTTAAGTTAACCTTCTCAATTGTACTAATCTGTGCCTTGGTCAAGAGAGAACTGGAGGATGAGGTTTGGTTACCCACTCCAAGAGGCATTGGTAATGTCATGGATTTCAAGGATGAAGATGTGGAAGTGTTCGTGTTGATTTTGGAAAGTTCATACCCATCAACCATCGAATATCTTGAATTCAAGGTAGGATCACTTGCACTTGAGCTGTCCTTTCTATTCGATCTTGTTATAGTGATACTTCTGGTGATCAATTGCTTTTTACTCACAGCTTGTTTAGTACTTGTTTCAGCTTCTTGTTCTTCACCTTCAATAAGTGGTTTCATAGATAATCTGGAAGCAATGTCAATAAGCTTTATGGCATCGAAGGGTAAATACAACGCAACACCTTCATTGAAGAAGTTGATCAATGTGGTTAATACAGGATAGTCAGTGTCATGATCCCAGTAAGATTCAATCCACAATTGGAACATTTTGGAGATTAATCTTCTTCTGTTTTTGAGCCTAATTTCCTCACTCAAGTCAGATTTGTTCAGATTCTTCAAAGATCTGTTACCTGCATCGAATCTATCTATTAATTCTTCAATCAAATCCGAGTTTGATGCGAAACTTCTGAAACAAATGAAAAAGGTCGATACAAAAAAGTATTCAGGTGGCGAAGACTCATTGGTTAAAGTGTAAACCAAACCCTTAAAGGATGCACCCAAAAGATTTCCTTTATCATCAACTAGTAACTGCGTTTGAATATTCGTCTCTTCACCACCACCATCACCATGTGCGGCAAACTGTTTAAATTCAGGTTCAGAAATTGAGAATGGAGATGTGCCTTCGACGTCGTTGAGAAGAACATCATGCAAAAGGGATATACCACCAGTAGTTAATCCTAATTCTCCTGTTTTACCAGATCTTATCATTGAGTATCTATTTGACTTGTATCCATGAGCTTTTAACCCAGTCAAATCTCTATTCTTTACTGCTTGGGCCTTTGCAATTCCGATTGAACATTTCTTAATGAACTCATCTGGCTCAATCTTCATCTTAGCATAGTCTGGATACGACCGTTCGGAGTTGAGCTTGAAGTCACCAGTTATCTCCAACAATTTACGGATGGCTGCAATGGTGATGTTAATAGATCTAATCATCTTAGAAGCTGTTTGAATCAATTCACCACCTTCTGGCGTGTAGTAATATTCTTTTGGACGAGAACTATGAATTCCATTAGTTTCAAGCATTTCTGAGCTTGCTACCACTGGGGTTTGGATGATCCGTTTGTCCTCTTCCGTTTCATTCAAAGTCTTAACCACCAAATTCTTGACACTTGAAACCAAATCACTGACCAAGGACAATAACGTGTCCAAAGAACCATCTAAGTCACTTGGCTTCTCGGATGAAAAATCGGAACCAATCTTTGAAATGAATAATAACTCCCTTAATAGCAAAATGATCTGATGTGTCATTGATTCTAAGATATCACAGCCAATTGGATTATGTTCTATCAAATCCAATCTACCTATAATCAATCCTAGGTAAGAAAATAATAGTCCATTAATCTCTGTAATTCTTTGCTTAGCCAATGGTGGGGTTGACAATAAAGGATAATTGTTCATATCATTTTGAAGCTTCTTTTCATTTTCACGCTTTATGATTTGTTTACTCTCAATAGACCAGACTTGCAAGAACGATGTGGCTTTTCTTGTCACTTGATAGATCATTAAGGTTAAGACTTCAATCTTATTGAAATTTGAGGTACCCTTGAATTCATTGGCCTTAACCATAAGATTATACCAATCCGCAAGTAAAGACTTACGAGTTTTTCTGACAATAGGCCTTTTAGTGACTATTTCATTTGACCTGGACAAGCAATCAGTTTGTTGTAATAGTAATCTGACTCCATCTCGAATGGAGTTGATCACCTTGATGGAGAAAGTATACTTACCATGACGGTTTCTATGACTAAGAGGATTCATGAGGAACTTCGAACAAGCATGGAACAAAGGTTTTAAGTAATGACTGTTGGGTATCTTTCCCGTGTCCAGCTCTTCGTCTTCTTCGTCGTAGTCTTCCTCAAAATCATCCTTTGAAGTCACAGCAATTGCAAAATAATTCATTGGAATCCATCCTCTTTGCAATGAGTCGATAAGAGTCACCTCTCCCCAACCAGACTCATCTATGGTGTGGACAAATGCAAGATCATCCTTCTCGAATGATAAACAAATGGATGCATCTGATTCTGATTGCAAGGTAGTGGAGTCAAATGGATGTAATGCTCGTACAAATAATGATGATAACTCGTCATTATTCGTTTCATCGTCCAAGTCCTGAGTGGAAATTGTAGATTCTCGTGCGTTCTTGTTAGTTTGGCTGGAAATTGCAGTTGATTCTGAAGTTTCGTAAAATGATGGTTCAGGTTCAGGTTCACTCTCTCCTCTATTCTTTGGATCTAAGAGTGAATCAGTTACTGAAATATTCAAACCATTGGGGTATTTATCTTTCATATTGGCTCTCGTGTTGGGAGTAACAATGAATGGATCCTTCCGTTCATCTTCACCACCTTTAATCATCAAATCTCTTCTTACGGGTATTTCATCCCCATCAGCTTGAGCTCTTCTTGCTTTCCATGGTGATACGCGAGAACCCTGGATGTTGTAGGCAGACTTTTCTGGAGTAAACGTGTTTAAAGTGGAGTTTGCTGTATCTTGAAATTCAAAACTAGTTGATGAAGCATTGGATTTTGTTTCTTCATCCTCTCTTCTTAAAGCACTTTCTTGGCTGGCCACACTAGATATATCACTTGTGGTACTGATGGAGGTTTGGTCAGGGACTGAAGGTTTGCGGGGTTTTCTGGATGATTCGTTATCCGTAATCAGTTTGTCATCTCCCTCATGACGCTCGTGGATTTTCTTGTAGTACAAGCTAGTGCGTTGGTTTTTACCTGCCGATGCCCTCTTCGCCAAAGCAGTAGGGTCATTATTGGCCTTCTCCACATTTTGTTGGAAGGAAGACATGAACTGATATGAGTCTCCCGAGGTTCTTGCCTGTTGCAAAGTCATGGATAAACGCTGAAACTTTTTGCTCAACTCTTGTTGAGGTAATTTAGGAGAGGTTTTGGCCTTTTGGGTATCACCTCCAACATTGGCACCTAGGTGCTCAGTAGGCACGGGGAGATTGTGGCCCACGCTGTTGTCGAAAACATGATCTTCAATCAACGGGGTTTTGTCATCAAGGGGATCGTTATTGAAGTGGGAAGGATTGAGGAGCTTTGGGGTCTCTTCGTTGCCGTAGTCGTGCTGGCCCTGCAGATAGGTGTACTCCTCCTCGTAGGTGGGCTCCCTCATGATGGACTCGTTGATGGAGGTGAAACTGGGGTTGCTGGGGGCCCTGCTTAAATCACGACCTGATCCCGCAGTTATAAACGTCTGGATGGTCTGACTCGAGATATCGGGTGTCATTTGAAGAGCAGAGTAGCCGGAGGGGACATTGTCGTCCTGAAGGTCGTCATCGAAGCCGTCTTGCTCATCTCCCTCCTCGAGTTGTCCCATCACCACCGAGTTCTTCTCGGGCAACTCTCCATCGGAATAGACACTGGAGGTGGTACTGAAGTGAGTGCCAGCAACATTAGAGCTGGGAACGGGTGGAGCGGTGTACATGGGCTAATTTGTGTTATCTAGTCTCTGGTTCCTCTCGATTGCGTTTTCAGGAGCTCAATCTAAATATCTTGGGACGATAAACCAGTATACATCCAGGTGTTGGGAGGATTGTGGAATGAAAGACCAAACAGCAAAGGGATCAGCCAATATTTGTGAGATGGCGGGATGGTAAGGCTGTAGTAGAGTAATGACAGGAGGTTTCGGCCTGCTAATTGTGGTAGGTGTCGGAGTAAGCCTCAGGATAGAGAAGCACCGGACAATGAAAATCTAGGCGGGGCGTGTCTGCAAGACGCGTAACAGGGGCAAGTTCTATTGTGAAACTTTTTTCAATAGGTGAAGACAAGTGGCTGAACAGAGGGAGAAGCGACAAAACTGATCATGAAACAAATAGCAGGGTAGGAGCTGACGTATGATACAATAAAAGCGTTTAGAACCGGTTGGCGTTTCAGCCTGGAATAGGCTAGTAGCCCTGGTGGTTCAGGGTGCCAGGTGAAAAAAGGGTGGTGAAAGCTGCGAGGCTCGAACTCGCGCGGCAGTATCCAGAGTCCAGTGGTGGGGCAATATTGTGGGGGGTCTATGAAGTCGTGGAATCTTCTTAAGAATTCTGGCTAGCACTGCGAGTTACCTGTCAAATAACGGGCCATCTAGCGTGTAGATAATTTTCTTTCTATGAGTAAACAAAAAAGAGCCGGTCCTTTGAACCCTCAAGTTGTTTGTCTCCATAAAAAATGGGTTGAACCCTGAAAAACTGACTATCATATTCTGGTGAGGAAAGGCAAAGGGAGCCAAAGTCCAGAATTAAACAGTGCTTTAACCCTCAGCATCGAATGGCCAGCCGTTTTGACCCTCCCAAGTATTCTTACCTAGACATATTAACCGGGAAAGAGTCTGCAAACTAAGAGAATAAATATAGATTCGGTTGGCATAAATTAGTCTTATACCATCTGCGACCCTGATGGATGTGCTTATAAACTTGAAATCGGCTAGGCAGAGTTGCTGTACCTACTTGTAAACTTCTCTTTGACATATCATTAATTATCCAAGAACCACGAAACCACGAGAACCAGGAAATACTCAGCTAGACTATAGTGCAACTAGATAATTGCACCCAATGCTCTATTCCTTATGTTCACATTATCTATCCGAGAGTTTCAAATATCTTAACATCCGCCCTTAGCGAGCACACAGGCTTATCCAGTTTGATCATTCTCTCTACCATACAGGTAGTCCAATTGGAATCAAACCGTACCTTTAAAATGTATTACAATTAAACTTCCAGAATTTTGGTTGCATAAACTTGATATCTTCAGGATCCTACTTTTTGTATTAATACCTACTTATAATTTGTACACTTTAAAGTTTAACCACAACCAAAAAACGAAAAATGCCCCAAAAGATATGGTGATGTTCAAAATAACCCACAAATCAGGGTATCTGGCAGGGGGGAGAAGGAACCAATCCAAAAGATGGTAAACAATCATTAACAAGTAAGAGCCCTTAGTTATGAGTCCCCATAAAATACCAGAATTCTTGAACAAAAGCTTCGGTCCAATCAACCAGTTAATTAATAAATTGCTGACAAAGTACTGAAGTATCAAACCATCTTTCTTCAACAATGGGTACAAACTGAAAGTACCGACGTTGTTTATCCACTGCACAATATCAATCAATTCTGGTTTGATTAATATCAAAAGTGTACTTGGTAATAATGGGATCAAAATACTTTTCTCGTGGACCTGGTATGAAAATAAGTAGAATGCTAATGCATTACCAGCAAACCCATAAATTAAGCCAGGAGCAACATTTTGAGGTTTCTTGCATTTGAAAAATAATAATATGTTCATGGGAATAATTGCACCGACAGTAGAAATCAATGCCAATTTAGACAATTGAGATGCATCGATGATCTCTCTGAATTTGATGACTACATTAGCAGTACACCAAAAATTTGCGACCTTATCCTCAAACAACCCTCTATTGAAAGGAAATACTCTAATAAGGATTTGCAACAAGTTCTTTGGGTCCTTCAAGAATGGAATGACAATGACAAAACTAGTCAACACGACAGTGAGCCCAATTACGATCAAGTGAATGAAACTCTTCAATTGACTTAAGATGAAAACGAAGATGAAAGTTGAGTAGTACAATCCCATTTGTTTGAAATTAATGCAACTCACGAACCAAATACTTGCCAGGACATAATTCTCTCTCATCAAATTGATCAAAGAGTAGACGAAGAACCCTAACATGACCGAATTGAATTGGAAGTGGCCATGGTCAATTAAGGCCAAATGTGCCTGGTTTATGATGATAACTGAGATGATCATTTGGTCCATTCTATTCAAGTTGAATCTCTTACCCATCATGTTGGCAAGAGTCAAGACTGCTGGGACATATAATACGAGCTCACTCAACAAACTCACGAATCTCATGAAAAACTTGACCTCGTTGGTCTCGATGCCTCTGGACGAATTAAGAGCGAACCAGGTGGGATTGATAAAGCTTCCGATCTTGCCGAGTAAGTACAGGTGGTAGGCTGTTAATGGAGGATAGTCCAAGCCCCAGTATTGAAGGTCGAAATAGTACCACTCGGACACCGGCAAATGGATGGTTAACTCCATCCAGTGTCTTTGGGCCTCGAAATCTCCATGCATTGGAGGCTTGCCTTGACCCAGAAACCCTCCCAAGCCTATGGCTGTTTTTAGGATGATTGAACTCATCACTATGATGTATCTTGCAGCCCATTGATCGGGTGCTTTCTCAAAGTAATGGAGAAGCTCATACACTGGTGATGATTTGAAGATGCTTTGGGATTGCGTTGTGGCTGGGGTCGCAACAAACGGTGTTGTAGGCTTCTTGACTAGCGCCTGCTTGGACTTCTTCTTGCTCTTGGCCATTCTGAAACCGATTGGTGAAGTGACCTCCAAAACTGAATGTGTTTGGTTTTTAGCGAGTCGCAGAAAATCTGATACTGTCGCGTCAAACTTTAGTTAACACGCTACGTGGATGTTATCAATTACTTTGTGAAAAGTAGAGGAAGAGAGCACTGCTCGAAGTATTCTGAGTTTACACTAGAGTTGAATGTACTAAATGCCAACTGGGTGGCTATTTGCACGACTCTATGTTGTTCGCATTTTTCATTTTCACAAAATATTAATTTATTCAAGAGCCCAAGCATAATTTGGAGGCAATAAAGATAAATGTTGATCATAGAATGCTTTGGAGTATATCAAGGCAGTCTCAAGGGCCTAAAGAGCCAATTTTTCAAAAAGAGGTACACAAATCAGTTTCAAAGTCCCAATTTTGAGAAGATAAGGCAACTTGTCCGAGTGGTTAAGGAGAAAGATTAGAAATCTTTTGGGCTTTGCCCGCGCAGGTTCGAATCCTGCAGTTGTCGTCATCTTTTTGATTCTCATCTTATGCCTTTGTTTTTAACCAACCCCTTTGTGTTGGAATTACTTGGCTGAAGCTAATTAAATACCCTTGTAATAAATCAAGTTCCATTTGCTGAAATTACTTCGCTAAATCTACGTACTTAATTCGAAAAATCAGCTCTATTATTCTATTTGTTTGGTCACAAAATATAATGCCTATCTAAGCTCCATATAGCTTCGAAAATTACCCAGTGATTTCTTTAACCCAGTTTTTGTCTCTCAAATAACCAATGTATTCCCTCCATAACGGGTCGGAATTGTACAAGCAATTGGCATCCCCAATCATAATCAAGCCATATTGAGCTCTGGTCAATGCGACATTCAATCTTCTTTCATCCTTCAAAAATCCAATAGTATTTTTAGAGTTAGATCTGACACAAGACATGACAAGGAACTTCTTTTCACGTCCTTGGAAGGCATCAATAGACGCGATCATGATACCTGAAACCAAATGGATAGTTACAGGCTTGGAGTCGTTTCTGATATCATCAATATCAACCTCAATTTCAACGTTCAAACCTTGTGGATTGACAAATTCATCTTGCTGAAGACACTTAGAAATTAAATCACGCTGACCACTGTATGGAGTGATAACTCCAATATCAGTCCTGGCGATATTCTTGTCATAAATCATTGTCTTCAACACTTGAAGTATATGCTTGATTTCACCTCTATTTGTGAAAGTGTATCCTCCATCTTCACGCAATCTGTTGCGGACAGACGATTCTGTACATTGGCCCTTAGTATCTAAGAACTGAACCAGATCTTCAGTCCAGGAATCCAACTTTCTTTGATCTTTAGAAATACCATCCTTAAGTAAACCACCATAAAATCTATTTCTTGGGAACTCACTTATATCTGGATGCATACGGTATTGAATATCCAACATATGGGGATTCTTGTACGTGCTGTTAAGAAGAACTCTTTCAAATAAGGATAGGGATAAGTTTGGAATAAGGGAGAAGCAACTCAATTGTCTTTGATCACCCACAAAAACAAACTTTTCAATACCCTTCATCGACAATGGGATTAACGTTGTTGGTTCTGATGATTGGGTGGCTTCATCCATGATCACAATTGGACATTTGGCAACAGATTTAAATTGGTAACCTCCACTGACAACTGTGGTTGTGAAAATGACTCTAGCTTGTGCCACCAATTGCTTTGTCACTTCAAATTGTTCCTTTAAATAGTTTTTGTGAGCGGTAGCACTAATAGGATTGCCTCTTCTCATATCATCAACCAATTGTTGGAACTTCAAGGGCAAGGCATTGTACGATTTGTGGTGTAAACAAATGGATGCCAAAGGATGCTCCTTGTTATATTCTCTTTCCTTTTCATTGGCAACTATTCTAAGAATGTGATTCTTATGAGTTGGCAATAACTTTTCCGCAATATTATCAATAGCAATATTTGAAGCTGCAACAACTAAAATTGGATAGGTATTCAAAGAGTCCAACAACTGAAGAATAATCTCGAAAATTGTAGAGGTCTTACCAGTTCCAGGGGGACCTTGCAAAACGGTAATTGCATTATTTAACACAGATTGAATAGCAACTTTCTGAGAATCATTCAAAGTGTCCCTGCTAAACTTCAAAAAATTCTTAAAAACAATTTGTTTGATTGGTTCTTTTCCGAGTAACATTTTGATAAAACTAGGGTTGGATAAATTTGTCATAGCCAGGAAAACTCTACTGACAGGAACACTTGCAGGTAAGAACTTTAAGAATTTAACGTTCACATCCTTTGGCAATGGACGATCGTTCCAACCATAAAGTTGAACGATCATCTCATTGAGTTCTGGACCGTTGCTTGCGCTTGAACGACCACGGCCACGGCCACCTCTACCACCTCGGCCACGACCACCACGACCCCTTTTTGATCCACTAGACCTTTCCTTAACTATGTCCAATGTTGCTATATTAGCATACCATGGAATTTCATCGTTCAAAATTAAGAATATGGAGTTACCCACAGCAAATGGTGTCTTTTTCAAAGACCTTAGCTTCTCTGGAATTAATCTTTTGATATTCGGATTAGTAGTGTCAATGGTGATCTTGAACTGTGAGTTTTTCTTATCCTGATCTGCAAACCACTCGATCATTAGATCTTCCGAGTCCAATATATTGCTATCGTTAGTCAATTGTTCTTCTAAGAACAAATTGTAACTCATTTCTCTGAAGTAGGCCTCTATCGATTCGTAAGTCAAAGTAGGGGTATTACGAGGTATAAGGGACTCCTTGGGCTCTTGTTCGGAAGATGCTCCGTTGCTGGAAGGAGATACATCCTTTTTCTGGGATAATTCTTTCTTTTTGGTGTTTTCTTTGGGAGCACTAGATTCCTTTACTTTGTTCCTCGCAGATTTCAGTTCTTTTGCTTCTTTCTTTTGATCGGATTTTGCTTCCTTCAACTCGGTCTGTTTTGGTCCCTTTTTTTTCTTAGCTTCCTTAGTGTCCTTAGCTTGACCATTCTCGTTTGCGGTCTTCGCTCCCTTTTTCCCAGCTTTAGGCTCCTTAACATGTTGATTTGTTGCCTTGGACTTGGATTCTGCATCAGAAGCCTTCTTTGGGTTGGGAACCTTTCTGTCAGTTTTTAATCCAGTCTGTTGTTTTGCTTCACCATTGCTGTTTCCATTATGTTTTCCTCTCAATTCTGGAGTAGAAGATCTTGGGGTATTAACAGCTGAGTTTTGCAACGATGACATAGGAGTATTGACCCTAGACGATTTGTTAGAAGGGTTAGGCGATTGGAACTTGGGTGTAGCCTTAGCTGAACCGCTAGGCGTAGACTTTTTAGAACCTTTGGCACTTGATGCTTTAGATCCAATAATGCTTGAGCCAATAGCTTTTACTGTTGTACCAGACTTGAGGGCAGATGCATTTTGCTTGGTGGCCAAATAATGGGCTTTTCTAGCTTCTTGTTCAGGATCAAATTTTTTTGGTCCCTTTCTACTCTCCTTTCCTGCCTTACCTCCTTTACGTCCCACTGTTCGTTTGCGGCCATGACTTTGTGATTTGGTAGGCACAGCATCCTTCATTCCCAATAATTCGTATAAGAACTTGTCATCCTTTTCGCTCACAAATGAAACTCCTTTCTTTGGATTCTTTTCTAAGCACTGTTTGCAAAAGATAATTTGGCTTGATTTCGAAGGGTTACCCACAAATAAGTTTCTATCCGATTGGCATTCATTGCACTCAATATCTCTGAACCTAAAATAATAACCGATCTTGGAAAAAAATGCACCATTCGACAAAGAATACTGAACAATTGAATCGTCTGTGCTCTTATCTTCCTTGTCGAAACAAGTCTTGCACAATAAGGACATATCAGAAAGTCCGTACCTTATAATGGACAACTGGTGGATATTATTGTCCTCACATTCTTCACACTCAATCACTTCATCGTTGGACTGGACCGATTTGTGTCTTGTGGATGACAAGTGTTTAGGAATTTCGGCTGTATCAAATGTCCCGGTACATGTCACACATGTGAACTCCTCGTACTGAACCATTCTTTACGTAGGAAATTGGGTTATGGTATTTTTGATTTTTAGCTCATCATTTTGCAGACACCTTATCTGGTCGTGCGAAGCCCAGGATTGTTGTAGCACTGAAAGTATATCTTGTTCTATCACAAAATATTTGGCGACTGCAAGAGTAGAAATTGAAAGGAGTAAGGGATTCTGTGTGTGTTATGAAGGTTTATATATTCTAAATAGAATATCCATAAATTTGCGATAGGAAATTAGCTTCATTTTTTCAACAGATTTTGTGATTTGATATTTAGAAGGGATTATTTTTATTACTGTAACGGAGTGAGAACGAGATACGAAGATTACGTATAAGGTTACGTAATAGCAATTAGGTAAGCGGATAAAAAGTGTGTTAATGTGTTATGTGGTATGATACGAGTATCAAGGAAGTATCAGACGAGTATCAAATATGATTAGTAGTTTATTAGCCTTGCGGGGAAAGATAAGCAAGCGGGGCAAGAAGGAAGTATATAAGAAGTACATAGCTCAGTAGTTGAAAGGCCAGGGGGGAATAGAGGATGCTGATAACGAGTTCCCCCCAGAACAGGTCCACAATATAAGTGATTATATAATCAAAGCTACTGTTTAAGCTACTGCCCAGTGGATCTGTTACAATTACACAAATGGAGGGTTGGCCGAGTGGTCTAAGGCGGCAGACTTAAGATCTGCTGGACGTTGTCCGCGCGAGTTCGAACCTCGCATCCTTCATTATTTTTTGCATTCATTGAAATCCTATTTTGGTAGAATTACAACGCTTTCTATCATGAAAAATTACATTATAGGCTAATATTAATCTATTTAATGGACATCAACACTCCCGAGGGTTATCCAATCGTTGACGTCACCCTCACAAAGTACAAGTTTCAAAACCCCTCCATCCCAACCGAGTCCATTATCCACCAAGTATTCCGAGTCACAATTATCAATATTCAAGTAGTCCTGCACTCTGGTTTTGATGGTCCTCCATAAGGCATTGTCTATTGGATGAATATCACTGTAGACCAACGAGAGATGAGGATCATACTCATTTGAAGACCACTCTGCAGCCTTGTGGGTAGCATTGAGTTGAATTGATGACGTATCAAATTGCTTTGGTTCGGGATCATCGCGATGCTTCTTCAGTTTTCTCCTTTTGATGGTATTCCCGTGGCTATCTTTGGTGTATAGGTGAGGGTTCTGTTTAATGTTCTCTTGTTCAATATCACTAGGCAAGATCACGAAAAGCTCCCGGATAATGCGAGCGAAAGAGACCAAGTTGGGATCTCTTGCCACATGGAAGTATAGCTTCTTGAAGAATTTCCGCTGACTATCAATCTTTCCCAAAGTCACTAAATTAGAGTGATTCTTTGGCAAGGAATTGAGTGCTACTGCACTGGCAGATAAGATTCTATCCACATCGTCACGGGCCTGATCGGGATGTTCCAAATCTATCTGTATATTTGTAGTGATGGTGATATGAGGTTCAAATCGTGGTGGTTGGCCTGGAAAGAGGGTGTTCAACGAGGACATCAACGTCCCAAGCTTGTCGTACAATTGGGTATTTTTTTTGGGACATAACCACAATGCAACTCCTAATGCTTGGTTAGTTAGTGAGGACTTTGCCGTGGCCGTGTGCATCGTATACTTACCCATTCTTGATACAGTGTAATGTTAAGGAGACTGGATTATGAGGTGAGTCGCAATTATGTAAGCGCACATCACGGGACCACCGAGACCCTGAATAGAACCAGCTATAAAAGAGGCTAGCCTTGAAGGATCAGCAAATTGTAGACAAGCATCTCTACACCATTAGATACTCGTCTGTAACTCGAATGTCCTAACTCATTTGGTATTTTTTTATTTACTCCATGAGGACTTCTACTCTTACGACTAGTTATTAACTGAATTAGCTGATGACTACGTCTTTAGGTCAGATCCATTTGTATTAAGCCGTAAATCTAGATGATGGCCTTATATTATAAAGTTGGTCTTCAGTACTTGGAAGGAACGATGTCGACGCCTTCAATAGCACTGGTGTCCACGAACCAGGCAACATCAACACCCTTGATCTGGTTCACCAATTTGGATGGCAACTTGCTCGATGGGTCGTTGAAAATATCCTTCAAAATAGCAGCTTTTCCAGCGCCTTCGGCAACGAATGCAATGGAAGTGGCCTTTTCGAGAACAGGGAAAGTGAAGGTGATTCTTCTGGGAGGAGGCTTGGGAGAGTCGCTGATGTAGGCAATTAGCTGGTTTCTTTCGTTCAACAACTGGTGTCCTGGAAACAACGAGCATGTGTGGCCGTCAGGTCCGCATCCCAACAACACCAAATCGAGCTTGACGTCTTTTGGCAACTTTGCCTCGTAGTCCTTGGCGATCTCAGCATCCTTGGCAGCATCAGCCCCGGAAACTTGTCCATCTTGTCCAGTCAACAAGTCGGTGTTAATGGTGTTGACCTTTGGTTTTGGAGTACCGGCTGGCAAGTTGGCCAATACCAATTCGTTGAACAAGCCATAGTTTGAGTCTGGGTGGTCCAAAGGAACCAATCTCTCGTCGCTGAAATAAACCTCCCATTGGTCCCACTTCACTTGTTGAGCAATTTCTGGGTTATCAATCAATGCCTTCTTCAACACTTTGCCCAAAGAGCCTCCAGACAAAGCGATCTTAAAGGTGGAACCACGCTTCAAAGAGGCGTTTTGGAGGGCCAACACATGACTTCCCACGGAATTGGCAACGTCTGTGGATTCGGAGTAGGCGTACACGGATGGCATGGTGATAAAGTATAGGTGGAGTGAATGGTTATAGATCGCAATTATCCTGATTTTTGTGCAGGTTGAGCAAACCGTGAGCCACCAGTTAGACCAGCATTGCACGAATACATTGCAGTATCCAGACTTCTTGCACAGCCAATGGACGTCTGTGAATGGGTCCAACGATGACCTATTCCTGAGTTTGTTCAGTAATGCTTTGAGGGAGCTTCCCCAGAAATGTTGCAGATGAGATCATTTTCTGTGGACGCTAACAGTCTGGAATACTCCGATTTAATATTGCATTGAGAAGACTACATCCATAATGATTTATTTTAATGGAAGCCACACCTATGTTCTCTCCTTTAGAGATTAGTTATCTTATAATACTTAATACTTCAAAAGAAGAGCACGTGGTAAGCTCTTCTTTCCCAATGCTACACTACAGGTTTTCTTCATGCTACGCTCAGACTTGATCTACTCATTATGTCGTCTATTAATACAGAGCTAACATTCTTATTCCCAGAATAGTGAATGCTCATTCGAGATGGTGAGAGTATTCTGCACTCTCCTTAATCTTGTTGTTGAAGAACTTCTCCAATTTGTTTGCATGCTTATAATATGTGGTGGTCTCACTGTTATAAGACCGACAATTGTTGAAAATAAGCCTAGCATCGTACAAGAATTGATCGAAAGTTTCATATTTGTTGTTCTCCAACTTCAGTTCCATCGTAGATAAATCCATGGGCTCCTTGATGACCTCGTAGTAGTCTGCCACCTCTTCCTTATTGACAGGAACCGCAAATGGCCAGGCCGAAGCATGACTACTCAACTCTGAAAACAACGTCACCATGAAGTTATAGTGGGGACCCCTCTTTGGTTTCTGTGCCAATTTGTCCATCTCATCCAGCCAGCCACTTTCCACGAGCCCTGGGATATCACTTGGGTCGAGCTTGACGTTCTTGCTTGTCTTGAATATCTGTAATCCTGGTCTGACCACATGTGATTTGGATCTTTGTTTGATCTTCTTCTCAATTGCTGCTTTTTGAAGTAGAAGAATCTTACCCGAATCAAGATACCTTAAGATTGACGGCAACATCGAACACTCCATTAGGGTACCACCCTCGTAATCCTTGATGTATCCCATCCATACGGACTTATCCAAGGAAATTTCTTTGGTGAATCCTTGCTTTTTGAAATACCCGATGGCGTAGTTATCAGCATACGTCAAAAAGTACTTGATAGGCGATGTTGCTCTGACGTAGTCTTTCAAATGATTCATCAAATGTGCACCGTAACCACGCACTTGCTCGGTGGATGAGATGGCACAGAAGACAATCTCGGCAAACTCTCTGTTGTTGAATGGTCTATATGTGATTCCTCCGACCACAGTCAACGGCTTTCTCACCACAGCCATGGACAAGTGTGATCTATCGTACACTAATCTGGAAATATACTCTCGGGGCATTTTGGGCAATTGCTTCTGGAAAATGTTCTTCAACCCCGTCAACACAATCAAGTTTTCCCTAGTATTGTCGTTATTGACCACTCTGAACTCGATTTTGCCATCTTTTTCCTCGATCACAGACGGTCTTTCTTTGAACGAGTAGGTGACACCATCAAAGTTGAAATTGGTGATGCGTTTGCGCTCCTCCTCTGCCTCGTCTTCTTCGTCGTTGTCTTCCTCATCCTCTTCGTCGTTCTCTTCGGTCTTAGCTTCGTCTTTTGGTTCTGCAGTCCCGTTCTCGTCGTCCTCTTCCTCATCATCGTCGTCGTCGTCGTCGTCTTCATCCTCTTCATCTTTGACTTCAACCTTCACCTTCTTGTTCAATGGAACGTCATCATCATCCTCATCCTCCGACTTAACGACTGCTGTTCTTTTTCTATCCACCATTATGATGTCACCAGTGATATAGAAACAAACACCTATCGGTGGAGAGCGAGTGTCCTGTATAGTGGAAAGTGGCCACCTGCACACAGCCCCATGCCATCAACCTGCGGCCTGCACATAGGCCCGATGAGTAAGATTTTCCAAGTATCATACTTTTACACCAGACTTTGCCATCAGCTTTTCTACCTAATGTCAAACTATACCCAGTTAAGCGCCACTCATGACCACCAGCATGGTGGTCCAGCCACCGTCTTGTGTTGCAACTGTGGTGTGCCCATGGATGGGTCCGCCGGAATGGTGATGTGTTACGACTGTATCAAGTTAACGGTGGATATCACCGAAGGTATCCCCAGAGAAGCCAACATCTCGTTCTGCAGAAACTGTGAGCGTTTCTTACAACCCCCAACCCAGTGGATCCGGGCCGAGTTGGAATCCAGAGAACTTTTGGCCTTGTGTTTGAGAAAATTGAAGGGGTTGAGCAAAGTCAGATTGATCGATGCTTCGTTTATCTGGACAGAGCCTCACTCTCGTCGTATCAGAATCAAGTTGACTGTCCAGGGTGAAGCCATGACCAACACCATTGTCCAGCAAAGTTTTGAGGTCGAATACGTGGTTGTTGCCATGCAATGTCCCGACTGTGCCAAATCGTACACCACCAACACATGGAGAGCCGCGGTTCAAATAAGACAAAAGGTTGCCCACAAGAGAACCTTCTTATATCTTGAACAATTGATTTTGAAGCATAATGCACATGTCGACACCATCTCGATCAAGGAAGCCAAGGACGGTTTGGACTTCTACTATGCCCAAAGAAACCACGCCGCCAAGATGGTCGATTTCTTATCTGCAGTGGTCCCATTGAAGAACAAAAAGTCGGAAGAATTAGTCAGTACCGATATCCATGCTGGTTCCTCCTCATACAAGTTTACATTCTCCATCGAAATAGCCCCAATATGCAGAGACAACCTTGTGGTGTTGCCCAAGAAGTTGGCCAACTCCATGGGTAACATCCCCCAATTGGTGTTGTGTTCCAAGATCTCCAACATGATACAGTTTCTCGATGTCAACACCTTGAAAACCGCCGATATATCTGCATCCGTGTACTGGAGAAGTCCATTCCCTGCATTGTTGGACGTCACCCAGTTGGTAGAGTTCGTCGTCTTGGACGTTGAGCCCACTGGTGATGTCAGAGGTAAGCATGTGTTGGCTGATGTCGAGGTGTGCCGTGCCGTGGACATGGGAGTCAACGACCACTCGTTCTACGTCAGATCGCACTTGGGTGCGATTTTGCACCCAGGTGATTCGTGTTTGGGATACTACTTGTCCAACGCCAACTTCAATTCCGACTTGTGGGACACCTTGGACTCCGGCAATACCCCCGAGGTTGTGTTGGTCAAGAAGCACTACGCCAGAAAGTCCAAGAAGTCCAAGAACAGACAATGGAAGTTGAAGAGAATGGCCAAGGAACACAACGACATCATTGCCAACGACGACTCAAGACAAGCCAGACAGGAACAAGAACGTGCCGAGAGAGACTACGAATTGTTCTTACAAGAATTGGAAGAAGACGAAGAATTGAGACAGACCGTCAACTTGTACAAGCACGGTGAAGGTCCAAAGGCTGTTGAGGAGGACGATATCGACGAGGACGAAGATGCGCCTGAGATTGCCATCGACGAGTTGTTGGACGAGTTGGACGAGATGAACTTGGAGGACACCCCAATGGCGGAGGAGTAAGTTGTATAGTAATAGAGGTCACCAAAGTGAATGGCCGGTGCGAGCCACTGCGAAGTATTGTAGAAATGAGTAATAGGCGTTACTGCCAGTGATTAGGGCGTTGGTGCGTAGCGCAGTACCAGAGTAGGGAGTGATTTAGTGACAGTAGTCCCAGCCCCTCCCCTCCCGTGGTACTGCCGCACTACGGTGGCACGGTGGCGGACCTGCGCGGGAGCTGATTTCCCTGCAGAACGGTCTTATCGCACAATTTGGGTCAGTATCTATTTGGCTCTGACAACCACACCTTCACACTTGCAATGGCTACCAATCTTGAAACAGCCAAACCACAGAAGTTCACCCCGTTGAGCTCGTTCGTGGAGTCGTCGTTCTTCACCAAACTCTCCCAGTTGAAATTGGATGAGTTCAAGCTTGACGCCTCCAAACGTACCCTCAACGGGTTCACCATCCACCCCACGAAGTTGAACAAGTTCAATGACGTTCCATTGATCAACTTGGACCATGAGAGCTTTTCTGGCACTTCGCAGGATAACGCCAATGTCGTGCTTGAGGGCCTAATTTATAACGTAAACACCATCGAAGAGTTCAAACTGATCGATAAGCAGGCCCTCTTAAGGGAATGGGGTGAAGCCACCCACGCTTCAATGTTCGAGAATACTAGCTTGGACTACAGGAAGTTCAACCAATTCTACGTGTTGAGCTTCTCAGACTTGAAGAAGTATAAATTCTACTACTGGGTGGCGTATCCTACCTTCAGCTCCAAATGGACAGCTACCCGTCAGAACACTGCAAAGGAAGAGTATATCAGGTTGGTTGAAAGCCACATTGCATCAGAGCCATACACTCAGATGTTGCAACTAATTGAGGGCGAATTGGTATCCAACATCTCCAAAAAGTCCAGTCACTTCGTATTCATTGATACTTGCTTGAGCAAGGACAAAATCCCAGGTATCCAGCTCAAGAACTACTTGTTTTTCCTTGGTCATCATGGCTTCCAGGAAGTGGATGTTCTAGTCTACAGAAACGATGGTTCTTCTTTTGAAGTTCATTTGCAAGTGGGTGAGCCTATAACTAACAACTACAAAGTCACAGGATGGGAAAGAACTGGCCAAGGTAAGTTAGGACCCAAGTTGGCCGATTTAGGATTATTGATTGATCCAACTCAGTTGGCAGAACAAGCTGTGGAACTCAACTTGAAGTTAATGAAGTGGAGAATCGCTCCTGAATTGGATCTTGAAATTATCAAAAATCAGAAGGTACTATTGTTGGGTGCAGGCACCCTTGGTAGTTATGTGGCCAGAGCCTTGATGGGTTGGGGAGTAAGACAGATTACTTTCGTGGATAACGGGCGAATCTCTTACTCGAATCCCGTCAGGCAGCCATTATTCAGCTTCAACGATTGTTTCAGTGATAATGGGCAAGGTCAGTACAAAGCAATCAGAGCTGCTGAAGCTCTAAAAGAGATTTTTCCGGGTGTTAAAGCTCGAGGTGTCAATCTTGAAGTCCCAATGATTGGTCACTCAGTGACAGATGAAACTAAAGATAAGAGCAATTTTGATACGCTCTCCAGTCTATTTGATGAACATGATGCGGTCTTCTTACTCATGGACTCCAGGGAGTCTAGATGGCTTCCTACAGTGCTTGGTAATGCAAAAGATAAAATTGTTCTCAACGCCGCATTAGGTTTCGACAGCTATTTGGTGATGAGACATGGTAACCAGACCCAAAAATTGGGTTGTTATTACTGCAATGATGTGGTTGCTCCAAATGACAGTTTGAGTGATCGAACCTTGGATCAAATGTGTACGGTGACCAGACCAGGAGGGGCATTGATTGCATCTTCCTTGGCTGTCGAGTTATTCGTTTCGATTCTTCAACATGAAGACAAACAAAATGCGGAGCACTTGTCTAAATCTAAGTTTGGAGAAGTACCTCATCAAATCCGCGGATTCTTGAATAACTTCCAGCAACACAAACTATTTGCTCCCAGCTACAAGTATTGTTCGGCATGTTCGAGTCAAGTGACTCAAAAATATCAAGAAGATGGATGGGACTTTGTCAAGAAATGTCTCAACGACACATCGTATCTCGAAGAAATATGCGGGTTAACAAAAGTACAAGAGGAAGCTGATCTTGCATCCGAAGATCTCTTGAAGGACTTAGAAATAGATGACGAAGATGAAGAATGGTTATCATAATATCGCGGGTTGCGACACGAATACTAATAGTTAGAAACTAAAAATTTACAAATTCATCGTCACCGATTTAGAGCAATTTTGGAACGCCAATTAAGCACCAAGAACGTCCTGATCAATCCACACACTCCAAGCTGATCCTCTGTAACTGTAGATTCATCGCATCACGTGACTTTCATCGCGGTACGCGTTTATCAACAAACATAACCGTATCCAATGTGCACTACAAGTCCCATCTCCTTCCCCATAAACACTCGACCGTATTCCTGCCAGTACGCTTGACTGAACCTGAGCACCATGAATAGCATCATTTCATCAATAGACCCTGGAGAGTCACACACAGTTGTTCTTTCTGATCATCCCTCTCTCATTCGCTCCTGTATCAATAATAACACCAAGAGACCAAACAGAATACGGCCATACCCATTGAGTGATGTGAACGACCTCAAAATACAACAGGGACTCATTATCAAGGATTTATTGTTTGCCTGTTTGGGGTTCGAAGGGTGTTACATCCGTTACAGTGAACGATATGACGGTACAAACAATGATTCAAAAGTCAGAGGGCCAGACTTCAAGATAGCTAAGCATCTCGATATCAGTTTGAAGAGCATAACCAAGAAGTTGATCAGATTTGGCAAGTTCTACTCGGGTTTGAAAGGATTTGTGGAAATCTATGATCACAACCAGTATGGCACAGTCATTCAAAATTTGTGCAACCAAATAACTCAATTCTTAAAGGCATTCCAAGCAATCATAATATCAATAGAGCAGGAGTTTAAATTCAATGCAACATTCAATTTGAATTTGTTCGAAAGCATGATCAATCAGGTTGTGGACCAAATCACCCATTTGTACGAGATTTCCATTCAAATCCACGATCTTACCGTTGAAAGACAAACAGCACCTAAAACCAGCCAATTCCAGGACTTTTTGTCTAATGTAACGACCAGCTTGAAAAAATCAGGAATTGTGGATATCAACGTCAACGGTGAGAGATTCGACTCATGCAAAGGAGGTTTGGTATTGAGGATTATTCAACAAAGAATAAATGTATACAAGGGAGACTTTAAATCATCGGAATTTTTAACATCCTTGTTTGAAAGTGTGAGTAAGGATTATCTTGTCATGCTCAATGAATGGTTGATTAATGGGGACATAAATGATACGGCAGATGAGTTTTTGATCCGCGAAAAGCAAGTACCACCTAGGTTCCTTGAAATTATCAATAGCAAAAGTGAACATTACTGGAATGAATTGTTCATAATAAGAACTGACGGTTTGATAGATCAGTTTTCTAGCATTGAAATCCAAAGGAAAATACTAAACACAGGAAAATATCTCAATATATTCAGAGCTTGTACAGGTATAACCAATTTTCAAAGTCTTCACGAATCCATTCTGCCAATAGACAAGATAATATCGAAAGATTTAGAACTAAAGATCAATGAGTTCTACAATAGATCGAATAAACTTTTGATGAAATTGTTATTTGAAGGGTTTGGTTTAAGAAATGTGATACGAGACTACCAGTCACTATTCCTCTTTGATGATTCTTACAAAATTGACAAATTTCTAGACAAGACGTTTTATGATTTGAAGAGAAATAGATATGCTGTATCTTTATCAAAAGTTCAAAAGCAATACAGAGATATTTCTTGTTCTGTGAAGAATAACTCGTCTCATACCAATTCCCTCCATGAATTCCTATTGAATAGCCAAGTATTTTCTGTCACTACAACCAATTTCTACCAGGTAGCGAAGGAAATTATGAATGTTCAATCATTTGATGAACAGATCTTCCAACAATCGAACTTCCAGAATATATTTCAAAATATCAACCCTCAAGCTACAGCACAACCATCATCTCAGGACAACCAGAGCAATTTTGATCAGAATCATTCTGATGAATACGCTATAAGTAGCGTTGATCTCACCATAAATCTTCCCTTTCCATTAAATCTCATTATCAACAGAGAACTTTCCTACCACTATGAATTAATGTTTAAATTACAAATAATGATCAAGTTTCTTGATAAATTTAATATCATAACATGGCAAAATATCAATCAATCCTCAGTATGGAAATATTCGGGATTTGAACCTAGAATAAAAAAATGGATTCTTAGATGCCGTATTCTTCACAAGCGGATACTGGATTTTTTAAATGAATTACAAAGTTATTTGAACTACGAGGTGATAGATTCAAACTATAAAAAATTGTCCGGTTATTTTGAGAAGGTGGATATCCAGTTATCCAACTCTGAGTTAGGTTCAGTAATCACTAGTACAGATAGCAGAGCCATACATGGGAATCCCTCTCTAAACAACTACAATAATAACAATGCAAACTTGTTTGAAAGCAAGATATTGTCCCATGAAAATAAGAGAAAGAACTTTTATAATCAAGAAACTCACAATCATGTGTCTATTGAAGATCTTATGAATAATTTAAATGGCTATCTTAATGCTCTAATCAATGATTCATTAATAACCAAAGAGGAATTGTTGGACAATCTTAAGCATTTTTTCGACTTGATTATTCTGTATAATCATTATTTGAACCGATTGAAAAAGATATTAATCTTGTGCAACGAGCAATTGTTTGAGAGATTTGCATCAGATTTCCCTGATAAATTCACCGAAAAGTCTGTGGACCCCAAATCGATTGATGTAAGATTTGAAAACTTGAATGGCTCCTTGAAAGATTATTATGACAATTTTGGTGACTCGCTTACTCAATTTATTGTTGGTTTGAGGAGGTATGGAGAAGTTGAAAATAAACTGATCCTAGCCTTGAGCGAGAGATTGGAAAGATGCTTTCCTGAAAGCTGATTGATAATTTCCTTCGTCTGAAAAGCTGACTGGTCACCCAGACTTACCAACATTTGCATTATTACAACTATATCCCGTCTAATGGACGCATACTGCTGCATTCGTTTGACATGTACTATTACGCTACCTAGTATATAATAATCTAAGAAGTTTCTTCATCGACTTGTTGTTCATTCAAAGTCTTGATAATTTCATCGGTCTTTTCGTCGCTGTAAATTTGGAATCCTCCATCCTTTGTAACACTGGCCAATTGTGCGTTCTTGCAATCCAACTTCTCTTCCATAACTTGTTTCAATATCTTTAATGCTAACAACTCTGCTTCTTTCAAAGTCAAGGACTTGTGGTATTCATTTTGTAACTCTGCTTGGGCCCCTTCGGATCCAGATCCAATAGCCTTAGCGTCGTATCTGTAAAAGGTCCCAGAGGGTTCTGCGTGGTACAATTGAGGGCCCTTGTCTTTGTCGACACCGGCAATCAACAAGGCAACACCGAAAGGTCTGGACATGAGTCTCTTTTCTCCACCAGCCCCCTCTCCGAACCTCAACGCCAAGTCACACACTGACTGAGTCAAACTTTCCACCTGGATCTCTTCGTCGTAGTATAAATTGTGGGTCAATGAAGATACTCTGGCGTGGTCAATCATGGATCTAGCATCGGCAGTCAACCCGGACATGGCACATCCGATATGGGTGTCGATCTCCACGATCTTCTCGATGGAGGTGTGTTCCAACAACGACGATGTCACTCTCTTTTCGACTCCCAAAATCACTCCTTCACTGGTGGAGATTCCGATAGCGGTGGATCCCAATTTGATGGCTTCGAGGGAGTATTCGACTTGGAACAATCTTCCTTCTGGCGAGAAAGTACTCACACCACGGTCATATTCACTTCTTGTCAAGAACATGTTGATAGGCTGTGATTGGTGGGTCAATTGTGTGTATGGTGGAACTGTCTTGTAGGTGGCACTGAATTTTGTTTGGTCGAGTGAGTGGCAACTCCGTTTTGTGGCACGCGGACTAGGTTGGAGAGGTCAAAAAGTGAGAATGAATGTGAAATGTTTAGTCGATTATGAATTGGTTTTCAGGACAGTGTTGGGGCTACGACGGGTGTGTGGCATAGTGTGGCCGTTTTGTGGTCTTCCTGGAAGCCTTTCGAGTCTCAAGGTATAATTTAGATTTAACTACCCAACGAGGTGAGCACACTAATATTAATAGGCACGCCAGTAATGAGTTCAGGAGGGGATTTCCAGCAAAAGTACAAGCTCCTGTGAAGAGTTCACCCCATCAATTAGACTGTAGAAAGGCAGGCATGTAGTTTATTGCCAGTGAAGAAGATCACATGGAATCAGCAGCACATGGTAGCTCACCATCTTGGTCTCATCGTCTTTCTCGTTACAAAAATAGCGGGTCATCCGCTGTAACGATGTCTTCAGGTGTGGGTGGCATTCCGCCAACAAGTCATGAATTTGGGTCATGTTCAAAAGGTCAAAGTATAGGTTTTCAATTATGGTCAGCAATTTCGCCATGATGCAATTACTCGACTTATCTTCTTTCCCTATCCAGCGTACTAACAATGCTCTACACTCTTCTCAACACTCAATATAGATTTCTATACTAACCTATTTAGTTCTTTGGGCACAATTCCACAATCTTCTCGGCAGCTGGGTCCAAGTCTTCGAAGGCAAACAACTTCAAACCAGAGTTGTCAATCAATTCCTTGGCCTTGGCCATGTTGGTACCTTGCAATCTGACGACAACTGGGATGTCCAACTTGAAGTTCTTGGTGGCAGCAATCAAACCTTCAGCGACGTAGTCACATCTGACGATACCACCGAAAATGTTAACGAAAATACCGTTGACCTTCTTGTCAGACAAGATCAATTCGAAAGCCTTTTCAATGGTTTGTGGGGTGGCAGTACCACCACAGTCCAAGAAGTTGGCTGGCTCACCACCGTATAACTTGATGATATCCATGGTGGCCATGGCCAAACCAGCACCGTTGACAATGTTGGCGATGTTACCGTCCAACTTGATGAAGTTCAAGCCGTATTCAGCAGCTTCAACTTCTTGTGGGTCTTCTTGGGTGGTGTCTCTCCAAGAGAAAACTTCCTTTTGACGGAAAGAAGCGTTGTCATCGAAACCTAACTTGGCATCCATGGCTAAGACCTTGTGGTCTGGGGTTTCAGACAATGGGTTGATTTCAACTTGGGTACAGTCACGTTCGGTGAAAACCTTGTATAAGTTTTGGATGGTCTTGGCAGCTTCTGGGATAGCAGCGTCGGTGTAGCCCAAGACGGAGGCGACTTCGGTGGCCAAAGCATCGGTAACACCTTCTTCCAAAGGAACTGGGAAGGTCTTGATAGCATCTGGGGTTTCAGCGGCAACACCTTCGATATCCATACCACCTTGGGAGGAAGCGACGATGATTGGCAATTGGGTGGATCTGTCCATCAAGATAGCGACGTAGGCTTCGGTTCTGGCGTCCTTTCTTTCGACGACGTAGACGGCAGTGACTTCCTTACCAGCAGCACCGGTTTGCTTGGTGATGATCTTGTGACCCAACATTTGGCCAGCCAAGTCCTTAGCTTCTTCAGCAGAAGAGATCAACTTGACACCACCTTGCAAGCCGGAGTCGAAGTGACCCTTACCACGACCACCAGTCAAGGCTTGGGCCTTGATGACCAATTCGTTGGTACCCAACGACTTGGCAATGTCGTAAGCGCCTTGGGCGGTGGTGGCAGCGTCACCGTTAGGGACACCGACACCGTAAGACTTTAAAAGAGCAGCAGAACGGTATTCATGTAAAGACAAGAATCTCTTCTGTTGAGTAACAGACTAGATGTTAGTATAGGGTCAGGAGATCTGGATCCACGATCCGTGCCAACCGCAATTGCTGGCGTCAACTGGGCAAAACGCCCACACTGCCACTCTAACACCACCCTGGGCCTGTTCAGGACAAGCTGGTCGTTTCCTGCTGGTATTTCCAGCTCGTCGTGCCGCAACTCGGCTAGTGTTTGGCGTGTTGGTGGATCTAGCAACATTCGTGGGGTGTTGTTTGTGGAATCAATTCAGGATTTCTGGCGTGCTCCATCACGCCAAATGCACCACACGTACTCTTGAAGCTCTGGCAATGGTTCTAGACAACATGATGTGACAATTATCGTTTTAGACAAGTATTGAAGAAAACTCAACAGGTGTGTAGAGCTGTCCGTATCGAAAAAATTTACCACGGGGACGCTAGTGCGGCAGGGATGTTTCGCAGTGGGGAGGAGTGCCGGGTAGTGTCGGGGAGCCGGGGCCCGCGAGCGGTTCCGAGAAGTGCCGGGGGGTGCTGGGCTGAGGGGAAGCCCCCAGTACCGAGTGGAGGTTGGAGGTCGAGATCCTGGCTGGCCCCCAGGCTGCCAGGAAGGCTGATAGGTAGGACCTGACGGTGTTTATGACACGTTATTGACGGGCGCACGACGCAGGTGTCAAATTCCTCTGGGTGCCTGATTATCGCGTGCCTGGACGCACGTGCCCAGCCATCGCATTCTTGACAATTTTTGGGGCCCATCTACCTCCCCAACATGTCCAGAACCACCTCCGCCAGACGGCTGCACGACGACAGCGATGACGAGTACTCCACACTCTCGTTCGGTGCCTTGAATGCGGCGCAAGAAAAGTTGAAGCACCAGCAGGACCAATCAGACTCGGAATCTGAGTCGGAGTCCGACTCGGACTCCGATGCTCCTCCCAGGCAGAGCTCGTCCAAGAAGAGATTCACAAAGACCCCAAAGAAGAACAAGCATGCACCCACCGAGTCGTCATCCAAACGTCCGGTGTCGCGTATAAGAGACATTCCTGGCTTGGAAACCAAAAGCACCTTGCATACAGATATCAGATTCGACCCAGCATATGGTAAGGCCGACTTGGCCAAAACCCGTAAAGACTATGCATTCTTGGACGAATACAGACATAAGGAGGTCGAATCTATGCAAGCCATTTTGAAAGACAAGAAATCCCAGAGATTACTATCGAACCACGAGAGAGACGACATCCAGTTACGGTTGCAATCTTTGAAGTCACGTTTGGACACCATGAAGAACCGAGACTTGGAGGCTAAGATCTTGGCCGACCACAAGAGACTGCAGTTGAAGGGCTTCAAGGACGGCAATCAAAGCAAACCATACTTCTTGAAGAAGAGCGAGCAACGGAAGTTGATCCAAAAGGCCAAGTTCGAAGGCATGAAGGCATCTCAAAGAGAGAAGGTCATGGAGAGAAAGAGAAAGAGAAGATTGGGTAAGGAATTCAGGCAATTGGAATTCAGAGGTAATTAGGATAGTCCACATAGTAATAGTCTACGATTGATGAATAATAAACTTGATTCAGCATGTCCACGTAGGAGTAATAATCTGCCAAATCTAGATCTATTCATCTTGCTAAAATCTACGTAATTAATTCCCTTGGTCTACTGAGCATGACTCCTAGTATCTACTCAGGAGTACCCTCCTCTACGAGTTGCATTGAGTATCAAAAGATCTTTCTTATTAAACGTACATTAGACTACCATGTAGCCGGCAGAACACAGATCTAGAAGTATTTACATTAAACAGAGGAACTCGTCTATTGAGACTTGTTTTCGTGCTCCACCCAGTCTTCCCATGATCCGATGTAGTTACCTCTCTTGTTGTAGCCGAAGGTGGCGGCCAACTCCTCGGCAGCAGCCGATCTGACGCCTCCCAAGCAGTAGAACACCAATTCCTTGTCGTCGGTGGGCTTAGCGAAGCCAAAGTGTTCTTGGAACTCTTCTTCAGACAAGTCCAATGCACCAGGAGATGATTTGAAGGGGACGTTAATGGCACCAGGGATGTGGCCGTCCAAGAACTCGACTGGTTCTCTCACGTCGACCAACACGGTATTGGGGAATTTGTCGGGGGAGCTGGCAATCTGCTTGACTTCGTCATACTTGTAAATCTTAGCGTCTGGGGTGGCAGTCAAGACACTATAGCCACGGAAAGAGGTAGCTCTGGCGCTGGTCAATCTGGGCAACGCAGCAGGCGATTGTATGGCGTTCTTCCATACCGATTGGCTGGTGAGTCTTATCGAGGCCAATCTTGCCCCCGTGGAGAGAGATCTGACACAAGGTCTCAAATTTCTGATGCTGTACATGGCGATGCAGGTATGGGGTGGGATTGCAACTCTAGAGGCGTTGATGGGGTCCCTGGATGGTAATTGTGGGTAGAAGTGGTGGTGTGTAGTACCTTTGACCCTGATACTTTTTCGTTTTTCCAATAATTTTTGCTAGGGATTGGCCAGGGAGCGGCTGCGTAAAACGGTGAAGGATGGTTCCCGGATAGTGAGAGTAGCAGGACAGACAGTGCCACGACGCGGGTTTTTAGCACGGTAATCTAGGGTGAGGTGGGTGGTACGGACGAGCGGGCCAGACACTGGTGGTGGTGGTGGTCCAGGGGCGGGCTAGGGGAGGGCCGGCGGCTGGAATGCTCGGACGCCAAGCTCCCTACTCTCCCGGGGCCAGTGCGAGAATGGTGAGTACAGGGAGAGAGCAAGAATAGAGAGACTAATGGCGGTAGTAAGGGAAGCGATAGCGTAGAAGAAGATTAGAAATGGTGGCGGTGGTGTCCGCTGGGACTCGTAAAAGGAGGTGATACACTAGAGTGTCGTACTGGGGATACAGCACTTAGCGACAATTGGCTCTCTGGTCCCACTGATGACTCAGTGCTCGTTCGCGCTACGGAATTGCCACCACCGTGGGGTGGTGCGGTGGTAGAAAGAACAGCGACTGCTGGCACTAGAGGCTCGCTATTTGCTACCAGCATCTGTAAAACGTTGGCTCTCACACATAGGGCCACTGGCGTTGCCATGAGAATGCTCATGGCCTGACCCGATTTTACAAACCGTGGCCTGTTAGTGATTTGTATCATAGGCTCAGTGCCCGGGCCTACAGTTTCGATTGCAAAATGTAAATTACGGTTGAACTAAATACTGAGAAGAAATATCGTGAATCATTAGTGTTGAACTTTTTAAACGAATCAGAATAAACCGTCGATTTCACCGTCCTTGTTGACCTCCACGTTCATGAAACCACAGTGGGTAGGCAAGCCAGGAATGGTCTGGATCTCGGCGGCCAACGCGTACAAGTAGCCGGCTCCGATCGACGCCCGCACGTCTCTGATAGGGAACTTGAATCCGGTTGGAACACCCTTGAGTGCAGCATCATGCGACAACGAGTACTGGGTCTTGGCAATACAGATAGGCAAGTTGCCGAAACCCTGCTTGGTGTATGTGTCGATCTTCTTTTGGGCCTCTGGAGAAAATTCAACCTCGCCAGCACCGTACATCTCTCTAGCAATGGTGGCAATCTTCTCCTCCACAGATGGGGCAGTGTCGTACAAGAACTTGAAGTGCTTATCGTCGGAGTTGGCGGCTTCAATGACTCCTCTGGCCAAGTCAACCGCACCCAAACCACCTTCTTCCCAATGGTTGGAAACAATGGCATCAGCAGCACCGGCCTTCAATGCCTCTTCTCTGATGACGTCGTGCTCTCTATCGGTATCGGAAGACATCTTGTTGATGGCCACAACAACGGGCAAACCGTATGACTTGGCGTTAGAAATGTGTTTGGCCAAGTTGGCACAGCCAGCACGCAAGAACTCGACGTTCTCTTGAGTGTATTCTGCGGCCAATGGTGCACCGGCCTTGACTTCGGCACCACCACCGTGGACCTTCAATGCACGCACAGTGGCAACAATGACAATCACATCAGGAACCAAGCCCGAGGAACGACACTTAATGTTGATGAATCTTTCACCACCCATGGTAAAATCGAAACCGGCTTCGGTCACGACGTATCCCTCTTGCTCCTTTCTTTCTTCTTCAGACAAGTCAGGAGAAGTACCTGCCAACTTCAATGCCATCTTATCGGCCAAAATGGAGGAGGCACCAATGGAGATGTTGGCAAATGGACCAGCGTGAACAAACACTGGAGTACCCTCTAAGGTTTGCATGATGTTAGGCTTGATGGCGTCCTTCAATAAAGCAGTCAAGGCACCAGCACAACCAATGTCTTCGGCAGTGATTGGAACACCGGCCTTTGAAGAAGCAATGACCATGTTACCCAATCTTTCTCTCATGTCTTCCAAGGAGTTGGCCAAGGCTAAGATGGCCATACACTCGGAAGCAACAGTGATGTCGAAACCGGTCTTTCTGGTGAATCCCTTCTCGGTGGCAGCTTCACCAACAGTGATACCTCTCAAGAATCTGTCGTTACAGTCCACAACTCTTCTCCAGGTGATGGTTTCTGGATCAATGTCCAATCTGGCGAATTGAGTAATTTCTTCTGGGGTCAAGCTATCTGGATCGGTCTTGTTGATTCCCAACTTGGCCAATCTTCTCAACATGGATGGGGAGAAGCTTCTGGTTCCCTTCTTGGCTGGAACCAATCTCTTGTACAAAGGACCGTCCTTTTGGGTGCTTTCGTGGAACATTCTGGTGTCGATGGCAGCAGCCAACAAGTTGTTGGCCATGGTGATGGCATGAATATCACCAGTAACGTGCATGTTGAATTCGTCCATAGGGATAACTTGGGAGTAACCACCACCGGCAGCACCACCCTTGATACCGAAGGTTGGACCCATAGAAGGCTGTCTGACGTTGGCGAAGACGTTCTTGTTCAAATGGGCACCCAAAGCTTGGGCCAATCCAACAGTGGTGGTGGACTTACCTTCACCCAAAGGAGTAGGTGTGATACCGGTGACCAAGACGTACTTACCGTTCTTCTTGTTCTTCAATCTTTCCAAAAGATGCAAACCAACCTTGGCCTTGTACGAACCAAACAATTCTAATTCACTGTCTAAAATACCAGATTCATAAGCGACTTGATCGATCTTTTTTGGTTGTTGGGCTCTGGAGATTTCGAAATCGGATGGGACTGGCTTGACCAAGTTCAATTTCAAAGGGTTGGTGAACTTTGGGGTAGCGTTGTTCTTGACGTGGTGCTTCTTTGCGGCAATGACCACGTTTTCCAATAAGCTGGCGACGGTCATAGGACCCACACCACCTGGGACTGGGGTGATTAATGCGGCCTTAGTGCTAGCAGATTCGAAGTCGATATCACCAACCATTCTGGAGCCGCTCTTCTTGGTGGCATCGTCGACAAAGTTGGTACCCACGTCAATCACGACGGAGCCTTCTTTCAACCATTCGCCCTTGACAAAGGCTGGCTGGCCAATGGCAGCCACCACGATGTCGGCTTGGCTCAAGAACAACTCAAGTTGGGCCTGGGGGGTCTTGGAGTGAAGAGTGGTGACGGTGGCATTGGCCTTGGTCAACAAGCTGGCAACTGGCTTACCCACAATGTCGGATCTTCCCAAGACAACGGCGTTAGCACCGTCGATTTGGACGTTGTATCTCGCCAACAATTCCATGATCCCCTTTGGAGTACACGGCAAGAAGGTTGGTTCACCGTTCTTTTTGGACAACTCGCCCACGTTGAAGGGTCCGAAGCCGTCGACGTCCTTATCAGGCAACACTGCGGATGTGACCTTGGCCTCGTCGATGTGGGCAGGTAAAGGCAATTGCACCAAAATACCGTCCACGTCCACGGACTCGTTGAGCTTCTGCACGTGGTTCAACAACTCAAATTCAGTAGCAGACTCTGGCAAGTTGATGATGTTGCATGCAATGGCAGCTTCCTCGGCAGCCTTCAACTTCATCTTGACGTAGGTGGTGGAGTCGGCTCTGGCGCCTACCTGGATGATGGTCAAGCTGGGCTTGAAGTCGGCAGATTTGGCCTGGATGGCACGGATTTCCTCATGGATCTTGGTCCTAACGTCTAAGGCAATAGCCTTGCCATCGATAATCATTGCGGATTACTGTAGATGTTTTGGTGGGAATAAAGTGCTGCGAATTACTCCAGCTTTATAGTGAAATTTGTTTGACTCGGTGCCGCCAGGTGATAAAAAATGAGTCGGGAAAACGCGGTGATCTCACGTGCGTGGTTACGACTGGGGTGGTTAGAGATGGGATGGGACGAGAGCACGGGGCTGGTAGAGACGGCGGTGCTTACTGGAGGAGGGGGCGTGGTGGTGGTGGTGGTGGTAGTGATGGTATCAGCGTGGATAGAGCATGGTGGAGGGCCCGATAACTCCGGAGTTTAGGTGCCAGTAGCCGTGCCGAAAACGGCGCTTTATCGCGATAAACGGGAGTTTTCAGAGGTTGGGCAAATATTTCTGAACTACAGCAGGTGGGATGAAACATCCTAACTTCACTACTCGGGGAAGCATCCCTCTTCGACAATACGTAGAAGTAGATAAATTTGACGAAATGAAAGGTGACTTCGTAATTCTAACAAGTGAGCGGTGGTTTCTCAAAAGCGTTACTATAAAACAACCCTGGTGCTCTAAGCAGTGATAAAAGTAGTAGGTAGGTTGTGCGACATAAGTCCATAACGATAAATAAAATAATTTGGTCATATGCTCAGGTACTAAATTTTCTTTGGAACCTCCTAAGACCTTTTTACAGTGGTAATTTGTATCATTTTCTAGTCTATTAGGTATATATACAATAGCTTCAGAAATCTTCTTGGCTATCCATAATCATCTAATATATGGTCCGCTGGTAGACCTTGAAGCGAAACTCATCGAAAAGAGTTATTAATCTCTTTATCTTTCCAGAAAAGTTTTGGATCAGAACGACTGCTTATGAATGTAGCATTAATACTTGACAATCTACGGTTAATACTTGTAAGCATATGCGAGACTTCATCAATTCTTTGAAATATCTAGTACAAGTTTCGAGTTGTGTGGTAAAACGGCACGAATATCGTCAAGTATGACTTTTCTACTTGGTCGGTATTATATTTGAATATGAATTTTGAAATTGATATTTTCACCCCAGAGTCCAATTTCACGGAATCTTTCCAATTAGAGTCCTAGGTCGTCTTGGTCGGGTGACCGTAATGCTGGTGTCGGTAATTTGGTCTAAAAGCGAATTTAAGAATTCATGGTGTAGCAGTAGGCTGGGATGTCTCGCCTCTTGAGCATGATTGAAAGAAAGAATCACAGCACCACTGCAGCGAACACTGGGAAAGATCCTCTCGTGAACAAACCACTAAACTATTTCTAATCATCAAGATTTTGGATGATACTCAACTAATGGTTTTCTGTGATCTCTGGTTCAGGTGAGGTACGAAAATTCCATTACAGTTGGTTGAAGAATTCACTCAACCCACCAAATGTATCTGGAGTATCCACTGCAATTCCCAGTATGCTGCTCCTGCGCAAGAGACCCTCGAGCACCTTTCCGGGCCCTAAGCACACCATTTGGTCCACGCCTTGCTGGTGCACGAAATCCACCGATTGTGCCCACTGAACCGTGCTGTGGGTCTGGAGTACCACATTGGCGATCGCAGACGCAGCATCCAGTACAGGTTTCCCAGTGAGGTTGGACACAATAGGCACTGCTGGTTCGCTGTGCTTGAATGTGTTAATGTAGTTGGCCAATGCTGGCTCGATCTGTGCAAGAATGCGGTTATGGAACGGAATACTAACCGGGAGACGAGTGGCTCGAGAAATTATCCTCGAGGCACTATTGGCAGATTCTATAAACTTGTCCACGGCACCAGTTTCACCGGAGATCACGAGCTGGGTGCTGGAGTTGTCGTTGGCAAGAAGGCCCTGTTCGATTGCGCGAGCTCGCACTGGTAGGAGCTTGTGGCTACTGGCAAAAAGAAGAGCCAGCATCGAGTACCCCGGTTTAGTCTCATTCCCTGAAGCCCCAGCAGCGCCAGATGCTGATTCTACCACGTCCTCCATCAATTGGCCCCGTTTGCGGACTATTTGGACCCCAGATGCAAGATCAAACACTCCACTAAGCACAAGAGCAGTGTACTCGCCAAGAGAGTGTCCCATGAGGTACAGCGCATTCCCAGCCAAATCGATGCCATGCTCATGCTTGAGGATATGGTGGATGATGTAGGAGGTGGCGAGGATCGCAGGCTGGGCATTGGAGGTGTGTTGGAGCCACTCCGAAGCTCCATTCTCGGCTTCGAGGTGGATGCTAATAGGCTCGTTCAACGCACTGTCGATCTCCTGTAATAGGGGCTTGTAGAGCGATCTGTACTTCTTGTACGGAGACAATAGCGTGCTGCGGACAACTCCTTGTCCAGGAAGTGCTAGGGTGTATTGGGGTCTCATTGGCGGTGTTGATGGCGGATGGTACCAGAAATGAGATGGTTGGACGTGCGCGCCCAAGACCTGGGGTAAAATGCCACAAATAAGTGGATAGGGAAAACGTACAGCCAAAAGGCGTGAAGAGGTGGAGCGGAGGGGGTGTCAAGTAAATGGCAGAAGCACAATAAGGGGAAGGTCGTGATAGGCCCCGAAAAGTGGCCTCATTTGCAATGTGAAGGAAGGATGAAGGGACAATTACATTCGCTTTGGAATGATTGCAAAAAGTGCTTTTCAGCAAGAGCATGGATCGAGCGAAAGGTTCATGGGGCTCAAATAAGACTGACTGGATGAGTTGCAGTCTGTGCACGTTGCGGTTTTATGCATAATATATCAATAGGAATACAATTGGTAGAGAGTTCGTAGTGCGTTTTGCACCCTGAGTAGTGAGGATTATCCATGTCTATTCAAATTCGATTATTGGTGTATAGCTGCTGGTCAATACATAATATAGCAGGATGGTATTACACTAAATTCATCAATTACCAAATGTAATTTCGCCTGAAACTTTTACTTAATATGTTTCACTAGTTGTTGGTAAAAGCTCGTACATTGTATTTTTACAGAAAGGTTTCAAAAAATTGCAAAAATCAAGACAAGAAATCGAGTCAATAAAGAAAGCTACAACCTAAACAGCTACTCATCTAACTAATGTCCTATCTTACTTGAATTATCACTACCAGCACACTGTTCTACACCGTGGATGTTGTAACGTTTCTGGTTTGTTATTGAGTTATGCCCGGTGAATTCGTGGTAGAGATCGCACCGCACAGCACTGGCCCACTGCGAGAGTGTCCACCAGCACAGAGTCACTACAAACATCTACCGCGAGTAGTTCGATCGTGCAGTAGAAGGGATTGCAGTAGAAGGGATTGCAGTAGAAGGGATTGCAGTAGAAGGATACTGTAGTGACATTCGTGTAGTACCGATCCGCACAGTTCCGATGTTACTACAATCACTCCCTGACCACTTAGTCGCCGGTACCACTACCGCTTGTATCCCCCAGCTCCCGCTACCGCCACCACCTAAGCTCATAACTTTCCCGCTACCGCTACCGCGCCCGCCCCTAGCGCCCAAACAGGTGCAACAACAACAAACGCGCGCACAGAAGCCGGGTAACCCCCCTCCCGGTACCACGGTTCTGGCCAGTGCCGCCTCGCACCGCAGAAATAGCACGAAACGCTGGCGCGGCACCGTCACGCTCGCTCGCCCGTGGACGTCCCTACCCCCCTCAATTCCCACCAATCCTTTAATTTCCCACCACCGTTCTTCACTAGCGTAGCGAGACTCCATACACACACCAAACATGTCCGACCTCAAAACAGCAAAGGATTCTCTCGTGGCATCCCTTTTCGAATTATCCAAGGCTGCCCAAGACGCTGCCGCTGCCACCGTCAACTTCTACAAGCTCGTGTCTGACGATACTCTGGCCGACCCCAGCGATGCCTTGCAAAGCTTGGGAGAGACCTTGAAGCGGATCTCTGAGATCGAAGGTGAGGACATCGCCAGTGTGGCCAATGCTGCCAATGTGGGCGAAGTTGACGTCGCCCAGTTGGCGTCGGCTGCTGCTGCCGCTGCTGCTGCTCCTGCTGACGAGAAGCCAAAGAAGAAGAAGGCTGAAAGGGATCCAAATGCCCCCAAGAAGCCGTTGACCATCTACTTTGCCTTTGCTTTCCACACCCGTGAAGTGATCAGAGAACAACGCAAGAGAGAAGGCAAGCCTGCGTTGTCTGCAATTGACATGAACGAGCTCGTCAAGGACAGATGGAACAACATCTCCAAGGAAGACAAGGAATACTGGCAAACCAAATACGCAGGCGAGCTCAAGGCGTACCAGAAGGAAAAGGAAAAGTACAAGCAGTCGTTGGACGAAGCGCAAGCCATTGCACAACAGGCTCCTGTCGCCCAAGAGGTGGCTGCCGCTGCTGCTGCCCAGAACGCATTGCCAGAAACCTTAGAGGCCAATGGCTTACTTTTGGATATCGAAAAGAAGGAGAAGGAAAAGAAGAAGGAAAAGAAGAGAAAGTTGGACAAGGAGAAGGGTGAAAAGAGTGAGAAGAAGAGCGAGAAGAAGAAGAAGCAGCCTGTTGTCGCTTCTTCATAAACCTATAATGTTTAAGTGGTTTCAGCCTGTGTTTTTATAATTCTACTTCACTTTTTTCTCGAGGCTAATCCGGTGTTACTTTTACGATTTTTGATGAAAAATCGCGTTGGACCTTCTTTGTTTATGATCAGTTCCTGACTGGTCTTCCAATTCTTGATGTACTATTAGTTGCTTCGGGCCAGCCCCCTCCGTATTATTTACGATGTTTATTACTATATATCTCAATGTCCCTTCTTCTTTTGCTTTGTAATGTGTGCTCTCAATACCTTTTGACGGTCCCGTAACGACAACTTTTGCTTTCCTTGGACCGCCTTTTTGTGAATCATCATAACGAAATTCTTCTTACGTTCCTTTTCTCTGTTAGTTGTAGAATGTGCCTTTTCACGCTTACCTCTTCTGGATCCGAACTTGTCTCTGTCTTCTTTACCTTCCTTAGCAAGAGCAATTCTTTCTTCACGCAATTGCTTGTACTTGACCTTACCCACAAGGGTGGTGGAGTCAACTTGGTCTTCGTTCTTCTTACCCATGATCTTCTCGACACCTGCTGCAGTACGCAATTCTTCTAACTTGGCGAAATCGGCTGGAGTCAAAATTCTGGACGAAAGCAACTCGGTAATGGCGTCTTGGGATGTGGTGGCAGTGACAGCAGCCTCAGTTGCACTGATCTTGGCCTTCTTGGTGGGTCTGGATTCGTCTTCATCGAGGTCTTCTTCGTCAGACGACAATTCCAAATCGGAGACGTCGTCAAACTTGGTGGCTTCTACCACCTCCTCTGGCTCCTCTTCCTTAGTCTCGTCGTCCTTTTCATCTTCGGAGTCGCTGATGTCTATTTCCTTGTCGGATTCGACATTCACCCAGTCACCTTCAATGTCGTCTTCATCATCTTCATCATCAACTTCCCAGTTGGCATCGTCGTCTTCGTCATTGTCGTTACCCTTTTCCTTCTTCCAGTTAGCCAACAACTCAATTCCGGGAATAGAGGTGATGTTGGAGCTTTCCACACCGAATTGTGGCAACTTGTTCTTTTCTCCATGCTGCAACTCCATACTGGCCACTTTTCCTCTGTCTTTTCTGGCCAACATTTCTGGAGCCACTTCTCTGTATAATGAGATCAAAGATCTGGCAGCCATCATCACAGCCTTGGACTTGGAGCCCTTGTAGGCCGTCAAGTCTTGCAATAATGGAGCTTCAATGGCCAAAGGTGCTCTGGCTAAAATTTCTCTAATGGTATTTATACCAGCTGAGGCAACTTCAGCAGCTACACCGTCACTGACGAACTCGTCGGCAATTTTTCTGACCACAATCATGATGGACTCTGGAGGGACCAAGTCGTGAGAGGCTTGCGCAGCAGCAGCCATGATTTGGGTGACATCTCTCTGCTTAGGAGTCAAATATTTCAAAAAGAACGTGTAGATTCCCAACACTGTCAACTTGTGCGTACCGATTAATCTGGAGATCAAGTTCATGAACATGATTTTCTGCTCCAAGTCGAACTTGTTGGCATTCTTGCTGCTCAAGTGGTTGTCAAACAACTGTTCAGCAAAGCCCTGGGGGTCCCGTAATAAATGGATAGCAGAGAAATTGAGGTAGGTGGCCGAGTGCTTGGCCGAGTTCTTTTTCTTCATTTGCTTGACAGCCAGTTCCATCTTCTTGCCTCTCTTTGAGGTCTTCTTGTTGATGTTCATCTTGTGCTTCAAGGCTGACATGTCGAAACCGTCTTCGTCGGATGACTCTTCGAAGTTATCTTCTCTTTCCTTGTCAGCACCCAAGAAGAACTTGGCTCCAGCAGTGGCCACCTTGACGTCTGGGTGGACAGCTGCCTGCATCATGATTTCCACGGTTCTGGAGTCGTCCCAGATACCTCTTCTCCATAACTCTCTGGTGACCTTGGTTGCCCATAACCCCTGGCTGTCTCTCTGCTCAAGCAAGTTGAACAACAACGCCTGGGTGGATCTGTTGAGCTTCTGGTTCTTTGCTCCTGTGTTCATGGACTTCAAAAGCGAAATCAAGGTGCTGTAGATCTGGTGTCTCAAGGCCTTGACGTGTTGTCCAGTGGTGCTTCCAGCGTTGTAGGCAGTCAACAATGGGAAAAGCGTCTGAATTAAGAACTCGGCTGTGACAATGCCCTTGTTTCTCAACATGGTCAAACATTGGATGATCTTTTCTCTCAAGTCAGGGGATAACTCTCTGTGGTTGGTGGAAAGAATGGTCTTCAATTCGTTGGGAAACTCGGCAGTTTCCTTGGGGTAGCAGGTGCACACGGCGGAGACGAAGCCAATGAGCTCAGCAAACTCGGCGTTCTTGTCTCCGTTGGGGTTCATCAAGAAGATGTCTCTCAACGACTCGTAATGGGAGTACTGCTTGACGAACTCTTCGTAGTATGACTCTGGATCTCTACGCACGACATTCTGCAACAAAATGATGTTGGTAGGCAACACGGCACATCTTCTCTTCTTACCCATGGTGTCTGTAGTGTATCAGTAGAGATGGTAACTGATAAATAATATGGGTGGAAAATTTAGGGCGATGAGATGGAGTCGTGTGGGGGTGAATCCGTAGATAACCAAAACCGATGGGCTCCAGAGGTAAAGACACTACGGGGATGAAGTGGTGGGAGCGGTGCCGTATGGCACTGGTGTCCTTTCTCTTACATGATAAGTTCAGTGACTTCTGGTATTTATTGGTATTATACTTGTATCGTGAGAAGGACTGAAATCAATAGCTGTGCTGGTGGCTGCGACACTGTCTTGAATCTTTACATCGCCAAGAAACGTACAAACAACGAATTGTAGTCACTTCACAAATGTCACTCACAATGGACTTCGTGCTAAGCATTATCTTCTAAATTGTAAACCATCTTTTTCTGATTTATTAGGGTATTGCTACTAGGAGAACCCTTTTATCGCGAAATCATTTGCACCCATTTCATCTATTCGTTACATCCTATACATCTAGCGTCATTAGTTGGGATTCATAGGAGTCTCAACCGGCAGTCAGGTATCCAAGCCCTTGAAAACAATAGCTTGGTAGGTCAACTGAGTTATTCATTACTTGGGGTTTTCGAAAAGAAGATCCAACGTCTGGTAGTTGAGCTTCTTCGAAAGCGGCTTCTTCTCCCAGTACTGTCTTGAACTTTCGGCTGCCGTCAACGGTTCTCCAGTAATTTCATTCACGCCAATGTTTTTCAAAGCGTCATCTACACCCATCTGGTCAATATTGGTGTTGATTTGCTTTTGACGCTTCTTACGAGGCTGTCCCGAGGTGTTACCTGCCAACTGATCTGCCTCCTGTTTCAACCGCTTCTTTTCCTGTTGAATGATGAAGTCGTGGTTCAATCCGGTCCAGATCCGCTCTTTGAGTTGTTTCTCCTCCTCGTTCAACTCGCAATTAAGCGTGATTTCATCATCATCATCACTATTCAATTCGATACTGGATGACACCTTTTCGAGTAATTCATGAGTTTTAGGTAAGTACTTCACCAAGTTCTTAGGCTTGTTGGGATCCACACCCCCATCTGTGTCCGCCGATTTTTCTACCGGAGTTGCGTACATAGCTTCTTCCAAACTTTTTTTCTTACGTTGAAGTACTCGAGTCACTTCATTGTGAATCTCCAGAGCAGTCAAATCACTGCTAGCAAGGATGTTTTGCAAAAGCTTATCCATGAATAGATGATGCTTTCTCAAACGGATAGAATCCTTATCCTTATTGTCCTTAGGCTCTTCATCTTCAGGAACGGAGTCTATGTCAACGCCTTCAAGTATCGAAGTCGGCTCGCCTTCCCGGACTGTAGTACTAGATTCCGAAGAAGCATTTGAGTCTCTTGGATTCTCAGATTGGTCCTTCTCAGATTGATCCTTCTCAGATTCGATCTCCTCGGATTCATTCTGATTACCTGCTGCTTCTTTAGCCCTAGATCTGGTATTATCACTGGGTTTTTCCGACTTGCCCAGTACAGCTCGCACACCCGAGGATTCGGCTTGACTTTGCTTCAATAGCCAGTTATCAAACTGGGCTACTGCCATTTCTTTAATTAATATTTTGTTTGCAATCTTTTGTTCCAAACTTCTATTTTTCTCGTACGAAGGAGGGTTTGATGATTCAGTTTTCTCGGATTCCCGAAAGGAGTTGACAGTCAACTCTCCAGATTTCGTTTTTTTGAACTCGTTCAATCTTCTCTGCAAGGTTTCTGGACCCACATGTGCCACTGCCACAATTTCGGCATGAGTTCTTCTGAAATTGTTCATTCTAGCAGCCAAAAGCACACAGGCGCCAGCAATACCGGCAGGTCGTCTTCCTTCGTGAATCCAATCTTCAGACATTCTCTGGGCAAGTTTGACTGCATCTCGCACCACCTTTGTGCACTTCTCCTTGAAGTCCAACTTTTCAGCAAAATGCTGGATGAAAAGCGAAGGGTCTGCCAACGGGAGATTCACGATATGCAAGGCTTTGACCATCTTCAAGAAGGTTGCACCCAACGAGTAGACGGATATCTGTAATCGCGAACTGAAATCAATCAACATATGATGGGTCTTTTCCTTTCTGCAAGCCACGTACAAGCAGGTGGCCAAAACGTTCTGGGACCTTCTACCCTGGACGAAATTCTGGGCCAACGCCAACTTGAACCACTCGCCCGCAGAGTCAGAAATGTACTCGGGAATATTCAAGGCAGCGGCTATTCTCTTGATCTTCCGTTTCCCGTTAGCCAACGTTTGTTCACGACTCTCCATGGCGTTCTGCCGTCCTCCTCCGTAGTTTGCTCTGGCCTGATCGGCTCCCACCATGGCACCTTGAACCATGGCGGCTCCCAGTGAAGACTCTCCAAACTGGACTTCACTGACGATGGGGTTCTCATCCTGGACGGTACCGCATCGTTCACACGACACGTCTCCTGCCGGGTTGTAGCGATTCACTATGAGCTTGGGGTGGCCACAGTTGACACATCCTTTTTTGTTCATGTTGTAGAGATGGGTGATTGTTTCTAGATGAGATAGATATGTTATGGTTTGGATGAGGGACGCGATGTCGCGGAAGTGCGACATTGGAATGATGGGGATGGGAAGAATATAGGGAGAAATTATGGAGAAATTATGGACAAATAAAGGGAGAAATAAAGGGAGAAGACAGAGAAACGGTAGAAAATAGGCAGAAATGGGGAGTCTGATCCAGAGGATCGACGGAACCAACTAGCTCGCGGTACAGAGCCTGGATCCTTGGAATACTGGGCCTTTTCTTGCAATACCTGTCTGGGTGTATTGTATTCCTCTTTTCCTTAACTTGTAGTAATTTCGGTGTTGAAGTACGGATGTTTCGTGGAGCTTCCAGCTAGCGGCCAGTTTGCCCAGCCAAGTTTCTCTCTCACGTCATTTGAGCACATGCCTCGAATTCTCGTTAAGCCACACAGGGTCCTTTGTGCACGCTGCGACATAATTATGGTAAATTCGTATCCTTCTTCTTTATCGCCATGAATACGTTCGAGGAGCAGTTGAAGCTGTACCGGAAGTCGCTTGGGTCGGGTGTCCAACCCACGCCGTCTCCTGAAGTCCAGGACATCGATTATGGCCAAAATAGACACCTTCTTTCTGGGTTTCCCTACAGCCTTGTGATGGAAATCACCGCCTCAGAGCCCAGAGACGTACTACAGCTGGAAAGAACATGTCTTACGTTCATCCGATTTGCATGTTCGTTGGTGTTTTCGGCGTTGGGAATGGTGTTGAACTTCAAACTCAACACTTCAGGCAAACCCACGAAGCCACACCAACCCCGGAAGGGGTTCAACAGAACAGCCTACACCACAGCAGCTGCATTCGTGCTTGTGGTTTTGGCATTTGCTGTGCTAATTTTGAGTGGAATCAATTATTTGATAACTATTCAGAGATATGCTTCTCACAAGATCGAGACTTACAATTATAATAATATGAGCACGGTGGTGTGCATGACTTGTGTGTTTGTCACGTTGATAGCTATCAACGTGAGCTTAATCGTGGACGGGTATATCCTGGAAAGCTAGGAGCGCATCGGGGTGAGAATCAGTGGTAGTAAGGATGGGAAATCGTCAGGCTGGCTTGATGCTGTATGGATTAGAAATTCATTATCCTACGATGTTTCTGATCATCCTTGTGCTATTAATTAATTACTATCTGCTTTAGCAGATTTGATATCATTTTTCGTCGATTATATGGAAAGCTCCTGATATTCTAAATGAATTACTATGAAGGCTTGCGAGGCTCATTCCTCAGCTTACTTGTGAACTACTTGAACTTCCTGCTATTATTCATTAATTACTATGGAGTTGTACGGCTCATATCAGATGGCTAGTCGTGATTAATCTGAAGCCCATTGCTGTTATACGTTAACTAAAGTATTAACTACTTTGAGCCTTTCAGGCGCTCTTGGACTTCTTCTTGGACTTGGACACCTTTCCTGCCACTTCCTTCCGTTTGTTTCTATTATTCTCCTTCCTTACCCCAAAGTCTTCCTTGTCCATTTCCATCAAACTCTCTCTCTTCGCAACACTGGTTTTTGCAAGCGAGTTATCAATCACGAGATCATCACTGAGACCCTCCAACAACTCCATCTTTTTGTTAATTCTCTCCTCAATAGACTGGATTCTATCGATATCTTTTTCCGATACAATCGAAACAGCATCACCTTTTCTTCCTGCTCTGGCAGTTCTACCCACACGATGGATGAAATCGTCTGGATCTGCAGGTATATCGAAATTTATTACCAACTCAACGGTAGGAATATCAAGCCCTCTGGAGGCCACATCAGTAGCAATTAATATACGCGCAGCCCCAGCTTTGAATCTATGCAATGAATTTGTTCTTTCAGCCTGACGCATTTCCGAATGCAACGAAGCGACCCTGAAGTCGAGCTTCCGTAAAGTTCTTCTCAACACCTCTGCTGTCTTGGTGCGGTTGACAAAAATGACGGCTGTGGATTTTTCGTACTGTGACAAGCTAAGAATACTGTTGAGATATGCTTCCTTGACGTAGGATGGGACGAAAACGTAGTGGATTTTTAATCCAGCTGGAATGGCGACTTTGTCGACGGTTTCCACCTCGTGGATGAACACTGGAGGCTTGTTTGGAGCCGTGGGCTTGTCTTTCAAGGCTCTCACGGCATCAGTGACAGTGGCAGTGAAAAGACACGTCTGCCTTTGTTCTGAGGGTGGCAATACGCTGAAGCACCTCTCGAGATCGCCTCCAAAACTGTTACTCAACAAACGGTCGGCTTCATCTAGCACCAAGTACTTGACTCTTCTCAATCCGCAAATAGTCTCCTCTCCGCTGTTCAAGATATGATCCGCAAGTCTTCCAGGCGTGGCGATCACGAAATGAGGTCTCTTTTGGAGTTCGATGGCTTGTTTGACGAAATCTTCTCCTCCCACAACCACACTGATTCGGATGTTCATGGACGATCCCAATGCAGCAAACTGCTCGGCAATCTGCAAGGCCAACTCTCTGGTGGGAGTGAGCACGAGGCCAAAGATCCCAAAGGGGTCTTGGGACCATTGCGTAAGCATGGGCAGTGCAAAGGCTATGGTCTTACCACTTCCTGTTTTGGCACCTCCGATACAATCATGGCCTGCGAGAATTGCAGGGATACACGCAGACTGAATGGACGATGGGGTATGGATCTTCATGGCCGCGAGGGCCTCTGCGAGCCACTTGGCCACGCCTAGGGATTCAAACGACATTGTGGTGGAGCTGGAGTTGATGGGGAGGATGAAAATTGAGATGAGATGGGGCGGCACGTGATCCAGAGTAACGTGACCGCACATACAAACGTCGCCTCCCAAACAGCTTTGGCTGCCATTCCTGCTCATGTTACGGACACTCCACAGTTTGTCCCGCAGGGCTTCGAGATGTGGACAGTTACGGCCATGCGTGTCGTTGAAGCCGTCACGTCCGTTTTTCCATTCGTCTACCGTGAAAAATGTCTACGAGGAAGAAGAAGAGCAAGTAATGGCCGAGCCCATCACCAATTATGTGATCCACACAGAAGAAGAGCTCAAGACCAATCCCGAGTACGAAGGATTGCCGACAGGGACGGTTGTTCACGGCGATGAAACCATCAAATTCAGCGAGTTGGGTGTGGATGAAGATGGTCTTAGTGCCAGACTCTTGTCGCTCAGTGAATACTTCTTTGGTAACTTGCACCATACCCACCACGTCTTCTACAACACCGTCAACACCTTGTCAAAACAAGGGAAGAAAACCGAGAACAGAACGTTTATTGACCTCAAAGTCATTCGTGCCAAAAGTGGGCGCGGAGGCAATGGGTGTGTGTCCTTCTTCAGAGACGCCAACAGGCCAGTAGGACCGCCAGACGGAGGTGACGGAGGCGACGGAGGCGACGTATTCATCAGCGTGGTGAATCGGAATATGAGCTCGTTGCACAAGATCAAACGGACCTACGAGGCCAAAAACGGTACTCCAGGCAAAGGCAGCCAGCTTGACGGAGCTGTGGGCGAGGATGTGATCATAGAAGTACCTGTGGGGACCACTATCCGGTGGATCCCCGACCCCATGGTGCTTAAGAAGTATTTGTACCGCAGAGAAGGCCAACAGCTCGATGATATCAAGCTTGAATTGAAATGCGACGACAAAAACCAGATCCAATTGCACCGCAGTGGGTACGAGCCAGGCGAGGGCTGGTCGTTCAAGGAGAACGACGAAGAGTACTACCGGTCGAGAGAATTCTTCACCGACCTCAACAAGCGGGTCACCGAGCACGACCACGAGCTTGTGGTGGAGGAGTTCAGACAGGACAAGTTTCCGTTGGTAGGCATCGATTTCGACAAGCCCACCAAGCGTCCTATTCCGTTGCTCAGAGGGGGAAGAGGCGGGATGGGCAACATGCATTTTTTGACCAAGGATATCCGAAACCCCAGGTTTAGTAAGCGTGGAAGAGAAGGTATCACATCGTTCTTTCTTCTTGAGTTAAAGCTTATTGCCGATTTAGGGTTGGTGGGGCTCCCCAACGCAGGAAAGTCAACCTTATTGCGAGCGATTTCCCGGGCGAGACCAAGGGTTGGCCACTGGGAATTCACCACCTTGCAACCCACTGTGGGAACCATTTTCACCTCCATAGATAAGGACCCGTTTACGGTGGCCGATATTCCCGGGATCATCAAGGGGGCTTCCCAGAACAAGGGTATGGGTCTAGACTTCTTGAGACACATCGAGCGGTCGGGCGGATTGGTGTTTGTGGTTTCGCTCGAGAAGCCGAACCCGGTGGAGGACTTGAAGGTATTGTTGGAGGAGGTGGGAGAGAAGAGAATGCGGGACAAGAAGGTTTTGGTGGTGGCCACCAAGGCGGACTTGAGTGAAACTGGAGCCGAATATGGTCTGTTGAAGCAGTTTGTGGAGAGCGAAGAAGGCTGGAAGATCGTGCCTGTGTGTGCAGAAAGAGGAGAGAATATCGAGCGGTGTATCAGGTTGATGGGCGAGATCGCATATCAGTAGGATGCGATGCCAGACAAGGTGAAAGAGGAGAATGTTGGGCCAGCCGTTAACAGTCAGTCATGGATGAGGAAGGTCAAAGAGAAGAATGTTGGACCAGCCGTTAACAGTCATGGATGTGGAAGGTGAACAGAAATAGAATAGGATGTCGCATGACAGAACTCAATTACACCGTAGGTGTAACAGGACGAATGTCGCAGGCTATAAAGGTCACAGGAGGAATGTCGCCCACTGTGGCTTCTGCACCAGGCTTATGTTGTCTGGGAAGGTTCAGCATATGTCAAAGGAACATGGCGGTGGTTGCGAAAACCTTGCCGTTTCAGGAAGTTGTCTGAAACTGAGGAATGTTCCAGCTGGGTATGGTTTCGGCTACGCCAGGCCCAGTTGTAGATAGCGGGCCACGCATATAGACGTACTCGGCAATGCACGCCAGAAAATAGACATCTGAAACAGTTTAACTACGGTATGTCAGGCCACGAGGCACGGCTGGGACGTGGGGGTGGTTGAAGGGGCCAGGCGGATCAACTCCCACTAAGCCTCTGATGGGGTGTCGGGGATAGCGGGGTTGGGGCCAGGAGTGGTGGGGCCAGAAATGATGGGCCAGGTTGCTGGCGGGGACCCTCGGGTGGAACCAATTCCAGAAGACGCATGGAAGCGCAGTAGCGACGGGCGCACCGCAGCAAGAAAGACGCGGGGCAACGCGCGTGCCGGCAGGCGTGCGTCTGGCCAGGGCGGTCTCATCCCCTCCGCCTTAGGAAAGAGACAGATCTACACCGGACAGTCACCAAATGGGGGCGAATGTCCCAACATGCCGACACCGCAGCCACACCAGGAAGGACTAGGTGCGTTGGGCAGAAGTAGGTGCGTTGGGCAGGACCTTCGGCAGCCCACGCCAGGCGTCGCCGTTGCCCATTCCAGCTTGCCCAGATCAGTTTTTTGTTTCCACCGTTATTACTGCAAACAGCATGAGCAACCCACCAAATCCGGCACCTCCGATATGGGCGGGCAGACGTTGGTTGCGCCCTCCACGGATGGGTGGTGGTGGCAACCACGGCTGGTAACAGGGCCAGGTAGACAGTGACACCAGTGGCTGGGGTCGTTGGCATGGTGGTGAGGAGCCCACCCCTGTCCCGTGACGGTCTGGACCCATCACGGGCCCCCCATCCCAGACCCTGGGTTACATAAGCGCAACTGTCTGCACCGGGATTTCGCATTCGTCTGAACCTAGAATGGCCATACCCGCCTCTATTTTTTCCTGCCAACGCAGGTGAAATTCTGCATGGTGCACCACCCGCAACCCAGACTATATAACCACATGAATCCCCGATGATCTGACACCATCCAGCCCAATGATGGCATCCCGTCCGTTACAATTGAACACGCCCATCGAGCTCGGGGTCCCCCATGTCCTGAACGCCGCCTCCGGCAGCAGCGACAGCTGTGGGTCCACCCCCACCGACGACTACTTCTCCATCCGGCCCAAGCTCTCGGTGACCATTTCCAACGATATCAATGCCACCCACTATCCTATGTACCGCATGCCGTTTCATGCAAGCTCCGCCAGCAACCTCAGCTCGCCTCCCGAGTACCTGGTAGAGTACGAAGCCGACGACGATGACGAGGAAGACGAGCGTCGTGGAGGTGCGCCATTCACGCCGTTTACGCCATTCACGCCGTTGACGCCTGCATTGGTGGACTCCAAGGAGCTGCTGCTGGCGCAGTACTTCAACGCTCCCATCGCCCTCGACGTGCACATGCCGTTGCTCAAGCGCGCCCCAAACACAGTGGCCTACAGCTTCCTCTTGGTGGACGACAACGCCATCAACCTCCGCATCTTGGAGCGGGTGCTCAACCGGATGTATCCCAACAGTCACATCACCAAGATCCAGGACCTGACCAAGGTGCAGCCCGTGATTGCGCATCAGGCGTTTGACATGGTGTTTTTGGACATCGAGATGCCGTGCATCACTGGCGTGGACTTGGCTCGCCACATGCGCAGCCAGCGCAAGTACGACTCGTGGGGCATTGTGGCGGTGACCACCCGCAACACTGCCAGCGACGTGGCCATCTACAAGTCTGCAGGCATCGACTTTACGTTTCCCAAGCCGTTGGCCACCACCCACGACCACATGATGGACACCATCAACTACATCTTGCGGGCCCGCAAGGCCCACTACTAGGCACGAAAAGACACCACCGATACAGTCAGTCCACGCCTGATGCCACTGATGCAGTCATACCACGCCTGATGCACTCGGTGCCTACTGATACCACCCAACATCCTTACTACCGCCAGGCTAGTCCTGGCGCAGAATGCATATGATTTACGAGGTCTTCTAGACCACTCACGACTGTTCACTTCCTTAATGTGTTAATTTCCCCCTCTCCTTTATAGACGGTACTAATAGACGACTCCGGTTATTATGCGTAGATACCCGGCCAGGCGGGCAGGTAAATCTGGCCAAATCTTGTCATGCGCGATGGTGTTCGAATCGGGTTATATTCTGCACCGCACTGGAAGAGCCCCTCGTCAATCTTCTACTTGGTTGATTGCCCAGGGCCTGGTTCTCCCCACAGTTGGCCCCTTGGCTCGGGGGCCCTGCCCAGGCGTCGCATCCCTGCCACCACCTCGTGATCTCACCTGTGTGTCGACAACGGGCTCCAGACGCTGGCATCGGACCTTGCAGAGAAACTGGTGCTTGACGCACGGTTACGAACCTTTGATCTGAGCCAGGCGGGCAATGAACCAAGCTGCGAATGCCTGGCCCCGCGTGCAGATGGTGACCACACCCCCGGGCATCCTGGTGATGGGGGGTGTGGGGGCCAGGTGGGCAAAATCCTCACCCATAAACCCTTCGGCGATACCCACGATGCCCGTGTAGTATCTCCGATATGGCCGTTGCGTGACCTGCGGGCCACCGCCCATTATTGCTCGTCGAGTGTTTTGGGCGGACAATCCAAGCCCCTGGGCTATTGTGAAGAACAATGCTCGAAACGGGCGGGCCTGGTGGAGATATCGGCGTCCTGCAGGTAGTGCGTTTGGCTGGCGCACGACCCACAACTCCACCGGTCCCGCACCCGCCCGCCTCGTTGTACAAGTAAGCTCGTATGGCGCAGTGGTAGCGCAGCAGATTGCAAATCTGTTGGTCCTTAGTTCAATCCTGAGTGCGAGCTTTCTTTTTTGCATTTGTTGGCACGACAATAGTTGCGACCGCCTGGTTGCCTCCCCTTTTAGCCTCATTCAGGTACATAAGGGGTATTTCCGAGCATATATAACCTCTGGCAAACTCCGGTATCCTGCTACATTTTTGCTTGAATATACCTGCCCCCAATTGATGTCTACCACTTTCGTACCATGCTCCAATCCACCACCAAGAGGAAGTTAGACCAGCATCCACTGGAAGTGAACGTACAGCCCCCAAAACGGTTGGCTGTGAAACCGTTAAGTCCGCAACACTATCAGAGCCAACTCTTGAGCAGGGAGAGCGAATTGGACCGTCAAATTGCCCAGTGGCTTGACCAGCGAGACTTTCTCGCTGCTTGTCTCTCTCTCCAGAAGAGCCCCGACGAGGCCAAATTGCAGGTATTTGCCAAATGGCCCACTGAGAAAGATGCGGAATCTAGCTAGCATTGAGCTGTGGCCAACCTTGTAAGCAATTGACCAACAGATTGACCAACAAATTGACCAACAAATCGACCAACAATTGACGTACTCCCTAAACGGTTCCCAGAGTTGACTGCATTTCTGTGGCCAACAGGCTATGCCCCAGAATGGCTTGTATTTCTCTCTATGGCCAACAGTTTCAAATTCCCAAAATCATTGTCTATCGCAGAGGGCTGCTGGACATTGATGTATATTTGTGCATCAATGCACATTTGTTCCCCTGCAGCACTACTCTGCAAGCTTCGGAGCTTGCCTGCACTGTCAAGAATTGAGGTTCATATGAACGCGCAGGCAATGGACCACTTTAATTCTCCTAAATACATTTACAGTAAACCTTTAATGTTGCACCAACCCGTAGACTGATATCAGTTGTTTTCCTATGTAGATAGTGGCGCCCAAAATTGGGTCCATTGGCAATTCGTGGCCCGAAGCCCCAATAATCCGAATTTCCCAAGTCATCACAACCCAATCGCCTCAGCACCTCATCCGTTCTTCAATACTCTGGAAATGCCGCCAGTATCGCTTTTTGGGCAACATTGACACAACCCAACCAGCAGTGGAGTATCAGAAAAACAGCCACTCCAGTTCAATTGTTGTGCTCAAAACGAGAACACATTCCAGGTTTCCACCATTGGCCACAATTACATTGTCCTGCCATCCACCCACTTGGCTTCTCTATTGTCTTCCTATTGTTTTGCGGAAATGTCCCTTCACTTATGGTCCAAACCGTTAAATTACGCACATATCGGTGCAGCACACGACCATTGCCCCATCACAATTTCAACCTTCTTAGGCGGCAAATGCTGGAACCACACCAGAATGACCCTAGAAAATAAGCCTCTTGTTGCGTCCAGCGGCGCAGAAGGGTCCATTTCCAAGGATGGGTTCAGAAGTCCAAATTTGGCCAAACTTCTCAACTCACTAGCCCAAGATCTTGATTACACACGCCTAGGTATAGATCGGGTGGTGGAGATTGTGCAAAACGGACTTCCTGAACAATTCACCAACACGAGCATCTACGACCTCACAAGTGAAGTACTCGCGTCGCGAGTCATCTACCATCCGGACTACTCGACGTTGGCAGGACGAGTTGAGGCCTACAAGCTTCAAGAGTCCATTACGACTAGTTTCAGCAACACGATAGCACAAATCCATGCCTCTTACTCCGAGAAGTCGTTGATCTCGGATGCGTTCCTTCAAGTCGTTTCCAAGCACGCAGAGTACCTAGACAGCCTTATCGTCCCCAAGCGAGACTTCGACTTGCCTTATTTCGGAATCAAGACGTTGCAAAAGTCGTATCTCTTGCAATGCAACGGCGAGGTCCAGGAAACCCCTCAATACATGTTCCTTCGTGTGGCCGTGCAGATCCATGGCAACAGTTTGGGCGAGGTCAAGGAAACGTACGATTTGATGTCTGAAAAGTACTTTGTCCACGCCTCTCCGACCCTCTTCAACGCTGGAACAAACAATAATTACTTGTCCTCCTGCTTTCTCGTGGCTTTGGAGGACGACTCGATCGATGGGATCTTCAAAACGCTCCATAAAAGTGCCCTCATCTCCAAGGCTGCAGGTGGAATAGGTCTCCATGCCCACAATATCCGTGCTAGAGGGTCCAGAATAGCCAGTACTGGTGGCACTTCGAACGGTTTGGTGCCCATGTTGAGAGTCTTCAACAATGCTGCTAGATACGTTGATCAAGGAGGTAACAAGAGACCTGGTGCCATAGCCGTTTACATAGAACCATGGCATGCAGATATCTTTGAGGTGCTCAACTTGAAGAAGAACCACGGAAAAGAGGAAATGAGAGCAAGAGATTTATTCTATGGGCTCTGGATTCCAGATTTATTTATGAGAAGAGTAAAAGCTGACCAAGATTGGACGCTTTTCTCTCCAGACGAATGTCCAGGCTTGAGTGACTGTTATGGACACGAATTTGAAACCCTTTACACCAAGTATGAATCGGAAGGAAAAGGTGAAAGAATCAAGGCCCAGAAATTATGGTACTCGATTTTGGAGTCTCAGACTGAAACAGGTGGGCCCTACATGCTCTTCAAAGATGCATGTAATCTCAAATCTAATCAAAGAAATTTGGGAACGATAAAGTCTTCCAATTTATGCTGCGAAGTAGTGGAGTATTCGTCAGAAAATGAAACTGCAGTTTGCAATTTAGCATCGATCGCCCTACCAAGATATGTGATACTGATGTCGGATGGTGAAATCAGCTTCGACTTCAAGAAACTCCATTCCATTGTGAAGGTCGTCACTCGTAACCTTGACAAAATTATCAACATCACCAAATACCCAATAGAAACTTCAGAAAGGTCCAACATGCTCCACAGGCCTATTGCGATTGGAGTTCAGGGCCTTGCGGACTTATTGGCTGAACTAAGATTGCCTTTTGATTCAGCACAAGCCAGGGAACTCAACATTCAAATCTTTGAAACTATTTACCATGCTGCAGTTGAAGCATCTATGGAACTCGCAATGCAGCATGGTCCATATAGCTCCTTTAAGGGTTCTCCGGCTTCACAAGGGCTCCTTCAGTTTGATTTGTGGGAACATAAACCCTCCAACTTCTTCAGTGACTGGGATGAGCTCAAAGAGAAGGTCATAAAAAATGGTCTTCGCAATTCCTTGCTAGTTGCACCAATGCCAACTGCTTCAACATCCCAGATATTGGGTTACAACGAATGCTTTGAGCCATATACTTCGAATTTATACACAAGAAGGGTATTGGCAGGAGAGTTTCAAGTTGTCAACCACAATTTGCTCAAAGATTTGATTGAATTGGGATTATGGTCCCCTTCAATGAAGGATCAGATTATTCACGACAACGGATCCGTGCAAGGCATCCCAGAAATTCCAGATCATATCAAGCAGCTCTATAAAACTGTATGGGAAATCCCCCAGAGGAGCATAATCGACATGGCGAGTGACCGTGGAAGATTCATTGATCAACTGCAAAGTATGAATGTTCACATGTCAAATCCTACGTTTGGGAAATTGACTAGCTGTCACTTTTACGCCTGGGAAAAAGGTTTGAAAACTGGTATGTATTACTTGAGAACCCAGGCAGCGGCAAGAGCTATCCAATTCACCGTGGATGTCAAGAATAGGGCAGAACAAACTATGCCCGTTACAGTTTCCTTGAACAGAAAAAGATACAAGGCGTTAAAACAATTCAAAGAGTCGACTATAGAGTCAAATCCAAAACCATCGAAACGTATTCCTGAACTATCGCCCAGATTACTTGATGATCTGCTGACAAAGAAGCTCAAGAAAGGTTCCACCAGTGCGTTGATTAATACGAAGAATTCCTCAGAAACTCCGCACAGATATGACATTTACGACGATACCCCATTATCTTGTAATATATTAGATCCTGAACAGTGTGATTCCTGTTCGGGATAGACGTACATAGAATCTTATCATAATGGAATTAGCTAGAATATTGTAGCCCCAATCATGGTTTTATGGTCATAATTATCATGAATTATCTATTAAGATAGCTGTTGAGGAACAAGTCCATTCGAAAGTAGATGAGCAGATAACAAGATGTGTTTAGTCTCGATACCTCCAATTACCGGTTCATATTGTGATTATAATCTGTGAATACCAATCCGCACTAGACTAGCTATTCTATGAATCAACTATAGCTGTCTGAAATACCGGACGACATTCATCTACTGGCATCTGGCTATCTTGTTCTTTGTAACTTTCTATTAGCAAAATCAACAACTTGCGAAACACCCTGTTGAGTCACAAAGAACTTTCTCCTGACCTTGTCTGACCATATTAAAACCCCCACTTCTGATGCATAGCTGGACAACACGTCGTATTCTTGCTGGTTGGAAAAATCTTTGAACAAGTACCCGTCGAAAGTTTGGATTCTGTCGAGCTCCAACTGCCACAACTTGATTTGATCCACAACTGTGGGTGGTAGTAATTCCAACTTGTGTTGGGCCACTGCGCCGTCTCTGGCTGCCTGTGATTGTGGTGCACCACCAGCAGTGTTAATATTGTGACTAGCATCGAACTCGATCTTTTTGTCTAATTTCTCCTTCGCTAATAATCTCATCTGGGGATGTGCGTGAGTTTCCAAAAACTTGATGATCTGGTCGGCAGTGATTCCGTTGTACAAGGCATTCCTAATGCTTTCTCTGGTAATTTGTCCACACACCATATTGGCGAAACGAGTTTTGAGGTGGACAAACAAATTAAGCACGGCAATTTCCAAGGGAGAATTAGTGTATGCATACATCTTGAAGTTGGTCTCGATGATAATGGTACCTTGCTGGGAGGAAGGAGTGGCAGAAGTGTTCACGGCCTGGTTCTCTGCACCTTCTAATGCCTGGTCAAGGGCCACTGAAGGAGACTTAAGCGCAGCAGAGTCGGACGTCAAAGTTGTAGCTAGTCTGGTGGGATAGAACCGCGACGAGTTTCCGTTTCGTTGGTATACTAAACCGTAATCCTTTAAGTCCGCTAACATGCTCACTTGTGTGGCACTCAAGCTGGAAACGGTGTAGCTCTTGCCCAACTCCAACGAGCCCAAGATGAAAATGAAATTAAGAACATCCACAGGATCCATATGCAAATCTTGGGTCAAGTTGAGGTACTGAAGTAGTAAAGTCCAGATCTGGGCGTTGACGTCCTGTAATAGGAACTGGAACCCACTGTTAGTGATCTTCAAATTGTTGGGGTTCGTCCCAGGGCCCTCCATAAGGCCTCCCAGCTTAAGCAAGGATAAAACCGAAGTAGAGGGGGTTACGGTGGATTCGGTACCCACCATAAAATGCAAAATAGTCTCCCACTTCTGGGAGGCAAAAGTGTCCAAAAACGCAGCATCGACCTTGTGCTTATCGGGAGTTGTGCACAAGTTACCAAACGCATTTGCTGCTTGGGATCCTGTCAAGCAATCTCGGAAGTTCTGTCGGAAGGTGGAGTTCAATCGGATGTGCGTTCCCGTGTTGTCTTCTTTGATCAAATGCAACGCCTTGAGTCGTTTCAACGACTCGAACTGGAGCTTTCTAGATCCTGGCTTGCACCATTTGTCCATATCTCTCAAGGCAACTGGCTTCTCGTTGAACAACATGGTCATGATGTAGAACTTGGTCATTGGAGGGAGCAATCTGAAGATAGAAAGACAGGTGGCTGGAGCCTCGTATAGCTTGGACTGCACAGGCTGCGGAAGCCCTTCAAGATACTCATTGACTGTTGCACGGAAGAGATTACTCGACGACATGGTGGGGAGGACCGTACGATGGAAGCTGAATTGTATAGTTGGTGTCACGTGCGTAGATGTGCTTACGTAACTGAGATAGTTGCAAATTCAGTGAAAGGTACTATTGGAAGCTATGGCGACTTAGAGGAGTCTAGGTAGGGTGGGAACATGCTATTTATCGATCGAGAGTATTGCTAGAGATTTCGAGAATTTATCTTCCCAAGTTAGTGTGACTAAAGGAAGAGTTCAATTATTAATATTGACTTTTCAAACACAATATCACTTCATGAAAGACTCAAAGAGAGGCATAAGCCACTGCTAGACAGGGACGTGTCCTCGCCTCGATCTATGGAAAGAGCTACAGTGTCGAACCTACGTTAACTACTGTAGCTGGAGTATTCTCTCTTAGTGTCGGGTCAGAAATGGCACCAGACCAAAAAACCAAACTACTTGCTTAAAACATACTTATACAAAAAATTCCCTACTTCGTCCTATCCTCCTCCATCTTCCTCATTATTCCCCATCACTCTCCGTCCACCTCATCCTCTTCCATCGTCCCCGTGGAATATCTCATCCTCACCATCTGTCACTCGCACTCGGCCTTTCCTGCACGACCCATCTCCAACAAAACTTTTGAGAAGAGTTGTTTGTCATCACTAAACCAGTCCGATCCAGTGCCACCACCGCCCATGTCCAAGCGTAAAGCATCCCACGTGGAAGCCGAGTCCGACGAGGCGTTCCAGGAGCTTCTCCAGCCAACTTATAAGGGCAAAAAGTTACTTGACGAGATCAATACTGCGGAAGACAAGTGGAACCTTCTCCCAGCATTTCTCAAGGTCAAAGGGTTGGTCAAGCAACATTTGGACTCGTTCAACTACTTCGTCGATGTGGACTTGAAGAAAATCATACGAGCCAACGAGTTGGTTCTTTCTGACGTGGATCCCGAGTTCTATCTCAAGTACTTGGACATCAGAGTCGGCCACAAGTCTTCGTCTGCTCCAGGAACCAAGGAGGTGATCTTGCCGCCTCATGAGTGCAGACTCCGTGACTTGACCTATTCTGCACCCATCTACGTGGATGTCGAGTACACCAGAGGTAGAAAGATCATCATGCACAAGGATCTTGAAATCGGAAGAATGCCTGTGATGTTGAGATCGAACAAGTGTATTCTCGATGGCATCGACGAAAAGCAAATGGCGAGATTCGACGAGTGTCCCATCGATCCAGGTGGGTATTTCGTGGTCAACGGGACTGAAAAGGTCATTTTGGTGCAAGAACAATTGTCCAAGAACAGAATCATTGTGGAATCAGATGATAAAAAGGGCATTGTCCAAGCCTCGGTTACTTCCTCCACGCACGAGCGTAAGTCCAAGACTTATGTCATTACCAAGAACGATAAGATCTACTTGAAGCACAACTCCATTGGTGAAGACATTCCTATTGTGATCGTATTGAAGGCCGCGGGTATCACTTCGGATTTGGAAATTTTGCAATTGGTTTGTGGTGCTGATTCCAACTACCAAGACTTGTTCGTCGTCAACTTCGAGGAAGCTGCCAAATTACAAGTTTTCACTCAGCAACAAGCATTGAACTACGTGGGTAAGAGAGTTAAGACTATTAGAAGAGCAGGTGCACCAAAGTTGAGTCAATTGCAAGAAGGTATCGAGGCCATTGCTACTACTATCATAGCTCATATCACCGTTTCCGACTTGCAATTCCGTGAAAAGGCACTCTACATCGCCACTATGGCCAGAAGGGTTATCATGACCATGCACAACCCCAAGATGGTTGATGACAGAGATTACGTTGGTAACAAGAGATTAGAATTGGCGGGTCAATTAATGTCATTATTGTTCGAAGATTTGTTCAAGAAATTCAACTCTGACTTCAAAGCTAATATCGATAAAATATTGAAGAAGCCCAGCAGAACCTCAGAATTTGATGCATTATTGTCAATCAATATTCACTCCAATAACATCACGATGGGTTTAAATAGGGCCATTTCTACTGGTAACTGGTCGTTGAAACGTTTCAAGATGGAAAGAGCTGGTGTTACTCATGTTTTATCAAGATTATCATATATATCAGCTTTAGGTATGATGACTCGTATCTCATCTCAATTCGAAAAATCTAGAAAAGTCTCGGGTCCAAGAGCCTTGCAACCATCTCAATTTGGTATGTTGTGTACATCTGATACACCTGAAGGTGAGGCCTGTGGTTTGGTTAAAAACTTGGCATTAATGACACACATCACTACTGATGATGAAGAACTTCCCATCAGAAAGTTGTGTTACGTATTAGGGTGTGAAGACATCCTTGGAATTGATTCAGCCACTTTGCATGCACCAGGAAATTTCGGAATCTTCTTAAACGGTACCTTAGTTGGGTCTTCCAGATTTCCTGCCAAATTCGTTAATGATTTCCGTCAATTAAGAAGAACTGGTAAGGTTTCGGAATTCGTTTCCATCTACACCAATACTCATCAAAGAGCTGTGCATATTGCCACTGACGGTGGTAGAATTTGTCGTCCATTAATTATTGTCGAAAACAACATCCCCAGAGTCAAGGCTCATCATTTGTTCAAGCTTCAAAATGGCGATTGGGACTTCGATGATTTCTTGTCCCATGGTTTGGTTGAATACTTGGACGTCAACGAAGAGAACGATTCGTTAATAGCATTGTATGAAAAGGATCTTGAAGAGAATGCTGCTAATCAAGTGACCCATTTGGAAATTGAACCTTTTACCGTGTTGGGAGCCGTTGCGGGATTGATTCCATACCCTCATCATAACCAGTCCCCAAGAAACACCTATCAATGTGCTATGGGTAAGCAAGCTATTGGTGCTATAGCATATAATCAATTCAGAAGAATTGACACCTTGTTGTATTTCATGGTTTATCCACAACAACCTATGGTTAAAACCAAGACTATCGAGTTAATTGAGTACGATAAGTTACCAGCCGGTCAGAATGCCACTGTGGCTGTTATGTCGTATTCAGGGTACGATATTGAAGATGCGTTGGTCCTCAACAAGTCGTCCATTGATCGTGGTTTCGGTCGTTGTCAAGTTGTTCGTAAGAACACAATCCAACTTAAGAGATATCCAAACCATACCAAGGATATAGTGTCTGGTATGAGAGTGGACGAGGAAGGAAACGCCATTTTCCCCCATAAAGCCTTGGGACCAGACGGATTGGGTGAAATTGGTGCCAGAGTTGAAAATGGACAAGTTTATGTCAACAAGTGTGTTCCAACTAATGCTGGAGAGTCGGTATTGGGCCATAATGAACAAGCACAGCAAGCAGAGAGTCACAGAGAGACTCCTGCTTACTACAAGGGTCCAGAGCCTTCCTATGTGGATCAAGTCATGATGTCTGTTAGTGACAATGACCAGGCCTTAATCAAGGTATTGTTGAGACAGACCAGAAGACCAGAATTGGGTGACAAGTTTTCTTCTAGACACGGTCAAAAGGGTGTTTGTGGTATTATTGTCCAACAAGAAGACTTACCATTCAACGATCAAGGTATTTCTCCTGATATTATTATGAACCCACACGGTTTCCCATCTCGTATGACGGTTGGAAAGATGATTGAGTTGATTTCTGGTAAGGCCGGTGTGCTCAACGGCTCCTTGGAATACGGAACCTGCTTTGGAGGAAGCAAGTTGGAAGACATGTCTAAGATCTTGGTCGAAAAGGGTTTCAGTTACTCTGGTAAGGATATGTTGTACTCGGGTATCACTGGTGAATGTTTGCAAGCATACATCTTCTTTGGTCCAATCTACTATCAAAAGTTGAAGCATATGGTTTTGGATAAGATGCATGCCAGAGCCAGAGGTCCTAGAGCTGTGCTTACCAGACAGCCGACCGAAGGTAGATCCAGAGACGGTGGTTTGAGATTGGGAGAAATGGAGAGAGACTGTGTTATTGCCTACGGTGCCTCGCAATTGTTGTTGGAGCGTTTGATGATTTCGTCCGATGCATTTGAGGTGGACATTTGTAACAACTGTGGTTTGATGGGCTATAACTCGTGGTGTACTACCTGTAAGAGTTCCGAGCACATCATCAAGATGACCATCCCCTATGCTGCCAAGTTGTTGTTCCAGGAACTTATTTCCATGAACATTGCTCCTAGATTGAAGTTGGGAGACGTTTTTTAATGTATATAGACCTGAATGCAAAGGTAGGATCAGGAGAAGTGTAGAAACGTCTACAGGAGTTGGGGCAAGAGATAGTTGAGGTGGAAGTGTCCCACAATTAATTGACGTGGAAGTGTCCCACAATTAATTGCCATGTGAAGAATCCTACGTTTCTCGGTTATAACGTTGCAGTATGTAACAATAATTGCATAATTCTGTCTTGACTATCATAATTCTAACACAACGGCTCGTTCTAGCCATAACGTCGCTAATTCTGTCACAATGGTGCATCCTAGCCCTCGCCTAGTCTTCAAAGTCCTTATTTGGAGTTCGCTTCTACCACCAGATGTGCACTAGAGGCCAATCGACTAAACTCTACAGCCAAGGCAGCATCATAATTCCTGCCATAACCCTCTGGCACTTCAACTGTCTTCCTCCCTGGCATTTTCTCACTAGTAGTGCCCGTAGTGGTACGAAATTAGCGAGGCCTCGCGAGCCACCGCGAAAAGCCCCCCTGCACCACCACCACTACGACCATATCCCTGCCGACAGCTGCAGCGCTGATCTTCCAGTAGCTGTCCTGCTGTGGGGGACTGCCAACACCAGCCCTCCTCAACAAACACCAATCGGGCCCCAATTAGGTCCCAAACGGGCCCAAAACTGCTACGCCTCGCACAATGGCCCCGGCTGCCCCATCTGCACCCCAACTCCTCTTTCTCGCTACTTGCAAACCGTTGCGCGATCTCGCTCGCCAATTGCATCTGTCGCTACCGCTAGCACGAGCCACGCCGGGGGACTAGTGGCGGCACTACTACAATCATCTGTCCAATAATGGGCTACTTGCCCTAACAAAGTATGCTCAGATACAAGCCCTCTATCCGCTAGCGAAGTTTCGAGGCGTTAGCGCCCACTAAATGCCTTTCGTCCCTTTGACGAAGAAATCGTGACTTAGGCGAGCCGTACTAGCCGATTCTCAATCTCGCTACAGTGCCCGATTTCTTTGGCTGCTGCCAGCACGCTACCTCACCTGCACTCCTCCCCTCAACCCACCAAGCATCCCGTGGGGATCTCTATTGTTCTCTACCAGCCAGCAGTAGGTGACCAGGCAGGGGGCGGTCACGTGACGCACATCGCGTGATGGTTGCCAGCTGCACTCCAGATCATGTCTTACCTGCCCATATCATCTGAGCCCCACACCTGCTGCTCCATACACCCTGCTTTCCCCCGATGTATAGCACGCCCCAACCCACCCGGCTGTTGTTCCAGCCCAGGCTCCTCCTCACCTTCTTGGTGCTCTTGGCGCTTATCCTCACCTACCGCACCAGAAACGACAATGGCCTAGCCCTTGAAGACGCTTTGTACTTGACCAAGAACTCGCTCAGGGAGCTCAAGCAGCTGTACTTGCCCTCCAAGGAGCAAAAGCTCCACCATGACGCGGTGGAAATCGACTACCCGCTCGGAAACGCCGTCAATTCGTTTCTCCCCATAGACGCCACCATCAAGTACAACACCACGGAACGCTCTGGCAACATCACCACCAACGAGCTCAGAGCACGCTACGCTGCGTTCAGCCCCATTTTGAACCACCAGGTCAGGGGAAACTTCCATATCTTGGCTGACGGTGCCTGTTCTCCCGTGGAGCTAGGGGAAGAGCACACCAACAAGATCCTCATTGTGATGCGAGGCAACTGCACGTTCGTAGAGAAGGTCACCAACATCCTTGGCTCCAACTCGAAGCCGCTCGCGGTGATCGTGGCCAACGACGAGCCCTACCGCGGCTTGGTGACCATGTTCTCCAACTCGTTCAACCAAGACGGCTCGTTGCGGTTGCCAGTGATGTTCGTGTCGTACGAGTCGTACCAGTCGCTCCTGGCAGTGGAGTCGCTCGATGTGGTGTTGACATTGTCCACTGCGTCTTTTGGGAGCTGGCTCAGCATCATGCTCTCGATGATCTTGTCGCCCCCTTTGTTGATCTTGATCTTCTACTTGGTGGTGATCTGTGGCCAGAATATCAAAAAACGCCAGGCCAGCTTGCTCAACTCCAAGTTGGTTCGGGAGTTGACCGTCTATATCTTCAACAATGACCACTTGATCGAGGCAAACGGGTTGGCCCACTATTTGAAGGTCACAGGCCAGACCACCAACACCCCCAAGGATGACTCGCTCGTAGAGTCGCCCTCCACGAGCACAACCTCGTCAACTTCTCACTTGAACAAGATCATCATCAACGGGATTGATATCAGAGAATCGGCCCAAAACTTACATGTGTTGACTGCCCCTGGCGATTTCTATCCATCCTACAAGTGCTCTATTTGTTTGGACAAGTATACTCCTTTGCACTCGAGGGTTTTGATCTTGGACTGCAAACACTTCTACCACGAGCGGTGCTTGTCTAACTGGTTGATTAACTTCAAAAGAAGCTGTCCATTGTGTAACACGGTGATCAGTGCCCCCAACGAGTCTCTTCTTGCTGGTCAAGACAGAGCATTCCATTACGGCAGCACCGATAACGACCTTGAGGCCCAGAATCTCGAAGTTCTGGTTCCTGGGGTCCACGACGCAGAGTCCCTCCACTTGAGCCGTCCTATCGACTACACTTACGTCAATTCTGACGAGGTGGACCATATATTCAGCCCTGATGAGCAGTACCACAGCGATGGATCCTCACAGGACCCCGGGTCAGAAGGGGAGTTGGAACACTTTCGTGGTGAACGTTCCCAGGACCATGAGCTTCCCTTAACAGACTCAACCCCGAACCAGGACTTCGATTTTGTCTCCAGTACCTACCACACTGACTCTTCCCAGTTCGAAGGTTTACACCTGCTGACTTCGGCGCTGGAGTCGCAAGCATCGGATTCCACTTCGTTCTACTCGGCGTCCAGCGAAATTGCTGCCACCACCCCACCAGCAAACACCTCGTCTCGTCGGTTCTACTCCAAACCACTGCATATTTTGAGCCAGTTTTCGTCAGCATCCACCCTCAACCAGTCGGAAGGCCGCGACCTCAGTGTGAGTATTGACACCTCCCATTCCCATTTCGCCACGCCCCAAAACTCGCCTGGTGTTACTGTGGAACGTACTCCTTCCCGGTCCAATTCCATAAGCAGCAACGACACCATCCACCTCGACGCTGTCTAGAGGGCCCAACAATGTAGAGTATTAAATACGTTCTACAAGTATAATTCTCAAATGCCTGTAATGATTCTCGATTCCGTTTGCTGGTCGTGCTAATGAAGTATTGTCTAACAATTAGCATTCCTTCCGGTATGTATCTCTGCCCTGAGTCCCAATATTCTGGATCCTACTATATGAGCACTAGAATTTGCCAAGTACACATTTGTGGTTTCGCCTAGGTGAAACCATTGAGAGTTCAGCAACAATACAAAATGCTAATTCTCTATCCCGGTAGGTTCTCGTGATATGCTTACTGCATTGGTTTGCACTTATGGGAGAGATATTGAATAAATAATCAATGGTTAGGCTTCTATTACCCAGATTTTTTGCAAAGCCGGTATCATAGTTAACTAGGTAGTTTTCATTGCCTAGCTCCGGAATCTCGAGGCACTTTCTCGGTATTACATCTATGCAGAGATGAGTCGCTAAAATAAGACGCTTGAAAGTGTATAGAAAAATGGAAAAAATCAAAGTGCAAATTGGTAAGAACTACATTTTGCTGGGATTCCTCTATAAAACTATTAATGTTCCCAATTTCTATAGATCCAACATCTATAACATTGAAACAGTGCAGTAGTAAGAGAAATGGCAGAATCAATAAATGGGCTGGATGTGTATTTACCACAATAATATGACATCATCCAGGTAACCTAGGAGACATGTAAAAGATGCTGAATATGGATTACCATGACACTATGATATCATCCAGAGTAGCTAAGAGAAAAAAAATTGGCTGAATGTGGAGTTACCATAATAAGTTACGAGCATTGAAACGATTTAGCCACAACCACATCTGATCCAGATATACTTTTATGCGCAAATGAATATTAAACCACTAAGCTAAATAATATCTGCTGTATCCACTACGACTTTTATTGTAGATTTTGGTGTTAACCTTATTCTTTGGGTGTAGAATCTTGGTGTGGAATTATTATCACTCTCTTGAGAATTAATTGAGTATCGATCTTCTTCCTGTTCGAATAGCGATTTTCTAAGTATCGGATGGTACGAGCAAACAATAGATTTTCTATGTAATTAATTAATGATTTGGATGGTACAGCAAGAATGCATTTCCAAGAATTATTCTTGTAACCTCACTGTTCCAGAGTGCAATTTAGGATTTAATCATGTAATGGCTATTATGTGCTTGCTACAAAATTAATCAATCTATCTGTCCCAGTGGGCCTTGTAAAAGTTCACGCTTTCGGGTGGTACGTGCTTTCTTCCTTGCATATCCACCCCACACTGCACAGCTTCCGCATTTTCCCGCTGCCACCCAGGTCCTGTTGCTCCCGATCGCCCCGGAGAGACTCGGCATGTATTCTCGATGGTGCGCAGATCGCGGGGTCCAGAGACTACCCACCACCGGTCACGTGCCACCCTGGGGTAACAAAAATTCCGAACCTCTCACCCTAAACGAATTTACCCACACTCTTTGGACATCGCCACCGGCTCAATGTACCATAGCGCAAGGCTGCATCCGAGCTAGATATACCCCAACCACGTCCAACTCGAGCTACCACCAAAATGGACCCCTCAGACTCCCCCGAAAACGTCAAAACCGAGGAGTCCCGGAGCTTGGCCGCAACAGACGACGACATCGGAACCAAATCCACCCCTACCAACGGCGGCACGGCTCAGTTCGCCAGGTCCCAGTCGCAGGACCGTGATGGAGACGGTGAATGGTCCACGGAGGAGAGCTCCCACGATGTCAACAACGGATCGTCGTCCTCCTCCGACAAACCCACCCGGAAGCGGAAGAAGAAGGTCGAAATCGCGTGTGTGTACTGTCGGCGGTCGCACATGATCTGTGACGACTCGAGGCCGTGCCAGCGATGCATCAAGCGAGGAATCGGCCACTTGTGCTATGACGAGCCGTCGAATCTCCGCCAGAAGAAGAAGGCAGCGGCGCTCCGCAAAACCCCCAGTGGCAGTGGTAAGAACAGTCCCCCAGAGAGCCACCAAAGCCCTCTCAGCCAACCTGCGCACGCAGCTCCGGGAATCGCCAGTGCGTCTCCGGGACTCAAGGACGAGAAGCTCCAACCTCTTCCCCAACCCCCCGCACCAGCTGCAGCCCTGCAAATCAAACCACCCACCCAGGGAGGTCCTCCCAAAAGTATAAATAACTCGGTGTTGGCCCAGACCTTGCCCTACAACCAGGAACCATTCTTCTACTCGGAACATGCAGGAAGTGAATTCAGTTCGTTGAATGATTTCCTTTCCATGATCGATGACCCTGAGCTCGTCAACGGAGCCTTGAACGACGACGGCACCGGTGCGGACCTGGTATTGGGCTTTGGTATCGCCAACGACCAGTCCAGCGCCTCCAACGCGCCTGGCATCACTTCTGGACCGGTCTTGAACTTCGGTGACGTCTCCACAAGCGAAGCAAACAATAACTCAAACAACATTAATACCATCCTTTCGTTCTCGCCCAATTCCAACATGTTCCCACCCAATTTCCAGAATGAAGGCGTAGACCAGCTCCAAAATATTGCCCAACAGCAATTGCCACAACCAAACCAATTTATAAAACCCACCAGTGCTCCTGCATCGTTCCCCAACCCCAGCACACAGCGCACATCGCTCTCGGGGCCAGTGCCGCCTCACAAGGCACAATCGTCGCAAACAACCGACCCCCATCAGCCAGTAATCTCCGACTCTGCCAGAGACAAGTTCTTCCTCACAGCAGCAGATCCAACTACAGAAATTTCGCCAGAAGAGAGATTGAAGCAAGTCATCAAAGCGAAACTCGAGGCTGGCTTATTGCAACCATACAACTACGCCAAGGGTTATGCTCGTTTACAGAGCTACATGGACAACTACATGAATGTTTCAAGCAGACAAAGGATCCTCAAGCCGCTCTCAATTTTCAGACCTGCCTTCAGGGCCATTGCACGGACCTTAAAGGATGTGGACTTGGTGTTGGTAGAGGAAAGCTTTGAAAGAATGTTGTTGGACTACGATCGTGTGTTCACCTCCATGGCAATTCCAGCGTGTCTCTGGAGACGTACAGGAGAAATCTATCGGGGTAATAAAGAATTTGCATCATTGGTGGGAGTCATGACGGATGACTTGAAAGACGGAAAGTTGGCCATATACGAGTTGATGAGTGAAGAGAGTGCTGTCAACTTTTGGGAAAAATACGGGGCGATTGCCTTCGACAAGGGACAAAAGGCTGTTTTAACAAGCTGCAATCTCCGTACCAGAGACGGAATCAAAAGGAAGAGTTGTTGTTTCAGCTTCACCATTCGGAGGGACCGTTACAATATCCCCAGTTGTATTGTTGGTAACTTCATCCCCATCGATCCATGATCTCCCACTCGTCAGCCAAATAATTACCCTTAAAAGAGGTGCTGTGGTTAATTCGACCTAAAGGACATTTCACAAAGGTTCATCACATCTGGTGGCGCACCACTACATCATGCTAGTTCGCTAGCTTTGCATAACTTGATTGTAACACTTTGTATTATATAAACTATCTATAAATACACGACATAGGTCGCACCATTAAGCTACGGCTGTTTCACTTGCAATAGCCGTAATTCCGCTAAGATGTATTACTTGGTGGTCTTGACTCTTCGTCAGAGATTCGATGATTCTTCCAGAGGATAGATATTCCTCAAACTTCAATGCTTTAAAGCTCTTTACTCTTCATCCTCCTCTTCTTCATCTTCGTCCTCTTCCACTTCCATTTCAACGTCTTCGTCATCCTCTTGTTCCTTTTGCTCCTTTCTAGCGGCTTCTTCGTCAGCCATTGCCTCTCTTAACAATCTGAGCTTCTCTTCCTTCACTTGTCTTTGAACACTGACGTATTGACCCAATGGAGTCTTGGTACTATCTAAGTCCTTCAAGAACAGTTCGACTTCAGACTTGTTGGAAGGACCATACTCGACGTTGGATCTCTTCTGCAAAATGAAAGTGGAGTTGGCATTCAATTTTTCAACCAATTGTTGCAACTGCTTGTTGAACTTGATGTTCTTCGACTTCTTAGTGAATCTTCTGAGGATCAAGATGGATGGAGTTGCCAACTCTGGGAATGCAATGCTTTTGGCATAAATGTTGAAGAACTCGGCGGTCAACTCAACAAAGTGCTCCTCCAAACCTTGTTGGTAGGTTCTGGTGTTCAAATAACCGGCAGAGACCTTGATATTGTGCTCGAAATCAAATTCTTGAAGGTTAGACTTCTTGGAAGCAATTGGCTTGGTGAAAATGGTGGAGGTCAAGATCTCACTGAGCAATGGGAAAACGGGAATGTATACTCCAGTAGTCTTGGACATTCTCAACAAGGACTTGATGAGGTAGAATCTCAATGGGAAAAACTGAGCAGTAGGAATTAATCTGATGGTTCCCAAGGTGACCTGAACCAATGGGTAGATCAATTGGTGCAACGAGTTTTCGGCCTTCTTAGCCCCTTGCTCTGTGGCAGCACAGTGGATACTCAACACTCTTGACCAGAAGTCCAACGAGTGGCAGTATTGCCAGTTGTAGATCAATTTGTGGGCATCCTTGGGCGAAGAGTTGGCAGTCTTCTTCGTAGTGGCATTTATACTACCTCTTAAATGTATAGCCAACTGTCTGACGTACTCAAATCCAATTTGGTACGAAAGAACAGGGTTGATACCAAATAATTCACTGGCGGAGTTCTTGCAGAAGTTGATACCAGCCATGGTGTGGGCGTTGGTTTGAAGACAGTTCTTAACAAACGAAGAGTAGGTGGACTTCAAGATGGTTTCCAAAACGGACTTTGGAAATTCTTTGGCCACGTTATTTAAGAAAGCAAAGGTGGCAATCTGAGTGTCCAAACTTCTCGAAGTAGACCATACTTGGGTAACTGCGTTCAAAAGCTCCTTGAGCAATCTTCTGTATGAAATATAGTATGGGAAAACTTCTTGCAACGATGCCAAAATCAACGAAGCAGTCTCGGTATTGGTGATATCCTTCAACAAGGTTATGTAACAACCAGCTTGGGACTTAAGTATACTAGAAATTTGAGACAACCACTGGTTCTTTTGTGGCAAGCTTCTGACTCCGCTTGGACTGACTTTGTACTTGATCAACTTTTGGATGGCTTGGGGCAATTGCTTCAATGCTAGGACCATCAACTCAGAAAATGCTTTAGGATCGGTGATGGAATATTTGTATTCGTCGGTCTTGGTGTTGGTGATGTTGACTGCTGCCTTGAATGCGATAGCGATGGTCTTGATTTGCTTAGCAGTAGGCTTTTCAAGGTCAGCCTTCCACTTTCTGACAAGTTCCAAAGTTATGGTGGTTTTGGAATCGGTGGCCTTCTTGGGCTTTTCGTCTTCATCTTCCAACTCTCCCTCGTCAGCTTCGGCATCCTCTTCGTCACTGTCTTCCATGGCATCTAATGGGTTGATACCCTCGAAATCTAAAAGCTGGTCGTCGTTGTTCTTCAAGTACTTGTAGAATTCAGGATCGTTTTCAGCCAATCCCTTCATGGTCTCCTTCATTCCTTCGGCATCTTCTTCGTCCGAAGAAGACTCGTCCTCGGACTCTTCGACTGGCTTGTTCTTGTTCTTCTTTTCCTTTGGAACTTCGAATCCACTCTCGAAAAATTCATCTACTGGCATGTCTTCAAAGACTTCCTTGGGCTTCTTTGGCTCTTCATCTTGAGTCTTTCCCTTTTTTCTGGAAGCAAACTTCTTGTTGTGCTTCTGGACCTCCTTACGGTGCTCCAATGTGTGCTTCAAGTGTTTCGACTGAAACTTCTTGGTGGATTTGGATGTCTTAGCCATGGTGGTTAGTGTAGAGTATAGTTTGAAATGAAAAAAAATGCGATGAGATGATTATGTCGTGCGGAGGAGCTCACTGCGAGATGAGCGACATATCAGAGATAGATGAGTTCTACACCATTCTGCAGTCTGCTAGAAGGAAAAGTAGCAGGATGCCGTAAGCCTGGCTCCCTAAAAGCTCCTCCCACAACTCGTCTATATCTCCCAGGATGGGCCCAATAAAGGCATGGTATGCTTACGTAATCGAGGTTTCAGCCACCCAGATGTGCATCTCCTAGCTACAGTCGTTGTAAGTCTATCAAATCGCCTTTATTGATTTTTGTCATTGGTGCCAGCGAGCTGACAACTCAAGTATTAATTTTAGAAAAATTCCAACTTCCTCGTCCGACTATTCAACTTCTGAATCGAATTGTTCTGATATTGATATAAATAACGTGACGAATTACACGTACAATGCCCTAGATTGGACATCGTAGACCCTCCTGAAATCCATCTCTATCTTCTCACTGGTATCTCCCTCCGAATGCACCACCCAACCAGTACATCAACCTATCGTACACAACCGAGTTGGCATTATGGAAGTCGATCAAATGGTCACTGTCGGGAAAGAATGTCACATCGTAATTCTCAACATTATTCAAATTATACTTGTCAAGTAACCAGAGCAGGTTCTGCAAATGAACATTATCGTCTGAAGTCCCATGCATGATTAGGAACCTCTTCAACTTCTTGAAATTCTCATACTGTGATATTCTAGCAGTCGTTTCATAATTCTTATTCTCTGCTGGAAGGCCCATATACCTTTCGGTGTATATGGAATCGTAGAAAAGCCAGTTCGTGACAGGAGCCACTGCCATACCATACTTAAATGTGTTTCCTGAATCGTACTCAAGTACTTTCAAGGTTGTAAATCCTCCATACGACCAGCCCCATATAGCCGTCTTCTCTTCGTCGATGAGGTTCTTGTTCACAGCAATATATTCTGAGACTACTGTGGTAATGTCACGGGGCTCCCAGTACCCAATACGCCCCTTGGCTGCTGCCTGGTAGTCCCAGCCACGTCCCCCTGTCCCTCTGGGATCAATTATCAATACTATGGTGTCTAGTTTTGCGCTGACTATGTCCTCCAATTCAATCTTAAAAGACTTGTCCACCACTTGCGATCCAGGTCCCCCATAAGCATTGACAAGTAGCGGGTACTTTCCCCTTTTTGGGTCAAACCTGGGAGGTAAAATCTCAATAACACCTACTTTTAATGGAGTATTGTCCAGGTTTTTTCCAATTGTGATTTCCCGATAGACCCTAGTGGGTATATTTGTGTCCTTTAACTTTTCTTGAAAAGCCTCGTAACGGTTTATGTAAGGTTGACGAGCTATGTAGTTACTGGGCTCATCGTCTTGTGCATATCCATGCAAATGATTCATGTTGACTAATTTTTGCCAGGGTTGCAACGGTCCAGCATAATTCAAATTGAGATAATGTCCATTTCTGCTGAATTCCACGTCGTAGACTCCTTCTGAATCGATATCGGTTATCTGGATTAATTTCGCTCTCTTTTCTGAATCCAAATCTATTCCGATTAAACTTGTTTCCAACGCACCACGAATAGTGCATAGGGTGTAAACGAAGTTATTTTCCTGATCAAAGACTGCTGGTGAAGAAGAAACCACTTCCCATTCAGATGGCCTAGTGAGTAACACTGAGTAATTCTGGGAGTTTGCACTATCGAACAAAGCTAAACTCAATTTTCCATTGGCCACTATTTTGTCGATGTACTTATTTTCTCCATCTTTACCTGGAACTACTGTCACCGGAGTCATCTTATCAACCCAACCATTGTAATCCGCAGTATCCTGTACATTCACAACGTGAATCTGGTTGGAATCGTGGGGCCTGTACACCATTTTCTTCAATATTTTACTTGTTCTGTCTGCATGTTTCATAAGGAAGTTCTTGGAGTCTATCCATGATCCAGAATAGAAGATAAAATCGTGTCCAAGATCACGAGTCGGGTGGATTATTTCGAGCTTTGTGGATTTCTTTTCTGATACTTTGTAATTATTGATTGTGGCTGTGGGGTTTGCAGTTCCTGGTTTAGGGTATTTGATAGTGGTCTTGATTGGATATTGATTGACATTATCCACTTTAAGCTGTTCGGATTCGTCGTACTGGGTTCCCACTTCAACTCTATCTTTGACATAATAATCAAGTTGATACTCTTGCACGTCTGTGTCATTCAACGTAACATATACGAGGTTTGCTTGGTCTGGCGACCACCAGAACAACTTGTAATCTGACACAACCTCCTCCTCATACACCCAGTCTGGCTTTCCGTTGAAAATATGCTTCGATCCATTGCTGGTAATTCGGTCGACATGTCCCGATTCCAAATTTTGAAGGTACAAGTCATGATTAAACCCGAAGACGATGTAATCTCCGTTGGGAGAGAACTCAGCAAAATGCAATTTGTCCAAGACTTCGGCATCCAAAGGATTATCGGGGTTTTTCAACTTTTCAAGGTTCTCTGGGGGCTGGATTGGAGAGAAAAATCCGTCTCTGTATATCCAGTAGATTGCAAACGACAGGTGTCTCCATTGCTTGAGACTGTCTGTTTTCACGATGTGCGGAGTTCGAGGAAGGTCCCAGGGTTGGTTTGGGTTGAGTTGGACCCCTTCCACGTAGAAGAAATTGTTCTTGTAGGCAAATTGAGTGCTGGAAATGAAGTCTTTCGTGTAATCAGTGTCAATTTGCCGGACCACAAACGATCCCTTGGGCCCCCTGGTAAGGTAGTGACCTCCGTCAGTGTCTTCAGAAGCGCTGGATTGTTGCTGTTCGGGGTTCAACCACGTAATTGGCTCTCGGAACGAAAAATATCTGCCCTTGCGGTAGTCTGTTAGCGAAATGTTGGTGAATTTAGCACTGTACTCGTTCAAAGTGACGTTCTTTCCGCTCACTGCGATGGTGGGGTGTTTGTTGAGCTCACTGATGATCTTCAACGGCGACTCGTGGGCGTACACCACTAGCCCCACCACCCAGAGGCCTATACAGGCCAAACCAATGATGGTGCACCAGTACTTTCCCAACCTGCTGGGGCCCTGGTACGAGTGCAACACCCGTTGGAAGAGAGGACTGTAGTTAAACGACTCGTCTTCGTGGCCTGCCTTGGAGCTGTACTCGTGGATCTCGTCAAACAACACTGAAGACGTGGACGATGTGCTGGAGGTGGAATTTCGGGAATTTCTGGGGGAGTGGATCGAGGGTCCTGCCTCGAGTTCGACCGGCAATTGGTCCACCATTTCGTATTCTTCTACCGGCAGCGGCATGGCACGTCCAGGCTCTGGCTATTTATACGGTGGGTCAGATGGTGATCTGGTGTGGGAGCGGGTGCATTAGCTCCAAATCGATACCTGTTATAGACACATAAGGACCACTTCAGACGCGGGCCCAACCTGCAAACGGATATCGGGGGATGGGGCCAGTTTTGAGTCATTTTGGGGGAAGAAACCGGGATAAAACGACTTTTCCATACTTCTCTGTGACCAGGGGCGGCTCGTGGAGGTCTCAGCTCTTTTGGGCCTCGGAGGCAGGAGTTGTGCCTGTTTGAACCTCGCTGGTGGACCCTGGTTTGATTTGCAGGTTCGCACAAGCATAGCCCAGACTGGACTCTCCGACGCCTAATATCGAGAACAGACTCCAATACGTGCAAACAGCCTCTATCCACCTGCTTGCGTGCAAATAGCGACCTTCATTGGGCCCCACTACGTACTCCAAACTGCATTCTGTGAAATCAGCCACTCAAATCCTACATTTTTGCCCGTTTTGATCCCGTTCAGACCAGCCAGTTCCATCCATGCCCACCAACCATGAGCCATAATCACCACAACCAGTCAATTGCACTCTACTCGAAGATATTCGGGTCCAGGGACTCCAAAGACATCGGCTTCTATCCCTCCATATATACTACTCCCGTTCACGCCAACGCGTTGCGGTCGGTGTTGGTGGCTAACTCAGAAGTCATCGGAACATTGACGCCCAGGTCCGAGAACATCGCCATAATGAGGCAGTTGTTGCAGTCGGGAGTTCTGTTGCTTGGGGATGCCATGAAGTATCCCTCCAACGCCCAGGGTGAATTCTCCTCCAGGGACAAGAATTCCCGTGGTCCCTATCCAGAGTTAGACGATGGGGGCGACGACATAACATCGTTGAACGGCCGCGTTCTGACAGTGTCGATCGTTCTGGACCTAGATGGTGACGATATCACCACATTGACGGGAAAAGGAGAACTGGAACAAGAAGTCTCGAGCGCCAGCTCTGTCAATTCCAGAAAAAACTCTGTTCCCGACATCAAGAAATCCCCTGCCACAAAGAACACTTCAACCGAAAGAAATGAGTCAAGCTCGCCTGAGAGAACCCATTCTGGCTCTCCAATTGCTTCGGAAGGTCATTTTGATGATATTGACGACGACCTTCGTATCGAGTTGATCTCCAACATAGTGGCTGTCATACAGGTGTGGTTCCAGTCTTTGTACGAATCCAATTTGATTATCACCAAGAAAACCAAGTCCAAATCGGCCACGTCCGATGTGGCGTCAAAAATCTTCCAGTTGCCAGGCACCTCTGGTCTTTTCAATGATCAAACATTAACAACGCTTTTGAAAGAAGTAAATTGGTATTTTAACAATGCCATCAAGCATATTGAGGATTCCTCAGAAACAGAATTTCATAATCTTGTCGTAATCAAGGATATCATCTTCCTTATAGGAGATATCTTGAAAACCCTTTTTTTATCAATTTCATTCCATAAAGAATCTACCAACGAATTCGTTATCATCAAAAGCTTGATATTTTCATTCCTCAAGGTAGATCTTGCATCCACCTTTGACAGGCTTTTAAGAGTATCCAATGGGTATGTGGAACCTGATTCTGAGGAGTCAAACCCGAAATTTAGTGCTCCTAAGATCACCCTTTCTCCCGAAACACTCAATAAAGTGTTCACAATCATAGCTACGTTAGCGAACCTACCATCAAACTTATTACCCCTAAATTCTACCACACTTTCCTCGGATATAACTAATCTTATTAATGAGTCTCCCAATAGCTTTGAGCACCAATTTATTAGACAAAAATCGTTTAACTCGGTCAAATTCGTGCAAGAATTCGCTTCAAGGTATATTCCCATTTTGGCTATGACTTTTAGCTATTGTTACAACTTTAGAGAGGATCTCTTGGTGACGCAGATTCATAACTCTTCGTTCATGAACTGGTTAACCAATAACAGATTCGGTGACAATTTGTATGTCAATTATGACACAGTCCATTTAGTTACTGACTTGGACAAGAATTACGAGACTCTAAGCATAATCAGGAGAATTGATGATCCCTATTTGGTTCAACTCAAGCAAATCTACGACCACCGTCTTAAAGTTATAACGGCAAAGGAAAATGACTATCTAGAGCTTCCAGAACTTTTACCCTTAAGCATTTTATTGGCGGCCTACATAAAGAATCCATCTTTTTTGAGTATTTTTACAGAACAGCGCCATAAAATTACCAGCAAAATTGAAGATATTGATCCACTTGAAAATAAACATATTGAATTGTTTGAGATTTGGCTATGTGTTTTGTCTTATGTTTTCCAATATCAATATAGATCGGATAATATACTAACCACTACAAAAATCTCATTACTGATCTTATTGAAGCTTACTTCCCCCGTGGTGTTTGTGACACCTATAGATGAATCAGACAGTCAAGTTCAAATCTTACAAAGAGTGAAGAATTTTGAAATCAATGAATTCAAATGGAAGCTAAGTCATCAGAAAAGTCCGTTTGTTCCTAATGACCTCGGAAAATTTGGAATTAAATCCAGTTTGTTCTACATTTTGGATATAGTGCAGAATTTAATTCGTTTTAACTTGACTAACAAGTTGAACATCGAGAACATTAGAATGGCCTTGAATGTGATGTATCAAATCGTGGTGGCATTCAATGAAGACCCATCCATTGAACTACAGAGGTACGTCTGGGTGGAATTTTACACAACTATTTTCAACTTATTGAAGTTCATCAACAGACAGCAATTGATCAAGTCAAAATATTTCCAAGGTCTTAAACAAATTGGGAGCTTGAAGTCGTTGGTGGAGGAAATATTTGTGATTTTAGACTTTTTGTTGTTACCAAGATTCAATGACACAATACAATATCAAGAAGACTTAGGAGTGGTGAAGAGGTCGAAGGAGACAGATGGATCAGGGATTTTTAGGTCTATTAACTACGATTTGATATACAACATCTTGTTGAATTACGAAAGGGTCAATGAACTACTTATTGAATACGACTTGGATGACTTGGAACATTTAGGTAGGTTCAGAGATTGTCTTGAATATTTCGAGGGAAAAATACATTTGACAGAAGAGTCAAAGGTACAGAATCAAAATTCAGATAAGCTTGATTTAATTGACTGTGATTTTGACTCGCCCGAACTAGTAACCGTGATTAACGGCTTCACCTTCAGGGAAGTCCAGAATGAAGATGCACAAGATGAGGAGATCAATAAGGAAGCTTCCAAGGGCTTCAAGTTTGGTGAGACCATGCAGTATGTGAACAAGGATGTTGAAGTACAGCATCTTCGGGAAGTAGAATTGATAAAGGCATTTAATGTTGCATTGAAAGAAGAATTCAAATGAGTGCAATATCGAATGGTTACTGAAGTGAGCTTTGTCTATTAGAGTCATTAGTAATTTAACGTTAAAATAGAAATAATAGAAATACTTCACAATTGAGCCTTCGCGGATCAAGATGTAGTAACTCCCAATCGTAAGTGGAAGTCAATGCTAGAATTCCAGTGGTACCAACTGACTTACAAAAATTGTCTGATGATTTTATTTTCCGTTCCCTAATCTTGAAGTGTTCTAAAGAAGTCCATGCAAGTCGTGAAGACCACCAACAAAATACCACCACCTGGACCCAATCTCAACACCTTGGGAATGAAACCTCTATATAAAGCACCGAAGCCCTCTTCCCTGGCCACAATCAACAAGGATGGGAAGGACCATATGTATCTACTGGAACCAGCCTGGATTCTGGACTTGACGACATCAAAGGGGGTGTTCAACACTGTACCGAAGGTTCCACCGATGGTACCACAGGTCAAGTCCACGAGGGTCTTTTCCGATGAGTTCTTGGGTTGGGGCATGAGGGTTCTGACCTGGTGGATACATCCAAAATAACCAGCATTCCAAAAGATATGTCTCCACAAAGTCGATTCCAAACCCTTGTATAACCCGAGCAACCCGTCAGTCTTGACGATGTGCTTGACCACTTCGCCCATGCCGTTGAACTTGGAGGTTTTGTCCTGCAACTTGATCTTGACCAATTCGAACGGAACCACCACAAACGACTCGGTGGCTCCCGCAGTTGCACCTGTCAATACTGCCAACGATTGCGACATCGTCTGCACGCCAAACAAGTTTCTGTACACCTTTCCCCACTCGTCGTTGGCAGCAAACTTGGTGGCTCTTTTGGGGGCCTCCATCAAGATGGGGGCAGAAATGCCCTTGTAGAGTCGGGAAAAGCCCTCTTCCTTGACAATTTTCTTCAAGCAGTTGATGGTGCCTTTGTAGGCATTGGTGCTGTCCAATTGCTGTCTGGTCTTGACCACATCCAATGGGTACATCACCAAGATCTCGGAAACCCCAGCAATGGCGCCAGAGGCGAATTGGTAGAAGAAAGGTAATGGTTTAGGAGCTTCTGTCATGGTAAAGGAACAACAGACGCTGTAAGGAAGTGAAAAAGAAGTGAAGGTTAAATTAAAGATTCCCGCTGGTTGCTTAGCGCTGTGGAGGGGGATCAATGCCGGTGTTAAGTGGTCGGAAACTACCGGGCGCGATAACATGTAGTAGTGAACCCCGCGTTGGCTGGGGCCACTGGCGGCAGGAAGCCGGTACCGGGGTCACGTGACTTAACCTCTTGTGACTCATGCCAATGGGCGCCAGCGGATTGGTCCGATTGCGCTGGTGGACGAGGCTGGGCCGCTGTGCTGGGCCTGGGGGCTGTGGCACCTCTGGTGGCCAGCTGCGCTGTTGACGATGCTCTGCTTCGGCCCACCGTGGTGGTCTGGCCTGATCCATCTGGGGCCACTGAAAAAGTCACGTGCTGGATCCTGATGTCCGTGGCGCTACCACTCGCCGCTAAACCTCTCGGGAAGCCCTACCCAGAATGGTGTCCGGGTAACTCTTCGCCCTGACTATATAAGCAGCGGGATCCCCACTCTTGCTCGGTGTGCGGCAGCCAGAACTATTACCGTGTTGCTTGTCTTTTTCAGATATCCCTACGAGTTGGCGAGCGTCAAGTTCCTGGCGGGAATAACATCCTTTCGGAGATAGATCATCTTAATGCCCTTTCATTTGTCTTTTTTCTAGGGACAAGTGAGGGCTGGTGGATCAAACATTACTGTAGTGTAGCCGTGTGCTGAGTACGAACATCCAGTGCTTGAACAAGATACCTATTACATATAAGCATGCAAATGCTTGAACAAGACTGTCTGGTCTCTGAGCATCAAGATCGAGCACCAAGTTGCAAATTTCCACTTGAAAACCAGATGAGGTGCAAATTTTACATCATCTCTCAGTCTCTTTATGTGAATGTGTTGAAGCGTGAATTTGTTAATGGAACACCAAACACGCCAACACTCGTACTCGATGTAATCTTCCACTGGTACTCGATGTAATCTTCCAGAGCTGATACTTCTAGAACTCTGTAATTTCTACAGAGCTGATGCTATTTGGTACTCGACTGCAATTTCTACACAGCAGAAGCTTACTCGGCTATAAGCTTGCAGTAATAGTGATTCCAGTACTTTGAAATCTACAAGCTCCATTATACAAGCTCCATTTGGTTTTTCGTGGATTCCTCTTTTCCTTTGGTAAGGCAAGCTTTCTATTGTAGCATCGCCCAGTTCTTCTGACAATAATAACTCCAGCAAATTCGGAGAGTATCATGCTTTTGTATGTATTGTGATCGTAATTAGCTTACACCCTATGCTTCATTCCGTTTTTGCTTGTATTATGATCGTAATGAACTAATACTTTATTCTATTACAAGATTGGCAGTTTCCGCTAGCTGAAGCTGGAGCTGATAATGAGTTGAAACCACTGTAAGTTGAGTGAACTGTCGAGTTCTACTGCCACTGTTGAGCTGGTCTGCACATGCTAGTGTAGCTGTACAGTCGACCTGTTGCACTACCCTGTCGGGGTGAACTACCACTCTCAGTTCTAAACTATCCCTCTCGAGTTGAACTCGTGTCTGTCGAGATTCCCTGGTTGCCATCTTTTGTCGCCAAAGGCTCATTAGGTACTTTCTACGTCCACAAACCCAATCTGATGATTCCAAGCGACCAGTTGATGAAAAATCCCATGTATATCGCCGCCCTGGTGTGTTTGTTGAACACAGTGTCGTCCACCTGGATGAAGATAACTGCGATCACCCCCAAAAAGATTCCCAAAAGAACTCCTAAAAGGATGTCGCGGTTATCTTGCCAACCCTCCAAGTCTCCCAGGGGTGTTGTCTGTTGGGCCTCTCCGGTTCCTGCCGCACTAGGTGCCGGTACTCCAGGTACCGGTTCTCCTCCATTGTTGGTATCTCCGTTGATAGTGCTCTCGATCCAGCGGTCCTCCATTTGCCTGAGCGTATGCCTGCGAGCCTCCTCGTCCTCTAGATCGTGGATATCTGACCCCAGGTTGGTGGGGAACTGGTCAGCGTGGATCATCATGAACTGGCGCCTGAGATCGCTGATATCTTCCTGGCTGAACCCACGCTCGAGCAAGCGGTCAAAACCTATCGGCTGGGTGGTTGTGGATACCTCCTGGGGACGGTTATCCAATTGGGTTTCCTCCGCTAGTTGTTGTTTTGTGAGTTTCTCCCCGATCACACAGTGGATGTAGATCTGCTGCTCCCTGGGCTCTGTAGAGGGGTCTGCTGGTGGCTTGAGCACCTCCAGCCTAAAGTTGGTCTTATCGTTCAAAACTCGTCCGTTGTAGATCAATCTGATTCTGTTGCTGGTGCTCTGGGGCACCTTACTGCGGATGACGTTCTTGATCCATCCTGCATTGACCAACGTATTGACGTCGTCCTTGTCGAAGTTGATGGTCAACGGGATGTCCAAGTCTGGGATGGGCTCTGTTGCCGCAAACCTGATGACCAACGTGAGCTTCATGATGGTGGCAAGTGGATGGCGCTGTGGGGATAAAAGTGAGATGTGGTAGGGCGCTGGAAAATAGTGAGCAGTGAGTGGCTTTAGGGGAAAAATAGTGAGCCCGAGGGCGTGGTTGTGACACCAGGCTCGCTAGCGCGGGGGGGCCAGGGACAGCATTTGCCTGCTAGCGAGACTCCAGTATGCTCGCTCAGTAATGAACCACCCTCTAATGCCACTTCACTACCCAATCTACAATGACGGATCAGGAAGTGGGCATGCTGCTCACTAATCAGCTTGTCAACTGACTTGTTCATATACATGACTGCAACGAGTCTACCCTCCTGAGAATGCTCGCAGTGGCGATTACCGGCGATAGCGCGCTAGCACCGCCACCGCCGCTACTCACCACACGTTCCACTACACCCACCACCACTCAGTCGCCACCATCCCACTCTAGCCCTACTACGAGTCATCCACATGCACCCTCTGGAGCCGTTATCTGCCGTAATCTGCCGTAATCTGCGCAGTTGTAGCCGTTAACTGTCTCCTTCTTTGGCCCCTCCCTGCGCTGAGATACACGACCCGTCCTAGCGACACCACCAGCTCGCACCCATATAAACCTCGCCAGCCCTCGGCTCTACAAGCACCATCTACCATGTCTTCCATTGAAAAACCCCCACAACCGCTCGACGATGTCAGCTCCGACGATAAGTTGACTGAAGACAGCAGCCTCCGTTACACTGCCTATGCCAACCGAATCAGAACCATCTTAAGGGCATCTCACAGATACGTTGCTTACACCTCGGACATTGGCGAGTCATTCCGCCCAGTTGCACACCCGTTCTTGGTCAAGGCTGGATACGGTGTCTCGTGGATGTACATCTTGGGAGACGTGTCGTACTACTCGTGGATCGTGAAGATGAAGTCTGAGGGCCGCTGGGCTCCTGGCTTGAGACCTTGGGACACTAACCTCCCTGCCAGAGACCCCCAGGCCGCCCAGGCGTTCTTGGCCTCCAACCCCAACATGGTCGACAACAACTGGGGCATCTATGCTGTCAAGAGAGCGCTCTTCCAGAGTATTGCCTCCATGGGATTGCCTGCGTTCACCATCCACAGCTCGGTGCGCTACTCGTCAGTGTTGTTCAAGAACGCCCCCAAGACCTTGAAGACGTATGGTCCAGTTGGTATCGGGTTGGCAATTGTTCCGTTATTGCCATACGTGTTTGATGAGCCTGTGGAGGCCGCAGTGGACTGGGCCTTTGAAAAGGGTGAAGAATTGTTGACCAACAAGCCAGCAAAGGTATAGAATAGTGACTGATATAGTGATTTAACCTAGACACAAAATACCTCGGCTGTAGATCTGTCATAATTCATATAATCAATGGAGCTATATACATGTCCCTGGATGTACCTCGTTTCTCCTCCCCAACGTCCTGCAGTGCTCCGTGTCTCTATCTCTTCTCCTAATCTCCCTGCTGCAATACGCTGGATGAAACCATCTCCTGCAGTAGCCCCTTCTATTATTGTGGCTTGGAGTGATTCAACGTCCCACAGTGCCCGCATGTTCTGGCTTCGATATCGCCATCAAACGCAAGAATGCCCTCCTTGACCTGGGTGCCTAAGTCCACGCAGTAGAACTCCACCTCGTGCACGATTTGCTGACAGTTCAGGCAGTACCACCTGAGCTTGTCGTTGACACCCTCAGGACGATCCTGCTCAACCACCAATCCAATGGTGTCAGCAAATCTTACGGGGTTGTGAGGAGTATTTCCAGGAAGCAAGAACGAATCTCCTTCCTCGATGATAATATCCCTGAACTCTCCATCGTCCACGACTTTCAAGCACATCGACCCTTTAAACATGTGGAAGTACTCTGGCGTCTGATTGACATGATAGTCGGTTCTCTCGTTGGGACCTCCCACTATCATCACAGTGAACCCGCCACGATGAAGGCAGTAGTTATTCACGGGAGGCTGTAAGAGGTGGCCGTTCTCTTTGATCCACTTTTGGATATTTATTGGTTGGGGAAGCATGTTGGTACTAGTCGATGTTAAAACGGATGATATATGGCGGTTAGAAACCAATGGTTGTATGCAGACCATATCAGCCCATTCGCAGCAAAAATCAAAAAATAAGCTTCCCCACCAGGAGTCGAACCTGGAATCTTCTGGTTCCAACCGAGAAGTGGTTACTAAATCGTAGCCAGACGCCTTGACCATTGGGCCATGAGGAACGAAGCTTGTTGTCTCTGAGGATTATGTAACCCTTACTGTGTTTGTCAAACTAATTTCTAACTTGATTTCCCATTTCCAAGGCTATGAGAGAACATTTTCAAGGTTTTGAAAAACAATTGAAGTATAAAAGGTTTGATAATACTTCTGAAGTGTTTAAGTAAGAAAAAAAATACAAATTCGAGATTATGGATTTGGAGTTTATGGACGTAATGACGAGCGAGTTTCACCCTCCAACCACCTGCAAGTTGCCTTGTAGCACTTTCAGTCTGACTATTTGACAAAATTCAATCATCAAATGTGATTTGCTTACAACGGATGCTGGTAATGCACCGAATTGCAATTTCACCGAAATAAAAAATGTATGGTTTGAAATCTATCTCATATGCGATAAACTAATTGTGTGTTTTATATTGCTTTTAATCCTTACCCGACTCTGAAAACTGATCTAGCGACTACTCGGTCATCTAGACAAAAGTGATAATTTGATTTAGGTTTTCGTATACTAAGCTAAATTGTAAACTCGTTGTTGATTGGTATTGTTTAAAACTTGCACACATGTTCTCATATAATCCTTATATCTTGATAACATTTTTATAAAATGAATCAAAATACTAGAAATATCGCGACATGACACAGACAGCGCAATGAAGCTACAAGAACTAGAGCTTGGTCACAGAAGGTAGTGAAAGAAAGGCATTTATTATTTACAGGCTTAGGTTAAAAAACTAAGACAGTTCTGAGTAAGCACTTCCAAAACCTATGAGTTTCAAAAGTAAAGGGTACATTCCAGAATCGACTATATATTAAAGAAAACTTCGATGTACTGTATTCTCATGCTTTCGTTTGCTAAACTGAGAAGTAATCAATTCTTAAGTGGCTCCCCATTTTCCTCAGTACTTTGGTAACTGATATTTGCAGTATCTTCTTCCTGAATCAATTTTTCGGCGTCCTTCATTCCTTTTTCAAAGTCAACAAAATAATAAAGGATTATGGATGCCAAAGCCAAGAAGAGGTTAGGTAAAAATGGATATCTGTCATTATTTGTTCTGTCTTGAATGGTGGCATTCACAAGCTTTCCAATCCACCCTGTGGCAACCCCAAGCATTATTTCAAGTCCAAAATATTGTGCCTCTTCACCCTCTGGAAGCAAAGTGCTATAGACGGTTCTATTCAATGATCTCAAGGCTGAACTGCTGGCAGAATAGAAAACCTCAAAAATCCAAAATTCCCATCTATGCTTGAACCCTACCTTAGTATGAGAACTAATACCTAAACATCCCCAAAAGTTAGAGAATAATGAAAAGGCTAAGAAGCCATATCCCCAAGACTTAATTCCTATTTTAGTTCTTGGATACAACCACATCCAACATAATGAACCTATTGAAGCAACAACGTATGACATAAAGGTATACACCGTGTACTCAGCATCTGAGGATCCTAAACCAAGTGTGGATCTGAATAACAAAACAAAGACACTCAAAAAGTTACTGTAACTCACATTCCAAATAACCCACGAAACACAATATAAGAAAGCATGAGGGTACTTTTGTATGTCTTTGGTTAATCTAATGAGTCTTTTAATACTTAAAGTAAGTAAGAACTCACCTTTAGGCTTGGGTTTTCCCCTGACGCTAGGAATGAAAAACGCAGAAATGATTGAGAAAGCAACTGTAACTGCACCAGCAATGGTAATTGCCAATAAGAAGTTATGATAGCCATCCTTAATTGGTCCCCCTCTTCCATATGAAATTATGATTCCGATCAATAATGCAACGATTCCTCCAACATTTCCCAAGAAAATTCCCATGACACTAACTACTGAACCTCTTTTCAAAACCATATCTCTTCTCACTTCCTCCGCTACGGTACCTTTTGGGCTCGAAGCCCTCATAAAGAGGGGAATATAAGATCCCTCTAAAATCTGATAAATGGAATTATCAATGCTTATCAAAGCATATAAGGCAGAGAGTGCCTTCATTGTGGGATAATCCTTTCCTGTCAAACCTGCAAATGGTAAAGCAAATACACCAAACATGAAAATTGATCCAATCAAAAATAATTTCCTATAATTTGAATAGTCAGCAATTCCCATTAACAAAATTGCCACCACACCTTCCAAAGCAGTGGAAATGGCATTTAGGTACAAAACATATGAAGTAAAATGAACAGTTCCGGTACCAAATCTAACATAACAATCATTCCCTTTGAATCCACACTTGCGACCAGCTTTAGTTTTACCAACAGCTCTGGCAATCGACTGAATTGAAGCTGGGACATAGGTTCTGGACATTGATGCGACAGGACCAGTTGTAAAACATAAAAGTAACCATGCACGATAAATACTCTTCTGTGTCCAAATTGAGTTCTCAGGGTTTTCCTGATTTTCAGCATCTAAATCATTGGATCTCTTGACAGTTTCCTGAGAAGTGGTTGCAACATCTTTGGAATTCTCCATTGAAGTTATGCTTCCCTCTCTTTGCTTTGGTGAGCTACTCATTTTGTAATGTGGAAAGAACTGCAGAAACTGCCTCAATTTTTATACTTAACTAAAAAGTGGCTTCGGCAAATTAAAGTTTCCACTTCAGGATCAGATAACTATTTGAGCAAATTACCCCTACTAAAACCGTGAGCACAAAATATTACCTGTTTTAATAAAGACCGAATTCCTGAAACTCTACCTTATTTCGAACAAATTTTACAGGGTGTTATTAGAACTAAAGTTGCGGAATTATAAATTAAGAAATAATTACATGAGAGATATGAAAAATAAATCCGAAAACACTAGTATTACTTTTTTTTATTATGTTCGGCCCTCCATCTCGGCCCATAGTAGATCAATATGACTACTAAGCCAATACCGATAAGATCAATTAAGCCGAGACCGGTAAAACACCATCCGAACCCCATTTTTTCTATCAATTTATCAATAATCGCCGAAGAAATTGCAGCCGCGATGTTTCTCATGAAGTTCCCAAGAGCTACCATTGTAGCAGGCTGGCCAGTGGAGCATTCTGTTAAGTATGTAGTATTGGTCACAAAAACCCATGTCATTCCAAACCCTCCTAAAAATGTGAAAACAAAAACTGATACAACATGAACATGGTTGTTGACACACCAACCATAACCCAAAATTCCTGCCATGGATATGATCAAACCAACAATTTGGATGGAAAATCGATTTTCAGGGATATACTTTCCTGGACTTTTCTTTTCCAACTTTGCTCTTAAGTAGTCAGATATCCTTCCACCCAGAACTGATCCACTTACAAGCGAAATTCCTGGGCAAATGTAAGACAAACTAGTTTGCACGTCTGTGAAATGGTATTTGCTTTGTAGGATATGAGAGAATGTAACACTCATTGCATAAAATGAAGCAAACAAAAGACCTCCGTTGACAGAACAAAGTAAAACCGGCTTGTAAAGTGCCAATCCCCATAAACTCTTTACTCCAATTTTAGGTGGCTTCGGGTACTTAGGACTTTCAGGTACCACTTTCTTTTGAATGAGCTTAGGGGGAACAAGCCATTTACCTCGAGACTCCCAATATTCACCATTCCCTACCAAATACCGTAAAGTTTCGGGTAAAAATAATAAAATCACAACATAAACCACTGCTCCAAGTATTGCCAAAAAACCAAATATCCATCTCCACTGTCCATCTGTTGCGATAGAACTAATAATGGGACCTAGGATTGGTCCAAGTTGTGGCCCAAGCATGAAATATGATATGGCTTTTGCTCTGCCCTTTGGTGGTGTGATGTCTGCAACTGTTCCTGCCCCCACAGACATGACACATGATGCTCCGAATGCTTGTAAAATTCTCAAGAAGAAAAGAGCACCGACATTTACAGGCAATGCTGCCAATAGGATATTTGCAAGGATAAACATGATAAGGGAAATCAAATACAACATTCTTCTTCCTCCGACGTCTGCCCATGAAGCCCAGATTAGAGGGGCGACGGCAAAAACTGCCATGAAGACTGATACGGTGGCATTGATAGTTGTGGATGATACATGAAAAACTTCTTGAAGTTGAGGTAAGATGGGGATGTAAATATTTCCAGAAACAGGACCTAGAAAACCGGCCACTGTCACTATTCCTATAATCAACGAGGATCTGTTCTTGGAGAACGCCGTGTAAGGGGCTTCTTGTTGGACAGGAAGCTGAATTTCTTGATCCTTCAGAGATCCTTCCAGCGAATGGACATCCTTCTCAACTGTTGACTTAGTTGATGCAGACATATTAATTGCCAACAGGAAAATGAAAGAAGAGTATTAATTTGTAGTCGACGTTGTAACTCGCCAGAAGAGCATTTTTAGGTTTATAAACGCATAAATGCCTTTGAAACTTAGCCTTGCAACACATTTCGCAGATGCATGTTTGGCGTGTACGGGGCTCCGAACCATTGCGTAAATGGAGAAAGTATTTGCTCGCTTCGACAAAAGCTGCAAAAAGTCGGCTTAAGGTATGAATAGTGAGCAAATAAATCGATAGGGAAAGAACAATAGTATTTCAGTGTGGTTACGGTAAATTGCACGGCTAATATTTATTAAGCTTCCTATTCTTTCCTATATAGAGTTCAATGGCTCAAAATTGACCTTCAACATCATTGGACAAACGGGTCCCGCAGGAGTCAACCTTTCTTTCCATTCCGGATCTTTTAATATTCTAAAATTCAAGACCGTTTCGGCTATTAGGCATTTGACTTCGATAAGAGCAAATTTCTCACCCAAACATGCCCTCTTTCTCCCGTGAAAAGCTGGAAGCGTAGCTTCCCTCTTTGCTTGCAAGAAATTATGATTAATTTCGTCAATACTATTCCCCCACCTTCCGGGCACAAATTGGGACGCATCTTTACCCCATGAACTAGAGTCTCTTCCAGTTCCAAAGTTGTTATAGCCAACATACACCCCCTTGGGTATTTTTATATCTTTCCCAAGTATCACTGGCTGTGTCGTCCTTCGATTAATGATTTGCCCAAGGGGAGGAAATAACCTCAAAGTTTCATAGATGGTGGCTAAAAGTAATGGACTACTGCCCGCATCATCTACCCTTTGCAATTCATCTCGAATCCTGTCCTGCAAGTCGGGATGTTTGGAAAGAACATAGAACAAAGACAACATTAACAACAACGGATTCTCGTGTCCTGCAATCATAGTAATAATTGCATTGTCCATAAATTGCTGCTTATTGATCCTGCCCGTATTTAGTGCATTCAAGAGGCTATTGGTAGCATTTTTAGAGTTTCTATCCCTATTGTCCTCCAAGAGATTAGCAAAGTACTTCTTAAACTTAATAACCTCCTTCTTAGCTTTTTGTCTACTGGGAATTGGTAGACTATCAAAAGTTGGGAAATTTAAGAAAAAGGGTCTAAAGATTTGCAGCTTTACATAAATTATATTTTTATGCAAATGAGACAGCTGATTTTCCAAAGTACCAAAGTCAACACCTAATACTGATTGACCAATATTTTGCAAGGCATAGTTTTGCAACAAACTGGTTATTGATAATGAACTTCCTTCTGTTGCCACTTTATTGTGTAAAATTTGAATGAACTTTTCAGTATTTTCTTGCATATACTTTAATTCAGGAAACTGAATATTGGGACTAAGAATTTCTCTGTAAGTCTTCCATACTTCACCGTGAGCACTGATAATGTTGTCTCCCGTGTACAGAGCTAATACTGAGTTGGGGATCTTTTTTTGGTTTCCACTTTTAGCATAAATATCCTCGTGTTTGAAAACTTCTAACAAGTACTCTGGTCTAGTGACTAAAATGTTCCATCTAGAAGCAAAATATATTTTTACAGCACCATGCTTCTCTAACTTGCTTTTCAAATATTGTTCGTAAATCTCACCTTGGTCAAGACTTGTATAAGAACTTAGGAATGAAACATAAAATGGAATGGTAGGAATATTCTTAGGAAAATTTGGGGGTGGTAGTACAACACAAAGAACCTGGTAAAATACGAAGCATAGTATAGTTGAGCAAGTTATTTGAATCCAAGATGTGTCCTCTAGCATTTTTGATATTTCAGTAACACTTGAAAGTACGCTACACATGTGCATTTATAAATTTTACTAAAAAAATTGCTCTTCAAGAGATTCTTCCATTCATTCCAAAAATATTCTGCTACATTTCATAACTCAGGCGGCATTTGGTGATGTGGTAATTTTCGTAAAAGCCTCATTCTTGGTTAGGTTATAGTTTCCTAAATTTGCATTTCTGTAAATTGACATCATAGTTTCTGCCAATCAAGTGCATTAGGAAAGTATCTGTTAACCACAATTTCATACTCGTGCAACTAATACATTGCATAAGATCTTATAAATATGAATTCATTATTCGTAGCAATGTAGTTCAACAAACATGCCGGTTGGAGAGCAGAAGCTTGATGAGTCCTTTTCATCGGGAAATGATAGTGAGGAACTTTTGAAGTCTATTAAACCCAGAACTATTTTTGAACGAGTCAAGGTTATTTACACAAGGGATGAGAATTCATTTCTTAGCCACAAATGCTTCTCGTACTTGATCTCTGAAGGTTTACTTGATATGCTTAAAAATGGTAAGAGAAACATGGAGGAGAATAATTTAATCAAAGTAAGTATTGATGACGATATCGCTTGGGAATTTCGCAAAGAAGGCTATTGGGTTGGGATTATTACAAATGACCTCGAATATACAGACTTTGAATTATCATTTATCAAGTTACTTTTATCTACTTCTAGAGTGAACTTTCCAATTCAAAATGAGAATAACCAAAATATCACCTCTTTGATTGCGGAGTTATTTGTCAAGGACTTAAAAAACACAACTGAGTATGACGAGTGGCAGTTTGGAGGCTCCGACTATTTTAAGTCAGTTGTTGATTTTTTCACAAGTCGGAATACTGCCATTCAAGCAGTTCTCCCAGCATTTCCATGCAAATCGTCAAATCTTGAGAAAGTCTCAGGACCACTTCCCGACAGAGGAGAGCAGATGGCTCTTCAGAAGCTTATCACATTTGCACGAAAAGTGAAGGAAATATATAAACCAGGGATAAAACTTTGGATTGTGAGCGATGGACATGTTTTCAGTGATTGCAGTAAGTACATTCAGAGGTTATTAAAGACTCTTACTAACTTATAGTTGCTGTCGACGACGACCAAGTAAATGTGTATTCATCAGCACTAAAAAACTTGTATCAAACACTTAAATCAGATGATGAGGACCCAATTCAATTTAGTTCGCTAGTTGATATCTTCTCCTTGAATAACTCACTGTTCAAGGAGACTACACTAAAGGATATCCAAATTGGACACTACTTGGACACCAAAATTGACGAGGAGGCTGAAATCTGTCGAAAAATCTTGGTGACAAGTTGTGATACCGATAGTGGCTCTTTGATGAGGGACATTAATACTCCTAAACACCCTAGGCTATATTTGTACAGAGGCTTTTCAAGATTCATGACTGAGGACTTGGAATTTCATCCAATCGCTACCAAGTTGTCCAGAAAGAAGTTTAAAAAGATAATCTCTAAGGTTGCCTTTGAGATGATCAAAGTACGTATTTACTCAATTTCTTGACCTTGTTTATTACTAACATTCAGCGAAACGACGCATATTCGAACTTGGTTGAACTATTTTTTCCTTTTTGCTTGAGGTTATCCATTCATGCTCACAAGAATTGTGGCCCTAAGTTCGGTATAAAACTTCTTGATTCGAACAATTGTTTAGTCATTAACTCTCTTGAAGACCACAAGGCGCCCATACTCACCGACTTGTTACATATACCAACTCCATGGCATAACTCAATTGTCGAAATTGACGATAAGAAGGTTTTGTATGCCATCAAATCTGGTCATATTAAAAATGGTCTTGAGCAAGGAAAAGGTTCCGGAGGGTGGAACCTGGAAAAAATGTGCTTTGAGCTAAAAAATTTGAAATTAAATTAAGCGCCATTGCTACCGTTGAGGCTTCGCCTCCTGGATTCTAAGAATTCTTCATTTTTGTATGTCGACTGTTTCCATTGTATTAATTGAAAAAAATGTAACAATTTTTAAGCCATTCCAATTTTACACTAAAAATGGTAATTTGAGTCAAATAAGATTTGCTTTTGGTAAAAAAGTTTCTCTCCCCTGTACTAAAACCTGCATGAGTAGCTAGTGAAATTTCTATTCCGTATTTGTGAATTATTTTGGTTCATGCACCGCTGATGCTGGATCCGCTCAATTAATTGGCTGACCCCAACAAAATAAACCGTTTTGACCGTTAGACATAACATCGCGGTAGTGAAGCAATTCTTGTAGGTGTCTGAAAACTGATTGGTCACGTGATATTGAAACGCGTAGACGAGGCTAGATCAGTAAGGTCGATTCACCATCGTTACCAGTATCAGGATGTCCCCAACTCCATTACAAATCAAGATCAATGCTTTAAAGAGACTTATCAAGGAAGAGTCCTTGTACAAGCAAGAAGTGCAAGAGCAAGAAGAATATGTGAACCAAATGAGAAGCAATAAAGCAGACGAGTACGAATTGAAGAAGCAAGTGGAAGTGTTAGAAGAAGCGAAGAGAATGGTCCCAGAAGTTACCAAAAAGATCTCTCAACATAGAGAAGCCTTAAGGGTGTTTTTGGACACATATAAGGGTGAAGAGGATGTGGCAGCTGCCAAAGAGTTGTTAGCTTGATCAGAGTACAGCTAAGATATTCAAGCCTAGTAGGGGATTGTGCCCATTCATGGGTGGCAAGTATCAGATTCTCTCAGTAACTAAGTAAGACAAACGGAAACTCTCAAAAATAGGTATTCCGCTGCTATTACAATACAATACATGCAATACTAAATTCAAAGCGAGTGACGTAGATCATAACTAATGAGGCATCTTGGGCATCTCTAATGTTCCAAGATGGTCAACTTACCAGTGACAACAACGTTCTCAAGGATGGAACCGTTAGGAATGTCAATCTTTTCACCGTCGTTACACACGATAATAACAGTACCCTTCAAGGTGACACCTCTACCCAAGTTGACGTTACCAGTAATGGTCAAGTGGTCCAATTCCAAGATCTTAGGCATGTGAGGAATTCTTGATTGGAAACCACTAACCTTCTTGAAGTGGGAACCCAACTTGATCAATGGGTTGGAGAAACCATCTCTGGTTGGGTCCAACTTCAAAGCACCGTGTTCCAAGTAGAACAAATCGGACTTGACCAATAACAAGTCGGAGCAGGTCTTGACTGGCAAGAATCTGGATCTTGGGACAACCACACCGTGGGCACCCTTGAAGTGTCTGATGGCAGCACCAACAGCGGTTTCCAATTGCAAGACGTTGATATCGGAGTTGCCGATAGAGATGGTCTTTTGGTTAGGAATGATTTCGGCCTGGATGGCGTTTTGTTCGACCAAGTTCTTGATGGCTCTCAAGTTGATCCACAAGTTGTTTGTGTTGAAGTACTTGAACTTCTTGATACTCTTGAACTCCTCGACGTGCTCCTTTGGAACCTGGGCGATTTCCAACAATCTGACCTGGCCTTCGTAGTTGATCAAGGTACCACCCTTGACATCGGCTCTGGTCTTGTCGGTCAATTCCATGAGGTACTCGGCTCCGGTTTCGATCATGTGGTCCAAGATCTTGGTGTCAACAGTGGCACCCAAGTTGTCACCGTTGGAAACGAACAAGATCTCTCTGCCCTGGGCCAAGAGGGCGTCCAATTCGCCAGATTGCACCAAAGCTTCGAACAAGTCACCGTGGCCAGGAGGGTACCAGGCTTCCAAAGAGTCGTCAAACGACTCAGGCACAGGCAACAACGAGTCCTTGAAGATTCTGGGGAATCTGGACTGGTTGAAGGTCTTGACTCTGATTCTGTGGCCCTGGTACTTCTTGATGATCTTGGCGGTGTCGGCATCGGTGTTGAACGAGTTCATCAACAATAATGGCACGTCTGCATCGTACTTTCTGTTCAAGTGCTCGATTTGTCTGACCGACAAATCCAAGAAGGTGTTGCCGTCTCTGACCTCAATGACGGATTTGGGGCCCACGCATCCCATCGAGGTACCCAAGCCACCGTTCAACTTCAACACGGCAAGCTTGGACAAGTTGGATGCCGCAGACTCGCCCAAGGTGTCGTAGGCCACCACCTCGCTGGGGGTGGGCGACTTGATCTTGTCCCAGTCCAAGGTGTTGCCAGACGCCTTGTCGGTGAGGTATCTTCTGAAGAGGGCAAAAAACGAGTCCATTTCATTCTCGAATCTGGTCTGGGCGTCGGTGTCGGTGACAGTGTCAGCCAATGAGTTCAAAGCATTACGCATTTGGGAGGCGGCAACCGTGGTTGCGGTGTTGTCGAACGCCTGGGGGTTAGTATGGAAGGCTGCGGTGGGGCTATGCAGAGGTACGTACATAGGTCGATTGGGTCTTGTTGTGCTTCTTTGGAGCTGCAAGGGTAGCCATGGTGGAGTCTAGTGGTGAAAAGAATTGATAGGGCAGACAGAACTACATATATGGTGGGGCGTGGTGCATTGGGCGTGCGCGACCGCCCAACACGACACTGACACGCCAACACCGACACAAAGGTCAGGGCGTACCACAGGCGGGCAGCGCAGACTCCGGAGGTGCTGCGGGTGCAGCATGGTGGCCACGAGCCAGGTTGTTCCGCATCCCAAGCCTGGTGTCAGGGGCTGGGAGTGGGGGCAGTTCCCCACCCAAGTGTGTGGGGAGGTGTGGGCCGATCGCGTGTTGACACATGGGGAGACACCAGATGGAACGATGGGACGGCCAGAACACCGCGGTGTCGCTGGTAGGGTAATCGTCACCGCCGTGGTGTGGGTGGCATGGTACTCGTCTGCGCCCTGGTGTCTGCGTCCTGCCTATTGTTGCGGCTGGGGTTTGGCTCGTAAGCGATGTCAGACGCGGTGTCGGAGTGGTCCGCTGCAGACGCTAATTGTGCTGTGTTACACCGGCGCAGCCGCGACGGGTTTGTGCACGGGAGAACCCTCGTGTCCAACAATAGTTGTCTAATGCGGGGCTGATCTGGACAGCACCGAATTTGGACACCGCTACCGGGGGTCATAGTGAAGTAAGGTACCTCCAGGGTACTGGCCCCAGTCAGAAGTAGAAACGACGAATCATCATGGCATCAATTGCGAAATATCAAGCTGCTCTCTGACCGCAACCATTGTGCGGTCTAGCGGGGCATCGAATTTTTCGTTAGAGCGATTGCCCCGAACGCGAGCAATGAGTCTCCAGCAGTGTCCGATTCCCGACTCTGTTGCGGCAAGCAGGCCCACAGGAGGACTATCCCGTGGAAAACCAGATTTTCAGCAACTTAGTACTGAATGCACTTTTTTTGCTAATGGGACGTATATTCTAAACTCTCTAAATAACCCATAATCGCCAATTGCTGGCCAGAGCTAGTCGGATAAGATTATACACCTATTGCTATGAACAGCACACCATGGTCGTCAAACCGTTATAGAAAACTAATTTTTGTTTTTTGGTGATTCCTTGCAACTAGGTGGATAGCAATTGCAAAGTTGCGAAATTTTTGTAAAATTAAAACATTTTTTTAATGGGAAGTATATTATTTCGATTTTTCACTTTTCACAACCTTTGCTGTAACCAAACCAAACATTGAGCAATGGTGCTTTATTAATTTCCATTTTCAACTTTTTTCGGCCAGCTAGAAATTGTGTTCCTCTGGTATTGAGGTACGGATTTTGAGCTGCTCCGGATGATTTTCGGGATGAAATCTTCCCTCTGAAAGGGACCAAAAGGAAGCAACTGGTGCCGGCTCAGCCCGGGAAGAAGACAGTGAAAACCCGACAAAATCCAGAAGAAGTTGCCTCCAACTCCGTCTGAACAGTAGACTACATTTCCTTATATTTAATATGCTTTAGTCAATCTTCGTAAATAGTGGGGTTTAATGGTATTGATTATACTTCCTTTGGATGTACAGTCCTTTAGCCACCGCCGGCTCAACACTTGGTTCTAGTTACGCGAAGAACCACTGATTGAGATCATGATCATTCGAGTGGTTCACACAGTTCCTGCCACTGTAAGAAATTTACAATCTAATTCATTTTTCTTTTCGTTTTTTGCTAATGGAAAGTATATTACAATCTACTCTCTTGATAACTGTTTACCTCTTGCAATGGAAAATGCACTAATGTGGTCAGAACGTTATAATTTTTTTGAAACTGAAAACGCAAAGCTAGAGAGAGATTTTTAGCATTCTTTTTTTTTGAATAAATGGTCTGTATTAGTTGATTAAGCTTTCCAGCAACGATGTACTTGTAGTGTGTGTAAAACCTTCATCGTAAGGAAAAAATCTACCCTTTCCCAAAATTCGAAAATTGATAATTATATCACATTTGTTTTTAATTTTTGGAATAAGATTTATTGTAAACTACCCCATTGATGACCCGTTAGATAACAAGTAACCAGCCAGAGTTAGTTCGGTCGTGCACAGACCAAGTATTTCCATTTTAGTGGACAACAGCTAAGCAAATTCGAAAGTCCAACACAAAAGTCCCAGTGGCCGAGTGGTTAAGGCGACACCCTGCTATTAGCAGCCTAGGTGTTGGGTTTTACCTGCGCAGGTTCGAATCCTGTCTGTGACGTTATTTTTTGTTTTTTCGCACCTATCTATCTACACCAAGACTATCATATTTTACATTATTCAAAAGTCTACATCATTATCCTCTCCCATCCACAAATCGACCACCGCATTGTACTTTGCCGACAATTCCCCAGTTAAGCCAACGAGCCCCCCTCTCACTCCGCTTGTACCTCCCCCCACCAAATCGTAAGTGCACCAATATGGAAATTCTTTCGGAGTTGCAAAATCTGGTTGTAATATCCAGGCCTGGTCTGGTTCCCGAGAATTTTCATCAAACATAGGACTGACGATGGTTGGAGGCTTGAGAATATGACTTATGTATAATGGTCGTTCGAAAGTTTTGCTGTAAAGCTCTTCTTGTTCGTTACTTCCAGCAACATAGGTGAATTTGTGTCTGAGGCGCAACCGGAAATGTGCGTCCTTATCTTTCCAATTTTCGAGTTGATGGGTTGTTAAGTAAACCAATTTCGAATTGTCATCTTCAACCACTTGACCCCATGACGAGCTGCATATTTCATGCGCCATGGTGGCAACTTTGCTAGACATAATCTGTTTGGGTGTTTGCAATCCAACAGAGACAGCATATTCCATGTTGAAGTTGATACGATCAAATGTTCCTGCAGCTTCTTGTCCTACCCAAATAAATTCTGGATTGATATCGTCCCCTTCATGATCGAAGTGCTTGGCAGAGTAGAATCTCGTCTTGAATAGTTTGTGCATTTGAAAGTTGCAACCAATCAACAAACCACTGAATGCCTTTGACTTATTGATTACCATCATGGAAGGATCGATCATTTTGACAAAACTTCCGTCATAAAACCTAGCGATGGCGGGATCATTGCGTCTGAGATTCAACCCAAACACACGGGAATCATCCCTCCAAGGCATCAACAGATTTTTGACGAAGCTTGCCACTTCATGGAACCCCTCTTGGAATTTACTTGGCTTGTAGCCATACAGGGTTGGACCTTTGAAAAGGGTAAGACCCCCGACCTGGTACTTTTCATCATCGAAAAAATCATTAGCGAAGCCTTCAGTCATTGGAATTGCATGAGGAGTGAGAAGAACAAATTCTTCGAAGGAGTTTAAAATGGTGCTTAAACCATAATTGAAGTCTGTCGAATTGAAAACAGCCGACTTGAGGATCAGTGGGAACTTTTTGGTATTAATGGAGCTATCAGTTTTCACAAACCATATATCTTGTTGAGGAAATGAATCGTCAGTAATGGGGTGGGTGTCGTTGAATGATTGGGGAATAAACTTCAAATCGTCTCTGGCAGCTCGTATGAATTGATTTCTTTCGTGACCATTTAAGGCCAAGTCTCTATAAACCAACTGAATGGGCAATTTATTCTTTAAGCCCCGCAAAACCCTGATCAATCTTACAACATTATCAACCATATCTTGTCTTTTCTTATTAGAGGAAAAGTATACTGGAATCACAATTCCTTTGCCATTGCTTCTTCTTTTCAAGTCTTGCACAAAACACTTAGAAGGTTTAGCAGCCGCATACTTCCTTTCGTCATAGATCGGAATCTCGTTGGCAGGTAAGATTTCATTTTTCCAATTCTCAAAACGGGGTAGCGAATTTGACAACCACGGATACAACTGCGCACCGTATTCTTGACACTGGTCCCGTGTTTTCCCAATATCGAGGTCCCCGGACTCCTCAACAAAGCATTTTCCGTATATGGCCATGTGGCGGAAATCCTGAGCCACTCGTCTTTCGTAATCGGCAGTCAAAGTGCTCAATTTCGCGTATTCGTTTTCTACTTGAAGACGACCGGAATCTACCATTTTTCTACCCTTCTTATTCAACAGGATCTTCATTTCAAGCAATTTTTGCCTGATGAATTTCTTCTCTTTGTACACTAGATTGTCGTAGGAAAACGCGTTAATTTCGTCCAAGCTCATGATTCGATTGCTTCCACCACTAGCAGTTTTCTTCGTTTGCACCTTGTTCAACTTGTTGAAATAGATACTGCATTTGTTCTCGAGCTTTTCTTCTCGTTCCAACTGATCTCTCACCTCCAAGTAGACTGGGTTCTTGATTGTATCTCGCTGTTTCTGTATGTCAACCTTGACGAAAGGCACTGACGAAGAACCAAAACCTCGTGACGTAAATGTGGATGCTTGGTAGACCAAAATCGTGATGGCTAGGAGAAGAAGCAACACCCTACGCCGCAAGAGGAGGTTTTGACTGACTCTTTTGAGGGACTGGATGGTGATCATTGTAGTTTTAAGCGAGTGTGAAGGAATCGAGCGGGGGATAGGAGCAGTTATCTGACGTCGATGCCAATTGCGTGGCTGCACGCGTATTGCGGATAGAATTGGCCGATGTTACGTTGTTAGCATCGGATCAAGTCGTCAGAAGGAGATAAACTGGAAAATGGCACGTGACACATATCCTCAACCGTGAAGGGTAAACAGATTCTGGGAGCTAACATGATTGGACCCCACATTCCGAAGGAGCTCAGGGAACAAAGGAAGAAACAGAAGGAAGCTGAGAAGACACAACCAGAACCTTCCGAAGATATCTCTTCCGATGATGACATAGACGGACCCCAACTAGGGCCTCCAGTGCCCCAAGTACCGTCTCTACAAGAGGAAAAGCACCAAGATGGCAAGAAGTCGGACAGTGAAGTCGCAAAGAAGCCCACTCTACTCGAGCTACATCAGAAGAAGCTCAAGGAATCGGGAATATCTGATAAGAATAGAATACACAAATTTGACCATAAACAGGGCCTCAATGATGAGGTCAAGAAGGAGATATTGAGGAATGTCAACGCCAAGGGATTGAGCAGATTCACCACGGGGTCTAAGTGAGCCGTGGGACTTCGAATTGTGAGAATTTACCCAAGAAAGAAGAATTATGGGCCTAGGAGAACCAGCACCAGATCATTGAATATCCAGCACCAGGTTGGTCTAGAAATAACTGGCCCCAGGTCATTGAATAACTGGCACCAGATCCTGATCTAGTAATATCGAACACCAGATCCTATTGAGGAAATGAATACTGTGAACGACTTGTTTAACTAGTTCAACAAGGTTAATCACAATATTGGCAAAAACCCTCCTAATGGATCCTGAACTAGGCAATCAGCTCTTCTAGGGCGTACTGCTCAGCAGAAATTGACAGCTATGATCTAAATAGTCGATTTTCCAAATACTTTATCTAGTTCGTTCACCTCTTGGTCTTCTAGCACCACCTTCTCTGGGACAATTTCCCTTTTGCTTGGTTGCATAACGCCTTCGAATGAATAGAATCCTGGAGCGACTTTTGCCTGCTGCAGCTGTACCCACTCTTCGTACTTCTGGACATCCAAGTCGCTTGGATCCTCCAGATTGGCCACTTTGGCTTTTAAGGCCTGTATTTCGTTCAACCACTTCCTCAAGTCATCCTCCGACAAATTGATCTTTGGGGGAACCGATGACTTGGACAAAGTTGGGATTAGCTTTGCATAGTTGGTCTTCAATGTCACTGGTTTGGGGGGTTGAAACGATGGGTTCTTGACAAGGGGTACTTGTTTAAGGATAGGATCCGCTTTTGGTTAGATTTAACTGTTAGAGAACAGCTGAGGTGTCCATTCGAAGGACTACCCTCCATCATTCCTTCAATTGTCCATGTACGTACGCTTATCGGTATCATCCATAGTTGATTATTTGATCACTTCGCATGATTCAGTGATATAGGCGACATCGCGCGACATCACTACAATCTCCAGCAGCGACACTACTGATTTCACTCTAATTTTTATTGAAAATATAGTACACAAAGTATGTCCTGGACTAGTATGAAGAAGTCAAAAGGTAACTGCTGACAGGGAAAAACAGAGATAACGCTCCCGTCTGAAGCCGATGTGCCTGGCAGTTAAATTAACATAAAAGAAAACAATATTCCAATAGACACTCCACGACCCCAGATTAGGTGAGCTTTTACCCTAGTATAGAAAATTAGTCCAGGTCAACTCTCCACGCAGGCTTGAACGACCCACTTAGTTGTCCTTGTAATGACGGATCAAGATGTAAGCGTTTTCTTGCTTCAAGTTGGACAAGGAACGGTAGCCACCTTCCAAACGCATCAATAAACCACCAAAGGAGATATACACCGACATTTTGTCGTCACCTTCGTTTTCTTCGAATTTGTACACGGTTCCATACATGACGTAGTCAAAGTCGTCAGCCAAGGACGAGTCGCCCTGTTTTGGTGGTCTCCAAGAACCGTTGGAAGTCAACATTGATGCTTCATTACCCAAGGATCCAGCCAAGGTGATGGTCAAGGAATCGTTGGCCTTGACAGGGAAGAGTTCGGCATTGATATCAAGGGAGATTTTGATGTCTGAGGAGGTGGAGGAATGGCCTGTTATTCTAGACACTTTGTTGTATCTACCGGAGTCGGTAGACTCGACGATGAACATATCTTCAAATAAGATTCCCGACATTTTGGTGGTGGAGGTGGAGGTGGTAGTGGCCAGAAATTTTCATTGATGAGATGAATGTAGTACGGTCAGGTGAGAAAACACACGTGCTAAAAGTCACGCGCACACATTCTCACCTCCTTCCTGGCTCAGGCAGTGTGGAATAAACATCTAATAATAGAGTACCGAAGCAAAGTCACCGTACAACATGGAAAAATCTCAAGACAGTGCCCATCTCATGCTCGAGAAGCAGAGATTCAGAACAAAGGCGTTTCTCCTCACTGTGTGCTTTGTTCTCATTCTTGCATTAGGAAGATTGGTGATCTATGGCTCGGGAGAGCTTAGTTTGAGTAATTCCTTCAACTCCCAGACGGTTGAAACCGTTGATTTCGACTTCCACAAGCCTACATCCAGCGAGTTTACCGAGTACATGGCTACTGCGGCGAAGAGAGCCGACAACGATGGTAATAATGATAATTCCAATAATGATAGCCAGGAAACCGGCAAATCCAAGCCCAAAAGTGCGGTGCAAAAGGTGTTTGACAAGCCTGCTATTCGTGTTGTGTTGGTGATCGGAGCTTTTATCATCTTGAACATGGTTGCCATCACTATACACCACATATTCCAGCTAATGACCAGATCAGAGAAGAGCTACAGAAATGTCGAGCAGGTGATATCGCCTTTCTAGTTGACCACACCGTTCTGACCAGGGGAGCGAGACGAATCGCTTAGCCCAGTTTAGATTTGTTATGATTGAAACATTTCCCAGGTTAGAACTCCTCGAAATGGGCTGTCTACACCAATAGGTCTGACGTGATGCCATTAATGCATACAAGTGCTGCTGATATGAAAGATAATAATCTTCCCACCCGTCTATAACTAGAACTGCCTGCTTTGCAGGTTTCCACTGATACTGAACCTTGTTTTGCTCTCTGTTCTGTTCCTTACGCTCGTTACACTGCGGTGGAAAACATGTTAAAGTACAACCCATTTTTCACAAAAGCCAACCCTGAGACCCATATATATTTAGTTCCTTCATTCCACGTGCTTTCCCGGCCCTTCTTCCTGTCTTTTCTGCCTGTAGCTCTTCTCTCGGACATCTCCATCTCGCCTGCTCTCGGCAATTTCCGAGTCGACTCCTGCACAGATCTGCCTTATCACTATTTAAGTCTTATCTTCAGCAACTTGCAATGGACCCTTAACACACTCCCCTCCCATTGCCACCTCCACAGGCATCAAAAGCACTGTATTCGCTACAAAGAGCCCTCTACTTGACATCAACAATCTTCCATCCCTGTCATGGCTCCCATCGCATTATCAAAACGATTACTTCAGATTACCTGTGCCATTGCCTGGTGCTTGTTGGCAGCAGGACCAGTGTTTGGGTTTGCGGCGATCAAACCCATCTTGATCAGCGAACACATCTACGAGGATAGGTGTGATGCCAAAGCGTCCGAAAACGATGCCAACGGAGGCTTGGCGTGTAATGAGCAAGACTTGTCGTTGAACTTCTTGTTCACCATAGCCTGTATGGTGACTAACGTGTCTGCGTTGCCTGTGGGGTCGATTCTCGACTCGTACGGGCCTAAAGTCACTGGCATCATCGGTTCGATCATCTTGGCTGTGGGAACCTTGAGTTTGAGGTATGCTGCTCTCTGGCCCCAGGTGGATGGCTACTTGATTGGGTACAGTTTGATGGCGTTGGCCGGGCCTTTCGTGTTCATATCGTGCTTCCAGTTAGCCAACAGCTTCCCCAAAAACTCGGGGTTGATTTTGGCATTGTTGACCGGAGCTTTCGACTCGTCCTCTGCGTTGTTTTTGGTCTACCGCTTGATTTACACCAACGTCAAGCGTATCTCCATCAGCACCTTCTTCTCCTACTATCTCGTGGTCCCCGTGTTTATTCTTGTTTGTCAGGTGTTCATCATGCCCAGAGACTCCTACAAAACGATTGGGACTTTGGCCAAAATTGCCGAAACCGGAATCGATGAAACCGGAAAGCCTTTGGATACTGATTTGTTGTTGCCAGAAGACCGTGACTCGCCTGTGGAGTTTATTCAACAGCCTACCATATCCGAAACAACCTCTCTTTTGATGAGAAAAGCTTCCATGGCCTCCAGAAGATCATCCACCGTGCTGAGAGTCTCTATGATGTCAACGAGGTCTACCAAGTCGGTGTACGAACAGGAAGCTGACAACAAATTACACCAATCCTCTGGAGGTACGTTCGGAATCTTGCACAATTCCTCGATTGGAGAACAATTACATTCTAAGTGGTTCATTTTGATGACTTTGTTCACCACCATTCAAATGTTGCGGATCAACTACTTTGTTGCAACTATCAAGTCTCAGGAACGGTACTTATACAACGAGGATTTGGCAATTTTGATTAATCATTTCTTTGACTTGGCCTTGCCGTTGGGCGGTTTGGCTTCCATTCCTTTCATTGGCTTGATATTGGATAATTTTACAACATTGACGGTGTTGATAATTCTAACCATAGTATCAGTTGTCATTGGATTATTGGGATTGGTGGCTTGGTTACCAGGGACCTACGCGGGAATCTTATTGCTTGTGGTATATAGACCATTTTACTACACTGCTGTTAGTGATTTCTGTGCAAAAGTGTTTGGTTACGACAACTTCGGTACCATTTACGGTACTATCATTGCATTTTCCGGTGTTTGTAATATTTTACAGCAGGTCATGGACAAACTCACTCATGAAGTTTTCAACTTGAACCCACTCCCTATCAACGCCTTCTTAACAGCAATAACTGCCATATTTGGGGTGACTTTAATTGGATTTGTGCGCTCGCAAGAGTTGGATATGAAAAGGAAAAGCCTAGAATTCGAAGCTCAGGAAGCAGGCACCAGACAAATACCTCACTAGGCTTTATGGAAAGTAGAAAAACCATGGCCTATTCTACATGGATGCATTTGATCCAGACTATATTTATTCTCAGCTTGCATGTTCTACTAGATCTTACAATCTTCACTCAGGTGGGGATATTAGTCGACTGGTACCAACAATACTAAAATCCTCTGCAAATAAGCCAAGAAAATGAAAATAATTCAAAAATTCACTAATATACATAAATTTCCAACTAGTAATCTTAAATCGTACTATAATACTCCTCAGATTGGAAGCTTGTCCAAAGTGAGAATACTGTTCAATATACACTACTGTACCCTTCGGAGTTTGCGCTGTTTCCTTTCTTCTTCACGGACCAAATCAGGTTCCAACGCTATCAATTCGGGAACAGCACGCGTGAGTTCGCCTTTGAACGGCTTCTTTTCCACCTGGTCCTCTTCGAGGTATTTCGGGACCTGTGCAGGCACTTCAGGCACTTGTACCAGTTTTGAGGGAAACGACGAGAGAATGTTCGATAAGGACATTTTAGTTGTCATAAAAACCACCCACGATTTACTTCTTTTTAGCCTGTTCCTTGGCAGCCTTCTCAACCTGTCTTCTTGAGCCCTTGATGATTTCCAAGTGTCCAACTCTGCTGGCAATCAACTTTTCGGTGGATGACATCAACTGACCCTGGTGGATCTTAGTCAACTTCAGGGCGTCCTTGGCCTGAGTTCTCTTGGGCTTGATGATTCTTGGGGCAGCTTTCTTGGAAGCGTGCGCCTTCTTAGCAGCTCTACCTGGACCAGATGAAGGCTTTAACTTCAATTTACCTTGAGCCATGTCTGCCGACCAGAAACCTCATCTCGCAAAAATGTCTAGGGGTAGTAACATCACGTGACACATTACACGTGCCGCACCCGCCAACCGAGTCAATTTTCGAGTGCTAATAATTGGATCGCGATGGCACGGCTTATATAAAACCACCACAAGTCCGTTAGGAAGCTTAGGTGGCGTCTTCAACTTCCAATTCTAAAATGTCTGGATTCCTCATTTTGCCGGGTCCTTCTGCTCTCTCCCAGTTCAGAGTCAACAACTTGGTTCTGGAGATCGAGAAGAAACTCAACCAAGGCTCGATTGTTGAGGAGGTAGCTTCCAGCTACACTCATTACGTCTCCACCAAGACTGACTTGACCGACAAGCAGCTTGGATTGGTGAAAGTGTTGTTGCAGTACGACACTCCTATCGACACAACCAACGCTTTGGTTGGTGCTTTGGCTGAATTGTCTGTTATCAGTGGTGACTCAGCGGCTGCCTCCATCAAGCTCGACTCCCATCACCACTTGATCAGAGTGTTACCAAGACCGGGCACTATCTCGCCATGGTCGTCCAAGGCGACTGATATTGCACACATCTGCGGATTGGGTGATCACATCGAAAGAATCGAACGTGGGTTGACCTTGTTAATCAAGACCAAGACTTCCTTCCAAGGTGAATTCTCTGGTGAAGTGTTGACTTCTGTCTACGATAGAATGACCCAATCGTTATATTTCAACGAAAATGCCCCCAAATACGACGACTTGTTCGCCCACCACTCCCCCAAGCCTTTGGTTCACGTCGACATCATCTCCGACACTTCCAACTTGACCAAGGCCAACAAGGAGTTGGGTTTGGCTTTGGATGAAGGCGAAATCAACTACTTGATCAAGGCTTTCACCGAAACCATCGGAAGAAACCCCACCGATGTCGAATTGTTCATGTTTGCCCAAGTCAACTCGGAACATTGTCGTCACAAAATCTTCAATGCTGACTGGACCATTGATGGCTTGAAGAAGGATTTGTCACTCTTCAAGATGATCAGAAACACCCACTCCAAAAACCCCCAATACACTATTTCTGCTTACTCTGACAATGCTGCCGTTTTTGAAGGTCCAGAAGGTTACGTCTTCACCCCAGAGTTCGAATCTAAAAAATGGTCTTCCACTAAGGAAAGAGTCCACACCTTAGTTAAAGTGGAAACCCACAACCACCCCACTGCTGTTTCTCCCTTTGCCGGTGCTGCTACTGGTTCTGGTGGTGAAATCAGAGATGAAGGTGCTGTTGGTAGAGGTTCCAAGTCCAAGGCTGGTTTGGCTGGTTTCTCGGTTGCTGATTTGAATATTCCTGACTTGACCCAACCATGGGAAAGGGATGTTGGAAAGCCAAACCACATTGCTTCATCTTTGGATATTATGCTCGAAGCCCCAATTGGTTCTGCTGCTTTCAACAACGAATTCGGTAGACCTGCTATCAATGGTTATTTTAGAACATTGACTACCGAAGTCCAAAACCATCAAGGCAAGACTGAAATTAGAGGTTTCCACAAGCCAATCATGTTGGCTGGTGGAATGGGTGCCATCAGACCAGACTTGGCCTTGAAAGATACCAAGATTACTCCTGGCGCTAAGTTGATTGTTCTTGGTGGTCAATCCATGTTGATTGGTTTAGGTGGTGGTGCTGCCTCTTCAATTTCGTCTGGTGAAGGTTCTGCTGAATTAGATTTTGCTTCTGTTCAAAGAGGTAACCCAGAACTTCAAAGAAGAGCTCAACAAGTCATTGATGCATGTGTATCATTAGGCGCTAAAGACACCCCAATTCAATCTATCCACGATGTTGGTGCTGGTGGTTTATCCAATGCTTTGCCTGAATTAGTTCATGACAATGATTTGGGTGCCAGATTCGAATTAAGATCCATCTTATCTTTGGAACCTGGTATGTCTCCTATGGAAATTTGGTGTAACGAATCCCAAGAAAGATACGTCTTGGGTGTTGCTCCTGAAAACTTGGAACGTTTTGCCAAGATTTGTGAACGTGAAAGAGCTCCTTTTGCCGTTGTTGGTGAAGCAACTACCGAGCAAAGATTGGTTCTCACTGATTCTTTGTTGAACACCACTCCAATTGATTTGGAAATGTCTGTTTTATTCGGTAAACCTCCTAAGATGTCCAAGACTGCCTTAACTCAAGACTTGAAATTGTCTCCTTTCGCAACTCAAGACTTGCAATTGCAAGAATCTATTGAAAGAGTCTTGCAGTTACCTGCTGTTGGTTCTAAAAACTTCTTGATCACTATTGGTGATAGATTCATTACTGGTTTAGTTGACAGAGACCAAATGGTTGGTCCATGGCAAGTTCCTGTCGCAGATGTCGGTGTTACTGCTACCTCGTTGGGTGAAACCGTCTTGACTACTGGTGAAGCATTGGCTATGGGTGAAAAACCTACTTTAGCATTAATTTCTGCTGCTGCTTCTGCCAAGATGTCAGTTGCGGAATCATTGTTGAACGTTTTCGCTGCTGACATTCCTTCCTTAGATCACGTTAAGTTATCTGCAAACTGGATGTCCGCTGCTTCACATGATGGTGAAGGTGCCAAGTTATATGAGGCAGTTCAAGCTATTGGTTTGGACTTGTGTCCTGACTTGGGTGTTTCCATTCCAGTTGGTAAGGATTCGATGTCCATGAAGATGAAATGGGATGACAAGGAAGTGACTGCCCCATTGGCTTTGACCATCACTGCTTTCGCCCCAGTAGACGATACCTCCAAGACTTGGACTCCACAATTGGTCAACAAAAAGGACACCCTTCTTGTATTGGTTGATTTGGCCGCTACCGTCAAGAAGTCCTTAGGAGGTTCCGCATTGGCACAAGTTTACAAGCAAGTTGGAGATTCTGCTCCAACTGTGCACTCTAACCAAGTTTTGAAATCTTTCTTGCAAGCATTGGTTGTATTGCACAAGCAGTTCGACGTTTTGGCCTACCACGATAGATCCGAAGGTGGTTTATTCACAACCGTTGTTGAAATGGCATTCGCTGGAAGATCGGGTATTGATTTGAATGTTGAAGGTGAAGATTTGTTCACTGAATTGTTTAATGAAGAATTGGGTGCTGTTTTCCAAATCGATTCTGACAAGTATGAAAACTTCGTTAAGGTCTTCGAGACTAACAGCATTGGTAAGGAGTACATCAAGGTGGTCGGTAAGCCAAACTTTGAAGCTCAAACCATCAACGTTAACTTCAATGGTTCTTCTGCTTATTCCAACACTCGTGCTGCCTTACAGCAACTTTGGTCTAACACCTCTTATCATATTCAGAAATTGAGAGACAATCCAGTTACCTCCAAGCAAGAATATGATGCCATCTCAGACAACAACGATCCAGGTTTGTCTTATCAATTGACATTTGATCCAAAGAACTTTCAATCTTACCAAGGACAAAGACCAAAGGTTGCAATTCTCAGAGAACAAGGTGTTAACTCTCAACAGGAAATGGCTTGGTCATTTGAACAGGCTGGTTTCGAAGCTTACGATGTGCACATGTCTGATATTTTGACCGGAAGAGTGCTGTTGGATCAATTTGTGGGTTTGGCTGCATGTGGTGGTTTCTCATATGGTGATGTTTTGGGTGCAGGTGCTGGTTGGGCCAAGTCTGTTTTGTTCAACGAGCGTGCTCGTGCTGAATTTAAGAGATTTTTCCAGGACAGAGACAACACTTTCGCTTTTGGTGCCTGTAACGGTTGTCAATTCTTTAGTAGAATCGCTGAATTAATTCCGGGTACTGAGAACTGGCCAACTTTCGAAAGAAACTTGTCGGAACAATATGAAGCCAGATTTGTGATGGTTGAAATTGACGAGAATGCCAAGACTGAGTCTATCTTTTTGAACAAGTTGAAGGGTTCCAAGTTGCCTATTGCTGTTGCCCACGGTGAAGGTAGGGCCAACTTCAAGGATTCAGCCACCCAAGAATCTTTCGACAAGGCCGTGATTAGATACGTTGATAACTACGGCAAGGTCACCCAGAACTATCCATTCAACCCCAACGGTTCTCCAAACGGTATTGCTGGTATCAGCTCTGCCAATGGTAGAGTCTTGGCCATGATGCCTCATCCAGAAAGAGTCACCAGAAAGGAATCTAACTCCTGGTACCCTAGTGAGGCTTCACAATGGGGCGAACATGGTCCATGGATCCAATTGTTCAGATCTGCCAGAGAATGGGTTGGTGACAACTTTTAATGATGTAAAATATAGGAAAAAAAGAGCTAGCCATGCTAGTGTTGTAACGATCTAATGTAGTTGCTGGCGATCAGAATAGGTACTGAAGTAGATACTTCGAAATGTATTGAGACTATACATACTCAGTCGGAGCTAGTGGTTGTAGGCAGCATTCCATAATTATGGGTGGTACAAACCAGCCTTTTGCACCCAAGATACATGCACACGACCTCGCTTACCAACATCTTACATAACTGAGAATTTTCAGAATTTTTTTGCAAAAGGGTCGTGTGCGCACACCATGAAAAATTTTACTCTCACCACACCTATAGTGAAAAATTTCAACAGATAATTTCCTGTTTTCTTCTTCTTCATACAACTCAACAATGGTTTCCGCTATTTTATCCAAGAAAAGAAAGTTAGTCGCTGACGGTGTCTTCTTCGCCGAATTGAACGAATTCTTCACCAGAGAATTGGCCGAACAAGGTTACGCCGGTGTCGAAGTCAGAAAGACCCCAACCAAGTTGGAAGTCATCGTTAAGGCTTCTAACACCCAAGGTGTTTTGGGTGAACAAGGTAGAAGAATCCACGAATTGACCTCTTTGATCGTCAAGAGATTCAAGCTCTCCCCAGAAGGTATTGTTATCTACGCTGAAAGAGTTGAAGAAAGAGGTTTGTCCGCTGCCGTTCAAGCTGAAGCCTTGAAGACCAAGTTGTTGTCTGGTTTGCCAATCAGAAGAGCCGCTTACGGTGTCTTGAGATTCGCCATGGGTGCTGGTGCCAAGGGTGTTGAAGTTGTTATCTCCGGTAAGTTGAGAGCTGCTAGAGCCAAGTCTCAAAAGTACTCTGACGGTTTCATGATCCACTCCGGTCAACCAACCAACGACTTCATTGACATTGCTATCAGACACGTCTTGATGAGACAAGGTGTTTTGGGTATCAGAGTCAAGATCATGAAGGACCCAGCTTCGAACAAGACCGGTCCAAAGGCCTTGCCAGATGCTGTTAAGATCTCTGAAGCTAAGGATGAAGATGAAGTTATCCCAGCTCCAACTGTCAAGTCTTACAAGCAAGCTCCAAAGGAAGAAGAAGAAGCTCAAGCTTAAATTTTATAGTAATATAATAATAGGATTGACTTGCATTTACAATAATTTAGTAGGAATAAGAGGGAGCAAAGCGATCCTCTACTGGTCAGACATACTATGGGTCTGGGCAGTGCTATAGTATGTTCCACCACTAACAAATTCAGTCAAAGAACGAGCTCATCTCATGTATCTTCACCATGGGTAAAAAAACAAAAAGATAGTGACTCCTACGCGATTCGAACGCGTGCATCTTTACGATAGTAGAACTTGAGTCTACCGCCTTAACCGCTCGGCCAAAGAGCCCTATTTGATGATGATTTGATGGGTTTAGTTCACGTGACGAGTCAATAAATATCATGTGACCAAACACGTGATACCAAATTAAGGATGAGTTACTCCTGCCATAGCTAAGAGAGATGGGAAATTTAGTCTATAGCTGTCATACTCTTATTCGCAGAGATGTGTTTGAACGCTCCTTCATCTGTAACTCACTAAAAATAAAGACATGAATATGTTTAAAATTCAAAAAAAGAATAGTGACTCCTACGCGATTCGAACGCGTGCATCTTTACGATAGTAGAACTTGAGTCTACCGCCTTAACCGCTCGGCCAAAGAGCCCTATTTGTTGGAGGAAGAAGCACGTGAACATTCAGGTGACGTATTAACCGATGCGATCACGTGATTTACGCGCATCACCCCGCCCGATTTCGATGACTCTTCGCGGCATATGCGGAGGTGATACTCCGAAATGGGGTAGTGCCCAAGCGATTCCGATAGAATGGGGTAATGGCCTGAAGACGGAGCACTCCTTCTCTGGCTGAACAAGGCCAGAATTCGGCAAGAAGCCACTAGCAACTAGAATATGTCGATAATCTCCCTACCCCCGAAAGCCAGCATTAAATTGCTTTCGTTAGCTTGTGCCACAACTATAAGCCCCTGGTCCTTCCCTCGGTCCGACTGATTTTCGGAGTTTTTTCCCCCATACCTGATTTCTAATAACAGATGACTTGCGGAGATACGCATATAACATGCGAGGATTTTGCTGGAGGTTAACTTCCTGCGCCACTATAAAAGTCAGGCAAGCGCTGCAAAATTCACACGATTCAGTATCGTTTTTTACTTAGACCATTAGCATAGCAAAAATGTCTGCCATTCCTATCAACCACTTCTTGACGTTATCTACCGAAGTGTCGGAGCCATTTGTCATTCCCAATGTATCGCCGTTATCGTCTCCCAAATTGACTTCGGTGCCAGATGCTGGCAAGTTTTCGCCATTATTGGAGAGTGACGACAAGACTGACCGTCCACGGGCCATGTCTATTGTCCAGTTGGATTAAGCAAGTAGAATATGTGATGATTTATGATTGATGAATTTAGTTCTTGGTATTACTTCAATAAACTGTTTGCGATAGAATAACTGTAGGGTGCTAATTGAAGCGCCAGCGAATGAATGTGGCCAGGTGATGTGCTGGGCTCTACGAGGTAGCTATGATTAGGTGTTTACAAGGTAGATATGGCCGTTTTGTGGCGGAAAACAGTCAGGGTCCTCGATGTTTTGTTAAGCAGAATTCACTCAGGAATGGGGTCAATACTCTGCAAGGCTCTAGACTAGTGGATTTTGCAGTGATAGGATACAATCGTCCAACTGTGTTTCGATATCGACTGCCTTTGATTCCTGTTGAATGGGATCAAATGCAAATTTGTGTTCTAGCCTGAGCTTACTTCAACATAGAAATGATTAATATGACAATCTGATAGATACAAATATGTAGAACACAAGGTATGTGTGGTGAAGTGAGCCTAGTGACGCGTGTACAAGTCAAGGCGATTGAGATGGCCGAATGACGTCTAGTGGTATCAGGTGTGAGCTGCTAAAGTATGGATAATGACCACCTCCACGATTATCTGCTAGCTACCCTCCCTTTGGTGGAAATACATCGCCACCAATTGAATTACCCCAATTGGACTACACTCCGCTGAAAACACAATATTATTACTATATACAATTGGCAGCACCCTCAGAAGACGGAGTAGAACTCGTTGTACTTTCTGGCGTAGTAGGTGCTGGAAAGTCCCCCCAAGGCAACGAGGAGAAGCGGAATGGGCTTTTTGAAGCCAGTAGGAATGGAACGCAGGATTCCTGCCACTAACAAGGTGGTGGAGGCCCCCAAGGCCAACTCCAACCCGTAGTCGGCGTTCTGCTTCAACAAGTAGCCTGCGCCTCCGTAGATGGTGGCAAACGTGATTCCGGCAACTAACGAGGGCACAGAGCCCTTACGGGCGTAGCCCATGATGCCGCCGACGGCGCATAATCCTGACAAGGTGAAGGCTGGATGTTCCATGATGAATGATTGGTGGAGTGGTTGGGGATTGAAAAGATATGCGCGCCATATGAGGGAATCCTACAGGATGCTACGAGGTATGGCATACAACAAATACTATAGACGAAGCAGTCTGCAAGAAATACTATATAGGGTGTAGCATACTAGCATATACAAGGTGCATAAGATCTAGGAAGTATAAAAGATGTATACTATACCTTTGGTGTATCTATTGTCTTCCACTGGCCCCTCCTGCTTGCTACCCAGCCAATCCGCACTGTCGTGTCGCGTCTGGTAAAAACCACTGCTGGACACCAGACAGATCGCATGTCTCAGCCAATCAGGTCCCCAGGTGGTGCTCAGCAATGTGTTCCAGCGTGTGTGCTGCGGTGGCGTCTGGGGGCGGGGGGTATGGCGTAATGATAAGCATAGATAGAAACAAGCCTGGCTCGATGGCACCCACCGGACGAGACTGCCGTCCATCCGTCCGACTCAGACGACAGTGTGCCAGGAGTACCATTAAGAAGCATGTGTCTAGCCCTAGGGTTTTCTAGAGTATCGAGTCAAAGGTTTTTGATAAGCCTCTGGCGTCTCCCTCTGGGTTTGCTTCCGTCTTCCCATGCTTCCTTCTCTTCCCTTCTTCCTCTGATCGTCGTTTGCCAGTAAGCACTGCCGAAACAGCACGATGATACCTCACTACACTACACTTAAGTACTACGTCGTAGCCAATCGGTCCCCTTGCGGAGTGTGGTCTCCCTCCCTGCCGTCTCCCTGCCTCCCTGTAGCCTCTGGCGTCGTTCCCCTCCCAAACTCCATCGTCGAACCCCCACGCTGGTCTCCCGCCCGTTCACGTGTAGTCATGATGTCAATCACCGCTATGATAAAAAAACTTTCACCCTGACCATCCGTCTGCCGCCACCACCGCCTCGCCTTCCCAAGCATAGTGGCAGTATCGACACTATGGACATCTCCGCAATGCTATCCAACGATAGCTCCTCCCCTCCTCCCGCCAAACTGGATCAGGCAGGTGTCGTCGACACCATCAAGTCCACGGACTCCAGTGGTGGCCTCGTCGACAACGAGTACAAGAAAACATTCGAGTCCAACATCAACATCATCAATTCCTTGGATAAGAACTTAGAGCTTTCAAACGCCTACAAGGTGTTGAAGTTCGACGAGGCCAGGCTCAACAGCACCATGATCCACACCCACGGATTTGCTTCCAACCACATCGAGCTGGTGGTTGCCGAAGACATCTCCACCAGAAACAACAAGATCTCAGACACCAACAAGAACAAGGACTTGCATCTTCTCGATTCGTCCAAACCGCTCCATCATAACACCACCAGAGGAAGAGAGTACAAGTGGGGCAATACCCGTGAAGTCAACAAGGTGGAAGCCAAGCCTAAGCGCAAGAAGCCGGCCAGTTCGACATCCACCCCAAGCTTCACCCCCTTGGAGGACAGTCCCGTCAAGTCCAACGGGGACTATAGCATATATGAAGATTACGACAAGTCCGGGTACAAATCGAGGGCAGGTAGACTTTCCCCCACCCCAGAAGACTTGGAGGACTCCCCTCCTTCGAAGAGACCAAAGAGAAAGTTGACCCGAGACGAGGATCCCGAATACACCGACGGAAAGTCCAAGCTCAAAACTATCAAGAAAGAAGAAGATTTGGGCGACGACAAGAAGAACTCAAAAGAACAAAAGGCAGTCATAAAACAATACGACAATACATATGTGGCCATATGGAAGGACTTGTCCAGAAAGGATGGTCCCAAGGTCAGCAGACTTGTTCAACAGTCTACCCAGGCGAAGCTTATCAATTTAAAGAAAACATCTATATTGGCAGCCAGAGAAGCCAAGAGATGGCAGTTGAAGAATAACAAGAGTCAAAAGGACTTGACCACCAAAGCAAGAAGAGCCATGAGAGAAATGTTCAACTTTTGGAAGCGCAATGAAAGAATTGAACGTGAATTGCGTAAGAAACACGAAAAGGAGTTGATCGACAAAGCAAAGAGAGAGGAAGAAGAAAGAGAAGCAAAGAGACAATCCAGAAAGTTGAATTTCTTGATTACCCAGACAGAATTATACTCGCATTTTATTGGTAAAAAGATCAAAACTGAAGAAATCGAAGGGAGCGATTCAGATCCAAATATTAAAGCACAGTCTAACCCCTCATACGATAAGTACGCTGATGTTGACGGTAGCAAAGTCCATGATATAAAGACTCTTGATTTTGATAATGATGATGACGAATTCTTCAATAATGCGGCAGCTGCCAATGCAAGAAACGCTTTGGAAGCAACTCAATCCAAAGCTAGAGAGTTTGATGGTCCAAACGATGACAAGAATGGTGAAGAGATGAACTTTCAAAACCCAACTTTGCTTGGTGATCTCTCCATCACTCAACCAAACTTGCTTAAATGTACATTGAAGGAATACCAACTCAAGGGTCTCAATTGGTTAGCAAACCTTTACGAGCAAGGTATCAATGGTATTTTGGCAGATGAGATGGGTTTGGGTAAAACAGTTCAGTCTATTTCCGTGTTGTCATACTTGGCTGAGCATCACAATATCTGGGGTCCATTTTTAGTTGTCACGCCTGCTTCTACTTTGCACAACTGGCAACAAGAAATAACGAAGTTCGTTCCGGACTTTAAGGTTTTGCCTTACTGGGGTAATGCCAAAGACCGTAAGGTGTTGAGAAAGTTCTGGGATCGTAAGAACGTCAGATATGGAAAAGACGCCCCATTCCATGTATTGGTCACATCTTATCAGTTAGTCGTTGCAGATGCTGCGTACTTTCAAAAGATGAAATGGCAATATATGATTTTGGATGAGGCCCAAGCCATCAAATCCTCTCAGTCTTCGAGATGGAAGTCATTATTATCATTCTCCTGCCGTAACAGATTATTGTTGACTGGTACCCCAATTCAAAATTCTATGCAAGAATTGTGGGCTTTACTTCATTTCATTATGCCATCGTTATTTGATTCCCATGACGAATTTAGTGATTGGTTCTCGAAAGATATTGAGAGTCACGCTCAATCAAATACTGGATTGGACGAGCAGCAGTTGAGAAGACTTCATATGATTTTAAAACCTTTCATGTTGAGACGTATAAAGAAGAACGTTCAAAGTGAATTGGGTGATAAGGTAGAAATTGATATATTCTGTGATTTGACGAACAGACAAAAACGTTATTATCAAATGTTAAAATCTCAAATCTCAATAATGGACTTGTTGGATACTAATGCTTCTTCAAATGATGATTCTACCAACTTGATCAACTTGGTGATGCAATTCCGTAAGGTCTGTAACCACCCGGACTTATTTGAGAGGGCGGACGTCAAATCCAGTTTGTCATTGACTTCTTTTGCCGAGACTGCGTCGTTTTTGAGAGAGTCAAACGATATTGAAGTTGCATACACCACTGAGAACTTGATCCATTATGATTTGCCAAGATTAGTGTACGATGAAATCTTGACCCCTTCATTCACAAATGACGAGCTTTCAAAGCAGGGAATTTACGAGAAATTTAATGTTTATCACCCAACTAACACCAAAGATAGTCAAGCATTTTCGTGGTTAAGGTTTGTGGATTCGTCTCCTGGCGAATTGAACCAGCTTACTCGCAAGAATGTCATCCAAAGAGCAATCGAAAAGCGTAACTACATTGATCAAATCACTACGAATCGTTTCAAGTATGTCTATGACGAGGAACAGTTTGTTCCATCTCATAAGAAGTTTTTGATTAGTGATTATGAGACTCCTATAATTTCTGGCTCTCATGAATTATATGATGTGAACTCAAAGGTATATTTCGATATGAGAATCAATGAATTGAAGCCTGCAGCGGGTCCTAAGGCATCTGCCACTCCAATAGTGCCTTACTGCAGTACCTCCTCCTATGTGAGTAAATTGAACGATGTTTTATTTGACAAATCGATAAGGTCTGGTTTGATGCCATTATCGTTAAACACCGAATACGATTTGATGACGAAGAAAGTTCCAGTTTCATCGTACCCACCTTCCAACATGTTGCCACAACAATTGAATAATAAATTTGATTTTTCGAACATACGAATGCCTTCCATGAACAGATTCATTACTGACTCAGGAAAATTGGCTAAACTTGACCAGTTGTTAGTGGAGTTAAAGCAAAATGACCATAGAGTTTTGATTTACTTCCAGATGACTAAAATGATGGATCTTATGGAAGAATATCTTACTTTCAAACAGCATACATACATCAGGTTGGATGGTTCATCCAAGTTGGACGATCGTCGTGACTTAGTGCATGATTGGCAAACAAAACCAGAAATTTTCATTTTCTTGTTATCAACAAGAGCTGGTGGTTTGGGTATCAATTTAACTGCGGCTGATACCGTGATATTTTATGACTCTGATTGGAACCCAACCATTGATTCCCAAGCCATGGACAGAGCCCATAGATTGGGTCAAACACGTCAAGTTACAGTCTACAGGTTGTTGGCTAAAGGTACAATTGAAGAAAGAATGAGAGATAGAGCTAAACAAAAAGAGCAAGTCCAACAGGTGGTCATGGAAGGAAAGGGTATGATCAACAAGAAGGAGGAAGCTGCAAATAAGAAGAAGGATGTGGCCTTCTTATTGTTAGGCGGAGATGATGATAAGCTGTTAAATACTTCAAGCACCAATAGCCCTGCTCCCGAAACCGCTGGTTTCAACACGAAACGTTTGGAAGAAATGTACCACGAGGGTGAAGGCAAGTTCTCTGGTACCGTGACCCCATCGAATTCCGTGGGAAATTGAACTGTTGCTAGCTAGGGATCAAAACTAGTCGATAGGGTACCTATTCATAGAAGCCTTTGAAGCCTGCTAGGCATTGGAACGACTAGATGAGGGTGTAAATTTATAGCTGTGGAATTCTATAGCTTCCTACTTCATGTGTATAAAAGTGTATTAATGAGTATTATAACAAGTCGTAGTTGTACAGTCTTGACTAAAATATAGATGCAATAAATAATTAGAAATAAAGTTGTAGGTGCTAATCTTGCCCCGCTGTATTATATAAATGGACTCATTCACTCCCATGGAAGTATTCTGGCCACTTCGTAGGGTCCTTTCAAACAAAAATGTATCTGCTTTCTCTAAATTCTTTAATGAGAACCTGGTACTTTAGAACAATTGGTTCTAACCGACATGCTATTGGACTTCGTTTGAGACATTGGGTCTATTTAAGGTCTGTTCTAATTCAGTCAAAAATGTAGATGAAATCTCATGAGGCTGTACTCCAGAGGTATGATCACCTCGGATTGTGCTCTCTCTATCTTGTGTATTGTGGGAGTTTTCACCAAGTTCATTGGACATTTCCTCGTTCGATCTATTCAGCTTGAGAATTTTATTTTCGTTTTCCAAGCTGTATATTCTACTAAAGCTTTCTTCCAATTTCAATCTCAATTCCTCCTTGGAGATATGTTGGTGGCCATTTCTTGAGAAGTTTCCTTTAATAAGTTCGTCATTGTTTTCCTCGTCCTCAATATAGCTGGTAATTTGGGTTGAACTTATTAAATCACTTATACCACTTACATTGGAGTTCATCGAATTCATGGAGAATCGATTAGAATTTCTCAAACTATGCTTTTTAGAATGATTTCCATTTGAGAGTTGGTCCAAAGCACTCTTATTGTAAGTTTCATAACTTGTCGGTGGTAATATGTTGATGTAATTGTCATCATAGGCAACACCAAGTTCGTCCTTATTTTGAAGAAATGTAGTATTGCTGATACGAGGCTTTGTGCCTCCAGAGATTCTTTTGCTTGAAGCATTAGACTCTTTAGCTGTATCCTCAAAAACAGTGAGTAGGCCCAATTGAAGACCTGTTGAAAGACGTTTGTATTTCTTGCCAGAAGAATCTGACGTCAGGGATGCAGGTGATTTTTCGGATCCATGGCTAGGCGTGGGATCCATCATAGGGGTCACTGGACTTATGGGGCTGTTGGGTAACTTGAGTGATGTTGTTACCGGTAAAGAGTATCTCTTCTTGATTGTAGAATTATGGAACGACTTCAAACCCTGGTGGCCCAGCATTGAGGTTCTAGGTGAAGTTAATCCCGACGAGGATCTGGAACTGGATGGTGATAAGTTCCCATTTTGGTTCATCAATTCGTTTTGCAAATCCGCCAAGTTCAGCTGATACAATTGCTTGATCGTACTGAGTTCGTCGCTGAATTGATGGAATATCATGATTTTCTCATTGAGTTCGTCAACATTCTTGATATCTTTTGTTGATTGATTGTATTTGTTGAAAAATTTCAAGTTGGTAGTTAAATTTGAAAGCTTGTTAATCATTGTTACAACACCATTATGGGCCATTTGATCATTGTCGATCTTTAGTGATTGTTTGATATCCTTTATGGCTAGAATATCCTGGTGTTCAAGGGATACGGTAGGTTTACTTTCCTTCAAAGGGTTGTTTGAGTGTAATTGATCGAATCTCTCAAATGAGCAATTGAAATTGTCAAGTACCTGGTTGTGCTCATTAAAGACTCTTGCTAAAATATTGAGTTTCTGAATACTTGAAATGCTAATAGATTCACTCAAACTATTTGAGCCTAGAGAATCCATATGAAATTGATCCATCAATTTGTAAATGAAAAAGTTCTTCTTGATTGGAACTTCATTGAATGTAAGAAGTTGACAAATCAAGAGTTTACGAAGTTGATTGAACTTCTTAATGCTGAATATAATTGCTTCGAGAGGGTTGTTGACTTTCTCCAGATCCTCATCGTTGTTTGAGTCCTCAAAGTCTTGACACAAAATGTCGATATTGATATTATTGATCATGCAGTATTGTTCGAACAATTCTCCGTTCAAATAGGGTAATAGTTGGGTGATGGAAGATCTCAAATTGAAATTAAGAAAGTCAAGTGAATGAAGTAGCATTTTCTTGAGCTCTTTTTTGTATCCGGTTTGTTCCGCTTTCTTGGCAGGCGTTTGATCCAAAAAGTTAAATACCTCCATTTCTTTATAGGCTAGAAGGTTGGTGATGATTTTTTTGTTGAGTTTGTAGTTGAGCAATAAAAAGTTATTCAATGCCAGAAGGTTCTGCGATGTTTTGATGTAGTGATTGAACCGTTTGTATTTGAATAGCTTGGAGCTCACTATCAACAAAATCTTGAATAGTTTAACTTGACTTGGAGTAGTAATCTGATTATGATTTACATGGTGATGTCTTTGCTTCAAGAGAAAAATAACTAGGTTGATGATGGGGATAATGTAATTGAAATTATTGTAGGTGAAAGGGTAGCTCAAGTTATAGTTGACGTTTAGAACCGTGAGTCTAGAGCCGTCTGAGTTGAGGCCATCGATAAAGGTGGGATGGTTCTCAAAGGATTTCCTGGGATGGTCGGAGTCTGCTTGTTTCCTCATGAGTTCATTCAAGCTCTGTTCGTTCTTGGATAAGATCATGGAATCATCCAACACGTTGGACACTACTAGATTGTACTTGAACTTTTCCCAGAACTCTCCATTTACGTTCTGCAATGAGAGGTACTTTTTGATAAACTTGGCAAAGTTCTCGGTGGTCGCAAGGATGGGATTAGCATTGTGCTTATGGTAATAGTATTGGAAGTCGTGGTTCAGGTGGTTAGACTGGAGATCATCGAAGTACAACTGGTGGGCCACGCTAGGTCTTCTGAGCTGGTCGTAGCCCAGGAAATGGGACGTGGTCCGCGACGAGGTCTCTTCAATGCCCCAATCGCTCATCTCCATGCCATTCTTGGAGAGGTAGTTGGACAACGGATTCAAACGGTCGAAGTTCATGGTGGGAGCCACAGGAGGAAGTCAGAGTTTTCAGACCTTCACAATGACAGGGTATCAACTTCTGTCCAGCCTCCAGGCTTGTGGTGTCTCCGAATCAACTAGTTCCTGCTAGTTGTCAAAAGACGCAAGGAAGGATGTGAGAGACTTCGGGATCTCACTCAAGGGATTTGACAGGGCTGGTGGACGCTGTCGTAGTGGAGTTCTGGTGGGGCTGCCAGAGACGAAGTGTCCGGTTCGAGGTTGTACTTAACCGTTTCGTTTGTACGCTTCTGGCAAAATCACAGTCTTTGTTTTGGTGGGAAGTTTCTTATTCCGGAGGGGGTGTATGCAGGTACGAGAAGACAATCGGGAGCAAAAGTGGTTAGGATAGAACAGTAGGGGTTGTCCAAACGGGACGGAAAGTGTACCAGCAGGATGGGTGACGGGTCCAATAGGCTACTGGTACATAGTTCAGGAAGTGATTCCGGCTGCGGCCGTAGTGGAGGGACCCTTCGTCCGTCAGCTGCGAGGTACCCCAGATTTTGCGTAACCGACTGAATGTACCGATTAGGAAAAGAGAGAAATGGCTACAAATGGGGCAATCGCCAGAAGAGATGGTTGAAGCAGCCGAGGTGCCTTTAATGGCTGGTAGGAGTGATGTCGTTGGTATTACATTACTAATGATGGCTATAGAGCGTTGGATGTTGCCGTTGGGGCTCCACCCGAATATGGACGAGCATCTTGTTGGGTGATTCGGAACCGCGATTCGTATATGTAGGTGGAGGAGGAGGGCGGAGGTCATGTAGTCTGCGGAGGAGATTGGGAAGTTAACTGAGCAGTTACTCCATTATTTTCCCAGAGGGATTTGGAAGCGACCATCAAACTCCAAGCAGACTTATTCGTTGCATCGACTGTCAAACTCCAAGCAGACACCATGCGAAGGGATTTGGAGGCGAATGTCAGAATGACCAGTCAGACACCAAGCGGGGACAAATTCACGGAACCGTCCCCAACTGGGCCAGGCAGACCCCATACCAAGACAGATACCGAATCGACTATCAGACTGAGCCAGCAGACTACTACTTTTCCACTTTCCCACACAGAGGGATTCACGGATTGAACTGAGCCAGTCACTCCATTATACGACTTCACAGTGTCAGAATCTCTTGCACATAGGGAGATTCACGGAATCGTCCCCATCAGACTGAGCCAGTCAGACTCCATGTATGGCATGCTTACCGATTGCAACCCGCTGTCTTTGAGGTCGAGGTCGTCGCCCATCCCCCCGTTCAACGTCACCCCCACCTGGGCATCGCTGGAGCCCAAGAGGTCGGGGTTGAGGTCGGGATTGTCCCCAAGTTGGCCCCCGTTTGCCAGCTGGAACGATTGCATTTGTTGCGTGTGTTGAAGCTGCTGCAGCTGGATCAACTTCAACCGTTTCTGCTGGAGCTGGAACTGGAGATGTGCCTGGTGTTGCTGCTGGGGGGTCAAGCTGGGGTCACTAGGGTTGACAAGCACGTTATCCTTCATTCCCACCGCAGTCTTAGGATTGTCGAAGTTGTGGTTGTTAGAACCAGTGCTTTCTCTGCTCGCGGAGCCGGAGCTGGCAAAGCGCTCTTCTGCCGACTTGGTGGGGTCCTCGCCACCAAGCATATGGGGAGAAATGTCCATAGATGGTCCAGTTTGGACGCTGAGCAGGTTTGGGTTCTGCGCCTGCTGCTGCTGGGAGAACATAATCTGCTGCTGGCTCATAGGTGCCTGTCTGGGATTCGCTTGCAGGCCGAACTGGGAGCTTGCTTCTGGTATCTGGCCCTGGGGGTGCTGTTGCTGGTTCTGGTGCTGCTGCTGTTGTCTCATGAGAAATTGGGCCCTTTGGAAGTTGTTTTGGTTCTCCATGCGCTGGAGGTTCTTCTGGTAGTCGCTGATGGCGTCGTTGGTGCTTTGGGGCACAGAAGGGGCTGTTTGCTGGCGATCGACGAGCAACGGCGATTGTAGGTGTTGCTGTTGTTGCTGCTGCTGTTGTTGTTGTTGTTGCACCGACTGTTGGCGTAACTGGGCCTGCTGCTGCTGGTACTGGAATTTCATCTGTTGGAGACGGAGCTGCTGCTGGTACTGGCTGGCCCCAACGCCAGCCAGGCGGTTCACTGCTGTTGGAGGCGGCATCTTGGCTTTAGGCTGGGGCGGGAGCATGAAGTCGGCGTCACCGCTCTGGGGGATGGACGCCGGGTTTGTTCGTATCAACAGCTGGGGGAACTGAGGTGTCTGTTGGCTCATGAGCTGGTTGAGTTTGGGGTCCATACCTGATTGCATGGTCCATAGAAGCGACCACCAGTCCAAGAGGAACTCGTCCGAGGATGCCGACGTAAAGAGCTTCTTGAGCTCCATGGGAGACACGCCGTTTCGAGGGTTGTTGGAGAGTTCGTGGAGGAGGCAGCTGGCGGAGTCGTGGAGGCCGTTGCGGTGCAAGTACCCGAAGAGATGGACCAAGAGCAGCTGGTAGGGGTCCAAGTCGGGGTTGGCGGGAGGCTGGGGTGTTGGAGGCATGTGGTACGGGTCCATGGTGGTGGAAGTGGTCCTGCCAGCGTCGGGAGGGAGGCCAGGAATGGAGAACGGAAGCCAGGCGCGACTAGCCAGGATATGTTAGGACGAGGTAGGACGGGGTGTCGTGGGACGAGTGTAGGACAGTGTAGGACAGTGTAGGACGTGATGTTCCGTGGCGCCAAAGTCGTAGCACCAAAGTCGAGTGCCAAAGTCGTAGCGTGCTGCCTGGCAAATTGTCGATAGCGCGTGGAGTTGCTGAGGGACAATCTCGTCTAGGGACCAATGCCAAGCGCTAGCGTACGGTGGGACCACAGCCAGCAAATGACACCACCAGGAGGAGGCTGAGCGGGATGGCGGGGGAAACGGACCAATAGCACAGCAATGGGTGGGTGGGCCTCAGGGGTATCAGGGGATGGAGTGGGGGTGGGGGCTAGTTGTCTACTGGGCGTGCCACGCAGCGCGACTAGCGAGTGACGGCAGCCTGGAACGACCCAGCGATCGCGGCGATCGTAGCCCAGGGCGGGCCGTGCGGGAGCTGGTGGCAGTCCTGGGACCTTCGTAGGGACAAGCCTTCTGGGGACAAGCCTTGTAGGGACAAGCTAGCGAGGTCTAGGTACGTGGAAGGTAAGTTTGACAAGGTGGCGGAGCGTCTGCCGCGTACGTCAATAGAGGACCCTGAGACGCCAGGCAAGTGGAGGATCTCGCTAATCGGTGCCTGGCTCGTGCGCGGCGCGGTGGAGTCTGGTGGAGACGCACGTGTGGGGGATTCAGGCTGTGGATGGTAGTGGTGGCTGATGGCTGGCAGAGACTGGTGGCTCATGGCTGGCAGCGGAATTGTGAATGGTGGACTAGCATACTTCTAGAAGGAAGATGCAGATTTCTAGAAGGCACTATCCTGCTGCAGGTTTCCAGAGTCCCCTGACATTTTTCTGTTGCAGATTGCTTCTAGAAGGTTGGATTGGCACAATATAACTATCTCACTTCTAGAAGGTGGCTGCAGATTTCTAGAAGGTAGATGGGTGGATTGTACATAGTTGGACTGTCAGTGAACTGACCTTTCTAGACTGGAAGACTCTATAAAATTGGACGTGAATCTACAAGTCTGAATGCAGTGGTTGAAGGGCCTATGAAGCCAGACTGCGAGTGGACTATCCATCTACTGAAGTCCATTGTTTCGATTGAGCGTGGACTGGAGATTTCTAGAAGGCCATAAAAGTAAAGATAAAGACAACTTGAAGGTAACTAATGGACTGTCATCGTTCTATGCCTGGTTCGGCAAACTTTTAAACTGTCAGACTCTCGATTATGGACTGTGAGGCAGATTTCCAGATTGTTTTCGGTCTGGCTTCATTCTCATAGCTGATAGTCTCAACAAGCACTTGAACTGTCTCCAGAGTCTTCCCCAAAAGACTAACTTTACAGAGAAACACCTCGAATCCACCTCAAAGCTACATCTAATCATGTCAGAGTAGTTAAGGGATAGAATATTATATCCTGTTTTTCTTAAGGAAGAACAGTGTACACAATAATTCATTTGGCATGATGTAACCTCTGGAATAATTTGGCAGTGCTCTTTAGTGCTCCAGATTCCCAGAGTATTTGGGCCCAGATGCTGTGCATCAGAATCAATTGCTCAAGGAAGTGTCCTTCGAGATTAAGCGTGATAAGTCCTTCAAAAGGAGCATCAATGATTGTAACTTATTGAGAAGCAAGGCTTGACGGTGGCCACGACTTCTGAATCACTTCCATTTAGTGGAATAATTGAAAACTGGATCTGGAAATATCCACCATTGTACAACATGTTGTGGCCAAGGTCATACAACTCTTTTTTGTTCATTAAAGGTATTATGCTTATCCTAAACGAATCTACCAATGTTTAATCCATGAAATTCAGTTCTTGGTTCCAAGATTGTTCTACTCTGACTTGACTTGAAATTGCTTCCCAATGAATTACAGAACATAGTAACTAAATCTGGGCGGATGTTTGATCATTCAAAGTGGAATTTATTTGAAAAGGAATTCATTTGAAGAAGAATTGCTGAACATATTTTTTACTAATTAGTAGAAGAATATTTACATTCGTACTACTAGCTAGCATCCCAGCCTCTACACCAATTGGCAGACGGTCGAGTCGTGCAAAAGTGCCCATCATGTGTGTTTATAAGGGTTACAAAGGCACCATTGCTATGAAAGTGGTAACGAATTTTACTTCCTCTATCACAATTGTGATCCCCTGAGTAGTCCCAAGGACATATTCACAGATACCTCATTGAGTGGATCTAAAGCCTCTATTGGCCCGATCTTCATTGAAACCTTATCAGGACCTCTTGGATACCCTCTACTTTACACCTCTGCGTCGTACATTCATTCCGGATACAAACTCTTCTTAAAGCTACCAAACGGCAAATCTGGAGCCGTCCCGCTGGCCACCTCTTGTTTGACCTCTGCCATAAATTCCTCGGGATACTCGAGACGGTCAAATATTGGCATCAACCGATGGTGCTCCACACTGTACTCGTAGTAGATACCATGGATCATGAGACTGTCCAACTTGAAGAAGATTATGGAAAAGTACCGGATGATGGGCTCAAGCTGGTGCACAATGTAGGTCGACACCAAATTATCGATATTCACCGGACTCTTGCCGCACGGATCTCCTTCCAAGTCACACGTACATTTCTCCGACACCTCCAGGGTGTCGGGGTTCTTGACGTGAAAGCCATTGTGCAATGTGTGAGGCTGGCCTTTGTAGATTGGGTAGTTTGCATAATGGGTGGTTTTTTCTTTGATGGGAACACACACCTCTCGATCGGCCTGTAACTTCCCCAACATGTATCCGATGAGATAGAACGCCGATTCCTCGGCAATGGGGTCGTCTCCTCCGTACGGCTCGTGATCTCTTCTCTCGCTCTGGTCAACCTCATGGAGAGGGAAGAACATGCTCCGCAATTTGCGGAGAACCAAGTCGCATCCCCAGCACTCGCAGGTGTGCAATAAAGACCCATAGAAGTCGGGTTTGTAGTAGATGAACGAGGTCAAGAAGTCAGGAAGGTGCAAGGTCCTCAATCCACCAAGGAGCTTGCGGTGGCTGTTGGTGAAGAGACAAAGGAAAAAGGCATCCATCAACCGTTCGTTCAATTTATTCAACATTTCAGTCGACATGCCCATTCTGCTTTCAAACATCTTGAATCCGGGGGTAGAAAAGTCGATGCACAACTTGGTAATGCCTGTCAATGTCCGAATGAAGCTTCCCACGGGAGTCAATACGTTTTCGAGTATCTGGTGGGGCCTGAGCCACTCAAGATTGGGGAAGGACTCCAAGCCGAAACTCTTGAGATTGGGAAGCCCACCGTTTTTCTCGGAGAATAATGCAAATTGTTCAAAGAACGTCTCGAAGCAAAGGCACGAGTTATGGCACCGGTCCACGCAATCGATCTTCAAGCAGAGGTGGGATAAATGGGTGATGTCTATTTTCTCGTGGATGACATGGAACGACAATCGCTTATCCAAAGCGTTCATGTATTTGATCAAGTTCTTGTCGTCGTGGTTGATTTTGTTGTCGATGAAAAACTGGAACTCGTCGCCTTCGCTGTTGAAGGTCTGTTTGTGGCAGTGGAATACCGTTAGCTCTCGTAATTTGAGTTTCATGTCTTTGTCAAAGAGCCTTATGCTTTTTATAATTTCTAGCCCGATCTGGTTATTGGTGTTGCAGGTCAACGTCAACAACGATCGGAAAATGTCGTAGGGGTATTTCGTCATGTCGAACAAGTCCTGTCTTTTGCGCAAGACTGGCACTCCTTCGTCGTCCACCTCTCCTGTGACCTCCATCATTTCTGCCTCGTCGAGCATGAGAAACAAGTTGGTGAGGCTCTTGGGCACGCTGGGAAAGTAGAGGTCCTTGGTCTTGGTGACAAATAACTTGAAGATACGGTTCCTAATATTATTGTTGCGCAAGAACTTGGTGAGTTTGGCGATGCCCTGGGAGAAGTCAATGAAAGTGATGTGCAAGAAGTTAATCTGATGGGAGTTTTCGCCAAAGAACTCGATGATCTTGGCCTGGATCACGCTGATATCCACCACTGGATCGTTGTGGCACTTGTCGAACACGAACACCTTGACGAGCTGGACCAACGCTGGGTTTGTTTGCATTGAGTGCAAGAACCTAGCGAGACTGTGTACGGAGAAGATCAACGAGCTATCCATGTAGGTCAAGCCATTGTCTATAATGTAGTCTCTGTGATTGGTGTATTTATTGGCAAACTCCACGTTCAAGTTGACGGTGACACGCTTGTAGAGCCTGGCTATGGCTAGTGGGTAGAGCTCCGAGTGAGTCACCAGGAGGGCGACCAAGTCGTACTGGGTGACGTACTTGAGGATCTCGTGGATCACACATGGAGATAGGCGTTTGAGGAGTGAGTTTCGAGGCTGGATGAGCTTGCGTCGTGGAGGACACGTCAAGAGCAGTGAGAGGGTGGTGGTGGCACTGGTGGGTGCAGTCTCGTGGGACTTGGAAGTCGTGGAGTCCGTGGTGGTGATGGTTAAGGGGTTGGTTTCGGAAGCCAGAATCGCCCCCAGTTTCTCCCACGCCGTGAAATAGGTGTCGAAAGCGGGCATTTCAGGATCCGGCGGAGACGGGGGTTGTGCTATGATCCCCATCAAGTTGGCGCTGGGTGTGTAGCGGTGGGGTGGTCGCCTGGTATATATGGAGTTGCTCCACGATTGAAGACGCACGACCGATTCGTAATCTTACTAATGATGGTGGGGCTGAAAGTGGGAGTGGGTGGGAGTGGGCCAGGATCTACGTAGCACAATTAGGAAGTAGAATAAGTACATGTTTCAAAGAAGTAAAGTCAATTAACATACACAATTGGTAATGTTTGGATGTTTACTAGTCAAATACAGGTAGCAGAATTAAGTATCTGGATGTCACTTTCTGAAGGAAAATTGTAACTCATGCAGAAGTAGTATATGTTTTACTGCAGTGTATCAATTAACATACAGACTTGACTATTGTCAAGAGGCTTGTCGTTTAGGGTGTAATTAAAAGGAAGTAATCACTTGCTTGAAAACTAATCGCTACTTTGAACCACTCTCGAAATCACCAGTGAGCTCCTGGTAGGCTTATTTTCATTCCACTAAGTCCGATAGTAGTCATTTGCATGAATCCAAAGCTATGTAGTGTAATAGTTGTAATGATCCATATACTCCGAGGACTCGGCACAGGTAGAATTTCATTCCATTCTGGATTTAATTATACCTAACGGTTGTTTCGATAGTGAGGCTATTTCTATGGCACATTCCTGATTCTTGGATCAAGGCAAGAGGTAGTTCTACCTGTGTGGTTGCTCAAGAAGTTATCCACCTGCTGGAACCGCTTACTAATCGATTTTTCAGCCATTTTCAGCCATTTTCAGCCATTTTCAACCATTTTCTACATGCTTTAATTCGCTAAACTTGTTGCACTTTTCCGCTCAACCCCTGACGCTTGATAAGAAACGGCGTTATCGGCAAAGCCTCTAAGGGACGTTGGTCCCATAGTGTTGAAGTAAGGATGCATTACTCTAGCGGCTTTATCGGAAATACCGGGGGACTGCAACCATGCTGAGTCAGCAGCGAATTACACAAATAAATGGTATTACTCCACATCTCTACAGGCGAATTATTTGCCAAACAGGATACATTTCTCGTAACTAATGGACGGCATGTTGGACACATCCACGATATTTCGTAACTAATATCTCTTGCCCAAGTTGATGTGGACAGCCTTAGTGTTGGTGTAGTTGATCAAACCGTACTCACCCAATTCTCTACCGTGACCGGAGCTCTTGACACCTCCGAATGGAATGTGGACGTCGGAGTCGTTGGAGGAGTTGATCCAGACCATACCGGCCTCGATGTCATGGGCCATGTTGTGGGCCTTGGTGATGTCGGTGGAGAAGATGGCAGCACCCAAACCGTATTCGGTGTCGTTGGCGAGCTTGATGGCCTCTTCATCGGAGGAGAACTTACCGATACTCACAACAGGACCAAAGATTTCTTCCTTGACAATTCTCATTTCTGGGGTGACGTTGGTGAAAATGGTTGGCTTGACAAAGAAACCCTTGGCCAAGTCACCTTCGGTGTTTTGTTCACCACCAAGCACGACGTTAGCACCTTCCTTCTTACCGATGTCGATGTAGGACATGATCTTTTCAAAGTGTTGCTTGGACACTTGTGGACCGACAAGGGCCAGGGAGTTGAAAACGTCACCTTGGATGTACTTTTCTTGGACGTGAGCAGCAAGTTGCTTCACGAACTCGTCGTGGACATCTTCGTGCACGTAGATTCTGGAGTTAGAGGTACACACTTGACCGTTGTTGAACATGATACCTTCGGCACCCCACTTAACGGCTTGGTCCAAGTCGGCGTCGGCTCTGACAATCAATGGCGACTTACCACCACATTCCAAGGTGACGGCCTTCAAGTTGGCGGCAGCAGCCTTTTGGATGAGCTTACCGGTGGCAGTGGAACCGGTGAAGGCGACCTTGTCGACGTCCATGTGTTCAGCCAAGGCCTGACCAGCGGTAGCACCGTAACCAGTGATAATGTTGACCACACCTGGTGGGAAACCAACGTCCTTGAAGATCTTGGCGAGGTGCAACAACGACAATGGAGTGACTTCCGAGGTCTTGAGGACAACGACGTTACCGGCAGCCAAGGCTGGGGCCAACTTCCAGGCAGCCATCAAGAATGGGTAGTTCCATGGGATGATTTGACCACAGACACCAATTGGCTCGTGGAGGGTGTAAGCCAACTTCAATGGGTTGGGGTGGATGGACTGGCCGTGGATCTTGTCGGCCCAGCCCGCGTAGTATCTGAACACAGCAACACTCTCTTCCACGTCTCCGAGGGCATTGAGGTCTCTGGTCTTACCGGAGTCCCAGGCCTCAATGGAGGAAAGCTTTTCGAGCTGGGCTTCCACAGCGTCAGCGAATTTGAAGAGCAATTGTCCTCTTTCGGCGTTGTTCATCTTTTTCCATGGCTTGAATGCGGCACGGGCAGCGGCCACGGCAATGTCCACATCTTCCTTTTCGGCAGCGTAAACTGAGCCATTGACCTCACCAGTACCTGGGTTGATGGAGTCCAAGGTCTTACCAGCCTTGGATTTGACAAACTCGTTGTTGATGAACAAACCGGATGGCTGTTGGAACTTGGTGCCATCTGGCAAGGTGACTTCGTATTCTAATGGGAGGGACATGGTGGATTGGTTGGGAGATGTAAATGGAGATGGAATGGACAACTTGTAGAATGCGTGGGAATTGGGGCACCTTTATAGTGGTTGCGGGGCGGCAACGGATTTAGCTACCTTATCGGTGAAAAGTACCCGCCAATTTATAGGCGGGGGCGATTAGCCGCCAGGACGTGGGGACGTCCACGAGGTACAGTCAAGTGGGATTTTGCGGCCAGTGGATGGGCGCGCATTGGGGCACAGTGTTGGGGGAAGTCAGTCAGACAGTGTCGGGGGAGGTGTGAAGGAGTGTGGTGAAGACTCCAGACAATTCTTTGTCTATGTGAATGAATCAGTAAGAACTGATCGCTGCTCGCTAACGGCACAGATCCGCGGCAATGCCCAATGCGGTACTTCGAGGCGCGGGGGGTACGGAGGGCGCCCCACCTGGGGAAGTCACGTGATACTATACCAAACCGTGAAGCTCTTAGGTGGTGGAGCCGTCTGTTGGAGCGGTTCTGACTCCAGTGATGTGGAGATGTTGGAGACTACTGCCTACAGGCACATCTCCATACATCCTTACTACTATGTTACTCTACTTTGAAGAAAATAAACCGGTGAGCAGCGTCAATGAAATTAATCATAAATGATCACTTAGACATCTCGACTGTGCTCTTCGTCCGGTAAAAGTATCCATTTCTTCTCCAGCCTTCCTCTCAAGTCTTCTCCAGCTTCCTTCCCAGCCTTCTCCAGCATTCCTCTCCATCCTCGTGGTGGATTGGAATGCTTCCCCATAAACTGTAATTCAGTGCTCACTGCGATTATAAATCAACTCGATAAACCACTCCCAGAGATAGGCCTGCACACAAACAACTCCCAACAACACTTCTTATCCCACCACCATGGACCTTTCTGCCTACACCACCCAGAGCCCTGCCCACAACGAGTACCGCAGTGACACCTTCACCACTCCCACAGTGGCGATGGTCCAGTCGCTTGCGCAATCCTCTTTGGGAGACGCAGTCTACAATGAGGACTCCTCTACCGCCCAGTTGGAGCAAAAAGTCGCCCAATTAGCAGGCAAACCTGCTGGCTTGTACTGTGTGAGTGGCACTCTCTCCAACCAGATCGCCATTCGCTCCAACTTGTTTCAGCCACCCCATTCCGTGTTGTGTGACCATCGTGCCCACGTCTTCAGCAACGAGGCAGGTGGATTGGCCACGCTATCCCAGGCCATGGTCCACGCCATCATTCCTAGCAACGGGAGGTACCTCACGTTGGAGGACGATATTTTCCCCAATTTTGTGCCTGACGATGGCGAAATCCACGGTGCTCCCACCAAGGTGATCTCGTTGGAAAACACTCTCCATGGGATGATCTTCCCCGTAGAAGAGATCGCCAAGATCTCAACATTCTGCAAGGAAAACGATGTCAAGCTCCACTTGGACGGAGCAAGGTTGTGGAACGCTTCGGTGGCCACGGGAGTTTCGCTCAAGGAGTACTGCTCTTACTTCGACAGCGTATCGCTTTGCCTCTCCAAGAGCTTGGGGGCTCCCATCGGCTCGGTGTTGGTGGGGGACCAGAAGTTTATCACCAAGGCAAACCACTTCAAAAAGCAGAACGGAGGAGGTATCAGACAGAGTGGGTTATTGGCATGCATGGCAGTGGTTGCCATCGACGAAAACCTTCCCCAGCTCGCCAAAACCCATCTGAGAGCTCAGGAATTGGGGGAGTGGTGTCAACAACACAACTTGCACTTGTTGCATCCGGTGGAAACCAACTTCGTCTTCATCGATTTCCGCCAGAACAAGATGGACCCGCAGTTGTTCACTAATTTGGCAGAAAAATACGGCGTCAAGGCTAGTCCTGCCCGTATTGCGTTCCACTTCCAGCAAAGCGAAGAAAGCTTCGAAACAATCAAGAAAATTGTCAAAGAAGTGTACGAACATTCGTTGACAAATCCCCACGAAGGCGCAGGATCGTTGGGGTACTACTAGAACGTGATTTATGACTACTGTATAGTTCGGCCTCCTTTGGGGGTAGTATGATCTAATAGATTTAGAGATTTGGTAAGGTGGTAGATTTGTGCTGCGCACGCCCCGATATCGATAGTTGAAATTAGTGTAGGCAATTTAAACCTTGGTGAATGACTCACAGTCGATGCTGTGAGCTTTGTTGTGCGTGGCTGGTTGGTTCCTTGACAAGTAAGCTAGCATATGGTTCTTTTTTCAAGCCGTAATGGGACAATCTGGGTGTTCACTTCTGACATCTCTTCCTTGCTTGTTCTCCTTCAGGATGACTTCAATTTCGAGACGGTGCTTAGGCTACTCGACAACCCTCGGGAGCAGCAGAAAGTACTCGGAATCAAAGATATCCCTCATCGGATCAAAACCATGGTGAATATTTTGTTCACTAGGGTGGTGTTGAACGCTATCATAGAGGGAAACATCGACGATCCGTGGAAAACCATCCAGTTTTCCCATAACAAGTACGGAAAACCGCTCTTAGAGGCTAACGGACAAAAAATCCAATTTAATTCAAGCACTTCCGACAAAATACTCAGCATAGCCATCGAGTTCTCCTCCATCAATAGTCCCATCGGTATAGACTTATCTCACTCTCGACAGACTAGCATTTCGGATACCGAGTTTATGGAGCAGTTTCTGCCCATGTTCCATCCCCGAGAGCACAGAAAACTCATTGAATGTAGTCCTGAAACGAGATACTTCATGTTCAACCACTTATGGACTCTCAAGGAAGCGTTGACGAAATTGCTCGGATGCGGGCTCAACATCGACTTGTCTGACGTGTGCTTCGATGTCGAGGGATCAATGTCACCAGATAAGTACAACTCCAAACAAGAACAGAGTATAGAAGAATTTAGCGTTGTGGAACGAAACTGGTTTAGAAACGTTGAGGTGGACATAGAGGGCTTGGTGAGGCAAGACAATGAGTTTGTATCTGCTTTGAACAAGATAGAGTTCCACACTTATTCAACGGTTGTACGTCAAGCGAATTTTGATGAGCTACCGGTCATATTATCTTTGGTGAGCCAAAATTCAGATAGCACCGTTTCCTCGATTGATGTTAACATGGAGAAACTTCTAAATCTCTAAGAGTATATCAGTCAATATTATTTACTTCATCATCCTACACATTGCGAATACATGAAAATCCAGCAGCACTTAGTTAACGAAATAGACAATTTTATGGAATCGAACCCCATTAAATTTTGATGGACAAATCACACTATGTAACCAACCTATTAAATACACCTAGCTTGTAGCTGATAAGTGATTCAACCTTAGAATATTGTTCAAATAAATGCTACAGCTCATAAATGAATCAATTTTGTATTGAGAACACTATTATTCCGAAATAAATTACCCAAGAGTGAACTGTATCAAACAGAAATAATTTTACTCTAATAAGATTAGATCAACAAGGATCCGGCAATGGCAGCGACTGCAGCTAATCCGAAACCAGCGCTTTGAGCGTTACCAGCAGCAGAACTGGAGCCAGAGCTGGAGCCAGATCTGGAGCTAGAACCACCCGAAGAGCTGGAGCCACCGAGCAAAGCACCAGCAGAGCCAGAGGAGCCGGAGCCAGAGGAGCCAGAGGCACCAGAACCACCAGATCTAGAGGCACTAGAACCAGAGCCACGAGAACCACTGGCACCAGAAGAACCAGATGGAGACGAGGAACCAGAGCCAGAGGCACCAGAGCCAGAGGCCAGGGCAGAGCCAGCACCAGCAGAACCAGCAGCAGATGAGCCAGAGGCAGCGGCACCAGAGGCACCAGAGGCACCACCAGAGGCAGCGGAAGATCCAGCGCCAGAAGCACCAGAAGCAGCAGAGCCAGCAGCACCAGTGGCAGTGCTAGCACCGGAGCCAGCAGCACCAGTAAGTACAGAGCCCACAGAGGCGGCAGCATCTCCAGCAGTTCCGGTGGCAGAGGCAGCTTGTTGAGCAACGGAGCCACCGGCATCAGCTGACAGTGAGTCTTCACCAGCTCTTCTGTTGAGAAGGTCCACCACGTTTTCTCCACCCAACACCTGGGCGTGGGCAGCGGAGGAGGCGGCTAAGGCTAAGGCCAAACTGGAGAACTTCATTGTGTGTGTGAAAGGGGTGTGATTTGGTCTGAAAACAGTCTGAAAAGGGTCTGACGTATAAGGATAGACTCGATGGTTCTCCAGAAACCAGAATTGGGCCCCAATTTATACCCCAGCTGCCACCGGGCAGCGAGGCAGAGCTGATCACGGAATAGGTGCTCGTGCTTTCATAACCGGTATAGCCACATTATGGTCAACAATAACGGCACGTTTGCTCAAACACCAAACTGTATTCTCGGTGTCTAGATCATTTCGAGCTGTGATGGAGGTGCGCAACCAGCAGTGTGGTGCCAATCACGGTGGCTGTACGCCATGGCGAGGGAAAAGAAAAGACGGTTACGACCGCTGCGCCATTCCTCCTATGACGCCAGAACCGGTGCTAGAACTAGCAATCGTGGGCCGCAACCGTGGTGGCTTCCACGCCTATCAGACGCCCTCCAAAACCCCCCAAACCCCTCCTGTGGAGCAAGCAACCTTTGCAGCCGTGCCAAATAGGGGTTTTAGGTCTTTCGAGGCCCGAGACCGGTGACGTCTTGGCGTGGCGTTGACAGCACGCAGGGGAAATTTCGCACATCGGAAATGGAGATGGAGTCCTAAGCCCTTGGTGGGCGAAGCAAGAGATCGCGTCGTCGCGACTGGCAGGCTCCACGAGCCCGTGGTGGCTTGGTAGTGGTGGTATGTTGACGGCGCCTCGTCTGTTTCACGATTAGTAGCGCAAACCTGGCACAGCCTGGAGAATCACGTGGTGATTCGATAGTTGGGCGTCCCAGGAGGGTATGGGGTAATTGAGCATTGGCTGCAAGTCGTGGAATAGGATGGAAAAAAGAGGGTGCAGTCGTGGAATTATTAGGTAATATGGAGAATACAGGATGAAGCGGAGGACCTAATTGTATAATATATGAAACGTCTGAGTTTCTGAAAAACCGTGGATTGTAAATGAAGTTTCTAGTATGGCTCAATTGTGTGCACAAGCTACACCCTTGATAAGCTTTTGTTCTCCTATCCTAGAACTTTTAACCATGAAATTGAAACCTCTAGCAACAAAGCCACAAGCTACAAAGTTGCAAATATCTGATTCGTTTCATTAGAAATATTTTTAGCCAAGGTCCACTGCAACTGAGGGCTAGTAGTGACAGTAAAATCGTGTGCACAATAAACTTCTCCAAATATTTGATTCTCTCACCCTGGGCTTTTTAGTTCTCTAGTTACTGTAGCCAAAATTTCACTAGCAATATACTTCCAAATATCCGATTCTACTATTTCTAACCCCAGACTGCAATTGAATCTCCAGTAATCTCAACGGAAATCATTTCTATTGTCTATATAGTTCAAGTATCAGATTTTCATCCATTAGCAAGTATCTTATTCAATTTCTTTCCTGTCATTCATATCTGATTCTTATCCATTTTAGTCGCAGTTCGTTTCTGTCATTCCATGGTATAGTTAAATTACAGTTTCATGCTAAATGCCGCAAAATACCCCACCTATCAAAAGATAATCCTCTACCCTAGATTGCTTGCTCAAATCATTCATTTCATTTCCTCGAGCCAGCTGGTGCCTTCACATGGGTCTCCACAGTAGCAATGTCGCAAATGTCGTATTTCATATCTAATGTCGCAGGCAACATGGCCATACCCTCCTCAGGCCAGATGTCCCTCCTTACTGCCAAGCACGACAAGTTCTTCAATCGCTGTCTCCAGGCATTACCAGCAAGCCTCCAGTCAGAAGATTCCAACAAGCTCGCCTTGATTTATTTCTGCCTCAATGGATTGTCCTTGCTCAAGACTTTGCAATTCACACCTCAAGAACAGCTCTACCACGCCAATGTCATCTACAACGACTTTCTCATAGACAATGATGAGTACACTGCATTCAGAGCGACTCTGTCGTTTAAGCATGCCCAAAACTTCGATCTTGCCAGTCTTTCTGCCACGTACTTTGGCTTGGCTGATCTCCTTCTTTTGAACAACGATATCACTAGCAAGTTGGACCGCCACAAGATCATGAGATTCGTCCAGGCATGCCAGGTCAAGACAGGTACTGCCAAGGGCTCTTTTGTGCCCACTCTTACCGATTCCAATGACCAGTTTGGCGAGACAGACTTGAGAATCTGCTACATCGCTGCCTGTATCCGGCGGTTGTTGAAATACGACCAATTGGAAAAGCAGGAACGAGTGTACGATATCGACACTGCATCCTTGCAAGCATTTATCATGGACCGCATTGCCTACAACGGTGCATTTAGCTCTAACATGTTGGATGAGGGCCACCTAGGGTTCACGTTCTGTGGATTAGCGTGCTTGAAATTGTTGGGATACGACATCAGCGGCCCACAATTTGAGGCCACCAAAAACTGGCTTGTCCACCGGCACGTGGAGTATCCAAAAGAACTCTACACTGAGGCTTATGAGTATTACAACCCCGAAAACGACACTGGTGGGTTCAATGGCCGTGAAAACAAGTTCGCTGATACATGCTACTCGTGGTGGTGCACAGCCAGCTTGCGGCTCATGGACAAGAATAATTTGGCGTTACTCGATCTAGAGTCAGCTAGGGACTACTTATTGACAAAGACCCAGAACCAGATTATGGGAGGCTTTGGCAAGGATCCTGATGCGTCCCCTGACCCATTCCATGGATTCTTGGCCATTGCCAGTCTCTCGATGTGGGATATCCACCAGGACGAACAGGCTGGTACGTTACAACTGATCGATGACGAGTTAGTTCTCTCCACAAAGGCGGTCAACTTTATGGAGAGCCTCCAGTGGGTCCAATAGACCACGGAAAATCGGTGTCATGGCCTGGCTGCAGTGTTAACTCTCTGGGTGGCACTGTGGGCAGCTTAGCATAATTAGCATAGACTTCACGAATTTAAGGACACCTCGTAACATTAATTGTGGTTGTGATATGGCCAGCTTACAATTATTAGCATATATTTCACCAATTTCAAGGCATCTGTAAGACATTTCGTAGTAATAATAGTGCTGCTATTTTCCATAACCAACCAAACTTGGAATAGACGATTGGATGAATTTGGGACGACAGAATAATCGAGACGCCTTGCGGTCTCAGTCTCTTCAATCACTCTTGCGATGAAATTCCTAAGATTATTTAGATTCCTCCGTGATTATTAGTAAAGAGAAGTTGTTAACAGACGAATGTTAATTTTTCACTACCAAAATATCACCGACAGCCAATCTTGGTACCACTGAGTAGTTTTAACAATTATGGTTCCTTTAGTTACAGGATTACCAGACCATTCTTCTTCGACTTTTAGGCGCTTCCTTACTAATTATTTCTTGTCGATAGATGAGAAGATCCCTCTGATTATATCTTCAAGTGACTTGCCCGAGTTTGGGAAGCAAGAAAAAAAGGTAACGGTAAGGTTGCGAGATTCAAGTAATATGAAAAAAACTCAGTAATATTTAATCGACCACTGGAAACTTTCAAGCCCAGAACTCTCTAGGCCAGGCCAAGTAATTGTAAAACATTTTCAAGAAAACAATTCATAAGATGTGCTACTAATCATGGAAATTTACCACTTTATAGTGCAATACCGCAGTAGGTTCAGCACCACTTACGCAGCTAACAAATAGCACCTAAATGAAGCCAATCTTCTAAAATTCTCTATTTAAGCAAAAGATCTATTGACGCCAAAACAGGTCAAGTCTTCTCCCAAATATCCCAAATTTTCACTCAACTACCTTTTTCGTACGAGCTCTCACTGTAGCTGCCAAATTCAAAAACCGTCCTGTGCACTCAATCATTTTTGCCGCCCCATATTTTATTCTCTTTCTGATATATCACAACTATCACTCCCACTTTCTCCCACAACCCCATCGTTGCTGTTCCATGCACCATCCCCCCCGTTATAATGACTAATGATGACTCACAAGATATAGTCAATCGCCCGTCAACAAACTCGGTTCCCGGTGCAATTGCTGCCAGCAAATCGTCACCAGTCCCCGGCACTAAAGTCCATCTAGTGGCAGGCGGAGTGGCAGGTTTGGTCTCTGCTGTCACATTGCAGCCATTCGATTTGCTCAAAACAAGACTTCAGCAGCAGCAGAGTATCAGTGGCGTCGAGTTCCGGACAACCATCGCCAAAGAGTTGAAGAAACTCACCCAGATCAAAGACTTGTGGAGAGGGGCGTTGCCGTCCACGTTGCGGACATCTGTGGGGGCAGGGCTCTACTTCACCATTCTCTCCAAGTCCAGGACCTATTTGGCAGAAGCCAAGGTCAACACCAACACCAAGTCGTCCACGTCAGTGCTTCCACGTTTGACTCCGTTTGAAAACTTGGCCACCGGGTTCGTGGTCAGAGCCATCGTGGGCTTCATCACCATGCCAGTCACTGTGATCAAGACCCGTTTCGAGTCAAATATCTACAACTACAATTCAATGTACGAGGGCGTGGAGGGCATCTACCTCGGCAACCAGGGCCAGGTGGGTCAACCAGCTACCAAATCGGTCCGCAACTTCTTCAAGGGCTCGGTGGCCACCTTGGCCCGTGACTGCCCCTATGCTGGGCTCTACGTGTTGTTCTATGAGGTTTTCAAGAACGACATGATGCCGTTGATCACGCCATTGGTGCTCCCCTCGAGCTTGCAGGAATACAACTCGGGGGTGGTGAACTCGTCAGCTGCTGTGTTGGCCGCGTCAGTGTCCACCACCATCACTGCGCCCTTCGACGCCATCAAAACTCGGCTCCAGTTGACCAACCAGACCTCGATTCTCAAAACAACCAGGGTGCTACTTGCCGAGGAGGGAGGCATCAAAAACTTGTTCCGGGGGTTGTCATTGCGGTTGAGCAGAAAGGGGTTGAGTGCAGGTATCAGTTGGTGCTTGTATGAGGAGTTCTTGAGAAGCAGCGTCGCCAGCAAAGTGTTGCTGAGCTAATCTTGTATATATATTTACACTACTTAAGACGAATGTAACTAGAAGGAACGTTTGGAAATATTTCTACCATCTATAAGCCAAAACTGGTTGACTTCATGAGATTGAGGCTGACTGGTTGTATCTCAGATGAGTTTCAAAAGAAGGCTATGACTGGCTACGAACTGGAGCAATAGCAAGTACTTTCTTGTCCGTCGTAATTTCACTACACTAACATTAGCTACGGAAAATAGTCAAGAGGATATTACAACTGCATTGAACCAGAAGCATTTGAAGACGATACACAATGCTTGTAATGAAAGGATTGCCAATGCAGAAGCAATATCCGGTAACCAAACCACCCCACACTACATATACACCAATATAAAGTAGGCAATACTGCTGCACAATCTTATACCTACTCTATAGCTACAGAAGATATATCACCAACCAAACAAGCAGGCGTATCCGTACAAACACTATTGTTTAATCTTGCAAAAGTCGTTTCTCTCCACCTAAAGTACGCAATTCATACAGTCCACAAGCATTACAATTCTATTTCGTGGCAATGATTCCCAGATGACATATGTATCATTCTACAGAACGATCCAAATTCCTTTCAAGGCGGATTCTCCTCCATCACTCCATCACCATTTAACTCTTACCTCTCCATTTACTCCATACACTCCATCAAATCTCCATGTACTCCACACAACGAACCTCGGGCATATCGGGTCACGTGCCGTCCACCCCACACCCCGCGGCGACTGTCCCATGTGGAACATGCCATCCACCAGATACGGGATCACTGGCCCAGCAGGCCCTGGTACCAAAATACTAGCTTGTACTCCAACCCCAGAAGTATTAATTATTAATCGGGTCTCTCAGAACCGCATTTTGTAGTAATACAGGTTAGATACAATACCTCAGAATGGCATACTAAACCACACGATACTCTAACCCAAACACCTGTTGCCTAAGTGGCCGAATCCCCCTCGTCAGCCTTTCTCCCCAGCCTGTCCCCCAGCGCTCACCGGCCCCAGCCGTGATTCAAGGTGTATTTACCCCCGCTATCACCTCACGTGAATCTAACCTCGGCCAGAAAATTTCCAATATATAACTCCTCAATTTGGACTATTCCTTGCCACCAAAATGAACGAAGAGCTCATCAAAAGCGCTGTGGCGTTCCTCAAGGACCCGAACGTCAACGGCCTGCCCTTGACGAAGAAGATTGAGTTCTTGGAGTCGAAGGGCTTGGGCCAGCAAGAGATTGAGGAGGCGTTGAAACGAGCAGGAAATGGAGCTACCACCTCCAGTTCGTCCTCCACTGCCAGCACCACCCCAACCAACACGCCTGCTGTCTCGCCAGCCCCCCCACCATCCCTTCCCATAGACTACTACAATGCTCCTGCTGTGCCTGAACGGTCCTGGAAGGACTATTTCATCATGGCTACTGCCACTGTTGGTGTCACCTACGCTGTGTACCAAGTGGCCAGCAAGTATCTCATCCCCAGCATCATTCCTCCCAGCCAGACTTCCATCGAGAAAGACAAGCAGAAGATCGACGAGGAGTTCATCAAGATCGATAAGATTCTCGAGCAGTTGAGCGAGGACCAGACCCAGATCAAAGAGGCCAACGAGGCCAAGCTCAAGGAGATCGACGTGGTGATCGACAATGTCAACGACTTCTTGAGCAAATACAACAAGGACAAGCTCAAGTTCGACGACGACTTGCGGTTGATGAAGCTCGAGATCGACAACTTGAGCAACAGCGTGGAGAAGAACATGGCTCTCACCAAGGAGAACATCCGCGACGAGTTGGTGGAGATCAACGAGGAGTTGCAGTCGTTGAAGCAGTTGTTGAAGAATAGATCCGGCACTCCTGCGTCCACCACCGAGCGCAAATTGGCCCCAGTGTCGTCGATTCCCTCGGCCTCGGAGATCCTCAAGAGAGCCAGAGCCAAGACGGAAGAGAAGAAGCCAGAGCCCACATTGCCCTCTCCCGAAATCACCGATTCTGTGTCTGCCAATGGAGTGACGTCCGCAGGAATTCCTGCCTGGCAAATGAAGCATAAGCAGCAGGAAGAAGGCGCGAGCGCCGAGCCTGCTCCAACTGAGTCCAAGACGGGAGGCCTCAACGAAGATGCTGTCAAGAAGAACATCGACAAGATCGGCGTTCCATCGTGGCAGTTGAATGCGGGAGGTAGTTCCAGTGCAGAGACTGGCGAGTCCAAATCTGCCACGGAGGAGAAGGAGGCCAAAAACGGAGCGAGTGCGGGTATTCCTGAATGGCAGCTCAATGCCTCTAGCAACAGCTAGTGGAGGATGAAAATGTCTAGTAGTGGTGAAAGACAATTAAATCTAGAAATGTGTTCTGAATGAGAGTTGAACAGCTCTGCTGACATTTTGGATGTGATATCCCGAATGACAATTCAACGTCTCTGCGGGCAATAGCTATGGTGAATGACAGCGTCCCTGTCAGCCATAACAAGTAATGCCTTCCTATCCAACGCCTTTGCCAGATAGTATTCGTTTTCTGAATGACAGTTCTTCGCCACTGCCAGCTAGTAAAGTCTTCCCATTCAACCTCCGCTAGTTAATGTACACTAATGGTAATATTCCTGTAGAGTCACCAGTAGTAATTTGCACCCGGTCTGGCGCGCGCCGTCGCTGTCGCGTGCCCGTCCCGAATCATTCACGTGAGCATAAGGCTCGACGAATAATGCGCCAGTCTAGTAAATAGTTCACCGACACTTCAGCCATCCCATCCGCCAGAAGTACCCTTGCATCCGTCTCTCGACCGCTCCAACGATACCTGGTTCATATCTCACCAGTTGTGTCGCTCCCTTCGTCCTCAAGTCTTACTTCTGGCATCCTAGCACCGTCGGTCCAGCCCGTCTTAGTCTCCACTGTCGCCATACCTCGTCGATATTCGTTGTATTCATAGTTCACTTCATTAGCTTTTGGTTCTGGTCGTGTTGTTCAACCGTTTCATCCCCGTTCGTGTCCATTATAGATTTCGGCACATTCTCGTTCCTTTCATGATATTTAACATTTAACCCATTTCTTGTTTCGTTTGTATGTTCTGCATTATTACCCATGTCGCCTCAACTAGAAAATAGCGACACTGCTGTCCCCGAAATCACAAAGCAAGTCCACTATGGAAAGAGACCCTTGGAATTGGTGGCTTTTAACAGCCAGTTGGAGTTGATTGAAAAAACTCTTGCTGCTGCCCCCAAAACGAACACCAACCCAAACAGTTTCGCCTCGTCCTCCACTGGAAACGTGTCACTGAACTATTACCCCAGGTATGGGGGTAACAACTACCAGCAAAGCTACTATCAAAATTCCGCCAATAACGCGTCGACCAATAGTCATCACAACCCCAACCTGAACAAATACACGTTGGCTGCGGTGGCCGCTGCCGCAGCTGTCCAGCAGCAGCAGCATCAGAGTTATTTATTCCAACAGCACATTGCCAAGCAGTCGCCATCATACCAACAGAACCAAAAGCAAGGGCAAGGATACCAATCGAGCCCCTACCAGCAGCCTCTCCAGCAGATCCAACAGCAGAAACTGCAAGGCTCGATGTACCAAAAGAAGCCTCAGCTTTTTGGGCCTCACGATGGCTCCGACATGTCCGCATCTTCCTCGGTGTTATCGGAAACTCGTCCTCCAGCACAGGCATCATCATCGGTTAACCCTAACTCCATGAGTGCTCCTATCGACTTCAAGAGCAACTACTTGCTCTTCAATGAGAGCTCGCAATCGCTTCTGTCGCCAAAACTTTCTGCCACTGGCCCATCGCAACAGAAGCAATCAGCTCCCCTTCATTTCAAATTGTTCGATTCCATTGGCTCGGACGCGAACAATATTATGAACTCACCCATCATGCTTCCTCCCTCCAGCTCGCCAAACAAGAACTCGCCTCCCAACCTCTTCTTGAGCACAACAGGCTCCTCGTTGAACTCGGGACCCTCCACTGGAAGCTCTTTATCGAACTCGGGAACCCTCCCTAATAATTCCTCGTTACTTTCAACAGTTTTGCCTTCTAATTCGACTAATACTAATACGAACACTAGCTCCATCTGGGGTCTGAACAACCAAAGCTCGCTTTCTGCGGGCCATACGGGGCTAGGTTCTTCGGCTAATAATACACACATCTTCTCGGGTTTTGGTGGTTCCAGCATGTGGTAATTTTTTATACCTCTACATTGGTTTTGTTACATTTATGCATTTTTGTTTTTGTTGGTTTTGTTTAGTTGCTTTTATCAAGTTGAAAACCTGTTTATTTTATATTATGCTGGGATCTTCTAGGCTAAGGAAATATATCTATTGGATATCACGATTGTAGGGATAAAGTAGAAATACTAGTTGCCTAATCTAGCATGTCTATATTGGGACTATTGGTGGAATGGTTACATACTCCAAGTTAGTGAAATTCGTATTTGATAGGTTGCTTCTCACTGGCAGATACATCTTCCTGGTTTAAGTTTATTTGATAGGTTGCTTCTCACTGGCAGATACATCCCCCTGGTTTTAGTCCTTGTACTGATCTGAGGAGCTAGTATTGATGCCAAAACTCAGATTCCCATGCGTTCTTGTTATTAGGAACTTACTATCATCTTTGGCTATTTCTATTGGAACTAACCTTAATATAGATTAGCTGGTTTCACTAGGTTAACTGGGTACACTCCAAAGTTTACGCCGACTAGATTAGACTGTTTGAGTAGATATTAGTCCAATGAACCAATTTATTTGCTACAACTCTGTAATACCTTAGAGTGTCAGTTCAGCAAACAGCTATGGAAGTGTACTAATTAGTGGTATTACAAACTTACTGCTCACTGAGCCTTCCAGCTCTAAATCAACACCTCTTCCACTAGTAGAATACCCCAACAAATTATTCAAATCATTGCCCAGAACACTCTAAATCATGTAGCGACACCTCGGAGACTTGCGCTTAAACTACTTATTGCCTAATCATTCAAGCATTCCTACAACATCGGCTGGGAATGGACTTCTCATATGGACCATCTCCACACAGTTGTTTCCTCGTCCGGCCATTTCCTCAGACCTTCATGATTTTCGTGGCCAGTTTTGGTGCAATCCTCACCGCGATTTTCAACCCAAATTGCACATCAACCGTTTCTCTCACCAAGCCATGTCCGACAAACCGTCACTCAACAAGGTGGTCAAGCGTGCCATCGCCCATCGCTTAGTCCCCAAGTCGTTCAATTCGCTCATCTCACAGCTTGAGGCTCGAGAACCAATCTCGAACTCCGAGTACTCCACTCACCTCCTCACACTCAATACCCATGGAACCTCGATACTAAACAAGAAAGAAAACGATGAATACCGGATCAACCTCGTCATACATCTCTCACTAAGTTCTCAGGAACAGCTCGCCAAGTTTTGGAAGTGTTTGAGCTCTGTTGATCCGTTGAGCCAGGTGGAATACCTCAAAAAGTTGGCATACCTTCTAGCACACCGATCGGTGACTGTGGATGGAGAGATCATATCCAGCCTCATCGGATCCCAGTTCAAGGAATACACCATCTCCATCTTTTCCGGGTTGAACAACAACAGCTCCAAGCACGACCAAGTGCTTGCTCATCATACCATCATATTCTGGGGTAACTTGATTGACAACTTCTACGCCAAGGACAACTCGTTGGAGGACTTCATGATCAAATTGCTTAAATGCTTGAAGAAGTGGAACTTCACTCGCTTGTTCCACTATTTGTTCAAGAAAACCGAACCATTCTTGAACAAAGAGAAATTGAACAAAATCATACTGGAAGAGTCAGGCTCCTTACAAAAACTTTCGGCCTCTACAAAGCCCGATTCTTTGGAAAAGTCTTCTCAATCCCCACCTGCAACAACATCTTTCAAGACGCTAGCTCCCTCGCACTTGTCAGCTGGACACCACGCTGGATACATTGAAATGAAACAATTTCTTTGGTTCACGAAAATCATGAATAGCTTCCAGTTTGAGGACAACGACGCTCTATTCTCTAACTTCGTGTCCAATTTCTGTACTAGAGCTGACTCTTCGGGCACTCCCATCAGTAAGAATCCCTACCTAACTGCAATTGAATTCATCCAAGCAGTGTTCATTGGGTTTTCCCATTCCATCCAATATAGAGACGCGAGTTTTGTTTTATTCAATTGGAAGAATTTCATAGTTTCAAGAGTGCCGGTTATTCTTTTGAGTTTAAAATTCACTAATGAAGAAAGCGCAGAGAAGGCCATCGAAGTATCATTCCAATCATTATCTGAAAGAATAGTCAATTCCATCAGTTCCATATCCATTGGTTCGTCAAAACTATACGACTTGAGACAATCTTTTATTAAGTCGTGTATATTTAATAAGCTTTTGGCTCCGTCAACCTTCCAAAAGTTCTTCCCGGTAGATTTCAAGGCTATCCAACAATCATTACAGCACGACCTTAACCAATTCAATGCTGAATTGGACCTTCAGAAGGCTTTCAACGAGAAGCTCTTAAATGTCAATATTGAGTTCACTTCTTTAGAAGAATCGGGCTTGGTTGATTTCATTGCATCTTTGCCCAATTTAGTTGAATACTCGTCTAAGAAGCAATTGGAGTTGGGGAAAATCGTAAAAACAATAGTGGAGGACCTTATCAACTATCAAGACCAAGAAAAACTAAACCGTATTCTTTTAGCAATCCTTAGCAATGTTCAGTTTGTGAATATCATTGCCTTTAACTCCAATCCAATCAACATTCTAACCAAATTGATTGACTATGCAGACAAGGATTGCTTTAAACTCGAGGATGACGACGATGAACGATTTCAAGATATCTACTCATATTTCGGAGTATTACTTTTGGGTATTACTTTCTTGATTGAGAAGTTTAAAATTGACTACTCCAAAATCAATATCAAGAACTCATTCACAATAGGTTATTTGAACGAATTTTATTATCGACTTGGTGATCATTTAACGAACAGCGCGGTCACAAATAGTGATGAGCCAAATAGCGAAGACGGTATTGTTATCTCCAATTTCAATAGCTTAATGGGGGACTGGATCAATGCCTTATTTGATGAGTCCAATGATGGATTATCTGATGATTTGATAAAGTCTGTCAACATCAAACATATCTACAAGTTGATCCCATTAATTTATCAACAGTCTATCATTGCTACGCGGTCCAAGATTATCGACATGCCCATCTTGTCGAATGGGATTGATTATTTATCTCAGGTCTTTTTGGTTCCCTGCACCTTGAATATCATAAACTGGTTGTTGAAAAAAATTCTGATTCAAAAAACGGTGGTTGATAACTTATTCTTGGAGGTCTTGCATATCATAATCAAATCAAATCTAGGTTCCGAATCTCTTGAAGATGATGGTGATGATCTTCTTGGTGAAGACACTGACAAACAAAATTCGCAGGAGATTCCAATGATCATTTTCAGAATAGTCTTAAACATCTGTGGCAGCAACATCATACAGACCTTGAAGCGGATGAAAGACTGGAGAACTTCAAAAGCCACCAATCAAATTATCAGGGCCATCACCAAGCAGGTGGACGCAAACTACATTGCGAAGCATGTTGAAATGAAGCATGACACTAACTTCAACGAGGGCTTGAAAAAGTACTTCTGTAGCTTTGTCAAACCCCAACCTCCTGCTGAAAAAACGGAGCAAGAAATTGCCGAATTAAGTTATATTCATCGCTACTTGAATTATCAATCGAACCACGACATACTTGTCGATTTTCTTATAGAAGAGATCGCTAGTTATCAAAAATCAAATGACGATGAGGGACGTCTTGCCATCAACCTTGGCTCGTATGTGAGTGTGTTGAGCTCGGTAGGATCTACCGAAGACAAGAGGTATTGGAGAAAATTACAGCACCTCAACGTGGGGGCAGCAGCATCCCCTGCTTTTGAAGAGGAGCAGTTCACCCTAAGTATTGCTCAGCACTATGGCAGCATATTCAATTCAGACCAACCTGATGACCTTGGGTTTGACATCCAGATCAAAGAGGACGAAGACATGCTTGATGACGATCTTTTCAACGACAATGCTTTGGGACTGTTCAACACCAGGAAAGCGACCAGTCAGACTTTGGCAGCCTTGGTCAAGACCGTGCAGCACTCCGAATGCTCGTTAGCGTACGTAGGACAGTTGAGGGCCATGGATGTGGACCAAGGAGTGGCGAAGAGCTTGAAGATCTTGAGCGAGTGTATTCAGGATGAGCTCCACGAGTATTATGTATAACCAGCCGAAAATACACACAGGATAGACCAAGTCGTAGTCGATTAACCAGTATCATGTGAGTAGCCAGGCGATAAATCAAGAAGTCGTCGCAGCAACTAGTCAGTATCAATAATTAATCGATCAGCACGAGTAGTCATTTTAACAGAAGACTCAGTACAAACCGAGTAGTCAATAGACCAACCAAGTGATCAGTCTCTAAGTCGATCACGCCAAATAGTCAGTCAATCAACCAATTAGTAAGTCAATCAACCAACTAGCAAGTCACCAACTAGCCAGGTTTCAATGTCAATCAACTTCTAGCCGTTCAACCAACACCAACTAGTCACCCCATCGCCAACTACCCAACCACCCTCAATCACTATACTTCATCCGATAACTATGCTTTCGCATCTCGTTGATCTGGTGGTGGGCGTGGATCAACTCCAACTCCTTCTGCCGTAATGACCTCTTCAACGCCAATGCCGACGCTGCTGCCTCTTTCTCATGCTGGCGACACTGCAACTGGTGCCGCTTGAGCAACTCTTCAACGTTCGCTTTGGAGCTCTCGAGCGCCCTGATCCGTCCATATGCCTGCTTCAACTCGGCGGTTAGTTGGCTGACTCGCAGGAGAAGCTGGCGAAACTGGCCATCGAGGTGCTTGAGCGTGTCAAACGGCGATGACAGCGACACACACTCGTCCACAGCAGTGTTGGAGGTCTCAGTCGTGGACTCTGACATGCGACAATGGGGAGGGTGCTAGGCAGCATTGTTGCGACGACTGGCAGCAATTGGTGATGGTGAGACCGATATTTGTCTTAACGGGATAGTGCAGCGATGGACTATTTTTTGCACCCGTGGAACCGGGAGCTGGAGGTCCCTCACTCTACCCCACCGTCAATCGTTCTGGGAAAGCGTTTTCCCCCTCACATTGCTGCAGCGTGTTCCTGTCGGCTGAAGCATGGTCGAAGTCACCAGCTGCTTCTGACTGGGCTTTTTTCACACGGCGCCCGGTTATCAGCTATCAGCATTGAGCCTCGCGCTGATTATGCACTTTTCACGGTAGGTGTGGTTCCATCCACGACACCCATTCTTACAGGTTGCGGAACGCGTTATCGCTATCACCCGGCAAGCGGTCACCGGAGGTAAGCCCAAAAGAAACGATGCGCTGGCTCCCCACAAACGAGTGGGTGTCGAATTCCGCTGTCCGCATCCAAATAGGCATAAGCAGGGTGAAGTTGCGCAATGGAGCCACATAGGGTCTGCAGCAGGTGCCACAGGATGCCACAGAGTGCCACAGGGTGCTGGTCCAGCCTTCGCTGCGCGAATCCATCCAGCTGGAAATGCTTCTGGCCTATCTTCGGCCACTGTCAAGACGTGCATTGACAGGGTGGCACCTGCAGGAACTGATAAGAACCACAGCGCATCGCATGCCCAATTAGGCATCCGCTATCGCATATTTCCGCATTGGGACAGCTGCACTCAACACGGTTGCTAAACTTCCCGAGTGGCTCCTCATCACTCCTCTGTTTGAGGGGTACCCAGGCCCTCGCCTGTGTACCCAGTTACCGTGTAAGCGACGATCTTTCACGGCCATTTCTGGGCTGAATTACGCAAGTTTAGCGTCTAGAATAACGCAAATATGCACTTCTGTCACCCATGCTAAACCCTATATAAGACGAGCACTTCCTTGTGTCAACCGCCAACATGGAGGCTCTCAGGTCAGTAGGGTCCCGTACGGGTGCCCATTTATCGCAGGTGCTTTCGGCAAGATCAGAAATCAGGGTAATCCACGCCCAGGACGCCGCCAACGACGTCGAGTTGTTGGCCCAGATTGGGTACAAACAAGAGTTGAACAGACACTATTCCACCATCCAGGTGTTCGGTATAGCCTTTAGTATCATGGGGTTGTTGCCCAGTGTTGCGTCAGTGATGGCGTTGGGTCTAGAGTCTGGGGCTTCAGGACTAGTCTGGGGCTGGTTCATTGCTGGGTTTTTCATCATGTGCACAGGTACTTCGCTCACCATTCTTGGTTCTGCCATCCCCACCAGTGGAGGCTTGTATTACTACACCAACTACTACGCTCCTCCAGGGGTTGGTGTGCCCTTGAGTTTCGTGATCGGGTGCTCCAATTCGGTGGGCCTCTGTGGTGGGATCTGCTCGATCGCCTACGGATTTGCTACAGAAGTGTTATCTGCCGTGTACATCAGTCGTGACGGGGACTTCGAGATCACCAATGCGAAGTCGTATGGAGTGTTTGCGGCTTGTATCATTTCCAACGTTCTTATCTGTTGCCTCACAACCAAGCACACAGCCACTCTTCAAAGTGTATCCATAGTGGTCAACGTATTTCTTATCATTTTATTCATCATAGCTGTCCCTATCGGAGCTTCACACAACGGGTTTAACGATGCAAAATACATTTTTGGGCCCTTGGAAAATTACCGCACCTGGAACCAAGGCTGGTCGTTTGTGCTTTCGTGGATGCCAGCAATTTGGACCATTGGATCTTTTGATGCCGTCATCCACTGTTCCGAAGAGGCCAAGAATGCACAAAGAGCCATTCCATACGGGATTTTGGGCAGTATTGGAGCCTGCTGGATTTTGGGCTGGATTCTCTGTATCGTGTCGGCTGCCACCATCAAAGGAGGCGTTACTCTGGCCATATTGGATAGCAATACTGGTAACCCAATGGCCCAAATCATTTATGATGCTTTAGGCAAAAAATGGGCAGTGGCATTTATGGCCATGATTTCAGTTGGACAATATTTAATGAGTCTCTCTATTGTCACGGCTGCATCCAGACAAATCTGGGCGTTTGCAAGAGATGACGGTTTGCCTTTCCACAATTTTGTCAAGTTTGTGAATCCAGTATTTAAAGTTCCAATTAGGGCTACTATGTTTGCAGGTGTGTTTTCTTTACTTGTTGGCTTGCTTGTTTTGATTAATGGTTCTGCTGGATCAGGAGCATTATTCTCGTTAGCAGTGGCTTCCAACATGTTGGCTTGGGGAGTTCCTACCTTGTTGGTGCTTCTTCCGACCGGTAGGAAAAGGTTTCAACCAGGCCCCTTTTACCTTGGAAAGTATGTGACTACAGCTGTCCATATCACGACTGTATGCTGGATTGGGTTCATCATTACCATGTCCATGTTCCCAGATTCAAAGTCGGTGAATAAAAATTCCATGAACTACACATGTGTGATCAATGTGGGTGTCTGGCTACTGGCTTTGATATATTACTTCGTTTATGGTCACAAGTATTACTCCGGACCCAAATCCAACCTCGAGGATGTATACGATGGGGAAAACCCATCATTCGAGATTGATGCCATGTTGGATGAGAAAAATAACTTCGTCAAGATATAATTGTATAGTAACTATCACGAATTATTGGAGTAAATCTGAGTAATGTAACACTATGCATTCGTACGGCACCAATAATTACTAAACAATGCACCTAACCGGTGTCAACCCCAAAATCGGAACGAGGACTTTTATTGTAGTGGGCTGGCTTATATTTACTTTCGGTCTGTGTTGTATGGGAACATTTAAATTGTAATGATTGCCCTTCTGTTGCCGATTATCGTCACACGATTCAGTCTTTCAGTCTTGGTTCCAGGATACTTCCTTCGTTTGCCAGATTCGGTGAAAAAATATTTCAAAAGTGAAAGGTGCGTCAGAAACAAGGCACATACTTTCAACAGCAAGAGCACAGATTCCGACGCGTAATAGCACTTGGGTAGTTCCTTGTCTACCATCTGTACAGGAGATGTCCGTCTGAGCAAACTTCATACCCCCATTAGTGGTACAAATCATTGAAACTCTAATTTCATTATCTCTAATTTTACTTCCCCGATGAGCCGCATAAAACCGACACCAGATAACACTTCTAACCTAAAGCTCATTTCTGTAAGCACTTTTAGATAAGGCAACCATTTTTAGCTTTAAATTGTCCCCATTTCCGGGAACGCTCGAAGAATCTTGTCCTAGTGAAGATGAATCCTGTCAAATCGCTAACAACAGCCGCCTCCAATAGGTCAGAGATCAGAGCCATAGATGGAAGAGCTGCTGCCAACGACGTTGAGCTATTGGCTCAGATTGGATACAAGCAAGAGTTGAATAGAAAGTACTCCACCCTCCAAGTATGTGGTATTGCTGTCAGTATCATGGGGTTGATACCTAGTGTATCTTCAACCTTAAGTATAGGTCTCGAATCGGGAGCATCTGGGTTTGTCTGGGGTTGGTTCTGTGCTGGTTTCTTTATTTTATGTACAGCTACCTCCCTTACTATTCTTGGATCTGCTATTCCAACTAGTGGTGGCCTTTATTACTACACAAATTACTATGCCCCAAGTAGCATCGGTGTTCCCTTGAGTTTCCTTATAGGATGTGCCAATTCTGTTGGTCTCTGTGGTGCTATCTGTTCTATCGGATACGGATTCGCATCTGAATTGTTGTCAGCCGTTTTCATCAGTTACGATGGTGATTTTACAGTCACAAATTCTAGAATCTATGGAGTTTTCGCAGCCAGTGTTGTCACAACATTACTTATCTGCTCCCTTACAACTCAGCATGTAGCCAAGTTACAAACAATCTCCATCATTACCAATATTTTCCTCTTGGTGTTGTTCTTTATTTCAGTCCCAATTGGTGTATCCAAGAATAGTGCATTCAATGACGGTCACTTCATTTTTGGAAAACTTGAAAACTTTTTGACATGGGATCAAGGTTGGACATTTATGCTCTGTTGGGTGCCTGCCATTTGGTCTATTGGTGCTTTTGATGCCGTGATTCACTGTTCTGAAGAGGCAAAAGATGCCCAAAGAGCAATTCCATTCGGAATATTGTACAGTACATTTTTTTCATTAATTGGTGGTTGGGCAGTTTGCATTTTGACAGTTGCATGCATTAAGGATGGTGACACACTGAGAGTATTGGAAACTAAGAGTGGTAATCCCATGGCACAGATCATATATGATGCTTTAGGGAAAAAATGGGCTGTTGCATTTATGGCCCTAATTTGCGTTGGTCAATACTTGATGCTTTGTTCCATCCTGATTGCTGCTTCCAGACAAATTTGGGCTTTCGCAAGAGATGATGGGTTGCCGCTCCATAGTTACATCAAGTATGTCAACCCCAGAGTTAAGGTGCCTGTTAGGGCAACCTTCTTTGCTGGTGTATGTGCACTTCTTCTTGGACTACTTACCTTAATTCCTGGCTCTGCTGGTTCAGGTGCCTTGTTCTCATTGGGTGTTGCCTCGACCATGCTTGCCTGGTGTGTACCTATTCTCATGGCCTTTCTTCCAACTGGTAGGAGCAGATTCAAACCTGGTAAATTTAGTTTGGGCTTTTATGGAAACAACACAGTTCACTTCATTGCCATATGTTGGCTTACTTATGTGATCGTAATGTCCATGTTTCCAAACTCGAAAAAGGTGGATAAAGAATCAATGAATTATACTGTGGTTATTAATATGGGAGTTTGGACCTTGTCAATTATCTATTATTTTGTATATGCTCATAAAACCTACCATGGTCCAAGATCAAATCTTGACGAAGGAGACCAGGTTCAAATCATTCATGATCAGACGGAAAATAGCTTAGAAAAAACAAGTCTGCATGAAACCAAGTAATTGACAATGATTCTTCCCTAGTATTACAGCTAATCTCATAAAATTTCTTTGTCATATTATTTTGCCTGTAGAGAGTTATATCTTTCGTCATAGGGTCGTTTCTAATTCTAAAAAATTTAGCATATTTCTCGGATAATTCCCAGATTGCAAAAAGTGAAGCTAAGAGGACTATTTTTTGTAAAGTAGCTCCACGTTCATGAAACTCAAGAAACCTGAATCTTCTTTTGCCCACTTCTCCCACATTTCAATGGCCAACTTTTTGAGCTCTTTATTCTTATTCTCATCTGGAGAAAACAGTTCCTGTGAATAACGAAGTCTATTTAAAAACATAGTTGCCCACATTTCCCGTTCTTGGGCATTTGCAACCGTCCATACTGAACTCGATAACTCAAGGTTAGATGGAAGGTATCCTGCATTAAGGGCTTTTTCTTTCAATCGCCTTCCTGCAATTGGATCCGTGAAACTCCCTCCACTGCATTTTCCTTGGATGTACAAATCAAAGAATTTCTCGTAGCTTTCGGGATATATGACTCCTGCTTTCAAGTCTGCGTCCTTGACTGCAACGTAACCATTGGATTTGGTCACACGCCTGAGCTCCTTCAACGCAGCCACTGGGTCCTCCAAATGTACCACTACTTGGTGAGCAACGACTAGGTCGAAGGAGTTATCCTCAAAAGGAAGCTTATAAATGGAGCCCAACTGGAAGCTAACGTTCTGCGGATTCCCTGCCTCCACCTTCTTACTATTTGCTACTTCAATTAGCTCGGAGGTTGGTTCAACTCCGATAACACTACCGTCAGGAACATACTTGCCATAGTCGATCGTAATGGTACCTGGCCCCGACCCCACATCCAAGATCTTGAAGCTGGGGTGGATCAACGGCACAGTAAATTGCATGGAATTTTCCACTGTACGCCAAGCATGGCTCTCGTAAATCGTTTTGTGGACTCCGTCCTTGTAGTATGCTTGCTCTTTGACCATTTTCGAGTGTTGATGGATTAACGTTTTGTTTGATTTTTCTTCCTTTGCTAATGGGAAGTATGCTATAATATACTCTCCAGATGACCGGTTAGCTGCTAGGCAAATGCTAATATATGGCGGCGAAAAGACCTTATTGATGGACTTCTACTGCATGCACACCTGCAAGGGCTCGTTTGAAAGGCGGTCAGTGGTCACACTCGAGATGTGATCTGCAGCAATACTGTATACCACCTCGATCTGATTAGCACTACGTACAGCTGTGCTCACTAATAATACAGAATGCAATTTAATTTATTTTCAGACCTATGGCAGTTTACAAGTAGTTCTTTTAGTTCCTTACAGTTCAGGCCATGTTCCAATTGGCAAAAGATGGAAACGTCAGTCTGAAGCAGGGTATATCAGATCCGATTGGTGTAGTACGTGTTTCTCACTTTTGACAATTAGGCTTTCCGACACTATTGATAATAAATAAAAAAGATTCGATAAATATAGATCTGTGAGGTGTTGTATCGACTCCAGTACTGTTGGTCACTAATCCATGGGCAGTTAGATGCCGAGCGGTGCTGCACAACCCCAGAAAGAGCATGACCGTTGTGCAGGTGCAAATTGACCCGGGGAAAGCCGTAACTTGAAAGAAACCAGTCACGTGACACACTTCGGTTTTCGGGTTCATGGCAGAGGTGAGGCGTGGGGAGGACGGCCTGATGGCAGGTGTGCTGCCATCCATGGATCTCCAGCCACCTTGGTAGCATCTCCTCTATCTTGCACCAAGACCATCGTCTTCCACGGCCCTACCGGACACTCGCGTGCCCAACCAAGCCAGACTTACCCAGCGCAAAGCGCACGTGACGTTTCCCCGTGCTTTTCAGCCAATCACGCCCCAGTAATTTGTAAAGAATTCCCGGGGCAAGTTCCGACCAAAATTTTCTATGTTGTTTAAAACCACTCTTCATCTAGTTGGTTTCACCTTTTAATTCATCTTAGATCATTCGTGTTCTCTGACCCACCCACCAGCCACACAATCTACTGATCCCCCGCCATACATACCACAACCAGCATGTTCAGAAATCTCATTCGCCCTAGATTCGCCAGAGGTTTAGCCACCAGTGCTGCTCCAAAGGACACCAGAATCAAGCGTTTCCAGGTCTACAGATGGAACCCAGACACCCCAGAAGTCCAGCCAAAGATGCAAACCTACGAGGTCGACTTGAACGACTGTGGTCCTATGGTGTTGGACGCCATATTAAAGATCAAGAACGAGCAGGACCCAACCTTGACCTTCAGAAGATCGTGTCGTGAAGGTATCTGTGGTTCTTGTGCCATGAACATCGGTGGTAGAAACACCTTGGCCTGTTTGTGCAAGATAGATCAAGACAACACCAAGGACTTGAAGATCTACCCATTGCCTCACATGTTCGTGGTGAGAGACTTGGTTCCTGACTTGACCCACTTCTACAAGCAATACAAGTCGATCCAGCCTTACTTACAAAGAGACACCGCCCCTGTTGACGGCCGTGAAAACTTGCAAAGCATCGAAGACAGAGCCAAATTGGACGGTTTGTACGAATGTATCTTGTGTGCTTGTTGCTCCACTGCTTGTCCTTCCTACTGGTGGAACCAACAGCAATACTTGGGTCCTGCTGTTTTGATGCAGGCCTACAGATGGTTGATTGATTCCAGAGACGAAGCCACCAAGTTTAGAAAGGAAATGTTGCAGAACTCCATGTCCTTGTACAGATGTCACACCATCATGAACTGTTCCAAAACCTGTCCTAAGGGATTGAACCCAGGTAAGGCTATTGCTGAAATTAAGAAACAATTGGCTTTTGATTAAGTCCACGCAACCTCCCATCGTGCATCCCTGATGGTGGTATAAGGACTAGAGTGAATACCTAATGGGACTTGCTCATTGGCTCCTCTGTATTTATTCATATTTATTTCATCAAGCATAAGAAATAACATTGTAACGATTTGTCAACTGTAGGCGTTTACATGAGGTGAAGTAGTTCATACCTTCACATGTTTGGGAAAATTGTCATTTGTCAACTGTGCCATTCCACAATGGTGGGATACACTATCTTAGTTTAATGTCCTTACCCTATATTTCACACGAATTTCATTCATTTGTGTCCTGTGGTACACGCGAATGAGACTCTTAATGTACTAACATAGTAAGATTTTTCACCGATAGGCATTTCACTACTTGTGTGTTTCAGACGAGCATCGTTTATTTGTTAACTATGGTACTTCACATGGCTACTTCCTGTAGTTTATTTCACTCAATAGCATTATTGACACATTAGGAGTTTCTGGTGTGCTCAGACTTAGTTGTGTCAATTATTCGTGTGCATTTCACACCAGTAACAAATTGGCAGCCGTAGGCATTTTCGGTTTGCCCAGGCCAACTTGCGTGGATCATTCTTACACGTAACTTCACTTATCACCTGTAGGCATTACTTTGAGTGCGTTCTGGGATACCAGTCCGGCTTGATTCGGATCATTCTTGTGTATTTCACACAAGTTATTTATTACCTGTAGGCATTACACTTGAAGTAAGGATGTTCTGGGATCTTCGGGGATTTTTGTGAATCTTGCTTATTAGTAATTTATTATCCGTAGGAGCTCAGCCAGACGATTGTTCATACTTCTTGTGATCATTTGGGAGTAACATTAATTAGTAGCCACCCGCACATTTGGTGAGGATGTGACCTGTCAGGCTTAATCACACTTTGTACTTCACACATTTGGTGAAAGATGGCCTAGTCAGGTATTATTCATCTTCTTGTGTATCATTTGGTAAATTATGCCCAGCTTGTACCACTTTTTGCCCTACCCCAACAAGGGGTACCTATCCGAGCCATTTCCCTACCCTGGGGTACGTCGCACGTGACCTGCGATCCCCACAAATAGTCCCATTTCGGGTTCCATATAATGGCTCGGAGTCTTGTCACCACTAAACACGGAGGAAATACTCGCATGCAACAAATGGGGCGCCTCCTCCCCGCTGTAGTCAATCCCTTCAATTGCCTGGACTCTATGCACAATTGCTCCCAAGTATCCGCGCGATTGAAGTAGTTGCACCCGGACCTCCTCCCAGCTTGGCGGGGAGAACGAGGCTACCATCTGTGCTATGACCACTGAAGTGATATCACGCAACCCCACGGAACGTTAATAGCTCGGATCCTGGGAATTGGCACTATAAAGAGCCCAATTTCTGGTGATAATTGTAGTCCTCATCGAATAGTACATCTACTCTCACTACTCACAAACAATCAGCTCAACATGTCCAAAGGAAAAGTCTTATTAGTTCTCTACACCGGTGGTGAACACGCCAAACAGGAATCGCGCTTGTTGGGCACCATCGAAAACGAATTGGGGATCCGCAAGTATATTGAGGACCAAGGGTACGAGTTGGTGACCACGGCCGAGAAGGACCCCGAGCCCTCGTCCCAAGTCGACAAGGAGTTGGCGGACGCCGAGATCGTCATCACCACCCCCTTTTTCCCAGCCTACATCACCAAAACCAGGTTGGAAAAAGCCCCCAAATTGAAGATTGCGATCACGGCCGGAGTCGGATCCGACCATGTGGACTTGAACGCAGCCAATGACCACGGCATCACCGTGGTGGAGGTCACGGGCTCCAATGTGGTGTCTGTGGCGGAACATGTCCTTATGACCATCTTGGTGCTCATCAGAAACTTCGTACCCGCCCACGAACAGGCTGTTGGCCTGAGCTGGGACATCGCGGGGGCTGCAAAACAGGAATTCGACTTGGAGGACAAGGTCATTGCCACGGTGGGTGCAGGCAGAATCGGATACCGTGTGTTGGAGCGGTTGGTGGCATTCAACCCCAAGAAGTTGCTCTACTACGACTACCAGGACTTGCCAGCCAGTGCCATCCAGAAGTTGAACGACGCGTCCAAGCTCTTCAACGGGCACGACAACATCGTGGAAAGAGTGTTAAACTTGGAGGAGTTGGTGGGCCAGGCTGACGTGGTCACCATCAACTGCCCCTTGCACGAGGACACCAAGGGCTTGTTCAACAAGTCGTTGCTTTCCAAGATGAAGAAGGGCGCCTACCTCGTCAACACCGCAAGAGGCGCAATCTGTGTCGAGCAGGACGTGGCCGATGCCGTCAATTCTGGCCACTTGGCTGGCTACGGTGGTGACGTCTGGTACCCCCAGCCAGCCCCCAAGGACCATCCATGGAGATCCATGAAGAACCCATACGGTGGTGGTAATGCCATGACTCCCCATGTGTCTGGAACCTCTTTGGATGCGCAGGCTCGGTATGCAGCAGGTGTCAAGAAAATCTTGGAAAGCTACTTCTCTGGTAAGCACGACTACAAGCCAGAGGACGTGATTGTTACTGGTGGTGGTTATGCCACCAGAGCCTACGGTGAAAGAGACCAAAAGTGAGTCACTGGCTGACTTTATGAGCTTTGGCCAATTTTTGTCTAATTTATTGTGTTTTTTATGAATAAATGCTTTTTATTGTTTTCCTGGGGTTGCTCCTGTAGACTATTGTAGGACGATTTCTCTGCTTATTATTGTTAATGGATCTGGCTTGCATATCTAGATCCGTGTGGTGAGACAATCGTTCAAGGTGTTTGGAGCGTTGAAATGTAAATGAGGAGATCGCGCAAAAGATCAAATGGCCCACACAGAGTTATCACATAGTTACATTCCAGTCGCTCAATTTTGCAATTCTCAAGTTCTCCGATTATTGCAGTGTTGCCTGACGTCATGAAATAGCATCAAAATAACCGACAAGTACTAATTAGCTGTAGGGTTTGTGATACATGTGGTGGAATTATTGACTCTTTTGATCAAGGAGGCTAAGTAGCAAAATGTAGGCCATCTGATGGTAGGAATTTTTTCCATTTCCCTTTGTTTTGGTAGTTTGTATGCTCATTTTGGTGTTCTTCAATAGTAGTAGATGGTTTCCTTGCAATAATCTACAAATGCAGGCCTGACAAACCCTTAAATTGCACCTGTTTGGTAAATTACAGTCGGCATGCTTCGTATATTAGCATACTTCACTATCTTCATGATGTTCGCTGCCAAAAGTTCCCTACTATTTGATCTAGAACTTGTCCTGAAAACTCTCTCTCAAAAGATTGGCCGGAGATTCTGCAGCTAATCGTCATAAGTAACCTCCCCAGTCCAGTAATGCAACCTACAACGTAATCTCTGCTGTCTAATCAAATTAATTGTATTGAAGCCTAAAACGAAGAACTAAACTATGGACGCACGACTTGGGAATCTATATACATGGTGCTATTGTCTTGTGATGGGCTGTGAGTTGGGTTTTCTAAGTTGAATCGAGCATTTGTACTGTTGAACAACTTTGTTGGTGTGATCTATGCAATTTCTAACGTTTACTCCTTGATGGCATCTTGAATAGCCAACTTTCTAGAGTGGGTGTCAAAGTACTCCCTTAATTCAGTTATGTTCATGTTGACAGGATCGGCCTTCATGACATTTTTATCCCTGAAAGTCACTTCTATGGATGGCTTGTCTGTAGAAGTCTTGGTCAACACCTTGCATGAGATCTTGGCAGAAGATGGAACTCTGGCGAGAAATAATCTGGCTGATCTCCCCCCAGCAGTGAATGGGTCAAACTTAACGACCACATTGGTAAAGTATTTGGTAATCATCGTGTTCACAGTTCTTCAAGTATCGACCTATTATCAAAAAATTTTCGAGATCCATATTCGCGAGTAGACATTACTCGTGATCTTTGATCACGTGATCGATTATCACGGGCTACATGCCTTTGCACGGTTTGACTAGATGTTTGAGTATAAAGCAGCCACTATCAGAGGCTATTTGTTGTGATTGCCTATTTATTATTCAATTACTGTTAACGTAATTTTAAAAATTTCACCATAAATGTTATGAAATTTGTGAAATTTTAGAATAGAACGATGAAAATACAATCGTTGGATCTAGACAACTGGAAAAATACTCAAACGTTTTTAGGAGAGGATGGAAGACTGTAGTCGGGGCCTGGTTAAATTTTACCACCGTATAACACAGGGTTTCCCTTTATCCTACTGTGGAACTGCTCGCCTTTGACGTTTTTGCCATCACATAAGCTCAAGATTGGGGCTCTGCAAGGACCTTGTCAAGCGAGCTTGAAGCGAAGTGTACACTTTCACGTACCAGGGGTTATACCTCGGTTTTCCAGTTGTGGATGGTAAAAAGCAATGCTCTTACTAGATTCAATAACGTCTTAATGAGGGCTTACACAGTAGGCGGACTCGTTCGCTGCTAGAAAATAATTCGTTGTTGGTTTCACAGTCATCAAACAAAGCTAAACGAAGTCGGCAATGATCAGCAAATCAGAGGCTTGGGAATCGTTACATCTGTTCTTCTCTTCAAACCTTTTCCTTATCTATGATCAAGTCAACATCTTGACTTCATGAAATTTGGCCGCGACTCGCACTATTGTTGACTGCGAAAAGTAGGGAGCGCAGGCGCAAATTCCAAGTGCACATAACACAAAGGAACGATAACGAAGCTTAAGCATGAAGAGTTAGTTATTGTATTCCGAGCCTTCCAGTACGCCCCCTGTGGCGCAAAGGGTCTAGATAGGTGAACTCCAAGAATAGTGGTTGTTTTCACTACAATTGCTCATTGCACCACAGTTACCGTCAAAGACGAAGAAATCAGCTTGGCAGAAATTAGGCGGATGGAGTGACGGAAACTAGGAAGGCCAGATGCAGAGCCACGGTTCACACGTTTGCACTGTACCTTTTTTAGCGGGTATTAATAATTTGTCCCGTAGAGGAAAATCCGCATATTCCAGGTACCGAACCCTTCAGGTGCAGAACTACGCGAGGACTAATGCGTAGACTTGCAGACAAATCCGAAAGATAAATAAACAGTGATTTTCTCTATAGTTCTGTGCATACAATATGGTTGGGGGAATAAAATTCTCCACCACACAAAGAAACATATTTTGATATATATTGATAGATACGATCCAAAATGTTGGCTCCGACCAGTAATGTGGACGATCGCGCAAGCTGGCAATTGCAATGAGGGCGAGCCCACCATGTAGACTCATACGCTTGGTTCCGCCTCAAACTTAGCGAGAGCAACACGGGGTAGACGAGGGGCACATGACATAGATAATTAGATCGTATGGATTGACAGGCCGAGGTACGAGGTACCGTGGAAGCTGAGTAGTGTGGCCACCCGCCTCAACTCGCCTACAAAAATTAGGTTGGCCGGAGAGGTACTGTCAGGCCGGATCCATGCTGAGACTATGCCGATGCTAGTGGTTGCACCGTAATTGAAGGAACAATCAAAGTGCCATTAGAATGTTCGGATCTACAAGTCCTCCCGGGCCGCCAGTATTATTTGTAGCTTGCCAAGGTCCGACCCTATTAATACCCCCTGATTGTTGATTTGGTCCTAACAATCCTTCTAGACACGGTTCTGGAAATAAATACGGCCGCGCACGCCCTAGTATGGAAACAATAGTTTTTAACAATAGCAAAAGGTTCACCAGGCTGAACTAAACTTTGGCGCACCAGCATCGCGTTCGAGACTGCCATCCCAAGAAGTCGTCACCAGGGGTGAGCAGCCACTACCGGTTGGGTGTCTGAGTGAAGGCATCCATGGTACATAATTAAGGGAATACGAGATGGCAGAACCGTACATGCGCAATAGGAGGAAGCAATCGCTCAGAATAATATGGCCGGAGCCGGGCTCCTCTGCGATGTTGAAGTTGCAGCCGTGAGCCTGGCTGTTCGAGGTGTCGGGTTGCTGTATGCTGGCCAATAAGGGGAGGGGTTACAGGGAGCTGGAGCAACAGCCCATTGGGAACCTTCTGGGGATGTTACATTTGTCACCCTACTCCGGGCTCTAAGGTTGCCTCGCGGATCACCCTGCCAGCACAATAGTTCCAGGAGCCAAATATGCTCAGAGTTCGCGACATACGTTTATTGTGCCAGTATAATAGAGCGAGGATGACTTCCGCTCGATTGATCACTTTTGGGCCTAGTCAGGAATAGCCAGGCGTATTGTTCGCGTTGCCTGATTGTTACCAATGGAGATCCCCAAAATGGCTTGCTTACATGGAAGGGTCCGGGTCGAGTTGACGGGTGGAGGATTTCCATGCTCAGGGCTACCAGACTATTGTTCTGGTCAGCTGCACCAATTAAGAATACATAAATCCTCTGCAGAGAATAGGCTAGCAGCATGGCGAATCCCTTAAGCCAGTCGGCCAGTCGTGGAAACTTCGTCTGGTGTTTCGTCTGGCAAATTAGTGTGGACTTCCTCTGGTGACTTCCTCTGACCATTGCATGATTGCATGCCAACGCCTCGTACCAATTTCAAGTGTGTTGACGTTAGCACCAGTTTCACTTCAATCGTATACACCCAACAATAGCCCGCCGCGAGCTAAACCTGGACTAATACCATCTAGTCCCAACTATTTCTAATTTGTTCTCCAAACTCTAATATGTCCCAATAGGGAGCGCTTGCAGCTATTGTCTCGCCAATTGTTTTTTTTGAAACAAGTGCCACAACTCCGCGTGGATATTGACGCCAAAGAAATACTTCCTCTTGTTGAAATTTGCAATTTTACAATAAGGTTCACCATGATGTGGTTGTTTCCGTGATGGTGGCCATTGACTGGGCCATTTGTGGGCGCAAAGATGCTTGGATCTGGAGAGGGCTTGCCCGTTGGATTTGTTTATAACCAAGGCGTTTCCGCCAGAGGAACGGTTCTTTTCCCAACTAACTAACTAACTAACTAAACCAAGCACCCCTTCAAGCAAGGAGTACTACAATTAGAGAACCATATTGACCTAGTTCTCGCTGAAGTTCACTTCTCCCAAACAACCATTCATAATTGGCCTGAATTACTCCCCCTTACACTCGCTTAAAAACTGCTGCAATGATCTTTTCAAGAACCGCAGCCATTAGTATCGCCTTGGCTTCCACCAACTTTTTGACCGGAGTTTCCGCCAACAACAAGTACCTCCACGATGACTACTCTGACTTGACTTTGGACCAACCATCCACCAAGTACTGCTCCCCAAGAAGCATCCTCCAGGTCGGCCAGGGCACCGAATTCGTCTCCAACCACAAGAGACATATTGGCGCTGATGTCGGAGCCCAAGTTGCCGCTGACGTCTTAGGACTTGTCGGTGTCGATGTCGGCGCTGGTGTCGGCGTTGATGTTGGCAAGAGACACATTGGTGCTGACGTTGGCGCTCAAGTTGCCGCTGACGTCTTAGGCCTTGTTGGTGTCGATGTCGGTGCCGG